TCCCTCAGATAAGCGTATCGTTAAGGAGGAGTCGTCTGAAAACGACGTCTGGTGGGGTCCCGTCAACAAGCCCATGACTCCTGATGTAAGTTGCCATCTTCCTTTCTTTTTTTTTTCTTTCTCCCTCCTCTACTATAAATCGCGCATTCCGTGTCGGGATTCCCCCCCCCCTTGCAGTGGATCGCCTGAGCAGTGCCAGGGTCCCCTGCACCTGCAGATCAGGGCGTCAAGCTTTTTTTGGCAGCACAATGGTGATACGAGCTCATTTTTCGCGGTTGTGCCTGAAATGCCTCATATAGTTGACCAACAATATGAGGCATTTCTGCTATTCCTCTAAACCGTTTTGTCCCTCTTGGATGTTGACATCTCTGGATGGCGTTCGTTTTCGGCGCGTTCCTCCTCGGCTTTCTCCGCATTCCCCCCGCTCGTCCTCGGCTGGGGCCCTGGATCACGTGCATACATTAAATCTTCTTTCATATCGATAAGGCTGATGACTAACCCCGCTCTCCACAGGTCTGGCGTATCAACCGTGAACGTGCTGTCGACTACCTCAACACCCGTAACCGCATCTACGTGATTGATGGCTACGCCGGCTGGGATGAGAGATACCGCATCAGCGTCCGCGTTGTCTGCGCTCGCGCCTACCATGCCCTCTTCATGCGCAACATGCTGATCCGCCCCTCGCGCGACGACCTCGCCCACTTCCACCCCGACTATGTTATCTACAACGCTGGTTCCTTCCCCGCCAACCGTTTCACCGAGGGTATGACCTCAGCCACCTCGGTGGCCATCAACTTCGCCGAGAAAGAGATGGTGATCCTGGGTACTGAGTACGCCGGTGAGATGAAGAAGGGTGTCTTCACCATCCTCTTCTACGAGATGCCCGTCAAGCACAACATCCTGACCCTGCACTCCTCGGCCAACCAGGGCCAGGATGGCGATGTCACTGTCTTCTTTGGCCTGTCCGGAACCGGCAAGACCACTCTGTCGGCCGACCCCAAGCGTGCCCTGATCGGTGATGACGAGCACTGCTGGACCGATCGCGGTGTCTTCAACATCGAGGGTGGCTGCTACGCCAAGTGCATTGGTCTCTCTGCCGAGAAGGAACCCGATATTTTCAACGCCATCCGCTTCGGATCCGTCCTGGAGAACGTCGTCTTCGACCCCATCAGCCGTGTTGTCGACTACGATGACTCCACCCTCACCGAGAACACCCGCTGCGCCTACCCCATCGAGTACATTGAGAACGCCAAGATCCCCTGTGTGTCGGACGGCCACCCCAAGAACATCATCCTGCTGACCTGCGACGCCCGCGGTGTGCTGCCTCCCATCTCCAAGCTCACCACCGAGCAGACCATGTTCCACTTCATCTCGGGTTACACCTCGAAGATGGCCGGTACCGAGGACGGTGTGACAGAGCCCCAAGCCACCTTCTCGTCATGCTTCGCGCAGCCCTTCCTTGCTCTGCACCCCATGCGCTACGCGCGCATGCTGGCGGACAAGATCTCCGAGCACAAGGCCAACGCCTGGCTGCTCAACACCGGCTGGGTTGGTGCCGGCGCCACCACTGGCGGCAAGCGCTGCCCTCTTAAGTACACGCGTGCCATCCTGGACGCCATCCACAGCGGCGAACTCGCCAACGTCGAGTACGAGACGTATGACGTTTTCAATCTGCCCGTGCCCAAGTCCTGCCCTGGTGTGCCCTCGGAGCTGCTCAACCCCAGGAACAGCTGGACGGCCTCGACGAGCTTCGAGGGCGAGGTCAACAAGCTGGCCAAGCTGTTCAACGAGAACTTCTCCAAGTATGCGGACGAGGCTACCAAGGAGGTTATTGCGGCTGGACCTGTTCCTACTCAGTAGAGCGGTCTGTTGCTTTTTCCTTTCTCTCTTTGATTTGATTTGTTTCAAGATATTGCATGGCGTGCTGCGTTGATTGATTTGGGACATGAATGTGCACTTTTCTTGTGCACTCACCTTTTCTTTTCGGTGCTTTTTTTTTTCTCACTTTACCCTTGATACACCTGATTATACCTCGTCTTGTCTATGAGATACAGAATGCAAAAGTGAGTTGATTCAATAAGGTCATACGAAGTGTGGATACACTGTAGTCATATCCATACCTTGTGTATTCAACAAGATAATCAATACATGGAGGCTCAGCAACTCAACTTTTCTCTCCACAAGCCACACCCACACCCACATCCATATCCATATCCATGCACAGCCCCACCGCCCTTAACACAGACATCACCAAAGTCATGTCCAAACTACCGAATACCCGTCCCGTCCCCCTTTTCCGCTCCCACCATCTACACCGTGGTTGACGCGGATGATAGCTCCCCTCCCGGTCCCGGTCCGGCAGCTTTGTTTCGCTTTGCCGGGTTATTTTCCGTGCTGTGCTTTGTTGCCGCAGTATGGATGGAGTGGAGTAAGGTGGTCACCGAGGTAAGGTATTATACATCGTACATCGTACACCGTAGTTACTACCTAGGGAGAGAGATACATTGGGTGGGTTGTTTTCCGGAGCACGAGCACAACTTCCGACCCGACCCTGGTACGTCGCATGGTGCGGTGCATGGGTCTGAGAGACTTGTTCCTCGAGTCCTCAAAGTCCGATATCATGATTTCCGTTAGAGTTGCGTTGCTGTTTGATGCAGGGGGGGGAGGGAGGGGGAGGGAGGGGGGTAAGGGTGGTGTGGAATGCCTCGTTGACGGCCTGGACCGAGTATACTAATAATGCTAGGGCAAGGAGGAGTGGTGGTAATTGGGGAAGTGCCGGAAATCGGAGGAGGACAGGGCTCCTGGGTTGTTGGATATGCAGTGATAGCAATCAGCAATCAGCAATCAGCAATCAGCATGAAGGAGTATGTGCTCTTCGTTTCGTTGAGCGATGGACATGATTTTTGTTGGTGGGTGAGGAGGTAAGGAGGAGGATCTGATCATGATCTTCGTTGTGTGGCTAATGTAAGTAGAATTGTCGATGGGTTGGTACTTAGTAGAGTAGGTTATGGAGTAAGGAATCCAGTGAAGCTGTAGAGGTAGTATGATCATCCTCATTCAACATTGTACATTACTGAGCAAGGTATAGGAGTTTGTATCGTATGGTTGCTCTACTACAGACATCGTAAGTATAGTAAGTGTTGTAGGGGTTCTACCCCTGCACTAAAAAGGTGTCCAGACTCTAGTTAGTCAGTAATAGTAGTTCTTATGACAGTAAGCATATTTCTACCTGCGGACAGCGAGAGCATGGTCCATCTCTCACCCAGTTCCCCGTGGCCCGTGGTGGAGTCGGAGCCGTCGGTCAAGCTATCTAAGATTAACCAGCAGGCAAGAAGATTCATCCTGGAGGGCGAAATGGCGAATAGATTGTAGTCTACAGTACTGTGGCTCCGTCAGTTGTCCTCGGGAGGCGCGGAGGGAGGCGTCCGTCTGTCAGTAGATGTTTGCATTATTGAGGTACCTTTGTAGGATGTTAGTATCTATACCTATTCTATACTCTAGGTACTCTACTATGCTATACAGTATACTATGGTGGTGTGTCGGCTATCGGGCAGCGTCGGGAAACAAACACGGAATTCCCGGAAGGTTCTCGTGTCGCCGGAAACGGACTAGCGGTGATGAGCCGTACCGGCTATACGGTTACATTACAGCCCTGTTGGTTTATGACGTAGTGTATATTGATGTCAGGGCTTGAAGGATGTGTATTATTCTGAGGTATGGTATTAGGTATGTGATATTCTGTCTATATGTTGACGGAATAGCTTCATCGTGCTCTGATGTAAACGTATCTCTCTGATAAGAAAAGTTGTGTGTAGTAGGGTAAGGGGAACCGATGTGAAAGATGGATATCCACACATTGCCCCCGCATTTCACAAGCTTCTCTGCAGCTGTATGCATGATCATAGTTACTACTACGGAGTACTAGGTAGGTACTTACTACTCCTTGCTCTTAGTCCCCTAAGGTATAGTCTGCTCACACTAGCTACCTAGACTATCTATCTAGTAGCTACGCAGGTGTCTGGAAGGAAGAATAGTCCCTGTATCGGTACTTTGGCTACTCACCACAAAAGCATCCATCGTAAGGTGGGCCCTGTAGTAGCGAAGAATCAATATCCTGATCTTTGCAGATTGTTTGTACTACTAACTCCTAGGTAAGGTACTATAGGTCAGTATCGAAGTAAGTATACCAGAGCCCGTAGAATTCCTTGACAGCCCAGGTACCCTTACCTACTCTGCTCGGACCTCAGACTCAGGCCGCTCTTGATCGATCCCTGATTGACTACGATATACAATTTTAAAATGGAGTCGCTTCATCCATCATCCTCTCTCTACGGTTATCCATCGGTTGCTCCAGCTTCGGATCTGACTCTCGGGTTCTCCACGTCCCCAGAGTCGCTGTCGACTCCTAACGGATATAACTAACTCCAAGCTGTCCCTTTTCTTTCTTCCTTTCTCTCGCGTTGTTTCTTGTCTACTCATACCTAGGTACAACCTATCTCATACGTTCTCGATCCTGTCGTCCTCCTGCTGTCACCTGCTTGTCATCTGACTTGTGAATCCCGGGGAAGCTTCCACGGTTCTTTCTTCTCCTTCCCCTCTCGCCCAACAATACACCCTCTGCTGGCGCTGTTCAGCTTTCTTCCATCCATCTTCCTCCTTGCATCATATCTCTTCTCATCAGTTTCTTCTATTCCATCAAGCTCTTCCTGACTTGTGTGTTGTGCGTATTGTATATCCTATATCTGGTCGCGTGGTGAGTGTCTACTTCCGTGTGCTTGTATACGTCATATGTGATACACTTCCCCTCACCATCCGAAACCACAGCATTGCTATCCATCACTTTGCCTCAATTGCTAACACGACAGTGCTATCTTATTCAAGGAGTTGAATCTCCTCCATCTACAATCATATCGGTCAGTTATCATTCTTCCCGTTCTCCTCCTCAACAACTCACGCTCCTCCAGATCTGGTGCGAATCGTGCTTCGGCTTCACAATACTCATGGCCTCCACTACCGTCCAAGAGCCGGCCACCCAACAGGCCAAGGACTTCCTGCACCATCCCTACACTCGGACCGCCCTCCCCTTTGTCAACGGTGGTCTGGCTGGCATGACCGCAACGGTCGTCATCCAGCCCATCGACATGATCAAGGTCCGTCTGCAACTGGCCGGCGAGGGTGTCCGGAGCGGTCCGCGCCCTTCGGCGTTTGGCGTTGCGCGCGAGATCATCGCCTCGGGCAAAGCCCTGGATCTCTACACCGGTCTGTCGGCCGGATTGCTACGTCAGGCCGTCTACACCACTGCCCGGTTGGGGTTCTTTGATACCTTTAGCAAAACTCTCAACAAGCGTGCTGAGAGTGCTGGCCGAAAGGTCACGTTTGCCGAGCGCGCCGGCGCCGGTTTGACGGCCGGTGGTATTGCCGCCATGATTGGAAACCCCGCGGATCTGGCGCTAGTTCGCATGCAGGCCGACGGTCTCAAGGCCCCTGGGGCGCGTGCCAACTATCGCTCCGTGGTCGACGCGCTCTTCCGCATCTCCAAGCACGAAGGTGTCACCGCGCTGTGGGCCGGTGCCTTTCCGACCGTGGTGCGCGCCATGGCTCTCAACTTGGGCCAACTGGCTTTCTTCGCTGAATCCAAGGCGCAGCTGAAGGCCCGCACGCAACTGTCCGCCCAGAACCAGACCTTTGCCGCATCGGCCATCGCCGGATTTTTCGCCAGTTTCCTCTCCTTGCCCTTCGACTTCATCAAGACTCGTCTGCAGAAGCAGCAGAAAGACCCCAAGACAGGTCAACTGCCCTACAAGGGTCTGTTTGATTGCGCTCGCAAGGTGGTTCGGGATGAGGGTTGGTTGAGGTTCTATCGTGGATTCGGCACGTACTATGTGCGGATCGCGCCACATGCGTTAGTCTCCCCCTACCCCACGCACTTCCGTTCGCTTATCCCTTATCGCGGACTCCACTGATCTGCTTCTAGGATGGTCACCCTGATTGTGGCTGATTATCTTAACCTCATCACCAAGTAAATCCGCGCTCTGTGCTGCTCCCTGCGATTGCCATGTCGAGAATTCGAAATCTCTATCAAATCGCGATCGCCTCCATCGGGTGCTTGAAGATCTATCTCTCTATGAATAAGAAAATCGCGGCCTCTGTCGTATCATTACGAAGTTCGTCGTTGTGTTTCATCCCTCACTTTGCGTGATGATCGAGTTCTGAGTCTTACATACACCCGGGATGTCTCTCTGTCAGGAACAGATGGGCATCTCGTGGGCAACATGATCACCAACTCGGTCTATCCTCACATTGCCGGCCGGACTCCGTCTGCGTGGTATAATATGGCGCTACTAGTTGATGTCGGTATATGACTTGGAGTACGCGATGGTTAGTTTTTCCATTCATTTTCAATCGCTTTTTCGCCTGCGACTCAGCTCTTACTCGTGTAAGCTGTCTCGGGACCCTGCAATGGTGGCAATTTCTACTGCCTATGCACTCCTTTTCGCTGTGTGGGTTTTTTTTTCTTTTTCTGTGTACTCTTATCCATATACCCCATGACGCGTGGCAGAAGTGCTGCGTTCGCGAGGAATCAGAATGCGTGACTCTAATTCCACCTATTCGATATACCACGCTCTTTCGCATAAATTGTAGACAAGGCGCATGTCTGTTGCCATTAAGAATGCATATCTAGTCCTCGGCATCGTCCATCTCGTCGGACAACGTACTCTGCGCTTGCGACAGGGCCCTTTCTTGCTTGACTTGCACCGCCTGACTAGCCATCTCCTCGGACCTGGTTCCGGTCCCAGAACCTTCCCGTCCTCCATCCTCCATATCCGCATCCTCATCCTCATCATCACTCCCCACCGTAATCCCGCTCTTCCTCCCACCCTTCCCCCGCCGCCGCCGATTTCCATCCTCATCAAATTCCTCATCCTCCGCCTCACGCTGCGACGCCGCCTCCGCGCGCCGCACCCGCCGCAGAAGCACTGGGTCCGCTCGCAGGTCCGCGACAGTTAGCAAAACCGAGCACACAGGACACTTGACGGCGCGGACGCGGCGGCCGCGGGTGCCGGCGCCGGCACCTGCACCTGGTTGCGCCGCTACGGTGGTCGAGCTCTGCGTGATCATATCGTCTATGGCGGCGCGCTCGAAACTATGCGGGCATTTTGTGCTGGTGACGGGGTCGCGGAAGGGGAGGAGTGTGAGCGGGCATTTTAGGGAGATGCGTTCGCGCTCGATGGCGATGTCGTCGGAGTCGGAGGCGGAGGTGGGGGGCGGGTTGTGGTTGTGTTGGCGTGTGCGCCGGGTTGTGGGGGATGTAGCGGTGGTGGTGGTAGTGGTTGTGATGGAGGCTGGGTCTTCGAGGTGGGAGAACCAGGTTGAGGCGTGGGGGAGTGGGGGGATGTCGTCGCCGGGGTGTTTTGCCTCGTGGACGATGCGGTAGAAGCCGATGTAGGTGTTGCTCGTGGAGTAGCTGGTGGGAATATCCGTGTTTGTTAGCTGGGTTTGAGTGGGAGGAAGGGTAGAGTTGTAGGGGGGTAAGTACCGCTGGGTGAGGGATTGGTTCTCCCAGCGAGCGGACTCCTCGTCCATCTGCTCGACGAGTCTGCGACTCGGCGGGACAGTGGGCCGGCGGTCTTCGTGCTCCGGCGTCGCTTCGTACTCTTCATCCCCTGCCTCATCATCTTCCTCGTCGCTTCCGTCGTCGTCTCCATCCGCCCCAACATCCCGTCTCCGCCGCCGAGTCCTCCTCGTCCGTCCCGCTCCCCCTCTCGCGCCCCGCCGGCCTCGTCCACCAGACACAGCCCCCTCCTCCGCCTCTTTCCCCAGCGCCGTCAATACACCACTCATTCCCTCCACGCGCACCTCCGCATCAATCGCGCGCCGCATCCGCCCCTCCAACTCCTCCGTCACGCTCTTCACCCGCTCCTCCAACCGCGCAAGCCGCTCCAACTCCTCCCCATCCCCATCCCCATCGCCCTCCTCATCACCTCCCTCCTCATCATCCCCCTCACCCTCCCGGACTTTCCGCTTCCGCGCCTTCTCCTTCTGATACCGCACCCGCGCATCCGTCAGCCGCTCATTCACCTCCCCCGCCGAGTCCGCGAGCTTCTCCTCCACGCGCTGCACGTGACTCTTGAGCTGCCGCAGTGATGGCGCGCTGAGGAGATTGATGAGTTCGTTTTGGGCGGTGGCGTTGAGCGGCGCGCTGGGCGGTTCGTAGGCTGGGAGCGGGGGTGTGCTGGGGCGAGCTGTTGCGGTGCGTTCGCGGCGCTCGCTGTGCGGTGGATGGGACGGTCGGTGGGTGCGAGGGGTGGATGTTGACATTGATATTGGTGTTGGTCTTGCTGGGTTGGGGTTAGGACATGGGTGTGTGTTTGTAGTTGAGTTGTTGGGGTGGATGGGGAGTGTGATCTGATTTCTTGATAAGGAAGTGATTGATGCCTTTCGGGTGGACGCGACGCGGTGGCGCTAGTCCTGTTGAGGATATACATGTTGATGCCTGAATATGAGGGCATACATTTGCTGACTTGAAACTTTTCGAGGAAGCATGGATTTACAGCTGTAGAAGAATTGGCTATATATTACAGGAGACACGGAGGTGGCAGTTCCTTGGGCTAGTCCCCCATGAGCTGGTGGTTCATACCTTCAAGAACGCTCGCTAGACCTTGTAGAAACAGAATGCATGGTAGAAATCTAGGCGAGTCAGCCAGTCAGTCCCGTCGTGCAGTCAAACTCGGCTTCAACACTTACTTGCAGCTTCCTTTTCCTCCTCCGTCATCAGGAGCTCGCCCGTGTTTCTGTCGCGGACACCCATGCGCTCGCTTAATGGACCCAGCTCCCGATCGTCCTTCTCGTCGCCCCAGATCCCCAGGAACGGCTTGCGGTATTGCAGCTCGAGGTTGTAATCCTCCGTCAGACTTGAACAGCTAGTTAGCATCGTTGCGTCTCGACGGGGATGCAGAACTCACGCTCGGAAAGCTTCCCAGGGAACAACGTATTCCGGAACCTCCTCCACGGCTTCCTCCATGAAATAGCTATACTTCCATCCGAACGGGGGCCGGAAGATCCCGTCCTCAGGCGTCTTACCAGGGAATTGCACGCGATAGATGGAATTCCCCCACTCCAGCTTGGTGTCTTCTTCGACCTCACCGTCCTCGGGCGCCTCGTCGCTCTTTTCCTTCTTCTCCTGCTCCTCGCGCGCCTTCCTCTTGGCATTGAGCTCCACCACGCGTGCACTAATGATATCCGAGTTCGGGCAGACTCCAAGGAACCGGCCGCCCTTTTTCAAGCACCCCGCAACATTCCGCAGCATCTGTCGTGCCTTTTCCTCGCTTTCAAAGGCATAGTGGATGGCGAACATGGACGCCACCACGTCGAAGCCGCCGCCGCCCCATCGCGAGCTCATGACCGATCCTCCCGGCCCGGCGTTCGGGTCGATCCCGACTTGCTGCACGATGCCTATGTCCCCAAGCCACTCCCCGAAGCAGTCCTTGGGAGCGAATTCGCCGTGGAACAGAGGGTTGCGTCGTCCGCGGTTGCCGCGACCAGATTTCATGCTGTTGTAGCGCTCGCGCGCTTGAACAATCGATACCTCCGCCGGGTCAAGTCCCACGTACAACTCCACGGGCTGAGGAGCAAGCTGCCATTTCCCCAAATCGCCGCCCTTGCCGCAGCCCAAGTCCACCACGAGCAGCCGCTTCTCCTCCGCGGGAGGCGGGCCGCTGTCATCAGCCCAGTCCCGGCCGTCGTTGAGCCGCGCAAGGAACTCCTCGTCCGGCGAAAACTTCTGGATAAGCGTGCTCTTGATCCAATTGTTGAAGCTCCGCAATCCCTTGATCTTGCTCTCCGTCTTGCGCCATTCCCGGCCGCGCTGCGGTACCGCGTTGTAATGCTGCCGGACGACGTCGGTCACCCCGCGCCCCTGCGACGTCCGCATCGCCTCCTCCACCAGCGCGCGCTCCCTCTCTTCCTGCCGCCGACGAAGCGTTTCCCGGTCTACGAGCCCCATCCGGGCTCCACCGCCAGGTCGTTTCCGCTGTCGTGGTTGCTCTTCGGGCGTGGGAGATCGGTGGGGCAGAGGGGAAAGAGAACGGTTCGCGGGATCATCACGATTGCGATTCGGCACCGGCGCGGCCTCCGCGTCGCGTCGCGAGTATGCCGACGGGGGTGTTCTCCCGCGCTTGCGAAGTTTCTGGTGTCGCTCTTCCATCCGTTTGCGCTTGGACATAGGCCGATCTGCCGGCGGCTCTGATTTCTCGGACGCCTCCCCTTCTTCTGTCACCTTTCTTTTCTTGTCCCCGCTAGAGCCATTCTGCCCGGCTGGAATTCTTCCTGCGGCTGGCGAGGTCTCGCTTGGTCGCTTCGCCGCGTCGGGGGACCCGGCGCTCGGTCTGGGCGTCCCGGAACTGGAGCGGTTTTCCATGGTCGGAATTCGATGTGGTTGATTAGGTACTGTGGATGTCGAACTTTTTGAATGTGCGACCGGCTGCTCTGTGATGTTTGCTAGTCGCTGAATGTGCGCTGAGTTGGTGGATGGCTGAGAAGATTGTTCCGCGGTTTGTGACGATGGTTTTATCGCTGGTGGATTCTCCGCGAGATGATTCGAATGATTCTGAGATTGGAGATTCAGTTAGTGATAGGAGCTTTTTAATTGACGACGAGTTGAAGTCGAGAGAAAATTCAGAGACGAGCGATCTGCTCACAGCGATGAGCGGTCGCCTCGACAAATAAACAGGCTCACTTGAGCATCATGAGAACATACCAAAGCACAAGGCTATCTTAACTCGGAAAACACTGATAATGAAACAAGAAAAAAAAAGAAAAAGAAAGAAACCCACCAGATCAGAAGTGTTAGCTTTCTCCGTCTCAATGGGAGTCTTTTGTGAATATGACGAGGCAAGGCCCGTCTCCGTCCGGGGCTGCTCGGCGGTGCGGTGCGGCCAAGTGTCGTCTCCATCGCGCTTCTCCCAGTTGTCCCGTGCTGGATCATACATGCTGCCGTTTCAGTATCGCGATACTCAACAACCCGTGGAGATTCACTTGTCTGCTATGAATAGTTTGAAGGTAATGGAACATTTTATTGGAGATGGATCCGATGAGCCAGGCGTCTTTGGGTATTTATTGTGCTGGATCCCTGGTTCAGTCTCCTTGCCGCATCCGGGAGGTTGTCTGTGTAGCAACTAGGGATTCAATCCGCTAGAGACTGAAGATTGTGTTTATCTTACAGGTACATGGTGGTGAAAGGACTACAGCGGACTGGCGTGTCAAAATCGCATATCAACATTATTTGCAGTCGTTGGTATTGAGTAGCAACCAAATGGGTATAGAAGAGATATACAACCGATGACGCCGTGCTTGCAAGCCAAAACCGCTAGATGAACCATATACTTAGAACCTTTCCGGAAGATAAATCCAATATCACGGAGCAACCGACTTCTTCCTCTGAGGCGACTTGACATTCAGCACCTGTCTCATCCGTCGGAGTTTCGCCCACCATTCCCGATCGCTCGCCTTTTTGTGTTCCTCGCTCGCGTCATCTACGGCTGGGAAATCATCCGTGGGTGTCTCAGAAACAGCACGCAGAGTCTCCCTGGAGGCTATTGAGCGGATTTGTCGACGGTGCTTGACTCTGAGCGCTTGAACAAGAAGCTCCCATCCGCTTCGAAGCTCCGCTTGTTTCTCGTTTGACTTGCCCGTCCCGCTCTGGGCCTTTCCGCTGACCCAAGGACAGTACTCCATGTGCTCATGGGCAACGTCCAACGTATCGTAGACTGTTGTGTCGCCATTGTCCTTGGGCTTATACATCCACAACCCCAGTCGCCGAAAACATGCACCGCAGCCTACTAGGCCGGCGGTTCCGAACGAGATCGTGTCCCAGCCAAAGAGCGCTAGCGCCAACGCAGCTTTGTTGATTGGTTTCGATGGTTCGGGTGACTTCTGCGAGCCATCTTCCTGGCTTCCCTCACCGGACTGTTGCTCGGGCTGCTGATCCTGTTGGGTTTCGGGCCTATCCGACTCCGCAGTGCGAGTGGAATCGTCAAATTCTCCTTCAGGTAGGATCTTGATAATGGCTTCAAGGTCAAATGACTCGGGAGCTATGGTATGTTCGGCGGCTGGCAGCTCATTGGCCATCTTGGCGATATTCAAGTAGCGTTTTTGGAGACCAGCAATTGCTGTGTCGCCATTGGTAAGTGGTAGGCGATGAATTGTAGCTGAAAACAATTAGCAATAAGCGTAGGCACAAACAATCTGGACATTTTGACTAACCGTCGCAACCCTTGTTCCTCCATGGACAATGTTCGCCATGCCCTTTAACCAAGAGACTCGCATACTCTTCAACGAGCTTGCCACCTTCACGCTGTTAGCATGTAATCACCCAGAGCCCTCGGCAAAGTGATATACGTACGAACTTCCTTCCTCTCTTGCACCTTGTCATGATCGTATCCATCCAGCTCGTCGAGTTCGTCGGGTAGTTTGACAACCACCGAACCACCACAGCCTCCCACACATGTCACCCGCGACACGTCCGTGCAGATCCACCCTCTCTTCGCCCATTCAACCTCACTTATGGCAGCCGGCTTCGGTGACCATCGGTCAACGCGGCGAAATGTTTCCAACCGCTCGAGGAAGCGGTCGCGGTCCCAAGGAACAAAGCTCGGACGGGTTGTTGTTGACGAGACCGCGGACTCTCTTGAAACAGATCGAGCAGCCTTTATACCTGATTTTCGGACTGCAGCAAAATTACTCAAATCCTGGCTACTCAGTCGGACCTTCTTTATCGATAAATCTGCGGGGACTCGCTCGGTTGGTGTTGCTGGGGTGCCGGGTGTTTGTTTGGGCGAAGGATCAACAGTTGGTGGTTTGGTTAGAGATTCTAGAACTCGGTGAAACTTGCGTTTCTTCGTCTCCACAGCGTAGGACATGATTTCTTTTTCCAGGGGAGAGGGGGTGGTTGTCAGCTCCAAAACAGCTTGAAGCTATTCTTTGACAGGACAGTTGATCTTGCGATGATATGATAGTCGGACACGCGCTAATCCTAGAATGGCAATACACAACCTCAGGTATCAAGGGATCATCATCAGCTTCTCCAGAGCTTCACAATAGCCTGCCTCGTTTACAGGGTACAGCTGGTCAATTAGATCATTCAATGCGCAAGGTCTTGAGATGCCCTGATGGAGTTTTAGACTCGGATTTTGGGTTAGTATGGATGGTTGTAGCCAGACGCAGTGACTAGAAGCCCTCTTTAAGAGTGATAATCACGATTAGACTGTCAGATCAGTGGTGCCAGTGTATGTAGCAGTAGTAGTAGCAGGCTAGCAGCAGCACATCCTGATCCTCATAACTATTGCTCCTGAAAGCCCTGAGAAAGCATTCGACTATCTATTAACTATTATTCTTACTCAAATTATCCAAAAGTGCCCTTCTTGACTTCATCCATAGAGATCGAATCATGCAATAATCTCCCTCTACTGATTGGTCCTTCGGCGTTTCGGCGTTTCCGATCTCCGTCCGCGGAATGGTTTGAGGATCTTGGAAAGTGCTCGTCGTCCGTTTCAGCTGCTCAGCTTTCTCTTCCTTACAAAGTGGTTCATGTCTTGACCTTCCCTGCCATCGGCATCATCATGGCTTCTCTGGGAGGCTCGGTGCCCATGTTCCGGAGCCTAGCGCCCCGGTTCTCCAAGGAATTCTTCACCTGTCGTCAATGCCTCGGACGGGGCCAGACCTATGCGACACCATCCGTCTTTCGGAAGCATTTCGGTGCTCAGCCCTGGGCTCAAAGGGCTGAAAATATCAATTCGAATGCCCATAATGTGAGGGCCAAGAAATTCTTCACGCCGGCTTTTACCAGATCGGTTTCCGGGTCAGCTGTAGCGAGTGCCGTGGAGGGGGGAGCCTCGAAGGCCAAGTCGAGCTTTCCCAAGGTGTCTGAAAAGTCGGTTGCTTACTGGCTGCTTGGAAGTGCGGCCAGTGTCTTTGGTATTGTTGTCTTCGGCGGACTTACACGGTTAACAGAATCAGGGTATGTCTCGCAACTTTGCTGAACAATTCTAATATACCATTTGGCTGACTGTCTTGGATTATAGATTGAGTATCACAGAATGGCGTCCCGTTACCGGATCTCTCCCTCCCATGAACGCAGAAGACTGGGAGTCCGAGTTTGCAAAGTACCGCGCATCCCCCGAATTTCAACTTTTGAACCCGAATATGAACCTCTCTGAGTTTAAGTCGATTTACTACATGGAATGGATCCACCGTCTCTGGGGTCGGTTCATTGGTCTCTCGTTTGTGTTCCCGGCTCTCTATTTTGTCGCAAAGAAGAAGGTCAGCAAGCCCATGGCACTACGACTGGCAGGTATCGCTGGTTTGATCGGGTTCCAAGGCTTTATCGGCTGGTGGATGGTCAAGTCCGGACTCAAGGAGGACCTCTTCGCGCAGGGAAGCCATCCCCGAGTCAGCCAATATCGTCTTACTGCTCATCTTGCGGCTGCCTTCGTCTGCTACACTGCTATGCTCTGGAACGGCCTTGCCATCCTGCGGTCTCACCGGCTCCTGGCTGATCCCGAAGCTGGAACCAAGGTGCTGGATGCGCTCCGTGACCCTAAGCTCAACATCTTCCGTCGTTCGGTCGCCGGCCTGGCTCTTCTGACCTTTGTTACTGTCATGTCCGGTGGCCTGGTTGCCGGATTGGATGCTGGTCTAATCTACAACGAATTCCCTTTCATGGGCAACGGCCTGACTCCCCCAAAGGCGGAATTGTTTGATCCGCGCTACTCCCGTCATGAAGATCGGTCCGATCTCTGGTGGCGCAACATGCTGGAAAACCCTTCCCTCGTTCAACTGGACCATCGTATCATGGCTATGACTACATTCACCAGCATCATGGCCCTGTGGGCATACACTCGCCGCTCCCCTACGATGAAGAGATTGCTTCCCCCGGCTGCTAAAAAGGGCGTCCATGGCGTCGTTGCCTTTGCCTGCGTGCAAGTTAGTCTGGGCATTTCGACCCTCCTCTACCTGGTCCCTCTTCCTCTTGCCTCTGCTCACCAGGCCGGAAGTCTCTGCCTGCTGACCTGGGTGCTGGTCCTCGGTAGCCGTATCTGGCACCCTTCCCGCACGGCCAAGTTGCTTCAGATGGCTGCAAAGGCTCGTGGCCAGGCGGTATCAAATGCTGCTACTCAAGCCGCTCGGAATCTGTGAGCGACTATTGCATTAGGTCCCTGGCGCGTTGTGTACATTTATGAACCTCTCCTCCCTTTCTCAAAAAGATTGTACAATAGCAAAGGTGTTTTCGTTGAATGGTGTCTTTCAAATCCTTGAAGAATCGTATCCAGTTCCTACTATTATTGTCTGCAACCTTTGCTACCCAGAACGGAAGCCCAACAGGAACCTGGGACTCTGAGCTGCATTGTCTACATTGCAAATTCGGAGTGGTCCTATTGTGGCCGATTCTCTTTTCATCTAACCATGACTAACGTATCCAGACCCTCGAAATTCAATCCAACATTTTAGATCCACATCTTCATTCATCGCGGTGACCAGTGCATGGGTGCGAGTTTGGGACCATCAGCGACTACGCCGTCCGCCAGCGCTTTTACGTGCAAACACTTGGGCTTTGCTCGGCATGGTAGCACTCTTGCTGGTCTCCGACGATCCTTCGCCATTATTCTCAGACGGAGACAGGGTATATTCTGCCTGGCGCTTCTGGTTGGGCTTGCTGTGGAGGTATTGCTGAACCGCAAGGTCGGCTGCACACTGGGCATACTCATGTAACTGCTGGCCATTCATGCCCATGACCACGTCGTCTGCGCCAAGAGCAGTCGAATGTCTCCCGTTGCGTGCATCCTCCTGCACAGCTAAGCTCCACGCCTCGATGCTAAACGCTAACAGGTCCCGAGCAGCATCGAGGGCCTTGTCGCTGGTGGGACTATTCTCATTTGCGGAAATGCATCCTTGCGACGAAAGCGGGGAGGTGTCGCCTCCTTTCCCGTCTTTGCTTCTGCCGAGCAAACGCCTCTTCAACCTTCCAGACTCCTTGACTACCTCTCCATCATCATAATCTTCTTCTTCTCCTTTTCTCACTCCCCCTCTACCACGCCTCCTCCGCCCAATCTGACGTGCAATATCCTTTGGGTCGATAGTGCCCGTGTGCACGCGTCCGTTCCCCGTGTGCGTGCGGTCGCAGCCATTGTCTAGAAGACATTTGTAGCATGCTTGCCAGCCGCAGGCGTCACAGCGGGACATTCCCGAGGCGTTGCGGGTGTTGCAGAGATCGCATTTCGCGGTGTGGGCGTCGATCTCGTGGAATTTGACGGCAACGGGCTGCGGGGTGTAGGGAGAGTGGTGGGTGGGCGTAGAGGCTTTTGTGCTTCTTTGGCTCTGGAACATGGTCGTTGTGACAGCCCTACGTGTACGTATAGCCCTGCAGTTTGTGGGAATATCAGGTCGTGGTAAGACGGCAAGGAAAGATGGCCTGATTGTTCCTTATAGATACAAAAGTGAGAGCTCAAGCGAAAAGAGACAGCTTCTGACAACAGGTCCCAAAATAAGACAAGAAGGTGCTTCTTTGTTGGTGGTGTTGTCCCTTCGTCGGAGCCAAGTGATTGTGGTTGTGAATGTGAATGTGAATCTGCTCAGTGGCAACGACACTCAGTGCTTTGAGCGATGACCCTCGCCTCCAAGCAGATGTGAATCCCCGCTCTAGCCCCCCGGAATCGGACACACAGGAGGCAGATTGTACGCTGCTGAAGCTTAGACGCTTCCCGGACGGTATCCAGGACCCTCAGGAACAGATGACTGCGAATCTTTTGCAACGGCAGGGTCCTGCTGTTGGGTAGGTGTCGCAGGCGGCATGTATACTGGGCCAAAACGACGGTACTATCACAGAATGAAACCACTTCAGCTCGATGCCCACCCTCACCAGAAACAGGAAACAACAAAGGAAGCCATACCAGCGGCTGAAGGTTGCGCGGAAACGACCAGTTCGAAAACTGCGGATCACGCGTCCGCAACCTTTTGAACTCCTCAGCTCGACCGTATGGGTACGGCGGGAACAGGTCGTTGCGTCTAAGCGGCAAGACGTCCTCCGGCTCGCGCAAATCGTGCAGCTTGTCGCTGATATCAGGGGTGTTGGCGCCGCTTCTGTAATGTGGCGGATACCACTCGTCAGGATGGCAGCAGGGTATCACGGGGTCTGGCTCACGGACGTCGTGGGCGCGCGTGTCGAAGTATCTGGGGCAGCAGTAGTTTGGAGATGCGGTAGAAGGTCTCTTTGCGTTGGCGCGCAGGATCTGAAGTTCTTTGAGGACGTCAGGGTCAAGGGCTGACTCGGGGGTCTGGGGATTGTTGGGAGGTTCGTCGACCATCTTGGAGAGGACGGCCATTGGATTTATAGGATTGTGTTCCTCCGGGGATTGGTCCTGAAAGAGCCGCTGATCCTTTCCCTTGGGTCTTTTTCTTTAACGTTTGTGAGGAGTGTTCTGCTTGCAAGCAGACTTATGTTTCGATATAGGGGTAAGTGAGTGTAAAGGGAGCAAGGGAGAGAGAGAGAGAGAGAGAGAGAGAGAGAGAGGAGATGATCGAAAGATCACTAGTTCCTCACAGGCTTGCTTATGTCTCTCTTTTCTACGTGACAGGGGGGACTGTGGCGAATCTCCAGCGATGGCAGTAAAGTGAATATGAACTAAACCTCCTGAAACAGGTACACTGTGACCAGAAGCTTTCATATCAGGGTAAAGTGAAGTGCTCTGGCATCTAATGTCATTAGTACACAACTCTCTAGCTTTAAGAACAACCTCTTTATCCTAAATTTAGGCTATACCCTCATCTTCATTTCCATGTCATTCTGAGAGACAAAGCAGCTTCGTGTTGTGAAGAATTCATCAAGTCTATGTCACCATGAGTGGGGATAGTATGTGTAAGAGAAGCATCAATAGACTTCAGTATAGTGTTCATGGTATGCTGAGTGTAAGCAGCCCACCACGGTAACCCTATAAGAGTACCCTAAAGTTAAAAACCCCAGCTTGTCTGGTGGCTGTGGATACTCAGCCAGATGTGTTGCTTCTCAGCAGTATTTCTATAAGAAAGCTGGGACACAAATGCGTAGCAAGTATCAGTGGACCACACCCTTTTCAGACAGTAGTTGCCAGCAAGGTGGAAGGGCAACGCAGACTACGATATCAACATTTAATACAGGTAGAGTGGGCCCTTTTGAGTGTTGATGCTAAAGGGATCTTCCAGAGAGCGGAAAAATGCCATCAAACAACCGATGAAAAAATATTTGATTCTTCAGTGTATTCTTCATTGACATCACAGCATGCAACCATAGTTCATTTCATCAACAATATGCGTCCGTCATCCTGTTTCAGCATCATGCGATTATTTGTGGGCTGGAAAAAAAAATGTTAGCCATGGTGCAACGAAAATCAAGATTCGGAATTGGACAACTTACGAATTCCCTCCTCAGGCTTGGGCTCAACACCAACAACCTCGGCGGCAGTCTTGGTCTCGGCAGCGGTCTTGTCCTCCTTCATGAAGGGGAAGGCAAGGACCTCCTTGATGCTGTAGTTGTCCGTGAGGAACATGACGAGACGGTCGATACCCATACCCCAGCCACCGGTGGGGGGCAGACCGTACTCCAGACTTGTGCAGAAGTTCTCGTCGATGAGCTGCGCCTCGTCGTCACCCTGGTCCTTCTGTCTGGCCTGCTCCTCAAAGCGGAGGCGCTGGTCGAAGGGATCGTTCAACTCGGTGTAGGCGTTAACAATCTCCTTCTTGCAGACGAAGGCCTCGAACCGCTCGCAGAGGCCGGAGTGCTGGCGGTGGTACTTGGCCAGCGGCGACATCATCTGTGGGTGGCCAGTGATGAAGGTGGGGTTGACGCAGGTCTCCTCGATGAACTCGCCGACGAGCTTGTCGAGCATACGGGCGTTGGTGAGTGGGGGCGAGCACTCGACGCCGGTCTTCTTGAGAATGCGCTTGAGGAACTCGCCGGTCTCGGCGGTGTGAAGCTGGTCGCCGGGCGGGAACTTCTCGCCCGTGGCCTCCTCCAGAGCGGGGATCATCTCGACCCGGCGCCAGGGAGCCTTCCAGTTGACGTTGTAGACCTCGCCGGACTGGGTGTGGAAGGTGGTCTCGTAGCCACCGGTGACGTGCTTGACCAGGCCGGAGATCAGCTCCTCGGTCAGGTTCATGACATCGTAGACGTCGGCGTACGCCCAGTAGAACTCGCACGTGGTGAATTCGGGGTTGTGGGTGAGATCGATGCCCTCGTTACGGAACTGACGGCCAAGCTCGTACACACGCTCCAGACCACCGACGATCAGCATCTTCAGGTACAACTCGGGAGCCACACGCATGAACAGGTTCATGTCAAGGTCGTTGTGGTGAGTGACAAAGGGCTTAGCGGTCGCACCACCAGCAATGGCGTTCATCATGGGGGTTTCGACCTCGATGAAGTCGCGGCTGTCGAAGTAGTTGCGCACGTAGCTGACGATCTTGGAGCGGGTGACGAAGACGTTGCGAGACCGCTCGTTCATGATCAGATCGAGGTAGCGCTGGCGGAAACGCTGCTCCTTGTCCTGGAAACCGTAGTGCTCGGAGGGGATGGCGTGCAGGCAGGGAGCGAGGAGGACGACCTCGGTAGCGAAGATGGACAGTTCACCGTCGGCGCGGTTCTTGGGGCTGGTGCGGCCGGGGAAACCGACGATACCGACGATATCACCTCTGCGCAGATGCTCGTGCTGAGCCTCGAATGGAACATCCCCGGTGGCGTTCTGGGCCTGGCACACGACCTGCACCTTGACACCCTCAGCCCGGATATCGTAGAAGAAAAGCTTGGAGCCGGACGACCGCTTGGTGTAGATTCTGCCGGCGATACGGACGGTGACATCGGGCTTCTGCTCGCCCTTTGCGAGACCCTCGTAGTTCTTGAGGAATTCGCGCAGGTCATCGGTGACCTGGAACTTGTGGGGGTAGGGATCAGGCTGCTTGGTCTCGCGCATCTTGTTGATTCTCTTGCTGCGAATCTCGAAGTATTGCTGTATAGAAAAAAAGATCGAGTCATTAGCCATCTCATGAAGAGCTTCCTGTCGCCGTACAACATCCACGGAGTCCGACTTACGTTGGGGGTCAGGTTGGCCTCCTCCTCCTCCGCAGAGACCTTCTTCTCGGGCTTGGGAGGAGCATTCGCCTCCTTCTCCTTCTTCTTAGCCTCCTTCTCGCGCAGCTTCTGGCGCTTCTTCAGCTCGGTCTTGGAGACTCGCTCGCCAGTGACCTCATCGAGCAGAAGGTTGGCCATCGAGGCCTCAACCTCCTTGACTGGGTTGGAATCCGTCATGCTGAATCGATACGGCTGTGATCTCTGAACGTATAGCTCCGTCAAAAAATCAACAGAGTGCCAGAAGAAGCCCGATGGCAAGAAATCAAGGGAGAGGCGGGTTTAGTGGGTTCAGGTAGAGGAGGAGGGATGCCAGAGAATTTTGGGCCTGACTCATGAATGGGCGCTTCTTATTGGCTCCTCACCTGGGACTTCTAGTACTATAGTACGACCGATAGCGGCCTATTTGGTACGGCACAGCTCTATGCGGTTCACTTTTATAACTTCAGGACCTATTATTGAGAGATTGGTGCCTTGTAATCAATCTTTCTCAGCCTCTCTTCCCTGCACAGATCGTTCCAATATGAATACTGAGATCTGAAGTCTGTCTCTGTTTGGGGTTTAGGGCATAGGGCACTAACGTGGGGCTGATTTACCCCGCGCCTCCAACACTTTCATCCCACCTGCAACTGCACGCATCACCAACTTCAACACCTCCGACGAAGGATAAATATCCATACGCAGAGAGAACTGCAGCAGATAAAAGAACTGCGGAGTCATCAGCATCAACTAGGAGACGCGTTGTCTAGTAGTTCGACCATACAACAGTTTAGGCTCGCATTCAACCCAGCGGGCGCAATCATGCTCAGCGACACTTAGCCAACGACCGGTTCAAAATTGGCAAGACTAGGCCAGTCCTCGGGGGGCTGAGATTTGACGGTCGGCTCGGTCTCGGGAGGACCCTCGACATCGTCTTCCTTCTTTGCCGTAACCAACCAGTCTTGCGCCTTGGTGATCTTCTCCTTCTCTTTGAGAAGATACTGCCGGCGGCGTTGACGTTCGGGGTCTTCAGCCATCAATTCCATGCAGCGCTCAAGGGCTGTCTCGTGTCAGTCTCAGGGCCTAGGGCTAATCATGCGAAACACCTACCGTTGTCGTCGAAAATTCGCAGCTCCTTCTCAATGACAGTGATGAGCTCTTCGCGACATTTGGAGAACAGTTTCGTATGGACGCTTTGACAGGTCGAATCCACGAAACGAGAGCTGGCCACTTCGTAGTAACCACGGGTTGTCTGAAAATTGGTTAACACGAATATCCAGTGGATGAATTAATCAGCAGATCAGCAGTTCTAAAGACATACCGCCATCATCTTGACTTCTTGAACAAAGCGATCGGGACCGAGCTCCGCAGCAGTTAATCTCTTGATCTCGTTCTCGCGGCGTGGATCTCCTTGTAACAACCTGCCCTGACGATCCAAGTAACATCTGGCCCTCGCCTCATGTCGCCGACCTTGAAGAAACGTGGCGGCCTTATTCGTAGCCAGCTCGAGAGTGTCAGTTGCCATAGTAAACGGCTTGTTGTGTTCGATGCTGTAGTTTTCTTGAGCATGTCTTAAATGCTCCTTGCGGAGGGTCTGGAGGTAATGCTCAATGATCCGCTTCAGCTCGCGATAGAGACTTGTCTGGTAATATTGAGTGAAGACATTTTTGAGTTGCTTCATCAACATATCCCTCACTAACTGATGGGTGGCGTTGAGAAAGACTTGCATGGGCTCCTCCCAATGCTCAACGCTCAACTGGTTCATGATCTCGATGGCCTTCGGATCGGTTTGGTCTGGGATACCAGCACGGTAGGAGTCTTCATTGATCTCTCGAATCTCCTCCCACGTGAACATCCTCGCAGCACGTTCGAATTTGTTGAAATGCTCTGTATGATATTTTGTTGGCTTTCGGGCGGATGGCTGATTTGGCTTTGTGTCTTGCGGGGCAGGAGTAGGTCTGTCCCCGGGGGTTTTGCGTTTGACCGATCGCTGTACGATCGTCATTTCGCAGTCAGAGTCGGCATTGTCACGCTCCATAGGGAAACTCATCGGGTCGGAGTTTGCCAGAAGCTGGACAGTCGGCCGCGTGTTGAAAAGCGCTAGTTTGAAGTCTTTGGCAATGCTGCCCCAAACTTTCTGGAGGGGGTACTGCGAAGAGCCACCGTCGATGTGGGCACGAATCTGGTCTTTCAAGTGATTCAACTTTCCGCAGAGAATGTATGGAACGTTCGCAGATGGAGGGTCGGGCAGGGTCTGCAACTCAGCATCGATGCGAGCGGCTTTTTCGTCGATTTGCTCGATGATTCGGGGAAGGCATCCTTGAATCTGCTCCAAAAGAAGATTAGAAAGCGCCGCCTGCAGGCGCCGCGTGCCGAACCGATCATGATACGCAGCCAGCTCGGTGGCCCAAGGGCTACCTGCGAAGAAAACTGTTTCCTCTTCTCTCGCCTGCGAATGCTCAATGGCCGGATCTGGGTTGTTGCGGACGACATAGTAGCCATGACCGAGGGCAAACTTGTCACCCTCTAGGATCTCTACCCACTGTGCGTAGGATTCGCCTGTTTGGATGCGGTCAGGCTTTGTCAAGACACCGAGAGTTCTCGCTTTGGCACCACGGACATCCCGCATGATGCGTGCTGCGCTCGAATTGGTGGCGTCGTCCGTCATGGGCAGTGCAAGCAGGACAATACAATTCTCATGAGATATGTATTCCTTCACCAAGTTCTCAACCAGCGAGACAAGATAGCGCTCATCATCATGCTCCGCTTGACTGATGACGCCGGGCAGATCGTAGAAAGAAAGGTTTGGGAAGTTCGGCGCCGTTATATCAAGACGAACTACGTTGGGAGAAAACTTCACTTGACAATGAAACTCATCTGTTCCAGCATTTTGTCCAGGAATATAGTCGCTCGAGGCTCTGCCGGGGTTCAGAATAGCCAGTTGAGCCCATCTGATGGCCTCCTGTATGTCTTCCCTCTCTGTCACGGTGACAAAGTGCTCATCTTCTTGGTCCTGTTCGATCCATGGGCCCAAGGGCTGTGACTTCTTGGGCAGCTTTGTGATCTTTCGCGATCCATCAAACAAGTACTTTCTAGACAGAAAGATTTTGCAGGCCCAAGTCTGCCCCGGTTCTCCCTCGGACAGATTGATCTCCATAGGGCAGCGAGTACATGTTCCAGCACTGCGGGGAACCTTGATCTCACTCATGCCTTCGATCAGGGAGCTTTTTCCAGTGCTCTGATCGCCAATGACACAGATCTTGGGTAGAGCAATGCGACTATCCTCGATTCCTAGATGTCGAAGGTCCTGTATTTTTTTAACAAGGGACTTCATGTCTCGTGCAATGAGGTCGATTGCATCGGTTTCTGTTCCTGGGAGGGCAGGCATGATGGCTGGGGAGTTGTGAGCTGTTGCTGGAGAAGTCAGAGCCAGTGGACGTCTTCAGAATCTGCTACTTACGTGTAGAAGAGCTTTCCCTATCTGACATCATAAACCTGGGCCCTGAAAGTAAGAGGCGATGTGGTTGGAGAATGTTGGCGTGTTGAGGTTGAGGAAGAGATACAGTAGATAAGAAAGAGTGGGAGAGCAACACAAGGCGATATAAAATATGGGCGAGTGAGGAAGAAGACTCGCTCTATCTCTAGGTTAATTCTCCACTAGCAGAGAATCAGAGTGAATAAAATAACACTCGAGGGAAAGTGTTGGGGTATTGGTCTGCTATGGGAGCTATCAAGTGAATGAGAGAATGGAGATGGTGTTTCATATTCAGCAGAGACGTATAATTTATACTGGTGAGATTCTAGGACAAGAGACAAAGATAGAAGTGAAGCCATGTTTGGACAAGGAGGCTGGGGGTCATTGTTGGCCTGGATGTTGTAGAGGCCAAATGAGTGTATCCTGGCCTGGTAAATCTGGTGCGGCATATACAACATCTTGTTGGAATGGCGGAGGGACTAACAACCAGATCAACTTGGATTGCTGCATTCATCAACTGCTAAGCAGAATAAACCCAGAGGAGACATGGAGAAGATCTTACAGTCAGATCCGATATCAGGATTCGCATCGATCCAACTTCTCGGTATCCTTCTACTACTGATAAACGATAGTAGTACTGGATGAGTAGTCGTAGTTGAGCTCTCTCCCTCTTATAGATCCGAGACTGAGTAGACTAGTCTCTTCTTGGTCTAGTGGATAACCAAATGCGTGCCTAAGGCCCTAAGGTACCAAGAGACACCTGTGGGCCTGGAACGGGGCTGCCTGGGTGCCTGAGTGCCTGAGTACTGGGTCATCTGGGGCACTATTAGCTATTTGGCCGGCGAGCTAACAACTCACCATGATCAATTATTTCTCCTTTATTATTATCACTCCAGAGTCCAGACTAAAAATTTACTGGTATAATTGATCCTGTGACTCTTTCCTTCAATTCCTCCTGCAAACTCTTCATATCCTCACTCCTCATCCTCCCCCTACACCTCCATCCCCTCCACATCAGCCATCTCAATGCTTCAGGTTCCAGTGCGGGAACTCTCCAACGTGGCCTCCACCAAGGCCGTCATCTTGGTAGGTGAAGCTGAACCACTTACCGATCATGTTATGTCATTTTCAGATGTCGCTGACTGTCAATCCTCGGATCTAGGTCGGAGGCCCCTCCAGAGGAACCCGTTTCAGACCTCTGTCTCTGGATGTGCCCAAGGTACGTTACCCCTCGTTCCTCTACTTTCCCCTCATCCATCACCGCGTGCATATAGCTGACGGATGGTCCTTGAAACTCGACAGCCCCTTTTCGAAGTCGCCGGTCATCCCATCATCAACCACTGTCTCAAGGCTCTTGCAAAAATCCCCGATATCCGCGAAGTCATCCTGGTCGGCTACTACGACGAATCGGTCTTCCGTGACTTCATCAAGGACTCCGCCAAGGAATTCCCCCAGTTCCGACTCCAATACTTGCGAGAATACACAGCGCTGGGCACAGCAGGAGGTCTCTACCACTTCCGAGATGCCATTCTCAAGGGCAAGCCCGAGCGCATCTTTGTCCTCAATGCCGACGTCTGCTGCTCGTTCCCCTTGGTCGAGATGCTGAAGCTGTTCGAGGAGAAGGACGCCGAGGCCGTCATTCTGGGAACACGGATCAACAATGACGCCGCCACCAACTTCGGATGCATCGTGTCGGACTCACACACGAAGCGCGTGCTGCACTACGTCGAGAAGCCCGAGTCGCACATCTCCAACCTCATCAACTGCGGCGTCTACCTCTTTGCGACCGAGTGCATCTTCCCCGCTATCCGCAGCGCCATCAAGCGCCGCACCACCCGCCCCCGCCTCCTCTCCTACCCTTCCTCCGAGAACCTCGAGTCCTCCTTCGTCGCCACCGATGACGACGCCGAGAAGAACGAGGTCCTCCGCCTGGAGCAGGATATCCTCTCCGACCTGGCGGACAGCAACCGGTTCTTCGTCCACGAGACCAAGGATTTCTGGCGGCAGATCAAGACCGCCGGCTCGGCCATCCCCGCCAACGCGCTCTACCTGCAGAAGGCTTTCCAGGCGCAGTCGGAAGAGCTCACCCCACCCTCCGCCACCATCGTGCCCCCCGTGTTCATCCACCCCACCGCGACCGTCGACCCGACCGCCAAGCTGGGCCCCAACGTCTCCATCGGCGCCCGCGTCGTCGTCGGCGCCGGAGCCCGCATCAAGGACTCGATTGTGCTGGAAGACTCGGAGATTAAGCACGATGCCTGCGTGATGCACTCCATTATTGGTTGGAGTAGCCGGGTAGGCGCCTGGGCGCGTGTCGAGGGCACGCCAATTCCCATGGCGAGCCACTCGACGAGCATCGTCAAGCAGGGTATCAAGGTGCAGAGCATCACTATCCTGGGCAAGGAGTGTGCGGTCGGCGACGAAGTCCGGGTCCAGAACTGCGTGTGTCTGCCGTACAAGGAGCTGAAGAGGGTATGTATCTCGAGATTTTTCAGCGATGATGAGATGAGACTGACATGGTTAACTAGGACGTGGCCAACGAGGTTATCATGTAAGCGGTTGCTCCGGCTTGGCTGTTTTGGAGGATTTCTTTGGAAGTAGTTATACATATTGCCCAGTACCCTAATTCCCATCTATCAATCTTCTTCTTCCCTTAGTCTGGGTTAGTAAATACTAGGCTGGTATCGTTGGATATTGTTTCACCAATCCCAAAATGCAATCTGGAGAGGTATAAGTATGTACACCAAATACACAAAGATCGTTAAATTGAAGAACGCCCCCATCTAATATCGCCCAATATCTAACTACATATACATCCATCAAACGCAAATCCCGCATAGCATCAATCCCTAAAAAGAAAAAAGAAAAATCCAAGTCATAACACATGAGAATAATGATATGAATCATACATCAGCCACCCCACCAATATGCATCATCTTTCTCACCGGTACGCCCCGGGGTCATACCCCGTCTGCTCCGCTGGATACCCATGTCCATACCCATTCCCATTCCCATTCCCATTCCCATACCCCGGATACTCAGCACCACTAAACCGCGCCCGCGGCCCACCCGGCTGGCTCCGCGCCGGCGCCACATCCGAAAACTCCCGCGCCTCACCGGCATGGTAGTGCCCCGACGAGGCGTGGCCGTAGACGGCCGGCGGGGCGGGGTAGGCGGAGTGGTTCGCGTAGTCCGGGCCGGGGATGTCTGCGTCTGCGTCTGCGTAGGGATTCGCAGCGTGGCTGTGGGCATGGTTGTATTGCAGCGGGGCGCGTTCGTCGTCAGGGCCCACAGCGCCAGCGCCGGTGGGAGGGACCGTGTGCATACCCGCACCGGACATGACGCTGCTGTTGCGCTCGTGCAGCTTGATGTCCTGCGTGCTTGTCATGGGGTCGTAGCTGCCGAGGCGGGTTTGGCGTTTATGCACGATGACGTCGAGGACGACGGCGGCGATGGCAGCGATGGTGCCGGTGCAGGTGAAGGCGAAGAGGGCCTTGTAGGTGCGGCAGACTGAGATGCCGGTGGCGGTGACCCAGTCGGTTGCGGTGCAAGAGGTGAGGATTGTGCCGAACATGCTCCAGCTCAGGAGGCCGAGGGAGATGAGCCAGAGGATGAGGAGGATGGTGTTGGAGAGGAGGGAGAGGCGCGGCGAGAGGCCGTGGCAGGTGTGTGTGATTGTTGTGAGGACATAGTTGAGGAGGGAGAGGATGGCGGCGATGAGGAGCTGGGCGGGATGTTAGTTTACTTTGGCTTTTTATTGCATGTGCGGGACGTGGATAGGGTGCTTACTACTAGGAAGGTCCAGGGGAGTTTGTAGCCGCCGCTTTTCAAGTGGTAGATGAAGACAGCGAGGATGATGCCGACTATCACGGAGGAGAGCAGGGCGATGGTGCGAATGGTGTGAAAGGGGACGGGGGGGTATAACGATGGTTTGACTGATTTGGATCGCATCATGGTGGTTGTATGGACTTGCTGGGATGGGGTTTCGGTCCAGTCGCTTCGTTCTCAAGATTCGAGACTCAAAGAATAATGCTCCAGACTAGACTAGACACGTGTGGAGTGGTGTCAGTGTCAGAAGGGGCTTATCCCCACAAATTGAGGATATTCAGGGTAAACAACGAAGACTGCCGAGATAGAACGCCCGACAGGATGGGGATTTTGAAGATTGAATATTCTGGACCGGCCAGATTAACTAACAGCAGGCTTTTGAGGAAGAAGATAAGCAAGCAGACTGCAAAGCTCTGGGAAGTTTGAACTGGCAATGCCTCCCTTGGCGAAGCGTAGATGCTCCACTGCGGGTGTTGCTAAAGAAAGAAAACACACTATGGAGTAAACAATCATCATCAACAGTTTATCAAGCATCGTGAGAGAGCATCAACGACAGTCGACAATTATATGTTCTGTTTTATCCGGGGGGAAAAAACAATGTCAAAGTCTCTTCTTTGTTCTCAATGTCATTGAAATCTTCATACAAATGTGGCATTTCACCCGAAGAAACCCTCCGCCTCGTGGCTACAGCGCCCGCCACCCTGTAGATGTCACGACAACTTGGCAGCTTAGAAATCAACTAGTATGTGCTAATATTCCCAGTGGCAGATGTTGATTATATTAATCGTCAATGAGAAGACGATGCAAAGGCTTTTACAGATGGAATAAACCTGCAACTGCCTTCCTCCGCCTACACCACTGCTCTCCCTACCATGGCAACGATTCTTGCTGACACCATTCCCTGGCACGATGGCGAGAGGAAGATGCACGAACTGCTTCGGGTTCCACCCACGTCAAATCCAACTGTACCTTATTTCAGTCCCAGGGCAGCTTTCATGGTACAAAGATCCCCCCTGTTGGCCCTGGGTGCAATCGATCATGAAGGTAGACCGTGGGCAACTGTATGGGGAGGGGAAGCTGGCTACGCCATTCCCACATCTCACTCGGCTGTCCGTCTGAGAACCTTAGTCGATAGTCAATATGATCCGGTGGTGAAACTACTGCTGCAGGATTCTGGGGACGAGAGACTGAACACCGCGGAAACACCCAGCAAGCCCGTTGCCGGATTGGCCATCGATTTGGAGAATCGCAGGAGAGTAAAACTCCACGGCAGGACAATTGCCGGATCACTGAATGCAGTCGCAGATGAGATAGATACAGACCACCCGCAGAGTCTGGGTCAAAGGGGATTTGCCGATCTCTCTATTCTCGTAGAAGCCAGTCTCGGCAAGTTTCTTGAGTGCAGAGTATAGGCTCAGATATTCATTCTAATGGCAAATAGGCAATTGCCCGAAATACCTGAACAAGAAAAAGATCATTCCAGCTCTTCCAAACCCGGAACTGGTCTCCGATTGCCCGCAGTTACCACCAGAGGCAGTTCAACTACTCGACCACGCAGACTGCTTGTTTGTATCCTCAACCCATGGCAGCAAAGACATGGACACCAACTTTCGCGGTGGACCCCCGGGATTCGTGCGGATCGTGAGCAACGGGCCCAGTGGCGCGATCTTCGTCTACCCCGAATACTCTGGCAATAGGTTGTATCAAACTCTAGGTAATTTCCTCACAACTCCTTTGGCCGGCTACGTGTTTCCAGACTTTGAGACGGGAGATGCACTTTACATTACTGGGCACACCCAGATTCTGGTCGGTAAAGACGCTGCTACTATGCTCCCAAGATCGAATCTAGCTGTTAAAGTGACTATCACCGCGGCGCGCTACGTAAAGAGGTCGCTCGCATTCCGAGGGATCGCAGGCGCGCCTTCTCCATACAACCCAAGTGTGCGTTACCTCACTACAGAGAAGGCCATTCCGGCCGCTGATCTCGATGAGGGCCACTCTGTCATTGCGACCTTGGTGAAGAAAGAGATTCTGAGTCCAAACATTGGTCGATTTCGCTTTCGCATCTCGGACCCATCTAGAGTCGGGGCATGGTCCCCGGGGCAGTATGCAACTTTTTCTTTCCAGGAGGAATTAGATATGGGCTATCGGCACATGCACGATGAAGATCCCTCAAGCCTCAATGATGACTATGTCAGAACATTCACGGTCTCCTCATACCCAGGACACTCATTGACGCCGAATGAGTTTGAAATCACAGTCCGCAAACATGGCAACGTGACTAGCCATCTTTTCAGAATTAACGAGCGCGCCGGACTGGAGGTTCCCCTGAAAGGTTTCGGGGGTGAATTCAAACTAGAAGACCAGGGGGACAGCTCTAAATTCCCTTTCATAGCCGGCGGAATTGGTATAACGCCGGTCATTGCACAGTTACCAGGCGTCGATACATCGCGCCTCCACCTCATGTGGTCTGTCTCTGTTCAGGATGTAGGCTTTGTACTTGACACCTTCAAGCGATTTCCCCAACTTCCAGCGTCCACCACTCTCTTCCTTACTGGGCCTGAGCCGAAGGGTGAGAAGGAGCTGCTGCAGCTGGCTACCGTCCTAGCATCTGCGGCCAGGGTGGAACGTCGAAGAATGGAAGCTCGAGATGTCGATCTATCGCTGAGTGATGTGTGGTATTTCTGCGGAAGTTCTTCACTCAAGAGCTCGGCCATGGCCTGGCTGGAAGGAAAGCAGGTTGTCTACGAAGATTTTAGCTATTAGGGCAATGGAGGACGGGTATGGCCCGGTATCTTTGGGAAGCAAATCAAGATCAAGTAAAGTGGGAATGGCATTTTGAAACTTACATGGCATATCAATTGAGAATTCATGACCATACAATCTCCTTCTCAAAGTACCTTCTATAGAAAGTGGCACGTTCGTCAAGTTCGATATAGATGGAGGAGAGCCTGAGGCACACACTCCCCACCAGAACGCGTTATCGGCTTGCTGCCTCCGCATCCGCCCAGCACAGCAGATATCTAACCAACAACAGCTCCCGTCCATCATTCTCCAACTTCCTCTCATATTTTCACACTACCTTCCCCCATACAACACTTCTTCTCACATTATTCTTCCATTTCCAGAGGCCGATACAACAAAACAACAAAGTAATCCATCACCCAAGAACAGGGGCCACTCCCCATCCCCGCACATCAAACCTCCTCACCCCTCCTCCCCTACCCAGGAAGGAAACCATTAAAATGTCCACCTACGAAGGTACTTCTCATCCCATCTCCATTTCCCCATTCTAACCTCTTTCACCCTTGTAACTAACACCCTTCAGTCGAACACAACACCTCCGACCCCTCCCTCCCCACACAACCCACCCGCCGCCGCCGCCCCGACCTCTCCACCTTCTTCTCGACCCTCTCGCAGATCAGCCCCGATGAAGCGCGCTCCAGACCGCACGCCGTGCCCGTCCCGCGCGACGTCAGCGCAGCCTTCTACTCCCTCGCCGAAGCCCTAGAGATCATGCGCCGGGATTCCGACAGCGGCGGCGGCGTTTCCGCGGGCGGCGGCGACTCCGAGGCCGACGATCTGCTCTCGCAGATGATCCAGACGCTGCTGCAGGAGGCGGATATGCCGCCCAAGGAGGTGGAGGGGGTAAGTGAGGAGTTTTGCGATAGTAAGTGTTTTCCGTTTAGTGTCGACTGTTTGACTGTAGGAGGAGGGGGGGGGTGTTTGTTAATCATTGTTTCTGTCTGGGTTAGTGCTCGACCGCGTGCCCCGGGCATCGCTGAAGGAGAGCCAGACGTGTCCGATCTGCAATAACCCGTTCCTGGAGGATGAGTATCCGCTTGTCGTGCGGCTGCCGTGTCACCCGACGCATCTGTTTGATCTCGAGTGTATCCGGCCGTGGCTGCGGCTACGGGGAACGTGTCCGCTTGACCGGACGGATTTTGCGAAGCAGGAGAGGGAGAAGGCCGAGGCGCGGAGGAAGAAGCCCGTTGAGGATGAGGAGGAGGAGTGGGATGGTATGTATGGATAAGCGTGGTGCTGCGTGAATACGATTGGATGGAGAGGTTGGTGTTTTATTGTTGTGGTTGCATAGCAATTTCCCTTATATACGGGATGGTTCATATTTCGTGACATCCGTACCGAATCTAACATAACACTCTATAAACGATTGTGAGATCTGTCCATGCCTATCTACTTCTTTTCGGACTGTCCCTCCTTGGGCCGAATGGCAAGTTTGCCGGCCCGGTCGATCATGGCCTCAAACCCGCTTCGCTCCAGCATTCCTTTCTCATCCTTGACCACCTCCCGAGCCTCCAGTTCTTCCACCAGTCGTTGATTCTCCCGGTTTCCCTCGAGCAGGAACTTCAAACACATGACAGCGTGTTCTTTGATGTACGGGTTGTGGGCGTCAAAGTTGGTGCATGACAGGATGGTCTCAACCCCGCCGTATCTGCGGATCTGATCCTGGACCTCGGGGCACTTCCAGACCAAAGACGAGAGAACCAGCACAACAAGCTTCTTGAGATTTCTCCACTCAAACTCGGACGGGTCTTCAGTAATGGGTGGTGATTCAGCCCGAGACCCGGCGCTGCCCGCACCGGTATCGACAGCATCCGGGTCACTGGGGTCGTAGGGCCGTTCGACAGCCACAGGACCAGCAGCCGCACCCTGATGGTGGGCATCCCGGGGGGGACTATTGCGGCCAAGCGATAATGAGCTCAATTGGCCCTTGGGAATGCTGGCCTCAAGCTCCTTGATTAGAGTCACGAGGTCGTAGACAATCTCCCATTTGACCAGCAGGTTTTTCCAGTCATTATTCTCCGTAAGCACCGCGAAGAATTCCAGGAATTGATAAACACCCTCATATACTCGTTCCATATCCCACAAGTTCAGCGGGAAATCTTCAGGCAAGGCACGACCCGCTCGGATTTGGCCTTGCAGGTAGATTAGGGCGCAGGTCTCAGGGATGATGTTGCCGCGGAAGATCGTGAAAATATAACGGACAGTGAGAATATCGACGCGAGAAAGGGGCGCCGGGTTCTTCGTGGCGCTCTGTTGCGTCGAGCCTGTGACCGAGGCAGGAGAGTATTTCGCCCGGAAAATGTGAGTCAAAATCTTGACTACTACAGCCTGTGCAGGCGAGATAATATCCTTTGGCTGTCCAAAGTCAGAGTAGGCGTGAGACATCAATCCGTTCTTCAGGACTGCGTCCATAATCTGCACCATCATCTTGAAATAGAGCTCGTCATCAGGAAGATCCCAAGCGGCGATGAAGATCAACAGCTCTCGCAATAGGTTCCGGCCTGTTTCTTGTGTGAGAAGGATATGGCATCTAAGAGCTTGCATATTCCTTGACCCCGTTCTTTCACCACCCTTGAGCCCGAAGCTGTCCACTATACCCGCCTGAATGATCATCGGAAGAGCTTCAATCTCTGCGGGCCCTAGAACAAGGGGTATGTCGGTTAACAAACCGCGCTGCTGATCGCCTGGTCGGCCTCGGTAGTCTTCATCATCCTCGTCGTCTTCCTCCTCCTCCTCTTCCATGCTTCCGTCGGCGACGGCTTCCAAGCTGTGCGAATCGTCGTCACCTACTGTTCCGGCGTCACCGGCATCATAATCTTGGTCCCCATCGCCGGCGATCTGTGACGATTCCTGCAATCGTGCCATCAACTCGTCCTTGGCCTCTTGCAGCGTTTCTGCTGCGGACTGAGCAGACCGGGGCATACTTGTGTCTTCCTCTGTGATCGGCGCATCACCCGCAGCAAGAGCACCATACTCGTTGAGATCCGGAAGATCGGCCCAGCAGATTCGTGGAAATCCAGCCGTCAGACTGCGATCTATTGTCAGAATAGCCTTCTTTCGGGGTGGCTCATCTTCCGGAAGCGCTGGTGGAAGGTCCCTGGCCCTGTCCTGCAGGTCCGACCAGCCATCCACTTTCGCGCCGAGTATAGCAGTTAAGGCGGCTCGGATCTCCTTGACCTGCTCTGGGTCCTTGCCCATTTCCTGAATAGCCGTCAAATCCCGCCCAAGGAGCTTCTCCATGTGATCCTTGATGTTGGCAAGAAGGAGCATGGCCGCTTCTTCTTTGATTGTTGCGGGCTCCCGTGGGAAATTTGAGATGGTCTCGAGTAGCAGATCTTCCGCAGTTTGATCGTAAAGCGCCCTGATAGGGGGGTTAACAATACGTTCCCCAATCTTGACGATTGGTGCCACCCCCTCGGCTTGAGCACTGGCCTGATCGAGTGGCTCTCTCGGTTGGATGATATTGGAATCACCAGTGGAGTGGTATCCGAAGAGGTCTAGCCATAGGACCATCTTCCGTTGCTCATTGTGCATAATGAAGTTGTGTAGGAACTGAAGACAAGTAATTAAAAGCCTCTTGTAAAGATTGACCACTTTTTGCCATCGCTCCTCGTTTCTTGCATTTGTCTCCCCATCAAACCCCCGCGCGGTAACTCTGACACAGGTGTCAACCAAGGCCAATATCCTCTGGTCAAAGCCTTTCTCCGCTGCCATGTTCTGAGCTTTCTTGGTTGTAGCGAGAAGATTGCGAGCAATGGTGCACAGATCGTTCAAGCGCTCAATATCCTTGACGAGCGAGAAGTAGTTGTATGCTATGAGGTTGGAGGAGGAATGCTCGTAATTCGCAGACGGAGGGCTCTTCCATGCGAACGACTGCGACTCGAGGACCGGAATGGCTTTCGTCAGTACATCCGTGAAGCCTTGCCAGATGTCTGGCGACAGGCCCAGATTGTGTCTGTTGGAGATAGAACGTTAGATGTGTTACTGTCAGCCTTTAAGAACAAATAACTCATACCTAACATCACTCTCTTGATGCGTCTTGTATAGTATCTGTTTCCCAGCAGAAAGCATGTGTTCCAGACGTTTATCGTCTATCATCCCACGAGTCTCATAGTGGCTCAAGGTCCCCGTCAGGATAACCTTCAACATGAGCTCAGCTGGTGTGCATTTTGGCTTGGTTTCAGCCGCTGATCGCTCCGCCATACTGACGATATCTCGCCGTTGTCGCGCGAGACAGAATCACTCCAAGAATTTCCTTGGTAGGTGGGCGAATTGATGTCTTCAAATGTTAATAATTATCAGTTCTGGTGGAGAAAACGATAGTGGAAGGAAGTTCTTCCGACTCCGAGAACCATATGTCCCGCCATTACCCTTTTGGGCTAAATTTACTGGTCCAGTCAAGCTCGATCCTACGGAGAGGAATACCTAGGAAACAATAGGAAACAGTTTGGGTTTCGTAAAATATATCCTTAATAAACCGAGGCCCATTGTCGCCCATTAGCGTCGGATGGGAAGATTGAAAGCATCCCGAAGGTTGTCCCCGAACCCCAGATCATAGATATTGTCAATCTCCCTCATGCTGGATACCTGGCGCCATCTCGTGTCGACTAGAGCCTGCGGATCATCTTTCTGGAGGATTGCATTCGAAAGCGAGCAAAACATGAAGCCGTCGCTAGGGGGTTGTCCCTCCTTAATAATGAGTATCTGGTCACTGCTCACTGGCCAGGAGATCTGATCTCGGGTTGGCTCGGACGATGTACCATAAATCTCGCCTCTAGTGGACTTGAATACAACACCATCGGCAACATCTTCTTTCCAATCCGACCATTTCGCACTTTCATTAGTCGTTGTGCCAGCCCAGATGAGATAGGCATGATACACCAGGAAGGCTACCGCCAAGGGTGCTGTCATGGCTGTCAACAGACTGACAGCTCCAACACGAATGTCTGACGTAATAGCTATGGCCCACACATTGAAGAAAGTGGTCCAGCTTTGGTTTCCGCTTCTCAGATGCGAGCTCGATGGTATCAGCTTCTCTAAACTCTGCGACACAAGAGAGTATCCGAGGCATGAGCCATATATCAGAAGAACGGATAAAGATAGCAGCAAGGACAAGAAATAGCGATAGTTATTCAATCCAACACAGTTGGTTAGCCACACGCAATGATGATCATGTCGAGAGACACAAGCTTTGCAGAAACTGCAGTGCTTACTTCGTGCCGGTTTCAGGAAATTGCACGTCCGGCAACGGTGACCCGGATGGAAGTTGACTCGGTCATAGGGGTAGCGAACCATTTCGTCCGCATGGTTTTCTGGGGTGATGTACGACTTTGTGACAACACTCGCATATAGAAAGACGTACGGAAGCAGCACAAGAACGGGAATACATAGTCGATGGATCGTAGATATTCTAGACCATGCACTTGGAATAAACATCCATTCTCCCGCTATGAGAAGTGAAGAGAAGAAGATCTGGAGCGCACGTCAGAAGGTCCCAGGAACAAGATCCGGCAAAGTGTGGTACCCACCAGAACAAGAGGGTGATTTTCGTGCAATATGTAATTACCGGATCGATTCCAGCAGAACAATAATCGGCCACCCAGTAGATATGAGTCCACAGATATCAGCCCATTGGGGATGTGTATACAAATGATCCTATGGAGTAATCCGATAGGAGTTTTCCTGTCCAAGTACATCAATTGTAGCTCAACTAATCAGATTTGTTTGCTCTCACCTAAACGTAGGAAGCCTTCCAAAGAGGGCTATGAAGATAAACAAAGAGATTCCCAGAATCGAGATAGCCAGAGTTCCGAGAATCCCCATGTTCAACCTATATTGACCTTGACTCGGTCTTGTTGTCAGTCATAACACGAATATAAGTAACCGCTTGGCTGCTTGCAGTTTAGTATAGAAATAAAAGCTCGCGATTATCCTATCAACTTCATGATTGTGACTCGCCGTGCACCTGCCGTGGTCAAGAGGATTTCCTACTTGGCAGGAAATCATCCGCCAAGTCATTGTTACTATTCTAGGCACGTGACTCTTCCTCTTCGAAGTCTGGGTAGGATGAGGTGAATGAATGCTTCACTTGAATGTTGAGAACCATTTTTGTGCTGTAACAGGCATTATATCTTGACGCTTTCCCATTGCCCTATATCTCTTTAGATTTTCTATCAATGAGACAGACGGTAGAAGCACTCTCCTGAGCCCCTGGCATTACACATTCAACAAGCGAACACGTGATTACGCGTTGAGAAGGGCGACGCGACGACAACCTGGTGAAAGCAGAAGACTACCAAAGGCTCAGCCCAGGGTATATTCTGAGACGAATGGTCTTGATTGGCTATGACGGGATCCGACGTAGAGGCTGGCGTTGGTGGTGAAAATGGGAATTCTGACTCCCTATTTGAGGGGAAACGGTTCTGGCTATCTCAGAATGTTCCTCAGCGAAGCAGATTTAAAGAGCTGATTGAGGTAATTTCATTTGATCTGACTAGAAGAATCCCAGAGCTTACTATTGAAAGCGGAACGGTGGTGTCATCAAGCTTCAAGAAAAGGATGCAGATGTCAAAATCGTGGATGATACACGAAAAAACCTCCCGTCTGACACGTACGAGCGTCCCCATGTTCAGTTTCTCATGATTCGGGTATACCATGCGCATTCCGACTAATTAATCTCAGATACTCCTTCAAATTTGTGGAAGACTCAATCCGCAATGGGAGACTGGCGGATTTGGAAGCTTACAGGGCTGGACCTTCTGCACCCCGTCCTGTGGGAGCAACACATATCCCCAACAGAGCCCACAAGGTTCCGTATACAATAAGCGATGATCAAATGCTTTTCGATTGGCTGCAGCCTCTTGAGAAGAACCCCCGGGCTGCCGTTTCAGGCAATGTAATCTATAAAGAAATAGCTGAGAAGGTAAAGCCGCTGTCCCTTTGGTTTGAAAACAACACACAGTCTACGAAGTTGTCTGCTTACAGACGCACGTCCATTTCAGCATCCCAGGCATACTTGGCAATCATATCGAGATCGATATCTCAGGAGACTCCGTGGACGGCCTCGTCCGGGTGGTGGCATGACAGCCTCCACGGATCAAAGATCTACTCCACCACAGAGTAATGCCACAAGAACCCCAGTCTCCAGCACGACACCAGCAGTGTCAGAGGACATACACAATGGCAGACCTCCTGTTGCTTCCAGAGAACCAGAAGCCAAGAAGAGAAAGAGAGACCCCGAACCCGATGCACCAGAGCGCACAGAAGCCAACGGCACCTCTGGTCCACCTCCAAAGAGAATAGCACCAGTAACCCTTTCCGAACGCACCCCAGTCACTCAGCATACAGTCCATGAAAGTCCCACTACCAGCGCCTTGCCAGATATCCCTTGGCTACCATCCCCTCCCCCCTTTCGACCGATTGGAGATGAACCAAAACCCAAGGGCAAAGAACAACCATCTCCTGCACAAGCGCAGGTAACACAGCAACCACCAACTGATCAACCAGACAGTATTCCTAGCAATATCCTTCTCGAGCTGCCTTTCTTCCCATCAAGTCCGGAATCTCAAGAGGAGGCTTCCGAGCAAGGAGACATCGATACCTGGATCGAGGACCGTCTTCGAACGGGGAAAGCGGCTAATGAGGAAGAAGTGATTGAAGCGCTACAGTGTACTAGTATGGATCCACGTTTAGCCGATACGGTCCTAGGGTTTCTCCGTGATGGAAGAGGTATTCCGGAGAATATGCCTGGGGTGTGGACGCCCAAGGATGATGAGTGTGTGGAAAAGGGCGACTCTCGTGCCATTGAACAGGTGCTGAAGAAGCATGGCTCGGATTCGTTCAAGGCGCGGTGGGAGTACCTGAGCATGGCCAGGGCAGCAGGTGATACATGAGCATTGAAGCAATGACTTCCAATTTCAAATAGCAACCAGAGCACACCCAATCCCACGTCACAAACTTTTGATGGCTGAGGAAGGATGCCCCTAAAATGACTCTTAGTCAAAAACCGAAAAAAAAAATACTCTTTGCCAATTGATTGTTTCACTTTGCACTTTTGATTTGAAACCGACGTTGCATTGCGAGACCATAAGCCAAGGGAGTATATTTTACAAATCAGAAATACCAGAGCTCGAGGGCCATAAACTCTTGGGGGGGGGAGGGGGAAAGCCTTGATGCACTGCGATGCATCCGCGGTATGTAGCAAAAGAATCCTTGTGGCTATGTCATAGAGCATTCAAAACACAGAAAAGCAAACCCAAACGGCGCCTTGTATATTGATGGCGCAAACCGAAATCACACGTCTTTAAAAACCCTATTGTATTGTCAGAAGCTGAAGATGGTTGTACTTTGGCAGATGGGGAACTTACAGATGTTGTTCATAAAATTGGAGCATCTATATAGCGGTTATCCCACGTTCGTGAGACGTTGATGAGACGTGCATGGGCAGAAAAAGACTTGCCTTCCTTGGACATTTTTCATAGCATGTCTCAATGGAAACCTTGGACGTCTTGTCGTTGGTCCAGTGCAGGAATGCGATCAGGGAGTTTGTCTTGGGATCTCGGATGATGGTATCAACTTTCTTCACGTCGTTCTCCCAGCTCTTCGACTTGGGCACCCAATCGGGTACCTCGCTCTCTTCTGGGGTCTCAGTGCTGGCGGCGGTATCTGGTACTGCTGACCGTCTTCGCCGCTTGGGGGTCTCTTTCTTGTCGGGTGTCGCCTTGGCACCTCCCATGGACTTTCGCTTTCGGACTGCGGCTGGCCTCTCGGGTCGGCCTCCTTGGGAGCTATAATATTCCTCGAGAACTTCCTTTGCGCCCTCCCTAGTGGTTAAGTCAGCACCAGGTTCGTGCTACGGGTAGTAGCATGATATCATCATACAGAAGGTTTTCTTCCGGTTCAAGAGTCTGATCTGCTGGATCCTCGTAGTCGCGCCACTTCACCTGAAGTAGGAGTTTGCCCTAATGCCGAGGTTAGTGCAAACCATCGCGCTGGTGCGGTGAAACAAGGACGGTGTTGAGATATCCGAATGACATACGTCCTTTGCGAACTCGTGACCCATAATCTTCTCAACAACGTAGCTGCCGCCCATCAGCGGTGTGCGACGACTGAATTGTCCAGAGCACTCACAGTCCTTCATCAGTCTCGTTCTCATTCTTATTCTCTTTCTCTTTGTCTTTCTCATCTTCCTCCTTCGCATCTTCCTCCTTCGCATCTTCCTCCTTCTCATCGCCAGCGGCATCCATCTGATGATCGGCGTCGTTGTAAGGAATGGACTCGCCGGTGGACTCGCCGTCCGAAAGATCTTCCACCGGAGCTACCAGACAAGGTCAGTCCGACATAACGGGTGATAGCGCATAAGTCGGAAGGTTCACTCACGAGGCATTGTCCTGAAGGGATTGGCAAGGTTGAGCAGTGAGGAGAACGTTTTGGCGATGGTGGGTGATCCCAAACCCAGCGACAGATTCGAATACCGGCACTGGTGAGAGATGATAAGACGTTGGATATGGTGTATCGGGGACGACGATAGTGATACCCTTTGGGCCCTCTTGCGAAATGCCCAGGTCGCGCAAGAAAGCGCGTGGAGGCGTTCAAACACGCTATACCCGATATGGAAAGCAGCTCACTAGCCCAACTGGGAACATCTCCAGAAATTCTAAAAGTGCCCTTGTCAGTGAACATCGGCTGTGTCCAGATTGCTCAACTCTCTCCGCCTGGTTCTACATTTGTAAAGGGGGCTCTGCTTGGTCTTGCTCACTTTGCTGTAATAGACCTTTTGTTTAACCCTTGAGTCTAACTACCCTGCCCAGTGGCAGACCGTCAAGATGGCGATGCGTATGTTCTTCAATACCCCTCACCACCGTTCGCCGTACTGACTGTCTCCGGCTTCCTTGATCTAGAGCTTGATTTGTCCCAAGGTTGACCTCACCTCTGCTACGACATCTCCGATCCTCCATCGCTGACAACCGCAATAGCTTCCGTGTTGAAGGATGAACAGGGCCGCCCGTTCATCGTTGTTCGAGAGTATGTTAGGAGAAGCCATCAATCCCTTATCATTACACCTTGCGGAATGTGGGATTCGTTTGGCATACAGGCACTAATTCAACAACTCCACATACAGCCAGGGAAAGAAGAAAAGACAGCACGGCACCGATGCCGTTAAAGCACACATCGTCGCCGCCAAGACTGTGGCTAACATCGTGAAGACCTCTCTGGTATGGTCAGGAGATTCTACTGTCTGGACGAGCATCTAAGAAGTAATTTAGGGTCCTCGCGGTCTCGACAAGATTCTGATCTCTCCCGATGGTGATATCACGGTGACCAATGATGGCGCAACTATCCTGGGCCAGGTCCGTCCCCGAACTGACGTCCCCGGTTATCAATCCGAATTCATGACTGACTCGTGGGAACCCGAAGATGGAAATTACAAACAACGTTGCCAAACTTCTGGTCGAGCTCTCGAAATCTCAAGATGAGGAAATTGGCGATGGAACCACAGGTGTTGTCGTCCTGGCGGCGGCTATGCTCGAACAGGCGGCCGAGTTGATCGACAAGGGAATCCACCCCATTCGCATTGCAGACGGCTACGATCAAGCGTGCGAAATTGCCATTGCTCAGCTGGACAAGATCAGCGACGAGATTCCGTTCACCAAAGACAACACCGAAAACCTGCTCAAGGTTGCGAAGACCAGTCTGGGTAGCAAAATGTACCGGAACTCTACAAAGCCTAGTTTTCCCCCTCGGTCACCTCAAGATTTCTGATTATATGTTTTAGTGTTTCGAAATCCCATGATCAATTCGCCAAGATCGCCGTTGATGCGGTACTCTCGGTCGCTGATCTCGAGCGAAAGGATGTCGACTTCGAACTGATCAAGGTTGACGGAAAGGTTGGAGGAGCTCTGGAGGACTCCGTGCTCGTGAAAGGTGTAATCGTCGACAAAGATTTCTCCCACCCACAGATGCCCGACGAGGTCACAGACGCGAAGCTGGCCATTCTGACCTGCCCGTTTGAGCCCCCAAAGCCGAAGACCAAGCACAAGCTCGACATCACATCCGTCGAAGAATTCCAGAAGCTGCAGAACTACGAGAGGGAGAAGTTTACAGAGATGATCCAGCACTTGAAAGACTCGGGTGCCAACCTGGTCATCTGCCAATGGGGTTTTGATGACGAGGCCAACCATCTTCTGCTCCAGAACAAGCTGCCCGCTGTCCGGTGGGTTGGTGGTCCTGAGATCGAGCTGATTGCCATTGCTACCAACGGCCGCATTGTTCCCCGTTTTGAGGACCTGAGCCCAGAGAAGCTGGGTACGGCGGGTCGCGTGCGGGAGATGACATTCGGTACCACACGGGAGAAGATGCTTGTGATTGAAGAGTGCGCCAACAGCCGGGCGGTGACGATCTTCGTGCGAGGAAGCAACAAGATGGTCAGTTATTTCTCCCCCCCCCCTTCTTTTGTTGTCTGAAGAGACCATTTTTGGCGATAGCTGACTGGCTGTTAGATCATCGACGAAGCTAAGCGTTCGCTACACGATGCCATCTGCGTCGTCCGCAATCTGGTGAAGGACAATCGGGTTGTGTACGGGGGTGGTGCGGCCGAAATCGCTTGCTCTCTTGCTGTGGAGGATGCAGCTGTGAAGGTAACAATCAAGGGTTTATTATCCACGAGTTGAAACTAATGTGGTTTTTTTTTTTCCTTTCTTCTTCAGAGCCCCGGCATTGAACAATACGCCATGCGTGCCTTTGCCGATGCGCTGGATGCCATTCCCCTGGCATTGGCGGAGAACTCTGGTCTGAGCCCGATCGAGACGCTTGCCGCGGTCAAGTCGCGCCAGGCTCGGGAGAAGAACTCACGGCTGGGTGTTGACTGCATGCTGACGGGCAACAACGGTATGTGCTGCGCTTGTTGGGTTTGGTACTGAGGTTTGATGCTTACGTATGGTTTCTAGATATGAAAGAGCACTTTGCTATTGATCCTTTGATCGGTAAGCGCCAGCAGCTTCTGCTCGCTACCCAGCTTTGCCGCATGGTTCTCAAGGTATGACCTCTTCTATTTCAGTGTGCTCGAGTTTCGGGAGGAAACTGACCTGGACAGATCAACAACGTGATTATTTCGGGTGATGATAGCCAGGACTTTTAGAATTCTCTATACAAAATCTGCTCGATGTCCGCGAAGGGGTGAAAACTTGTCGGTTTTTCCACGGGACGGTTAATATAGGATGCTTCTCGAAAATGTCAAGCTGATGATATAATGAACCTTTTTTTGAGTCTCTCTTCGCCGGTATGATATTGTCCAGCCTCGCTTCGTCGGATGGAAACTGGAGTGAATCCGTCTGCCTTGTGGCCCAAGACTCTCAATCACTAGTCTCTCGCTAGACCAGCAACGGCCGATTTATCTCAACCTTAAGTCGTAAGCTTGATCTAATCCCTTGCTCTGTGTGTAGTGTAGTGTGTAGTAAAGGTTGTGACTTTGAGTCTGTGACCCTTCATGCTACGGTTCCGCATGGAAAGATGTCATGATTGTCATGGACCAGGGTGTCGATCAATAGTCAGAATGGGGAAGTGATGTGGTGGCGCATAGTCAGTTTGTCGACGGGTGCGGATGTATTAATAGTATGGAGGAGAAGGTAGACTTCCCGCCGAGGAAGCGCGCACGCGGGGGGGGAAAGGCAAAAGAGCAACACTTCAACAAAAGATCTGGGGAACGTCAAGCTTCAAGCTGCGATAGGCTGTCGCGTCTCCTGATCCCGCAAATAACTATCCAACAAGTAACAAGAGATTTGCCTCCAACCAACCAACAAGAGCAGGAAGGAGAGATCATCCAACTCTCTCTCAATCCCTAATCGAAATTGAGCATCTGACATAGGATTCATATCAGCCCGCATTATTGGACAACGCACGTTGGGATGTTTTCCAGTATGCGTTTCCTGACTCCTGAGTCTTCTCAGTCCGAGTTTAGTCTCTTCCAATCTCCTTCCGCTGGATAAAATGAAACGCCTTGTCTTGATCATTGGTACGAGACAATAGACGAGATAGTCTACAGAGTACAGTACGCTTGTTCCGTGGTGGAGTGGAGTGAGCTGAAGCCCGTCTCCATTGGATGGCTATCATACTCATGGTTGAGGAGATGCAATTTACCCCCGTCAAATCCATAAGGTACCACGCCGAGTTGGGGAATTGGCAAGACACGCGTACTTGGGTCTTGGGGACTTTGACTGGCTCCGAGTTGTATGGACGACGGCGGGTTAAAGCCGAGTAGTCTAGAGCCTAGGTATCTTGGCCTTTGTATATCTAGAATAGCTGGTAGATAGAGTAGGGGTTTATGTCCACCACGCTTGGTATCTACCTAAGGCTCTCGTACTGTTCGGATTCTTTGAAATTTTTTTTTTCATCCTCCTTGCACCATACATCTCTCGATATTCTATCTACATACACAGCGTTGTGATGTCTCTGTGATTCTCAATATCTCCTCTGGGCAATTCCGAGGCCGCACCGGACGAATCAGCGCTGGCGATCACGACATTTCTCCATTCTATCAGATCATCGACTAGTAGTCGACCTAGTCGAGGGCCCCCCAGCAGGTTCAAGATGATCACCAAACCGCATCAGCTTCATCCTCTGGCGAATTTCTGGGAAATCTGGATTCCTGTGCACTTGTGTTTGTTTGATTTTAATCATCCCATCGTGTGTCGTCCGTGGAATAATAGCGAGCTAACCTCCTTATTCAGTGCTAACTAATCACTTCTAAAGTACTATCTACTCTAAAGTCCACCTCACCCCTTCTGCATCACTCCCAACTGCACGCCTACGACTGGCTCACTGTTGTCTGACTCTTGTCTCTCTAAGTCTCTCCTCATCTTCATCCCCATCGGCGTCATCGTCATCTTCCCTCCACCCATCAATCCTCCTCCTTCTCCTCTCTCTCTCTCCCCCCCAGTATTCGTGGCGCATCCCTCCCGCGATATGCGAAGTCATTGAAAGCATCCGACAGGCTATGCAAGACGTGATTGCTCAATAAATACACTTACCGTATCCTTCTTTCTACCTTCCATCGTCCATTCCCCATGGTTTTTTTGATTTTTTTTCATTCGTTGGCTCCCTGACTCTATTTTCCGAGCCTTTCCCTCTTCAGTTCATCACGACTCTCAAAAAGGTCTCCTCGGAGGTCACACTTGGAAATTCTCTCTGGGTAGATTATATCTGTCTTGATCGAATCTGCTCCTCTTGTCTCTGGCTGTACAAGAAGTGGATGACATAGGAAACCCTTTTTTTAGGACAAAAATTTAGGAGAAAGAAAAAAAAAAAAAAAAACGAAAAGAAATAAAGGATCAAAAGGCTGCATCTTGGTCCCCAATTTTCCAGACCCCCAAGATGTCTGACGAGTTGCAGCAACAGAACCTGGCTCGTCAGGTGGCTGCATCCAACGTCGAGAGACTGGAGAATTTCAACTTCTTGCTTTCTCGACACGATCCCGCCGTCACCAAATCGCGACAGTATTCTTTTGATGCTGATTCCACGACCCTGGCATCCTTCCAGAATCTGAACATGGAATACGATCAGACTGAAGGGATGGGTGGTCTCTCTGTCAGCTCCTATGATAGCATCGACGATGACCGCAGTCCCATCGATGTGAGAGGGTACCCATATCATGGTATGTGTGAGCCTTTTTGTACTTTCCACCACCTCCCTCCTTCTACCTATCACTGTATCTTATCACCACCTTTCCTGTCTGGTACGGATGAGCCTGAAAGTTGCATTGGTTGCGCCATCGCCTTGTGCGCTGGTCGGATCTCCGATGTGATGATTTGCTAGTCAGAGCGGGATTCCGCAGGCCCACAGCTCGAGCTCATGGTTCTCTGGGGGGGAAAAAAAAAAAAGAAGCTTCGTTTTCCTGAACAGTTCTTCTGCTTTGTCTGCAAGTTTTTTGTTTTTGTTTTTTCTGCCTTCTCAGTGGGCCGAGCAGTGGCTGCGCCTCGCGCTGGGAGGTGAGGATCAAGTCTTGCACTCACGCGCGCATGGCTGGTCGAAGAGCCATTGGGGCTCTCGAGCTGTGATATTGGCCCCTGGGTTTGCTTACATTCCTCTCCTTTTTCCCTCTGCTGGAGGATTGATCCCTCATCCTTGTGTCCTCCTCAACCCCAATTGTCTCATCGACCCCGTTTCTCTCGAGATGGCCGCTCTGCTGGATGCTACTCGACGATGATCACGCAATCGCTTGCGCTAATGACACCGTCCGAACCCCAATCCCTGATGCTCACTTATTCGCGCTCTGTCCTCTGTGTTGTGCCCATGTGCCTCTATCTTGTGTATACCACCCGTCGATCTCTGATCCTCGGGGTCCCGAGATCTTAATCTGCATGTCTTTCGCTCATGCTATGATAATATTTCACCCACCGTGATCATGTTCGGTTCTTCTTTTCTTTCTTCCTCTTCTTCCTCCTCTCGCCGTGACCTGCACAGTTAAGCTCTTCTGTTTTTCATCTTCCCTGCGTTGCAATCTTACTTGCTATTGTTCTACTTCATACTCTGCCCCAATTTGCTCCCCCAAACTTACATAGCCTACGCACAGGGGACAAGTCCATCAACTACTCGCTACCGGACCAGATGCTCTCCTATCCAGCCCACCCGATCTACCCGCCCATCTCATACGGTGCCGATGAGTTCAGCCACCCGCCGGGCGCCATGACGCCCTCGGACGTCTCGTCATCCATCTCGCCACCCAACGGCCAGGTCGGCAACACCAAGTACAGCACGCCCATCGCTGGCGACTCGATCGCGTCCGCGCTGGGTCAGGAAGAGGATCTGCGGCGCGCGGCCGAGGAGGACCGCCGCCGGCGCAACACAGCCGCCAGCGCCCGCTTCCGCATGAAGAAGAAGCAGCGCGAGCAGGTCCTCGAGCGCACCGTCCGCGAAACCACCGAGAAGAACGCCACGCTCGAGGCCCGCGTCGCCCAGCTCGAGATGGAGAACCGCTGGCTGAAGAACCTGCTGACAGAGAAACATGACACTTCATCGACGCGTATGGCCCCGCCGGCTGCCGCTGGCAGCGAGGGCTCGTCCGCCCTGACCCAGAAAAAGGGGAATGGGGTCACAGGCAGCGGGCAAAAACATATCCAGCCAAAAAAGAAGGGCGTGGGGACCGAGCACTAGCCTTCAAACAAACAAAGTTATAGTGTGGTTTTTTATTTTCTTCTCTTTTTTTTTATTTTTTTTTTCTTCGTTTCTCATTCTCATCATCTTATCTATCTTTTGGATCTGTTGGGTACACCGCGTTCATATTCTATATTTCTTTATTTCTCTCCTCTCCTCTCCATCAAGACGCAGACTCGAAGACAAGGAGCTGGAATCAACCTCAACATGACGATGTGACGAACCTCTACGCTTATCATCTTTGCATGTGTGTGCGTGTGCTGTCTACATCTCTCTCTCACACAGTGGAAATCTTTTTTTTTTTGGTTCATGGCGTATACCTCGGGTGTTTATCTGCGCGTTGGAATGATTTGAATTTCGGGCAAGATTGGGAAAGCAAAGGAAAGGGAGAGCAGGTCTATTCCCCGTTTCTGGTGGAGCTGGAGCTGGAGCTGTGCGCCGGGTCGTATCTATCATATCATATCATATCATATCATTTTATACTATATATCGTACTACAAGTGAATGGATGGATGGATGGATATCACGTACATTATATCATGTCCTGGGTTCGTGTTGTATAATACGGGGTAGTGCTCCGTACCAGTTGAGACAGTAGATACCTAAGTTATATATCTCCGCCTCTAGCAATCATTTCCCCAGGAACTATGAACCATCCACACTACACACACACACACACACGAAGATCTCAAGGACTATATTTCATTTAATAAATAGGATAGTATTACATTGCGCGTAGCCCTCCTGCCACATCTCCGTCCTGACGCAACACAGACGATCCATCCCCTGGCTTGTATGTAACATACATGGGCCAGGGGTAGAAAAAGCGCCTGGACGGCACTCAATACCTTCTGACGGAAGTGGACAGGGATTAAAGTATTAATAGGGTAGGTAACCATTGACCGGTTGTAGGTAGGAGGCAAAAGGACGGAAACTTTCAACGATCAAGAGGGAGAAACAAAAAAAAAAAAAACAAAGCGGACACCAAGCGAATTGCGAACAGGAGTATATGGAAAAGGAACGAAACAGAGACGAAACCAGCCAGGGTAGTATACTACAGGGACATTGGAAGTAGAGGTGAGTGAACAGACGCCTTTTCCTTTTTCATTTCATTTCATTTTTTTTTCCTTTTCATTTTTTGTGGGAGAGTTTTGGAAATCGGCAATGCTTTATGGATTTCACCTCTTAGACAGACACAGGCTCTCTAGTCTCTTCTCGACCCCGGGTCTCGCCGTCCACGGTGCTGGCGATTTCCTCGCCATCTTCATCGTGCTGGTAATTGGGGTGCTGGCCGGCGGGCACCCAGGAGTCCCGGTCCCGGTTCATGGGCTGGTCCTGCTCGGACAGATCGACGCCCTCGCGGCTCTTGGCAGCGGTTTCGCGGGCGCGCTGGGACAGCGAGCGGGACCGGGTAGAGAGGCTAGGCTTGACGGCCGCCTTGGACTGGACCCAGTTGGTCAGCGCCTCCTCGCAGTCCTGGATGATCGCCTTGCTGGCGTCGTAACCGTCGTACGCCTGACGGGTCTCGCCGGGCGTCACGGGGGTGTCGTCGACCAGGTCCAGCAGGTGCTTGCCGTAGCCGGCGATGATGGCGACCTTTTCGCAGTGCTCGCGCAGCGCATCGAACTGATACTGGAAGGCTGCCTTGAGCTTCTCCCGAGTGATGTTGGAAAGCTGGGCTTCCGCAACCAGAGACTCTGCCTCGGCGCGGACCAGCTCCTGTTCCAGGACCACAATGCGGGGGGAGCTGGGGTCCTTGTACTTGAGCTTGGCAATCTCATCAGTGATCTTCTGCTTGCCTGTTGGGACGTCAATATCTTGCCTCAAAAAAATTTGATGACATCGATTGAAAAAAAAAAGAACTTACGGTCTCGGCTGGGCTGGACCGACGCTTCGATGTTCCGAATGCTCTTGATCGTCACTCGGTACTGATCGTAGCGGTCGACAAACAGATCCTCGAGCTCTCCAATCTCGTAGAGCAGAACTCCCAGCTTATCGGTGACATCTGAGACATCCTCGTCGCAGTTCTCACCCCAGATGGAGAGTTGTTGCTAGAATGCACATCAGCATGAGACCACAGTGTTAGAAATAGTAATAAGAAGAAGACATACCGCAGCCTCCATGCGCTCTCTAGCGACCAGTTCCATACTGCGCATGACATTCTTCTCCATCTTGACGAGCTGCGACAGCTTCTTGGCGAGATCGGGGCCAAAGGCACCCGCCGCATTCTTGCGGAAGGCATGGCCTGGATGTCCAACAAGCATTTAGTCTTCAAAGTCGCCGTGCTCACAAGCTCTTGTCGCACTATACAGGGAACCACTCACCGATTCCACCTTTCCCTAGCCATCTGTTGGATTTGGTGGATGACAATGGCGGCGGGGGATTCTCAATCTGCGAGGCAGTGGGAACGCGCGACTGGCGCATAGAGTATGTGCGATGCATGGTTGATGATGCGTGATGACAGCCAGGGAACGAAGAGATAAAAAAAAAAAACAGTACAACAGAAGAGAGGATATTCAGAGAAAAGAAGGGGTGGGAAAAGAGTCAAGAGAAGAGACTTTTTTTTTTTGGTTTCTTTCCTCGTTTCCTGTCGAAGAGAAAAGTGCGGTTCAGTGTTCAAAAAGCACCTTTTCTTTTGCGCACGAATGACGTGGTTTGCGGCCGCAACGGGATGCAACGGAAAGGAAAGACGAGTCACCGTGCGAAGGAAACAGACTCTGAACAACCGGATCGAGACCAGAGTGGGTGACGAAAGGGACGGAGAGTTTGGTACTCTCTGTGCTGTGGGAGACTTGGGGAGTCGGGAGACAAATCAATGTAGGGAAGAGGTGGTATTTGCCGGGTGGTTTCCTCTTGTCTGGTCTTATCTCGATATGGGTTCTTCTGATTCCTCTAGGGAGATTAAGGTAGATCGAGCGATCGGCAGTAAATTAATTAAAGAGGAACCTGTTCGTTCATCGTTGGGTGGGAATTGGGAAGAGAAGAATGATAGTTAGTGGTAGTAGTTAGTAGACTACAAGTCACAAGTGAAGCTGCAACCACTGGCCGATCATGAGTGACGTCCACCATGGGGGAGGCACGAGGGGCACTAAGCCCGATTCGGCGGTGTCTGTCTCCTCTCGACGGAGGACTACTATTAATACTATTAATATACTATTACTATACTACGACGCTGTCCACCAGCAATGACGACTCGATTTCTGGTTCAGAAGGAAATGGACAAATCATAGTGAGATTAGCTCCTTTACTGAGTCCCAAAGCAAATTCTTCACCATCTCATTGCGACTCTGCATCTGCTACTGTGCACTGTATAGCTACCACAGCTACCACAGCTACCACAGCTACTACACTCCTACAGCAATCATGCTTCCTCCGACGTCATCGAGGGGAGAGCTAACTGCTGATGTCATCGATTACTGAGCATTCAGCAAAGAAAAGAAGTCAAAGAAGGAAAAAAATCAGATCCTGCGACGCAACCATGTCATGATCATTCTCACTCTTCGGTATTATTATTATTATTATTATTATTATTATTGAAAAGCAACAGCAGCATCTGGTCCAAGGGACAGCAAAATCTGAGAGACTGGGTTGTTCCTGTCGTATGCAGGGAAATGAGGATCGTACAGGTACTCCGTAGGGAGCTCGCTACCATCCACCAGGACAAACCCCTGTATAGGTAGAACGCCGATTTCTTCCAGTAATTCTAGTAACCTATAAAGTCCCCAATTACTTCTGATACTTAACTCTCCAACAAACAGGGCTCAGCATAGAATTAGTATATAGATCTTTTAAAGTCATAAGGGTGGTATTAGGCCCACCTCAAGTCATTGATAGGCCCGGAATCTAATTATCCAATTCTTCTATAATACAACCTCTGTCTAATACATGACGACTGATCCTGCCCCCGAAAAGTCCACAAAGGCCTGTCTCTTAACTGTTCATCCGCCGTCGTGTCTTTCGTTTCTTCGTCGTCATCTCGTCACTCCCGCCCTCGGTTACATTCCGATCTTGAGTATGGGTCCCCCTTTTCGTTCCCTTGGTCTTCCCTCGGGCTTCCTTCGATCTTTGTTCGTCCGTAGAGCCATCCTGGCCGCCATCCGGTTCAACTCCCGCCTGTTGGCGAAGACGACCGAACGCTTTTTCCATTCGACTGGGTCCGCCCGAACGGACACGAGGCGCAAACGCGCCAGCGCCCTGAGGTCCAGTGAAGAAGCTGGTGATATTGGCCTGTGTGCCCTCCTGCTCTCGGCGGTTCATGTCACGAATCACCGGGACCAGAATCTCGTCCGTCCGTTCCTGGCTCCAGCCGATCGTGGTCATCAAGAAATCCCGGAGGCCATGGAGGTCCGGCACGCCCCATTGAAAAGGGGAAGGATCGGAATCGACCTCGGGCTCCAGATAGGCCGTGTCCACCCGGGCATCGGGGAAGGAAGGAGGTAAGAAAATCTTGGTCGCCGTCTTGCGGAACTTCTTGTAAAAGGCGGCATGCTGGTCGTTGGGGATGCTCATCCCCGTTTGGATCTGAGTCCACCAGTCGCGAAACTCCTCCAGGCTGGAGAATTCGGTGAGGATCTCCAGCGCCGTCACTGGTCCGATGCCAGAGATGCCTTCTGTGTAGTCGCTGCCGAGTAGATGGGCGAAGCTGATGAGCTTTCGCCGCTGTAGAGCATACTCCTTCTCCATGTCGGACGTGAGATAGCACTCTACGTACTTGCTCTGGTTGAACATGTTCTTGTAGACGCGCGTCCCACCAAACAAAAAAATATCGCTGTCATCAGTGATAATCCCATCGACAAGGCCCAGTGAGACCAGCTCAGCGCATTGCGCCTCGGCCTCCATCGGCGCCGTAACATACGGCAGGCCAAACAGCCTCAGCAGCTGCTGGCACTCGGTGATCATCACCTGCGTGACCTCATCCGCATCTCTGCGGTCTTTCTTTTGTTGAGACCGGAGCTGCTGGAGCTCCTGCTCATAGTCGAATGCGTTTTCGGCTTGCGAGCCAGTGTTGAGCGTCGCCGCAAAACGAACATGTTCCTCGCCTTCAGCCGCCAGCTGCCGCATCAACTCCTCGTCTTCCGGGTCTGAAAACTCCCCGGCGTCGTCCGCCAATACTCCTACCTGGTCCGTCCTAGGAGTATCCGGTCGTTCAGGTCCGGTAACAGTAATTTCTGCCATTCGTGCTTCAGGCTGTATAGTAACATCCTCAAACTCGGGCTCGGGCGATGGTGTGACATGCGTGTGCGTGATTTCCTCGTGAGCTTTCGACAGAGAACGTTCATCATCTGAAGCCTCCCATTCATATGGCACTTCCTCTGCTGCCGTGTCCTTGTCAACTACTGTCGGTAGCTCAACATTATTTGATTGACGGGTAGGAGGCGTCACGACACCATCCAGCTTAGCGGTATCCGATATCAAAGTCTGAGTACTCTTCTGATCCTCCTCGGGCTCGGCTTCTAAATCGATGACCTCGTTCGGTTCGGGGATTTGATCCACATCTATGACATCTGGAGATCGAGATCCTTTTAGAAATTGATGACCCGGAGTCATGACTCTGTCCCGGTAAGCTTCCAGTGAAGTGTTGTCAAGTTTGTCAGCAACAAACTCCTCATTGGATTGACCCCCCGAAAACCACGGCGGTAGCGGCAAGCTCTCTTTCTTCTTCTTCTCCTTCTCTTGTTGTTGCTGCGGCACAGGTTCTTTCTCAAACCCGCCGGCATCATCATCCAATTCCTCATGAGCCGGCTTCTGCACCTTTGATGGATTCAACTTGATAGATTCAAAAGGGAGAGGGCCTTCGAAGGGATGGTCGATGACAGGCCGAGGAGCTAAGGTAGATGGCCCCTTCTCAGTCCTGCGAGACTGTGCCAGGGCAGCAGCAAAATCCATCTCGTCATCCTCGCTTTCTGCGAAATCGGGCGACGCGTCCTTTGGCAGTGAAGCTGGGGGAACGTTACGATTGATTGCAATGTCGGACATGTCTTTGTCGTGTTCGGCATAACGACCCGAGGGCTCCAGAGACATTGCAATCGCCCTCTGAAGATCCTCATCGTCGCTTTCATCCATATGCAAGGCTCCAGTGTCATTGCGATGCTGAAGGGCCCGTATAATCGCCGAATCGCCGCCTGGAACGAAGAGAGCATCATCTTCAGCCTCTTGAAACAAAGAATCCCGTCTTTCGGCATCAGGCCTCCGTCTTTCGATTTCTGCATCAAATACGCCTTCTTGTGGGAATGGAAGCTTGGGTAACCGATTGAGCCCTTCGATAGGGACATCCTCGAATCCGCCATCATCTCCATCGGAAACTTCTTCGTGGTCATAGATAACTTCCTGCTGACCATATTGATCCACATCGATCGGCTTATCAGCGCGGCCTTCACCTTTATTTCCCACAACACCAAGCACCCAGCCACCTTCAACCGCACTGTCTTGGACAAGAACATACTCCTTCCCACGTTCTCCGGCGATTCTCTGTCCGGAATTGTAAAAAGCCTCTTCACCATTCATACCGTTGAGATTCATCAACCGCTGGGTCAGATCGTTCCGTTCCTTAACACGCTCAATCTGAAACCTTGAGAAAGCCATGCGGTCAGGAAACATATTGTCCAACTGCTGCTTGGAGTAGCCCATTCGCAGACGACTCCTAAGCCTGGCGGCATTCAAGATGTTATACCGATCTGTAGCAGGAAGACTTATGAAGAAGGGGCTATCAAAGTCGATCTTGGAGAAGTCGTAGAGATTGATATCCTCCCCCTGATGAAAGTGCCTCGCATAATCCTCTAGCTCTTCGCGAGACATGATGCGCGGATCATTCGGCGCTCCCATCTCCGCAAGAGATACTTGCAAATCTGGAAGGTGATAGGCATCTTTTTTTCGGAACGTCCGACCCTGTCGTTTCTCCTTCTCCGTTAAAAAGGTCTCCTCGACATAAACCGGATTATCCGGGACTTCCTCCTCTTCCCGGCGAGAAACTGCATTCTTCCGCCGCGCTGCTTCCTCTTCTGCAGACCGCTGCATTTGCACCGCAAGCAGCTTTCCAGCCGTTCTCACCGCATCTTCTCTGCGACCTTCTCGTCGCTTCCTTCTCCCAGCAATTGTCTCTCGCTTCAGTACAGGCGCGCCACCATCAAACACAAACACCGGCTTGATTCCAAAGTAGAGCAGCTTGCATATTCGGCGGAAGAAGCCAACAACGTGAGAATTACGTAGTGCATTGCCCTCCTTGTCTCGCACCGCTTTCAGAAACTGGTAGATCCAGATCGATGCATCGACAGCCAAGCGCTTCTTATTCAGAGTCTCAAGCTTGATAGGTCGTGCACAAGGCTGGACGACCGTCCATAAACCAGTAACACCCATGCTGATGCGAGGGGGGAAGTGGTTCGACTATCATGCACCGTATGCCGCAGAAAAAATAATCGCTCACATGGCTGATGCTAAAGTTACTCAAGCTCAGCCAGTGATGTGTGCAGAAGGGCCAGTCGAGAGGCTTAAAGACATCGCAAATAAATGAGAAAATTGCTGCTCGTCTGACGCATGCCTCCGCGTCGCCACTTGATGGAACACGAGGATCGCGATATCACGTGGGCAATTAGCACAGTTTGGGGATAGCTTTATCGATAAGCATGCATATTACATAATCATGCCACCAGCGATAAGAAAATGTTGGAATTTTTGAGTGATTCGAATCTCCCCCGCGGGGGAAAAGCGAGTGATAGAAGCATTGATCGTTGACTGGCCAATGTCTTCTTGTACCTGCATCAATGCATTCATCGCTAGAGGTTAGTGTCAATCTGTCTTGCTGGAACGTATCGGGCTGACCGAGTAAACAGCACATTGATGCTTGCCTCCCCGTAATTGCACTTAAAGCGCTGGTGCTGAGGGATACCAGGCTTCTTATTCAAGGTCGAGGCCCTTACTGTCAAGTAATCGACGAGCAAAATGGAAAGCTTCTGGCAGAGTTGAAAGTCTTTAGAAGAAATAACATCCATGGATTTATACTCCTCAGCCAAAACCAGCGTGACCTGGGGTCCGCCTCTAGTCGGCTTGTGGTGTGGGGTGGAAGCTCTTTGAGAGTCATTGATCTGTCTCTTGATAGCAGTGATGCTTCCGAAAGCAACAAGGCTTCTCTTCGAGCTGTCACTGCGGAGTATCTGGCTCCGGATTGGATCCTGGCCGGATGCGCGCCTGAGTCTGGTAACAAGGCTGAGCGAGCTTTCGTGGTCACTGCCCATAATGCGATCCTTGGTCTGCATGTGGTGGAGAATGTAGACTCCAAATATGCTCACGCCGTTCACGTACAGCAACTGGTTTCCGGTGTCAAGTCGATTCTCTATTCCGCCGATGCCATCTCGTTATCGTCATCTCGCGTTTTGATTGCTGCCGGGACCGTCTTTGGCGAAATTATAGTCTGGTCCTGTTTTATAGACGAAAATGAAAGCAATCCCTTGAAGCTTAACGCAGCCGGCTCTATCCATCATTTCTTCACCGGCCATGAAGGTTCAATATTCGGAGTTCGGATCTCACCACTTCTCAACTCGTTACCGGGGCATCGATCTGGACGCCTCCTGGCTAGCTGTAGTGATGATAGAACAATCAGAGTATGGGACATCTCCGACTGCGAAAAGATTTCCCGCCACGATCGTTCTGCCTATTCCACGGATGGATTTGAGCTTCGAACAACTGGATTCGGCTCAGTGGCAGCGACTGGCGATGAATCCGGTCCAGAATCGTGCGTCGCAAAAGCCTTTGGCCATGCGGCACGTATCTGGGGGGTTCATTTTGTGCCCACAGCTACACAGGACCAGACCAATTTGACTATCGTGTCTCGTGGTGAGGATGCTACCTGTATCCTGTGGGATCTCAGCTGGGGAGCATCGTGTTCGCCAAAGGCCGAGTTCAAATTGACTCAAATCTCATCCTCTCATCTACACACCGGCAAGCACCTTTGGTCTCTGGATATGAACAGTACCGGGTCACAGACGACCATCTACACTGGCGGTGCCGACGGCGCTGTCAGATGTTTCACGATAGATGTAAATGAGAACGCATCGATATCGTTACCGAACAGAGATAACCGCATTGTGACCTCAAGCGATACTCAGAACATAGTCTCCACTAGGGACAAGTCATTCAAGGCTTTTGCCTTCGTCTCATCTGATCATTTTGTTGCAACTACCTTTCAAGGCGAAGTTCAACTTGGTTCGGTACAATCTCGAACCGATGCAGGACGTCTTATCTTCAAGGAAACTCTATTCGTTGAAGAGGACCTTCGTGCTTTCTCGGTCATTGGCAGCCTGCCACAGAAGGGGTTGGCACTGATTGCCAATGCACTTGGTCTGGTTCGGCTCTATAATCATGGCACTAAGTCTTTGGACAAAGTCGCACAAGCGGATGGTAGACCGCTGAGAATATTTCCTCTCCAGTATGATGTGGATGCACAACGTGACGCTACAACTCTTTCCTTCGTTACATCCTATGCGACACTGAGGAAAGCGGATCTCTTCTGCATCGGGAAATCGAGCACTGCTGAGCCTCATTTTACGAAGACGGAGTTGACTTTACCCCATGGCATGGAAGTATCCTGCGCCTCCTGGATTGATCACCAGTATCTGGCTTTAGGAATCAAGAGTGGTGCCCTCCTGGTGTATAAGGTTGCAGAGATGGGAGGGTCTCTCGAGCCCATCCTTTGCACTCTGAGGATTCACGGCCGAGAGGGGGTCAACGCGATTACCCAATTCTCAACCATGTTTGGTGAAGCTGGTAGTTTGCCAGACTACTTTATGACCTGTGGTCGCGATGGCGACTATTGCATCCATGAGTTGGCAGACGAAGGAGGGTCAGAGGTCCGCATTCGCACTATTCATCGTTCCTCCCCAGCCGTGAGCTTCAACGTTGAGGGATTTTACATTGACCCACTATCCAAAGATTTTATTCTTTATGGATTCCAAAGCACGGAGTTCATCCTCTGGAACGAGACAGCCCATTCTGAGCTTGCCCGCGTGGACTGCGGCGGAGCGCGGCGAATGTGGGCTTTCCATCCGAGCAATGAAACATCTGGAGCTGGATTGCTCCTCTGGGTTCAATCAGGGTTCAATGCCCTCCAGATACAACCTAACGTCAACCGCACGATACGCGCTGGTGGTCATGGAAGGGAGATAAAAACGATGGAAGTGGCCCATTCGACATCAGAGAGAGGGACTCTAATCGCTACAGGAGCAGAGGATACCCATCTACGGATTTTTGCACCTGCATCTCCTCATACCGAAAGTTTATGGGCTTCGTTCAAATGCCTGCGTGTTCTGAGGGACCACACGGCGGGAGTACAGCAGATCAGCTGGTCGACGGATGGGAAAACCCTCTTCTCAAGTGCTGGATTCGAGGAACTTTTTGTTTGGAAGGTTCGCCAAATCCCTTCGTTTGGCCTGGCTACTGCTCTAGCAGCCTCTAGCCCCAAAGACGACCCGATGTCCGAGCTGCGGGTGACGAGTTTCGATGTGCTGGACGTGGAAGAAGAACAGGCTAAGGGCGGGTTTCTACTTTGCCTAGCGCTTTCGAATTCAACGATCAAGGTATGCTGTCTTTGCATTTGGTGTTTTCATTTGATTATGCTAATCCCTCTTAGATCTTCCACTATTCTTCATCGGTCGACGAGGGTCACTTCACCCTGCTGGCACGTGGCACCTACACCAGTAATTGTCTCACGCAAGCTCGATTCTTAGTGACAAGCTCCTCCATTGGCTTGATCACAGCCTCCACTGACGGGCACTTTACTCTGTGGCATTTGAACCCAGTTCTTGAACCTTTCTACTCGATGGCATCGTCAAGTGTGCATCTGAGGCAACCATTGGAGACGCTCTCGATCAATCCATCGAGCATCACATGCGAAAATCGCTACCAGATCCATTCAAACAGTATCAAGTCCTTGGAAATGGCACGCATATCGGCGGATACATCGCTCATCCTTGCGGGAGGCGACGACAACGCGCTCACTGTCTCTGTGCTCACCGTGGACTTCACCAACACAGATGCTGGTAGCCATGTATGCACAGTCACCATTCCTGACGCGCACGCGGCCTCTGTCACGACGATCAAGATTTTGAAGCAACAACAGCTAGATGGTGAGGGGAAGGCACAAATTTTCTTTGCATCCTCTGGAAATGACCACCAGGTCAAGGTCTGGTGCGCAGAGGTGGATGTCCCGCAGAGCGGGTCAGATGGGGTCAAAGTCAAGAACCTTGTTGATCAGTACAGCGGTGTGGCTGATATCTCGTCGTTGGACCTGATCACTGACGAGTCGGGGATGCAGTTGTTAGTTTGTGGCGTCGGCATGGAGCTGTTTAAATTGCAGCTGCCCTAGCGTCGCATAAACCGACTTACGATGTCATGGCTGATGCTTATTGAATTGAGCATTGAGATCTGTACAGGTTCATAGAATACAACAGGCATTTTGCATATACTCGACCAGAAGACTTTTGAGGGCTATGTGCCCTGCATGTTGTTGGTAGTTGTAGAGAGTATAGAACTCACCAAAGAATGTTGGAATGAAAAGACAACCAAATATCGTCGCCTGCAGAAAACGTCACCCATGATTCATGCACATGTCCCCTGACTCTGCGACTCGGTGACGATCTCGCCTCCTCGACCGCGGCCAAAGCGGAATAGCCCAACTCCAGCTGTTTCACCCCTCCAGCCAGTGCGACTCACGCTCTCACTAACTATCTACATCATAAGCGCTGTCATTAAGATCATCATGGTCAGGTCGTTATTGATCATTCTCAGACAGTGTCCCCACCGAGTCGTTTTATAACCTAGTTACCCCGCAAGAGGCCTTTCTGCACAAAGATATGGCAGTCTATCTCGTTGTCGTCTCGACGGGGCCAGTCCCATCAAATCCGTCTTGCGGTGCAAGAATCGGGAGAACCGGTTAAATTGATCTTCTCGGCTCATGTACCCATTGCTAAGAAGAAGAATTTGCCCGATCAGACCTTGATCGACCAAGAAGCAATCATGGCGGAGAAGTGCTTATAAGTGCTAGTACTGGGAATGCCTACTACAAAACCAATGCTTCCACCTTCGTGCCTCAGCTGATCGGACGATTGGAGACCCTGGTTGAAGACGTCTACGATTCCTGGTCTTTCATTGCCAAGGTGCTCGACAGTCCTGACTATGGCTTCCCGGATGCGACGTGCATCAATGAAGATGGGACTTCTTGTGTCTGGTGGAATGATTATCATCCCGGATCAAAGTATCGCGAGCCTCAGGCTGAGGATATGAAAGCCAGTCTGGGACCTCTAGGCGCGTGGTGATGTGACCAGGCTGTTAATGCGATGATTTCTGGACATATTGTCATATCTTCTTCTTGGCTCTATAGTAGTAGTAGGGACGTGTCAACGGAAAACTACCGTCAACCATGATTATTCCGAGGCATAAGCATGGGAATCTTTTAGTTTTCTTGCTAATCGCAGATTCCCACAAGCTAGAAACACAATACTGGAACAAGTTTATCCGTTGACTCCTCTGTAGATGCTCGGGAGAAGTGCGGATATATCAATATATGTCTAACACTATTATATATCTACATCGCCATAAACCTCGACATGGACAGCGAGTGCATTCCATCTCCAATACAATTATCAACATATCACAATATATAAACAAATACAGATTGTTCATGGTCAATCTGCCTCCTAGAATGTCAGGGGTATGATGCAGACGGCTTCATCGCGCTCTTTACCCGGAGCCGGCAGCGCGACGATCACTGCCGCATCCCTAGAGGCTTCAATCTCCGACTCGTTTTACCCAGCAGCATTGCAATGCCAAGGCGAGCACTGAATCATGGGATTATCAAGGGCCAGAGCTCCGTAGTTCGTATGGGGTATTGAGTTCCACTGAGGAGTAGTTTCAGGCTTTCAGGCTGTCGGCATCCATCCGCATTGATTTTGGGGGGTGTTCCGTGACGATCAGTGTTATATTGGCTTTCTGCAGCATTCCAGCACATTGTCGCTGTGGGTGCTAGGCATGATAGGTAGGTTTGAGAGAATAAGTGACGGACCGAGGGCCCGATAGAGACTGGTCTGGGTGTTTCGGAATGATCTTGATATTGTGGGGGGTGTGCAAGAGCCTGCTGTCTTGTGCGATGGTATATAAGAAGCGCTGTTTCCCTCGTTGAGGGAACTCGAAAGTATCCAAATTCAGATTGAGGTTCGTTCATTCTTGTGATTCCTCTGTTCACTAGCACTTTATTTTGTTCAGCATGAAGTTCGGCAACCTTATCCTCATTGCTGCTGCGGCTGGCTCCGCAGTAGCTGCTCCCGCAAAGGAGCAGAAGAAGAGATCTTCTGTCTTCCAATGTTGGTCTCCTTGTGTTGCATTCCTATACTTAAAACTGATATAAATGGCAGGGGTTGGAATCAACGAGTCTGGCGCCGAGTTCGGTGAAAAGACGATCCCAGGCGAATATGTATGTCGCGAACTATGAGCGAGATGTCATCCAGCTAACTTGATCCAGGGAACAGAGTACATCTTTCCGGATCCTTCCAGCATCAGCACCCTCATCGGCAAGGGTATGAACATCTTCCGCATCCAGTTCCTCATGGAGAGACTAGTGCCAAACTCCATGACGGGCTCGTATAATGCCGATTACCTGGCTAATCTGACTTCGGTGGGCTCACTTTCAGCGGTCCTGGTGGTGTCAGGCTGACTGGCTCAGGTCGTGGACGCTGTTACCAAGGCAGGCTCCTATGCCATTCTAGATCCCCACAACTATGGCAGATTGTGAGTGGCCATCGTCAGTATCATATGCTATTCTCTAACAGCAACTAGCAATGGCGAGATCATTACTAGCACCGACGACTTCCAAGCCTTCTGGAAGAATCTAGCTGGAGAATTCAAGTCCAATGACTTGGTCATCTTCGATACCAGTCAGTTTGATGCAATCTCGTCAGCCCCCATACATCTTGCTAACACATATACCAGACAATGAGTATCACGACATGGATCAAGACCTGGTCCTGAATCTCAACCAGGCCGCCATCAATGGTATCCGCGCCGCCGGAGCGACCGAGCAATACATCTTCGTTGAGGGCAACTCCTGGTCCGGCGCCTGGACCTGGCCCGAGATCAACGACAACATGAAGGACCTCACTGATCCCAGGACAAGATCGTCTATGAGATGCACCAGTATCTTGACTCTGACGGATCTGGCACCGCAGAGGCCTGCGTGTCTACCACCATCGGCAAGGAAAGAGTGATGGCCGCCCCCAGTGGCTCAAGGATAATGGCAAGGTCGGCATCCTGGGTGAATTCGCCGGTGGCGTCAATAAGCAGTGCCGCACTGCGATCTCGGGCATGCTTGAGTATATGGCTGATAACACGGACGTGTGGAAGGGAGCCATGTGGTGGGCTGCTGGACCCTGGTGGGGAGACTACATGTTCAACATGGAACCAGAGACGGGGGCAGCTTATAAGGGCATGCTTGATCTTCTGGAGCCGTACCTGGGTTGATCTGGGGGCGAGTGTTAGAAGGATGCATACGGGGTATACTTTTAGAGCCCGTTGCGTCTCGACGTTGCTCAAAACCTACTCATTTTCGTTGTACATAGTATATTGAAAGTCATTCAATGGCCCGAGCAGTCTTGCACTGCGCTTCTCCCCAACTTCATAATTCAAGTTCGTTCAACATGAGTCGTTTCGACCGAACTAGATAGTAGTAGATAGATCATAGCATGCAGCTGTTCCGTTCTTGACCCCTTAAGGCACAAACTAGTCTGCCACAGCCTCGACCTTAAATGCACACATTTTACCCTTGGAGGAATAGCTTATAGACTAAACGAAACCGCAGCTCGAGTTTAATGTTTTCAGATGTTCTGAAACGGCGCTCTAACTGGACGAGAGAATTGATATGCCTAAACTGAGGCGCAAGCTCGTACAAAATACTATCTACATTCAGAGGAAGGACCGATGGAGCGAATCTGCGAGTTTGCAGGTCTCAGCCAAGCATCTTACTACATCCTTCGATCGTTCATCAAGTTCCATGGGAACATCGCGCAGGTTCCTCTGGTAACTGGTTCGGACGGACCGGAAATCGAGCAGAGAATGGCTGGACTTGAAGTTGGAGCTGCAAATCACCAGCGGTGAGATGGAGAGGATTCGCAGTGGCCGCGTGGATTTTGACACATTCTGTCCTCCTTGCTGATTTGGAGCATTTCCAGCTCATCTGCCAAGCCTGGAATGGAGGAGCCTAAACGGATGATAGATCATCATTGGAACTTGTCCATTGGCTGGTTCTGAGTTGTAGTGCTGTTGTCTAACCCAGACAGGCCATTTAAGTGCACAGCCAATTTGTCGCAGGACGGTCCCACGGGTTGCGGTGGAAACATCCTGATGAAAGTAATCAATTTATAGAAACGCGGCGTGGCGTAGTCTGCGTTTTCACAGCCATGATTGGCCTGTCGATCCTGTCAAATACTGCGCCTCCCATGGAAGTTGGACGGTTGAGGATTTGGAGGCTGGAGCATCCTCAAGGAAGCCGGGATGATGGTTGATCGTTGCGGCCTGAGGCTGTCAGGATCATCACCGGCTGACATTAGGTATTATTATTAAAATAAAACCATCGAGGCTTCTCGTCGTCCCAGACTTTTTCATCATCCATCAATCTTCTTTGTTTTTTGACATCCTTCTACAGTCATTCAGGCGTCCTTGCTTCAAAACAGTCACAAGGATACACAAACAGACAAAGAAAGCTTCTTATCAACCATCATGGGTAAAGGCGGTCGCATCTTGTGCATATTTACTCCATATGCACTCACTATCGCCTCGTTAGTGTGCATCATCATTGTCGGCCTGGGCTGCACAAAATCCAGCTCCAGTACCCTCAATGACCTCTACTTCTTCAGGGTAAGATTACTTTGCGATACGGCATCGCGATACCCAAACTAACAGAACGAACAGGCGGATCTCCAGAACCTCACTACCTCATCAACGACAACATCAAAAGTAACCTCTGCTCTCGGCGCGGTCGGAGTCGATATCTCAACCAGCGACTTGGCCGCCGCTCTCGAAGAGGCACGGAAGCAGCTCAACGTTAAGGACTTCTACGATATCGGTCTCTGGGGTTACTGCGATGGAGATATTAGCAATGGCAACTACAAGACCACCAAGTGCTCCGATCCCAAGGCCCAATTCTACTTCGACCCCATCGATATCTGGAAGCTCAACAACACCGGTGTCAAGGATCTGCTGCCTGATGGTCTGGAAAAGGGATTGAAAGTGTACAAGAACGTGTCTAAGTGGATGTTCATCGCCTACATCGTTGCCTTCGCCGCCACCCTTGCGGAGCTCGTCGTCGGTCTTTTCGCCATCTGCAGCCGCTGGGGTAGCTGCGTGACCAGTCTCATCTCGGCCGTACGTCCCCTTACCAATTCCTCCATAGAAACAACCTCATGACTAACAAACACCAGGTCTCCTTCCTCTTCATCACCGCCGCCTCCGTCACAGCGACCGCTCTCTTCGCCGTCCTGAAAGGAACCTTCAACGAAAACCTCAAGCAGTACAACATCAAGGGCTCCATGGGCAAGAACATCTACGTCGCCACCTGGCTCGCCGTCGCCTTCTCCCTCGGCGCTAGCCTGTTCTGGGTCATCTCCTCCTGTTGCTGCTCCGGCCGCTCCCCCTACAACAAATCCAGCAAGCCCCGCGGCATCACCGCCGAAAAGGCTGCCTACACCTACGAGCCTCTAGGCCCACACGGAACTTCCACTCCAGCTCCCTACGCCAACACCTCATACCCACCTCCTGCCGCGCACGCGGACCAGGGCCCCATGCATAACACGCGGAATAGTGCCTACGAGCCCTTCCGCCATGTCTAGGCGAGTTATTCCAGGGTGAGAAAACTGGGATGCATGCACTTTTACAATGTCGGCGTTTTTTTCTTTTTTCTTTTTTTTTGGTTTTGGCTTTAGCGGAGATGAAATATTCATTTAACGATGGGCTATTTGAACTGCTCGTGTATGAGCTGGGCAGATTATGTTTTGTGGGATTTAGATCGGGCGTTCTTTTTTTTTTTTTTTGCTCAGTGTACATTTATTTTATCTTGGGTTACACAGGGAGATGGACTTGATGTTGATGGCATAACTACCCTCCTTGCGCTCAATTTATGTCTCATGATCGTCCTCATAAACTACACTACACTGTTGATCGTTGTATGTGACTTGGTATATTCTTCGCAATTTCTGCGAGCCATTGTAAGAATTTGTCCATCCGTCGTAACCATCGTGTGCTAGACGCTATAGTAAATATACACCCCCCTGGTGTATACCTTGAACCGAAAGAAGCATGGGATATCTTGTGGAATACAAACAATATGTATCAGTGAAGCCTGAAGAAAAGATTTAAATATGCCGCAACCTACGTCTAATCATCTGTAGGTGCCGGTCGAGCCTGAGTATGCGACGACTCCTGTGATGGAAGACTGAAGTAATTGCCGACCCGATTCAGAAACTCACGCACAGGTGGGATCGAATACTGCACAAGCGGCTGGATGACCCCGTTCTCGTCTACGGGAAGAGGTACCCCGCCGCGGCGCATTCGCTCGGAGAGCACGTTCGCATCGGCCCTGGCAAATATCTTGAACGGCGTGTTGGGGTCATCAGACCAGAAGGGCCCCGACCTTTGAAGCCGGCGCATGTGTGACTCTACCCAGTCCTCCTCGAAGCTGTCGGCTTCGCTCACTGCGTCGGATTCGGCGTCAGACAGCTGTGCTGGGGCACTGGAGGGTTCGTCGTCGCCGAGTTCGACGCTGGCTACTTCGTGGGTTTCATCCATCAGATCCTCCTCGACTTCAACTCGGCCATGCTCGCTCTCTGGAATGCTTCGGTCATCGTCTTGTTCTCGAGGTACATCGATCGGCGAGTTGGTTCGAGGGGTTGGCTGCGTATTTGGCGATTTTCTTGTTGGCGAAGAGAGAATCTGGACAGAGGCGTTGTGGAAACTTTCATGTGACGTAGATGTAGGTGAAGTTTCCGGATAGGTTGGCTTTCCGGCTCGTTTCTCGACAAGGGTATCATCTTTGCTGAGGCTGTTGGAATCATTCTGCTCTTCACGATCAACAGTGAGCGATTCTCGTGATAATAGACTGGCATCAACTTCCGGCCACGGGTCTGAAGTCTCAGGTCCAAATGAACGCGCATGGAAGTTAGTGAATCTGTCCACCAAACTGCCAGTGAAGGACGTGTTCGTCTCCTGCCGTGTGACTGTTGGGATGATAGTCGCGCTCGAGGAGCCATGCTGAGTCGCCGATATTTCAATCCCAGTCGCCGTGAGGCTCCGCTTTTTGTACGCGGGCCTTGAGAAATTGAAGAGAAAATATTCCTCGTAGGTTATTGACTTTCCTTCCAGGTTGAGAGTTTGCTCCTGATGACCTGGGTATTCTTTCAAGTGCATGATAATGAAATCATCCCACAGGAAGGATCGCTTAAGGCTGCCTTGAGCTCGTAGCGAATGCAATTTGGAGCACAACATTGCAAAATGATCGAAGTCGCCAGTATAATCTGGATAATCGCTTCGAAACTTATCATAAACCCTCTGCGCTTCGGCGTATTCAACAGAGCGATTGATATAAGTTTGTCGTCGCGACATGATATTAGACGCAATCCCTTGAGTTGAGCTCATCGTCTCGTTGCCTCCCATCATTTTCTGCCGCTTAGTTGGGGACAACTGCTCGGTCTCGGTCTCGGACGCCTTCCGCTTCAAAAATGGCATTTGATGACCATCCGGCCTTCTAGGAGTATATTGTGTAGGGCTAGGGATGCTCTGATTTTCATCATCTGTCTGCATGAAAGGGGCTTCACGATACGAAGAAAACGGATGTGATGATTTTTCCGTTTGCCCCGACGATTCGATCATGATAATGTTCGCGTCATGCTGCCCTGGTTCAGAGGAGTTCAACACCACAGCCGAATTCGAGATAGGGGTCGTGTCTCGGTAGGACCAATTTCCGCCGCTTAGTTGGGTTCCCAGTATGTTCACCTCGTTGGATTCAAGACTGCCATTCGGCTGTGCAGGGTGCGGCGTATCTTGAGATTTGCTTCCATTTCGCTCGTCGCTACTACAGAACGTGTTCAGAATCCGTGATTGAGAAGACGATTTGGCAACCTGTGACGATAGATGCTCCAAATTGTGAACCTCCACGTCTTGCTTCTCTATGCCTTCGTCTCCAGGGTGATGTCGATGAAGATGTGCAGCTGGAGTTTCCATCACCTGCACTCGTAGCTGGGTCGAAAATCCTGGAAGCGACGGGGCTGAACTGTCGATATCCTGGTCTGGACTCGGGTCAACTTCTAGCGGAAGTGGAACAGAAGTATCCATTACCGAGTCTTCACTCATTCGATCAGACTCATCTTGAAGATCTTGAGTGCAAGTTTGGGTGGTGAGATGATCAATCTCAGACACCTCAGGCACAGATCCATCACCGCTTGGTTCAATAGAAATAGCAGAAGGTACTTCAACAGGTTCTCTAAGTTCTTGTGCCTCATTTGGCTCAATAGCTTTTTCGTGTTCTTCTGGGCGCACTGTTGCATGAATTTGTTCTAGTTCTTGACCTTCCTGTGCATTATCCAGAGATACTTCGGTCGGAGGATTTCCCTCTTCCCCAAGATGATGGGTGGATCTGTCAATCGACTTTCTGATAGATGGACTGCTGTCTAAAGGTAGATGCTCAAATTGCGCTCTCTGTGGACTCATTTCCTTGTCGCTTTGGGACCATGATACATTTGTCCCAGGGTCAGAATCGGAAGAGCTGATGCTGCGTGACGGTGAACGGGATACGCGAGAGCCAGAGGATTCCAAAGCTCTTTCCTTCTCACGTTCCATTGCTTGATGATTTCGTCGTAATGCAATGGTGTTCCATTGTTCCAGAAGCCGAGGTGGTACGTTTCCTTTGGGATAGGGCTTACCAGGTTCTGGCGGTACCCAACTCTTGTTCTGCTCCAGTAGCTCAGCTTGATCTTTTGGTATCGTAATATCGGCTTCTAAGATCTTCGTCATACCGTCCCAAGGGTCTGCATTGGTGATGCATGAATCCCCGGGTGGTTTCTTCGAAATAGAATCACTATTATTCATGCTGCTCTTCGCTGCAGGATGGCGTTGCTTCTGTCTATCAGGGGACGGGTGGTCTGATGTACTTTGATTGTGATCATTCGGCGTTGTCTCAACATCCGACCTAGAAGGAGCTACCCCATCTACATCCTGGGGTTGCGGCTCGTCGGCTGGTTTGCAAGTCACAATATCCGAGGGCCTTGCTGTTGGGCTCTCAACTTGGCCTACAGTCTCTTCAGTAGGAGCAGACACTGGAGGCTGGGGACATGGTGATTGCTCATTGCAGTGCAACACGGCTGGTTGGGAACTATTGGCCTTTTCAGCGACTCCTTGAGGAGTGGGCAGGTCCTCCGTTGTGGTATTGGCAGCAGCAACATCAAACACTTTCGGATGTACAGCTTGTGGTAGTTGAACATGAGTGTTTAAAGGCCGTAGAAGCTTTTTCGCATTCGCCTTCAGATTCTCCTTCGAGATTTCCAAGAGACTTCCGGTCGAATCTACGGGAGGGATCTGAGACATGAGGCCTTCTTGGCGACCAGTATTTCCAGCGCTGTTGCCATTCTGAGAGTTGATGGAGCAGTCAGACCGATCACCATCGTCTGCATCGCCCGAACAAGCAGTCTCGCGTAATCTGGCTTTTTGAAAGACGGTTCGCATAATCTGGGAAACCTGTACATTTCTTCTGATGATTCTACCTTGCGGTGGCCCTTTGTATTTGCTTTTCTCCCATGCGATGTTGAAACGCTTGATGTACAAATGCACTTTCGGCTCTGATGTGGCGTATTCGAAAACAAGTTCGAAATCTCTGAGGTTGATAGTGTAGCCTCGCATTCGATCCTCAGACAATGGCCAGTCAGGGTAGTCCCTACTATATTCTTCCAGCGACTCTCGCGCAAGTTTCGCCTGTATTTGCGTTGTCGTGTCGGTTATATTAGGTATGGGGAGCCCTTCTCCTTCTGTCCACTGAACAGCGAAGTTGAATCCATCAGCAACGTTCTCTTCTCTCTCAAAACAGATATTCGGCTCACTTTAACAATCATCGCAGAACGTTCATTATATCCTGAGAAGCGCAGATTACTGCCATCATCCTCTAAATTAATTTGACTCTCTTGCCCGTCAAGATAGTTCTTTAGTGCTCGTTCAATCAACGGGGCAATCCAGATCTCCGACGACGGCATCTTGTAGTTGGAGAAGCTGGCTTGAGGTTATCGAAGGCATGGGCAGCATCATAATTTGTGAGGGTAGGCTGATCGAAGAGATTATATGGAATATTCTTCTCCTGTCAGTCACAGTCAAAATAGAGCGGTCGTACTGGGCAGTAAACGATGCACCAGAGAAAGAACATCAGACCTCAGACAGGCATCCGATTCCACTCGAAATATAATCTTCTAAGCAGCATTGTCGTGCTGCATCCTTTATCAGGCGATTCGAGGGATCAATTAATTAATCCTGGTGCTTCTTCTGCTTGACGCGAACATGGATTTGACGCGCCTCACCGCCTAACGAGCAAGAGCACCAGCCACGGATCTGCTCAGCCACCACCACGTCATTGGGCAGCAGATGGAAAGCCAAAGGAAACACAGCTTTGCATCCACACACGACATGAACAGCTATACACCCGTACTGTCTTTCAATCCGGTTTCCGATCTATATGCGTCTCATACCTTCGAATGATGCAGCGCCAACCACTGGGGGATCGATGCTTACCTTACAGGCACCTGTCACCAAGATCGGTCAGAGCATCACAAGGTGGTTCGTAGCAGCCTACACGAATGATTCTGCCGTTCTTGCACTCGTAAGGCCATAATCACTTTTGTCTCTTAATTATACGTGAATAGCATCTGTGCCGCCTATAGCGTCACCAAGGGAGCTCGGATGGCATCTCAACAGTCGCAAGGGACGCCAAGTCCATCTGCGTCATCAGTCTTTCTCCCACTGGGGCGACGAGGCTCAAGAGCATCCGTTTCAACACAGGCTGAACGGGAGAGCCTGAACGCAGCCCTAGATCAGATCCATACGGCAGCTTACCAGTCAGATTCCCTCACCGTCTTCAATGATTTTACTAGTCCTCCGGTTCCGGCATCCGCCACAGAAGAAAAGGGTCTTTCGGGGGAGCTTCAAGGGGGCTTGAGTGGTTTGTACAGTCGATTTCGGACATCTGTGGGTGGAATGAGGGATATAGTCAGCGGGGTAGGGAAGGCGTCTGACAAAGCTACTGAGGGCTCTGTGGGAAAGGGCTCAGAGCGCTCGATACACAAACCAACTGTTGATGCGACAGATTCTACGAATGAGTCTCCGCACTATACTCCGAACTCTTCTCAGGGATCCACACTACAGTCTCTGACACCCAGCAGTTCACAGGACATTGGTGTTGGCAAAGGCTCCAAACTTTCTTCAAAGACTGCAAGCATATCATCCAAGGCCTCCTTCTCGACTTCACCCGCATTGAAATCACCTACTGTACATATGTCCAAACCCACCAGCGGTCCCTCAGGCGCGGACTCACCGGCTACTGGACACCCCGTTAGCGCTGTGAAGGAAACTGCACATTACTCAAGTAACAATTCCGTCAATATGTCTTCTCATAGCTTGCAGACTATGGCCTCTGCGGGCACTGACAAAGACGAGGCGCCGTTTGCTGCGTCAATGAGCTCATCCGGCTTTAGTGAGCGATTGACTCACTCTCCAGCATTGTCAGCGAAAGCCTATCACCCGCCTAACGAAGGTTCCAGTACGTTAGATCCCAGCAAATTGAAGTCAGCCAGTCACGTACCAGAGAGCTCTATAAGATCGGAGCGACGGATTTCTCACGACCTTGAGCCTTCTCTGCCAGCGCCGTTGCAGATGACGAAGCTTTCCCCAGAGGGTGTGCTAGATGGCATGTCCCTTGGTCAAGAAGGACGTGGGTCGGATTCAACCGCTTCTTTCAATCCTGACCGCTCTTCGGTTGCCGCGAGTTCTGGAGCAACTAGCGTCTCTCAGGTGCCTTCGAATGGAAACAATTCTTTGAATGAGACGCAAGGTATGTCTACGATCGCGACTTCCATCGATGGGGAGCCGAAAGTTGGCGGATCTTCCAAAGTCTCTGCCAGGCAGAAACCAAAGGCTGGACCGTCTGTATCTAACGTCAACCGTCGTGCGGCCTATGGTGCGTCAAAATCCCAATCAACTCACGTAGCCGCCCGCCCACCTGCGTTGACACCGATTAATACGGCCGTGGACACCTTCCCTAGCCGTGATGGGCGAGGCAAACGTCTTCATGACGGCGTTGTGTCGCAACTCAGAAGCAAGTTACTGAGCAAGGAGTTCTGGATGCGCGATGAAAATGCTAAAGACTGTTTTCATTGCGGCGAAACCTTTTCAACGTTCCGGCGAAAACACCATTGTCGCACATGCGGTCAGATATTTGATTCGAAATGCACTCTCCTGATATCAGGGGATAGGTTTGGTCAACCTGGAACTATCCGCGTCTGTAAACCGTGTGAGGCGATGATTAACGGACACGATGATGATTCCTCCGACTTTTCAGATAGCGAACAGAGCCCAATTATAGTCAATCCTAGGGTCTCGGAACTCGGCCTAAGCAATTATTCGCGGGTGTCAGCCGATGACGATGACTCGTCTTCGGTAGTCTCTCAATCTATTGAGCATGTCATGAAGACGCCCACAATGGCGATACCGGCCACACGACGCGCCGGGGAGGGCCACAATCGTCGTTCAGCTGTCCTTGAAATCAGCCCAGACCGCCCCTTGATCAGGCCTACGTCATCAAGGTCTCTCAAGTCAACACTTAACGGACGTCCGCATGCAATGGGTCACAAACGCCATCACTCACGCCAGCAGTTCATTCGGAATTTTAAATCTTTTCATGATGACCGGGCACCTTTCCAACGTCGCAATATCGAAGACAACCCTCCCAGAGCTCAGCTACCTGCATTTCACAAGGACAACATTATTGACCCTGATCTAGCACAGTACCTCTCTGACGATGCTTCAAGCGGAGACGAACAACCGAACTTACTTTCGGCAGTCTCCGAAGGCTCTCTATCAAAAAGCGGCGGTGATGCCGAGAGAACAGCTTTTAGTGGCCTTTTGGCTGCCATGAAGAAAGGTCGATCTGCATTTGGAGATAGGGGCAGCTTCATCAACTCTGGACGTGAAGGGGATGAAGCAAGTATAAGCAGTTCTAGAGCTGTGAACCTTCCTCGAGCTTCGCGGCGGCGGAATCTAAGTGTTGCGAGCAGTATTCATCGTCCCTCTCCGAGAGCGTCCAAAGACAGTGTCTCCAACTTACACGATGCAACTAATGCGAATTATGTCTTTCCAACGGCCGTGAAGCCAAGCGGATTCAAGATGACAAGGAGTTCTTCCATGAGAGGAGCAGGAGCCCCTCCGGTAGAGCTGAACAAAGCGAGTCTGCAGCACGTCCGAAAGCTTCTTCGTCAACTTCTGAAGGATACCTCAGTGCCTCGCCCTCACAGCTGGGAAACCGCGCTTTTACCCATTTTGCTGAAAGCCGCTGACGAGGTTGATCCAGATGTTCAAAATGGTGATGATATGGACATTCGACATTATGTCAAGCTCAAGAAGATTCCGGGCGGTCGGCCAGGCGATACTTCTTATGTCTCAGGGTTGGTTTTCACCAAAAACCTTGCCCTCAAAAGCATGCCCAGAAGCATTCCTCATCCAAGAATCCTCATCATCACGTTTCCGCTCGAATATGCACGTCAGCAGCAACAATTCATGAGCCTGGAGCCAGTCATCCGTCAGGAACGGGAATTCCTCGAAAATCTCGTTAGCCGAATAGCTGCGTTGAGGCCCAGTTTGCTTCTGGTCGAGAAGAATATATCCGGATTGGCTCTTGAACTACTAGACAAAGTCAAGATAACAACAGCCTACAATGTCAAATCGTCTGTGCTCGAGGCTGTCTCTCGTTGCACTCAAACAAGGATAATCACTTCTATGGACAAACTCGTCACGACTCCGGTGAACAGTGATTGCGGCAGTTTTGATGTCAAGACATACGTGTTCAATGGTCGTAAGAAGACCTATATGTATGTTTCCGGCTGCCGCAAAGAGCTCGGTTGCACAATTGTACTTCGAGGGGGCGACCATAGTATACTCACAAAGGTGAAAAGGATCACCGAATTCATGATCTACGTCGTCTATAATTTGAGGCTCGAGACATGCTTGATGAGGGACGAATTTGTCCAGATTCCTACGTCGACTGAGGCAGAGGTTCAAGCTTCCAATGAAGAGACGAGTCAAACAAAAACCACATCTTCACAAGGCAACCCGGATGATAAGAGTAGTGTGACACCGCCGGGCTCACAAGAAGATTCTAATGAAAAGCAAAGCGATACTGCGTCTACACACAAGATTATTGCTACAAGCAACGAGATAGAGGTTCCAGATGATGTCCCAGAGCCAACTTACTACGAAGACATTGTCCGTGGCACCGAGACAAAGATCTTGTCAGCATCACCGTTTGTCAAGTTTGATCCGCCTTATCTGCTCAAGCGTGCGAGAGAGATGGAAAGTCGGCTGGCTTATCTGAAGCGGCTTCGTGATCAAGATGTGAGCTCTGAGGAGCTTTCAGATGAGAAGACCAAGTGTCAGAAGTTTATTCTCATCACGCCAGAAATGGTTCATAAATCCCCACCTAATGCTCCCCCAAAGGTCAAAGAAGTCCTGCATGCTGCTCATGATGCAGAATATGACAATGCGCTACATCACTATCAGACCCAAAAGCGTCAATGGGAAGCATATATAGCAGGTGCTTCTCGTCTATTTGACCCATACGCCCATCAGAGTATAGTCGTGCTCTTCAGCCTGGTTTGCACCACCACATCTATCCCTTGCTCTGGACCAGATCTCTTTGCCCTTGAGTACTATAATGAGCATGGGGATGATGCGATTTTCGAACCTGACTGCACCGTCGGTCAATACGTGGAGGATATTTGTCACAATGCCAATGCTATTTGTACAGCAAACGGTTGCGAGAAGCGGATGTTCGAACATCACCGCCAATACGTCCACGGTGAGGCTCAAATAAGCATATTTGTGCAGCCGTATCCCTCGAAATTGCGAGGCCTTCAAGACACGATTTTGATGTGGAGTTGTTGCAAGATCTGCGGGAATGAAACACAGGTTTTCCCCATGTCAGACAGTACTTGGAGATACTCCTTTGGCAAATATCTGGAGCTGTCTTTCTACAGCAAAAATCTACACGCCCGTGCCGGTATCTGCCCCCATGACTTGCAACGTGATCATCTCCGCTTTTTCGGCTACAAGGACATTGCCATACGAATTCATTACGACCCAATCAATTTGCTTGAGATCATCGTTCCCAGAACCAGAGTTACCTGGAAGGTGGATAACGATCTGAGACTGAAAAACGAGGTCTATCTCAATATTGAACGTCGGCTGAACAAATTCATAACTTCCGTCAAGGCACGACTGAAAGGAATCAACGTCGAAAGTGTCGTTGCGAACCTGGCGGAAGACTGCACCGCAGAAATAGAGGTACTGACGAAAAAAGCCAGTGAAGACCACACTACTTTAATCCGGCAATTGCAAGATAAGTACATCAATTCGAGGTACTGGGAGGTGACTCCGTTGAACGAAGTGCTTCGTTTGGTTCAGGAGAAGGTTGTGGAATGGGATACTGCTTTCGCTGAATTCGAAAAGAATTTCTTCCCTTCTGAGAAAGACATCAGAAGACTTGCAACATTGCAGCTGAAGAAGATCTTCCTCGACAAGGATGCTTCAGTGGCCTCGGAGGAACCCCCAACGACGCCCACAGAGGCGGAAAGTGAACAGAGTCAGGAGACCAAACATCCGCGACCAATGCGTCGTATGACACTTTCGCCAGAGAAAGCCCAGGATGTTCTTGTTTCGGTCGTGGAAGAAGATTCGGGCAAGAAGAATGTTCCGGAAGCCGGCTCGCCAAAGACTGAAGAGATCCCATTATCAATTCCCTCGGCAAACCCAGAAGATACCAAGTCTTTTCCGCCTCCTGGACTCGGCACCGATGCACCAGATAGCCCCCTGAGCCCTGAGCTACGTGCACGGATGAGTCAATCGGAGCAGCTGCTTCCTTCAAGTGCGCACTCTGCAAGCAGTCCCGACATCCCTAAGACTGTGTCAAGTGTTGTGGACTCAAATCATGGCTTAGCAGAGCCCTCTACCGAGCAATCCGCATCACAGGAAGATAACCAAGATAAGGAGGAGAACTTCGAACCCGAAAAGCAGCCAAGTGTTGTACCGCAGCCACCACCTTCAGCTATCCCTCGGCTCGCTGAAGGTGTTGTTAGGCGTACTGGGAAAGCTACCTCTCCGCCACTACTCCGTGCTCAGTCCCAGCCATTGCAAGGTCAAAAGGAACGATTCAAGAGCAGTGTTCCTTTCCGTGGGCTTAAGGTCGGGCCTGGGGGTAGTAGTAGCTCGGACCTTGCCCCTAGTGCTGTCCCAGATTCAAAGTTCAAACCTTCGGACAAGAAGTTTTCTGAGAGATTCGGCCTCACCGCTCTCCGGAATTCACGGCTGGCACCTGTGCCATCGCTTATACCTCGCTCGATCCCGACCAAAAGAAATACGCGTGTCTTAAATTTAGCCAAGCATTTTGAGCAGTTAAGTCGCGAATTTGAGAAGGAACGACAGCGTGAAAGACGGCAACGAGCTGCCAATGGTACACATTCTCGTGCATTCCCTCTGGCATCCTCTAAGCCAATAGTGGAGGTATACAAGAATGTTAGGGACGCGGTTGAGGAGCGCGAACCTCCTGGAGAACCAGAAGACGAGTCACCTTCAACATCGCATCTTCCTGTTGATGAACCTAGCCAGGGGAGCAGGGATTCACTAGAAAGGGCCTTGGAGGAAGAAACTCGAGAAGACACCACCTCAGTCTATTCCCAGCCACCCGGAAACGAGGATAGGAGCCACGGTGATGCCCATACAGTGTCGGACGTGGAAGGGGAAGAAGTACATAGTGATGAGGATCGGACATCCACGGAGGGCCTCCATCAGACTGATTCGAACGATGAGCTGCCTAAGATGTCCCCAGAGGACGAACAGATGGACCTCAAAGAACTCCCTAAACACGAGCGAAGTAATCTTCTGAAGATGTTGACAAACTTCTGGTCCGAGCGCTCTGCCAGTGGATGGGCTCCCCTTGACTACCCACTTAGCATGTCCGATCACGTTTTCGCAGACTGCGACATTATAGTGCGGGAGGATGAACCGAGCTCCCTCATCGCATTCGCGCTCGACTCAGGCGATTATAAAGGGAAATTAACTAGTATCCAGAGGCGTTATGAGGAACTCGACGAGAAGAGGTCAACATCAGGAGAGGGCTCGGATAGTGTTGATGAAGCTCGGGTTGAACATGCACTCCTTAGATCCACTGGCACTCATCTGAAATACCAGTTCCAGGAAGGACAGGCAAAGATGTTATGCAAGATATTCTATGCTGAACAGTTCGACGCGTTGCGGAAGAAGTGCGGAGTCGCAGAGCGAATCGTGGAGTCCTTATCCCGTTGTGCCAAGTGGGATTCCAAGGGTGGCAAGACCAATTCTCTGTTCCTCAAAACCTTGGACGACCGTTTCATCTTGAAGTCGCTCTCGCCAATTGAGACGCAGGCGTTCCTCAAGTTTGCTCCGGCATACTTCCAGATCATGTCGGAAGCGCTGTTCCACGAGCTGCCATCGGCCATTGCGAAGATGTTCGGCTTCTACCAAGTGATCATCAAAAACCCGGCCACAGGGACCGAGTTCAATTGGTTCCTGCTGATGATGGAGAACCTCTTCTACGACCGAGTTCCGACGAGGATTTTTGATCTTAAAGGTTCAATGAGAAATCGCAAGGTCCAGAGTACTGGGGAGCGAAATGAGGTGCTATTAGATGAGAACATGGTCGACTTCATCTATGAGACACCGTTGTTCGCTCGAGAGCATTCGAAAAAGCTATTGAGCCAGAGCGTCTGGAACGATACGCTGTTCTTGGGTCGGCAGAACGTCATGGATTATTCACTTATGATTGCGATTGATGAGAGCCGGTCCGAGCTGGTAGTTGGCGTGATTGATTGCATCCGCACATACACGTGGGATAAGAAATTGGAGTCATGGATCAAGGATCGGGGTTTTGCTGGAGGGGGTAAGAATCGGCCCACTGTCACCAGCCCCAAGGAGTATAAGAGCCGCTTCAGAGAGGCGATGGCCCGATATGTTCTTCAAGCACCCAGGTATGTAGATGACGAGACATGATACGCAGGATCCGGCTGACCCTTCATTACTCTACAGTTGCTGGTACCAGCTTCAGCCAACCCAACCATATCGATACCCCCCTACGGGAGGCCATGTGCACCACCTACCGCAGGCCCCTCATGCTATTGAGGCAGATGATGCAGAGGGCAATGCAGAGCCCAGCCTTTCCTAAGGCAATAATTCATATAACGATTTCACGAGCTTACGGCCCCGATGTACACAGGCATGCTGCAGGGGCGACACCAATTGCACTCAATCGAGGCGTTTCGGCATTACATATACATACGGAGCGCATATGGACATTCTTTTTTTTTTTTTTTTTTCTATTTCTGCTCGACACGTTTCTATCAAGATTACATAGTTGCATGGACTGTGCTGTACATACGTCGCTGGGCACATGTAAACTAAGCACAAATGGCACCTGTACTAAGGAAGTGAACAATTGGGAACCATCATATACATCGCAAAACAACCTTCATAGTGGACAGAAGTCAATACCATATATATTCCCTTTTACTCTCCAAGCTGAAGTGTAGGATCGCACTTCCGTTTCACCGAATCCATACTCCAGGCGGACCGAGACATCGGCTGAAGTCGGGATCGCCGTGGGGGAAACTCGGGAATATGATTTGCCCTGAGTTGTCTCTCAGCATCGAACACCGATTTTGAAACCAGCCCGTGGTGACTCGACTACGAATTTTCTTTTTTTTTCTTTTTAATTTATGGGAGTGTGGGAAATTGACTTTCACTCTTCTTTGTTTCTCTTCTTCCTATGCTATCTGGAATTCTGGATACTGGGCTGCTTTGCAGGTTGTCGTGTTTAGAAGCACGATCTTGAGTCGACTGTCGAGTGCCTTAGGCCCTCTCGGGGATGTGCCAGCCTCGGCCTCAGCTGCGCCTTCCTGTTTTGGCCCTTGCTGCAGCAGCAGCTTCCTTCCCCGCATCGAATCTTCTTTCTTTCTCTCTTCTCTCAGTCTCAGTCTCAGTCTCAGTCTCAGCTCCCTCGTTTTCCTCTTCCTCCATCTTTTCTCTCATCATGGTCTGGGAGACAGTGTGCGTCGAGTTATTGAGGAGATGACACCTCATGGCACGAATGACTAAATTGATGAGGTGCTGTACATCAATGATTTGTTCAAAAAGAACACACTCACTGCGACCAAGTTCGCTACGATCAAGTCTACCCAGTCTACTAACATATCAGCCTCTACTGACATCTCTTTTGATTAACAGTCATTGCTTTTTTTCATTCTCATCATATACATGAGCAATTCATTAATCCAGCTTTAGGTAAAATCACCGAAGGATGGTCGATCAACGCTTTCAAAACAAGAATCCACTCCCGAATTATGTCCCAAGGGTGAGCGTCTGTTTATGCGCACCCAGCTCCAACAATGAAAGAAATAGCAAACCCCTCAGGCTGCACTTTCTAACCGCTACTACCAGTCGCATCGTGTCCATTGACGGAATCCTCACAGTGAGAATGATGGGGTGACTGATGGAGTGCGCGCGATGTTGTCGGTCATCAAGACCTATCTACAAAAGTCCAAGAGAAGGCAAACCCGTTTTGCTCATGGCCCAATCGCAATCATTACCGTGTCGTCCACCTCAGGTGGCAGTCGTGTTCGAATTTACTCAGCGAGGCCAAGGTTCTCCTCAGCGGGGACAATACGGACGGTGTTGGTGTGGCCCATACCGCCGCGCCATCCCTGAACACAGACGATGTTGTCGCCCTTGTTAATGAGGCCGAGCTTGAGGCCGTGAGAGATACCCCACTTGAGGCGACGGTCGACATCCTCCTGCCAGATCTTGACGTTGAAGTCGGGCTTCGTCTCAGGGAAGGTGAAGGGCCAGACACCACGGTACAGGTGGGAATACTGGTGTTGTTGTCAGCAATGCTTGAATTCGCGATGATCCAGGGGACCGAACTTACCCGGGCAGCCATGGGGTTACGAGTGACCATGAGAATGGGGCAAACGGGGCGGTACTTGGACAGAAGGCGAGCAGTTTTACCGCTAAAAATTTTTGATCAGCAAAAGGCCTCGCGATGGGAACGATCTCCCGGAAATACATACCTGGTGGTGAGGACAACAATGGCACCAGCATTGAGCTCCAGACTGGCGCTGACGGCAGCCATGGCGATGGACTCAGCGGTGCAAGTAGGGCGGGGAACAAGGTTACGGAGCTCATCGAACACCTGGAAGTGGGGGGTAGCAACCTCGGCAAGCAGACAGGTCTCGGACATCATCGTGACAGCCTCGGTAGGGTAGTTACCCTTGGCGGTCTCACCAGACAACATGACACAGTCGGCGCCGTCGAGAACAGCGTTGGCGACATCAGAAACCTCAGCACGAGTGGGACGGGGGTTGTATGTCATGGACTCGAGCATCTGGGTGGCACAGATGACGGGCTTGCCCTTCATGTTACACTTGGCGATCATCATCTTCTGGGCCAGGAAGACCTTGGGAGCGGGAATCTCGATACCCAAGTCACCACGGGCGACCATGACACCATCAGTGGCTTCAAGAATCTCATCGAAGTTGTTGACACCCTGCTGGTTCTCGATCTTGGCAATGATCTGGATCTCCTTACCCTCCTCACCTAGCACCTTACGGATGTGCTCAATGTCGCTTCCGCGACGGATGAACGAGGCAAAGATCATGTCGACCTTGTTCTTGACACCGAACTTCAGATCGCTGATGTCCTTCTCAGACAGAGCGGGAAGGTCAACGTCGGTACCAGGCAGGTTGACACCCTTGCGGGAAGAGATGTTGCCGTTGTTCAAGCACTTGACACGCAGGGTCTTGTCGTCTACAACCTCGAGGACCTGGAAGGAGAGAATACCATCGTCGACATAGATCAGCTTGCCGGCTTCGATCACCTTGGTGATGTTCTTATAGTCGAGGTACCTGGGAGCAAGGCGGATCAGTCCCCAATGCGCCTTAAATCTCAAGGTGGCGGAAGTACTCACATGTTCTGGTCGTCGCAGGCAGTGGCATACTTCTCGTCAGTGGTGATGTTGAGCTCATGACCGGCCTTGATTGGGATGTCCTTGTCGCCAACAGTGTTTCCGGTACGGATCTCAGGTCCTTTCTGTGACAAGAATTTAGTCGCCAAATTGAGCATTCTACCGGTCGTCAGACTTACAGTATCGAGAGCAATCGCGAGAGGGCGTCCAGATTGGACCTTCTCGGCCTCGCGGGCATTGTCAATGACGGATTGATGATACTAAAGATACGTCAGCGCGCTGCTCCTTTTTTATTTTCATTCCCCCCCGTTCTCCTGCTTTCATTTAAAACAAAAGGAAGTCAAGACTCACCTCATATGAGCCATGGGAGAAGTTCATGCGAACAACATTAAGGCCGACTATCGGAGTGTTAGTTCAAGAAAGTTGGCGGGATGCGCTGGGCCGAGTTCCCCGCCCGTACCTTTGCGGAGAGCGTTAATCTTCTCGACGGAGTTAGTCTTAGGACCTGTGAGTGAGAAACAAAGTCAGTGGAATGCGATGCTTATCTAGAGCTTCCTGCTCTGTTGCAAGAAACAAGATCTGGTGAGAAGCGTGGGGCAGAGGACATACCGATGGTGCAAATGATGGAAGTGCGACGGAAGTTCTTCGCAGGAACCATTTCCGTGTTGAGCTTGGCGTGCCATTCCAGCTTCATACGGTTGCTCAGATGGTCGAGAGAAGAGCTGGCAGCCATTGTGGATGACTTGTGTGAATGAATTGATTGAAAGGGAGAAGGTAAGTTGCAGAGAGAATGAAGGGGGATGGAGTGAAAGGAGGAAGAGGAGGAGGAGGGGAAGAAGAGAGTTCAAATGGATGAAGCGTTGATAAAAAAAGAGGGACCAGAGTTGGCCCGGTGAGGGAGGGGGGGCTCCAGTCGTGCACGGGAGGAAAAATACTGTTGGCCGCTGGCACGCAGTATCGAGTAGTATGACAGTATAGGCGGACTATTATTATTACTAGGTATGGCGCTTTTGCTATAGTTTATCTCCGGTGCCCCCGCGAGAGAGTAAATGATGCATTCAGTGACCGCCGTAACAGTGAATAATCAGATCATGTTTCCATTATTATTATTCTATATCATCCCACAATGGGGTGGTTATCTTGAGACAAGAGAGTGGGTTGACCAGCGGTCCAGAGGGACAGAAGCAAAAAGAAGCCAAACAGACCAACGGCCGGAGTTCTACATCATGCGTTCAAAGCATTCAAAACAAGAACTACCTACAATGTCTCTCACAGTCCCACCTGCCTATAATTTCATTTGGATATCTCCCTTTGCATGCGTGGAAGGCGACACTCCTCTTTCTTCTGTCCTCCGTGTTTGTAGAGAACACCGAATCGCCCGAGCAATTTATCCCATGTGCTTATTGGCTGGAAACATTCAATCTCCTGGGAGCTGTTTCTGTTGTTAGCCTGTTGAACTGTTTTCAAAAGCTAGCTAGCTAAGCAGTTCGAAGGCCAAGCGAGCTCTGAGTCTTAAGACACTAAGTAGATCCGTACACCGGCCACATCGCTAGTCCGCATCCAGCGCAGTGGCAAGAGACAACATGTGCAACTTGTATAATTAGTCATTATCTCTGTGTGTTAAAATAATGAAGTGTATAATTATCCCCCAGCCACACACAATAGTCAGCCCACACCGTCCACCACACCGCCCCAGCCACTTTTGGCGCACACCGCCTGTGGGTACTTATGACTTGGCACTGGCAGTAAATGCCCCACGTCATGTGAAATGGAACCCAGCCATCTCTCACGTGAGGATATCCCCCGACTTCTAACTTCTACCGCTGATCAATGTTGAGTGTCAGTTGTGTCAACTTCCTTACGATATTTTGGGTTCCTACTGTACAGAGTACCGGATATTCTTGATCATCGCTTCTTGTTGGTCTGTTGAGAATTTAGCTTTGAAGGGGCTTGGATCCGTATATCTGCTCTACGTCTGTCATCATGGTATGTTTCTTTGCCTGTGTGGTTGACGGTGGTTGCGAGAGCTACCGCTACAGAGCTAGCTAGGGAGAGCTTGTGCTGATGCGATGTTGATGCTGTTTAGCTGGGCCGTCTTACACACTACGCTTTTGATGCGGTGCTCCGTAAGTACTATCTTGATCTTGATCGGTCTGGAGGGATATATGCGGGAAGTTGAACTAATCATTGCTTGCCTTAACATAGTCTCTGCCTTTCTGGCTGGTATCAAGCGCTCGACTGGTCTCACGTAAATACTTCCCTCCCCCGCCGAATGAACCTGCTTCGTTTTCGATTTCATGGAACGAATTGCAGTCGAGCGAACTTGCGAAAGAAAACTAACCGGTCACCCCGTGCCCGGGCCCTGGTCCGGGTCGCGTGGGGTTCTCACAGCCCCAGTCTCAGCTCTGATAAAATCACCGATAGCAAGGACATCAAGAAATGGATCGACAACTATCTCGGCGTCGGCGAGTGGGTCATGGATCAGTCCGTGGCCGTTCTGGGTTCCACGAGTTACTTCGAGCGCAAGCGATGATAAAGCATCGGGACGCCCTCGCGGTGCGATTCTCCAAATAGCGGATGTACAATGAGTGAGAGTGATGGATTGTCTCGACATGTTTCTTTCTTTCTGGAGTTCGTTGCGCCTATTTGCATGCACCTCGTTGGACTCGTTTGATCGGACATACCCAACTCAGATTTTGTTGCACCGGAATACAACATGTAAAATGAAAGGGACAGGTGGGGGGATTCGGTCTCCTGGTTTAAACCATCTGCGCAGCAGTTGGCTCATGATTGATGACTTTGTTTTGCCTGTTCATCTGATCGTATCAGACCATGGCGTTGGGGATTCACAATTCATTTTCCCTTGGCTCTCATTCCTTATTTCCTTGCATACATATCTCCATCTTCCTCGGCTTTTCCTTCCTCTTCAGAAAATCAACAGTAGCGGCTCTCGGGTTTATGTCTGATTGTGCCTAGCAGCCTCCCGTTTCTGGGGGTGTTGGGTAAGTTTATCTCATCTGAAAGAGCCGATGTCATTAATTCTGGTATCGAATAACAGTATGCGATATGGACAATAGCTTCTCTTCAACTGTACCATCAATGTAAGTCAGTAATAATCTTTGCTGGTTGCCACCAGTGGTGAAGTGCATACAACACAGGTTCAATAAGTTTCAGAATTGCTCTCAATCACTCCTCAGCACTTGTGTGATCTTCCAAGATTTGGTCCAGAGTTCGCAACTGGAGATCGAAGAACCGGAAGAATCATGTCTGAATGAGTGAGTCAATGTCAAGACGTCGGAGGTATGAGATATGCCCCATAGCTTCCCAGTAATGAGCAACGCAATCCGGTGATATCAGGATCAGCTGCGACGAGATAAAGGTGTCTATTCACGCGTCAATTTCAACAACCTTCCATAGATAATCAATGCATCCCCGTCATGAGTGAGAGGCGCTTACCATCTCTGAACCCAATCCCTGCGACATGCCCTTTGCTTCGCACTATTCTAGATCCTTGATAAGGTGCTTCGTCTGCGATACGGACCAGTCCCCGTGGCCCAATATCATTAGCAATGAAAGATAATTGTCCCCGAGGAACATTTGGATCGCCAGTGAGCTTGATGGCCTCCAGACTGCCCCTTTGGATTACTTCATCAGGGCCTGGTTCTGGTTCGTTGATCGAAGTCGTCGAGTGGTCGTCGTGATCTCTTTGTATGAATAGCAAGAATTCACATCCGTGGGCAGAGTAGTCTCCCACCCAGATTCCCTGATATGGCTTTTCCCTCGTAGGTGTATACAGACTTGGGTCCAGTGTACCATAAGTCGACAATGTCTCGCTTCGACCCGCGGTAAACATAGGCATACCGAGACGAAAATGCGCCCAGCGTCGAATGCGGAACGCATGCTCAGATATCTGTGCTGAATCTCGGCAACGCTGATTTCCATTCGATCGATGCCCTTCCATCTCAACATCGCGATAGACACGATGATCACTGGGGATGGTCGGCGGAGGCCACTGCTTGTTAGAATCCACTGGCGGGTGTGGGGGCAACTCTGGAGAACACAGCGAAAACGCATTAAACACATGCTGCGTCTCTATCGCCATTGGCATACGAGTCTCGCCATGGCAATATCTGGGCAGCTGGCCTTCAGTGTTCTTCAGAAGAAGCACCGGGTCGTCCAGCCAAAGACTGACCTTGGGATGGAATGTTTGTATTATGACGTCCGGATTCCACTCCCATACCTGAAACTGATTTCCCCGTCGCTCAGCAATGACCCGATATGCCTCAATGACTCCCCTTCGTGGATCAAACCGCGCCAGAATCAGATTTCCAGTGTGTTCAGTATCCGAGAACCAGATCTTATTTCGTGGGATGAACCAGCAAGGGTGATAAGCGACGTATAGAGCGCGAAATGATTCAAAGGGACTGGCACTGTAGATCTTGAAGGGTAGGTATAAATTAACCACGTCCGCCCACAAAAGATCATTCGTTGTGTGTCCAGCGAGGGAGCGGCAAGTGAGCGACACTCGAGCCAGGTCCGTTGCTGAGAGATACGACAGGATCTGATGAAGTAGCTCGGGAGGCAGTCGCACGAGAGATGAGCATGAGTTATCTTGAATACCTGAGCTTGTGTTCAATCCTCCAGGTACCTTGGGTTGCTCTTGTGCTTGCTCCTGCTCGTGTTGTGGGTCGCCAGGCACTGGGGTTAACGAGGCAGAGTCCCCCACAGTAACTGATCCACCATCCATGGCTGCGGGATTGCGGTCGCGCTCGGTGGTTTCCGAGATGTCAGTCTTCAATCTTCCCCCAGAGTCTGTAGAGAATAATATGAATGCTTCGTGAATAAGACGAAAGACAAACAAAGGAGAGGTATCTCAAATGGTAGCACTTCGGAGCTTGCATGTCAGCTTGCGTGGAAGTTGACAAATGACATCATGGGGGACAGGCGACAGGACAATAATCAATGGAATCAAGATGGCTCGTCCCAATTCGCAGTTGTAGTAGTTGCTAGGACAATTCTAAGTAAGGAGGTTTCTGGATACAAGATCGTGAGGTTTTCTCTCCTACGAGTCGGCGGGGGCGACGACAAGCTGCTCTGCAAGGTGAAGGTGACAGGAGTTACGAGGGGGAAGTTAGTTGATGAGCTGCCCAGTTGGTGCTGCTCGGTTATCGATAAGATAAGCCCCCACAGCCCACACACGCAAGATGGCGATAACATCAGCTTATCGGAGCATTCGGCAGCCATATGGTAGTGGTACGGACTACGGAGTAGTAGATACAGGGATAGTTATCAGTCGATCTCTCCGTCCACTACTACTCAAGGATCATCATGATCACCTTTTTCTTTGGTCGATTCGTAGAGACTGACGAGCTCCCCTATCACAAGCAGTGCGAGGCAGGCTCTAGGCACCAGTCACCTGACTGAAGTTGCTTGTTTACTCTTTCCCAAATCGGGAAATATGGATCCATACCGACGCGTAGAGAAGGCACCACTGAGGATTGCTGCCTGTGCCTTCCTTCTTGGGACGAATCAGGGCTGACCCCCTCGCTGTTTTGTCTCATCTGCAGACTCACTTTCGTGCTATACATACATAGAGAAAGTGTTCCAGCTGCCCTCGATCACGCCTGTTGTTTGTTTATCTTGCCCATGGAGCATATGTTCTCCAAGGCTCGTCTCCCAATCTATAGAGCTAACTGAACTGTATCATCGTTGATGACCATCTCCGTCAAGACTGCTATCAAAAAAAAAAGCCGTAAGAGATTCATATCCTACATCTACGGCCTCTCAAGTATCAAGATTGTTGATCAAACTTCAGACACCATCATGACTGTCAGAGTGACTCGCAGCCAGAGTCGAAAGACCTCGGTCCCCCACTCCGAATCTCACTCTCCAGAGTCTTGCAAGAGAAAGAACGAGTTCGAAGATCCTCCCACCTGTGGCAATGTCCACAGGGTAAGCGGACTCTCATCTTGCAAAACCCCTCAGAGGCAGAATAAGAGGGTTCGAATCTCAGATCCTGGTCCTCAGCTGCAAAACTGCTTCGACTATTCTACCGGGTTGACGCCTGCGCTGCTTCGCACCTCGTTTGAGGACTCAGGAGATACCGACCCTGTCATTCGAACTCCTAGCCGGCGGCGCTCAGCCCCGCTAGCACGCCCTCGGTACCTGCAGGACCCTTCTTTCCCTGTCAATCGAGTCCCTGCAGAGCGAGTGGTACAGTTCACACCCTTGCGGCAGATCCTAGACCCTCGGACCCAAAGAAGGCTTAGGCGCATAGGGCTCAGTGACGAGATCAACCACATCGAGCGCGAGAAACGTGAAACGGCCTACTATGAAAAGACCTTGCAATCCTTGTTGCGCGAAAGAGACGCGTTGAAGCAAGAGCTTGAGTTGACGAGAGCCACGCAAACTGAACACCAATCCTCGCCGCCAGAGCATGAAGCTATGAACATGTCCCCCCAGACCAGAATCGAGCATCTAGAGGCTGAAAATGATCGCCTTAGGGAGAAAGTATCATTTTCCTCTTTTCAGCATGCTGATGACCAATGCTCTGTCGCAAATAGTGACACCGGTACCATTGACACCATTATCATCAATGACAGTGCATTCGAAGGAGACACGATCTTGATGTCAAACTCACCCGATATTCACGCCTTTGATGGGGACCAGTGCCCCATTCCAAATGATCTTTCGCAGGTGCTCGATCAAGGCACGGCGGCTGTTGACTACACTCAACTTCGCTCATCTGACAATGAGAACGGAGACGATTTACGCGATCTCTCGCTCGACCTAGAGGCTGCAAGAAGAGAAAAAAGGAACCTATTCGACTCCTGTCGCGCTCACTCCACAACCTTCGATGGCACCGAACTTAGCCAGCATCTTCACCAATCCTCTCCGCCTCCAGATTTCGTGGTTCAAGTCGTGTCTGCCCTCACAACGGCCGTTGGCCGTGCCTCAGATGCTGTCGGCGCACTCAATTCGGCAGCGGATGAGCTTTCGAGCCTGGGTTTTTCGGGACAGACCGTGTATGAGATCCTTACCGAGATACGGCATCGCTTTCGTGCAGCTCGCCTTAGCCTGGAGCGTGCAGTCCCAGGTGAGACAGCCAATGCAGGCCTGGTCGATGGAAGTGCCACGTTAAGCGCGTTGGTGGATCGGGTGGAACTGTTGGTGAAGGACCTAGGCGAAGAGCGTAATGCCCATCGGGGTTCATTGGGTCGGGAGAAGGCCCTGCGTGGCCAATTTGATACTCTGCTGGTTCGCAATGAGGCTGCAAGCAGAAGAATCCAGGGTCTAGAGGAGACGATCACGTCTTCTGCGAGCGACATGCTACACACGAGGGTTCGGATGCAGGAGCTCGAGCGCGAAGGCAACGAACAGTCTGTCAGTATCGACAGGTTGAACGAAGCACTCAAGAAGTATTGCGAGGAGGTGAAGGGACTTGAGGCCCTTGTGAATCAACTCGAGACAGAGAAGATTGCTTCCCGAGAACAGCACAACCAGCGCGTCTCGCAGCTCGAGGCCAAAATTGCGAGTGACGAGAAGGCACGTGCTGTAGCTAACATAACTATTGCTGAGCGGGAAGAGCGCATTCGTCAGCTGGAAGAGACGGTCCAGCTGAATCAGATTCGCTCATGCGATTTGACTGCGAAGGTTGAATCTCTTGAAAAGGAACGTCACGACACTCTTGAGAGCTTGAAGCAGAAGCTCGCTGAGCAGCTCCAGCACCACGAAAACGAGATTGGGCTCATGAACGTCCGGGTCTCAGAGCTGACCACTTCTCTGGAAGCGGCCAAGTCAGAAGCAGAGAACTTACGTCGAAGTAACGCGGGCCTGGAGGAGCAACTGCAACTGGAGATGGAGGCCAAAGCTGACTTGCTCGATAAGTGGGCTGCGGATCAAGCGCGGTCGTTTGCATTCATGAAAGAGACAGTCAATTCGGAGCGACGCAAGGCAAGGGTGCGCGCTGCGAATTGGGAACTGCAGTCCGATGATCTTCAATCGGACGGCACAATGCTTCCTAGCGAGCCGATTACGCCCGTGAGCATGGCCCGATTTGTTGATGTCGAAGTCGGACGAGGCAAGCATCGAAAGCGACTTGACAGTGGCATTGGTATCTTGACCGAGGATGACCTTTTGAACGACGACGGAGACAATGGGCGGGAGCCTCCTTTGGATATCAATCTTTTGCCCTCTGACCCACCCAATCTCTGATGTTTCTTCGATATAGCTGTTTTTTTGCTTTTGTAATCTAGTTCTTGGTCCATCTTTGCTGCCTTGCCCCGATCTAGTTTGGCTACTCTGTTGACTTTGGGTATATTAAATGTACAATCCATATTCACTATTTTTTCAGACTGGAGATCCTTTGAGAGTCAAAATACTTGTTACGATCATTGTTGTTCTTCAACTGCTCGTTGCAAATTTCCTGTTGAGATGCATTATTGATAAGGCTGGCTAAGAACAGCTGACGATGACGACGGCGGGTGTTCATCAACAACAGCCCGAGTCTTGTTCAGAATCAAGAATCAGCATCGGTGATGATAGCCCCATGGTGATCCCAGAGGTCATCAATACATATATATCTTGAGTCTAGATACTTAGTTTACTAACAACATACTGCTAATTTTAAAGATAGTTCAGGGACACTGGAGCATTTACATACCCCGCAGCCTGTTTGATATTACCACGAAGCTCCCTTTACAAAACTAGCAGCCAAGATGACGGGCCATACTCAAGCCCATAAGTATCGATTGAAGGTCACTGCCGGAACGGAATACAATCCAGATACACATGAGATCGTCCCAGTCAACGCTGACCAGAGCTTACGCATTGAGAACGAGCATGCGACGGTGAGCCTCTGTGTCCGAATCCAGAAGTACACCGGTGAGTCAAACACCATCAAGGATACTTCAAGTCCTCATGAAGGAAAAGAAAGCTGATCGATCTAATCCCATAGGCTATCCTGACGACTCCCCCAAGACAAATCCCTACTTCTCGCACCCCCTCCACCAAGACGACCAATACTCCATCTCCTTCTCCATCGTCTTCAAGCACCCCGTCAACGGCAACGACCTTCTCTTCGGCAACGACTTCGACCGTCCTATCCGCTCTCGCCTCCCACCAGGCTTCAACGCCGCCCTCCATCTTGTGAAATGGACCCTCGACCCGGCTATGGACGGTGACGCCTACGCCGACAAACCATACTTGTACAGTCCCGCCGTGGCTTCGCTGAACCAGCTGCGCATAGGCGATAAGATCCAGAAGGGCGCTGAGGTGCCCACTGTGCACGACGTGGTGGTGGAAGAAGGCGCGGACGGGTCCGGCGCAGAGGAGCGTGCAGCTCGCGGGATCCCCAATTCAGTCGCGGGGCGGCGCAAGTTCTTCCTGAGTGAGGAGGAGAGGAAGAAGTTTGAGTTTGAGCCCGGGAGGGTGTACTCGGCGGATTTTGGGAATCCGTATCTAGTGTTCAACGGTGAGTTGCCTCCTTCTTTTTCTCAGCTTCCAGGAGATTGTTCGATGATATGTGAGGATGGATGGGCTAATTTTGCGTCTTGTAATGGTGGTGTAGATTTCTCACTGCGGCTTCCTGGCTTCACGGTCCACGCGACCAAGTATATCGATGAGAAGAACCATTACTTGCGGTATGTGCTGAAGGATCGGAGTACCAATGAAGTCTACTTTGTGGTGCTGTTTACGCTGGTCCTGCTTGGGACAGAGGAAGAGCCCGGCCATAAGGAGCGCATTGAGCAGGAGATTCAGGAGAGTAAGGCGAGGAACGAGCAAACGAATGGGAGTTTGGGCAAGTTTGACTGGGAGCCGGAACCGGCTGCTGGGGATGTGGAGTAAGATGTATACATTCTTAACATATGCATGAGGGATGGGTGGAAGAGTGGGAGACGCGCAGGCGTATAAGATAGATGGGCTCGAGGTTAAACTCTTTTTTTTTGCCCTTCTTCCAGCGGTCAACGCCCTGATCTATACTCCTACATACATACATACATACATACATACATAAATGTCTTGTTTTTTCTGTTTTGAGTGTCGATCTACAGTCTCTTGAGAACATCGTCCAGAACCTCCTGGGTAGTAGCCTTGCCGCCCATGTCGGGAGACAGGTACTTGCCCTCGATCAGGTTACCATCAACAGCGGCGTAGATCTTGGCGGCGGCCTGCGCCTCGCCCAAGAACTCCAGCATCAGGGCGACGCTGCGCAGGGTAGCGATGGGGTTGGCGATGCCCTTGCCCTCGATGTCGGGGGCGCTGCCGTGGCAGGGCTCGCCGATGGCGAAGCCATCACCGACGTTGGCGCTGGGCACGAGACCCAAGCTGCCGACGAGAGCGGCAGCGCCGTCGGACAGGATGTCGCCGTACAGGTTGGGGGCGACGATGACGTCGTAGTACTCGGGCTGGCGGAAGAGCTTGTAGACCATGGAGTCAACGATCTGCTCCTCGACCTCGATGGAGGCGAAGCGGTCCGCGGCCAGGGCCCTGCGGGCGGTCTCGCGGAACAGGCCGTCGGTCTGCGAGAGCACGTTGGACTTGTGCGTGATGGTCACCATGGGCTTGGTGCGGAGGCTCGAGTCGCCGCTGGCGTCGCGGATCTGCTGCCGGCGGAGGGCGATCTCGCCGGCAATGGTGGAGATGCGGAACGAGGCCCGCTCGGAGATCCGCTTGATCGCCTCGGCGACCTTGCCCTCGGGGGTCTCCCGGGTCGTCTCCTCCTTGACGTAGAGATCCTCGGTGTTCTCGCGGACGATGACCAGGTCAATAGGCTTGCCGCTGCCGGCGGTGGACTTGACGGGGCGCACATTGGCGTAGAGGTCCAGCTTCTTGCGCAGAGCGACGATGGGGGACGAGTAGCCGGCGACCTTGGTGCTGGGGGAGCTACATGACTGTCAATTTCACCTCCTTTCAGTGGGTCTGGGGTTAAAGGTGACCGACCTGACTGCGCCGAACAGGGCACCGTCGCACTCCTTCTTCAGGGTGTCCACAGTCTTGTCGGGCAGAGCAGTACCGGTCTTCTTGAATGTGTCGAAACCAGCCTCGAGATCGACGAAGCTGAACTTGAGGTTCAGGGACGAAGGAAGCGACTCCAGTACCCGTCTACCGGCCTAAATTTCGCAGGGTGTCAGATCGCAATTATCTTTTGCGCAGGTCTTTTGAGTCGTTGTTGGCTGGCATACCGGAATGACCTCCCGCCCGATACCGTCTCCGGGGATGAGACCTGAAGAGCAGACATGTCAGCTAAGAGTCATAATATGAAGCTTGGGATTGAGAGCCAATTGACCTATGCGAAGCGTCCTAGCAGCAGCCATTGTGAGGGATCCGGCGTTATTTGTGACTCTTTTTTTTTTATTTTTGGTCTTTCCACCTGGTCGAAGGAGAGTTCCGATAAACGGAGTGGAAATGCTGGGGATTATTTGTATGACACTTGCAGGAAGAATGTTGATCCGCGACAGTTCGAGTCATTTCGGGGAAATGGATACAGATACTTCTACTCCGTACACAAGTTACATCCTCGACCTATGTGATGAACGTTTTGCATAGAAGGCAATACCAATTTTTTATTTAATGTGCATGAATCACTTTGAGGTCTATTTCCCGTTGGTGCTGTGATCCAACCTTTGAGTCGGTGTTGATGTCCCTGTTGTACAGTATATGTACCAGTGTCACTCGAAAAGCGTCATCTTTCCACTGCATCAGTTCAGTTGTTCGTCGTTCTGGTCCCAATTTTTTGTAAAATCCAAGACCAGTCCAGAGGATGTCTCATTATTGGTCTAGACATCAAGACTATAGTCTACTGTCTACATACTGCATTACCCACTGTCATGCAGCCGAGGCATGCCCAAATGATTCGACACTGCCCAGCTGTACTACTGCATGGGAACTCAAGTTCCACCACATTCACAACGTAGCAGACCACCATCCTGGTGAGATTGCATCAAGGATGATAACTAACCTCTGTGGTGTCTGGTCCATCAGGCAGGGAGTAAACAATATAGTGTCAATAGTGGCCGGAACTATAGGATCCCTTTGATGATGCCTTGGTTAAATAGAGAGACTTACAGACTATCGATCTATCTACTTCCATGCTCATGCTCCTTGATCATTTCACTGCCGCTGGCATCGGTGCTGCTGATGATCATGATATAGATGATAATCACTATTTAGGAGGCTGTCCCTAACTAACTACGGAGTACACAGTAGTAACTATCTACATCAAATCAAACCCTTCATAAACTAAAAATTGGATACTAATGAGAATTGTTACAAAATTACTCAACGTGAAGCCGCGGATCCGCCCCCTGAAACTGCTGCCTCAGGCTTCCCTCCAACCTCTCCTGTTCTTCTTCTTCCGCCAAACTTCTGGAACTTTGGACTCTTTCTCCCTCCTTTCTTTTCCCTATCCTTGGTCTTATCGCTCATTATCCGCCCTCTTCATCTTTCTGCTATCATTGCCATGGTTGATCCCAGAGACCTGGATCTGTCTCAAAGCCAGTGACAGTTGTTTTGACGCAGGACCCTAATCTCCCTGTTGGTCGTTGACTGCTGTTTATATCACGTCAACCCAAGCCCACCCCTCCTGTTCTCCGACACCCGTGTTTCAAAGCCTCGTTGCCATCTGGCCTTTTTCGCGAAATTTATCTAGCGTCCTAATCTTAAACTCGTCTATCGTCCTGGTGTGACACGCGTCAGTTGCCCAAGCCCTGATCTCTGGGTCGTGTCGCCTGGTCTATGTCTATCTGCCCCGTCGCCATACCCCTCGACTTCTCGTCGCTTTAGAACACACCATGACGGACACTGGGGCGCATCCTGGTGTGCGAAGCCTGCTGGCCAGATTCGAAAACAACAACCAGAGCAGCTCTACCTCCCCTGCCCCTCGTGGTCGATCGCCGATCCCATCAGATAACCAGGGAACCGGCCAGCCTCTGTCCAAGGTTCGCGCAAGTTTTATATCCGTTGATAAAACTTCCCATGGAAGTCTGGTCCCAGAGTTACGGACCGCGAGCAGTCCCATCGATGGCCCGTCTAGGGTGAGGAGCTTCAACTCCGAGGATTTCGAGGCCGCTCTGAAAAGTCCCGTATCTTCGTCCCCGAGCACTGGCCAGGAAGTCGCGGATATAGCTGTCACAGACCAATCTGCAAAGGATCCTTCCTCGACCAATAATGTACACAAGAAACAAGCGCCACCTTCCTCCGATAGCAGTGGTGCGAAATCGATAGAGAGCGCGACATCGAAGACCAAAGGTCAACCCAACTCACGGGCCTCGGCAGAGACAGCCGGCGCTCAGTCACCGCAGAAGCCAACTAAAACAGTCACGAAGCGACCTTCGAACATAAACGTTGGTAGAACCACTGCCACCACCAAGTCCTCGCCCACCATCTCGCAGAGATCGCCAGGACAGTCGCGCCCGCCAACCTCGCCCACCAAACTGGGCACCGACAAATTCTCCAAATTGACTAGCTCTACGAAATCGACCGTGACGAAGAATGGCAACCTCGAACCCACCCGAACCGCCACTCACAAGCCAAGCCGAACCACCTTGAACGCTGCTACCAAGACTGCGACTCGTCCTGTTCGTTCTTCTATGCCCGCGCGTGAGAGTACGAGGCCCACGACAAGCTCGGCTGGTGTCGGCAATGGCCACTCCAAGTCCCCAGTCAGGTCCGCTCGTTTGCCAGCCTCGAGAACGACCTCGGCTCTGTCTACCGCCGCCAAATCAGGATCCGCTCACACCCTGACTCGGAAGCCGTCGACATTGAAAAAGACAGTCGACGGAAGTCAGTCGCGAGCAACAACGCCTACTGCTGCCAGTATCCGCAAGCAAGCGTCTCGCCCGTCCCTTCCCAGTAGTTCAGGCTCCGACAGACCTCATTCACGGGCCAGCAATGGCAGTACCAAGCCCGCTGATGACAGTTTTCTGGCCCGGATGATGCGTCCTACAGCCAGCTCTGCCAGCAAGGTGCACGATAAGGTCGAAGTGAAGAGCCCTCCCAGTGCTACCAGAACGACTCGAGCTCCGAGGAAAGCTCCCTCAAAGATTGACCCTCGATCAGCCCATCGGTTGATGGAGAAGACCGGTCAAGGAAAGACCCAGGAGAACAAGCCACAGACCGCCCCGGCTGAGCGGACTGCTTCCAAGAAAGAGCTACAGGCAGCGGCTCCGTTGCCGGAGGAAACTGAAAACCAACACGATGTAAAGCCCCAGGCCGAGGTTTCCGATGAACTCCTCGAGTGTACCCCCGATATCGTTGTAAGACCTCATGAGGAATCTGCTGAATCGGTGGCTACTGGGATTGCGGAGGACTCCGTTGCCGCTTCGGCCGAGCCTTCAATCGCTCCCGCCTCGGAGGTGCCAGTTGAAGAGTCCGCCGCACTCCAGGCTGATGAGCCAGTTGAGCAGCCCCTTGAAGCAATTCCCGAACAGCCCTTGGATGTGGATGAGTCGAAACCTCAAGAGCACATTGCGTCTGTACCGGACTCAGTCGTCCCAGAGGCAGCTGAGGCTCAGCCAGAGACTCCTAGCAGCCCTGAAACCGAGGTGGCCAAGGAGCCTGTTAGCCTCGATATTCCAGTCGAATCTGTCCCAGCTGCGTCGCCTGAGCTTCCAACCGAGGTTCTCTCAAGCGAGACTGAACCCAAGCCGGAAGACGTTGCTAATGAGATGGAGAAATTGACCATCAATTAAACAGAACAGAGCCTATTTGGATTTGGCCCTGCGGTATTGGACATTAAGATACTCTAATCCTTTATCTCTTCTAATTTTCTTCTTCCCTGTCATTTCTTGATCTACTTGTCATACCCTTGGCTGGTATACCCAATCTGGCTATAATGCCTTTCTCCCGTTTTTTGAACTCCTTTCGTTCGCGCGAATCCTTGACCTCAAGGGCGCATCACTTTGTTTCTCTTCTGTTTGAGCAGGACCGATCACGTCGGAGCATACATTTGGTGGAGTTGCGTTCAGGATTATGTTGAGCTCTAGCGTCATTGCATCGCATCCTTTGCATTTGTACTGAGTAGGAGTATTCTTTTTCGAGGTTCATAACTTGTGTCTATTGATTTTGTTTTTCTCATTTTTCCTCTTCTCTTCGTTTCTTGTTCATATTAGTATGGAATCGACATATCAAGATCTCTTTGTTAATCACCTTGACATTGCACCGAGCTTCCAATAGCTTAGATGGGAAGATTTTTAATAGGAGATCTGTGCTGGGATATATCTCACGAGAGCGCACGGTACCAGAAACGAGAGGATACCAGCAAAAAGTAGAAATAATATACGCTAATAATATCACCAAACCCCAATCACAAGAGATACAACGCAACCAGACTAAGGCTCCATGTTCAGAACTTCCTCTCGAGCTTCTTGAGAAACCGGTTTACACTACTCTCGACCCGCGACGCGCCGTTCTCGAAAGTGCGCGACCGCTGTGTCGGGTTCTGCACGGCTTTCTGCGCATACTTCTGCGCATGGGAATTAGCCTCCGCTTCGGTCGGCCGGTAGAGCTGTTTGTGCATGTCGTAGCCGCCTGCTGAGGCCGTGGACGGCGGGGCCGCTTCGTAGGAGTAATTCGAGTAGCCGCCGATAGGCGGGGGAGAAGTAGGCTGGACTTGAGTAGGGGGTGGGGGGGTATAGAGACTCTGGCCGTAGAGGTGGGCGTTGGGATCGACGGGCGGAGGAGCAAAGGACATTGTTGTTCCTGCTTGAGTGACAGGCTGGCCGCTGCCGACGAGGAACGCAGGGGTATACGAGGGAACACCCGGCGGGCTCTGGATGGATGACCGCGAAGAGAAGGAGCCCGAGTGAGTCAGACCGGCGCTTGGGGGTGGCGAGGCGTAGCTTCCGGGTAGCGAGTAAGGGACACCCTGACTCGGGGGAGGCGCATAGCCTCCTCCGAAAAGCTGGGTCGGGGGTGTCATCGGGGCACCACTGTCTACTGCCGCTGCTGCTGCGAGTCCAGTTCCGTCTGCGGCATCGATTGGTGGTGGGGTTTTCTCGCGGTGCTGGATTGGTTCAGGAGCGGCAGGAGCAGCAGGATTATATGGCAGAGGGGTGAATTGAGCAACTTCCTGTGGCTGGACCGTCACAGGCATGTGTTGTGCGACGCTCACTGGTCGAGGAGGCGGAAGAACGGGTGAGGCTGCGGCGGCATGAGACGCAGGATTGGGAGGAGCTTCGGATCGAGAGTTGGGGGTTTGTCCATTCTGATAAGCAGGGTCCGTGATTGCCACGTTCTCTAGCTGTTGCACAACCGAACTGGCTGTAACTTCTGTAGGAGCCGGAAAGGGGTGCCTGTCCGTATCAATCTGCGACTGAGATAAGTATCGTTCCGCCACATCCAAGAACGAATTTGCATCGTCTATGGTCCAGAAATAGATGTCTAGTGTATGAAGACGTTGAAGGTCTGTGTTGCCACCTTGGGCATCGCTTTTAGGTAAGTGCCATTCGTATAGATTGGTACTCGGCGGAGGTGGAAACTCCTGGGGCGTCTGCTGACTGTAATTATCTACAGTGAGAGTACAAAGAGTCGGGAAGGTAGTGGAATGACGCAGGTGGACGTGGTCCAACGCTAAAGCCAAGTGAGCAGGTTAACCGTGGTGCCCTAGCAGAGATACTGACCTCCATTGAAAGCATCTTGGTCTGAAGTTCCAGGGTTATTGGCAACTTCGACCCTTAATTTCTGTGATGAAGCATTGTGGTAGAGGTAAAAGTATGAACCCTTATCAAACCGGTGATACAAAGGTTTGGGAGTAGGTGCTGTGAAATAATAATGGATATCGGCAAATCTGCCACGGTATCAAATCAGATACCTTGACTCCATGCAGACAGATTGAAGCCGCATCATAGTCTGCGGGGTAATGAGGCTACTTACACGGTCAGCATACGCTCTTCACCTGGCAACGGAGGCATGATGGTCTATCAATATATGTCGAGGGAGAGGGAAAGATGTCATGAAAGGGGAGGATAGACACAAAAATCACGAAGCTCGCAACGGAGAGATGAGGAATTGATTAAATAGCTATTCCACTGTGCTGAGGGGATGACTTACTGGACCTCTAACATGCAGCGTCTTGACGCCGAGCAGCCACGACGGCGCTTCGAGATGGGGAACGGAGGACGGTGATTAGTCGAGAGAGTTGTAGTATGGGATGATGAACATGTGACTTATGCCTCAGGTATCTAAGGCCCTCAGGCAGCTTCTTCGGAGCGGAGTCGGCGGCTCTTGTTTCTCCGAAAATTTCATCTGAGCTTCCGCATTATCTGGAGATCCTCTACAACAGACGCCATTTGATGATATCGAATTAGCGGAATCTGGTTGAAGCATTGAATTATTGATTGGGCGTGGAACTCTGTCAGGTAACCTCATATTCCTCAATCCTCGCAACTTCCAACAGCGCACGTTCTTACGGCCATCACCAGCATATTTGTCCATTGACCGATTTCCTGCGCCTGTTGCGATACCCAGGCCCGCTGTTGGGACCTTCATTGAAATCTCCCGACCTCCAAAATGTCTCTGGTCAACCTTGCCCACGTCTGTTCGCATCTGAACAATGCCTCCAAGGCCCGCCTTGGTCTCACATCAGTTCCTCATAGCAACCTACATCTGAAATTATGCCTCGCCCTTCAAAACTCCGGGTACATCTCTTCCGTTGTCCGTGGCGGTCCGACTCCTCCCCCGCCACATACTCTTCTTGGTCACCCGGCAGCAAATGATGAGGCCCAGGGCGTGGAGCCATTGACACAGGCCAACATTGCCTCGAGACGATTGTGGCTGGGATTGAAGTACTGGCAAAGTGAACCGGTGCTGGGGAAAATAAGCATGATCAGCAAGCCGACGAGAAGAATCACGATCGACGTTGCTGGACTTCGACGCGTGATCCGGGGAGAGAAGAGTGACTATGTGGAAGGGTTACGGTCGCCGGGCGAAAGCTTGTATCTTTCAACAGACCGAGGAATTTTGGAGGCGAGGGAGTGCGTCGAAAAGAAGCTGGGAGGATTGGTCCTTTGCAGGGTTCGTTAAACAAACGGACCTAATCGGCAATACGCGGTGGCTAACGCCTTGTCTTCGTGTGCGATTTTTGTATATTGTTGTGATTTGCATTGAATCCGGAGTTTGGGTTGGTCGCAATGTTTCCTCCCATTCTTGATTATACTGCGACAGCTGGGATGGATGCCTTCGTCCAAGGCTTTGTATAGTAACTTTTCTAGAATCTTTTATGTACTACTTATTTCTATCTATGACCTGACCGCCAAACCTCAGGTGCTATGTCTCTTCCTTTATAGGACCTGTGTGACCATGCCAAAGATCTACTCCTAGACAGTCATTGAGATAGAAAGACCAGCAAGAAGCCAACGTTGGTGGTAAGGTTGCACGTGCCTTGTCTTATGTGCCCCCTCCGCCGCCTTCATTGACAGTCTCGAGGATCACAAAAGCGCGAATGGAATGGGGGCTACGCTACCCATCTTCTCCTTCTACGAGATCACCACTGCTAGTGACCGGTCTCTAAGAGCTTTCGAGTTTATTGATGGTCGACCTCATGTTCCTGAAGTGGACGCCTTATTCTACTAAAGCCCTGGCATTTTACGCGCTGTTCATTGACAAGCGTCAAGACAGCAATCTTCGCTGCTTGGAGAAGTATTCTGATAGGAAATACCTGAGATGGCCGAAGTCAGACCTGCTTTAAAGAGCGTCCTTATAAATGGAGGAACTGGTTTCGTCGGCTCAGCTCTCACTAGAGTGCTCTCAGAAAAGCATCCTGAATGTGTCATTACTGTCATAGACCTCCACCAGCCTGGTCCCGTCCATCTGATTCCAGATGATGTTCTGTTCATTCGGGTCGACATCACCAATCCCGCCGAAGTTTCCAAGGCAATGCAGCAAGTCCAGCCAGACATTGTGATCCACACCGCTGGGGTTATTCCAGCTGTCAGTGAGCGTTTCTCACGGAGATTAGAAGATGATCTTCGGAAGATTATTGTCGATGGCACCAAAAATATGCTCAAAGCCGCCAAGTCGACAAAGGTCAAGGGATTCGTTTATACCGGTACATGCCGTATTATAACAAATGACATGGACAGATCTCACCCAAACATTGATGAGCCATGGCCCATTCCGCATTCCTCCCTCATATACGGCGAGTCTAAGGTTGCATCCACATCGCACGCTGTCAATCTCTGATTTGTAGGCCTTCGCCCGGTCTAACTAGTGTTTGTTCCCTGTTATATTTGGGCTGCTGCAGAAGCTATGGTGCTTCGAGAATCGAGCGATAGCATGGCTGCCTGTTCCCTTCGACCTTTCGTGCTCTGCGGACCTGGCGACTATCAGCTAGTGCCTGCGATACATGCAATGCATTGCAGAAAAAAGAGACTCCCTTTGTCGTCGGGAGCGGGCTAAATCTATGGGATATCACCTATGTCATAAATGTCGCAGACGCTCATGTTCTAGCCGCCAAGAACTTGATGACCTCCAAGACTGCCGCTGGTGAGGCCTTTTTCATTCAGAGTAATGAGCCCATCACCTTTCGGGACTTCTGCCTGGCAATATGGGCTCATTTCGGTCATGTTTCGTCGTTTGAGATCCATGTCCCTAGAGCATTGGCCTACCTTGTCAGGTTGATGTCCGAGTACTGGACATGGATGTCTGGTACCGCAGCGACCTTGAGCCGTGGGAGTGTGAAAGATGCATGCTCGACCCGGTAATTCTAGGGTATGAAGCTCGTGTTGGGATCGAGGAAGGCATTCGACTGAGTTGTGAGGTAGGTGCATATTCATAATGACCCCATGCAGTCATGCTCCTCTCCCACCAGAGTTCCAATTCTGATTCACTTCCAATATCAGAGGTACGCTTGTCGGTTGGGGATTGAATCGCTTGCTCTTAAGATTCCGCATTAGAAACAATAGGACCCCGCGTGAGGACCTGAAACGCCACTGACATTCTGTGGCATGTCATATCATCGATAGGTATTCCTTTCGTAGTTTCCCCTGAGATGTCCTCCGCCTCAATGTATTCCTTTGAAGCTGACCCTGTCAAAAGTCAATAGAAATCAATATCACAGGAAGCGTAAATTCAAAGGTGGAGACCTCGCTGACCTAGGACTTCCACTACCCCCGACTTTGAGCTCAAGCAGTATGAGGAGTGGATAGTGTGGCTTTTTTTTTTTTTTCCTGTCCAGGAATCCTCATGCTTCCAGGTTCCGGCTGTCCCAATAACTGATACAAACGAGGACTGATCGATGCGTTGGCCGAGGCTTGGGCCACTAAACATGCAGTGATTCGTATGCCCAATGGTTTCATGAATCAATGATCTTCTGGCAACGAAAGAAGATCCATGTCCTTTACAGTAAGAATTTGAGCCCAAAATCCAAGTTAGGGCCGCCATCAATTCCAAAACTCACCAAAATCACCTATCTTTTGATGATAATACTATGGTTTTGTTGCTCGATCTTTGATGGTTGCGTATACAATCGCCCAATGTATCTATATACCCAGCCCAACGGAACCATCGGACCATTTTGTGGAGATTCTGGTGTACAAGCGATAGCTTGATCGTCGAAGATGAATCTAATTCAGACCTACTATCGACGGAAAAAGCAAGGTTCAATGATGAAGGGAGAACCGCTCCCGGGATCATGGTGGAAGTCACGCAGCCAGCGTTACCTATCCGGGACCAATCGTGCATCTTCTGCTCCCACTTTGATTCATCCGGCCATCAACTTCAACCCACAATTCCCATCCATCAAGCCATCGACTTCACTCAAGCCCTGATTCTGAACAACTCAGCGCAACTAACGCAATATTCCAGCGCTCTCATTGATGCGTCAACGCCCCATGGGTCCCAGCTGTCGCTGTCCCGTCATCTAGTGGACAATCGCCCTGGTATTGCTGCCCAAAACTTTATGCGGCCCTGGATCCCGTTGCTCCTCTCTCTACTTCCCTTCTCTTCAGGTTCTTGCTTGAATGAGAATAGATCATCATGCAGAGGTGACATGGCTCTCACGTTGGGCGAAGTGCCTTTCATAGTTTCCTTCCAAGGCCATTGACTCCAGCTGATGGAAACATATCCACCTGATCCATCTGTGAGACCACCAAAGGTACCAGATTCAATGGTGATTTACTTCAGAAGCCTGGCTGGTTGGCCATAACGATTGCAAAATATTTGTCCATAGCGCCCTCTTTGCCTAATCCTTGTCAAGGAAGCGCAAAGAGTACCATTTATCTCTTTCCAACCCCGTGGACTAGCCTAAGCTGGTTCTTTCCTGCATGGGATTCTACTAAAGAGTACTTCTCCGCGGCTCTCTAGCACAAGTATACAGGCTCCCCCAGACACAAGCGGCACCTTCTTTTGAGTCCTTCTTTTGCCACTGATGCGGGGATCTTCGTATCTCACCTGTTCATTGTAATTTTGGATCTCAGAAGATCGAGAAGTCGCTTATCCGGTATGTTATCCATTGGCTCTTCTGCCAAGTATCCGCTGACTCCCTTACCCTTTTAGACAGCAGCTCTTCTTCATCCGTTCGGACTTATATTAGGGAGGATCCCAAACATTGATACAAAGACCTCGCACCTCTTCATCTTGTGTTCTCCCACCAGCGCACGATCATCTTCGTGATACTCTAATTGATATTGCTTCATGTCGACGGTTCTGCCGCCTCCCCTGATACCCATGTCTTCGGGTCTTAGTTCCTTTTCCGGAGCGACGTCTAGCAGCGGCTCTCGCTCTTTTTCCGTCGGCAGCGACTCTGATTCATGGTCTCGGCATGGGTAAGTCAAGATCCAACCTTAAATTGACATATTTCGTCAATTTCACCGGTTGTGTATCGTTTGAGGAAGCTCACATACTCTACAGTAGTTTCGTGCCTCCAAGGCCGCACATCTACGGGACCTCGGCTGAGGCACCCGTAATCTATCAACAAAGGTAATCATACTTCACGAGTTGTCTATCCCACACAACATGCTCCACTGATAGTTCTCCCGTGCTGAGATTATTCTACTCTCGGCTCAGTGCCAAAAGATGCTTCCCGCCTCCTCGCGAATATGCTTCAATGGACACCCAGATCCCAACCTCAGGCGCTCCAAAACAGCCATCACCGGACTTTGAATTTCGTGTAGCATATGGTGGGCTTCCAGGCATTCCACATACCTCTGGTGGCATGCCTTTCTCACCAGTTACATCACTTCCGCGCCCCGGCCCGCTGTACCGGGACTGGGATCACCCTGCGCGTCTCCCCTCGGAACCTCCCCGGCATGAATTCGAATTCGTCAAACCTTTGGAAATACAAGAATGCCTCGTTGAAAGAAATAGCAGGCGTAGCGCTGAAAAGGCCAAGGCTACTGCTCGTTACCATTCACAGAGACGGCCTTCGAACCGTGATGAGTTTGACGGACCCCACCAGTTGCTGAAGTTGCCATCCCCACGTGTCATAGAGGAGCAGGGGAGGGAGCTACCCCACTTGCCTACTAATCTTGATGTCTCAGAACAAGATCGGATCTTGAGCGGAGTGAACGACCGGCTGTCTCAATGTGCCTTTGACTTCGTTGCCAAGTATCAATTTCCAATCCCCTTGGAACCTGACAAGAGAGAGGTGAGGATTCCCTCGGACCGCGAGTGGACCGAATGGGTATATCTTCTGAAAAGACTGGCCACCAAGCGTCGCATCCCTGCTCGGGTACTCTACAATGGTCAGATCAAGCAACTGGTCACGGTATTGGAAAACTCACTTGAAATGAGGCATGCTGCCAAGCATCAATCCAGACCCATTAAGGATGACCGCAACGTGCTCCAGCTCATCTCAGCTGGTACGCAGGTTGCCAAAATGCTCAAAGATGCCAGTGCCATGGAATATCTAGACAAGCTCTATCTGGAAACTGAGCGACGTATTCAGGATCGGCGCAGCCGGCGCGTGAAATTTGTCAGCCCTTGAACCGACCTTGCTGATTTCCAATGCTCTTGTTCATTTCAATATGGCCAATTTATCTTCATCCCACAGGATTCACCCATTGGAAATCACCAGTCCATGCTTCTCCGTGGATTAATTACTATTGATCCTTGGAATTTACCGAACATAAGGAGCTCCACTGGAAATAAGCCTCTACTTCCCCAGGACGGATTGATTCTCCATATTTACCACATGGATGGGCCCAAAGGAAGTCCAATCGTGATGAGTGACAGGCACTCCAGCCAGCATCCCACGTACACATTGGCCCTAACTTTTGCTCTTAAGTTGAATTTCCCGCAAACCACGGATCCAGGATTGCCGATTGTTCCTAACCCATCATTGAGGATCTAATGAATGTATGTTTTCTTTGTACCGGTTTACTGGGTGGCCCAATCATTCTGAATCTTCTGCACTCCATTTGTCTTTTGGTTGGCACCCTTCGTTACCTTGAGAGCATTTCCTTCGTCCGTTTCTGTTCCCCCCTTCCTCTCAATACCCGGCCTGTGTCGCTTGTATACTACAAGTTTGGGTAACTGTCAGTGACTGAGTTGTTGCCGCATTCGTCCATTGGTTGCTGGGAGGACGTTTTTCTTGAGATTCGCTGTCAATTCTGCACGTTTTCATGTACCCTTGCTTAGGGACTCGTTTGAATCCTATATTTGTTTCCGGTGGCTCTGGTTTCCTGTCATTTTTTTTCAAAGTCCAGGGCTCAACTCACCTCTAGAGGATGTGTTCTACCACGTGTTCTACTTCAGAAATCATCGAGAAGGTAAGAAGGCCCAAGAAGGGAGCGGAAAGTGTAGAGGGAAAGCATGGCACAGCAACGAGAATGGCTCTACTGGCCTATTATCGTGTCAGTCGTTGGCTGTAAAAATAGCTGGGATTCTACTACGCTAGATGGCCACTTCATACTGGCAGATATACAGGAACCCTATCCTATGGATATCAGATTCCATGAACATTGGAAATTGACTGCTCCAGCTGATTCTTTCTCTGAAATCGGAAAACAAAATACCATGCAATATAAATGAGTTCTTGATGGGAAATGGTCTTTACTTCATTCATACAGCGCGCTGCATATATAGTTTGTTGAATATATCGAAATCACTGACCCCGGGGCATCTCATTGACCCCAAAATCGTACACCGCTGGTTGATACTGTCAGCTAACCTCAATACTAGGCTCGGAGACGTCCTCTGAGCTAGAGATTCTGTCCAAGCCGAAGCCGCAGCCTATCACTCCGCCTACGTATCGGATTGTGCCGTCTGGTACAAATGGTGGTTTGCTGTTAGCTGGTGTGCTGGGGCCAGGTACAATTGCAGTGACATTAGCCATTCTCATTCCTTTTTGCTTGAGGGAGGCGTCTGGGGTAGTAAGCCGGGTGCGGTGGGTTTCGGCAGTGACCCTTGAGGGGCGCTTTGGGAAGTGTGCTGGTCAGTGTGCTGGTCAGTGTCTGAGGTGGGCTATTGCAGGCGAGCGTCGTTGATAAGCGCAGTAGGAAGAGTGTCGAGAGCACTGATGATCATGGGAAGGTATGTTTCATCTGGTGCTGTTATACTCGCTCAACAGATGTCGGATGCGGGAGGTAGGTCCTTGTCTATCGCATCCCTTCTCGTCCTGGCCTGATGGCACGGCACAAGTGTCGGGCTTCCCCCCAAAGGTCTGACGGGACGCGTACTCCTCCGCAATACGGAGGCTGTAAATGCTGCCGCGTTGAAGGGTAGTCGGCTTTGGGGACTTTGGGAGCCGGGCTGCCGAGCCGCGTCATGAGAGCCGGTGTGTCGAAAGTAGGTACCTAGGTCGTGCTGGGTATCAATGCTGCAAATGTTTTGGTAACTCATGACAAGTACGGGTGATACCTATGCTTGCTGCTTGCTGGGCATGGAATGTCTCAGTCAGTCACATTTGACAGTCGTTTGGCATGTTGAGTACCATTTGCCGGATACATTCCGTTGCGCAATATCAGGCAGGGTCTTACAGGCCTACTTAATGACATTATCGTATTGGACAAAGAATAGGGACGGAAATGGAACAGCTAATACCATCCTCTTGAATGATGAAGTAGTTCTGATAAGAACTTTTGAGGAGTCTGTCAAAAGTTGATTACACGAGAAAAGACCCACCAAGCCGCCCGAATGGTCTAGTGGTATGATTCTTGCTTTGGGTTCCCATCCTGAATTGCAAGAGGCCCCGTGTTCGATCCACGGTTCGGGCCCATCTCTTTTTTCCCGGTTTCATATCTTTGTGATATACAGGCTTTTCCCCAATCTCTGTATGATTTTCTTGTGGATTGAGATTTTTTTTTTGTTAGTTCATACAAGAGAGAGAGCCTTGGCCTTGTACCACTATGTCAAAAGTGGTGCGGACCAGGCGAAAAAGCCTCGTTAAGTTGAGTGGCTGGTCAAACTCGAGGTGTCGATTGCTATCTACCACATATTACCTCGATAAAGGGCGGATATCAATCAGTCCATTATCGCTGTGAAGTATATAGTTCCTTCGTTGGCCCTTCATCATACTGTAGGCTCAATTGCTAGACGCTCGGGGCAATCAAAATATGTGCACGCACAGCATGTTTGTACTAATGATGTATCTGGTTCTTGGGGATAGCCAGGTTAAGCTCATTCAAAAAAGAAGGATGCTGATCAAAGTTCAAACAAAGATTGTGGCCAACATATCGCAACGATAGAATTGGGCTTAAGAAAAAGGAATGACAAAAAAGCAAAAAGATGGGCCCGAACCGTGGATCGAACACGGGGCCTCTTGCAATTCAGGATGGGAACCCAAAGCAAGAATCATACCACTAGACCATTCGGGCGAGTTTGTGACAGTGGCAAATTAACTAGCCATGTCGAGTCAATTCCTAATAACTCAGACATGGTAGTCTCCGCCTCTCTGTACCCTCTCCTCCAGTTTACAATTGTCGTCCTTGTCCCACAGGACTTGCATCAGAAACAGCATCGATTGCGCTTCAGGCAAATCTTGACCGGTCAATACCCACTGATCGGCTCGCTCAGATCCCTCGTCCAGAAAAACGGGCCAGCTGTTTTACAAGACGAGCAGCAAAGGAGGCGAGTAGCCTTTACTTCCAGTGCATCTCTCGGTTCGGCTTAGCACAGCAGGATTGCCACTAAAATTGAAACTCATATGCTATCCTAACCGCGTCATATATACATGCTCATATTGTAAAACGCTGTACAAAGCATATCTGCTCCAAGAACGAACAGGAAGAATGAAGGCTGAGATATGTGACATCAGAAGATCAAGCGTAAGCGGTGTTTCGGAAGAACTTCACCCAAATATGGCTTACGTGGCGCAGGCAGTAACGCATAAAGCAAAGCGGCGAATACTGCTTGGGATTCTTCCACATCATATAGCCAGCCACTCCCACAGCCGTGATAAACGTGGATCCCAATCCCAGACCAAGGACCGTTCCCTGTCTGCGGGCTAACTTGATGACATCTGAGTACCGCTGGTTGCTGAAGCTGACGCGAGAATACTGCGTCTGCCAGCCGAGGCTGGGGACGTACCGGTCGAGGATCTCTTCAATGGACTTGCGCAGTTTGTATAGAGGAGTTTTGACGCCCCATCGCATCTCCACGTAGTTTTCCTTGGAGAGGTCGTTGATGGCGTGCGTGTCTGCGCAACGCTGGTCCGTATATGCTTGGAAAGCCTTTTCGCGCGCTTCTCGGCGAGCTTCATGGCTTGCATCCAAGTCGTAGACGCTGTGCTTGTCAAGAACTTCGAACAAGACTCGGATGTCCTCGAGTCCAGCGTTGAGGCCCTGGCCATAGAACGGCAGAACAGCGTGGGCTGCGTCGCCGACGATGGCGACACTGGAACCAAAATGATGGGGCTTGCACTTCAAGCTGATCAGAGGGAGATGGGGGTTTGTTGCGAATTGCTCTTGCAGATCGGCTGGGGGTATGAGTTCTGGGGAAACGCCCGGGAAGTGGACATCGAAGAAATCAAGCAGCTTCTGTGGCGAGCTTGCCAGGTATGTGTAGTGAACTGCAGGGGCGAACAATGTACATGTGAAAGACTTGTCTGCTGATGGGAGGGCGATGAACATGAATTCCCTTCCAGGCCAGATATGGAGGTGGTTGGGTGAGATGCGGAACTCGCCATTCTCAGTTGGCGCAATGCGGAACTCACACCACAGTGTGTCGATGTACTCTTGCTGATAATCGACTCGGGCGAATTTCATCATGTGGTAGCGTACTGCAGAATGAGCGCCATCCGCACCGAGCATAAAGTCAAAGTCCACTTCGATTTCTGGCACACGGTTGGCGGAGTTAGGAAGAGGAGCCTCGCCTGGCACGCGGCGCTCAAACCAAGCTTTGTTTGCCCGGAAGTCGGCTCCCGTGAGTTTGTGGTTGAAGAACAACTTCACATTGGGTGTGTGCTCCAATTCGTCGAGAAGTGCATTGTTCAAAGTACTTCTGTCAACAGCGTTGATGGCCTGTGTAAGATAGTGTTAGTCATCACTTGCATGATACAGATATCCGAATTACTGACCCGACCATGAACATCGTATGCTTGTGCAGCTTCCCACAGCTGGCCACGGTCCTTACCATGGATCATCCGTCCATACATTGGAATTGTATCGCGGAGGACATTCTTGGTCAGCTCCTCCCGATTAGAGTGCTTCATGGCATTGATGCCACGCTCCGATAGGGCAAGATTGATGGATTTGGTGAAATTGAGTGGAATCGTCGATGGGTCACGAAGATCTGCATCCCATTAGTTGGCTGAAAAATGTGACATGTTCGAGTATGGCATCTGGCTAGGCTAGGCTAGGCATGCAAGGGATGCATATAGTGATGTCGTACAACACTTCAAGTCAGACATAAGAGTTTTAAACAACAACTCTCATGGAGACAGCCAGTTTAGAACAGATTGGACCTACCTCCACGTAATTCATACACCTCTACCTCATCCCCTCTAGCTGCAGCATATAGAGCCGCCAGTGACCCCACCGGACCAGCTCCCACGATGACCACCTTCTGTGGCTTCCGTACAGTGTCCGCCATGATGAATGGAGTTTGACAGAAGGCCACAAACAGTGAGAAATCACTCGACTTTCCTCAAGAAGAGAACGTCTCTGTCAGATTCTGCCACTACTCCTGCTGGACTCGTCCGGTGTGTCATGATCCCGCACGTGAGGGACGATATGCGATGTCGGAAATCCGCGGGGATACTTAACCCGATTCGGAAATTAACTTCTGGCTGCCGCGATTAAACGAGGCTTGGCGTTTTCATATTTTTTTGGCGTCCCTGTCATGCACTCACGCTAGCCTACTCTCGGCTAGGTCTCAATCCTTTTTGGCCTAGACTATATATGGTTAGCGTCATCCATATCTTACGGTAATTTTTGCTGCGGCGGTTCTGCGAAGGCTCCCACCTTTTTGGGATAAGATAATAAGATACCCAATCTACTACATCCTCTCTTCGCCTCGTATATACATTTGTCATTCTTTTCTTTGGTTTATCTCTTCATTCTGTCAATATGGCAGCCGAAGTTGCGGCTCGGAAATGTATGGGGGTGGACTGCGAAAACAATGCCGGAACTTTGCAGTGCCCGACATGCCTCAAGATGGGCACTGATAGCTTCTTCTGCTCGCAGGATTGTTTCAAGCGGAGTTGGGTACGCTACCTTGCGTGACCGTCCCGGTCTACTTGTGTTGATCTATTCTTGATAGCCGTTATATACTGACTTTGCGCGATCAGAGTGAGCACAAGACCATCCATAAGAAGAGTAATATCCTGTCCAACCTCTTCCCTCCAAAGGTAGTTTCTGAACCAGATCCAGCCACGGGACATTTCAACCCTTTCCCTTCGTTCCAGTTTACGGGACCCCTCCGACCTGTCTATCCTCTGTCTCCTATGCGAACGATCCCCAAATCCATTCCTCATCCCGACTACGCCAAGGATGGTATCCCTCGATCAGAGCAGAAGTTCGTCGGCCGCCACAACATCACCATCCTGAATAAGGAAGAGCAAGAAGGCATGCGAAAAGTCTGCCGCTTGGCGCGTGAGGTGCTGGATATCGCTGCTCGCGAAGTTCGTCCTGGCGTTACCACTGATCACATCGACGAGGTTGTGCATAAAGCATGCATTGAGCGCAATGTGAGTATCCCCATTGCTGATCTTCGATTACAGACAATGTGTTGCTAAGTGATCGATAGTCCTACCCATCGCCGTTGAACTACATGCATTTCCCCAAATCCGTATGCACGTCAATCAATGAGACCATCTGCCACGGAATCCCCGACCAGCGGCCTCTCGAGGATGGCGACATCGTCAACATCGACGTTACATTGTATCACAACGGGTTCCACGGCGATCTTAACGAAACTTACTACGTCGGCGACAAGGCACGCGCGAACCCCGACGCGGTTCGGGTTGTAGAAACCTCTCGAGAATGTCTTGAGAAATCAATTGCGCTAGTCAAGCCAGGAATGCTTTTCAGAGAACCCGGCAATGTGATTGACAACTATGCCAAGAGCCGGGGTTGTAGTACGGTTAAGAGCTATTGTGGACATGGTATCAACCAGCTGTTCCACTGTGCACCCAATGTTCCTCACTACGCCAAGAACAAGGCTGTCGGAACGGCGAAGCCTGGCATGTGCTTCACCATCGAGCCTATGATCAACCTTGGCACTCACCGTGATCGGACTTGGCCTGACGACTGGACCAGCACCACGGCGGATGGTGCTTTGTCTGCACAGTTTGAGCACACATTGCTCGTCACGGAAGACGGCGTGGAGGTTCTGACTGCTCGTCTGCCCGATTCACCTGGGGGCCCCATTCCCATGCCGGTCGCTGAGGAAGCTAAGCCAAGTGAAAACTGATGCAGAACATCTGTATTCTAGCATGACTGACAGTACCACGACCTCAAGACATGTCATTCAAGGCTTCTTCCCTGCTTTGTAGGTCGTAGTGACGAGGTGTCCGAACACGAGAATCTTCTGAATCCCTAGTTCGGCATCTGAAGTGCAACATTGTACTGCTTATCTCTAACTACTTGTACCACCTATATCCGCACCTGACGCGCGGCTCGGCATGTTTTCTGGGTTTCTTAGTTCGTGATTTACTGTCATTGGCAGCACTTTCAAGCTTTGATCGGCTGCGGCTACAGCCGAATCTGACACGTCACATCCTCTCGTATGTGTTCTTCTAGGTAACATGCAAGAACGAGCTATAGTGACCCAGGATTCATGTTGAGATGCTGCAATGCCGATAAGTGAGATTGTGACTCACAAGTCTTTCAATTTCCAAGGCGTGATTGCTTGCAATAAAGGTGTCATTGGTAGTCTGACTCTTATGAAGCTATTTGGAGAATCGGGTGCTCCTGCATTGCTTTTCGCGTCTAGTCTGCGATTTCGAAAGGAACTCCTGTATGCTAGGCATGATCATAAAAGTGTAGTCCCTGAATAATGTGGAATGTTAGGCTGTTGAGCTGTTGACTCTTCAGAGTACCAATTTGGAGTTGATGATCAATGAGGAGAAATCTAGCCTAACCAGGAAGGTGGGTAAGTAGGCCCGGGTGGTTGGAGATGGGAAGTTGACCGATTAAGCCGATCAGCCAATGGGATGGAGAGTATTTGTTCCTGCCTGAGTTTGTAATAAGGACGCAGTGGGGCCGCTTATCAGCACGTGACTTATTGTTCAGTTTTGGGAACTTCTTACTCTCTTCGCATCCAGCGAGGAATCCTTCGACTTGATTTATTCCAATTGCGCGCCGATTGCCGTTACCTAGACACACTGGTCGTCCAGAGATGTCTTCCGAGATAGCTCCGACAGAGACTTCCCCTCTGTTGGGACCGCAGACCGGCAATGCTCCTATTACTGGTGCAATCTCCAACAATGTCCTCCGAGATCCCGAGGCGGATTCATACAAGGATGACTTAGGACCGAGATATAACCTTCGATACATTGTCCCTGCCGTCTCTATTGGGGTATATTATTCAATGAGACGAAAATGGCTCTTTCGAACGTCTGCTAATATCAGGGAAATAGGTTTTCCTTTCCGCAGCTGACCAAACCATCATCATGGCTAGTTACGGTCAGATCGGATCGGACCTGAAAGCTCTCAATTTGACCAGCTGGGTGGCCACTTCGTATTTCATCACGCTGGCAAGCTTTCAGCCATTGTACGGAAAACTGTCCGACATATTTGGCAGGAGAACCTGTCTCTTGTTCGCATATGTTATTTTCGGACTCGGATGTTTGTTCTGCGGTCTGGCACGGAATATTCATGAATTGATCGCCGCTCGTGTATGTGGACAAATCCCCTTTTCCTGGTATGAATCTAAATGGATGCTCATGAGCTTCAAGGTTTTCCAAGGTATCGGAGGCGGCGGTATGACCACTGTTGTCAGCATCCTGATGAGTGATATCGTTCCTCTTCGGGATCGGGGAGTGTGGCAAGGCGTCATCAATATCATCTATGCCACCGGCTCGGGAACGGGAGCTCCTCTAGGTAAAAAATTCTTTTGATTTGATCTCAGACCGTTGGCTGATTTCCTCATCAGGTGGCATACTAGCAGATTACATTGGTTGGCGATGGTATGTCGATTGAGAAACCTATTCTGCGATTCATATCACTGATTCGAATTCTAGGGCCTTCCTCGCTCAAGTTCCACTCTGTATCCTTGCATTCCTAGCCGTCTCAATTATGTTGGACTTGCCTGCTGAAGAAGACAGCCACTGGAAGACCAAGCTGCGCCGTATCGATTTCCCCGGAGCTCTTGTTCTTGTTGGGGCTGTGGTTGGTCTCCTGCTGGGCCTTGACCGAGGCAGCAATGTCTCCTGGACGATACCGTTGACCATCGCTTCTCTGTCTGCCTCGATTGTCCTTTTGGTACTCTTCGTGGTGATTGAAGTCTACTTCGCCGCCGAGCCATTTGCCCCTGGCCATATCATCTTCAACCGGACCTTTTTTGCCAGCTATTGCTGTAACTTTTTCAGCTTCGGAGGTTGGATATCAGGACTCTTCTTCATACCCCTGTATTTCCAGGCTGTGGATGGCGTGTCCGCTACGGTTTCTGGTCTGCGCCTTCTCCCAAGTATATTGGCTGGTGTCACTGGATCTCTCTTCGCTGGCTACGTTATGAAGTGGACAGGAAAGTACTACTGGCTTACGATTATCGCATACGGCCTCCTGACTGTGGGCCTTACCATCATTTACTTTTTCTCGGGCGGACTGACAGAGAGACTTGTCCCTCTAATTCTTGGTATGGTGTGTTGCGCATTTGGAAATGGTATTGGTGTGACGACGACCTTGATTGCCCTGAGTAAGTGTCTCCAATCCGCGTTCCATACGCGAAAGTCTGCTGACTTGACCATTTAGTCTCAAACGCGACTCCCGAGGACCAGGCTGTTGTTACTGCCTGTTCATACCTCTTCCGCTCGTTGGGCTCTGTCATCGGTGTCTCGCTGTCCTCGACTGTGGTCCAGCAGGTTCTCCGTACCCGGCTCATCTCCGCCCTGCATGATAGCAGGGATATTGACCGCATCGTTGAAGGGGTGCGACAGAGTCTGGACTACATCAAGACACTTGATCCGGCAGTCGGAAAGATCGTCCGAGGCTGCTATGGAGCGGCAACCAACAAGGGCTTCGCCTTTATGGTTGGCGTAGTCTTCTTCTCCCTTGTGAGCAGTTTCTTCATCCGTGAGCGCAGGTTAAGTGGGTAAGAAAATGATGAAAAGAATTGCACGATATATATAGCCATATGGAATCAAAAGTTGACTATTGCTTTTGAACATGATGGCAATGTTAAGATTGAACATATCTAGAGCCAAGGCGTGACATGATATATAGAAACTATTATATAGAAACTATCTTTACAGGGGAAAGACCTGTGTAATAAAGATAGGGGAGATACAAATTCACTTATTGACTAGTATACAGGATTAGTATTTTATATAGGTCTACTGATGAGATAGATGCATTTGTCATTATCGTAGTTTGGATTGGGACTGACGATGATATTTCCTCAGGCGGCTGTGGCAGCCACCGCTTTAAACCGTTGCATTTTCCCGGACCACAACAGCTCGCAGCGTCTCTTTGACCAGACATCCAACCATTAGCACTGCAAGCATTCTTCTTTTGTTCCGATCTTAATTTTCCGGTTTTCCTTTTCTTCTCATCTGACAGATGTGATGATAATGAGCTCATTTCCATAGTTGTTGCAGTCGTTGCAAGCTAATTCCCTCCGGCATGCCGGCATCACAATCGCGACCAGTGTCGTTGACACGATATCGTCCTGCTCTGTACTTGCTCACCGGTGTTGCTGCAGCATACGCTATTGTATATATCCACAATAATGTCCTGTTTCCGTCAGCGCCCCAAACACCCCTGCGCCGTCGACGAGCCGTCCGCCGGAGACGAAACGACCCCGATGAAAGCGATGTCTTTGGCACCCCCTCATACCGAGCAATCGCTCACCTGGAACAACTAGAGCGTCAGAATGGAGTATACGGGACCTTCCGCATCGAGACGGAAGACGGGCGGCGCGTGGAGAGCGGCTTGCTTCCGTCGCTCCTGGCCACCCGTGACCAGTTGATGGAAGAGGTCGGCGTTCCGCAGGCCCACGCGGAGCGAATGCGCGAGATGATGGAGGAGACGTTTCTGGAGTCATTTCTTGCGCTCGATTTCCCGCCCACGCATACGGTCGAAGAGGGCAGTGCAGAGAGGAATTATCTCATGGAGCAGCTGCAGCGGCGGGGGATATCGCGGGTCGGGATTGAACGGGCTTTGGCTCGGTTTAATGAGGATATCAACTACGGTGAAGACTTGCGGCGGAGGCGTCAGAACGGGGAGCGGGTTACGCTGTCTACTTCTACGTTTCCCGAGGAATCGACACCCCCGCAGAATATGGATGGGGGTGAGACGGTGGTCGATGACCAAAGCGTTTTCTCGTGGCGGGAAGGGAACAATGAAACGTCTTCTGCGCAAGAGGGGCAGAATCTGCTCAATCTTCTCTATCATATTGCCGAGGATCAGGCGAGACGAGACGGCTATATTCATCGCGGAGTGACGTGCAATAGCTGCGGTGCTATGCCTATCCAAGGGATCCGGTACCGGTGTGCAAACTGCATTGATTACGATCTTTGTGAGACGTGTGAAGCGATGCAGGTGCATATCAAGACCCATTTGTTCTACAAGGTCCGCATTCCGGCTCCCTTCCTTGGGAATCCCCGGCAGTCACAACCGATATGGTATCCCGGGAAGCCGGCTATGCTGCCTAGGAGCTTGCCACGGTCATTCGCTAAGCGCTTGATGAAGGAGACCGGCTTTGAGAACACGGAATTGGATGCTCTCTGGGATCAGTTCCGGTGTCTAGCCAGCTATGAGTGGGCGGACGATCCGAACAAGTTGTACATGGCTATCGATCGCAAGACCTTTGATCGGTGCTTTGTGCCTAGCACCTCTGTCCGTCCTCCACCGCCATGTCTCATCTACGACCGTATGTTCTCATTCTACGATACAAACAATGATGGATTGATTGGGTTCGAGGAGTTCCTCAAGGGCCTTGCAAGCCTGAACAACAAGAGCAACGATGAAAGACTGCGGCGCGTTTTCCGTGGCTATGACATTGATGGAGATGGCTATGTGGAGCGCAAAGATTTCTTGCGGATCTTCCGCGCCTACTACGCTCTCAGCCGAGAGCTGACCAGAGACATGGTCGCTGGGATGGAAGACGACTTTCTTGAAGGAGGCGCGCGTGACGTTGTCCTTGGGAGCCAGCCTATCAGCTCAGCATTCCCTGGCAGTATTCCGGCAGGTGAACCATCCAGATCCGGCGAAGGAAAGCGGTTGAATGCAGAAGGAGATATGGTCATCGCTGATAACGAGGGCGTGCTGCGCCAAGATGGGGCCGACACAGGTGATCGACATGCCGTTGTCGCTGATGCGGCTGCCCGAAGCCACTTTCTCCGCGAAACTGGCACACCGATGTCCAGTGACCCGACCAGGCACCAAGGGCCGCGTGATATAGATTTCAATGGCACCGGTCATGGCGAGGATGAAGATGATGCGAGCTCCGACGAAGACGCGTCTAGCTCTTCGATTGTATCAAACTCTTGGCCTGCTGCAGAACATGTTCTCCCAGAAGATGTCGTCAATGCCCTTGGCGCTGCAGTTCCGTTTGAAGAGGTCACCGATCCCGTTGATAGAGCTCGTGTCAGTCAAGTAGCCTACTCGAGAATGGGGAGCGATTGGCGAAGACGTGAGCGAGAGGCACGCAGGCAAGGAATTGATGAGCGATGGAGGCGCAGGGCATTCTACACAGATGTAGAGGATGGTGCGACTACCCCCGAAGATTACGAGAGTGATCCGGATGTCGATGATTTGTCTGATGAGGACGGTGCTCTCGGTGGGCCTTCGGTGCTCGATTCTCACCCCCCATCTCCCCGCTCTCGATCGTCATCTAAGGTTCGATTCGAGGATGATCTTACCGAGGACTATGATGTACGGTCCAACCCTTCCACCTCATCCCGTAGTATCCCCGTGGGCGAGCGCTGGGGTGGTTTCGAGATCCCCGAGGTCGAGAGGGACGTGGGCAAAGAAATTCTATATCAGGTCACGCAGCAGGGGTTCAATGAGCTTCTCGATATCCTGTTCAAGCCGAAGGAGGACTTGCTCATGGAAGCGTATCGAACCCGCACCGAGCGCAAGATCTGGGCTCGCGAGATTGAGCTTGCAGAAATGATGGATCCCAAGAAGCAGTCTGCTCATGAGGGTGGACAGGAGTCGCGGTCATTGACAGATGAATCACTTCAAGAGCTACTGGACCGATCTGGATACTCTCTGAGAAGTTCACAGGCGGAATCAGTACAGCCTGGTCCTGTTTTGTCTCCGTCCCCTGTCTTGAGGAGTTTGGACGACGATGTGCGACCTGACCATCTTGCTGATCCGGAGGAAGACGCTGAATCAGTCGCCTCTGTTTCAGTGCAGGAAGAGTCTCTCGATCTCCAAGAGATAGATGAGCCATCGAGGCCCATGACGCCGGAGCTCCAAATCACGGGGGAAGCCAGCTCACCGGCCGAAACCCCAGACCACGATCCCACACTGCCGCAGCATCGCCCAAATGAAGAAACTCCCCTTGAAGTACGCGGTCTCTCGTCTTCTGAACTGGACGAATCTCTCTTCGTCCCCATGTCTGTTCACTCGCAATCTGACTTCCAACAGCAGCAGCAAACCCTCCCAGCCGGACTCCGCCTCCAGCCCAACGGCCATACCTCATTCCCCGCCCCCTCCTCAGTCGCAGCCTCCTCCCCAGACGCGGAAGCCACCGCGCCCAAAATGCCCCCGTCTCCCATCCAGCCTCTCCCACAGGCTGCGTCTTCCTCCGCCGCATCCCTCCCGCGACGCCACGGCCCCACCCTCCCGCCGTCCACGCTGACGCTCTCGCGCTGGGCGTATCTGAACCAGATCGAGCGGGAAGCGAAAGAGCGCGGCGGGAACGGAGCTAAGCTCAGCTTCGAAGAGTTCTCGCGCCGGATGGCTGCGGATCGTGGCCGGCGATTGGCGTTTATTGCTAGCTGGATTGAAATGGCTAGTTTTTGATGCGCTTTGCATTGGTGCTCGGCTTGTATCTATGTATAATAGGGATGGGAACTGCTGGTAACTCTGGAAGACTTATGAGACATTTATCGGGTGTTGGATAGGGGACTAGATCGGTAACGGCGGGTATAGGTGTTCTTAATCTAGTTGCAAATAGATCTAGCAGAAGTTGTTCTGTGATACCCTTGGAGATGCACTACCATCGCACGTATCCAATAAAGTTGATTGAATGATTACATTAGAGAACGCCTAATCCCAGTACTTGATGACACCCTCCAACCCACCGGTAACCACCTTGCTCGTCTCCTGCGGATGCCAGTCGAGACACGTGGTGGCGCCGCCCTCCTTGCCGCCGGCCATGATCTTGTGGTACATCTTGCCGGTCTTCCAGTCCCAGAAGCAGACATAGCCGCCGCTGTCGCCGGAGGCGATGAACTGGCCGTCGGGCGAGATCTTGAGGTCGACGGCGTAGCCGGCGTTGTTGTGGCCGCGGAAGCTCTTCTTGCGGTTCTGGCGGAACTTGTCGGTGGCGCCGTAGACGACGATCTGGTTGTCGCCGGACTGGAAGGCGACGTATTTGCCGTTGGGGTGGGGCGCGGCGCGGGTGAGGGCGAACATGTACGGCTCGGCGATGAACTTGATGGGCACGGGGATGCCGTACTCCCAGGCGCGCAGCGACTTGTCGTCGGAGGTGGAGATGAAGCGGCGGTTGTCGTCGACGAAGGTGATGGTGTTGATGGCGGCGAGGTGGTGGTCGTATTCCTGGACCAGCTCGCCGGAGCGCGTGTCGAACTGCACGATCTTCTTGTCCGACATGCCGGCCAGGAACTCGTGCGAGTGGTCCGCGCCTGGGTTGAAGCGGATCACGTGCGGCGTCTTGCCCGTCGAGAAGCGCCCGATGCACTTGCCGTACTCGGTGTCCCAGAGCTTCATCTGGCGGTCGAAGGAGGCCGTGAGGAAGGTCTTGCCCGACGGGTGGAAGTCCGTGTCCGTGATGGCTTTCGAGTGGCCCGAGAAGGTGCGCAGCAGCTCGCGCGAGTGATACACGTCCCAGATCTTGGCCTTGCCGTCCGCCGCCGAGCTGAGCAGCAGATGGCCCGACTGCGGGAAGAAGCGCAGCGACGTGATCGGCTTCGTGTGCGACTTCCACGTGTGGATGAGCTTCTTCGGCACGTAGTTCTTGACGCTGCCGATCTCCTTGTGCAGGTCCACGTCCAGATCCTGCGGCACATGCATGTACGTCCGGCCCAGGTAGTCGAACTGCTCGGACCCGTGGAACTCGGTCGTTTCCACCTTCGACGCGTCGTCCTGGTAGTCCGTCGCCGCCTTGCTCATCGCCGGCATGTGCGCAGGCGCAATCTCCTCCTCCTCTTCCTCCACGTATTCCTCATCGGTGCCCAGCTCCTGATCCGCCAGCGCCGCCTCCTCCTCATAGACATGGCCGTCATCCCGGTACTTGGCCCAGGGGCCCAGATACGCCCCGTCACCCTCCACGATGCTGGGATCGCCCTTCTTCTGCCGCTTGGCGCGCAGGGCCGCCGACACCTCCTTGGACGGCTTCATCTGGATCACATCCCGGCCGCCGTGCTGCGCCGCACTCCCCAGATCGCCCACGAACTGGCCCGGGGCCGAGGGATTGCGCGTGTACCCCAGGCTCTGGAACGTGCGGTGCTGCGCGGCGAACGTCGCTTCACTGATGGCGGCCTCTTCGGCGTATCCGGTGGGGACGTTCTTTCGTTTCAGGCCGGCGGCCGATCCGGTCGATTTGAACGGGTTCACGGGTCCTTGGGATGGCCGCGAAAGATCGTCGTATGTTGCGTTGTAGGTGAGGGCGTTGGACGAGGTATTAGCCAGCATCATCTGCATGTGGATTGGGTCCTGTAAGGTTGTTAGATATCATCGCCGACCGGAGAGGGCAAGCGAGCGCATAGGCATGGAATGGGAGCAGGCTAAGGCTTTCAGGGGACCAAACCTCTGTGTTCACTTCGGGCGCCGCGACAATCTTGGTCGCTGGTGTCGTCGCGGTCTGAACCTGCGGCGCTGTGGCGTCATCGTCGCTGGAATCGTATCCGGCCCCTAATAATGAGGCCATGTTGACTATGATATCTCGTTCGCGGTATGTAGAACGTAGACTATCCGTCTCAAATAGCCGGTTTTCGAATTAGCGGATGGTAGGTGGGTGTTGATGGGCGAGAAAGTTGCTTCTGGGTCAAGTCGGCGAATCTGGAATTTTACGGGCGGCGGGACAACCATCAACGAAAGACTGAGATAATGGCGATGCTGGCCAACACCACACCCAGAGCAGAGATATTCTCGGTATGGAAGCTGCAGTACTTGTTTGAAATATCCATTAATAGCTAGAGGTTCATTTCTTCAGGATCACGTATATGCTTAATCTAGGTATCGTACGCTCTTCATTGTGAAACCGCTCGAGAGGTATATACAGCATTACAAAAAGAACATCAACAACATGAAGAAGAAGAAAAAAAGACAAGGGAAATATCACAAACAAACAATTACAGTAGCATGGCATCTTGGCCGACTCTCATGCATCCATTTCTTTCGAAATCGTCTCGCAAGCCAAGCAGCCAAGACCCAGAACTCATCTATTACCACCGCACCTCGTACAATTCATTGACATGGACCCAACATTGCATCGTATCCTTGCCTGCATTCATATCGGCACACGCCAAGTCGTCCAAAGACCGCCCGTCAGAGTTTCATCACTGACCGTGGATCTTCTCTTCACCCAAGGCATAAAGCGCCGACACTCGACAGGCAAGGTATTGAGGTTTCAAAGAATCTGTCCGCTCCCGGAGCCAAACGCCGCCGGCTCCTCAAGCGGAGCGGCCATAGCGCATCGCATGCTCAGCCTTATCGCGAAGTCAGTTGGAGTCGTCGCGGATCAGAGCAACGATCATGCTGTAGAGGTAGAAGAAGAACATCAAGAGGTGGAAGCCCAGCTTGATGAAGGATTCCTGCGAGACATAAGGTCAGTATACGGTGCCACAGGACGCTCCAAGGATGTCCCTTCTCACCTTCTTGTGCACGTTCAGCTTGCGGAAGATCTCAGTCGCATCCAGCAGGTGCTGGTTCTCGAAGATCCTGTTCCAGCAAGAAGCGCGGTTAGCTTGCTATTTCCCAGTGTTGCTCACCCTGAGACAGGTCTCATATGCTAGTAAAACATACTTCTTGGCATTGAACGCCAACAGAGGCAGGTTCAAAATCAGCGCGAGCCAGTAGCCATTGATCAGGAACAGGGTCGTCAGGAAAGCGTGGACGGCGGCTTCAGGGATGATGTAGGCGTTGAGACGGTTGCAGAGGTCGATAGGGTTGATGTAGTCACTACGGGATGAGCACCTCAGATCAGCTTGTCTATCACTTATCGCAACACCTCGCGAAGGAACCTGAAGCTGAACAGCTGCTGTGGAAACACATACCACTCCAGATCACTGTACATGATCGTAAAGAAGACTTGCAGAAACAGGTTGACGGCGTTGATCAGCACCGCCAACAGGTAGAGCCATGCTTCACCGGACATTTTGAAGAGTGACTGAGGGGTGGTTGGGGAGGGAGGGAGGGAGAGAGAGAGAGGAAAAGAAGAAGAGAAAGAAGTGGAAATCGAGCTACTGCTCTATGCTCTGAGCAAGACTAAAAGTTCGAGAGGTCGGGACTCGGGAGGGGCTCGAGGTCGAGGATGAAGCTGGAGGATTCGGTCAGTTGGACTTTGGGGGTGGGATCGCAGTTGGATTCTTCCGTCTGGAGAAGCGAGCGGGCGGTGAGACGCCGAAAGAAGTCTAGAGCGGGTTGGGAGGCAATGATTAGGAGACCGAGCTAAGAACGATCAAGAGTCCGAGTGTCGTGAAGGTGAGAGAATGAGGATTCAGTGGGATTGTGAAGTGGAATGAACAGCGAGACAGCAAGGATGGAATGAAAAGTGGCTGGCGGTCGGTGCGTGGACAACGTTGATGATGATGATGATAATGATGATGATATAACCAGTCGGAGCACTGCCAGCATCTCGGCACGATCGACAGCACAACGAGAGCACTCTGCTTTCCTAAGACTACCTATCGCTATTGAATAGTTCAAATTGCTTATCACAAATTAAGATGGCTAGGTTCAAGAATGGCCATCTGCCATCGTAGTAAATGGTCTACAGATTGACTGATGGTCGGTCCATCTTTGAGCACATGTTTCTCTCTGCATCGAGCGTCTCCCGAAGAAGCAATGCGTATATACAGCCAACAGATCGTCTCCACGGGCATTCTTCAACAACAACACACAACATACAACAAGAACATATCATATATCCCATCTCACAAAGCGCAAGCAAATCATAAAAATAGGCGAGACAGAAAATTAGGCGTCACACGAAAATCAAATCATCGAGCCAAAGGTCCATCAATGAGACCTTGGTCTAGGATACAATAGAAGAATCATCGCTTCTCAACAAGCAAGAAATGCATTGCTGCATACGCAATCACAATGAAGGCTCCTGAAATAACAGCCAAGCCAATGACATCGGACCAGAAAGCCAGAGTGTCAAAGCCAAAGGCGCTGAGGATCGAGGCGCCCGGGACCTCAATGTCCAGGCCATACTTGTGGTCAATCAGCGTCAGATAAGTCACTTCGTTGACAATCAGCGCCTCGAAGCCGTAATGGAAGATCGACAACTAGAGAGCCAGTCAGAAAACTCGTCCGAGGCAATCAAGCAGAGTGTAGCAGAGCATGGAAACCTACCGTTTGCAGCCACAGCGCGGACTTGGGAATCGCATCATGGTTCAGTAACAACCCAGCGAACAATAAGCTGAAGAGCATCACCAGACTTCCAATTAAGTTGGCCACCCCGCCGTCCCGGAAGACAATACCAATGAAGAGGCAGATGTTGGCCGCAGCCAAGTTGAAGAGCACAAGCACCAGGATGAAGCGGAAGAATTCCCCCCACGCTGGAATCAGACCCGTCATGGGGTACACGATAATACCCATGATAATCGGAGGGAGCAATCGCAGAGGTACGACGTCGAACACGACCTTGGCCGCAAAGTAGGTGATGGGATGGTAATAGCCGTTGGCTCGCTCCCGCACGAACAGAAGCCGTTCCGTCGAGAAAACCGTGAGACTGGTCAGAGTACTGAATCCAAACAGAGCCAAGATAAAGAAGAAGAGACCCAGGCGGTTTTGGAAACCTTTGATGTCATCCGTCAAGCCGTAGAACAAGTATCCACAGAGCACGGCCAAGAGGATCGAGATGGCATAGTGAGTAAGCATCAGCATTGGGTTCCGGTAGAGATTACGCCAGGTCCGCTGCGACAAAATGACAAACTGGCGGAACAGGCTGACTCTCGGATAGCTCTTTGCGTGTCCCGTGGCAGCGCCTGACAGGATTTCTGCGTTGGTCGAGCCGTTCGCGGCGTGCGCACCCTGGACAGCGGCAACAATTTCATCGTGGACGGAGCGAGCGACATCTGAAGACGCATAGTTGGCCACCAACATGTCAAGATCGGTTGGGCCAGGCGCAGCTGGTGGAAGCTGGTCTGGATCGTCCAGAATCTGAGGGGGCACATTGCCTTGCTGCCGGGAAAGACGAAGCCACTGTTGAGTATTGGCTGACACCTCATCACCGTCTTCTTCGTCGGTCTTGGGTGTGGGAGGGGTCTCAAGGTCCTTCTTACGAGAGTATAACTGCTTATCCTGTCGCTGCTTCACAGAAATCCGCCGTTTGCCCTTCGGCCGTCGGTTTGATTCGATGGCATTGCTCGAACTATCTTCGAAGCTGGCATTTGAGGCACTGGCGACTGATTTGACAGCCCTCAGACTGCTCGAAGCGGTCTTGGGAGGATGCACATCCAACAAAGGTGACTGCTCCCCATCCTCATGCGAACGGGTGACGCTTGCATGCATGGTGAGATCGACAAGGTAATCGGCAATGTTGAAGCCTGGGGGGCACGAGTAGCCGGAATTATCGAAATACTGTTGGCATGTCGTGAATGGGCCGGAGTAGACGGTTTGACCTTGAGCCAGGAGGACAAGGCGATCGAAGAGTGCCACAATGTTAGACCGAGGTTGATGAATGGTAAAAATAACGGTGCGGTTGTAGGTTTTAGCCAAAGTGACGAGGCATTCGACAACGTTGAATGCATTGTAGGCGTCCTATCAAATGGTCAGAAGGGGAACATTTTCCGAATAGCAATGACAGAGTGCATGGGCTATACTTACCAATCCGCTCGTCGGCTCATCCAAGAACAGGATGCTGGGACTGGTGACAAGCTCGCAAGCAATTCCAACTCGGCGCTTCTCTCCCCCGGAAATGCCGCGGCCTCTGCCCTCCTCGGAGCCGATCAACTGGTCTTTGATATGATGGATTCCAAGCTGCTTTTCTACTTCAAACACGCGCTGCTCCTTGGCCGCTCGGCTCATGTCTCGAGGAAGTCTCAGCAATGCGCTGGTTAAAATAGTCTCGTGCACGGTCAGGGTTGGCAGCATGGTATCCTCTTGGTCAACAAAGCCGATCATGCCCTTGAAGTCGTTGTCACTCAGTTTCTCTCCGTTGACATAAAATTCGCCACGCACTGCACCCCGTTTGTTTTTGCGAGCCAAGATGTCAAGGAAGGTGGTCTTTCCAGCGCCGGACGCTCCCATGATGGCAGTAATCTCACCTGGGTGTGCAGCACCCTGGATATTTGTAAGAATCTCCTTCCCATTCAAGTAATAAGACACATTGTCCCAGTACAGAGCGGCGGGCTTGTAATCCGCGAGAAGCCTAGAGGCCTCATCGTCCGACTCGTCCGAAAGAGGGAGGTAGATCCGTCCACGGTAGGACCTGCGAGAAAGATACCACACGATCAGAATAACGGCAACCACAAAGAGAGCACAGCCAGCGATTACACCAGCGATGAGGGGGGTGTTGATTTGCTTGATTGGCCGCACGTATCCAGGGACATCCGTATGGTATAAACACTCGCCAGAATCACAGCTCAGGAAAATGCTGGGATCGCCAAAGACACTCTTGATTAGATCGTCCATCGCGGGCTCCTGGAACTTGCTGCCGTCTTCGGGGCTGCCACCTTCGGTAATGACAGTGCGAAAGGATGCCGGGCCTTTGATCTCCTGGGCGAGAAACTCGCCAATATCGATCGAACCCTCCTCCCCACATAGCATCCGACCAGGGATACATTTGCAGTTGATATTCTCACAGTTGTACGACGACTTGTTGCGGTTGTAATCGGTTTTCAAGTCCCACTCACAAGTATCCAATGCGCAGTAGAACGACTCCTTCTGGTCAACCCAGAATTGAAAGTTGCAAGTGTGATCCTCCGCTTCGCAGGAGAACGTGACCTGGGGTTTGCGACCTTGCAACTGATCCAAGATCTTGCGATTCGTCACATCACACATCTGGAAGTTCTCCTTCACCGTGACACCTTGTTTGTAACAGACACCTCCTTCCCCTTCGGGCATCATTGCGTTGCACGCATTGTCGGTCTCGCATACATTGCAGTTGATGCCACTCCAGCCGTCTTTGCAGTCGCAGGTCCCATCCGATCGCGGCGCTCGATTACCTCCGTCCGCGAGAGAACCACACACAGGCTCCGAGCAGTCATCTCCACCAAAACCGGGCGGACATATGCACTTTCCGGTAAAATTATTGCATGGAGCAAATTGTGCGCACTGAAAAGCATCGAGTTGGCAGTTGAAGCACGGAGGACAGCCAGGAGGCCGTTCATCGAAGGCCGAGAAGAGCGGAGGTAGTGCCTCGGATTGCGAGTAGTTGCCGCGAGCTGATGCAACGGATGCGCTCAGTGAAAGCACAGTCGCTAAGGACAGCTGTATTGTCGGTTTTAACCTCATTATGCAGATGTTTCTGCAAGTTACCGTGAGGAAGACAAAACAGGTGACGAACGTTTCTGTTCCTTGTGAGGGGGGGATATACGCCAGGCGGAGCTACCAAGACCCCAGCCGCCAAGTATGTTGTTTCAAACGGGATGATTCAACATTGAATGACGGAGATAGGAAGACAAATAGCAGGAGTAGAATTGATTGAACGAATAAGAAATAATATGGTCACAAAAGAGGTAGATGGCGATGGATCTGCAGTTGAGGAATGGAAGATGGAGGTAGAAGAAGGAAGTTCGTCGACTATCTCCATAATACGGAGTAGATAGATTGGAGCGGTTGGCCAAAGCGACCGAGTTAAGACTACCGGTTCGGAGCCTGGAGATGACGAAGGCGGTGCCTTGGCTAAAAGGCGGAGAAGACAAGCGCTAAGAGTAAGGGAGAGTAACTGGTCAGGATGGGCTGATGTAGGAGTTGATGATCTTGATTCGGGGATATTCTGAAGACAATGAGAGATCTTCAGTCCTCATCTTCCCCGGAGTATCATCGTCGTTTCCTTCAGTCCATCTACAGTCTACAGTCCCTCAATATCGCGATGTCTGACATTTTGTCTTCACGCGGAGACATGCCGATGCACGTGACCGGTTCCTGACCCAAGAGTCATCATCGCAATTCGCTGGGAACAAGGAAGTTTCATGGGTCAGGTCTGTTGATAATAATAATAATAATAATTATAATAGCCACGGTCTATAGCTCTCATCCTAGTCATCTCTTGCAGCCAACATCATGGTCCAGATCAAGCCGTTTGCCGTGGAGCAGGTAAGTCGCTTTTCCATAAGCTGACAGCATCTGCTTTCCCCGCATTCTTCGTCTTTCAGTGTTGCTGACTTCGCTTCAAGTGGATGGACGCATATGAGACCACGGCCAAATACAACATCGCAGAAACCTGCTGTGCATCTATCTCGATCGATGACCTCAAAGCATTATCCGGGGACCAGTCATGGAACCCAATAGACTTCTCGACCAAGCTCACCTACGGTTCGATTCGTGGCTCGGAGAAACTGCGCCAGACGCTGGCCGATCTCTACTCGGTCAAAACTCCCAGCACGTTGCCTGCAGATAATGTCTTGATCACTGCTGGTGCGATCCAGGCCAATTTTCTCTTGCTGTACACCCTGGTCGGCCCCGGAGATCATGTTATCTGCCATTATCCGACCTATCAGCAGCTCTACTCGGTGCCTGAGTCAGTCGGCGCCGAGGTGAGTCTCTGGAAGGCTAAACAGACTGATGGTTGGAAGTTGGATATTGATGAGCTGAAAGCGCTCATTCGACCGAACACGAAAATGATTATTCTAAAGTAGGCTTTATGGCCATGCGAGGACTGGAAGTTCATGGTGTCACTAACCCAAACCTTTCTCTCTTAGTAACCCCCAAAATCCCACAGGCGCCGTCATTCCTCAGACGACCCTGAAGGAGATCGTGGAAATCGCTCGTGAAGCGTCCATTATCATCCATGCCGACGAGGTATACCGACCAATCTTCCATTCCATCAGTCCGGTGGACCCCGAGTTCCCTCCATCCCTTTTGTCCCTTGGGTACGAACACACCGTCGTGACCGGCTCTATGTCCAAGGCATACAGCCTGGCAGGTCTACGGGTGGGTTGGATTGCATCCCGCAGTCCGTCGCTTATCGAGGCTTGCGCCGCTACTCGGGACTACACAACCATCTCGGTCGGTCAGTTGGACGACGCAATTGCGAGCTACGCTCTATCTCCAAACTCCATCCACAGCTTACTGCGACGGAACATTGATTTAGCCAAGAAAAACCTGGAAATGCTGGAAAAGTTCGTCGAGTCCTACCGGTGGGCATGCGACTGGGTGAAGCCACGTGCGGGGACTACAGCCTTTGTACGGTTCTCGAAAATGGGGAAGCCTGTGGACGACGTTGCACTTTGCAAATTGCTGCTTGAGCGGATTGGTGTGTTGGTTGTACCGGGTAGTCTCTGCTTTGGCGAAGGGGAGGATTTTATCGGCTACGTTCGGATCGGCTTTGTCTCTGAGACGGAGGTTCTGGAGAAGGCCCTGGAGGCGATGAAGGAATTTCTGGAAGATGATTACGACGAGGTACCTGTGATCAAGAAGAAGAAATGAGGGGCTCTCCAAGTACTTGACAGCTATATTGTCCTTTATGTACATGAGGGGGTGGGGGGTCTGTGATCCGACACTTAGAGATGCCTAAGAATATATTTAGCACGTGTGATGCACATGGTTTTCTCTACGGAGTGATACAAGACCATTCTGCCTTTCTGGACCTCATGAAAGCATCGATATGCTGAAGATATAAAAGGTTGAGATTGAAGCAGGTGGTTATTCAAACCCATATCACAGACCAGTACCCACCGATATCGATAGATGATGCAATGCGTTGAGCTTCGTTCATAAATTATTGCATAGTTATGTTGTGTCGGCTCCGAATCCGGATCCAGCCCAAACCGAGGCATCATAATCCCGTCGCCTCGGGCACTCCATAACAGCCGATCCTACTGCATATATATATATATATATATATCTACTGGCCTCTCTTTCTATCCTAGTCAATCTGTCACCGGTGTCTTCCTTTTCTGCTGGTCAGTATCTCGCGTCGAGCTTGATAGCTGAACTTCTACTCTTGGTATCGCGTCACATTGTTCTCCACACCAGCGAAGATGTCACCCATCCCCATCCCGCCCATTCCAGGTATGGTCCCAGCACCTGTGTCGTGCTCTTTGCCCTTCAACCACCTTTTCTGTAATCAGGAGAGAGATCAATGCCATCCATGTCCTTATTCAATGCGATGCTGATTCCATGGTTGCCTAGATGTCCCTCTCTCCCTTGCCGCACCCGCCGTCGCCACGACGTTGGCCTACCTGAACGCCAAATACTCGCTCTTTTATGACATGACACTGATCAAGGGTTTGCTGAAGATTGCCGTAAAGTCCAGTCTGGCACAGCGCCGCGATAACTTGAACCTGTTCTATGTTCTGGAGAACCATGCCCTCGCCTCAGCGACTCGGGACAAGCCATTCATCGTTTACAATGGCCGCACCTTCAGCTTCCACGAGACATACGAAATGGCACTACGTTACGGTACCTGGTTCAAGAGAGGACACGGCGTCAAGCCAAAGGAGATTGTCGCCATGGATTTCATGAACTCGTCTAATTTCATCTTCCTGATGATGGGTCTCTGGAGCATCGGCGCCGTTCCAGCCTTCATCAACTACAATTTGACAGGAAAACCTTTGACGCATTCGGTCCGCACGTCGACTGCTAGATTGCTGATCGTTGATGATGAAGTCCGCAGTTGCTTCGCGCCAGAGCAGCTGGAAACCTTCGCATCCACCGAGTTCCGTGAGGACAAGGGTGCTGTGGAGGTGGTATTTTTCACACCAGAGGTGGAGGCTCAAATCCTGCAGACTGAGCCGGTTCGCGAGGATGACAAGGCGCGTCATGGCTCCACCCTTCGCGATATGGCGCTGTTGATCTACACCAGTGGTACAACCGGGCTTCCCAAGCCCGCTATCGTGAGTTGGAAGAAATGCTGGGACGGCAGCGTGTTCGTGGGCAATTGGTTGGGCATTACGCCAGCGGATCGTTTCTTCACAGTAGGCTATATGTTTTATCGGGGTTCGCGCGGAATCATACTGATATCTAACAGTGCATGCCACTCTACCACTCCTCTGCTGCCGTCTTGGGCTTCATGTCTTGCTTGATGGCCGGAGCGACGCTGATTATCGGCCGTAAATTTTCTGCGAGGAACTTCTGGAAGGAGGCTCGCGAGAACAACGCGACAATTGTTCAGTACGTAGGTGAGACCCTGCGGTACTTGCTGGCCGTCCCCCCGCAGATCGATCCGGCTACCGGCGAAGATCTGGACAAGAAGCACAATGTGCGGGCTGTCTTCGGCAACGGCCTGCGCCCCGATATCTGGAACCGTGTCAAGGAGCGCTTCAACATCCCGACGATTGCCGAGTTCTACGCAGCCACCGAAGGCACGTCTGGCTCGTGGAATCTGTCGTCCAACGATTTCACTGCGGGAGCGATCGGTAGAAACGGCGCCCTCACCAAGCTGATATTGGGCAAGACGCTCGCCGTTGTTGAAGTGGATCACGAGTCCCAGCAACCGTGGCGTGACCCACAGACAGGGCTTTGCCGCAAGGTGCCCAATGGCGAGCCCGGCGAGCTCCTCTACGCCATCGACCCCAACGATCCCTCGGGCAAATTCCAGGGCTACTTTAAAAACTCCAGCGCCACCGAAAGCAAAATCATCCGGGATGTGCTGAGCAAGGGCGACGCCTTCTTCCGCACCGGCGACATGGTCCGCTGGGACGCCGAAGGTCGCTGGTACTTCTCCGACCGGCTCGGCGACACCTTCAGATGGAAGTCAGAGAATGTGTCCACCAACGAGGTGGCCGAGGTCCTGGGCACGCACCCGGACGTCCACGAGGCCAACGTCTACGGCGTCGCGCTGCCCAACCACGACGGTCGTGCCGGATGCGCCGCCGTCGTCTTCACGCACCAGACACAGGCCGCCAACCCGTCCGAACTGACCGAGCCGTCCCAGACCGTCCTGGACAGTCTCGCGGCGCACGTGCTGAAGAACCTACCCCGGTTCGCGGCGCCGCTGTTCCTGCGTATCACGCCCGCAATGCAGGCCACGGGCAACAACAAGCAGCAGAAACACATCCTGCGGACTGAGGGCGTGGACCCGTCGCTGGTCAGCACTGCAGACAAGCTGTACTGGTTGCAGGGCGACACGTACGTGCCATTTGACCAAAAGGACTGGAACCGGTTGCACGCCGGCCAAGTCAAGTTGTAATTGTAAACCCGTTGTTCTTTTTTTTTTTTTTTCATCTGATCCTCTACCGTTGTAGCGGCCAGATCTGTCGGCCTTGATACCCCCCCCTCTCTATACACCTCGTTATCCTCGCCTCCACCGTCAGTCTGTATTCTTAAAGTTGTGTTTTCCTGACGAGCGTTTTCTATATGATAATCCATTTCATTCCACATTCCACACTACCCCGTGTAACCACGAGACGATCACCTTCCTAGAAACCGTATCTCTACAATCCGCAGAGGCGGATATACCACAACAGCAAAGATGAACGCCAGCCACATCCCCAGGTCAGCTCCGTCCAGATACCGCGCCACAGGGCCCGTATAGAACGATTGATCCTAGCAGCGCGTCAGCGTCAGCGTGAACAACGAAACCAATTCCCCAGTGACAAGTATTAGGGATGCCGCCAAAAAAAAAAAAAAAAAGACAGAGATCGGGGGAGGGAGGGAGAACATACCATTCCCAGAATCGCGCCTAGACAACCCGCGGCCAGACTTGCGCCGGCAGCCCACCCACCAGGCAACCGGGCCGCATCGTCCCAAGCGTCCCAGTCATACGCGCGCTTGGCGCGGTACACGCGCAGCAGCAGCTCCTCGAGGACGATGGCGAACCAGGCGACGATCCAGTAGCTCATGAGGGGGAGGAAGTCCTCCATGATGTCTTGGAGGTAGTCGCGGGCGACGACGGCGGCGACGGTGTAGGCGAGGACCTCGAGGGAGGTGAGGAGGGGGCGGGGGAGGCGGGGGCCGAGCTTGCCGAGCATCTGCAGGTTGAGGCCGGCGGTGTAGGTGGCGGGGATGTTGTTTGAGACGGCGGTGAGGAGCAGCAGGGCGGCGCAGAGGGAGCCGAAGCCGCGGAGGCCGGCGAAGGAGAGGGCGAGCAGGCCGCCTTGGGAGGCGGCCATCCAGGCTGGGTTGGTGTAGAGGGCTGTGGCGAGGCCGATGCCGAGGGTTGTGGTGAGGACCATGGCGATGCTTATGCCGGCGGTGGCAGCGAGGAACATGCGGGTGGTGCGGGTGCTGGCGGGGAAGTAGACGAAGTAGTCTGCGCTGGAGGGGGTCCAGCTGATGGCGGAGGCGAAGCAGAGGGAGAAGAAAGAGAGGCGGTGCGCGGGGGTGTCGGCGGGGAGGTCTGGGGCGAGATGGGCTGCTGGGTTGAAGGAGGGACCGGCGCAGCCGAGCATGATACAGAGGACGGAGAGGGCGAGGATCCACGCGTAGCGCGAGTAGAGGTGGAAAAGGTTCATGCCGAAGGTGGCAATGCACCAGGTCAGGACGGCGACGACCACAATGCCGACGGGGACGGCGGTCCGGCCATTGGAGATGGTGAAGATGATCTGCCCGCCCAGGATGCAGTTGACCATGCCGTAGCCCAACATCGTCAGGATGTTGAGGAAACAGCAGATTTTGCTTGGGTAGTATCCGAGGAAGTATCGCGTCACCACCTGCAGCCATAGTGAGTCTTGATCAATGCGAGATTTCGACATGTATGGAGGAAATACCAGTGTGCGATGGCCACTGCGCGGTCCCCAGGTGCTCATGTAGGCCACCCCGATACTGCCGAGAACACACCCAAAGACGCCGATTACGGATGCGGTGGCCAGGTCCAAGCCATAGCGGGAAGGCCCATACAGTCCCACCAGGATGTTGTTGGCTGTGAGGGAGGAGTTCAGCCAGAGGAGGAAGATCCGCGTGTAATCATCTGGTCCAGCAGACTGACGCGAATCGACACCCACTCGCTCTATGCCTTGAGTCTCTACTCCCAGAATCCGACAGAGCTTTGCAGTCCATCGTTCGGGAGAGGGTGCAAGCTCGGTGACTTCCCGAATCTCGAGGATCTCGGTCTTGCTGTCAAGTTTGGACCGGTTACTGCCCGACTCGAGGTCTGCCATTTGAAAGATCGCTAGCAACAAAAAGAGTGAAATATGAATAGGAACGCCGAATTCATTGGATTGGTATATTGCAGGCCAGGGGAGAGCCCCAACTGCGTTCATTCAACCATTATATACACGAATGGCGAGGCCGCTTGGGAAATTGCATCATGGAGCTGCAACAGCCATGGCGCAGAGTCGCAGACGGCAAAATGCGACACTCCGATAATTTCATGGATGCCTAAAATGGAGTTTTCGGGACACCATCAGGGAGAGATGCTCTGATCCGAAGCTCCCAAGAAAGGGCAGGAATGGAGACCCAACTGGTCTAGGCTGGGAGTTCCAGTGACCCCTTGAATGGGATTACATAGATCGCATGTTGAGGATTGAGAATGACAGGATCAGACGTGACTGAATCGGGCAAGGGTCAGCCCACAGTGCAGAAGCAAGGGGAGCTCCGATCGACCAGACATGGCTCATTTCCTTGCTTCAATCGATAGTCTGTATTTCGGCTGCCACTCGGAGTATTCCGAGAGATAGCATGCAGGGGTGAGCCGTTTAATATTGAATGCATTCTTCAGCCTGAAGTTTCAGATCCTGCTCAGGTCTGGTCTGTATACAACAGAGAGGTGACACTCGTGATAGCATGAAGCTGCCCCGAGGAATGTCTTGATGATACTCAAGAATCTGTGTATCATTGACAGATATCAGAGGCTGAGTCCTGACCTGGCTCAAGACCATTGGCGATCGCGACACTTTTTTTTTTTGTTTTTTTTTTTGGCAGAGGGACAATGTCACAGATTGCATAAAGCGACATCACCACATCTAGACTCTAAGTCCATAGTGCCACGCATATCTGGAACAGCCACAGATAGGTTTTGTGATCCCTATCCCTTGGCTGGACCGCCAGGGAAACAAGGTAGAGACAATGATGGCAGCTCATGACCGGATAGATTGTGGTCCAGATCACAGTCAATCAAAGATCCGAAGGTTGGGCAGCATGGCCATTTATGTCTGCATCCTGTAGCTCATATCGATCAGGCTCATCATTCCACGTTACGCGTCACATCTCCCCATCCCAGTAAGGGATCATCCTGATTCCTAAGTATCTTAGTCTGATGCAATGAGCTACTTCATTGACAGGCCTGCATCTCGGTCATCAACCAGTTGATGCTTGTTGAGTCGCGTCTCGCTGGGTGTGAGAGGAGGTTGAAGACTGATGAGATGGGGAAAGTGAAGCCAACGATATGTCACTCGGAAGTTGGCCAATCTGGGGATTCCAAGCCCGGAACGGCACCCGAGCCTCGGCTTCTCCCCACATCGTTTGGGAGTCAAGACGGCTTTACGGCTTTATGCTCAGCGTTTTGATATACCTCCTTTTTTTTTGGAGATTGTGAGCTTCAGTATATCTAGATATCATCAGATCAGCCTGAGCCATGTCTGTCCGACCAGGTTTGACCCAGCGATGTTCTACATCCCGTCACTTCTCAGTCTTGCATCGCCGCCTCTGCTCCCAGTCAGATTCGGCTTCAACAATTGCCAGGTCGTTTTTATCAAGGTTCCAATCTCTCGGCCCGCAGACTCGCATTCAAATTTTAGACTCCAACCAGCTTCAGCTTCTGTCTCTAACACTCAATCGTCCATCGTTGTTTCCCAACTCCCCTTCGCTCTCCCATGCCTCGGCCTCATTGCAGCGGGGGACGCCTCTTCCCGCAGGCTACCATCTCGTGTATTTCACTCCCGCATTCTTGGAGACTGAATTAGGCGCTGATGGTACGGACGTCTCGTATAACCCCGAGGCACCGTTCACCCGCCGTATGTGGGCTGGCGGAGAAGTACAATGGCCCCGAGGGTCAGATGGAAAGCCTAATCCGCTGTGTGTCGGCCAAGAGGTTCAAGAGACCACACGAGTGCTAAGCGCAGAGCCAAAGGTCGTTCGCAAGACGGGAGAAGAGATGATTGTTGTTGGCGTGGAGAAGGAATTCCGTAACGACAAAGGTGTAGCTGTCTTGGACAGAAGGTAAGCGTCTTTGCAAGTGGACAAGCACCTTAAACAGCGGCACTACAAGTAGCTTGTCCTTTTCGAAAGTCTACTCTGACAGTATCAGAAACTGGGTCTTTCGAAAAGCCTTTCCACCTTCGTCAACATCAAAAGCAGCCGATCTTCTGGATCCGGCCCGACCAAGCGGACCAGCTACTTCAACAACCGCAGCAACAGGCAATACTCACACACGGACGCTAAAGCAAACGGCGGTCACTCTGTTCCGATTCTCTGCACTGACGTTTAACCCGCACAAGATTCATTATTCACTTCCCTGGTCTCGCGGAGTCGAGGGCCACAAGGACATCGTGGTCCATGGCCCATTGAACCTGATCAACATTCTGGATCTGTGGAGAGACACAAGGGTATCAGCTACACAGCATTCAGAGCTTGTACTCCCGCAGAGTATCTCCTATCGGGCCACAAGTCCGTTGTATGCGGAGGAAGAGTATCAGATTGTGCTCGAGGATGCAGACAATGTCAGTAAGGTGCAAATCCTCGGGCCGGATGGGGTGACCGTAGCCATGAAGGCCGAGGTCAGGTTTGAATCGGTTGCGTAGCGATCGTCTTGCGAACGATTTGGGATCGATTTGACGCAAAGAGTCGCACACACCACGAAAAAAAAAAAAAAAAGCATTGGGCTAGAGCCTCGTTCTCAAGTGCTCGGGGAGGTTTCAAGAGACCTGATTTATCAGTGATAACTTTAATCTTGAATCAAAGCGGTGCTGCTTGGTATAGAATGTAGTACTCCATCCTAAATGATATATATTCTAGCTTGCCTCCATCCAGAGTCGAAGAGATGCAATGATAATGTCCAAGATTTCTAAGAAAATCTCCGGAGAACGTGGATGTGGCAAACCTGATCTGTTTGATTGGTAGCACTTGGGTGTATCTACTGTAGAACTAGATACTGGACTCTGTCGTCAACGTATGTATGTCGTTGATGGTCGATTGTTGGATCTGGAGAATGACGCAATGGGCGATCGAAAGGTGGATATCTAGATGATGGATGTACTCTGTACTTATAGTCAGTCAATCGTCAATGGTTCTTGTCTTATTTCTCTTCTCCAGCCTGACGATCGAATCATCCTCACATCGTGGTGTTGTAGAGACTACACAGTACAGTCGATTTGGGATAGCTCAACAAAAGTATCCCAAATCCCATCTTGACTCAGGAATGTCAAGAGACTTTTGGCCAGGAATCTAGTCCAGACTTAGTGAGAAAACGATGAAACAGGTGGCTTTTCAAGTGTCGCCTCGGTTGATTGGTAAGACCGTAAGAGAGACATCGGGCCATATAAAAGTCAACATGGTGGATGCCACTATTCCCATCGTTCACCAATAATCTTTGATACCATATTCTTGCTATTGATTCTGATTGCTCTACGGATTCCAGATCGTACTTGGGGCACAGTAGCCAATTCACCCATAAATACTTTTTTTTTTGTGGCGCCTTGGAAGGCTGACAGTGACAGATCCTCTTCTCCTAGGGTAGGGTGGAGGATCCCAATCTTATGAACCGGCTACTATTAGTATTCTTTCTCCGGTCGTGGTCTGAGTGCCGAGTGATTTGAGTTTTTGACATTGAGCGCAGCAACGACATTCAAGACGCTGGAAATTGGAATGCGAGGCAAGAATGCTGTCATGGTCCAACAGTAGTGGTCCGTTCTCCTGGTCTGTTCTCTCTTCTCCCTGGTCCTGGTCCTGGTCAACCCACATTCGATTACGTCTATTCTACTCTATTCTATTCTTCTTCTTATTATTATTATGAAAACCTGATGTGATGGGACTGGGAGGATCGAATCCATGGCCAGTGATCGGTGGCGTTTTTCTGTACCTGACCAGCGTGAAAATGAAACATTCTTCCATCCAACTAACTAACTGTTCATTCGGCCAATGTTCTTTTTGTACTTGTTTCTATGGACTGAGGAATATTGAGGAATGCCTCAGGCTTTTCCTTATTTTTTTTTTTCTTCTCTCTCTCTCTCTCTCTGTATTCTCCCATATCCATCTCACCACTCTTTCTCTTCTTTCTATCCTCCTCCTCATCTCTCTCTCTCTCTCTCTTCCTCACTCCCAGTCGGTCTCTCCAATCGTCGAATATTCATCACACATTCGTTTCTCTCTTCCTTCGCTTGGTTCGACCCACGAGTACTCCACTGTCCCCGCACAATTCATTTGCCTTTGGCTCGTATCGGATCAAATAGATACTATCCAATCCTTCCTTGGAGACGCAATCGATTTGTCTAAGACCAAATCACATCGCTGGCCTTCAGATCGTCGAGACGATCCTCAAGTGCTAACTACTCACTTGCCTCCGCCCCACTCGATTCATTGGGGCTGCAGGTCAGCTTCTTCTGATCGCTCTTCGCTTGCGCTTGAGACTAGAAAAAAAAAAGTATAAAAATCAGGGGGATTGCGGTCGTTCGACCCTCTTCCCGTCCGTTCTTCCTCTGTTACTTCGATGTCGGGTCGACCTGGACTCACTGAGAAGCGTTTGTCGGCCCATCGCTTTCAACCGCTTCCAGATTACACAAACGATGCCATGATGGCCAGTCCACACGATGTCACGATTGATATCCCCCTAACCAATGTCACCAGTCGCAGTCCGACGGGTGCGCGCCGGAATAGTGCCCAGACGGCCACCTCTCCGGCGGCCTATCACCCGCCGGTCCAGGGTATCCAGACCAACACCAGCGAAAAGGCTGGCTTGGTCTCGGGCATGGGTCCTGGCCGTCGCAAGAGAACCGTCGACGATGCCACCGGCCGTTCACTCGACGACCCCGACGATGGAACTATCACGCGCATGGGGAGGATCTACCAAGCCATCCTCAACTTTTCCATTGTCACTCGCTACATGATCTATGTCACACCGCTCGCCGTGTTAATTGCGATTCCCATCATTGTGGGAGCCACAGCCGCGCAGGACGCGAGAATCGGCGGCGTCACTCTGCCCTGGTTCTTTGCCTGGATCGAAGTGGTCTGGCTGAGTCTGTGGATCTGCAAGATCATCGCTCATTTTCTTCCCTATCTGTTCCAGTTCCTGTGCGGCATCGTCAGCCCTGGAACTCGCAAGTATGCTCTCATTTTGCGCGCGCTGGAACTGCCGATTGCAACCGTCTTTTGGACACTGGTCTCCCTCGTCACTTTTCTCCCGGTGATGACGTACAACCCCGAAAAGAAACGATCCGGTGACACAGATGTCGAGTCCTGGGAGAAATCCGTCAAGAACATTCTGTTTGCTCTTTTTGTCTGTAGTTTGATTCTGCTGGCGGAGAAATTCCTGGTCCAGCTCATCTCCATCAGCTACCACCGAAAGCAATTTGACCAGAGGATCAAGGAGTCCAAGCGCAGTATCGAACTCGTCGGTCAACTCTACGATGCTTCCCGCAACATGTTTCCCATGTACTGCAAGGAGTTCCGCGAGGATGATCTGATGATTTCTGACTCGCTTTTGGGTGCCGCTACCAAGGGACCCGTTCTCGCCCGGTCCAGCTCTTCCGTGCCCCTCAAACTCATCCGCAATGTCGGTCACAACGTGGGCAGGTTCGGCGACAGGGTCACGGCGGCGTTCGGGGATGTGGCCCACGAAATTACCGGGAAGGAGGTCTTTAACCCGACCTCCGTTCGTGGTATCGTTACCCAGGCACTAGAACGTCGCAAGGCCGCCGAAGCGTTAGCACGAAGAATCTGGATGTCGTTCGTCGTTGAGGGCCGAGATGCTCTCTATCTCGATGATATCATGGAAGTGCTCGGGACCGGCAAGGAGGCCATCGCCGAAGAATGTTTCCACATGCTGGACCGTGATGGCAACGGAGATATCAGTTTGGAGGAGATGGTGCTCGTCGTGGGAGAGATTGGAGGCAACCGAAAGGCCTTGAACAACAGCATGTACGATGTCGACCAGGCCATCCACGTCCTCGACAATCTTCTGCTCACCGTGGCTGGTGTCATCGCCATCCTCGTCTTTGTTTCCTTTGTCACCAGCGGCTTCGGCACCGTTATCGCGGCCGGTGCTACCTCTCTCTTGTCTCTGAGTTTCGTCTTCGCAACCACCGCGCAGGAGGTGTTGGGTTCGTGCATCTTCTTGTTCGTCAAGCACCCATTCGACATTGGTGATCGAGTTGAGATCACCGACAAGTCGTACATTGTCGAGCGCATCTCGCTCCTGTACACGGTCTTCCGTTCCGTGGCGGACCAGCGCACCACGCAGGTCCCCAACGTTGTGCTCAATACGCTGTGGGTGGACAACTTCACCCGCTCTAATGCGATGCACGAACAGCTCAAGATTCCCGTCAGCTTCGATACGACCTTTGCTGATATCCAGATGCTCCGCGAAGAGATGGAAGCATTCGTTCGCGACAAGGACAATTACCGTGACTTCCAGCCAGATATTGAGATTGACGTCGTGGGTGTGGGTGACATGGACAAACTCGAACTGACCGTCAGTATCCGCCACAAGTCCAATTGGTCTTATGAGGCGATCCGCGCCGCCCGCCGGTCCAAGTTCATGTGCGCCTTGGTCACCGCCGTTCGCAAGATCCCGATTCGCGCTCCGGGTGCCGCCGCCGAAGAACCGGCCGACGATAGTGATGACAAGGACGACAAGCCGGACACCGAGAAATTGGATCCCAGCAGCAACATCACACGGACCGCCTCCGGTCAAAGGCGCATGGCAGCGGCCGCCGGCATGGGGATGGACGGCACGGGCCCGGACCTGGCCCGATCCACTGGCTTCGACGTCGGTCAATCTCCTGGCTCCGTACAGCGTCGCAGCGGCTCCTCTCCCACCGCTGCCGGCTCGCACACGGACTCCAGCTATCCCGAGCGCTCCAATAACCGAACCCCGGGCAACGATGGCGACCACTACCAAACACCAGCCGCGTCTCCCGGGCTTGAACACCACAACCTCAGTGTCAACTATGGCAACCTGAACCGTGAAGCCTCCACTGGCCGCCGCAAGGCAGGCACTACCCCTAGCGAACCATCCCCGGCCACCACCGGTGGGGTCCCTATCATTGCTGAACCGGTGCCCCCTCTTCCTCGACAGCACCAGCAGCAGCAGCAGCAACCGCCATCCGTCCAATCGGTCGGTCAGCCCGATTACAACCCGTACTCCAGCCCAGCGCACTACGGAAACAGCTTCTATGGTTCGCAGAGCCAAGATACCGCCTATGACCCAGAACAGCCGCTGGAGCTCCCATCAGCGAGAGAACAGTCAGAGTCGGATCCGTACCGACGGTACCCAGGTCCATCGGGGGCGCAGCAGCGCTCCCCAGACGACCACTCTCGGAGCGGATACCCGCCGCCTCGACCGTACGGGGGTCAGTAGACAGACAAGCGAAGGGAAAACAGGAACGGGAAGGGCGTTTTGGAGGATTTTTGTCTTCTGACAGGCACCATGTAATGGTCTCATTTTGGCGAACGATTTTAATGCATATATAGGCGGCGGGTTTGTACTGTACGAAATGCCAATAGTTGGATCGATCTACTCCCTATAAGAAAACCCGGGTACTTGAGTCAATAATTAATTCTCTTCCATATCGTACACAAGGGATCGTCATCAAGAACCTGACTTCACCTCCCCAGTTTACAGTCACCGTAGAAGCAACCTAGAAGCAACCCTCCTTCGCCTTACGATCTAGTCTCTTTCCACGGATACCCCACCGGATCATCCTTCCTCACCCAGATCTTCGTCCTCTTCTTACTCACGACATGCTCGACAAACACCTCCCGAGTATACTGCGCCTTGAACTTGCGAATCCAGCGAGGATCCCACAACTCACTCGCAATGCCCAGATCCTTGCAGCAACGCACGAGCGCATTACTACGACAGCCCTCCGTGGCGGTGGGGATGCCATCAGGCGAGAAGTAATCCTGCTCGCCGCGCGCGACGCTCACCAGCCGGCCATTGCAGACGAGCGCGTACTCGCGCGTGACGGTGCGCGGGGTCACGATGCTCTCGCTGCGCGGTACGAGCCCCCAGCCGCCGGGCCCGAACGCGCGGTTCAGGATCCGCCGGTACTTGATCTCGGGGAGGTAGAGGATGCCGTCGGGTTTGATTTCGACTTCGTCCGGGGAGACCTCGGCCAGGAGGATGTCGGCGGCTTCTTTGGGGAAGGGCGCGGCGCTGAGCCCGTGGAAGGAGCGCGTCCAGTCGATCTTTTCTTCCGTCGTGGTCTCTAGCTCGAGGGGCTTGTCGCTGAGCCCGGTTTTGGAGATGTTGGGCGTTGTGGGTTGGTTGGGCGTTGGGGCGAGGATGCGGGCTGCGCGGTCGGTGGACGTCGTGCTGGTGGTTGGTGTGGGTGTGGGTGTGGTTGCGGCGGATGCTGGCGTGGTGGGTTTGGGATTGGGGACTGGTTTGGTGCTTTGTTGAGCGGATTGGCGTGTGGGATTCTGACTGATTGGTCGGGTCTGGATGAGATGGGTGTTTGGTACACGAGCTGAGAGAGATGGTGCTCTGAAGATAGAGCTCTCTGCTAGCCACAAGGTGCGGCGGAGGTGCGAGGACGAAGCCATTGTGGTGGAGCTGGCGAGGTGGGTTGGTGGTGAAGGTGAAGGTGACGCTTGAGGAGGTGTTTGGTAGGTGGTCTGTATACTGTCACGTGATCATGCGCCGTAGCCTGGACAATGCCAGAAAGATCGCAAACAAAGAGATGCGGCTAAATAGGAAGTGGTGATGTCTTGAAAGAGTATTTGTAAAGAAATGCTATAGTACATAGTGGTGAGAGAGTGTGTCTTCTGCAGCCGATCAGACGTCTTTGGATTGAGTCCGCTGGTCGTTGCCCTTGCTCTTCCAGCACTCCCGGAATGCCTCCATCTGCGTTGAGAAACCATCAGCTTCCTATGGCCATGTCCATGTCCATGTCCGTGTCCATTGTCAACACGACCATCTGGAGGATATGGATATCCAGAAGTTGCGTGGGAGCGGTTGGATGCTGCACGCCCTGTCGTTGCAGCGCCCATCAAACACTGTGTGACTCACCTCGTCCTTGCACTGTCTCCAGTCCTTCTTTGTAAAATAACAATCGTTCATCTTATCCTGCTCCTCTATAGACGACTTAGTTGACCACTCTTGGACTTCGTAGGCTCCCGTTACAAACCTGCGCAGCCGGTGCTGAAGATCCGCTTGTCCCTACTCCGCATTAGCCCAAAATCAATCAAATTAATCAATCAATCTTCGGGGATCAGGAACGCAAAAGAAACCTACCAGTCATCAGGTTCATCGTCGTCCACCTCGGGCTCGGGCACCACCGCGGGCGTATCTTCTTTCTTTGACATTGTGGTAGGCAATCTTCCTCGAGTATTTCAAGCCGAGTGAGTTGTCGGAAGACACTGAAGGAATCAGCATTGTCTTGTCGCGGAGAACAGATCGATCGCCGCATTTCGTATCTCCCGCAGCACAACCACAACGATGACCGAGGCTACCCCCAACCTCACCGGCAAGAAGCTCAACGTACTAGTCTACGCCGGTTCGCTCTCCCAATCTGCTTGGAGAACCCGTCTAACCGATGACTCTGCATTCACTCCAGGCAACGGCACCACCGTCGAATCTGTCCGCCACTGCCTCTACACCCTCCGCCGCCTCCTCGCCCCGCACTATGCCGTGATCCCCGTCACGGCCGACATGCTCGTCAAGGAGCCGTGGACGGCCACCTGCGCGCTGCTTGTGGTCCCCGGCGGCGCAGACCTGGGCTACTGCCGCGCGCTGAACGGCGCGGGGAACCGCCGCATCGAGCAGTTCGTCAAGCGCGGGGGCGCGTACCTCGGTTTCTGCGCGGGCGGCTACTACGGCAGCCAGCGGTGCGAGTTCGAGGTCGGCGATAAGACGATGGAGGTAGTTGGGGACCGGGAGCTGGCGTTCTTCCCTGGGGTGTGTCGTGGGGGTGCGTTCCCCGGTTTCGTTTACCATAGCGAGGCGGGCGCGCGCGCGGTGGAGCTGAAGGTCGCGAAGGATGCGCTGACTGCTGGGGTTGTTCCGGATGGCTTCCGGTGCTACTATAATGGAGGCGGGGTCTTCGTTGATGCGAGATTGTACGGCGAGAAAGGGGTGGAAGTGCTGGCCAGCTACACGGAGGAATTAAATGTTCATCCGGGGACTGGAGCGGCGGCCGTCGTCTACTGCAAGGTGGGCGAGGGGAGAGCCATTGTGACAGGTCCTCATCCAGAGTACGTTACCTATGGCTGGCGCAGAGATATCTTTGTTCTGAGCTGATGGGATAGGTTCGCGGCAGCAAATCTCGACAAGAAGGCGGGCGGGCCTGAGTACGCCAAAGTGGTGGACGCTCTGGCGGCAGACGACAAGGCCCGGACAGACTTCCTGAAGGCGTGCTTGTCCAAATTGGGCCTGCAGGTCACCCAGAGCACTACCACGGTGCCGTCTCTTTCCTCGCTACACCTGTCCTCCTTGGACCCGGCTGATACCACCCGCATCCGATCGTCGCTCCAGGAGCTGATTACCGCCGACGGTGATGAGGAGTATATCAAGGATGAAAACGATACGTTCCGTTTGGAGAAATCTGGATCTGGAACATGGGGCATGGGGACACTGGGGGAGGCTCTGCCGGTCAGTGAAACAAGCGGTGACGAGGGCATTGTCGATTACAACGCAGTCATCAAACCTCTTGTAATTCACGAAGAGCTTCCACCATCCAAGGCGACACCTTATTTCAACCACCATGCTTTCTACGCCAATCTCGAGCACTACCAGTCACAGATGCGCGAGGGGGCCGGCGAATTCGGCTCAAGTATCTTGTACGGCGAGGTGGTGACCAGCACGAATACGATCTTGGAGAAGTACTTGTCCCTCACCCCCGAATCTCTGTGTCAACTGCTCACCGCTGTAGAAACCCTAAACTCCTCCGCAAATTGCCCCAGGGCTTCACGGCGACAGCCACCACGCAGGTCGCCGGACGGGGCCGAGGCTCCAATGTCTGGGTCTCCCCTGCTGGCTCACTGATGTTCTCCACGGTCGTCAGGCACCCCATCGAGAAGATTCAATCCGCCCCGGTGGTCTTTCTCCAGTATCTTGCGGCCATGGCGGTCGTCCGAGGCATCAAGAGCTACGACGTTGGTTTCGAGAGCATGCCGGTTAAGCTCAAGTGGCCCAACGACATCTGTAAGTTCGATGATTACTCTTGCCTCGAAGGAATAGCCAATGATTAACGTAACTAGACGCCCTGGATCCCGACAACCCGGACAAGAAGCAATACTCCAAGATTTGCGGCATCCTCATCAACTCCCTCTTCTCCTCCAACGAATACATCGCCGTGGTCGGCATCGGCATCAACGCCACAAACGCCTCGCCCACCACCTCGCTCAACGCGCTCGCCGCGCGCTTCGTCTCCAAACGCAGCGCCCCGATCACGCTCGAGAAACTCCTCGCCCGCTGCCTGACCACGTTCGAGGAACTCTACACGCGCTTCCTACGCACGGGCTTCGACCGCGAGTTCGAGGAGATGTACTACGACGACTGGCTGCACATGCATCAGACCGTGACGCTGGAAGAGGAAGGCGGCGCGCGCGCACGAATCAAGGGCATCACGAGGGACTATGGGCTATTACTGGCGGAGGAGCTTGGGTGGGACGATCGGCCTACGGGGCGGGTGTGGCAGTTACAGAGTGACAGCAACAGCTTTGATTTCTTCCGGGGGCTGGTCAAGAGGAAGGCTTAAGTAGAATGTTGTACTCCTAGATATTTATAGAGCCGAAATGCGACGAATGAGTAAATGTCCATCGTCCGTCGTTCGTCACGCCAACAGGCCAAGGAGGATATATTTGGACAAGCCGTGCCAAGGAGGCTTATTCCGTGGGGCTGATTATTGACACTACATAGTACATAGACCATAGTACATACTTCATCCTTTCGTTCTTGTCTGAAAATGCCTTAAAGGGGAGTACAGCCTACAGCCTAGATATCGTGAATAATATACGTAGTAAACATAACCCATATCCACTGTCTCAGCCACACGAGCGATCATCTCGCCCTACCTACCTACCTCGTAGTAAGCCCGTCTGGTCGTAGTTCGACCAATTGAATTAGCCCGAAACAAAACACAAGAATCGGATCATGTGCCGATCTCTGCCTTGTCGCCCCAGGCAGCATCATTTATTTTTCTACGCTACAGGCCAATGCTTCACTTCAATAATGTTCTTACGGAGTACTCCGTAGTTAGCAGAGTAATCTAGTTAGTCTAGTTAGTGTGACTGGGTGGCATCTAACGAATACTTTTTTTAATCCATACATAATCCCCCTATCCCCACTCATCTCACCTTCCTCCAACCACCTCACATCCACATCCACATACTCTGTACTCACTCCTCTTGCCACCAAGACCAATAATACTTCCATAGAAGAAGAAGAAGAAGAAGAAAACAAGCCCGAGTCTTGACTCAAAAAAAAAAAAAAGAAAAACCAAAATGTTCACCCTTAACCCCTTCAAGTCCGCCAAACAGACCCAGCCTGAACCAACCTGGAACCCGAATACGCTCACCATGGAGCAGCCTTCGCAGCCTGCAGCGCCGATTGTGGCTCAGCAGCCGGTACGGTTTCTTTTCTTTTCTTTTCCCCTCCCCCCCCCGCCGCCCCCTATTTGGGCTGAAGACGGCGGTGGATATTGGTTACTGACGTGTTGGAAAGCCCGCGCAGGAGCAAATGGAGATGAGACTCCGGGGTGGTGGGGATAAGGGTGGGATTTGCTGTGGAATGTAAGCTTTTTTTCCCCTTTCTTTCTCTACTGTGTTTCTTATATATATATCTCTCTCTCTGTGTGTGAGGAAGAAATGCTAATGAGGGATGAAGTTGTGCGGGTATTGCTTGCTTTGAGTGCTGTGAGATTTGCTGTTGAGTGTGATTATGGTGGATTAATTGGCTTCAATACCTCCTTGTTAAAGATTGAGTTGATGGTATTTCATAAATGGAAATATATTGATATCGCGGTATACTTGAACAATTCACCCATATACAAAAAGGAAATTGAACCTTTTCTTTATGGTTTGTTTCTTGAGCAGTAACTACTTCGAAGCCTCCCTCAACCGGACAGTAACATTGTCCGCCGGCGCACTGGTCAGATTCAGCGCATAGCGGATCTCCAGATGCGGTTGCACGTCTTCAATCGCGTCGAACCGCTGCAGCAACCGGACCAAGACGTATCCGGCCTCCGTGAGCGCGAACTGCTGCCCGAGACAGATGCGCGGGCCGCCATTGAACGGAACGTAGTCCCAGCCCACCTTGCGGTCCACCCACCGGCTGGGCTTGAACTCCTCTGCGTCGGGGCCCCAGATGTCCTTGCGGCGGTGCAAGATGTGCATGCTGTACGCGACGGGCTGGCCCTTGCGCACGTAGATGGGTTGCGAGCCGTCACTGCCACCGCCCCGAGGCAGCGTGGTATCCTTCGTGGCGATCCGGCGGTTGCCAGGCACGACGGGAAACAGGCGGAGGACTTCATTCATGCAGTGCTGTAGAGGTTGACAGGATTTGAGGGCGCCAAAGGTCAGGTTCCGGGGTTGGTCGTAGGTGCCAAACTCATCGACGACGGCCTGTCGGAGCTTCTGAAATTCGGCCGGGTGGCGCGCGAGAAGCAGCATCGTCCAGCTCAGCAGGGATGCAGTCGTGTCACGGCCGGCGAGGAGGATGTTCAGCAGCTGCGAGCGCAGTTCGACGGGATCCTGCGTGACAGAAGCCAGCGCGTGCAGGAAAACGTAGCGAGAGGAATCGTCCGTCGCGAGTTTGCCTTCCTGGGCGGTTTTGATAGCGTTCTGCGCGAAGCGGTCGACGTAGGCGTGTACCTCCTTCTCCGCGTGGCGTGATTCCCGGTTGTTCACAACCCACCATAGCTTTTCGAAGCGACCCCGTTGCGCGCAGTACCATTGCGATCGATCAAAGTAGTAGGGAAATTGGTCGGCTGGGGTTCCGCCGCCATTCAGGGCTGAGAGCTGGCTTTCCACGCTCTCGCCAAAGAGAAACTCGGTTGCAGAGTCGATAGTCAATCGGAAGAAGATGGACTGGATGTCCACCGCATCGGTCCACTTGTCGTTCACAACACGCATTGCCCGCATCGCGTTCTGAACGTGTCGTTCTTCCAACTCCAGATCGCTGATCTGGCCGCGCGTGAACTGAGGACGAAGGAGCGCTCTTGACCGGGACCATTCCTCTCCATCAGAAGTGAACTATGAGTCGTTAGATTGGGGCAATCACCATCCTGAAAACAATCAACGTACAATGCCCGTGCCCAGCAACGAGTGTATGGCGTTCCTCCGGGGAGCTCCCAGCTCGAAGTCCTTGAACTGTGTTGCCAAAACCGCCTGGATGTTCTTCGGGTCTGTGGTGAAGTACATCTCGCGGCCGATTTGCCGCAAGCGGAAAGTCGACACATATCGTCCCTCCCGGTCACTCATGAGCGCAACCCGACGCTCGATTAACTGGAGGAGCTGTTTCGCCTTGTCCGCCTTCAAGGCTTCCTTGAGTACGCTAATTCCAATAAAATCACTGGGGTAGAGAGGAGTCGAGCCACAACCCAGGCGGCGAGCATTCTGTGCATTCTGCCATTTCGAGACCAACACCCAGAGTAGGCGCAAGGCCACAGCTACAGCTGCGATGGTGACAAGTGGGAATGCCATCTCGATGGGGGTAAAGAAATGATGGATGGGTGACAAACAATTCATCTGCCTCACTGGGGACGGTCACAGTGCCTTTTATGAAGTATAATCTTCACAGCATTACAAAGGCCCCCATAGTGGATGGATGGAAAAGCGGCACGCTGCACAGGACTACCAGCGAGCAATGCAATGATTTCCTTCATAGTAATTCCTTGTGCTATGCATGAGAACGCAGGTGAGGTCATTTGTTCATTTACCTGCTTTTTCACTTCGGGGGACGTTGACCGAATCAGGGTCAGTATCACCCGAAAGAGTGATGTGCATGTGTCAAAGAAGAAAGGTTCATATGAGATGGTCACGCTATCAAAGAGGAGAAAACCGAGGGACCAGCTCCGAACCTTGAAGCATCCTGGAGATAGCCACCTGAAAAGAATGATACATGTTGCTCCCTACAAAGTGCCAGATGCCTATGTGGCTACGGAGTCTGTGTTGAACTGTGAAGATACTCCACCAGTCTGGCCTCCGGTCTCAGATTCACATCATCGACGATATGAATCATGAATGGTGCGCTGTTGTCTCCTTGAAGGGCCTAGCGGTGTCGATCATCGGCCTTGGCATGAATTGACCCATCCTCTAGGCTCTATCTAGATACTCCGTACTCCGTAGTATCAAATTCATAATTTATGAACAATGGATCTTCGGTGTATCCGATGCATGGTCTGGATCCATGAAGTTTCAGCTCAGTTGCCAGAAATATATCGAGTTAACGCTGCCGACAGCAAGGAGGCCATGTTCACCTCCGCGAGTTTCATTCGTGGTGACATGTCATAAGTTGTTGCCTTAGGTTCTATCTGATATTCGAAGCAACGGGTGACAGGGGTGAGTGGAGTCCAGACCAGCACATACAAATAACGGAATATTTATCGGCTTATTCGGCCTCTCGGAGATTAAACAGTTTTAAGTCATTCGCTTCATCGGCTTTTTCCAAAGCTGGTAGGGAAGAGCATGGGTCTGTTTTTTTTTCGATCAGATACTCATGGATTACCCTCGAAAGGGTAGATGATGATATGATCACAACCTTCTGAACGTCAATATCGGACCAGCATCGGAAGCTTGCAGTTCTCTGGGCCTTCAAAAAACATCCCTGGCTAGGACGAGAAGTTCCCGATGGGTCCCCTTCAAACTGCTGAAATCTTGGTACCCGATCTGGAACCACTCGGAAAATACATAAGAAAGAGTGGGGTGGAAAGATATTGTCGAGTTTAGCATTTCCACAGCAGAGGACATTGCATATCTGGCTGGTTAACTCAAAGCTAAAACATTGAGCGATCGCGAGTGCTTCAGATCAGACAGCCTTGAGTCGGTGTTCGAGAATCAAGTTCCTTCACCTCTTCTGATCCTCAAAGGCTCTTCGACGCAGTACATTTCAAGCCAATGGTCATGTGACGATGCTCAATATGGCTAGCTCGACTAGAGTCTGGGCGGTGGCAAGAAGAGAAAGCGGTAGGCCCAGTTGCCGGCAATATCCCCACATTGGGTCTGATGTCAGGTTGCCAACACTTGTGTTGAGTCGTGTCTTTGCCCACGCTTCTGAGACTGCATACAGAGACACCAGAGACACCCAATCGCTGGTTCTTAGACGCTCAGTTATCTGCAATCCTTCTTTGCTGGCTACTGTGGGAGAACTGGTGTTCCCCCACTACATGATCACACGCACACTGCCCGTTTGTTTATTACCCAACGACAATCACCACGCCTCTCTCGTGTCATACCATCACCCTGCAGACTGAGTTGGAATCGCATCTTCGGCATCGCTTATATACCTGAACTCCCAGAGATCTACATTGATTGTCGTTCATATTTTTTCTTTTGAGATTTTGACACAATGTGTATCGCATTAATCTCCACAGCTCACCCATCTTATCCGCTGATCGTCATCGACAACAGGGATGTATGTCACAGCTTGTGGTTCAACTACCCGCCACCAACTTGGGACAAGCTAATATTGAAGATAGGAATTCCTCCATCGACCAACAGCCCCGGCCGACTGGTGGCCAGAACCTCATACCAATGTCTTAGGAGGCCGGGACCTTGCACGATCCACGCATGGGACATGGATGGGAGTGACTAAAGAAGGCAAGCTGGCTGTTTTGACCAACTACCGGGAGACCACAGCCGACGAGCATAGCGGAGCACACAGTCGAGGTCTCATCGTCAATGGCTGGCTCACCACGGATCCTGAGCGCAAACAGTCTACCAGAGACTTCGTGCAGGAGATGGTGGCGTCGCCCGAGGCCAGAAATGTTGGAGGCTTTAGCCTTGTCTGTGGCTATATAAATGAGCCGTTAGCAATCGTGTCGAATCGTTCCGCTAGCATGGACCAGATTTCTTGGGTTGCCACAGAAAAGGGTCAGACTTTGGGACTCAGCAACACGAGGTTCGAGGACCGGTCCTGGCCAAAGATCCTCGACGGGGAGAAGCTCATGCAGGAGGCGATTAACGCCCACGTGGAAGCTGGAGAAGATGAGACGCAACTGATTGAACGTCTACTGAAAGTCCTGAGTAGGGACACCCTACCCAGGCTTTCGGAAGATGCTACGCTCGAGACCTACCTTGAACTCTTAAGAAAAAGTATCTTTGTTCCTCAGATCGGAGCACTAGCAGACAAGTCTCGTGCGACGGGGTCGGGTCAGGCGGCGAGTGGCCAACAGCCCAACAATGATTCCCTGGATCAATCATTCGCGCAGGGCGCATACGGAACCGAGAAGCAGACGGTAATCCTCGTCAGTGATAATGGACGAGTGAAATACTTTGAGCGTACACTCTATGATACGGACGTGAACCCCATCCCTATCGGTCAAGGCGACAGGTCATTTGAATTTCATGTCGGCCGATAGTCCGATTAACAGTCATATCTGATTTTGTCGGTCGATTCAGTATATATCCTTCTCGTTCCATTGTTTATGAATTTATGTCGTGAGACGGCTCAAAATGTCAATCTGCAACCCATTCCTGTAAATTGTACTTCTCTCTATCTGCCAGGATCCTCGATGGATGAGACGTTACCAAGTTGTCTGATTTCATGTGTTTTCCCCCTTGTAATACAAACAGCAGATTTCCCGCCAATCTTTCTCCTGTTCATTATTTTCTCTCTCCTGAAAGCCACCATGACTCTGCAATATGCGAACGTGTGATGAGTCGAGAACATGATCCCCCTATCTTTTTTTCTTCTTCTCTTTTCTTGCATCAACTACGAGTGGATCCCCTGGTTCTCCTTTCAGAGCTTTCATATTAAACGCGTGCAATCTTTATAACCGTTAGTTTTCTGATGGCTGCAGGCTGACTTGTGATAGTGGGTCTCACTAACAGGAACATGGCTTTCTCGCTTCGACCTCCAGAACTTCCTGCCTCCACTCTACTGCTATCCTATCCATCCTCAGTTATAAACATGCAGAATCCTTGGTTATCGACGTTGCTCTTTGATCATCATACCATGCCATGTCACAGCAACGTACAAGCTTTTGGTTGCTCGATCTGAAACGATCGTTCAACTGTCGCCCATCCTTTGTCTTGATCTGTCATCCCAGTTATCCTACCAGGCACTCAGAAATAAATTGAGGGCAGTTTCTCCACCAACGAACGTGTGGCTTGGGACTATGGGTGTTACCGTGTTTCATATATATCAGAGTTCCTCTCGTCTTCTCATTGGACTATCAATGCCTCCATAGCCCGTCAGCATCCGAGTCCCGAATGCTAGGTAGTATCATTCATATGATGCGACACTTTTCTCTTCTGATTGATATCAAGCCACTTAATCTCGTCACAATACGGACCAGGCACGAGTGAGACTGGACACTTCAACGGTGGAAGATTGGCGCTCTGAAAGGACCAGAAACGATAATGCGGTGTCTCGGGACCACGGCGGCTGCCATCCATCCACTCAATGACAAGGCCTTTTAGATTTCTCAAGTCCTATCTAGTCTCTAGCAGTTCTAGGAATGTGTTCAACAGCCAATCGGCTGATGTTGTTCAGATGCCCCTGAAGTGGGCCGATGGGTCATCGAGCTAATGCCTTCGGACAACGTCTCATATCATCTGGTCTAATTACTTTTGCCTTGCTATGTTGGAAGAAGGGGCTATGTAATCGGTCTCTGGGATCTCCTGGTCCAGAAGGACCAGAACCTGCAGAAGCTCGGGCTCGACCGTAATCTCATAGAACAACCCATGAGATGCCCCACGCCACGGAGCTGTCTCAAAGGTCGAAAAGCTTGCCTTTGATATCAAGACTGTGGGGCATGGGAAATGAGCTGCGGAGCCTGATATCCCTGAGTTGGCTGTCCCGGACACAGGGGATCTATATAAACTGGATTTGCCAGGGCATCTCTTCATGGTCTTTTCTCTGTTACTCTATCCAACTCAAGACTGGTTCTTGTCACTCTTTCTAACACCGGCTCTGACTCTGACTTTTGTCCTTCTTTCATATTTTCATTTTCTGTATTGTTCTATCGTCAAACTCGGCATCCATTCTTTTTCCCACAATGAGAATTGCCAACTTGATCATGGCCGCCAGCGCTGCTGGTCTGGTCAGCGCTTATCCCACCCGCGAGATGGCCAAGAAGCGTGCCTCTGGATTTTCCTGTATGCCTGAGCGATGCCATGGCGATATCTTCGGAAAAGTTATATATAACTGACTTCACCTCTGTAGGGGTCGGTGTCAACGTATCTGGCGGTGAATTTGGCAGCAACATCCCCGGCAAGCTGGGTACCGATTATACCTGGCCCGACATTTCCAAGATCCAGACCCTTCGCGAAACGGGTATGAACATCTTCCGTGTTCCATTCCTCATGGAGCGTCTGGTCCCTGGCTCTATGACGGGTAGCCCCGACGCCACGTACTTGGGTGATCTCAAGAAGGTAGGACTTGTAGCAGCTTGTTCCGATGAAGTGATTCTAATCCGTAGCAGGTTGTCCAATCCATCACTGACAGCGGTGCTTATGCTATTCTCGATCCTCACAACTATGGAAGATAGTAAGTGCGGTGGAATCAATCGTTTGAATCGGTGGCTAATACGATGGGGCAGCTCTGGAAGTATCATTTCTCCTTCTGACTTCAAGGTCTTTTGGAAGACTATCGCCAGCGAATTTGCGTCCAACGACAAGGTCATCTTTGATACCAGTGAGTTGCTTAGCTCGTCCATTCCATCGAGGTTGTATCGGCAGAATGTGCAGTACTGATATCTCCCAGACAATGAATACCATGACATCGACCAGACTGTGGTTCTCAACCTAAACCAGGCCGCCATCGACGGTATCCGTGCTGCTGGTGCCACCGCGCAATACATTTTTGTTGAGGGAAATCACTGGACCGGTGCCTGGACCTGGACTGACAACAACGACAACCTTAAGGGCCTGAAGGACCCTCAAGGCAAGATTGTCTATGAGATGCACCAGTATCTCGACGCTGATGGTTCGGGTACTTCTGAGTCTTGCGCCAGCCCGACCATTGGCAAGGAGCGTATGCAGTCCGCCACTCAGTGGCTGAAGAAAAATGGCCTCAAGGGCTTCCTTGGGGAGTTCGCTGGTGGTGTCAACTCGCAGTGTGAGACCGCCGTTGATGGCCTTCTCTCCTACATGTCAGACAACAGCGATGTCTGGCTTGGTGCTGAATGGTGGGCTGCCGGCCCTTGGTGGGGAAGTTACATGTACAGCCTCGAGCCTGGCAGCGGCCCTGCCTATTCGACCTACCTCCCCATCCTGGAGAAGTACTTTGTAAAGGGTTCCGGCTCCGGTTCTGGCTCTGGTTCCTCGTCGTCCTCTTCCTCTTCTTCTTCTTCTTCCACCACCACCTCCAGCTCGACCACCAATGTGGCCCCCTCGAAGCCCACCACAACCGCCGCTCCTACCACTTCTGCTCCCACTCAGCCACCAGCCGTCGAACCCTCTCCTTCCGCTCCAAAAGCTCCATCATCTGCGCCGCCTAAAGGTGCTCCCACGGCGCCCGAAGTCGCCGCTAAGCACTGGTACCAGTGCGGTGGTATCAACTGGACCGGACCTACCAGCTGCGAGAGCGGATACACCTGCACTGAGATGAACCCTTACTACTACCAGTGCGTTTGAGCATGTCTCATGGATGGCATGATCGGAATAGAACCGATGGGGGAAGACGGTGTGTGTTGTAGATAGTGGTAATACGCCAAAGTGATTTTCGCTGATTTTCGCTTCATCTGTACATTTTAGTCTGAATAAAAAATTTTCAGTGTTGAATGTTGCAGCAATTTGATCATTTTAGAAAGCGATAGAGCTGCTACCTAACTTCCCTTTTGAATTTGGCAGAGCACGAGAGAAATTGACAGAAAACTCTTAAAAAGAGTTGCATCACTATCCATAGAGATAGACCTCAACCGTACCATGTCTATATGAGCGAGCCCATATCCATACCTCACCGAGACCTCGAACCACAATCACATGTTCTTATACAACCAACCCATGCACAGCATCAAAATCTCCCCCACTCCAAGATAGATCGATCTCTCAACCCAAGCTTTCCAGCGAAACTTTCCCCCCTCATACGATTATGACGAGTATCCAGCCTCCAGATCAACTGACTCTGGCTGACCTCAAAATCCGAATCTCTGCAGAAGCGCGGACCTCGGCTAACCCATCGTACTGTACGGAGTACACAGTACCGCTTGAAAACAGTCACAGTCACAGTTACACAATCCACCGTACATTCTTCTAAGTCTTGTCTAATTCGACTCGGCGGCCGGGTAACGCCAAGCGCCGACTCGCCGACTCGCCGACCCAAGAATACTTATTATTATTACTAGGGAGGTTACAAGGAAGCGATGACTAACGGTATGTACAACAGTATAAGACAGGTGAAGTTGCACAAGATGAGTCAGTGGTGCATAGTTCTACCACAATTGTGCAGAGTTGAATTATGTCCGGCAGAAAGGGCAGTGATGATTCGCGGCGATAAGAGATAGAGACTCTCCCGCCGTGTGTCCGAGATTCCTTATCTCCGTTGAGATGAGAGAGAGATTCTGGACTTCAGGGAGTGAGTTGGGGATGATGTCAAGAGTTTTGAGATTATGTTGATGTTCGTTTTTTTCTTTTTTTGTTTTGGTGAGTTATCAGTTGGGGGGTTTGTCATGGCCTTGTCTTTTTGTCAGGTTAGCTGTTTACCTTGTTGGACTAATGATGATGGTGGTGGTCGTGGTGGTGGTGGTGATGCTATCATCACTCATCTCCAATGCATCATGGATATCGGGGAGGCGAGATACCGCAGAGGAATCTCTTATCAATCGCAGCACAGAATGAATACAATTTCATTGTTGAATCAGGGGGGGGGGGTCGACAATGGTGAAGTCATGATGCCGTGCTGCTAAGTAGATATGCTGCAATGTTCGCCCCTAGTACAAGTAGACCCTCTTCAGTATGACCTGGGGAAGGGAGGGGGACCGTGCCTGACGTCACTATGGATGGATGGAAAGGCTTCCGTGCAGACCCGGCATGTTGGGTTGGGACTTTGGGAAAACGTGAGGTTCTGTGGGTGGTCTCGAAACGTGGGGAGGAGTCATTGGTGTTGTTTATTTGCTTTTTACATCTTTCGAATTGGTAAATAATAATGATATTAATAATTCAATATTGGGAAGGATGATTATGAAGGGTGAGATGGTTGTTGGATACTCCGCAGTCGACAGTCCGCAGTCCGCAGTCCGCACTTGGAGGACAAATATACTAGACACTAGAGTCTAGAGAGACAGGCAGCACGATTCAGGGCTTCATCACTGGATGAATTGGGATTGGCGTCAGGGAGGCTTATATCTGATCCTACCTGGTGCAGTTAGATGATAGTTTGTATAGAAAATTGTCATCATCTTACCCATTGCTGTAGGGATTCCGAAAAGGGAAATTGGCAGTAGGCTGAGTCAGGGCTGTGTTGGCATTTCACATAGCTGAGTAGTGATAAGCATAAACGATAATACGGAGTAGTACTTGTAGTAGTAGTAACCTAAGGTAGTATTATTCTAGACTGTAAGTATGGATTTAATGTTGCCTATTCTGCTTCTTGAGCTTTGACAGTGTTGCCTAAAAGTTGATACTCGGTCACTACAGAGATGATGATCACTGCGTGTGCATTTCCCCAGTGGTCAAAGCATCGGCGTACCTTGGCGGGGTGATATGCCAAAGGACACAGACATCATATGAGAATACCCAGGGTGACTTGGTGAAGTATCGCTGTCAACTATCTTGAGTATTTACTGTCTGTGCTACTGTAAGGAGTTAACCTACGTGGACAATCGGTATCAAACCAAGGGAGCTTAGATGAAATTATGTCCTCAATCCCGACATAGCCTTTTTTTGACTCTTTTTTTTTTCCTTTTGGTCGCAGTCAAAAGTAATGACGGAGAAGAAAGAAGAAAGAAGATAGGAGTATGTTACTTCGAACGGAGTACATGTGTCGGATTGACAGGCTGACAGGACCATAAGCACGGAAGAACATTCCATTGATAGATAACCTTAGAAGCAATACGAAAGCGATAACACCGGATCCAAGCTGCCGGTTAGGACTATCTACTGGGCTGAAAATTCTGTAATCCGCAACGGAAATCTTTCCCCTCGGACTTACTAGATATCTCATATCTATCTCACTAGTCGATTAGCGTTGAAGCGGCTATTCCGATCCGATTACGATTTTGAGTATGGCAGCGGGGCACAGGATCAATGATCAAACCTCGCATTCGTTTAGGAATCCTTGCTCTAGCTTGGCTTGCAATTTTTTCAGTTGCATCTTGCGGCGATGAAGGTCTAATCATCTCTTGGCTGAAAGTAGATATTATCTATCTGTGGTTTCACTGGTTTGTGATTCAGATAGTGAGCAGATTAGCGAAATATGGATTACTCTTCATTCTTCGGGATGATGGGTTTTGTGATAATGAGGCTGATGTTGGGCTGGAATGACAGGTAGTACTGTGTGTGGTCTGTGTCTGTACTCTGTATACGGAGTAGTTGTCTGGTCTGTGGACTATGGAGCAGTCTGTGGATCATCAAGCTCATCAAGACTATGAAAATTTTTATAGCGTATCCATCTATCTAGTCCGTATTCCGTAGTTGAATGACTCCTACTCACCATTCTTATAGAGCAAACGGACTGTTTCGTATATAAAAAGATGACCTGGATGATTTGCAACCATGTGCATAGAATCAGTCATCGTGGATTAGTTATCTAGATTTCTGATTAATCAAGTCGGATGGAACGGGGCGGAAGGATTGGTCATCCGGGCTCCCGCTACAGGGCTGGCTTCAAGATGAATTGCCCGAATAGGTCAAGGTTAGCTCTAGGCCGTGAGTCATTCGCCACTAATTGGGCCAGAACTGGAGGCGGTGAGCAAGCAACAAGTGCTAGGTTAGTCAGATAGTCTTGGTTTTCTTCTGGCCCGTTCTGGTGATGAGCTGAAAGCCTAAAAGTGACCATACGGATACGGGACCAGGACTTACCTACTTCCCTCATCCATGGAAATCACGCTCGCATTCTCTCCGGCCCCGATCGCCGTTCGGACTTAGGCGGGTTCACGGCAGGAAAGCGAAGAAGATCACTAATAATGAGTAAATAATATGTCGAAGCTAGACAAGAAAACAGGGTATAACTGAATAACGATTAGGAAAAAAATAAAAGAAAGAACAAAAAATTTTCAGCCTAGACGGAGATCAAGTGGATATATCAGAAACCCATATCCCTGGATCCAAACTCCCCTTCTCTTCCTGGCAAACTTCCTTTGATCTCCTTCATATGAAAAGCATACTGTGTACACACGTCCAACCCACACAAGTCAACCACATCCACCCATTGATCTAGCCTCACTCTCGGCCTCATACATATCTCCCCAAGTCTTCCCCTCTGTTGAACAGACAACCAGTGGAGAACAAACGACCGTGTGTCAATCGCCTGCGTCGTACTTTTTTTTTTATACATATTTGTTTACTATCTACTCCATACACGTCGTCAAATTGGATTCTCTGCTAAGATCCTCTCAAACGCCATCCTATCGACTCCTTATCCTGATAAGGCAAATCGATAGCCGTGAAGCCCCTACATAATTTGTCTGGCTTGGCCGCAATCCAGTGAATCCACCGCTTGCATCGCCTTGACTCACCGCTCTCTGCCTCCACTCATTGTGATTGGGTTTGCGCCCGACCGCCGGAAAGAGTAGTTGAGTCACCAAAAGAAAAAGGGCTGTGAACGAGTCAACTTTGCGGCCGATCTTTGGTTGAGCTCATAAGCACATCAACTTCCGCTGCCCACTGCCCCCCCCCCCCGGATCTGGCACCATGACTCTCTCCTCCCCCACAACCACTATTACTTCTACTCATTCTTCCTCTTCACCCTCAACTTCCTCAACTTCTCTCTCTGCCTCCTTACTCTCATCCTTTAATTCTCTTGCCCGCCGACAACAGAAAAAGAAAATGAGTATCACTCAAACATACTACCTCGCTCACACCGCCCGCAAGAAGCTCACTCGGGAAGCTTCGCGGGCGGACCATGACCTTCGCCTTCTGGTCGGTCATGCCAATCTGCTTGATTCTTTGATGATGGACCTGGCCGATGCCGAACAAGAACAAGAACGCTGGTTCAATCAGACCGTCAATGGCGCTACAACTGCCGCCTCGCCTGTTCCGGAGTCGCGACACATTCAATGGGCCGATACTGTGGTTGAGGAGCCCGAGGAGGACTGGGATCCCGAGGATGCATCCGACCTCGACTCGGATGTCAGCGACGATTCAGACTACGACGGTGAAGACTACTACGAGGAGGAACAGACTTTCGCCGCCATCCAATTGCCGGTGCGTGCGCGGGCCCCATCGCCCGTGGCCATCATTACCGAGACCGAAGTGGAGGACTTTGACTCAGATTCGGACTCGGACTTTGAATACGATGATGTGGAGGATTTGGAGGAGCTTACCCTCACCCGGTCACCGTCGCGACAAACACCTCCCGAGCTGTCCTCGGACTCTGACGAAGAATCCGAGGACGATAGCGGGCCTCCATCGCCACAACAACCCACGCTGGCCAATTTCTCAGAGAAGCAGGCCCAATCAACCGAGCTGCCCCTGGCCGATCCTGAATTCGGCCAAGGGTATTACGTTTCCGAACAGGAACAGAGCCCCATCATCGAGGCGTTCTGACTGACCGCCCGTTGAATTGAGTTGCGATGTTCCTTTTCTCTTTCTTCTCTCTTCGCCATGTCGCCCTGTAGCATATTGCGATACCCATTGATACCTGAACCTCCGTCCTATTTACAGCGAATTTGCATACGCCAAGCGGATACGGCGTTTTTTTTTTTTCTCTTTTGTTCTTGCATCTACTGGCGTCTAGATTTGGTTGGTGACCCAATGGTCGGGTACCGGTTGATGGTTCTCTACTCTGATGAAGGCATGTATGAACCCCTATTGTCGGGCATGCATGATGGGATTGGCCTAGGACTTGGCCTGGTATAAGCGATATATAGAATACGAAACAATGAAATATCTGAAATCTTTACTTTTGGTCCTGCAGCCCTGTAGCTGAGACATCTGCCTACAATCCTGATTCCTGGGTATCCTGTAATCATCAAGTCATGGTAGACCCATAGTTGGGTCGATCACTCTCGAAGATTCTGCCTCAGCCCCGCTGGATTTTGGGTACCTTGCAGTCCCACCAACCTCTCTCCCAGTCAAACACCCACCCGGCTGTGACATCTGTCAGATTCATTTCATCATGTGACCTCATCCTCTCTCCATCCTCAACTTCACACCAGAGCCAAAGATTCTCTCACTCCATCATTTCCAATGGTTCTACTTGATGCTCACACTGTTGACTGGTATTTTCTGGTGGGGTTGGATTGTACAGAGGACACACTCCGTAGATAGTGGGGCATGGGCAACAACACGCCCGACTCCGACTCTAGCCTTAAGGCCTCCACCTGACTTCAGCTTTCAGGCCTACCAGGCTACCACAGTACCACTAGTTACCACCGTGCCAGTACTGGCGGGTCGTGGGTCGTGAATCATCACATGATTCACATCGTGACTTTGCAAAAAAAAAAAACAAAACGCTCTCTAGCTTCGGGCATTGATTCCGATGTGGCCGAGAGTGTGCCGACTCCGAGCGTTTTCTTTTCCATTTTCCTCCTCGTGATTATTACTACTCCGCAAGTCCGCAGTCTATCAGTATCTGGATTCTGGATGTCCAGGACTTAGCGCCGAAGCCTGAGTCATTGTTTGACAGGGATGGGCCCATGCTGGTTGAATTTGTTTAGCGCGTGGGAATATGTCTACGGAGTACTGCTACTGTGTGTACCTTGATGGATTGTGCATGCATCTCTAACACTAGTTAGAAGTTATTACAGGTTGATATATCCCGCAAAAGCAAGGGTCTTTTGTTTAGTTGATGTGAATTGTGATGTGATGAGGTGTGATGGGGGTGTGATGGGATGTTTCTGTAATGCCTGAAGGCGTCAACAGTAGTACTCTATAGGGTCTATTTATTTACTGTTGGTAGCAGCGAATTGCCAGTTTGAGTTTAGCATTCTGGATTGGGTATTGTTTCCTTGCCGCCTGTGGTTATGATTTATTTTCTAACTTATGGGTAAAAAATACATGCAGGCAAAGGCATTATAAAGAGTATATGAGAGTGCAATATGTATGGTCATTAATGCTTCCTCCGCGGTTATATGTCTTCATCCTCAACTATTACTCCTATACTCACGTCTGCATATACTATGCTCTAAGTCATCACTATAGTTCCCACAGCAAGGTGTTAAAAAATTTAGAGTAAAGAGTAGAGCACAGACAAGTATTAGCGTGTAAGCACCTCCTTCTCAATCTCCTGGTAGATGGTGATGCAGGTAGTGATATTCCAAATAATAGTGATACAGGAGACACTGCTGTAAGCTAAGAATCAAGGGAACTTCAATCCAAAAAAAGAGTGTTGACTGACTCACTAAATCCACATAAATTTGTACAGTTGCGCTGAAGTTGAGTCCAGCTCCGGGATCTTTGGTTGTATTGATACCTCAAAGTAGATTCACCAACTAGAGGACTACTATGCCTTCTATACTGCAATAAGCCCTATAGATATCATAGCTTACAGTGACTTGTTTAGCAGACACTATGACCATCTGCAGAGGATAGGCACCTGATATTAGTGGAATACTCAGTATTGAATTTGTTTAGAACCACATATCATTATCAGATCAGTGGATGAGCGATGATTGGTTCAACAGCTAAGGGCATGCAGGTTTGGTTGCCTTAGGCCGAAACCGGCTCGGCCCGCAATCATACAGAGTACCTTACACACTGCACTGTCTACACTCTACAAAGCCTACAACTGATGTTCAGGGACAGAGTACAGAACCATGAGAAGAAAGATGTATACAAATTCAGCCAACAATAAGAGCCCATACTATAGGTATCATACATCAAGGTTATATAGCCATCCAATTCATCTGAAAGAAAGCTCCAATCAGTGCAAGCCAGCAAACATGACATTCAGAAGATGCCCCTGAGCATCTAGCAGTGAGATTTGCAAATTCATCATGCTTGTAGTGAGTCCACCTCTGAAGCCCCTCCTGCACAATGTCAATTATGGTATCGTTGAGCTGGACAGCCACATGGATTGGCAGGTGGAAAGGGGCGAACAACTAATCCACAAGCCAGACCGCTTGTTTAGTGATAGTTATGCACAGTGTCATTGGCGACGTCTGTCAGACCCACGAACGACCGGCACAGGGCAGATTTCTTCTTCTCCTGCTGCCTTTCTTGAGTTTATCGGTGCTCCCCCCCCCCTTCGCGGTGCTGAAGTAGACAGTTCCCCGCGGGAAGGGATCCCAGGAATACTCGCTCTCAATCAGAAACTCTTGTTTGAGGAGTTATGATGGCATGTAAACGGGACAAGGATCTCCCCACTCCAGCTTCCAGTTGCCCTCGGTGCTGCTCACAGTCCTGTCTTGTGTGTAGTACACATATGAATCGTCGGAAAAAAAGTCTTCGGCCGACTCCCTCCCTCAGTTGAGGCGAGAGGGTGTACCCTAGATTGTCCTTGTCGTCGGCGGGGGCACGATCCACCAGGCGACAGCGACCCCCAAGTCCCAAGAATAACTTGGGATTTTGAACAGCAAAATTAACTGGCTGGTAGAGCATAGGCTCATACGTCTCGTTTCCAGGAAAGACGAGGTTCAATCTCGAATATTTGGAGCGATGGAGAAGAATCTGAATGAAGCTATGGAGCTATGAAGCTGCTGGTGCAGACAGTATTGCTGCGATGAGTACCCAATAATGCGCCATGTTCGGACAAGACAAGGATACGAGGAGCTTGATTTGGTCTTCGCCTTTTTTTGTAATTCCTCTATTTAGTCTTCCAATTTTTCTTTTCTTTTCCTTTTTCTTTTTTTTTTTTTTTTTTTTTCGCCCCTATGGTTTCCGGCTATAGGGGAGACCGAGGAGGCTCTTGTTCGAATGGCGATCGTAGTTCATGACCAGTAGATGTTTGTACTTCGTACAAGACTATTTCCCCGTAGAATAGATCTAATGTAGACGGAGGTACAGAGTAAAGCTGGGGACAAAATCTGGGGAATCAATACTATTAGCGAATAAGTCTATTGCGCATCGGTTGCAGCGCATGGCTCCTCCAGATTCTTAAGGGCAGGCTATGCCGAAAGCTATGCAGCTCTGTTAGCATAGTAGGAGTCGTGCCTGGACTGATTGAACTCTTCTTCCAGCTAAACATCGCTTATATGCCCATGGAAGGCAGTGTTTGAGTCAGTCTGTTAGTCTCTTCTAACCATCGATAGGGCTTGCCCACTACGCTTGGAATGAGATGAACTAGTTCTAATCAAAGTGACCATCCCTAAGGGGAAAGACTATAATATGGTGTATTAGGATACCATACTGAAAAGAGTAAACCTGATTATGGATAGAAGCTGAAGCTGGATTGGGAGAAGAATGAGCAGAAATGCATTTATGGGACCTTCTGATAGGTCAAGTATATAAAGTATCCTTTATAAAAGCGGCGATTCTCAACTAGCAAAGGCCACGGGGTTTTTAGGCGTAAAGGCCACGCACCTCCTCCCCCAGAGTGTGACCACGTTCAGTTTCACACCAAGGAGAGACTCTCACCGCCTTGATATCACCTCTCTCCCTATCTCTCTCTCTCTCTCTCTCTCACTGTCTGCATTCGGAATATCTCTCCAGAGCTTCCTCTCCTGTTCCTTATCAATAGCTTCACCCCTTGGCTGTTCTCCCTTCTCATTGTTCAGTGGCAGTTGCAAGCAACTTTTGCTCAGCTCTGTACAAACGCAACAAACCCCCCCCTCGGCCTGGGGTCTTTCCACCCACCCAATTCCAACAAAACATGATCAGCGTCTCCCGCATCATACCACTGGCAGATCTTCAGGAGCTTCATGGAGGCTGAGCTGTTGGATTGACTCTTCACACCTACTGCATTTTGCTAACCCCGTATTTCTCTCTCAATTTAAATCACCACTATCCCCCCTGTTCCAATTCTGTCAGTGTGTCAGCTCAGAGTTGCTGCGAGTTTGTCCGACATTCCTGAGCTCAGAAGGAACATCTCACGTGCACGTCGCACCTCCCCTCTTTCTCCTCTAGTTTCCCACACCCCGACAGATACGAGGGATTGATCAGGACACCATATAGTCACCGTAACTTTGCACACATTCGGCGATTAGAAAGGAAAAACAAACATGTCGACCACCCCCGATAGACCTTCGCTCGAAAGCGAGGACCACACCCCAGACCATGACGACGCCGGAGCAGGACAGGAAACCTCTTCTCCACGCAGTGTGTCCCGTGCGGAGGATACGAGCCCGCGACGCAAATCTATCCAGTTCAGTATCGGCGGAGGCGGACTCCAGCCTGCTATCCGGCAGTCTACAGGCGTCAAAGCGAAGAGCGTGCCGCAGCTCGAAGTCCAAGAAAAGGAATCCAGGAGTGTTAGTCGAGGCCACTCTCCACCACCGCCGAGGTAAGTCTCACTGAGCCATTGCACCTTGAAACATGGGGTTTAGTGCTGATAGGAAGATGCGGGGTAGAACGTACGAGCGTGGTGTTTCCTTTGACACGTTCGATAATCCGGATGCCGCGGACTATTCCTTGACGCTAAATTACAAACACAAGGGGTACCAGTGTACTCGTCGCAGCAGGACCTTCCTCTGTGGCACCGACCAGAACGACTATTCGAATTTCGCCTTGGAGTGGCTGATCGATGAGTTGGTCGATGACGGTGATGAGATTGTCTGTCTTAGGGCTGTCGAGAAAGACTCTGGCCTCGCGAGCGACGCGGAAATCGAGGCTGGGAAGTATCGGAAAGAAGCAGAGAAGCTGTTCGAGCAGGTAATCCAGAAGAACAGCCAGGATGAAAAGGCTATCAGTCTGGTCTTGGAATTGGCGGTTGGCAGGGTACAGGACATTATCCAGCGCATGGTATGTGTCCATATGATCCCTCTATGATACGGTACTGACGTCCCCAAAGATCAGAATCTACGAACCTGCCGTGCTGATCGTTGGCACGCGTGGTCGAAAGCTTGGAGGCGTGCAGGGCTTGCTGCCTGGTTCTGTCTCCAAGTATTGTCTGCAGCAATCGCCGATTCCTGTTATTGTCGTCCGCCCTTCCACCAAGCGAGAGAAGAAAAAGAAGAAGCGACTCGCAGATCCTACTCGGCGTAGCTACAATCATATTCTGGAGATGAGTGAGCGACGTGGCAGTCACATCTTCGATGCCAGCTCGAGCACTGAGAGCAACATCTCTAGGCTACCCGATGAAGAGGCGGCTGTTGCTGCGGCTTTGGGTCTCCCTCCGTCGTATGCGAATTCGCGGACCTCCCTTTCTATGTCGGAGCGAAGCAGCGTCAGCCACGAGGACTCTGCGTCGCCGAACTGGGGCTCTTTGGACGTCGCCGCCAAGAGTCCTCCTGCTGGAAGTACGGAGACCACTGAAGACGAAGGCGCTTCCAGTGATGGAAAGTCTTCTCCCCAGCCAGAGAATCACGGTGAAAGTGAATCGCTTAAGCTGAAGTCTCCGGAGGCCAATCATACTGGTCCCGATCATGGTGCAGTTGCTTCCGACGGCCGAGCGCGAACTACTACGAAGACTGCTCCACCACTGGCGGCCCCGAAGGTCAAAATTCCGGTGATTGTCACTGAAGATATTTCTACGGAAGATGGGAAATAAGGACCATCAAGATATTGGTGGTTCCACCTCAAGTCTGACTGTCCTGTATACCCGAACCCAGCGACACTCGCCTTCCCTCCGTTTTCTCATTTAATCTTAACCGAGCTATTATGAAATCCGTATTGTACCTTCTATTCTATGACACCGGTTAGCGCCTCGATTTACATGGGTTTCTTTTCCTGGCGTTGCCAACGAATTATGACCAGATTCATCGATTTCGTTCTTAATTCTTACGTGTCTGCAGTTGATCCGGCCTTAGCTAGATAGTTCAAGAGGGAACATTACATATAGAATGGGAGAACCTATGAAATCTACGCTGAAAATGACTTCTGTTACTCTTAGAACATTGCCCCCTTGACCTTATATTTACACTTCATACCACCAGTATCTACCGCCCTACAGATGATGCAACGTGAGGCGAAACTATACTGCAGTCGACCATACCACAGTATATCATATGTAGTGAGAGAATCTGGACTACAGCTCTACAATGGATATGGCTATACTATACTACAGCTAGTTCTGACTTCACGAGGGTTACATACAGCGCAAGAATGGACGCTATTCCCCCCCCCCCTATTCTTACTCCAAAACTGCTCCTCCATTGATCATTGGAACAAAGACAAGACAGCTAGCTGGACAGGATACCGACCGAAGTGCCTGAAACACGAAACGACCCACCAAGGCCCGCAAATTGTCTCTCTCTCTCTCTCTCTCTCTCTCTCTCTCTCTCTCTCTCTTTTTCTTTTTCTCTCTCCTAGCATCGCCCCTCTAGGTAACTAGCTAGCTAGCTAGCATCTGGTAAAACCCCATGTCGAAACACGGCTATGACTACTCCGTAGTAAGTACAGAGTAAGTCGTGTGTTTGTACTGTGTACTTTGTTCGAATACCCCCCTCGCTTTGCCAGACTTTCCAAGTTCCAGGCTTCCCAACAGTACTTTGTAAGTTAAATAATAAGTTCTACAGCTGTCTGTCTCCCCTCCACTCCAGTCAGAGGGGGGGGGGGGGGCCGGGTGAAGTAGAATAATAAAAATAAAATGCCTGATATCAGGCAATACCCAGCTAGGTACCTAGCTACCTAGGTACTTACTACCTAACGAAGTACAAGACAGCAATCTCTACTCCGTAGGGTGGTTGGATCCTTGCAAATTGAATTGATTTGATTTGATTTGATTTTCTGTAAATAAAACCATAACGCAGTCTGAGATGATCCATTGATACAATAATACATAATATAATCCAATCCATCATCGTCGAGCCAATTTACATCTCGGTGTCCCAACAAAAACTCTCAACTTGGGAAGATGAAAGCAAGACACGAAACCATCAGTAGATATAGAGATAGAGATGGAGATGGATAAGGGAGATTCAAAGACTGGGATGATCGGTGATATGATATGATGTGATAATATTCCAGACAAGCAACCCAGCCACAATACATACAAGCCACGTCAGCGGAGGTGGTTTCGAAGCGAAGAGTCAAGAGAGAGACGGAGAAGGGGAGTGAAAAACTTTTCTAACAGTTCTGGTCTAAAACAGCACAGCACAGCAGGGCATTGGCATGGCCATAGCCATAGCGAGCAAGTGGAAATGAAATGGATTGCTGGAAACGTGAACATCGGACATAAATCAAATGGAAAGGGGGGGATACACCAAACCAGCTAGGTAGTCCATCGGTGTACATGCACGCAAGAGAAATTCAGTCAAGGGTAACGTCAAGCCATGAAGCCAGAATGCAAACGGACATGTTGAGCTACGAGATGAGATGTGACGAGATGAAATAGATGAGAAGATGGTGGTGGCTTTTCCCCCCCGGAACCTGACCCGATAACAACTCCTTTAGGATCGAAGCTGGGGGGAGGGACAAGGGTTGGCGCTGGGTATTGAAAATGCATAGCAAAGCAAAGCAAAGCAAAGCAAGCAAGCAAGCAGAGCAAGAGCAATGTTTTTGAACAAAAGCAGAGCAGGACATAAGCAAGATGGTATGATATGAGAACCTCGCGAGCCAATCCTTTCTTTTTGAATCCTCCGGGTTACGTGTAAACAAATGTGGTACTGTCATGTCCTGACCACTAGCCTATCCATTATCGAGAGGGCGAGGGGGATCGGAAAGAGTCGAAATCATGGACGAGAAGATTATGACGGAGAAATGTGCAAGAGGAGAAAATAAAAGGGTTTGGTAGGGGGATGTAGAAGTTAAGAAAGGCGGGGTTGGGGGAAGAGAGAAGATAACATGAATCTTTCCAGAAGAAAACAAAAGAGATCTTTTTTTCATTATCATTGTCATAGAATCTATGATGCTTCTTCGCCGGCCGTCGAGGGGGTCTTAGAGGGGCGGCGCTCAACGGCAGGTTGAGACTTGGTCAGCAAGGGTGAAGTAGGGTTGGATGGAGGTGAGGTGGCCATGTTGTCTTCCAAGCTGGCAAGAGCGCTGCAAACCATGTTAGTCGGATTTCCATACGCGAAAGATAAATGAGAGATGGAACCTACCTGAAGGCGTTGATCGACGAGGCGGCCTCCTTGTCTTCCTTCTTGGCTGCGGGCGTTCCAGAACGGCTGCTGGCGGCACTGTCGTCGCTACCGCGAACCAGGTTGCCTCCAGGGCCAAGGTTCTTACGACCGCTGCTGCTCCGAGACCCAAGCATGCTGGATGGGCCAAAGGACATGGGTTGGTTGGTGTTGCGCGTGGTCCGCAGCCGGCGGAGATCATCGCTTCCAACCTTGCTCGACGCGTAGTCAGGGGGAGGGGCCTGGTTGCCGTATCCGGAGAAGCTGCGAGCATCGCCCCGACCAATGGGGGGCCGGTTGCCACGGTTGGCCTGTTGGCGGAGACGCTCCATCTCGGCTTCTTGCTGAGCACGAGCGGCCTGGAAAACGATATTAGCAGGTGGTTTACACTAAGGGGAGAGGGATTGAAATGATGACATACCTCTTCACGAATCTGTTGGATGGTCTTAGGACCCTTATCAGCGTCCTTGGACTGCCAGCGGGCATTACGCAGATCGATAATGTCCTAGAGGATGAAGTTAGAGGATGATCAGAGTAAAGGGCGGGCTTTTTTTTTTTTTTTTTTTTTGATTACTTACCATAAGCATGAACCGCAAACGACTGGGCAGGCCGGGAATCTCGACCATCATGTGAATACGACCAAAGTAGACATCCATATAGGAGTGACCTCTCTCCGAGGCATCGAGACTACCACCGATGGTGCGCAGGAGACTGGTCAAACTCTCAACCTCGGCCTCCTCGGGCATACCCTCGTAGTCGACCAGCTTCTTCACACACTCGTGCATGATACGCTCCGTCAACATGCCCAGCTTGTACAGCTCACCAATGAACTTGACGAGACCCAGACCACGACGTTTGGCGGCAGCCGCGGTGTAGTACTCGTCCGACAGCATAGCAGCCTCCTCGGTCGTGCCCTCGGGCCTGGGCGGCAGGTTAACCTTCCAACCGCGCTCGAACTCCTCCTGACACCGGTTGAGGAGGTACTTGCGGAACAGACTGCCACCGACAACCACATTGCCGTTCTTGTCGCGGATGTTCTCGTCCTTGATCTCGGCGCTCATGCTCTCAAGCATACACTTGCAGAACTTGGCATAGATCGACGCCCAGTGCGCTTCGTCGGTGGCCTTCTCGAAGGTGAGCTGGATGACCTGGCGCAGGGTCCGTCCGTCGGACTCATCCTTGGATTGTGACACAATCTCCAGGATCTGGCCGGAAATACGATCGAAGTTCTCGGGCGTCATCTTGTTCAGCGCAGCCTTGACCTTGCGCTGCACAACATCTGGAGGCAGATGGCCAGCGCCAGCAGGAGTGGGACCAGCAGCAGGGGGCTGGCCGACGCTGCGAGGCTTCCATCCGGTGGTCGAGATCTGGAGCGCCTTGACTTCCTTTCCGGCGGTGAGAGGCATGGACTTGGCCATGTCCTCCTCCTTCTTGCCCTGATGCTTGTCGCGCTTGCTGCCGGTGCGGGTGTTGTTCCGGCTACCAGGGCCACGCGACGGTCCACCCATCGTGCTGGAGGAGGTGGTGCGGCCGAGGGGAGGAGTGCCCATGGGGGAGCGGCCAAAGGATCCGAAGCCCATCGCGACGTTGCGGTTGGCGTTGGAGGCGGCAAAGCGCTGCTCGGAACTGCCCAAGGGACGGCTCGGGGGCTGTCCGAAAGAGCCCATGGTGAAGGCAGGTTGGGGCATGGCGCCACCGCGCGAGGGGTTGCGGCCACCCATGGGCGTGCGCGCGGACTGCGGGCGGGACGAGTCTCCGCTGTCGCCGACGGTCTCGCGCACCCGCGAATCCCAGTCGATCGAGGGCTTCTCCTTGAAGACGCTCTGGAACTGGAGCAAGAACTCCTTGTTGTAGTGGAACTTGCGGTCAGCGGGGGCGTTGGCGTTCAGAGCCGGGTTGGGCGAGGCCACCGAGGCAGGGTAGTTGACCTGGCTAAGGTCCTCCAGGAAGCGAGCCGACTGGAGGGACTTCATAGCAGCACTGGGCTGAGGGGGCTCGACGGCCTTGGTGGTTTCCAGCTTGAGAGCAGCAGGCTTCTCGCGCTTCTGGCCGGGCTTGGCAGGAGGGCCCATGGAGATGTCGGAGACTGGGGTAGCAGTACCGCTGTCGGCGGGTGTGCTGGCCTCGGTCGCGGCAAAACCGCCCTTCTTGAGGGCAGCAAAGAGGTCCTTGCTCGAGGTCGTCTCCTCACCGGCCTCCCGCTTGCGCTGACGCTCCTCCTCGAGGGCCTCGGCCTCGGCCTCAGCCTTCTTCATGTTGGCCTCGTAGGCCTCCCGCTCCTCCTTCTCCTTGCGAGCCTTCTCCTCCTTGTCGGCCTGCTTCTTCGCGTAGTACGCGGCTTCCGCAGCGGCCTCCTTGGCCTCAATCTCGGCAAGCTCGCGCTCGATCGCATCGTAGTCGATCTCGTCCTCCGCAGCAGGGGCCGGAGCCGACGGTTCCTCCTTCTTGGACTCTTCGACAGCAGGCTTGTTGGAATCTGCCGCCTTGTCCTTCAGACTGAGCTCCTCGAGTGCCTTGCGCGCGGCCTCCTCCTCCTCGGCAGCCTTCTTTTGGGCCGCCGCCGCCGCCGCCGCCTCTTCTTCCTCCTTTTGCTTGCGAGCGGCTGCCTCCTTTTCTTCCTCCTCCTGCTTCTTCTTGCGCGCCGCCTCCTCTGCTTCCTCTTCCTCCTTCTTGCGCTTCGCGGCGGCCTCTGCCTCTTCCTTGCGTCGTTGCTCCGCCTCGTCCTGCTCGATCTTCAGGCGGACTGCCTCTCTCAGCTCCTTCTTCTTTTCCTCATCGGTCTTGACCTTGGAGTCGGTGCGAGTGTGGTCGGCACCACTGGCAGTGCGAGGGGGAGGCGGGGTGGAAGTCGGGGTGGAGATCTTCACAGGGGATGGCGTGGCCCGCGCGGGGGAAGCCGGGGCCTTCTCGAAGGTCTTGACCACACCGCTGCCGGGGTCCTTGATGACGATGGGGGCGCGCTTGGTCGGAGGGATGATGAACTGGGGCTTGGGAGGCGCAGGGCTGTTGGACGTCCTGCTGGCGGTGTGCGCGTGGGTGGCCGCCGGGGTGCCGGTGGGAGCTTGGCCCTGGCCGAGGCTGGAACCCGGTCGGTCATTCGACACCTGCGAAGGCGTACGCGACAAGGGAGCGGTCTGGGGAGGCGGTTGCACCGGGTACTGGTTCTGCATGTACGGCGCCTGCGGGTTATAGGGCATGCCAGGACGCGGCTGGGGCGAGGGAGGTGTCATGTACGGCATCTGCTGCATTCCATAGGCAGGGTTATAGTACCCGTAGGTGGGATCATAGGGATAAGCCTGGGAGGTTTTCACGAGCGTCAGATAATGTTCAAACTGCCCACTTTCCGGCGCGAGATTGGGGGGAGGAAGATGGATGGTGCGAGGGGAAGTTTGTGCAGGAAGGGGAAAACTGGCAGAGGAAGAGGATGAGGAAGAGAAAGTACGGGGCCCTGGCTTTCTCTTCGACGGTATGGGACCATGATGACGGGGATGTCTGTAAGCAGCAGAAGGGTGGTGATGTCTCACTGTTTGCGGGCCCATATGCTGTCCGTAAGCATTGTATGGCTGAGGAGGCATCTGGGGATGGGCCATGGGGACCTGGTTCATCTGGGGAGTCGCGGGGTGTGCGGTGGCCAGAGCCGGGCTACGCTGGTGTGGCGAGTTGGGGAACGGGGCCAGAGGCCGTCCCTGGTTGGGCGCGTGAAACTGAGGGCCCATGTTGGGACCACCACGGGGCTGGTTGGGAGTCGAGCGGAAGCTGGGGCCAGGCGAGTAGGGCATCTGTCCCTGGTAACCCGACTGGGAGTATCCGCGTCCCCGACCACCTTGGTGAGGATAGCCACCCCGTCCCGGAGCGTTGCCCATGTGATTGCTCATATCGCTGTGTGTCGATTGGGAGGATTCGCGTCGGAGGTGGGTCGACTGGTTTCCGGGGCCAAGGGGAGCCTGAGGAGCGGAGCGCATCTAGAAATAGTTTTGGAAAGGGGGGAACCGTTAGCCCAACTCATTCTGGTGGATTTTTTTTTTCTTTCTATGGAGCAAGCAAGCAAAAACAAAAACAAAAATTAAAAATAAGAATAAACCAAAAAAAAAAAAACTTACGTTATCACCGGCATCCCCAAAGCTTCCAAAGTTGAGGACATTTCCCTGCGACTGATACGACGAAGGAGGGCGACCACCGCTGGAGGCCGGCTGGGGGATCGGCGAAGGAGAGGTCTGGGGAGAGGCCACACGGGGGTTTGGCGACTGAGCGACGGCCAAGCCGGACTGGGGCTGGCTGGCGAGCACGGCGGGGTTGCCCATGTTGGGAGAGCTCTGCTGGTTGGCAAAACCGAACTGGAGGCTATTGGGACGACTGGCGGGGCCACCGTTGGGGATGAAGCCCGAGGTACCAGCAGAGGTGATGGTCACCGAGGGTTTTCGGGAGTGATCGCCTTGAGGGGCGGAGGAAGGGGCGCCATTAACGATGGTGACGCCGGGGGTCTGAGAAGATTGCATGGGTTTGCCGCTCACAGGAGATACTGAGGTCGACTTCCCATGTTGCGAAGAGCCGCCCAGGGTGACGGGAGCGGCGGTCGAGTCCGTCGCGGACTTTTTGGTGGCGCTGGCGTAGGACCTGGCGACCGTCGAGGCAGGAGGAGCCTGGGGCGAAGTCTTCCCACTAAGCGAAGGGGAAGGCGAGTGCGACGAGGCGGCCTGAGTCGAGGTGCTCTGTCCTTGAGGTTGAAGGCCCGACTTTGGAGGGATCGAGGTCATTAGACAGGTGATGGGAGGGAAGAAAGGGTCTTCTTCGCTAAAATTTTTTTGGTGTTAGGAGATGTCGTGCGATCGCTCTCTTTTTTTGATTTTTATTTTTTTTAGATGACCGAGGAAGGTGATGTCAGGTTCAGAATGCGCTTCTGATCCTGCATTAAAAGGTATCAAATCAAATCCACAGACAAAATAATCACTAGCAAAGAGTGATTAAAAAGAGAGAGAGAAAAAAAAAAGAAAAGATTGAAGATGAATCAATCAATCTATCTATCTCTTGATGGAAGAGATGAGGATGGAGGGAGATGGAGGGAGAGAGAGAGAGAGAGAGAGAGAGAGGGAGAGAGGAAGATGGGGGAGGAAGAATGGATTAAAGAATTTCCCACACACTACTGGAACGGAGTGGTCGTCCGGGTGTCAGGGAAATCGTCTTCTTTTCTCGTCGTACTAGGAGAAATGGGGGATTTTCCCGTAGTAGTCGTACACTGCCAAAGAAACAGAAAGGAAAATAAAAATAAAAAAGAAATAAAAGAAATGGCAGGACAAAGAAAAATGGAAACAAGAGGTCGTGGGACTACGACGAGATGGAGATATGGAAGAAGAGAAGGCGAGATAGATAGACAGTTGATGCCGAAGTGTTACGACGACAGGACGACAGGACGACAGACACTCAGTCAGTCAATCAGTCAATCAGTCAATATTCAGTCAGTTCGTTGTCCTAAACTTGTTCGTCCAATGACTGAGCTCCGTTTTGAGGGCCGTAGAGGTGCTCTTTTTTTTCTTTTTTGGAATTCTCACTTTTTTTTTTCTTGAGTGCGAAAAAAAAAAAAAAAAAAAAAAAAAAAAATTTATATATGCGGAATCACAAACGAGGATAACAGAGGGATGATTTGATTCTTTTTTTTGCAGCAGTTCTACAGTACCAACACAGCTGCTGTATTTATTCTCTCTCTACAACTCCAGATATCTACTGTTGTTCTTTCTGATCTTCTCGAGTGAACAAGTTCTTCATCTTGAATATCTGTATCTTTCTACTCTGTAGTCTACTAGAGATAGAACAGAGGACATGCGACCAGAAAAACTTCCTTAGCGCTTGGCTTGACTGCTTCGGGCAGAGGGTGAGATTTCTTCGGGTTGACGCGGCGAACAGCGAACACTGATGGATCTGTAGTAGTTAGATACTCTGTAGTACTTACACTGACAGTCCATCAGTCCATCGAATTCGAGATAGACAGATCAGAGATATCTACAGAGTCGTCAACTAGATCTTCGTCGATGGCAGAGAAACCGGTGAACCCAGAATACTACTAAGATACGGAGTATCATAATAATAATGATAAGGAATAATACTACCCAACCCTGATGCCTAAGCCCAAGGCTAAGCCTACTACTCTGTAGTCTGTACACAGTACACTCCTCTAAACCGAACCCAACAAGACCGAGAATTTTCAACTTCAACTTCTCTCTCGGTAAACATCCTTTTTTTTTTTCTTTTTTCTTTTTTCCGCCACCAAAACAAGGCAGTCAACATGAGATCATCAGGCACCAAAAAAAAAAAAAAAAAAAAAAAAGACAGATATGGATACCTGAGGCATCTTCTATATCCAAGTCTCTTCAACTGCTCTTGACTCCTCTATACATCTCGACCTGAAGAACTACATTTACACCTCCATATAGATTCCTACCTTACACACTAGGTACCAACGGAGTTAGTTACAATACCTTCCAACCTTTTTTTCTCTCTCCCTAAACAAACCCCCCCCCCCAAATCCTTAACCTAGCCATACCCCTCGCTCTACCACGCCGCCAATCGAATCCGCTCCTTGACCCTTTTGGTTTTTTTTTTTGTTTATGAAAGCTTCGCCGCTCGCAAGTTCAACCCGCCACTGGGTGCTGGAGATGCTTCAGGAGAGGAGGGGCGGGTATATGACGTGTAGTTGGCTGGGTTGAGGGGCAAAGGGATGATATGATATCCGGGGGCGAGGCGTGAAGGTTTATAACTTACTGTGTATAGGGTGAGAGGTGTGGCGATCGTACAGATCCGACAAGGCTGAAATGGTGAGTTTTTGGCGATTGACGGGGCGCTTCGTCTAATGCTCAAGAGTCACGATGCTGCGGCACAGCTCACACGAAACACATATACGCCGGCGCTGCAGACTCGGATTCCTTCGCTAGCACAGCACAGAAGTCTATATATCTGTATATCGATATTGATATAGCCAATCTCGTCCTAATTCATCAGCATCGACCTGCACCAAACAATCGCCATCCCTAATGGTGCGACACCCGTGCCCGCGCAATCTCATCCACCGCCCGTGCCGCAAACTCCGCGCCCGATGCCCCAGCTTGCTCTCCACCCCCAAACCACCCAGCCGCCCACTTGCCGCTGGACGACCGCTCCGGTCGCGCCGGCGACCGATCCCGAATATCCTCCGGGTTGATGTGGTCGAACGAGTGATCACTCTGGTTCTTCCGCAGAGACGCGCCATACGCAAGGTCCTCGTCCACGTCGCCGCGACCCAGATTGCTCTCCTCCTTCGCTAGCGCCGCCCGCACCACTTCCAGCATGTCGCGCTGCCGGGAGATGAAACTCGCCTTATCCGCACGGGACATACCGGCAAGCTCCCGTGGCAGGAGGTTCCCGCTCGCAGACAACTCCTCCGCGCGCGCTTCATGGCTCTTCCCCGCCGCCGCCATGGACGCTACGGCGGAGCTAATCGTAGAGTACCAATCGTTGGCGGCAGCCGGCTGCGCTGCCCCCGCCGCAGTGGGGATGTTAAACCGAGAGAGGAGAGACTGCGCGTAGCCGGCAGGACCTGTAGGCGGGGGCGGGGGCGCAGGACGCTGCGCCGGGAGGCCCAGGACCTTCTCCCGAATGTAGTCGATGGCCTGGTAGAAGTACTGCAGCCCGAGAGCTTTGGCGCGTTCGTGAGACCGGCCGATGAACTCTTCGATTTCGCGTTCGTGGTGCGCCAGGAAGGGATCCACGTAGGTCTGATAGAGGATCTTCGCGCCCTGCGTCTGGGGCAGCACCAGGTAGGAGAAGAAGAACAGTCGGAACCAGCTGTAGAACGGAATCCTGTGGCGCATCAGCTCTAGGCCCAACTTCTTTTTCTATCCAGCAAAGGAATAACCATACCAGCCCAAGATAAAGACCGTCCACGACTCAGCGAGCAGAATCCCCGACAGCACAACCCAGTACATCAACCATGGTGCCAGCTGCGAGGGATCGGAGGACCGCAAGGCTTTATACGAAGCAAACACTGGAAAAAGAATCGTAATGACCGAGCTGTGGCAAGAGAAAAAAAATTAAAAAAAAAAATTCAATCAGCTATCCATCCTCAGAGCGAAGACGGTCCCATCCCATCCGCTGCCCGCATGCCCCGGGGAGAACCAGGAGTTGGGGTACTTACGACAACAAGTCCGCGATGATCCCGAACATCCTGATCTGAGGCAATCTGAATTTTAACTTGAGTCGATAGCGCTATATTCGAGTTCTGAATGAGATAGAAAGCCCACACCGAAGAAGAATTGAGCGGAGAGTTGTCTGGTTGTCTCGATATCAGATGGAGAGAAGCTCCAACTCTTTGTGCGGGGTGGGGGAAGCAGGAGCTCTTCACGCGACCACGGATCGTCCAGGTGGGAAAGCGGCCAGCCGCAAGGGAATAATGCTAGTATAAGAGGATCCCACGGGGCAATTTTTCGTAAGCTGACCAAGCAACCTATGAGTGAGGGCAAAAGAAAGAAAAAAAAAAAAAACAAAAAGTGAAATGGGAGGAAGAGAGAGAGAAAAAAAGAAAGAAGTCGAAGGTGGATGGTTGCCTTGAGCGTTTGGAGCTGCTACTAAGCCCTATCGATAATGCTGGATGGGTCCTTATGGGGCAGACGGTTTCATCCCGGCCTTACCAAGAAAACATAACGCCACAGATAGTAGCTATCTCCACATCCATTCCTCTATTAATAGAGACTATGGAGTATGGACGATGGAGTGCTTTGTATGTACTTGTGGTGATAGAGCTAGATGCGTGGCATTTGGTCATCTTTCCAAACAAAGCCCCGGCGTGCAGCCCTACAGCAAACCGTCTCCGCTGTTTCCGGCGAGGACATTCACCTGCTCTACTGATATCATCCCATCACCATAGGTTATGGAGTATAGTGGGCATTGGTCTGGTAAAGAGATCTGTAGGCTTGATTTTGGAGCGTTAAAGGACAGTGTTTCAAGGTCCTATGCATTTCTGTCTGTCCTGAGATGGATTCAGATTCCGTACTGGGAAATGATGACTATCATGGGCTGAGATTGAACGCCGCCTTGAATAAGTGTAGCACGATGGATGTGTTTATAGACAGCTATAGGAATAGATGGGGATATACTAAGACAGGAATAGGGTTGGATTCAAACCCACGGTAAAAATCTCACTTTTGTTGCCATAGACCTCTCGGCCATCTCGCCATCTCTCGGCCATACTGAGCAACTTTGACTCTGGGGAAAAACTACCATAGCAGGCCAGAACTATATGTTCCTCGTTGGCCTTGATCAGTGTCATCGTTCTGGGATAGTCTTTTCTCAACGCTCCGCTCGAGTTAATATTACTGTGGATTTCTGCTACCTCGCTGTCTCACCATCGGTAGGGCTCAAGGGACACTTAACGACTCTGACTACTAATGGCGAATTTCCGTGCGTGTGAAAGGGGTACACGCCATCTCAGCTGCTACAATAAGTTTCTACCATGGGATCAGAGGTATTATGAACGATTAGTAGCAGAGGAGTTCGACATTGACCACCAGAAGATCTCCGAGTTCTTTCCACTGGAGAAAACGGCGACGGGAATGCTGGACTTGTTCGCCTCTCTCCTAGGGCTTCGTTTCGATCCCATTCAGCTGTGAAGCTACAAACTATAGGATGGAGAATTTTACGTCACGCCTATTTTGCAGTAGTCGGACTTTGGAAGATTCTGCATGATCTGGTTTTAATCTTCAACATTCATCTATGAATGCGCCAGAATGACTGATTGCAGCCGCCCAGAATCCCCACCCTCGGTCTCGATCTAGTAGTGTAAGACAGACTCCTCATCATCGTCGGGACCACGAGCCTGCGAAAGTAACGTGCTTAAATTCGACGCCCGCTTCTTCAACCAACCCCCGAGCCACCCTGAGCCCCCCTCTCCCTCCCGGTGCAACTCGTAGGGAAGCAGAATCGCGTGGTCCAACGCGTTGGGAAGTCCCCGATGTCGCCCACGCACTTGCATTGCCACAATCACCAGCTTCGAGACCCAGTTGAACTGCGCACAGAAACTCGTCCCTGTCAATGGATAGCCCAAGGAGAGCCCAACTGTGCCATACGCAGATACAATCTCAAACAAAACCGCAAATAGCGAGAAGGATGAGTCGCCGGCGCCGGTCTGGAGACGGTGTCCCTCTGCGACGGCGATGAGGAAGAATCCCAGCATGACATACCACAGATCAAAACCAAGTTGCCGCTGGATATGCACGGCTAGTCCAGATCTAGTGTGTGGTCCATGGTCTGACTCGGAATCAGAGTCGTCGTCATACACTCCAAGACTTTTCTCGGAGTATACATTAGTCTTCCGGATGGTGATGGCTGTTGGAAAGGCGGAAATGTACATCATCACAAGAAAAGAAACCTGGATGGCGGGATGAATATCTGCGAGGGGCGTGATTGAGAAGCCCGCCGTTCGAGTGGACGCTACCTGGAAAAGGCCATTAATAATCCATTCGAACGTCGACTGGGATTGTTCTGTCGTTGAGACCTGCTTGGTATACGGAATCAATTATGAGCCGATTAAGTTGATTGAAAATTCGATGACACTGTCCAACTTACGTTAGAAAGAGTGCAAAAGACAATCAGATCAAATCCGTTAAGCATTATGAGCACGCCTAGCAGCCTCCAGGATTCTGCGCTAGGAAAAAGCAGAGTAAAGCAACGCCGTGGGTGATCCAGAAGAAATTGAAGCTCCTCCCGAAGGTATGTATCATGGCTTGTGAACTTGGAAAGCAGCCAGATAATCAGCCGAAGCATGCATGGAAATGCCGTGTTTCCAATCACGATGAGAAAAGACATTATAAGCAAGGGAAAGGGAGCACCATTGAGCGACTCCATCGAGTCTGGGGTCAATGTAAACCCTAGGTCGTTGAAAGCAGAAGCGGCCGTGAATATTGCCCACCAGGAACTGTTGATGCCGTTTTCTGACAGATATTGGCCATATTGAGGATTTAGCCATGCCCACGAGATAAGAAGCAAAATTCCGACGATGTGGAAAGCTAGGAAATAGTACAGCAAAATGACAAGAAGTCTCTTCAGGGCCCTGTACTCAATACCACCGAGCTGGTCTTTCTGTCTCTCGTTCCAATCGGAGTAACTCGCAATGGATGATTGCCACATGAGTGCAGGCAATGCTGACAGGCTGGAGTCCATATCATAGCTGGATCGATGCAAGGAGGCTCGACCCTCCGATGGACAACGATAAGATTCAGAACTTGAATATGTGCGGTGATGTCTTGGTTGACGCTCTGTTTCATCAAAAGTGACATGCAGCTCGGTTAACCCAGCTATTTGTTTCACGACTTCATAATTGGTCGAAGACAATCGTCGAAGTTCGCCATGATATCCTCTAAGTAGAGGTTGTTTTGATCCATCGTCGTCCGCTGAGGTATAAGCTAAATCGTTGTTGCGATTATTGGATTCTATGGAAATATGAGAGGCTGAGCTTTCCAGTCCTTCCTGCCCTTTCCTTCTGTGTACCAAGGATATGGTTTGTGCCTCACGCACAACCCCCCGAAGTCGCTTTCGGAACCAATACAGACGGATGCAGACAAGGAGTGAGTTGACGAAGATGACATTTGTGACCATAGCAACGATCCATAGGACCAGTTGCTGAAGCACATGAAGCCGGTTGAGGTCGATAGGATTCAAGCCACTTTGAGTCGCAGCTCCGGATGCAAACGCCAACGCATCAATAAAATCTATATCCCCAATGCCATAAGTAATGGCTGACGCTAGCACTATCCAGAAGGCGAGGTAAAAATAGTGGTGGTGAAGCCGTATGGGTGACAGGTCCTTGGCTTCATCCAAAGTTGTGGGCATTCCTGTTCTCTGTCCTGGGTGTGTCTAACGCGGTCTTCAACACAGAAATGGCGGTCCTCTTTGCCGTTGTGTGGAAGAAGAACACGGGAAAGGTAACCATTATGCGGGATTATAGCTCTCTTGAGGAACTTCCTCGATGTAAGGAGTGGTCCAGGAAAGCCGACAATTCCCTCATTTTTTGCGAGGACTTCACGACCAGTGGGAGCAGACGGCGAAAACGATTGGCCATAGCTTCACCTCTACTTGTGCCTTTTAAGGATCGATCGAGAAGGTCCACAAGAACAGAATACTGGCAGTCATGAGCTGAGGTCATAATCGGCGTCTCAAATGGTCAAAATTAATCCCGCAGGGAAGGAAACGCTGCACAGCCCCTAGGGTGATCATCTTCAGAGTCACTGTTGAAGATCAATGATGAATATTGCCATCGAGAACAAAACCACGAAAGAATAAAAAAAAAGGAACTTATTCGATTATCATCGGGGAAAAGAGGAATGAAAAGAGAAAGATGGACTCACCAGTTGATGCTTCGGCTTGGAGTGCTACGGAGTAGACAGAAAGTTGGTGCCTGAGGCTATAAGGCTCCCACCCCGATCTCGCGTCAACACTCTCATCATCCACCATCATCCATCGCCCATTGTCCACTCCATCAGAAGAGGAATTTAATATTCTTCTCACATCCCATACGGAATCTTTCGTCTCCAGTACCGCCTGTCTCAATCTCGAAGGATCTGTATGATCATTAGTCTCGCAGTTCCCTCCGATCGTCTCCGAAATTACTTTTTTCTCGCTCAGTCAAGCCTTTGTTCTTTCTCTGGACAAGAGTCTCCAAGACTTTCGGCCCACTCGAAGCTACCATGCCAAGGACGCCATCAGAGACTCTCCGCATCTCCGCCGTGGGATGGCGGCGGAAACAAGCCGAATCTTTCCTTCCAAAATCCTGAGGTAGGACAGGACGAGTCATGATTCTAACTCCTGAGTCCTTGTTGGTTCTCAGGCTGATCGACCAGTCGTTTTCTTGCCTCGACTCTCAATGGGGGAAGATCAATGTTGGAGGAGCCTCGAAGAAGGATTGAAGCCTCTGCAACTATTCCCTTGGTCCATTAGGCTGAGAGTGAGAATAGTTACTGGATGTGGAAATTGGTGACACTGCGATCGTGCGATACGAAAACCATTTATCCGGCTCGTGCACAGTACCGTCTGATCTACTTGACTTATAGTCGTGTCTGTTGTCATCTGTTGTCATCTGTTGTCTCATGAAAAGGGTGGCTGCTGATAGCCGCCTACCCCTCCAATCTTGGATTAGCTTTTAAACTCAACCAATCCAGACGATTTTTGGATTTCAGCGAATATCGGCGCACTTTTCTGTGGGTGTTTAGTCCAGTCCCTGCATCCCGATGCACGCTGTTGGGACCCTTCGGCTAGAACTTATCTGCTCCATTACCCCGAATCAGCCGTCTCAAAACGAACTTTCTTTCTCTGCCCCCAAGTTCGCACGAGACCATGGGATAGGTTAGGACGGCTGGGCGAAAACACGGAAACACGCCGTCGACGCTGCTGTCACTGCGAGATTAAACATGCGATACAACATCAGACTAACATTGGGACCGCGTGGGCGCTGCTCTTGCTGACGTATGGGCAGCCATGTCTTGTTTAGGTGCTTGGCAGCATCTTGGCTCAACAAAGATTGGAAGTTTCTCGCGGGGATCGTCCGGTATAATCTGGGGCGAGTGGATATGAATGAGACTGGTTACATCGGTAACCCCGTGTCACACGGCTCATGCCATCACCATGCGGGGTTCGGTACTGGTCTCCCCATGGGGAGACAACAGAGACAATTGATAGAATGGTTGCGCGCATATATATAAGGCAGAATCCAGGACAGAAACGGAGGAGTTGGTTTCAGAGTCGCCCAGCTAGTTCTCATCCATACAAAATTTTCTCGAGATCGACTTGCCCGTATTCTTTGTCCTCCTTCTCCTTCTCCTCTCAGAAAATGAGCAACTCAAATCAGCCAGCTGACCCTGTTCCTGATGGGATTCTAGCTACTGCAAAGCAGGCTTGGGGCGACCTATTCAGATGGGAACAGCGCGTCGTTGTAACCAACGAGTCTGGTGAAACTCACACTGAATGGCAAGCGCCCGAGCCTATCCAAAACCCTATCAGCCTCTGTATGCAGCTTACTGCGCGAGATTGGCTCTTTTTCCTTGTCGGCTTCGTGGCATGGACTGCTGATGCATTTGACTTCCATGCTCTCTCCATCCAGACTGTGAAATTGTCCAAATACTATGGCCGCTCCAAGACCGATATATCTACTGCTATCACCCTGACTCTGCTCCTGCGAAGCATTGGAGCTGCTTTCTTCGGTTTGGCCGGTGACAAATTTGGCCGGAAGTGGCCCATGGTCATGAACATGATAGTACTTGGAATCCTCCAGATCGCCACCATCTACAGTGCAACCTTTCAGCAATTTCTAGCTGTTCGGTCCCTGTTTGGGCTCTTTATGGGAGGTGTATATGGTAATGCTATAGCTATGGCATTGGAGCATTGCCCGTGAGTGCTCTTCCAGTCTATGTTACTCCTTTGACTAATTATCGGTATAGTGTCAATGCCCGTGGGTTGATGTCAGGGGTGCTACAGCAAGGCTATTCATGTGGCTACGTGTTCGCGGCATGCGCTAATCTCGGGGTGGGAGGTGGGACGGACAGTTGGAAGACAGTCTTCTGGATCGCAGGTTGGTCGACTCAGTCCGTCTGGGAAGATGGGCTCGATGTTAACATTATATAGCTGGTCTTTCGATTGGCGTGGGAATCATCCGTATCTTCTTCCCTGAGTCCAGGCAATTCCTCGAGGCCAAGAAGGCAGGAAAGAAATCCACCGATGCAGGGGCCTTCTGGCGTGAAACAAAGCAGATGCTAGCTCAGGAGTGGAAGATGTGTGTCTACTGTGTCATCTTGATGACTTGGGTATGTCCCTTCCCACTTTTCTGGAGCCAGGATACTGACCTCAGCAGTTCAACTACTACTCCCACACCTCGCAGGATTCATATACTACATTCATGTTGACACAGAAGGAGATGAAAAATGATGGAGCCTCACGCGCATCGATCCTCATGAAAACAGGCGCATGTGTGGGTGGTACGATCATTGGATACTTGTCGCAGTTCTTCGGACGGCGTCGAGCCATTATTGTCTCTGCCTTGATCTCCGGGGTTCTCATCCCTGCTTGGATCCTCCCTCAGGGTGAACGAGCTCTGAGTGCCACCGGATTCTTCATGCAGTTCTTTGTGCAGGGCGCCTGGGGTGTCATTCCCATCCATCTGAATGAACTTTCTCCACCAGCTTTCCGGTCATCTTTCCCAGGTTCGTTATCTGTCCTAGCTGCTTTGGTTTTCCACTAACACATGTTGAAGGTATCACATACCAAGTTGGAAACATGATTTCTTCTCCGTCCGCTCAGATTGTCAATGCTATTGCCGAAAAGACGATGCTGACGGCTCCAACTGGGGAACGGGTTCCTGCATACGGCCCAGTCATGGGTGTCGCGACTGCTATCATTGCACTGGGGATTGCGGTCACTACGGCGTTTGGTCCGGAGAAGCGCGGTCGTCGGTTCGAAACAGCAGTTGCAGGCGTTCAGCCAGCCCTGTCGCAAAAGGAAATCGATCTTGAAGGAGGCTTGGAAAAGGATTACCAGACAACGGAGCAGAGAATCGAGGAAGTAAAGAAATTCTAAATTGGTAGGTTCCATTTAGGTCTTCGTTGGTCATGAAAAAGCTATCTTTCTGCTTGCTCCAGATGTGATGGAACTTTAATAATATGCAGAATAGTCATCTATTTAGCATTGAACTTTTTTGATCTGTGGAGTAGAGTATATGGTCTACTCTTTTTTTTTTGTTTATGACTGTTGGATTGGTTTATTACATGGCACAATCCACAATCAGCCATCGCTTGTCGGGAGTTCTTTAACCATAAGAAATGATGGTCACTGCGATCAATGGGGCAGAATATATAAATACAGATCAAATGTTAAAAAATGGATAATCTCCAATACTGTTTTAGTAATAAGTCTAGAAGGACCCCGTGAGATGGATATAAGGATCAGAGCATTTTTATACTATTTTAATTAAGTACAAGGCTCTATTGGTGAACAACAATGCATCCTCCAATTTTCGATCATTCAATAGGTGGAAACATTTCTAGGTTGATAAGGTCAAAAAAGCACAAGCTACCATCAATAAAGGCAAGATGGCCGAGTTGGTCTAAGGCGTGAGGTTAAGGTCCACCTTAATACCGAGCTCTCTGAGTTTCCTCATCATCGTTTGATGGCGTGGGTTCGAATCCCACTCTTGTCATTTCTCTTTTTCTACTTTGATTTTTTTTTGACCATTCATCCATCAATCATAATATTGTTTTGCCAGCGAAATCCAGTCTTAGTACATACCCCAACATGAACTTATAACTTCAGTGTATAAACACTCAACATATCCGTCCCCTTGCCCATATCATACGTTCGCGCAGCGTTCACATGCACAACCCTCGTGAACCGACCCTGTGTATCCGACTCCTTCTCCTCTACCTCCCCAGTGGGAACCCCATGCCCCCCTCAAGCTAACAAATCCCAATGCAGTATGCACACCCTTCACCCCCCACGGCGGCCCCGGCAGCGCGAGACCCTTGCACATGGGAAACTCAAGACATACCAGCAAGGCGCCCGGCGCCAGCAGCGCGCACAGAAACTTGTCCGAAGTCAACACTCCGACCTCCAATTCGCCTCGGGCCTTATCTGGCTGGTGAGAGCCGGAGAAGACGCACGGTGTATTCATAGATCAAGTCATATTTCTCTGCACCGGGTTTAAAGAAATCGCCCTGCATGAGCGTCGCAGACCCCGGCGAGGTGGTTCCGGGTTTATACCGCGGGCCGAAGTTACGTGCTCGCGGCTGCGCCGTTTCGGTCGGAGATCCTTAGGCCGACGGCCTCGAATCCGTGCAGGGCGAGAGCATGACGACGTCATAGCCGCGTCCGCAACCCTGTGGTGATCCCAGCGAGGTGCGATAGATACTACCTGGATGCCAGGGCAGGTACTGGAACAAGAACCCGCTTGCGTCGTGCGTCTCGCGTCTCGGGTGAGAGAGTGGAATAGACCGTTCGGCGTTGTCTGATCCTGCTCGATTAGGTCTACCAGGGCAGGAGAGGGCTTGCCTCGATTCCAGAGACTGGATCATCCTGAGCCGTGATCTTCGGGAGCGCTGGGGTTCTGTCAGTGCTGGTGCTTCAGTGGTGAGGGTGGGGGACATGCACCGGTCTTCGAAATGGCTAATTAGTCTTCCTTTGGGGGGATTGGAGTTTGCCATGGTGAGTAGGACTTGTTTGTATACCTGACCAGTATCCCAGCGTATGAGGAGATGATGAGAAGGGCCCTCGACTTCGCGAATCACGGTTCCGCGACCCATGGTTTCTTAGGATTTCGGGGTTTGATGTCGGCGAAGTTACAAGGATGCTAGGGTATGGTATTCAACGTATCATATATATTTGCTTAATAGCCTTCTTTCCTGCATATCTACCTTTACTACGAATTCTTACAGTTTCTATAGAGGAATATGCCACTCTATATCAGCTTACATGCTTGTATCTTGATGTATTCATATTACCCTGAATCCCGGATAGGACAGAAAATAATGCGGGGAGAGCCATAGATCGGATTCATCGTAAATCAAAAAGTTGCATATATATGACTATTCGCCCTGTTTACATTCGGTGACACTGGGCCATTGCTGGCCAGTTGACGATCATTTGGCAAAGCCAAACCAGGCCATATCCCGGTCACCATTGATTGGCACCGTATGTCCCACGCCTGTCGCATAGATGCCCTGTAGCTCTTTTCCCCAAGTGGTCGTCTTATAATTCGCTTGGGGCTTGTTGTTTTCCACAGACCGCGGAGCATTGTAGTCGTATCCAAAGACACCCGCCCATTCCTTGCAGGTTTCCTGGTAGTTCTGCGGGTAAAGGGTGGTGTCGGCACTGCCGTGATAGATCTGCATCCTTGGCCGTGGTCCATCGTATCCCGGATACATAGCCTTTGCAACATGGGCCCAGGCCTCGGGAGTCGCAATTGACTTACCGTGTGCGCAGGTACTGTTCCATGCTGCCTGCTGATTGGTATTAGACATGAAACAGCCGGCGGCCACACCACTGTAAACAACTCCTGCAGCGAACATATCGGGGTACGTCGCGGCCATGACGTTCTGGAGTAGTCAGTCTCTCGTATTCTTGTAGATTGGTTGGGAGGTATCACGCACCGTCATCATGGCTCCAGAGCTGCTTCCTGTCACAAATACCTTGCTGGTGTTTGTCTTGTACTTCTTGATGGTCCACTTGACCATGTTGGCGATGGAGTTGCTGTTCCCACCGCCGTTGTGAGTCAAGCTTGCCCGCGAGCTAACATCCCAGCATTTGCCTTGGTACGGGCTCTCGGGATAGATGACAATAAAGCCATGCTTCTCTGCCAGCTTAGCGTAGGGAGAACCATTGTAGTATGCTTCTGCGGTTCCTGTGCCTGATATTTCCCTGTCAGTTCCGGAACAGATATGAGCCTGATGGGATGTCTTACAGTAATGGATGGCAACAATAATGCCGGGGTTTGATGCAAGATTGTTAGGCACATAAATGTACATGCCAACATTGGTTGGGTTGTCGCCAAAATTTGTGACCTGCTGGAGGGATCCTGCCCTAGGAAGGAGGGCCGATGAGCGAGATTCCAGAACGCTGGCACCGGCGGACAGGGTATAGAGCAAAAGTGTAAGGAGGAATGAAAACGGCGCCATGGTGGAATACCGTTTGTATGATGCTTTCCTGATGAGAATCTGGGGGGAATGGGGAATCGAGGCCGTTTATATACCGGTGTTCGATTCTGCAGGCTAAATCATGCTTTCATATACGGTAGAGGATCGGCTTGCTCGAGCTGGTCCATTCTGCCTTTTTTATTTTATTTTATTTTTTAATTTGTCCTCTTCTGTCGTCCGTCTTATTCTCCAACTCCGTCCATTGTATGAAGGACTCGATCTGTCCCCGCTTCGAAACAGCAGATGAAACAGGGACGTAGCTCTACACCCGCCGGGAGGATCTTTTCGGCAACTAGAGTCCGAGGTCTGGGGGAACTGCCGTAGAATCAATCAATGATCTACGTAGTATATAGTCCTGACGCGAGTTTGAGATGTCGCATGCGCATATCCAGTGGGAATGATGATAGATTGGCGCGTGATGGTGTCTCGCGCATTTGACCAACAAGATGAAGCTGTGGCTATCCCCTATCGAGAGAAGATCTCCAAAATGTGGGGGATGAAGAAAGTGATTTATCCTGCAACGATTCCGGAGTAAAGCCAGAATTAGCATCAGCCGGCATTCAGGCAAAAATTGTCTCGGCTGAAGGAATTGAAACATCCAAGAGTATCGGATCTTTCTGGAAGACGTACTGTTTATGTCCGGGATGACACCTTTCCTGTATAGGAACGGATTATTGAATGGAATTTTGATTGAGCCGGTGCATCATGAGATATTTATACAACAGATCGTCGGGTCTGCATTGATTCTATCTCTTTCGTGTCTTTCGTGGCTTAAGACAGGATGACGGTGGTTGTTCTCCACCAGTGGATGATGGATGAAAGAGTTGAGGACTGAGGGGAGATTCACCGCGCTGAGAAACAGATGAATGTAAGTATCAGGAAGCATCCCCCGCTCCTGCATCTTGTCAGCAAATTGTGACACTTGAAAATTCGAGGCCTTGGATCACAGCCTGAGATGATGGAAGAGAAGTTGTCCCATCTCTCGAAAGCTCACGAGATTGGAGCACATTCCCACGAACACCAGCCGCAATAGTTTCTTGACGATAGTCTACTTGTGAGGTGAGCCTGGAAATGGGGGTGATTGATGACAAGAACCCACTATCTAACTACTGAATCGTCTTTTATCTACAGGGTGTCAAGCAAGTCCTCTCACCAGGTTAAAAACTCACAGCGCCTAGTCGGACTCCCTCATTGGGTGCACTTACAGAAACTATACTTATATCACCAAGATCCGACAAGAAGCATCCATCAAGCATTCGCCAAGAGAAGCCAATTTCTATTTTCATATTCCCCACTGGAAACTTATTGAACAAGGTCTCCTGTGGAATGCATGGATTCCTGTGAAATGGCTTGCATACCCACTGTGTTCAGCTACCATCACGCGCTATCATCATGCTGATCGTCAAATCCACGAACGGATCTAAGCGCTGCTGACAGTGGCCGGACCATTGCGATGCTTGCCAGCTAGATAGATATTTCTGTTTCCTTCTGATACAAGATAAGTAGGTCCCGTATATCGAATTTCCCCTTCATTTTCTCTGTTGACGAGCTCTTAGAACAAACAGACTGGCAAAATGGACGCGAAAACCAAGATCATTATCAAAGCCGTGGTCATTCCACTTGGCTTCCTCATTTTTATTCTTACGATATTCGGCATCTTCCTTCTCAAATGCCGGAGGGATCGCAAGAAAGATGAACGGGAAGGACTGAATCATTCGTTCTCGCCGTATGAAGCGTGGCAGACTGCCCAACCACCTCAGAACCAGTGGCCCTCGAACCAGAACCAAAACCTGTATCAGTATCCGATATCGACGCCTCAGATGCAGAGACTTCCCCCCGTGGCTATTCCACCACCATACCACCGTCCGATTGATATGAAGGGTCAAGTGTGATGGGGAAGGAACACACGGAAAGAAGAGGTAGGTAAGGGCTCAGGGAATACTGCTTGGATACTTCGAAATTCTAACTCTCAGATGTGTCCAGAGCTCCAAAACACTTTCTGCTGGCAGGAGGATAAAGAGAACGGTATGGACCGCTGAGATCACATTGGACCTGAGACGATTTCTTCAGGTTGTCGTGTGTATATAAAAATCGCAATCACTATAGGATATGAGTCAAGCGTATAGGAGAATACATGTCCTATATTTCACATCATCTCATATCTTGAAGAAGGAACACGAAAGTTTGTGAAGCCAACAGAAAATCTCTCGACCAAAGCCTTCAGCAACCCGTAAGTTGAATACTAAGAGCGCAGACCCTATTTGGCCGGTTGTCTTCCCCTACATGATCTTATACTGCTATATAGGACGTTCTATCGAAATAATCCAGATCGAGAGTATGTGAGTAATGGAAGGATCGATTCTGTTGGTAGAGCAGAGTGCCAGCGTGGGCTTTCAAACAACTCTCATCAATTTGGGCCTTGGATATACTCCAGAGATTTCAGATTCCGGGGACTCGATGGAAAATCATCTTCAGACTGAAGAGAAGGTTTTTTTGATCGTCTAAAGCTGCCTTGAACAAAGTAAATTCGAAGAATAGAAGTATGAGAGAGTCCGGTGTTCCCTAGATGATTGCTGGAAACTCGAGTACCTCACAGTGAGTAACAGCAAGTTTCTATCTGCGCATATCCTCAAAAGATCAAACTTTTACAAATCCAGACCTTTTACCTTTTTCCCTCTTTCCGAATCCACGGGCTTATCTGCAATAAAAAGCCTCTCTTCCTGAAGATCCAGGAAATCTCTTCCAGCTCTTGTACACCAAACGGACTGCTAGATGTTGCGACTCACGGGCACTTGGAAGCCACTACCAGCTCATGTGAGGACATCCCCATGTCTCCCAAAGCTACAGTATACTGATCGAAGAATGTATGCCAGTTCTATCAATTCAAGAAGCAACAGTTCTCGCCCCTGTCCAATCTCCCCACCGAAATCTTGATCCAAATCTTCTCTTACACCGGGTTGCGCGATACCTTTGCCCTGGGAATCAGCTGCAAACATCTGCTAAACGTCCTTTGCGCTACAGCATTTCACGGATCCTTCATATGCGATAAACTCATTTGGGATGAGAATCTTCACGATGTCCTGCCTTTCAGCCCCGTTCTATCTCTCCTGTCACTCTTATGGCCAAGACAATTGAACGGGAATCCCAGGACAGATGTGCTCTTTTGCGTGGTATGCCTCAGTGTCCGGCCGAGAAAGAAGATATATTGGGAGGACAGTCTACAAAAGAAGATTAGCAGAGATTTTTGGCACAGCTTGGAGACCCAATGGGAGATAAAGCTTCTGTGCCCCCAATGCAACCTTCGGGACCTAATGGGGCTGCTATTCCCGGATGACTTTGCTCTTTTGTCGAGATCGGTGGTGAAATCGCATGAGAAGAGCCCCTAGGCTTTATTCGAGACCGGCAATTTCTGAAACCGTATATTTGATAGGTTTTTAGGTCTTACTGTTATCCAACACGTGGGAGAGCAGCATTGAGGAATGTCCAATAGCACAAAGCAAGAACTTTCTCTATCCAAATATGCAGAGACATTGCAGTGGATCTGTTACTCTGACAAGCCCACGTGGGGGCCAGCATTGGCTGTGATCCTGTCAGTTGTTGGTGGTGCTTGTTCAAATGTCAGCATTCGATGAGAACTGCACTCATTCGGTGTGGGGGAGATCGAACCTTACATCACCCCCCAGTCCTGGATTCTCAGCCAACTCAGTCGAGATCAGTTCCTTGCAGCAACTCCTGTGTATAAAAAAGCTTAGAGTCTTTGACTCGAGGTCGGTATAATTGGAAGTCGTCACCTGGACTCTCGCTCTTGTTTTGTGTATACCTCGAGGTTCAGAAGACGGCCGACAGCCACGCCACAATGCTCTGGGTACAAGTGTTATTGCTGGTGCTATATGCTCCTATCGGCTTGGGACAGTCTATTGATGGGATCTATGATCTGGTCCGTCGAAGAATACCCAGACATGCCGACAGCTTCCGGTTTTCCTTGGTCGACTTCAACTCGACCGGTAACGATCAGTTCGTGGTGTCATCAACGGACAATGACACAATCTTGGTTGAGGGGAGTACACTCAGCGCTTTATCCTATGGGTAAGCACTCTCAGACGATAATTTAACAATTCTACATGCCTGTTGCTGACAAGGACAGTCTGCACCGCTACCTCGCGGATATCGCGCATGTTGACATCTACTGGTACATCGGGAGTCAGCTACATCTGGCACCGACACCACTTCCTCATCTGTCCCAGCCACTGACTGGCTCAAGTACGGTTGAAAAACGATACCACTTTAACACAGGTATGGATATTTAGAGCCAGCGAGTTCCATTAGAGACTGACATTATAGTGACCTTCTCCTACACAACGGCATTCTGGTCATGGGAAGACTGGGAGCTCCAGCTAGACTGGATGGCCCTACGCGGAATCAATCTGCCGCTTGCCTGGGTAGGTCAGGAGAAGATACTCGTCGAAGTCTTCCGCGAGACTGGTATGACAGACGCAGAGATCTCAAGCTTCCTGAGCGGTCCCGCATTCCAGGCCTGGAATCGATTCGGAAATATTCAAGGCTCCTGGCATGGGGAGCTTCCGTATTCCTGGATTGATGCTCAGTTCGAGCTCCAGAAGAAGATTGTCCGCCGTATGGTCGAGTTGGGTATGACGCCAGTTCTTCCTGCTTTTACAGGGTTCGTGCCCCGGGCGATTACTCGAGTCCTTCCGGATGCTACTGTGGTGAACGGCTCTCGATGGAGCGGCTTTGATGAGAAATACACCAACGACACCTTCCTGGAGCCATTTGATCCGAACTTCGCTCGTCTCCAGCGCAGTTTCATTCATAAGCAGCAACAGGCGTACGGCAACATCACGCACATCTACACGCTGGACCAGTACAACGAGAACGACCCGTACTCGGGCGATCCTGAGTATCTGCGCAATGTCACCCACAACACCTGGCAGAGTCTTAAGAGCGCAGATCCCGATGCCATCTGGATGATGCAGGGCTGGCTATTCTACTCCAACTCGGATTTCTGGACAGACGAGCGCGTCCATGCATACCTGTCTGGCGTCGAAACTGACGAGGATATGCTAGTATTGGATCTTTTCTCTGAGTCGCAGCCGCAATGGCAGCGTACGCAATCTTACTACGGCAAGCCGTGGATCTGGTGCCAACTGCACGACTACGGCGGTAACATGGGACTGTATGGCCAGGTGATGAACATCACGGTGAATGCCACTGATGCCCTGGCTGTTTCGGACTCCCTTGTCGGATACGGGCTCACAATGGAAGGGCAAGAGGGAAATGAAATCGTGTATGACTTACTCCTCGACCAGGCCTGGTCTTCTCGTCCGATCGATACAGACAGCTACTTCCACGACTGGGTCAAGGCGCGGTACTCGACCGCGCGAAGACACAACGTCCCTCATGAACTCTATCAAGCATGGGATATCCTGCGGACGACGGCCTACAACAACACGAACTTGGCAACAGCGACGGCGGTCTCCAAGTCAATCTTCGAGCTACAGCCCAAGCTGACAGGCCTGGTAAACCAAACCGGTCACCACCCTACCGTCGTCAATTACGAAGCATCCTCTCTTGTTCGCTCATGGAAATTGATGGTCTCCGCCGCATCAGAAAGCACCGCTCTGTGGTCCCACCCGGCTTTCCGCTACGATATGGTTGACGTCACCCGCCAGGTGATGGCCAACGCATTCATTCCAATGTATCTCAACGTGACTTCTACGTACCAGAAGGGCGGTCCTATCTCTCAACAAGGAGATAGTCTCATCCGACTGCTGCGCGATCTGGACGCCGTCCTCTCCACCAACGACAATTTCCGCCTCGCCACCTGGATTGAATCTGCGCGGACTTGGGCGAGAAACGACACAGAGGCTGACTTCTACGAGTATAACGCCCGAAACCAGATCACTCTCTGGGGACCAAAGGGGAGATCAACGGCTACGCCTCCAAGCAGTGGGGTGGCTTGATCTCGTCGTACTATATCCCTCGCTGGCAGATGTTCCTCATTACTTGGAGGAGACCCAGCGAAAGCTATACGCGACGAGTGAAGTCGCAAATTTCGCAATTCGAGCTCAAATGGCAGGTCCAAACCAGTATGCCACAGACTAAACCTGGCGATCTACGGCTATGCTGGCAGATATCAGCCACAAGTGGCCATTGGTCTTTGGGAGTAAGGGGTAGACTGCGACTATGACTAGAAAGACTATGCACAACTTAGATATAGAAATAGATATATAAGTGTGTGTGTTCAATGCACTTATGCTTCGCATCATAGATTTGCCCGGGGTTCCTCGGCTACCTCCCCTAGAAGACCCTTGAAGCCCGCAAACCCGCGGGCCTTGACATCCGCAAGGAAAGCCCGAAACCGTCCCACCCCTCCGAGATAAAATAAGGTCGAAGTAGCTTTGCCAGGCACATTCTGGCCGAATAGCCACTGGGGAACTAGCCTAAGCAGCAACCCGTCTGAGATTTGGTCACAGTGCTCCCCCCATTCACGCTGCGCTTCCTCCGTCGCTTCAATCAGGCATGGGCGGTTCTCTAGCCGGCTCACTTCCTCCGCCTGTTTGATCAGATCCACGATGAAACGGACATTCTCCTCCGAGATGGGAGGGATATTAGCAAACGGCGTCAGCGGCCCATTGATCATCAGCAGATTCGGAAAGTCGGGCACAGACATGCCCAGGTAGCTCGCGGGGCCCGCGGTCTTCCAGCGCTCGCGGAGGCTGTCGCTGGGATTACGGCCCTGGATGTCCAGCCGCACATACGCGCCGTCCATGGCGTCGTATCCCGTCGCAAAGATAATCACATCCAGCTCATGCAGCTTGTCGTCCGCGGTGCGGATCCCCGCCTCCTCGACCCCCGTGATCGGATGCGCCTTGACATCCACCGCGAAGACGTTCTCCCGGTTGAACTGCTCGTAGTACCCGTTCGCGCACGGCGGCCGACGCGCAAACAGCTCCGTCGGCATCAGCGCCGCGCGCTTCTGCGGATCCGTCACGATCTCCGCGATTTTGCGCCGCAGGAACTTGCACGCTGCCTCGTTGGCGGCCGGGTCCGTCACCAGATCCGAGAACCCGCCGAAGAGGAACTGCAGCCCGCTCCCGGCCTGCCAGAGGAGCTCGAAGGCTTCCTCGCGGTCCGCGGGGGAGAGCGCCATGGCCTGCCGCCCGAGCTCGGGGAAGCCGAGCGCGAGCGCCGAGGTGCGCGCCTCCGCCCAGAGCTTGGGGTAGGTGCGGGCGATCTCCTCGCGCTCGGACGGTGTGAGCTCGCGGTCGCCGCTGGGGACGACGTACTGTGGGTGGCGGATGAAGACGTGGAGCGATTTGACGGCGTCCGCGATGGCGGAGACGATCTGCACGCCCGAGGAGCCGACGCCGACGAGGCCCACGCGTTTACCCCGGAGATCGAGCTCGGGGCTCCAGGCGGAGGTGTGTCGGATCTCGCCCTTGAAGGTCCGTTGCCCCGGGATGTCTGGGTAGTTCGCCCGGGTGAGCAGGCCAAGTGCCGTCAGGAGGTATCGCGCGTGGAAGACGTCGCCGGTCTTGCAGACGATGCGCCAGGTGCTTGTGGCCTCATCCCATGTGGCGCTTGTCATGTGCGTGTTGAACTTCATGTGTGGGCGTAGGTCGTGCGTGTCTGCGATGTGCTGCAGGTAGGCTAGCACCTCGGGCTGCGTGACGTACCGCCGCTTGAGCGGGTACTCTGTGTCGAACGAGTAGCGGTACAGATGCGACCAGGTATCGCTCCTGGCGCCGGGATACCGGCTCCAGTACCAGGTGCCGCCGACGTCGCTGGCAGCGTCGATGGCCTTGACATTGAGGCCGAGTTGGAGAAGGGATCGGAGGGCGTATATGCCGGCGAAGCCGGTGCCAACGACCAGAGCATCGAGATGGTGTTCCGACATGATTTCTTCTTCTAGGCTTAGTGATAGAAATGCGTTTTTTCAATGAAGAATTATGGAGCAGGCATCGGCGGTTTATATAGGTTCCTCAACACGCCTTCGCTCGTCTTGCGGCAGACTATGCAGGGATCTCTATGCAGAACCCCCTCACTCATGCACGATATGCGCTACACGTCCGCATCACTATTGGTGACCACGCCGGCTGTCTGCTTGAATGCAGCCGCAAAAGCGCTACTGCAAGTAAAACAAAAATAACCACAGTCGAATCACTTCAGGCGCGCTAATCAGGAGCTATATCGCTGCGAGCCTAGCAAAAGCTCTCCATCAGCTAGCTAGGGTGGACGAACCATGTTGCGTGTCTCGAGAGCCCCTCAGTATACGTGTGATCAACATGCAGTGGCCTTTTCAGGTGGTTATAGACATGTCCCTCGGTCTGTCGAATGCGTCGAACACCTGACGTCCTCTTGTGCGCTCCTCCTCCTCACCCAATTCGGCTCCTGTACGGGTAGAAGTTTGACTATCTTTCTGATTAAATTGCTTAGCGCCATCGTTTTCCTGCAAAGTAACACCCCCGAGAGCTCCATGAACGGCGCACTAGATGCTACTTGGATTAACGAAACAGAAGGATCTTGGGTATCTGATAGATAGACTAACTCTCGTGCCCCGTAGTTTCCTTCATAATCAATATTGACAGTCTGACCTCACCGTTCCTTCATGCATACACGAGCTTCCTTGATCCACGCTTACAGCTTGGACAACAGGAAAGCAACAGCACCAGGCACATTAACCGTATAGGTGAAATGCGCCGCGGTAATCACCAGCGTTCCCTCGCACACCAGATCTCCAAGCGCACAGTAGATCTTGGTACGGTCCGTAGGGAAGTTGGGGATACGGCCTCCATCCTGCTTATTGCGCGTGTCGCCGAACAGCACAACACCCCTAATCAGGTTCTTGACATTATCAGGAAGATTGCGGATGGCGCCATGCATAACGGCTGTTCCTTGACTGTTTCCAGGCAGGTCAGCATTGTGCGTCAGGAGGTTTTTCTTTTTTTTTGGTGGCGGGGGCTGTGGTACCTGTATCCGCCCGCAACGATCTGGGTGTCTGGGCACTTGGATGCTGCGAGCTTGAATAGATCCGTCGCCTCATCGATGGCGACCTGTGTCGTGCCCTGGGGCAGAAAGTTGGAGGCTAGGTCAGCGGTATAGGCTGGTCCGACGCCCTGGCAGGCGACCTTGAATGGACGGGCGAGTTTGAGGCCATTGCAGACTCCGGGACCAGTGGAGATGCCCTGCTTCGGTCAGTCTTGACCATCATCATGGGGATGGGTGGTATGCAAACCAGAAGGCCAGGTTCGGTGGATGCTCTAGCGAAGATGAAGGTAATGGGCTCACAGGGACCGGTGCGAAGCTCGTTCTCGGGAATAGCGACTGTACCGTTAGCATGGACCTCGTTGGGTGGGGGGGGAGGGCAATACTTTGACGCTCATCGAGGGTCACTGGACTGGCCAGAGCAACAGCTGCGAGGGCGAGGAGTGCAAACTTCATTGTTGCTGGATCTGAAGGAATCCTTGATCTGCTGGTTCTGCTGATTCTGCTGCTGTAAGACCTCATTCCATGAGACTCCCATCGCCTTTATATACCCAAGTCTTGCAGTCTTTTATCGGAATCTGGTCTTGAGCTCGTTCAGAGTCTCCTCTTCATTTGACCCAACGGCGCATCCAAGAAGGGTCTCATCCTCGGTAGCAGAATCGCGATTCTCATCCATATTGGTCAATTTCTGGATTCAATCTCCCAGTGCCAATCTAGAAGTCGAGCAACCGAGGCGAAAGATGCACATAAGGCCTAACCAAAGTACGGCTTCAGTGTTGCCAGAACTTGCAATACCCCCTTGGCGAGAAGTGTTGATTTATTGCTTCTCCATGGCTCGCGGTTTCTCCGCACAAAGAGTCTTGGCTGCATGGGAAATGCCCTGAAGAGTGCGGACGCTGTGCAGTATGCAACTTGATTGATGGATTATGGTAACTGCTGGTTCTTGACCATTCGGCTTCGGTATTTGACAGTGGATTCTGTTGCTGTTCTGTGTAGTGTTTTGGTGGTGAGTGTGGGAGGGGGACGGGGTTGGGATACTCTGTTCTGCGATCCGAGGTATATCTGCGAGACACGCCATTCTCAGGACAATTCTTGAGGACAATCACAGAGCCTTTCACTGTTTGAGCTCTTTCTCTGTCTATCGAGTCCACCTTTCACCAACAATGATGATCTCTAGACTGGTCCACTGGACGATCTCCCTTGTCCCTTCTACAACCACCTCAGAGATTAGCGAGTTAAGGCGCTAAAGAAGCTACATAAATCTCTTTCCTCCACAAGAACCGAGGTATGTCGATGCGGTTGAGCTAATGAAGTCAAAGCCTAACCAGTTCGGTTTCTAGATCGGGACACTGCGATGCGTGAGTGGCATCCTCAGGTCAGTCAAGTCTCGTGTGTTGACGATCGAAAGAGATCCAGCATCGAAAGCTACTGCATCCGAGACAGACTCGATAATCTGCTATCCACATAATGCTTCTATCCGCCATACGTACTCATCGTCAACCTGACACTCACTGACACTTGACACTCGGCACTCGGCACGTCTAGTCGACATTCAACAGTAAACAGACCAGACCACAACCCACGCGACAACAGCGAGGGACCGTGCTGGTCTCTTTGGGCCACAACGATCACCAATTAACGAGCATGGTCGCCAAACTCCCGAATCTGCTGACGGCGGCTGGTCTGACCACCGCCGCCAACTCCACCATAATGGGGTTGGGGGGAACCCTGTACCCTCGCACAGGCCACGCTGGGCGGCTGCACTGCGCACAAATGCCCATGACTGCCGTCTACCCGGACCAGTCCGACTTCGAATCCATTGCCACGCTGACTGCGGATGCGTCGTCGACAGTGTTCCGATCCCGGCGCAGACGACGACCCCCCATGGGCCGTGCTGGACTCGAAGTTCCGCGTGCCGCAGGGTGCAGGGGCTGCGGGCGGCTCGATGCGAGTGTGTACGCGCGCATTCCGGGGGACTTGCACTGCCGTCTTGACGTATCTGGTTGCTGAGAAGGCGGCGGACGATAGATAACCTGAGGGACTTGGGGGGGGGTTGATTTGTCGGTTAGTTAGTATGGGTTAGATGGTTCGTCCATACGTTTTGTAATTAGTAACTGATAATGGTAATGTGAGTTCTTTGTATATCTGATTTGATTCGTTCGCTATGGAGTTGCCGGCATCAATTTATGTACAGGTGGCATCTCATATATCTTTATCCCACGGCTCTCCCCAATCTTCTATAAGTTATAACTTATTCATACACTCTCTCATGCACGAAAGGTCGGGATTGGAATACTAACCGAGCTCGTCCTCGCTGTAATGCTGATAGACTTCAGCCTGTTGCTGGTTGGTCGCTGAAGATGGTACTGAATTATGCATGCTCCGCATGCTGGAAAGGCTCGATCTGAAAAGTGAGCTTAATGTGCTGGTGTCCTCGCTCGCGAGGCGTAACCTAGGCGAGCTTGGGCTGGACGGTGGTTGGTGGTATAAAGTCGCTGCAAGTCGCTTGACTGTCGCTGTCAAGCATATACGGTGTCTTCACCGACACAGATCATTATAGATCGATATATCCCAGTTTCGTAGAAGATCTGCTCTTCCAGATCGCCGGATCTCAAAAGGGTTGACTAGAAGGCATGGCCATATCGCGATCCTCTGTCGTAAGTTGCAGCCATGGTATGGCTGTCGTAAAAGCAACGCAGCTCGAATATAAATCCGGCTACAATAGTGACCTCGGTCACTCTAATAACCAGTTTAGAGCATTGTTCACAAGCGCCTCGCTCGTCAAACTGTGATCATCGAGAAGGGTAGACAATTTTCCAGATTCTTGGGCGGGACCCCTGGCATACGATGGCGGGATTAGAAGTGTGGAGTCGGATTTGAGGCTTCCTGTCAGCCCGAGGATCCCAGATTCATCACCCGTGTTGTACTGGGACGTCCTTGGCACGCTGTTGTTCAAGGGCTGCTGCCCGGGTGTTTGTCGCTCGGCCAGAATAGCAGTGTGTTCAATGACAAATCGAGCCAACCAGTTATCCGAAGCGAAGGGATCGCACATCGTATCTTGGTAGGTTGTTTGAAAGTCACGTAGGCGGGTGATCTGCAGATTTTGTTAGCGTCAACTATGCCGTCTTGCACATTCCTGGGCAGTGTGAAACTTACAACCTGTCCGAGTACCGGCCAGTGCTTCTTCAGATCCATCAAGTATTCGAAGTTCGAAACGAGATGCTGCCGTGCCGTGCGCAATTCCGGCAATTCCTCACTCAGCATAAGAGTCTGCATATGGGCACAGGAACTGACGATGGCGACATGGCTATAAAGGAAATAATCAAGCTTGCAATCATCCTCCTTTGAGAAGCATTCAATAATTTGCGAAACAGATTGAGCGCTGTTTCTGCACTGTGCCACGCCGTCCGCGATGGTTGTCGCGGTCCCTTTCGCGCGAGCATCGAGAAAGGGAAAGAACAGCATCTGCCGGAAGTGCTGGTATTCCATATGCATGGCGAGGAACGTTCGACCAAGGCCTTGTTTGGCGAAGACAGCGAGATTTGCGGTCCTGTAGGTCAAGGTTGGGGGTAGATTCTTGACCCATCCATCCAAGCATTCCGTCAACAGAGGAACCTCACTCAGATAGGAGTCAAAGGTAATGACGCCGCGACTGAGCCGTGTAAGAAGAACGCTGATTCTGGTGTAGATCTCCAGAGTGCCTGCCATCTGGGCCCACATGTCACTCCGCGACGATGACTGCACGGAGTTCTCCCGCAGGAGTTCCGGGTCATACGTATTGAATGCCACGTCGTCTACCTCAGGAAGCACGTTCAGGCTACTCAGAGAGGCGCCTGTGTTCACAGACATGTCAACGATGGTCCACGGGTCAGCAGCGCGGATCGAGAGCCATGTCCGGCGACGCTCCTCGCGATGAACGACAGTCGAGTTCGGCGGCATCGTCCACAATGACAGTACTTCCGCGTGCGCACGGGCTATTCCGATGTAAGCCTGCTTCGCCTGGGCATCTCCCTCACCTCCGACAAGATGTCCCAGCAGAACCGCCCCTTGGACGGTCTCCAGGCTAGCGTAATTCATTCTCTCCTGGAACAGGCGAATAGCTTCCGCGGCATATATTTTACCACGGGATCCCGGAGCAACGCCATCAAAGATGGGATTCTTGGAGAATCTGCCTCTTAAATGAGTTTCTATGCGATGTTTCATTCCACTTCAATGGGTGACCTACCTCGCAGCGAGCGCACACATGGCATGCACATGAATCAAGGACGCTCGGCCCTCAATCAACAAACGAAGAAAGCTCGCCTCGTGGAACAATGTATGCGCAACATTGTGGATGAAACGAAAGTACAACGCTACCAGTTCCTGAAAGAGGACCGGGGTCGCCAGCAGATACAGATCCAACAGCGGCTCCTCGGGCGGCAATTCCCGAACGCGCACTGGCCGGACCTCATGCCGGGGCGGTTCTGGAGGTGGCAGCTTCTCCGCCACAGGGTGATGAGATGCCACAGCGCCGTTTGCTGACGCAAAGACGCCGGGTTCCGTGCTGAGACTGCATGGAATAGATAGTGATAGACATAGTTCGCAGTTATTGAACTTGTCCCCTGCTGGGACACAGCGCCTTTTGCGAACTCTATATGGCGCCTTGGTCAGCGTCCTGCAATCCACAACCGGGGGTTGTATCTCAAGTGTAGTTCTTACCGACAGGTTGTGCACGCTCCGGCCCGTGGCCTTTTATCTCCGACAACCATGGTGGAAATGATTATTGATATTCATCAATTGACTCAACCTCATTAGGAATTAATTCTGGCAATAGTAGTACATATTGAGGGGACCAGGCGACAATCAGCTGGGCAGGATCAGCGAGGAAGAAAGGGTAAAAAAAAAAAAAAGGGAAAAATCAGACTTGAAGTCGCGTTGTTGTTGCTGCTGGATGGTGACTAAGCAGAAAAGAGGGAGACGCCAAATATGTGTCTGTGTGCACTGTGCAAACAGGATGCGCGAATGATCTTACTTTCGCCAGATATCTCTGATTTTATTCACAGCCTCAAAATGAAACCCAGGGACTGAGTGTGTTGAAACGGAGTTTGGGCGTACAAATTCGCAGCCCGCTTCAGTGAACACCGCAGTCGGCCATGAGAGAGATACTCGACAAAGGTATCGGACTCGAGTGACTCAAGTCGCCCTTCCGCCCATCTAAATTTGCCATTCCTTCCCTAGCAGAAAAAAAAAATAATAATAATAATAATCCCTAGCTTGGCATGCCAGCTTATGCTATTTTACTCCATCGCATCACATATCACTGCAGTTCCGCCAGCCACTTCGCAGAGGTAATAACGCTCGCCTGTCTCGACAAGACCTTCTCCATCAGGATTTTGTGAACTTCCTGGTCTTTGTCCATGCACAGATCCTCCAGCACAGTCAAATTGTAGTCGAGATCGGCAGCTTGCCGCACCGTCGAGAGGACCGCGCCACTGGTGACCAGTCCAGCGACGACCAGTCGTTCTGTTTGCAAGCAGCGGAGCACAAGATCGAGATCCGTTGCAGTGAAGGCCGACACACGGCGCTTGGTGATGATCGGCTCGTTGGCCTTGGGCGTCACAGCTCGGTGAATCTCGACGGATTCGTCGCCCTCGATGAATGTCTGCAGGTCTTTCGCTCGGGAAACCGCCACGTTGTTGGGATGTGCGTCGGGGTAACCTGGACGGAAAGCTGTTCTCACATGGACGATCTGGATGGCGGCCCTGCGCGCAGCTTCGATGACCGGGACCAAGCGTTCGAGGTAGGCTTCGGTGTTGTTCAGGCGCTCGATGATGCCGTTCTGGACATCCAGAACGAGCAGGACGGTCTTGGTCATGGTGGACTCGGTTCAATAGGTAGGCGAAGCTGATAATAGGAGACTCCAGCCCCCTCAAAGTAGGACACAAGTGAGCCTCAGTGCGACTTGAGAACCGCGTGGTGCATATTGCAGTGTTTTATGTTCGATACTACTCAGAGATCACCGGTTCCGCTTGAGGTTCAGCCGGTAACGGGATTAACCAAGATGTCTGCCCTCGCCATCATCTCTCAGCAACTTCCAAACGCTATGAACACCTGGTTTTCCGCCGTGACTGCCGACGATCTGGATGGAGAACGTGACATTGAAGATTCTCGGATAGGGATTCTGCTGGTTTGGACGGTCTGCGGGTACAAACATATGAGATAGAGCTCGCCAATATCCGAGTCATTGAGCAGACTCTGGATTGATTGCCGCGCCATAGCTATGGGGACAACCTCCGAGGCCTCTTCATTCTGGCTCAGTTGTAATCCAGCACCGCAGCGTCGCTAAGGAAGCTGCAACAAAGTACTATAGTCAAGATAGAATGTTTCGTCTGATCTAGACGGCGCATACTTAGGGGACGAAATTGTCTTTCCTCGAATCAGATTATCATGGGATATCTTTCCCTGAAACAACCGTCCAAGACAGGCCATTGCCGTGCTCATTCATTTCGACATGTCTATTTCTAGACTACACCGTGTGTCACCTGGTAATTTAACTCCTACTACAGCCTAAGAGAGCGATTATCCTCCAGTCCACGCGTCGTAGAATTTCAGCCGGCAAACCAAACATCAGCTACAACGAGCAGTACCTAGTAGCTTGGTCGAGACTCATCACTCGACATCCAATGATCCAACACCAGGAGAAGCGCTTTCTCCAACCGGATGACCGCCCCTCCCTCGAATCCGGGCCGGAATCCTGGGGGTAGAGCATCGTATGATGTTTTGACCAACAGTGCGCTTCGGCCTTCGGAAAGAGATGGGGGGGGGCTGGCAGGACCAGCTGATCTGTCTCCGCTCTTCTGCGCCCGCGATCTGTCTTTCATGCCTTGAAATGCTTCGAGAATTTCCGTTCTCGCTCCACTATAGTATGTATTCTCTTCCGTCCGGTTCCCGCTAAGGCGTCATTCCGCTCGAGGCCGGAATCTGGAAATTGTCGCAGCAAGCCCCAAGGGAAGGGGGGGGGGAAAGGGTGGCCGGCCCCACTATCAGTGATAAAGGAGGTGTAGGTATTGGTGATAGGATTATGAGGTTCTTCTCACAGCGAGTCTCATGGCTCTGAGTCTGAGCAAAACTAGAACCGGAAGAGAAGCCGGAGGACACAGAGCCAGACCCAGGTCCCATCCTGGAGCGTGATTTTTGGAGATTCGGAATCTCATCCCGTCATGGGAGACTTGGGGAGTTGGGTTTCCTCGACATCTTGGCAGTATCCTAGACTCATCGTACCACGTTTGTCCAGGATTTTGGCTAGGGAAGTCGCAAGTCGCAAGTCGCAACGTGACAACGGACAAGGAACTGTCAGTCTGTCTCAGACACGACGGCTCGATCCGAAGAGTGAAGACATGAGGCCTGTGCATTTTCTCACATGCCAACCTATCTTCACTCTCCAGCATCCTTGAATTCCTTGAGGATGGCTTTTGTTTTTTCTTTTTTTTTTGGGCCCCTTCAAGATCCTGGCCTCAGTGCCCTGGCCTTGCCATGGCATTTCAATCAACCAAACAAAAGCGAGCTGGTCCGATCAATCCATGCTCACGACTGGTCATCGAGAGAGCCACGCCCTCGAATCTAAAAAAAACCCGAATTAGGAGCGACGTTCAATACGGAGATACTAGGTAGTCATCACCATACCAAGAAACATTCACAAATAAAATCGCGACTTCTCGCCAGCTCGCCAACGGCCGGAGCCGACAGAACACCCTGAGATAGGTAGGAGACAGTAAGGGGAGGTATCCCACAACTCAACAACTCAGAAGAAGTCTCTCTAAATGGCCAAGAACAGGATAATTTACCAAAAAAAAAAAAAAAAAAAAAAAAAACCAAAACCAAAACCACGGAGTCATGCCCCCAACTCCGCGTTTGAACGCAAGTAGAATAGTAGATACTTACAGTCCAACGGTTCAACTTGAAATTGAACCTCACCCATCAAACGTTGTTGTTTTTCGGATCCGAGAGACCGAGAGAGCCTCGCCTACAGTAGGAAGTAGAGAGTCTAGGTCAGAGTCTACTCCGTAAGATGAAAGATCCATCATCCATGAGTTTCAACCCCACATGTCAAAAAGTGAACTGTGCCAGGGACGAAGACTTGTCTGCAGTTGGCCAGTGGGCTTTTTTGTTTGATTTATTATTATTATTATTATTCTCTAGAATATAGATAGACACTCACTAGATCCTCTAGATCCTCTAGATCCTCTAGATCCTCTCTACCTAGACTCCTAGAGAGTAAACAGACACAAGAATCCAAGATCACGCGCCACCGACTTCCATCACTAATCTCTGAATTCTGGAAACGAGTGGCCCTCCGTCCTTGTCTGATCAACTTCGATACCTAGCTCGGGGCCAGCGTTTGCATCAGGCCAACGGCGAGCGACGACGATTTGCTAGAGCCTGGATGGCTGCAGTGGCTTTGAAAGCGCGGTGATTCCAAATAATACGAGGATCCAGAGATCCGATCAATATCATCCTTCCTGATTGAGTGTGTGATAAATAAAAAAGATATTGGATGAAGTGGAAAGATCGACGTCACAAAAGACTGCCTGGGAGCCTGGGAGCCTGGGAGCCTGTGGGCCTCACATCCTGGGGAGGATCATCACCGTCTTCGGAGAATGCAGAGAGACAGGCCGGGAAGATTCCAAAGTCCCAACTCCCAAGTCCCAAAAGAGTCGGAGTGAGACAATCATCGCATCCGGGGTCGGCCGAAGCGGGAATTGCTCGGTCGGGGTTCAAATCAGATTCATCCAGAGAGGGAAATCAAATCGCACGAACCTCCAAGGCTCCAACAGAAGGGGAAGGTGGAAAAAATAAAAAAAAAGAAGAAAAAAAACGAATAACAAAAAAAAGGGAAAGGGATCATTCCAATCGATGACGAGGATAAGCTTCATCCCGTCATAACCCGCTTGGGGGCGATTCCCCCTGAGCGACGCCCACCATCCCTCTTCCAGCGACTACAAATATCTACTCATCATCTACACTCATCGTTGCTCTCTCTCCCTCTCTCTTCCAGTCTCACTCTCAAGAGGGTACAAGACTCTAACCCCTCGATCATCTCTCAATCCTCAGCTTGAAGAGAAGAGAAGAAAAGGCCAGACTCCTGGAGAAAATATGACCGTTCGAGGCGGTCATCCATAAGTATATGCATGTAATAGCAAGGCTAAGTCTACAGAAATCAAATCTTCGGGCAGATGCTGCGAAATGTGACTCCCGTCGTCGAGACGGGTTTATGCATGATCAATCGCACTTGGCTAAAATCCAGAGAGAAAGAGGGAGAGAGAAAACATAACGTGTCTGAAAAAAAAAAAAAAAAGGGGCGGGGTTGTGGTACTTTGTTGCTTAAATTGGTTATGTCCTGAATGGTTTATAAACCTGCCATCCCTCTACTCGGGAACAACATGACATCTGAGACACTCTCAAGGATATTGCGCATATTCTTGTCCTCCGGTGCAGCAACATATGGGTGAGCATCGATAGTGCCGATGGTGACTGACGGCGACGACGCCGAGACCAGCAAGGGCGTGGTGATGTTGGAGATCGTGTTGGTCGTCTCCGAGCCGGGCCTCGGGAATTCCTTGGCCCGCAGTGCTGCGCTCACTTGACGGAGTGCGCGGAGCGAAGACGCAAGATTTTTTGCGGATTCGGTTCGACTATTCGGGGTTGCCTGACCATTTGCATCCACATGGTCCGCCAGGACAAATTCCAGCTTCTGAATAAGGTGAGCGGCTCGGGCACGGAAGCGATCCTCCAGGTTCGCGACCAGCAAGAACGCAGACGCGATGGTGCGTTGCAGACTGATCCAGGTTCGAGAGAAATGCGGGCTGAACGAATGCAACTCGGTAAAGGCTTCGATCGTGTCCATCAGGCTCGTGAGGCAGTCTTCCCGAATGATCGCCCGCCGTTCATTATCCGGATGTGCATCGGGATCCAACGACACTCGACAAATGACCGATAGATAGTACGACATGTGCAGGCGTAGCTCCGTCCGCTCAATATGATCTGCCAGAGTGGTGCAATTGCGCTCCGAGCGCAGGTGTGGAACACCTTCGGCCATGATTCGCCCGATCCGCTGCTTATATTCCCGAATCTCATGGTATCGCAATTGGGAATGATGTGGGTACATGCGCGTCCGCAGCATCTCCAGAACAACGGAGACTATTCGACAAAGTGTTTCAAAGTACGATCGGTGACCCGGCATCGATTTGGGATCGTAAGGGATTTCCGGCTGACTGATCATTGTGATGGATGGTCGATCATACGCAAGGGAGAAATGGCTATTCTGGAACGCCATGGCCCACCTGTGGAGGGATCGTTGAGCATCGGTCACCTACGATTGGCACATAATCGCATCAAAACTTACCAGACTCTTCTTCGCGCCGCTTGGATTTCGCGAGGAAAACCTGATGACTCGACATGCAAACCGAGAACCATGCACATTCGTTCCGTCATTCCTGTGCACGCTGATCAGAATCGGTCCAGAAATCAAACATGCAAGAGGGTTTCTCACCCAGCAACGTATACGACGCCCCCGCGTTCATGTTGTACGATAGGACGTGGCTGATGATCAAGAGGATCTGAATCGCTTCAACTGTCGGTTGCGATACATAGTTCAACATCCGCAGACAATGATATGCGCAGGAAACTAGAAGAACCTGGGTAAGCGCTCCTGATAACCCGATGATACCGAACAGCAACGCACCATATATCCAGGAAGTCAACTCTCGTTCTTTACCCGGCAAGTCGGACAGTTGACAGCCAGAGGCCAGGACGGCGAAAAGCAAACTGAGAAACGCCAAATTCATGCCGAATGGCTTGACCAATCCATTCGCATCTGGCCGATAGACTCCGCCAGCTGCTTTTCGATTTCGCATCAATCGGTTCATGTCCTGCTCTAATTTGGCGACGTCTGGAAGAACCGGATACAGCACCGCCGCTATATCTCGATAGAAACCTAGAAATCTGCCCGACCATGCTTCAGTCAGCGAAACAAGAACATTCTGCAATCTCCGGATCGATCAATAGCCCTTACCGTCGACATTGCTCGTCGTCAGGCAACACGCCGCATACACCGGCGATATTGAACGTGTACGGATCGGACGACCACAGATCGACAAAAGGATAAGCGGCCGACTCGTTCCCCATCGCCAGCTCCGCGAGAAGGTCATCCTTGGGTAGCGCCTGCGCAGTTTCCTCGGAACCCTTCGATTTGTTCAGAATGTCCACCAGTGCCGATCTCGAGCCGATATGGACCGACCCCGTCCTCAGCATATCCGGCTCGTAGATGCCCTCGGACCGGGGCGAAGCCTCGTGGCTACGCGGAGCGTCCCGTGCAGCCTCGCTAGGTTTCCCATGTCGGCGCATATCGAACAACGAATGCAAGCTGCCCAGGATCTGTTCCATTGCGCGCATCTTGGCGTTGATTTCATCCCATTCATCCTGCGTGATCCTCACAGTATCCGACAACGGATCCTGGTCATCGACCACAGAATCCGCCGCTGTTCCGGTGCCGTAGGAGACATCGCGACTCCCGCTGGCCGTCCCCTGGTGGGGTGGCGTATACGAAGGAAGGGAGTCAGAGTAGGGAGGCTTGGAGAGAGTGCTCGTAATCGTAGGCGCAGCGGGCGGGACAGGATACGGATCCTTGGGGGGCGGGCGGCCGTAGGAGCAGTTGAAGTTGCGCTTCACGCAATTCCCACACGGAACATTGCGATCGCAGCGGACTTTGCTTGCACGACAGGGAAGACATGTCTTGCATTCGCGGGGTCGGCGGCGAATCGGGTATGTAGGCATCGCGCGTGCTGAGTAAGTGTTTGTCCAGACTTCTGTTCGTCCCTACCGCCCCGCCTCCGGGGGATGGGAGAAAAGATGGACGCGAGACAGGTGAAGGGGAGAGAGGAGAGGCGGGAGGGTTATCTGTGCGACTGGACAGACCACGCGGATGTTCGCATAGGACAATATTGTTGACCCGTGTTGTTCTTGTGATGTATCGAAATCTTCACAAGGACCAGCGAGAGGCTTGACTATTCAGGCATGCGAGAAGCGATAGTCGCGATGAGCAGTTGAGCGATTGGCTAGTTGGGCTACACTGATCGGCCGGGAGCTGAAAGTGTGGTCGCGACCGTGGCAGAGTCTGAAATGGATGAAGATGCCTGGGTTCGTGCAGAGAGGCGGTTTAACGAGAACTCGAGATCGATTCCTTAGGCGAATCGAATTTCAGAGACAGTGCATGTGAGATTAAAAGATTGTAATCAAATCGATTCGATGATGAGAAGAAGTCCAGATCGATGAAAAGAGAGAAAAGAAGGCGATCATTCCTCCTCACTGGCAAAATGGAGCTTGGGGCAAAGTCCCAATCGGGGGCAGCCAAGAATTTCCCACAGGCAATACCAGCCAGCATATCCCAGGAATGGGCGTTGGTGAGAGCTCGCGTAGCGATATCCATACGTAGTAGATCTTGAATCATGTAGATACGTCGTTCAAATAATAACAATAATAATATATTGATAGGGGATGTCTGGAGGGGATGCTGTCTCGCCGCGCGGTTGACGCAATAATAATGTCAAGGTTCAGGAAGCTGTACGCCGTAATCTTCAGCTTCTCGTGACGAGTCCACCTATGAACCTTCCTCGAATCTGCACCTATACACTATCTTTTTTTTTGAGACCTTTCAATTTTCCTACGTTTGTGCTAGACCTTCCGGGCTCAGTTCAACTGCATGTACTAGCAGGGAATTGTATCTATGATGTTTCTAAGGATAGCTACATTAGATGACCACATAGGTATCCAGATTCACCCAAGTGCTTTGCGCCAGTGTGCCCGTTAAGATGTGGTAGCCATCATGGTTTACTGCTCGGTTTAATCGGCGATACCTGTGGCACTGCCCACCAGTCATGCCAGCGTGCCTTGGAGCTAACCTCTGGGACATTCACTTGGAGATTAACACGAGGATGTTCGGTTTGGGCCGCCAGGGCCTTTTTCACGGTCTCAATCGCGATGCTCGCACCAATGCAGGCTCGCATGGTGTCCTTCACGTCGCGTTTCCAGTCCTCCTCGATGGCAGGCGCTTGGTGTGCCTCCCCCCGAGAGTTCTTCATGAAAGCGCCGTTGGCCAGAGTGGCTTCCCAGGCCTTGCGAGCCTCTGCGACAGCTTTCGACGCCCGTTCTAGCACGATCTCATCACTATCCCCCTCGAGAATTGCTTCTCGGCGATATTCTTCGTATGGCACCAGTTCCGGTAGGTTAATGGGGAGAAACGGTTTCATGCGAATCTCGTAGCGCAGTCGTTCACTGGAATAAGCCCCTGGGCCAGAAGCTGTGCGCAGGAGGTTATGCCGGGTGAGAAGTACATAGAGCGCATGCAGGGATATCGCAAATGCGTCAATGGCAACTATGTGTGTCGTAAGTCTCTCTAAGAGCCGAAGAGATCGGTGAAAGGCCGACTGTCGCTCAGCCGCTTCCTGCTTCATTGCGGCCGAGGAGGTGATATTTCTTTTGGCTGCGGCTACCATAAATGTGCGTATCCGATCCAAATGGGCAAGATGTGTAGAGCAGATGTGAGATAGATACCAATACATCCCAGCCAGCTCTTCGGGTGCGTAAATGGAAAGTTCAAAGCCAAGTTGGATAATGGAGCGAAATTGGGAAAGTTTCTGGTGGTATGTCCAGCTGCTGAGAGGATAGGAGTACGTGGTGTCCCCATTCGATAGTGTCAGCGGGGGTTCTTCACTCAGGGTACGAAGCTGTTCGTCGAGGTCTTCTGCCTGGGTGGAATGTCAGATTTCAAATACTACGCAATGAGTTAGTCATGACATACCTCCATCTGAAGATTATCCCAGTCAACTATCGTATGACATAATGTCCGACGGATTCGACAGCGGTTGAGGCATGCACTTCTAAAGGTATCTATGAAAGGCTAATACTCCTTTAGACATGAACTCGAGAATGAGAAGTGGGGTGGAACCCGAGACTTGCCTGGGCGAAGCGCTTCACAAAGCTGTCCATCCGCTGGGCAATTTGAAATCGGGGATCTGACGGCATCTCGGTGTCGTCTGTATTGGCTTCAAGGAGAAGGCTGGAAGAAAGGATGAATTCTGACAGCTCGTCGTATAAAAATTGTTTGGCTGACATCGTCCCCAGTATTGTTATATCGTTCACGATGATGGCCTGGGCCAGAGAACGGATATAAACAGATGGTTGTGGTTTACGGGAAAGCAGTGTCCACAGAGCAACCTGTACGCATTTAGAAGAGTGTTGAATCCGGGTCAACGATTTGAAGGCTTACCTTGAAATTATGTGGGCCTCCATACTCGAGAAGTTCTTGGAGGTCGATTGCGTCTTGACACAGCCGCCGAAGATGCGCCAGCGCGTCTTCGGAGCTGATGTTCACCATTGGTCGAGGGGGTACCGTACTGGCCAGCCTTCGTTGTATCTTCAAGCTGAAAGCTTCAGGTACAGACCTTCCCAGGGAGACCGACTTGGCAAGAAAGGGCAATTGGGATAAGCATGACTCGAAACGACCTGTTGATTTGGCCTCGATGATATCGACATCCCCCTCTAGTGCGAGAAGTAGTTCACGCCGTAGTAGAAGCCTGTGTTTGATAGCATCGCGCATAGCTGAATCAATATTATCGGCCGTTGACTCGGTCCACGAGATCGCTCGATCGAGAAGATCTTGAAAGTATTCCACGTCGAATTGTGACAGCAGGCTACGATTGTAGAGCTGTGTGACAAAGTCCTCTTCCTGCTAAAAATTAGCAGGCATAAAATGCGTCTAGTATCCAGTAAAACTGACTTCGTAATAGAACTCGTTGGCTACTCGTGAATGGACGAAGTCGCAGCATTTAGCGAGCGCGAGACAATAGGCACGTAGTACAAGGTGTAATAAATCCGACCCTTCTTGGCTAGACCCTGGCTTCCCACGATTGAACCGAGCATCTTCGAGTGTCTTTGGCACAGGCCATAATAGTTTGTCCAAGTATAGGGATGTGAATAGTGTTTGCGATAGAGGATGCCCCATATGCCACGCCATCTGTCATTGTGTGAGTCCTCAATTGAGCATTAAGCACGATGGATTGTGGGCGCGACTACCAACCTCGTGGCAGAGCAGCTCATCCATTATGCCCACTATTTGTTCCGGAGCCAGCTCCTGCGTGATATCGTAGTCGTCCTCCAGTGCTTGTGCGTGGTTCTCGCCGGGGCCGAGGAAGCCACTATCCATCCTTGAGTCCATGATCTATCGAAACATATCTTATCAGCTGCTGGCGAGCATTCTCGGGCTGGGGGTTGTGTGGACCGGACTGGGATTAGAGAGGGCAACAGACCTCCAGGGCGCCGACGGCCTCGAAGAGAGTGAAGTATTCATCTTTGACGAGCTGTCCAGTGCACAATTCTAACAGAAGAAGAAAATCAGACAGATATTCAAAAAAAAAAAAAAAAAAAAAAGTCGCTCTAACGACGGTTGATATCGAGTGGGGGGTCGCCTGGAGCAAAGACAGGTCCGGCATACTGGAAGCAGCTTGCGTGAACTCATCTGTGATATCGCGGGGTTTTACCGACTGCGACACGACTCGGACTACCGGGCCGCGAAGTTCGTTATTTGACAGCATGGAGCGCAGACCACGGCAATTCGTATCCTTTGGTGCACATATGAATTTAGATGATTGCAAGATGACGGTAGGGAAGGGAGTCGGGACCGAACGAGGGCGGAGGGGGGATGAGGGGAAACAAGAAATAAAAATAAAATAAAATAAAATAAAAAAGATATGAGAAACGACACCTCTGGGATTCGAACCCAGGCGGGCGAACCCACAGGCTTAGCAGGCCTGCGCCTTAACCACTCGGCCAAAGTGTCTAATGGTTGAATTGTTTGGTTTATTTATAGTATATATCCCCTTCTAGTAGATGGTGCTTCGCCGATTGGTGTCTTACAACTGACTGCCTCTGACCATTCAGCCTGTAGCACAATCCTCACTTGCACATTCCTCACTATGTGCTATCCTACATAGCTCCATACGCTTTTTGCATATAGCTGTTGCCGTAAAATGGGGCTTGTGTGGTGGTAATTGCTGAATGGTGTAATTATGTTGGTACTTGGCAGTGGGGTATATATACTTCCATCATTTCACTGCCCCGGTTGCATTGTCCACCATACAACAATCGACATTGTACCTGTACACTCCCCGCATACGAGTAAAATAAATCACAAGCCTACTGTGTAAGCACAACACAACCTGCCCAGAGCATACAATGACAACCCATCAATAGCCAAACCTACCATTTCACGAATGCCCCAACGAGAACAGTGTGCCACCTCCAGTGGCCTACACCCAGATTCGTCAATAACTGCTAGGAATCACCATAGAGAATCATCCATAGTATTGGGGGGTAATCAGCCAAATATTCCATAGGACAGATCCGAAGACCGAATATATTTATCCACAGTGACCATGGGTGGTGGAAGGTGTCGTCAAGGGTCACCGCCAATGAAGTAAAAGTAAGAACTGGCGGATGTACCCGTTCCAAGACCTCGCCTCACAATGCTACAATTGCGGTGGCAAATCATCCATTGGACACTTTGGCCGAGTGGTTAAGGCGCAGGCCTGCTAAGCCTGTGGGTTCGCCCGCCTGGGTTCGAATCCCAGAGGTGTCGATTACTACGATCTTTTTTTTCTTCCCCTTTCCATCATTCCTCTCTCTATATTTGTCTCTTTATTTCCTTTTCCAGATCACACCTCCGACCAAACACGTCCAAGAGGTCAACACACGCCCACATACATATCACAGGCTCCATACACCCACGGCTGTCCATATCATTTACGTCCGACATTCCTGGATGCCAGTATCACCACTCTCATATCTCAAGGCCAACAACCACACCTTCCCCAGGGTCAATGCACACGGCTGTATCGGCGGCATAAAGTGTGAGAAGGGGATACGGACCTGCTGCCTGAGTACTGATCCCACCAAACCCCTGCATCTGATTGTAGTAGGGCTACCGAGGGATATGTCAACCAGACCAGCTCCCATATCTGAGCACCGTCGGTGCATGAGGCATGGATATTCACAGTAAAAAACATTGCTCCATGAATCGTACCGTGAATATCAATACCAGGCAAGCAACACAGCATAGGAGCCATGGTACCAAACGTATATCCATATAATGACAAAGCCAGCCTGATGGATGGCCGTAGCTTCCAGACTACTCCTGGGTTACAGTACATTTGAACAAACTCGTGGGCCAAAGGGCAACATAGACATTACTCTCAACCCATAGCGATGCATCCCATGGGTTGCCTTGCTGAGTGTATATATCTGGAGGGTCAGAACCACCATCAACTACATGCCAAATATGGCACTCATTACGCTCGCTTGGTAACTTCACACAGGTCAAACGATGACTACATATCCCTCTATAATTACCGGCAACCTGCCTCTTGGGGTAGTAGGTTTTCAACTATTATCATCTGCTATGCCTTGCCAATACAGCAGTTTACAAGCGCCATTGGAATGACCGGAAGGGCCCATGGCTGCTAGCAAGTAGGATACAACGATAGTCACGTAGCCGAGCCATAACCACACAGAAACCCCACGAGCGGTGGCTGATTCCTCATTCCATCATCCATCGCCTGGCAAAGTCGTGACCGGGGTGGGAGAACGCAATATTCCAACGAGTGCGCTCGGATACAAAATGCGACATCTATCATAAGCGAAGATGGAGGTTGGAACAGCGGGAGGAGTTAAAAAACGTAGAACAACAGAATGCTCGCACAACACAGCGGATACGGGGAAGAAAGAGCAGATAAATCATGCCCAAGGGCCCTGGAAAGAAAGCCAGATGTGCTACCACTCGTGACACCCATCTACATACTACTAGATACTTTGTAATGGTGGGCTGATAGATCAAGATAGATAGGGGTATAATTCTTGCTACAGGAATGGAAAATTAGCTCCCGCATCAAGTAATTGGTGGCAGCGATGTGGTATACCTCATTTGTCCCATTTTCTACAGCAAGATTGTTGCGTTTATGAAAAGTTAAGAGTATATCATCCGTCAGAACTAGACTAAGGAAAATGGGCCTTAAGTGAGGGTCCTCCGTCAGGACTAAGTGGTTTATTCAAAACCTTGGATATGTCATCAAACGGACACTTTGGCCGAGTGGTTAAGGCGCAGGCCTGCTAAGCCTGTGGGTTCGCCCGCCTGGGTTCGAATCCCAGAGGTGTCGTCTCATACTTTTTCTATTTTTTCCTCCCCTTCTGTTTTTTCTTCTTCCCCATCGTTTACCTCTTTTTTGTTAATTCGAACGAAAGTCTCGCCCGGCGTCATCGTCTTACTCCTGTGCCAACGAGGGGGCGAAACTGGTCCGAGCATAAAGTACAAGTACTTGCTTCATTAGGGGACGGTAAGAGAGATGATTTGTTTCGACAGGAGATCAGAGATTAAATTCCAAATTGAAAAGTTTGAATCGGTCCTCACTCTGACCTAGCTAGACCCTGGACTTCATCACAAAAGCCGGGGATATCAACCCAAAGAACTTCCCATATCACTTCGGAGGGACACCTCCCGCACATGGCCTAGTTTCCATATCAAATCTCTCATCGCTCCCACCAGATATAGGGCTCCTATACCCATGATTTACACATCTCTAGAACATAGTTCCAGGTGACTGGTGACTTTCTCGCGACTTATGCATGTTGAAATTCCGACGGGATGTGGTAGCTACCTCATCGATATCCCCACAACCCCAGTCCACGAAATCTTTGCTGTTCTTGATGACTCTGGCTCCGTGCCTAGAGGTATACAAACCGGCATTCGTGGTATTCTAGACCGAACAAATGAGGCAGAAAGCGAAAGCGATTCTGGTCGGCCGTCAGCCGGAGGCCCATCGGCATGGATGTCTTCCCAAAGAGGCCACAATTCCCGTTATACTTCGGACTCTTAGAAGAAAGCCAGGATCAGGGTCAAACCTGGACCTTTCCCCGATAAAAGAAGTCGAACTCGAACATTGCAGTATATTTCCGGGTGATATATATGGGGCGCTCCTCGAGTCTCATTCATCACTTCTGATAGACTGGCTTGCCGCGTGTCTGATCATTGAATCAACAGTGTTAATCCGGTATATTAGGGAAATCAGTCTTTGAAGTACTCATAAACCCCATATCAACACTAGTAACGGAGGACTAGGCAATCAGGTTAATGTAGATGGAGGGGTATGGTGCGCGGCTGAGCCTGCTGCAAAGTGGACAACCATAACCTCACAATTGGGGGGACGGTAGAAAACCTCAGGGCGGAACAAACAAAAAAGGTGATCGGGAGTTGGATGGACAACCAAACATGCTGAAATACAAACCATAGACAGGCAAAAAGGCTGCCGGAAGACGCAGAGGACGGACAGACATTTAGACGCTTTTACGGACAACCACGCCCAGTCATGACCAATGATTAGAGTCACAAATGCCAGGAAAAAAATATTCCTTCTATTGAGATTCAACAAACGGGTCAATATTGCTACAGTCATTGTTCCTCCCCTAGACAAAACATCTCCCCAGGTTTATGGCAACCCGAATCCCATCCTAGGTAACCGTACCAAATCGCATTCGAAGAGAAATCGTCTATTTCGACTCGGACTGGGCGATGACCTGAGCGGCCTGGGAGAGGGGCTTGACATCACCCTGCTTGCCGTTCTATATCCACGCAAGAACTCCGTTAGCTGGACCGAACCACCCGACTGAATCCATGACCTGCCCGCAACGCAGCATGTCATTTGTGTAGAGTACGAACCTCCCACTTGGCGAAACGCAGCTCCATCTGTCCACGGCGCTCAGCAGCGAGACGAGGGCCCTCCTTGAGAGATCTGCGGACCGCGCGGGCAGCGACGGCCAGGTAACGGTTGTAGCTGGGAGAGAAAAAAGTCAGAACCAAGTTGGCTTCGCAGTATTGCGGGGTAATTTTGTCGGAACGACGGGTTCTGCATACGTCAAACCAGCGGCTTTCCACGCAGCGGCCATTGTGATAGTAGATGAGGATGGAGGATTGGGGTTCAGAAGGAGAATTAACGGTCGTCGGGTAAGTGACGCTTGAGAGAGTGTCGAGTTCGGAGAATCGGGAACTTCGGGTCATGTGATTCACGTGACTTTAGAGTCCTCCATCAATGCTGAATGTTCACGACATCGTCAACTTGACAAGGGCCGATCTGATGTTCCATATTCCACTGTTGCTCATACCTTTCTGTGGTATATGTGCACAGAGTCTCGAAAACCGTTTGCTGCGGTCAACTGAAGTAGGTTATGGCGCACCGAGCGATTTTCGATTGCTTTACCTTAGGATGCCTAAGGCTACTACAATAGCAATTCGAAAGAGATATTGGATATGACAAGGGCTTACTATCTCTTCTTGTATAATACCTTCAAGACCTTTGTCCACTTGTACATGGGCAAAGGGTCAATATGCCAAGTCTCAAACTCACAGACAACATCTATGAGTAACTATTGCCCATGAGTCAATTTGGTCAGCCAACCCTTCAGTATATGAAGGTCTTTCCTGATGTTTTTATATGCATTGAATATCTACTCTTGATTAAATCACTAGCATTGTATCTAAAGTAGGCTAATGAAGCTAGAAAGGGGACAGATGCACATGGCATACCAAGAATCGATCTGAGGGCCATCCTTCATAAGAATGCTTTCCCCGACTCAAGAGATATATTCTGTGAATAGCAGTTTCTATGATTCTTGACTAATAAAGAGCGTTTAATCTATCAGAACAGCTTGAATACATTCCTGTTTAAGGGTTGGAAGAGCTTGAAGCATTTTTGCCATCCTGATAGAGATGGATCGTTGTATGTCCCTCCTGAGTACACATTGTAATGTGCTCAACAATCAGCCACGATTAGTAGGAAATTCACCTCTTGTAAATCACTCACCTGCTCCCCTCAATATCTCCATCCTGCTTTGTACCATTATCTTCTTCTTCCTCCATATCGAGACCCATTCATATCTAGCACACTCCACCAGAAAAACGAAGCGGACATTGAGGTGGTGCAGGCTCACTCTTCAAAGCCTCAGTAGATGGTTAGTTTCCTCAAATCCCCTTAATAAATGCTGCAACAAGCCTTTGCAGCGTAGTACTCTGCCACTTACCATTCCCTTTAGTTTCTCTCACTTCACCCCACCCCCCGCTTCGAGATCGAAGAGCGTTGATTGCACAACCCCGAATCCACGTCGACCTAGAGAAAAGCAGACCCCATTAAAGAAAAAAACCACACGGTTGGATATGAGCAGCCCAAGGAAGGCATTAAATCGCCCCAAGAAGAGGACATTAGTTCGGTGGGATGGTGTGTGCCCGTCGTCCGTCCCGGATGTTGAATCTTGTCTAAAAGACTAGGCATTTTGCTAACTGATTGATCTTGACAGACGATCTAGATGAGCTATTGCTGTTAACGGTGCAGTCTGTCTGCAATAAGAACAACATCAAGATCCCGTGGGCCGAGGTGGCTACCACGATGGGCCACAATGTCTCTGAAGGAGCCATCGTACAGCACCTGGCTAAAGTCCGTCTTCGCCGGCTTGAGGCAGGCAAAGACGTTCCCCCTCCTCTCCGACGTGGCGGTCCTGGAGCTGCCAGTAAATCCTCAAATGCGGCCATCGCAAACAAGGCAGCCGGAGGTAAGCGCAGATTGCGCAATGAAATGGCTTCAGACAGCCCAGCAGAGCTGGTAGATGTCATCCCAACATCTGACAATGTCTCGGACGAAGATTATGTGCAGGATCGTCGCGCCAAAGTTCAGACAGATAGAACACGGGGAAAATGCAATATGGTCCTGCGCAGAGAAGATCAGAAGATCAAACATGAGCTCGACAGCGACCAGGACGAGTCCGATGATAGCAGTGAGGACTCTGAGGTTATAATAGCGCCTGGAGCCAGGTTCCTTCACTACCCGGGCGACAGCACGCTGCAAGAATCGCCTCCTTCCACCGATGCTGGGCCCAGGAAGAGTAAGATAGTCATTCTCAAGTGCAGACCACGAGTGCAGTCCATGGAAGAACAACTTCAGAGCCAACCGCCAGAAACCCAACTGCCCGTGATACAGCAGTCACCCATACAGCAGCCCGTGAGCTTCCAAGGTACAAGACAGAATGCCATCAATGCCATTAATACCTTGTACCAGCCGTCCTATGGTCAGTACTCGGGCCAGAATCTCCTGGAGATGGACAATCCCATCACCGTGAACATGCAAGACATGGCTGCGGATTACGCACTTGCAAATAACAACTTCAACATGGATTTGCCCATAGTTGCTCCCGAAAATTTAACGTCGAGCCTTCTAAATTTCACCCAAACCCAAGGTCCGACACCGGATTCTTTCATGAATCTCCTCACCAACCCTCATGATGAACTGATGAACTTCGATTATGAAGCACCATACCAGCAGGACATGGACATGGATGAAGTCTGGGACTGGGTGCGGACTAACGGTGCCCAGCAAGATGCTCCTGGTCCATTCCTTGGAGGCTCAAAACCACATGGGCTACCCTAGCGAGCACGCGAACGTTAGCCGAAGCCTCGTAGAGCTGGAAGCGTGGCTGGTGCCACCCTGACCTATCCACTTGCCTCTGCATGTGCTTCTTGGAGTAGGCATTATCCTAGCAATTGTTCAAGGACCATTGCTGGTTTTATTGGGGGTTCGATCACCCAGGGCAATGGTTCGATTTCCATATCTTTTGGGTGTCTTCCATGGAGAAGGAGTCTTGGAGGAGGGCAGACTTTCCATTTCTTGCATTCTATGCTGCAATGTATCGTTTCATTTGGACACGGATTGATTCTTTACCTCTCTGGCGTTATGCTTTTTGATTTTTGATGCTTTTTGACTTTGCTTTCCTTTCCGTTGATACCTTTATAGGTTAGTTCCGTTTTCGTTGAAATAGTTGATACCACGAATAAGGATATTTCGGTTTTCCCCCAAGACCTTAATAAGCGTGAGCGAGCAGGAGGCCTTATCAGATGCTATAGAGATAGATGAAGCCCTTAGATAGAGCTTCATGTTTCTGTGCAGAGAAGGTCTACTACGTAACTACTGCAGTCATGGCGTATCAGGGGACAATAGAACAATAGAACTGCTGTGTAAAATTCTTTCAATGGCTCTCAACACAGGATTCCACTTCAATCTGAATGTTATCAATGGAATAGGCAGAGCCATAATACCTTGATCGTCTGTCCCTTGAATAGCCATTTGATGATAGTTGATAGATACACCGGTCACCGAGTGCCCGAGTTGTTATCACATCCGCTTCCGACGATCCGAGAATTCCCTCGGGAAGCACACCACGTGACCTTCTAGGAGCTTCTGCCGCCAAGACATCCGGGGATCGAGAATCGCCTGGAAAATTTTCGAGATTTGGCCTCAGCTCCCCCAGCTTCCTTTCCATCTCATACCTCCATCCTTCATCTCCTTCTTTCTCCTCCTTCTGCACCGGTTCTCGCTCTGGGAGTTTTGACGGGCGGATTCTCCTTAATCTCACTATTTGCTAATTGATTTTCTCCTTTATTTCTTCTATCCTACCACCCTTTCAACATGCAGAGAGCTCTCTCTTCCCGGACGTCTGTCCTTTCCGCTGCTTCCAAGCGGGCTGCTTTCTCCAAGCCCGCTGGTCTGAACCTTCAGCAGCAGCGTTTCGCTCACAAGGTATGGTCTTCTGCCAATTTCCTCACCGAATTGCTTCGTACACAGCACCAAAATGGCCTTCCGTGGCTCCCGGAGCTCTCTTTCGTCACCTTGCTAACAGCCGCTTAGGAGCTCAAGTTCGGTGTTGATGCTCGCGCTCAGCTCCTGAAGGGTGTTGACACCCTCGCCAAGGCCGTCACATCCACTCTTGGTCCTAAGGGTCGCAATGTCCTGATCGAGTCCCCCTACGGTTCCCCCAAGATCACCAAGGGTATGTCAAATTCTCCTTCCCTTCACGCGATGTTACACCGCCTTGTCCGGATGACAGTGCTGACCGAGTCAAGATGGTGTCTCTGTTGCCAAGGCTATCACTCTTCAAGACAAGTTCGAGAACCTCGGTGCTCGCCTCCTCCAGGATGTTGCTTCCAAGACCAACGAGACTGCTGGTGACGGTACTACCACCGCGACCGTCCTTGCCCGTGCCATCTTCTCCGAGACCGTCAAGAACGTCGCCGCTGGCTGCAACCCCATGGATCTGCGCCGTGGTATTCAGGCTGCTGTCGACGCCGTTGTCGACTACCTCCAGAAGAGCAAGCGTGACATCACCACTGGTGAGGAGATCGCTCAGGTCGCTACCATCTCTGCCAACGGCGACACCCACGTCGGTAAGCTGATCTCCACTGCCATGGAGAGAGTTGGCAAGGAGGGTGTCATTACCGTCAAGGAGGGTAAGACCCTTGAGGACGAGCTTGAGGTCACCGAGGGTATGCGCTTCGACCGCGGTTACACTTCCCCCTACTTCATCACCGACGCCAAGGCCCAAAAGGTCGAGTTCGAGAAGCCTCTGATCCTGCTCTCCGAGAAGAAGATCTCCGCCGTCCAGGACATCATCCCCGCCCTTGAGGCCTCCACCACTCTTCGCCGCCCTCTGGTCATCATTGCCGAGGACATCGAGGGCGAGGCTCTCGCCGTCTGCATCCTGAACAAGCTCCGTGGCCAGCTCCAGGTTGCTGCTGTTAAGGCTCCCGGTTTCGGTGACAACCGCAAGAGCATCCTTGGTGATCTTGCCGTCCTGACCAACGGTACCGTCTTCACTGACGAGCTCGACATCAAGCTCGAGAAGCTCACCCCCGACATGCTCGGCTCCACTGGCGCCATCACCATCACCAAGGAGGACACCATCATCCTGAACGGTGAGGGCAGCAAGGACGCCATTGCCCAGCGCTGCGAGCAGATCCGTGGCGTCATGGCCGACCCCACCACCTCCGAGTACGAGAAGGAGAAGCTTCAGGAGCGTCTCGCTAAGCTCTCCGGCGGTGTTGCCGTCATCAAGGTTGGCGGTGCCTCCGAGGTTGAGGTTGGTGAGAAGAAGGACCGTGTTGTCGACGCGCTCAACGCCACCCGTGCTGCCGTTGAGGAGGGTATCCTCCCCGGTGGTGGTACCGCTCTCCTCAAGGCCTCCGCTAACGGTCTTGAGGGTGTCAAGCCCGAGAACTTCGACCAGCAGCTCGGTGTCAGCATCATCAAGAAAGCTATCACCCGTCCTGCTCGCACTATCGTCGAGAACGCCGGTCTGGAGGGTAGCGTCATTGTCGGCAAGCTGACTGATGAGTTCTCCAAGGACTTCAACCGCGGCTTCGACAGCTCCAAGAGCGAGTACGTCGACATGATCGCCTCCGGTATCGTTGATCCCCTCAAGGTCGTCCGCACCGCCCTGGTTGATGCCAGTGGCGTCGCCTCTCTGCTCGGTACCACCGAGGTTGCCATTGTTGAGGCTCCCGAGGAGAAGGGCCCTGCTGCTCCTGGCGGCATGGGTGGTATGGGTGGTATGGGTGGCATGGGCGGCATGGGTGGCGGCATGTTCTAAGCTGCTCCTCCCACGCCTCCTGTAGCTTTACCTCTTCCATGATTTAAAGGTTTCTTCCCTTCGAGCGTGTCTTTGTATGTACCGGCATTTTCCTGATCTATCGGTGTTGAGAATTTTGTAATATCTCCTTTTGTTTTTTTGATGTGGTACACGCCTTGACAGCCCTTTCTACTTATTCCGACTACCCTCCTATACTACGCCATTTTCCCCACATTCACCTCAATATCTCGTCTCCTTTTCCACCCCTCATTGCACCAAACATCTCCACTCTATCATACTGGGCAAAAAGTCTCGGGGAGTCATGTGTATCATATTTGTACTTTATGTGGCCCACGGCAGCTTATAGAGCTGTAGGTAGTGGTTGCAGTCTCAATTATCTCTAATCGTTCAAGAACAATGCCCCCCCTTTATCTTCAGTATCACCGCCTAGTAAACATCAGCGATATTGAAACCGTGTACAACGTAGAGCGACAGGTCAACTTCTTCCACCCATGGTATCTACCACCACACTTCTATGGCGGGATCTCCCGCTGGCTCGACTGTTTCAACTTCCCCAGATAATCGTAGCTGTGCGACCCATTCTCACCATGCATCATCACCGGGGGCAGCGGCGAGATCACCCGATCCGGGTGCCTCTTCCAGATATCATCCAATTGCCGACGGTAGCGCCGAGACGACAGGTACCGATCAAAGCGACCCTTCTCATGCTTGCTTTCAGCCGAGCTCATCTCTACTGGTTCGGGGGGTTTGCCGAGATGGAGGAGCCTCTTGATGGGGTCCAGAAGGAAGTCCTTGGCCATTCCGATCAGGACTGCATGTGTCTTTGAGACGGTGTCTCGAAGGCTTTCATTGAAGGCTAGCAGGAGGGCAATTAGGATGATGGCGACGGATGATGGTCCTGTGACGTGTGAGTTGGGATCCAACCAAGCCCGATGCCATTTCTCTTACCTGCTATTATGAACATTGTGCGAAAGTTGGGATTTGTGGGTTCGCCGCTCCACTCTCGGACATTGATGCCGAATAGTGATGTGAAGAATGAGAGTGGGAGGAAGCTATACCCAGTGAGTAACTGGGAGACGGATATCCATACGCCTGACGGGCAGAGTCTTACATGACAGTGAAGATTGTGAATACCATCACAGATCGAGACTGGTTCTGGGCTACCTCTGCCTCCCACCGGGCGAGTCGTGATTCATCGACGTTCGCCTGTTTCTGCTTCAAGTCTAGAAGGTTTTCCACCTAATGCAGGAAGTCAGCAGGCGCCATTATCTGGCAGGGGGATCACTGACTGCTTTCTGAGCAAGGATGGCGTTTTCTCTCATTTCCTGAACCTGGTTGCGGTATTCGTCCAGCCGGGATAGTGTAGACTGCACGAATACTTTCCCATATCCCTTCTCTTCGAAGTACTTGGCCATGGTCTTGACAGTCGACGTCTGCTGGTCGAGGAGTTTCATGATAGTGCCTAGTTCGTCCATAATGTCTCTCAGTTCGAGTAACGCAGATAAGTCTTCCCGGTTCTGTTTCGCCACGCCGACGTCTCTTTCATCACGTTCGGCGCTCGTCATTGTTCTTCCATCGGCTGTCTTATTGTGTTGGGCAGGGTTTATGACGAATCCCCGGCTTCGGAACCGTTTGAATGATCTCGTTACCGATTCCGTCTGTCTGAGTCAGTACGTAAGGTTCTCAGCATGGTTATTCCAAATTCCTCACCAAAATACTGATGGACTCCTCAAATATGCGAAGGACTTGTAAATCATGATGTAGGGTACGGTCGAGCAAAAGCGTGACTGAGTGTAATACTATTAGCGCAGCAAGATCACCAGCCGTCTCGAACCGGCGGGCTAGATCTCCATTAAGTTCATTGTATATGCTGTTGTGTAGGTTCGCTTGCTCATATAGCTTGCCTTCGGATGTTGTAGCCTCTTGGTTGGGGAAGAAGGTCACGACGGTTCTCTGATCTAAGATCCAGAGCCAGAGCTGGTCCACCATGAGGACCTTGCCATCCTCGAACATATCTGGAATCTCCGCTTTATCGTGGGCTGGCATCGAGTCGCCCAGTTCCTCCCTTGGATTGATCGTTTTCCTGGTCCGCTTCCAGAGCATCTGGTCATCATCTCTGGCTGTGGTAGACCGCAGATTCGGATATCCGAATTGATCCAAAGTCCTTCGTAGATGGATAGGCGGCTCGTTCCCCAGGAATTTCCATATCACCTTCGCTTCTAGGTGTGATTTTGAGATTTTCTCTGGCACCGGCCTTGATCTTCTTTGCTGCAGTCTATCCTCGATTACTTTACGACGTTGGATTAGGTTCCAGTATGTGTCCCAATGCAGCTGGCATAAATTTTAGCAAAGCGTGATACATGTGTTCGGCAAGTCTCACATATGGCATCTTATAAAGAGAATGATTGATTAGCACTTGCTCCATTCATTGTATTTCCTTGTACTCACATAGAGAGCGAATTTAGGATCCTTTGTTCCTTCTGGAAGGCTTGTGGATGAGGCACCACTCGACCTTGAGTGAATACACATAGGCCGTACATAGCGAGCGTGAGGCTCCAAGTGGCGAGCCCTGATGAGCTTTGAGTACCAATTCTCGGAGTTTATGAATTTGCTGAGACTGAAGGTTCACGAGACAACCTGGTTAGCTCATATACGAAGGATAAATTGAGTCAAAAGAACTATAAGCTGGCATACAAATCGGGAATATTGCGGTCCGCACACGCTTTAGCTAGGATCGGAGAGACCCATCCGGTGTGTGTATACGGTATATGGATCCAGAGAAGCTTTTCGCTGCCTGCCTCTGGTCGATCAAAACGAGGTGCTGCTCGAGGCTTGTCTGTTCCCATCTCATTCCGCTGACCCGATATTGATGATGGCACAGGAAGGAGCCCTTTAAAATATCTTGATGTTGCATTGCTATCATACTGTCAGTAGACTTTCATATGATACAGATCGGGACACGAACAGAGGCACGGTTTGGCTCAGCTTCAGGCTGAGATGATCGTTTGAAACCTCATCATTATCATGTGCTCCGTCTTCCTCTTGAGGAGAAGATTCATCATCTGTAATTGAGCTACTATCTAGTTCATAACTGGGATCCTCGCTATCCCTTGAAAAATAGCTGTCGGTGGTTGGCTCGCTGATATGGATTCTTGGAGAACTCTGGGGCATAAAGCTGCGACTCTTTTTGATGGAGGGCCTTGGTCGAATTTTCTCTGTCTGCTCATCGATGGCATCCAATGGTTCATCGTGCTCAGAATCTCCATGAAAAGAGGACCGCCTGCTCTCGAAGCTACTCACCGAAGATCCATCAAGTGAGCCGGGTGGTATCTTGCCTGTTTTGCTGAGTCTGTCCTTCAGACACAGAGACGGACCTTTTGATAGATAGTCTGAGAGAGCCACTTTCGTGGACCAAAGTTTCAATGGCGTCTCATCGCTCACTCCAAGTGCCGTGTCTTCGAAGAATCCGTTGACCTGTATCATGACTTCCTTTTCAACATACAGCGAGGAATCCGTCAATCCAGCTAACCGAACTGCCATTGCGACAGAAGATTGAAGTTCTTTAACGAAGCTTGCTCTTGTAGTCTTCTCTTGACCCTTGAAGTACGCCGTCCCTACATGATCAGTGGCTAGAGGGATCTCCTTTTCATGTTCCAGACCTAGTAGGCCTGATCGAATAGATGTGATGGGCACATGAACCTCGACTGGACTGCTAGGATCTGAGCCAGCAACATTGACAGTAGAGTCTACTGTCTCCAGGAACGTCCAAACTTTCATATCCGCTGAGATGGCTCTGAATTGGCTAGTGAGTTGCACAAGTCGGTGGTGTCGAGGTTTAAAACTTTCCCTCATATGATTGGGGACACGAAACTGCAGTCGCATCAAACGGCAGACGCTTTGAGTGTACTCAGGGGCAGATAGATATGTCGACCCATGATGGGGAGTTGCGATAAATGCGATTCCGTAACAGCTTGAGAAGATCGACTCGATATTTGATTTCGATTGACTGGCAATGACCAAGGCTGCCTTAGCAACCAGTCCACCAGTACTATGGGTGACGAAGAAAATGGGCCGTCGACCGTGCTGTGCATAGATCAGTATGCGACTTGCTGTTTCCCAGGCATACTGTGACCTACGTCGCGCAGTCGTTCTTCATGGAGCCGATTTAGCAGACGATGAGCCAGAGAATCGAGATCGTCGTGCGCACTTGGCTTTCCATGATCGTAAAGCAACACCCGTGCGTTTGGTATCCGTTTCAAGACCTCTGATATCAGCCATGGTCTGTCGGTATCCTCCCCCGCCCATGATTTCCGTAGGTTTGCCCCAACAGCAGGAACAGCGACAATGCTGGGAATCATCAGTATCCGACGGCTCAAAAGCTAGAGAAGAGAAGCGCGTTGTACTTACTCGACCACTGAACTGGAGAGCGAATTCACAATCTCGAATCGGCCACGCAACTCTGCTTGAGGCGTTTCTTGTGCCATAGCTCAAAAATCCTCAATTTGTTCCCGTATCTTGAGACAGATTCCACATAGAAGCAGTTTCATTGCAAATTCGCCTTGAAATGTAGTCATGTAAGTAGGCTATAGAGATAGCAATCATCATCTGACTGACGAGGAAGAAAGGCCATGGCAGGTGACAATCCACTTGCTCGCAGCCTTGTCCCATTCAGCCCTGTCGACAGGGTTTATATGTCCATGAAAAGCGCCAGTGTGCTGATCTCGCGACCGACTTCATCTTCATAAGGCTGCGTGATGTCTGACAAATGCCGCCCCGCATCTTAGTGTCCTTCATGGGATCAGATCACTGGGGGTGGCAGGACGCCTTCAGCCTGGGCGATCCTGGTCAGCTCCTAGATAGATAAAGGTCATTTCTTCTAGAATAACCAAGTGAACCCATCAGGGTTCTGCTAGAATAGTAAGTGCTTTGTGTTTCTCTCGTTTGACATTTGTTGGGTGTGGGTAAGAGAGTGTGTCGTTGTTGTTGTTGAGTATCTGCAGAGGATGGAGAGACCTGTTGCTCCCCCGTGACCTTGGCTTATATTGCTTTCTTAAAAAAGTCTCCATCATTGTGTTATCCTACATAAATCTGACAAAAGTAGTACATATAAATGCAGGGCCATGTACCCTTATGCATAGTGTTGGAAGAATATACTGTAGTGAAGAGATAAGATTGGTCTCACAATATGGCCCAATAAAACGAGCAGTCCCCAGCCAGCCTTATGGAAAATTATGTACATGGTATGGAATGTGCAGTGCTTTTGCGCACAAAAGACAAGTAGCTTCCTGTCTTCGATGACGCTGAATCAAGAGTAGAAAGCTGGATATTCTAAAACGCGACATGCATCAGTGCGGTATCATCAGACATGAATCGAAGAAAAAAGATAGAAATGCTCGCTTGGTGATAGTTATACAATGATGCTGAAGAATGAGTAGGAGAGATTTATGCAGAGCGATATCGGGTGAAAATGTTCGAAGTTGGTGGTTGGGGATTCCGAAATTGTTGAAATCACTCAGGAGGATGGCTTCATTTCATCGTGGCATGGTTGCCAAATAATCGAAGCTGGTCTATGATGCAAGCAGCCATCCGACATGTGCCTAGATCGAGTCAGAATGGCCTTGCTCGTCCGCCAAATGACGTCTCTCATTGACGCCTCGTGCCATCTTCTTCCCAAGCTCGTACGTCGAGATCATGATAGCACAAGCAGGCGCAACCTTCAAGCATCGGGCTACCCAACCACGGAAAAGACCCGCCATACCCTCTTCATGGAATATGTGCATGAGGAACTTGGGCAGAGATAGTTGCTCTGGTCGAAGAGCCTCACGAGCTGCGTTACCTCGAATGCTGCTCGACCCGTCATCTCCCATATATTGAAACACTTGCTGGCGCGTTTTGCCGACATCGAAAGGAGTAGTGACAAAAGCAGCCAGAGAGCCTGAGACTGCACCTGCGAGGAAGGTTTCGAAGAATGTAGGGTTATCTAGGTCGTGTTGGGGAGATGCAGATGACGAGCTATGAGGCAAGATATGATGGGCTTGGGCTGCCTTGCGCAGATCAATGAGATATCGCTTGCCTTCCTCATATCCCCACCAATACAATCCGGAGAAGGGGACATCGCGCCACATTGTCAAGGTCAGCCCTCGCCAGAGCGACCTGTAACCCTGTGCCTTAGTCATCTGATGCAAGTCCTCCAATGTCGCCCTAAAATGTCCAGCACCGGTGCCAGGGGTCGCCTGCAAACGCGTCCGGAACATTTCGATCGGGCTGATAGCGGATGCAGCTGCAGTTCTTGCCACAGAACCTGCGACTAATGGAGCGTACGCGGCAGGTACATATCGCTGAATAGGGCTTTTCTCATCAGCCCGTAACCAATCGTATCCAGCAAAATAGATGATATTGGCTGGGATGCTCATCATCAAAGTCGGACTAAGCCCACGCCAGAGCGCCGACGTCCCCTCATTCCGGGCAATCTTGCGTAGGCCATCTAGAGTCGAGGTGAAGGTCCTACGCTGTGTTTCCTCCACGGCACAGTCCGCGACAGCTGGAGCAGCGCCTCCCAAGGTCCCCGCGCCTGGACCTACCATACACACTTGCGCATCTTGACCAAGCCAGAAAACCTCGCGACAACAGGCAGTCACTCCCAAATTTGGTGGCATGTTTTTTAATGTTTGAATTGTGTGAGAAGTAAAGGGCGACGCGTTGTTGACGGAGGATTGTGATTGAAGACGGATGCGGACAACGTCAAGAGGGGTTACTGTACAAACGAAATATCAGCACTTTGTTGGTCGCAAGCCATCGAGATCCCGCAAGAGTCCTGTAGAATCTCCGAAGGATCCGTCGCTGGGATACGAACTCACCTAGGAGAGCCGTCAAGATGCTGCCGCCTGTCGCCGAAATCATGCGCTGCGTAATGGATATATCCTCATCTTTGTGCTCAGCGACCGGAGCAGGCACCGACCCTGTTCCGGAAGTAGCTGCCATTGTAGTTTCTTCAACAGACCATGGCCATGACTCTGCCGGGCTGTGTGCTAATTCCGCGGGATTCGGTTCGTGAAAGTGACACTGATCCCCCGACGCAGGTTGAATCTCGAAGTCGGACATTCATTCGAAGAGAGCGGACTGGCGAGTAAGAAGCGGGGATTAAATCTCTTCTTAAAGCGATAATCCGTCTCGAGAAAACCTGTTGGTCGCGGAGGGAAGAAGAAGAAGATGTGAAGCAATGCGTCAGAGAGAAAAAGAGATCTCGGCAGCTGGCGGTGGCGCTACGGTCCAAATCAAGTTTGGCCCCGGAGATAAGCATCAATTTAATGAGGGATGCCTCTTTGGGTCCCCGCGATCTCTCTGACTCTTTGATTTTCTGGACTTCATCGATCGATCAATGCTCAATTGTACAGTTCGCATGGCTTAGTTTCTCGCGTATATATATTGGTGCTACTCACCTCTGGAATAAAGGGACTTTTTTCACTTATCTGTACAGTCTTCGTTCTTTGGAATTCTTCATGTTCGTTCAAGACCTGAAGCCAAGCCTACTCTAAGCTATCAGCTGCGCTTATCAATCAAAGCATTCTGCCGCCCGGGGTTCTGCACAACGACGACATTCAACGTCTGTGACTATGGAGGATAACGCCGAACTTGAATCATTTCGGCGGCAGTGGCGCGAGGAAGTTGCGCGCCGGACACATCCAAGCAGATCCAATGTTCCACAGCTGAAGTCATCGGTTTCTTCTGCAACCCGACCAGGATACCTACCGCCTACACGGCATGCGGCGTCAGAGCGGACAGTGGAGGAAGACGAGATTGACGAAGTAACCTCGACTGATCAGGGCGAAATTATCCATGGAGTGGAACAGTTAAGCTTGGGGAAAATCGATGAGGATGCTTTTCATTCTCAGGCGCCGCGAAGAGAGCCTAGATCTGCCTTGGAACACTTTGAACGAGCGGTGGAGAAAGAGGCCGAGGGTAGTTTGGGAGATAGCTTGCAGCACTATCGCAAGGCGTATCGGGTAAGCCTCCTGGCGTCGCTATGTTGTTGCATACTAAGGGATAGTTCTGACTTGTTGATTTGATTTGTCTTTTAGCTAGATTCCACTGTCGACAAGACATACCGTAACAAGCATTTCGCCGCTGCTTGGAAGAAACCGGCACATGCTGCTCCGAGTGCATCAGCTACAGTGTCGACATTAACAACTGCGCCGGTGGCCACCCAAAGTCAAGACGAACCCGTGATACTACCGACTCCCGAGCTCATCGCGTCTTTTGCCCATCTTCCCATCCCGCAGGCTGAACCCGAGGTAGAGAATACTCCCCCGCCGCCATGTCCAATCGCCAATATTCCGTCCGAGGTGCTGGTCGAAATACTTCGGCATGTCGCGTTGATGGACCCTGCTTCGTTTTGCCATGTATCGCTGGTTTGCAAACGTCTGGCCTATCATTTCACGCATGAGCAACAAATCTGGAGGCGACTTTGTCAGGGTGCGGAATTCGGCTTCAAGTCCATGCACTACTCGTTTGCCTGCGATATCCACGGCAACCCGGAATATACTCTGGGACAGCGCTATACGCCCTTCCCGTTTTCTGTTCCCGTAGAGATCCCGACGCCGCTGTCTTCATGGAGTCAAGTCTTTCAGACGTTCCCGCGGATTCGTTTCACTGGCGTCTACATAAGCACGGTGAACTACACTCGTCCTGGTGCTGCTTCTGCATATCAGAACATATCATGGAACAGTCCCATCCATATCGTCACCTACTATCGATACTTAAGGTTCTACCAGGACGGATCAGTCATTTCAATTCTGACCACGGTGGAGCCGCTGAACGTGGTTCCCCATATTAGTAAAGAGAATGTGATGGCAGCACGAGCTACAATGTCACACCGGCACCATAAACGCCAGACCTCCGATCCGGGCGTTACATTAGCTGGGGCTTCAGATCCAATACCTCCACTCGCCATGTCAGCCCTGAAAGAGGCTCGACGAGGACGTTGGCATTTGACCAAACCACTGACCGCTTCGGCATCATCCGAAGAGGAAAGTCACCAACAGCCAGTTCCTGATTATCCTTCCTTACCAGGCAAGACCGCAGCGGCTCCTGCGCCGGATCCCAGGGATGTGGTTGTTGAAACCGAAGGTGTGGGCTCCAAATACGCTTACACGCTGCATCTGTCCCTCCGGTCATCCTCCGCAGGCTCTAAACCAGCTGGCCCCCACATCACGCCTCCTAATCCATCGAAGAATACGAAGTTAGTGTGGAAGGGCTTCTGGAGCTACAACAAGCTGACGGACGACTGGGCTGAGTTCGGCCTCCGAAACGATCGGGCGTTCGTATTCCGACGGGTTCGCGGTTGGGGTATGAGCTGATAGAGATGGACTTTTGGTTATCTCATAGATGCATATTGCATAGAGGGTAGAGAATTTAAAGAAGAATATGTGGAGTTCTGGTTTTGGGTATAATGATTGGAGTATTGATGTTGGATATCGGATTTCATGTTGCCCAATAGATAGATAGTGAATCGCAGTCTTTTCTTGACTCATAGGCCAAACAATCTGATGTCTTTTAATATAAAATATTTCAAGTGGAAGATCCTGAGCTGATAGCCATGGTTGTTGATTGCACCAAAGGCCCATAGAAATCAGATAAACGCCAAGCAGCTTATCGATAAGCCTCACCCGCAAAAAAAAATTCGGGGACTCCGTCGATCGACCGCAAGCCCGCAGATTGATTGATTGTTCCTAATTCATAGTCGCTCATCGAATTGTCCAGTTTTTCTCATAGCTACGTGCTTACATTGAGCCTTTACAGCTGATTCTCACAATGCCCGAAAGGGTACGTACCGTGTTCGAGGACGAGGACGACGTCCCTGTCACTGCACCAAAGGTCCTGGAGACCAAACAGAGCCACGAGCCAAGTGCAGGAAAACGAAAGGACCAGAGCAAAGATCACGAGAAGAAGAAAAATAAGAAGCGGAAACATGAGGAATCCACGAAAGCCCCGTCCCAACCCGCCGTGTCAATAATCGAAGTGCCAGAAGCACCGACCCCCCACACCATCGACGAGAAGGATGCGCCCCCAAGCACCGCGAACGGCTCAACTCACAACGACCGCAGCAACAAAAAGCCCAAACCGAAGACTAAAGCATTCCAAGACACGAGACAGAACTTCGCCCCTCTCCGAGAAAAAGCCAAGGCGCTGTATGAGATTCGCAAGGGCCTGCCTATTTTCCCGCACGGCGACGAGATCCGACAGAACCTGCGCAAAAACGACGTGATGCTTCTGGTTGGTGAAACGGGTAGCGGAAAGAGTACGCAGATCCCGCAGTTCCTGGTGGACGAGAAGTGGTGCCGGCCGACCAAGGCGACGGTCACACAGGAGGACGGCTCGCGCAAGGAGATTACGGTTGGCGGGTGCATTGCGATCACGCAGCCCAGACGAGTGGCTGCTATTTCGCTGGCGAGACGTGTGGCGGAGGAAATGGGGACGCCGCTGGGATCGTCGTCGCCGGCGAGTAAGGTTGGCTACTCGGTGCGGTTCGATACGTCTACGTCTCCGAGTACGCGGATCAAGTTTCTGACAGAGGGAATGCTCCTCCAGGAGATGTTGCATGACCCGTGGTTGACCAAGTACAGCGCGATAGTTGTTGATGAAGTGCACGAGCGTGGTGTCAATGTTGATTTGGTGTTGGGTTTCTTGAGGAATTTGGTTTCGGGAAAACGAGAGGGGCGTGGTGGTGTGCCGTTGAAAGTTGTGGTCATGAGTGCTACGGCTGATATGGAGAGTTTGATGGATTTCTTCCAGGAGGGTCTGCAGACCAGGAAGGCCACCAAGCCGAGCGAGGATAAATCTACGACCAGCAGCGCAAGCCAGCAGGATTCGGCTCCCGTAACAGATGATAAGATCTCTGTTTGTCATATCAAGGGTCGCCAGTTCCCAGTCAAGACCATCTACGCTCCTGCTCCTGTGCATGATTTCGTGGATGCGGCTCTGAAGGTGATCTTTCAGATTCACTACAAAGAGCCTATGCCGGGTGACATTCTGGTTTTCCTTACTGGCCAGGAGACAGTTGAAGCGCTGGAGCAGCTAGTCAACGAATACGCCACTGGCATGGACCCTGCACTGCCAAAGATCCAAGTGCTTCCTCTTTTTGCAGCTCTGCCACAAGTCGCGCAGCAGCGAGTCTTCCTCCCCGCGCCTCCACGCACCCGCAAGATCATTCTGGCGACCAACATTGCCGAAACCTCCGTGACAGTCTCCGGAGTGCGGTTCGTTGTGGATTGTGGGAAAGCCAAGGTCAAGCAGTTCCGTACCCGTCTCGGACTGGACTCCCTGCTTGTCAAGCCAATTTCGAAGTCCGCCGCCATCCAGCGTAAGGGTCGTGCAGGCAGAGAAGCTCCGGGTCAGTGTTACAGACTGTATACGGAAAAGGACTATCTCGCTCTGGATGAGACTAACACACCAGAGATTCTACGATGCGATCTCAGTCAAGCACTGCTTAACATGAAAGCTCGCGGAGTCGACAATGTCATGGGCTTCCCGTTCCTGACACGGCCCCCACGCGACTCGCTAGAGAAAGCTCTCCTCCAACTGCTGAGCATCGACGCCCTCGAAGAGTCCGGCAGCATCAGCTCCGTCGGACGCCATATCGCCAAGCTCCCTCTTACACCCACACTCGGACGCGTCCTCCTGGCGGCTTCGGAGCACGGCGAGGGGTGTCTACTAGATGTGATTGACATCATCTCGTGCCTGAGCGTGGAGAACATCTTCCTCAATACACTGTCAGAAGAAAAGAAGGAAGAGGCGGAAAAGGCGCGCCGCGACCTCTACCGGCGAGAAGGTGATCATCTCACCATGCTCGCCACCGTGCAAGCATACGCCGCCGAGAATAGCGACCGAAAGGCATGGGCGGAGAGACACCTGGTGTCTCATCGCGCCATGCAGTCAGTAATGGTATGTTACTACCCGACGTTCCCGCTCGATTTGATTCCCGGTATTCCGGCACCGCGTCGAAGCACTGGCTAACTCTCTTCCCCAGGACGTCCGCAAACAACTCACCATGCAATGCCGACAAGCCAAGCTTCTTCCCAGCGCCAGCGACTCTCGCAACGGCCCAACCAACTCCATCATCCGCGAACCGTCGCCCGTGCTCATCCTCAAGAGCTTTCTGCGCGGTTTCTCCACTAACACCGCCCGGCTTGTCCCGGATGGCAGCTATCGGACAGTTGTCGGGAATCAGACGGTGGCGATCCACCCATCGAGTGTCCTGTTTGGCAAGAAAGTGGAGGCGATCATGTACAACGAGTTTGTGTTTACGAACCGCAGTTATGCGCGCGGGGTGAGCGCGGTGCAGATGGATTGGGTTGGGGAGGCGTTGACGGGGGCATGATGCTGTTGTTGATTATCGTCTTTAATTAAAGATGCGAGCCTAGATTTGATGATAGATCGATTTAGATAGATTATATATACCCATGACCGCGATCAAATTTGATATATATCCCATTGAACATATGATCTACACCGCCTCTTGATCCGTGGAACATCCGTTCTAACTATCCTCTGCGAAGATGATCTAAGCTGATGAGAGAGCTGAAGGATCCAGGATGACCTGTCAGGACGATCAGCCAACAAGTAACTTGTTTGGAGGGTTCAACCTTTGCCTCACTTTATCTTTACGCGGAGTTCAGAACATTTGTGCTGTTGGCGCTTGAGTGTTGGAACTTGGAACTTGGAACAGTCTAATGCAGTCAAGAGTGAAACACTAGTGGAAATGTAATAGAGAGAGAGAGAGAGAGAGAGAGAGAGAGAGAGGGAGGAAGGATGGAAGATCTACGGGGTGTTGTCTATGGGGAGATCTGTAATTAGCAGCAGGCCTTATGACTTTGGGGTGGTGAGGACTGGACCTTATCTCTCTCTTACGGTACCGGGGATTCTGTCGTGATATGGTCTCATGAGCTGAGACTGGAGGAAAGGAAAAAAGATGAGAATTATTGTTTAGTCGACCTAAATAATATGGATTATGTGGTTGATTGAATGATGCGTGCAGATACCTACTGTGGGCAAGGATAATAATAATAATACCATGTATGAGTGTAGGTAGGTACCATGTAGGTACCTATCTACCTAGTTCGTAGGGCAGCACCTGGGAGAGAGTGTTTCAAGACAACAGACAATCTGCAGAGGAATCATGCCTTTTTACTAGTATCTAGTCTATCTATCTACTACTAACGGAGGTACTTTAGGAATTGGCAGGAAAAAACAAACAAGAATTCAACACGCTGGACTACTAAGGCTGGTCTTGTGACTTCTCTTTGCCTTTCTTCTACTACTCCGTAGATACATACATACCTCTCTCTCTCTCTCTCTCTATTATTGCATCATTTCCAACTTCAACCCAAAAAGGCACACCGGGTAGGAACCTAAGTGCACCGTCTTACTTATATTGTAGATATTGTCTCTATTATTCTCATTTCCCCCCCCCCCCCCCTCAGTCAGCCTGACCTGAGGGTGGTGTGCTCTGCTCGCGTCAGAATCACCGCATCCACCTTGTTAGGTAGGATTCATCATCGATCCATCACTGCGCTATCTATCTGTCTATCTATCAAATCTATCGATCCATTATTCTCCTTTCCTTCTCCTATTTGCTTTTATCCTCCCTCTCATTATATATTCCACACTTATTTCTCCTTTTATTCCTACTCTTCCTCTCTCTCCGACTCATACATACAGTCTACCGTCCTTATCGACCCATTTCACGCGGGGAAGATCGCCCTTCCCTTATCTATCTATCTACAACCACAAATAACTCATGGCGCTTCGGGTACCACCCCAAGTCTCTCGCCGTCGCAATTCCTATTCTACAACCCAACCCTTTCCTGAACTGGAAATCCCCTCTCCTGTCTCTCAACTCCCCGAACCCGACTCAACGCAATGGGTGCTCTTCTCCCCAACCCAGCCCTCCGTCGCCCGCACCCAAACGACTTCCACTGAACGCACCCCTCGGACAGCTGGGGCCTCTCGCTTGAGCGATTTCGGCTCCTTTGGTACCGCAACTCGTTCCACGCTTGGCCTTGAGGTGGGTGACGACGACGATGGGGATCTTGAGGAAGCTCTGGACGAAGATGGCACCGAGCTAGACAGCTTGGATGACGGTCTACATGCCTTTCGCGCCCCATCTGTGGCTCAGGAGTCCGCCTCGAGACTCAACCAGTCCACTCCAGCGGTGCTACCCGCTCATGATGGGCTTGGGAGCTTTCATGCGTCCAGCCAGGTGGTGCAGGAACAGTTATGGCAGCATGAGCATTTCAATCCGCGTCGGCGGGCTGACGTGCGGCCGAGGCGTCGTTCGAGTGTGCAGCGTCAGCTGGACGCGGTTGATGATCGGGGCCAAGTTGATGTAGAGCGTGAGCGTTGGCAGCGGATCGAGAAATGGAGGATGGACCAGAGCCGAGCGCTCTTGCAGGAAATTGAAAGAGAAACACGGCGTCGGCGACGCCGTAACAGCCGCGTGAGTGTGCAGAGCACTCGAGCTGCGGACCCAATTGTCTCAGATACGCCCGACGGTATTCTGGAGACGCCCAGCGAGGTTCCGTCCGTTAACCAACCAGTTTCCGAGGACGACGATTCGCTGTGGCGCCGCATCACCCGCACGGTGATTCGGGATCTAATTGGCATTGATGATTCTTTGCTCTCGGTCATCTTTGGCGAGTCGTTGCCATGTACAGATGAGGATGGAGAGATGAAAAAATCTGCAGGAACGGATAGTGCTTTGAACATGGATGAGACGATCAGGCAGGAGCTGGACTCTGTGCCGGACGAGCAAGGTCTCTGGCAGACCAAGCTACTTCAACGGATCGCACATGAATTGGGCATCCTGGTTCACCAGCTCTATGAACATCCCGGCGCTTTCACAACCTACCTCAACCTGACGAATGAGATTCCGAATGAGTATGCAGGCATGCCTCTCGGTCGCCTACCAGAGGAGCATGACACCGAGTCGCTGGCCGCACCGGTAGAACCTGCTCATTCGACAGACATCCAGAGCAGTCAAGATTCAATGCTATCACCGCAGTTTGTCCCCACCCTCCGAGACCCTACTGGCGAGGAACATGCGGCCCATTGGGGAATCGAGGAAGAAGAGCAGGAGCAAACCCGCGAGCCGGCCTCCGACTCTGCCCGTCTCCAGCAGGAGAAGGACTACTGGGAACGCGAAGTCGACGTGATGATGGTCTTCCGCTACCTTCGCAATCGCTTCGGCCGTCGAGGCAGTAACGCGGATAGCACCCATGCATCCCCCCGCCGCCATCCCCAAGACGCGGCTCGACGCGCGGCAATCATCCGCCAGCATCACCCCCTCGTTGCCCGCGCGCACTCGCGCACCCAAGCCCAGATCCGACGCCAATCGCATCACTCCGCAGGTGTCTCTGCACCCACGGGAATCTCATCACCACTGCTCCGCCAACACCTCCGTCACCCCAGCTCCAGCTGCGCAAGCCAAACAAAACTATCCGCTCTCTCCAGCCGGCGGACACTGACCGGCTCTAGCCGGAATTACTGGGATATCGGCGGAAGTGTCGACAGCGGCAGCGCAATCGCACCTGTAGCAGCTGGCGTCGGCACCTGGGGCGAAGTGTAGAGCACCTGGACGTGAACCATACCACACGGCCACGTTACCATCTTCGTCCATCTACACAGCTCTCCAGCAGTTGTTTCTGGTTGACCACATATACACATATCATATATCCTGTCTACATCTATATTCATCATACTTGTCTTTCTAGGGCTGGTGTTGGTGTTCTCGGATCTGCTTCTATCGTGATGAACTCATTTGGTTGTTTTGTGGCGCAGGGACATGTGAGAATACATATCATAGCATGAACATACATGGCATATAAATGGTGCATTGTAGACGGGGGTCTAGTCAAGCGCGAGCCGGTTGTGGGGTGAGTGGCGTGGAGTTTACATAGCACGAGGGCCTATTGCTACTTACTTCATTTTAATACCGTATCGTGTTCCTTGGTTGCTTGAGACTCTTGGTGATTGTTTTGATGGAGTACCAGTCAGAATATGGAGACAACTAGGCTACATGTCTGAAATCGTGATCGTTACTGCTACAATCACATACGGGATAGTATCGAGAATGAGGATGAGAACAAGCCGAGGAAAAGTCCATGATTAATCAACTCCGGCGAGCGCGCGAGCACCACTAAATGACATCAAATCCTTTATCATAAAGGAACGAGGGGGGGTAACATGAAAAACGGGAATTTGTGAGATTCTTTTTTGTCTTTTCTCTCTAACGCTATTCATTCCACATCTAAGCCTGAGACAGGTTCTCGTAGGCCTCGGGGAAGCGCTTCATGTTCTCCTCGATCAGACCGTGGCCACGCAGGAACTGGACGTAGGCACCATCCTGCTTGAGCTTGCCCTCCTGGCGGAGCTGGACGTAGTCCTCGCGGCGGACGGGGGTGAAACCCCAGTTCTTGGAGACGATGATCTTTTGGCGGCCGGGGAACTTGTACATGGCGCGGCGCAGAGCCTCGATGGCGAAAGCGCGGTTGGCGTCACGGGTGCGGACGGACAGGATGATCTGGCCGATGTTCACACGGGCAACGGTACCCTGGGGCTTACCGAAGGCACCACGCATACCGGTCTGGAGACGATCGGCTCCGGCACACGACAACATCTTGTTGATACGGATGACGTGGAAGGGGTGCACACGGACACGCATGTGGAAACCTTCCTTACCGGAGGTCTTGACGAGGTACCTGTACAGAATCAACGGTTAGTTGGAACGGTTTTGTTTTTCTTTCTCTTCTCCTCCTTGATTCATATCACGGTCGCGTTCTGCCGTCGCCGGTCGGCTTTGATGGAGTGGGGAGTGGTGGGACGTACTTGTTGGCACAGATACGGGCGGCTTCGAGAGCCTCGGAGGACAGCTGCTCGTACTCGTTGGAGACCATGTGCACACACAGGGGGAAGTCGTCGACATTGGCCTTCTTACGTCCCAGATCGAAGATACGGATCTTGGGGTCGGGAACACCACGGTTGAACCGGGACTTAGGGTAGGGCTGTCATCAACGCATTTTTGTCAGCCATCACTCGTTTCCCCGTCGTGCTGAAAAACGACCAATATATTGATCCCATCATCCATAAATCGAAACAAAAAAAAAAAAAGGGCGACAGCATCATAATCCTCCTCTTTCTCATCCTGCCTGAGACCAGGTGTTGGCGGTTGGCGCTTCTCCTCCCCCACAAGCGAGATCCCCGATCGCAAAAAATCCACAGAACACGAAATCAAAACCCTGTAGAAAAAGAGAACAAAATGCCCCCTTTCAGGCGATCGCACGCACCTTGTTCTTGCAGTAGCGGTAACATCTCGCGGGACGACGGGCCATTTTGACTGCTGGAAACGGAGGCTGGCGGCACTTCCTGCGAACGTTGGGGTGTGGTTGTCGAAGAGGGTGGTGTCGAGGTTCAAAAGGGAAGGGGGAATCTTCGCCTGCGGACACTTTCCAGCGTTGATTTCCAAGCAACTTCCCGCTAACGAGTGGCAAAGCCCTAAGCCCTACTCTCTCCGCCAATCAGAGTGCGCGTTCGCCATGACGCATTTGTCAGATGGGCGTCCGCCTCTTGATCGTTGGCTCTTGCAGACTGTCGTTTTACTTCATCTACAATGCTCCAGAAGGCTTCAGATTGCTCAGGAAGTGTACAAGGTTGATTTGGTGATGATGATTACTTGATTTCCATCATAGTTAGTGAGTTAGAGTTACTGCCGAGGAGATTACGCAATTTGCGCAGGCGACAGGGCCAGTCTCAGTTAGGCGCTGCTGTTTTACACTACAACACAACACGTGACGAGCATGTCTGCTCCCATATAGGCGTAAACCTTGCTTTCCTTTTTTTCATTCCGTCATTATCTAAAAGCGCCTTGCGAGATATTCCCCGAAGACACCGGACAAATAGACATAACAAGAACTTTCTCAGGTGTTACACCTACTGGCTGCTGAGGATATCGGAGTCACCAGCATCCAGGATAGCCATGGTGCTGCAGCGGAAAAGCTTACCGCAGGCAGTACCGAGCTCAATCTGTAGTGTGAAAAGACCGGTCAGCCATTGTCATGTACCCTCCAAAGCCTGGATATATGGCTTCTTCTCAGGGCTGCTCCCGAGTCGCCTTCGCTCGTTCTCCGAGGTACCAGCGCCGGGGCAATTGAGCAAGAATCAATGCAAACACAGTGGACACTTACGTTGTTGCCGGAGAAGTGGTGGACGGGGGTCTTGGCAAGCATGGCATAGTACTCGAGCTCGCTCTTACGGAGAGGAGGAGCGTTGGCAGCAATGAGAACCAGCTTGGCCTTGCCGGAGCGGAGGGTCTTGATGGTGGACTTGTAGCCGAGGGTGACTGAAGAGCGAGAGTAGAATTAGCCATGATATTTCCTTCTCACTTGATTGCAATTCTCCACGTACCCTTTCCGGACTTCATGACCAGCGCCAGACGGCTGGCGAGGGTGTCACCGGTCTTCTTGCTCTTGGGGGCCATCGTTACGCTGTTTGTTCGGGGTCGAACGAAACTTTTTTTAGATTGATTGAAGGGGTGGTTGGAAAGTGCGCTCCGGCCGTAGTTGTCGAGGTTGGATAAGATCAAGAAGCAATTCGGAGGGTTGATTTTCTCGATTATTTTCTTGTGGGCTTGCCCTAGTGCCGGGGGCAGACTTCCTCCGTTCCGTCCCGCCTTTTGAATTGACTTGGTCACTGTTAGTTACTAAGTAGACTGGGAGTCTTGGTGCAGTCGTGCTGAGTCAACCCCGCCGTTGGTTTCGTTTCCGGTGATACGGTATTCCGAGTACGGATAGATTACCTGGCTACTCTCAATAGGGGTTTCTTATGGGGGTGGTCTGCTGATCCCCTTTGTCCCTTAATGATAGACTAGTTAATGCCTGCTATACGGAGTACAAAGCCATGATAATAATGAAAAGATTGTGGAGAGTGTGGCCTCAGAGCAGTGGTGAATGGGTGTAGATGTGGCGGCTTGACTGAGTTATTACTTCTTAGTCTTGTCTGATTTGAGTGGCAGGGGTCATCATCCCATATATCCATTGTATCCATATTCGGACGATCGATATCCTAGCTGATGGACGGCCACTGGGATATTTCGGACGCAACGACGCACGCGGCAAGGAACATTTTATGAAAGGATACTGGATATGCGCTGTGCTATCTTTATCTCCTGGGAGTTTCATTCGTACTACAAAGTTTACGAGGTTGTGAAGTTCGTGTTGTCTGCCAGATCAAAGGGGCCATTTCGAGTCGGATACTGCATTTAGCCCCGTCTTGACGCAGTTGTAGTTGGCTAGCAACGGCCAGCAGCAACGTACCGACCACTTGGCTACAGCAGAATGAGGTTAGCTGGATAGTTAAAACGTGCGTTGGTCTCATGTTGGTTAGGCGTTGTTGTTGGTAGTCAAGGGGAACCCGAGTTAGTCTACTTGGTCGTGAGCAGTGTCTTATTAAGAGTGATCGCTTGTATTATTGCCGTTTCCATACAAATAATTATCATCTTGTCCAGTCTACTTTTCCCTCGTCAACCCCCAGATTTTGTTCCATGATCATTTTATCTCAGGCGATATTGAATCCCTAACGTGGTGCTCACTTATCGCCTCATCGCCTGGTTTTATATCCTCCTTGATTCCCGTTATATGCAAATCTTCCGGGGGGTGGTGGCTAGTCGTTGCCAGCCATTCTGAGTTTCTCCCACCTAGGGTGTCCACCGTGTTTTGACCGCTACTACTATATACCCTCATCGCTTTAAATTGATCGCTAATTTCCCGGCTGTTTCATCCTCTGTTCTCCTGTTTCGACATTTCATCTTCCAACTGATCTCCTTCGTCGTCGTCTTGCGTCTGTCGTCCAGTCCATCTAGGGATTTGACCATTCGCATCGTCAGTGAACATGTCGGCAACCCCCCGCAAGTCTGGGACTCCAGGGAGTGCCCCCAAGTCGTCTACTTCGGACAGCAACACAGTGAACGGTACGGGGTCGCGAGTCCATTCGCGATCGCCTAGTGCTTCTACAAACGGTTTATCTCGGTCGCCTTCCCTCCGTGGCTCGACTCCTGTTTCCGCGCGCGCTGCGGCCAGGAAGCCAGGTCGCTCCAGCCTCAGCGTGTCCAATGTCCCCAAAGTGGCAAGTGATTCGTCTGAAGAGGAAGCGCGGGCTCAGAATGCAGCCCTGATCGAAGACCTGAAGCAACAGTTGCAGAAAGCCGAGTCTGCGTCTGAGCAGTATCGCAAGCAACTCGGTGTCTTGCAAATGCGACTCGATGAGGCGATCAGCGAGCAAGGCAAATTGGAGGACCAGGGCCATGAGAGGGACAGCAAGATTGAAGCCCTCAATGGGGAGATCAGGGATCATGTCCGTCAGATCCGGGATTTGGAACAAGCACATGAGATGGAGCGGAACGCCATGCTGCAGGAAAAGGAACAGCATGCAAGCCGCGAGGAAGAAATGCAGGCGACGATTCAGCGCCTGAAAGAATCTCTGGCCCAAAAGGAAATGCGTATCAACGCTGATAACGACAAGAATATCTCCCGTTCTTGTAAGACTGAAGTGCAAATTCCCCGCTTCGTTCGTTCTGTCACTGACACGTCACTCACAGCCAGTTTCCGAAATCGGTCCTCCCCCGACGTAGATGGGCAGTTCGCGCCTTCATCCCAGATTGAGCGAAGCCCGTCGCGAAACAATTCGAAGCTGCTCTTGCAGAAAGATAAGCTCATCGAATCCCTCCGTCTCGAATTGGCCGAATCGCAGATCAAACTGGTAGAGATGGAGAACATGGGGGGCGGCCGGCAACGTGAACTTGAAAAGGAGCTTCTGGAGGCCCGTATGGCCAATGCTCGCTTGATGGAAGACAACGAGAGCTACCAGCTACTGCTGAGCGAAAGAACGCTGAACGGAGACTTTACCAAGGGTGATTTCATGAGAGATGCCCACCCTGATTATGATGATGAGAAGGAACCCAGCAGCGGTTTGGGCTCGCTGGCTGACGAGCTCGAGTCCGTAGATGCGAAAGCGGAAACCGACCACACCCGCAAACTCGAAACGGAGATTAAGGTCCTCAAAGATGAAAAGAAGGCCTTGACTTTGTATATTGAGCGCATAATCAGCCGTCTTCTGCAGCACGAGGGCTTCGAGACCATTTTGGACAAGAACGAGACTGGACCTCAACCGAGCGCGAAGGGGGTCTCCTCGTTGATTGACAAGGACCTGCCCCCCACTCCTCCAGAAAAAGATGATGCATCCTCGCAGACGCTGCTTCAGAGAGCGAGATCAGTTGTCGGGGGCCCAAACCAGCGTGCTCAGCACAGATCTACCCCATCAACTTACAACATGCCCCCTCCAACAAGTATTCCGACCGCTCATGAGAACCCAGAAACAGCCCCGAGTATTCCTCTCAAGGGTGGTCCACCCGGCCGTGGTCATCGCAGAACAAGATCAGACCAAGCAGATGTTGGAGCGGCAGCCGTTGTCGGGCAGATTTACCGTGGACGCAACTCTGGAGGGCCCATCAGTCCAACCATGATGGGCCCCGGATCTCGCCAGAGTGTGTTTTCGGGCGCAAGCTACATGTCGAGCATGAGTACTCGTGCACCGTCTCTCTCTAGCCAGCCTGAGCGCGGCCGAATCAGCAGCTCGAATAGTATCACCAGCGACCCCCATGATACGGCCTCCACTGGTGCCACTTCGAACTCACCTCGATCCAGCACCGGCATGACGAACTATACCGGAGCAGTGATGACGCAGAATAAATTGCGTCCACTGCGACTCGTCAGTGAGACAAAGGCTGCCGAGGAAGAGGAAGCTGCTCGAAAGAAAGGTAACCGCGGAAGCTGGATTTCGTGGTTCAACCGCCCAAACACTGGGGATGCATCGCAGCCGCAACCGCAACCGCAACCGCAACCGCCTCAAAATTGAGTCCACCTCTCAATCTTGACTGCCGACAATCCCGTGCGACTCTATATGTTCTAAGCCCAACAATCTTCGCCCTCAGGCTGTTGCATATCCCCGCTTCTGTGCAATATTCTTCTTTTCACTGGTCGCTCGGAGAATGTGGCAGTCAGATGGTTTCGGGCTTGAACATCTTCTATGAGGAATATCCCGTCGTTCTTGATGACTGCTACGACACTGTGAAGCAGATATCAAAGTTGCTTCTCTGCTTTTACGCCGCTCCTTTCTATGATCCCAGGAGGGCTAATTTGGTTTGATTTTGCCTAGAATGGCTGCTTCAAGATTCTTGTTGTTCTTGGTTGTTTCTTGCGCACTCGTTCGAGACGATTCTGCCCGACCACTCATCCTGAGAATCTGCGATGAGCTTTTCGATCTGTTATGCTCCACTGTCCCTTCATGAACATATGATTGATATATCAAGTTTAACATAGAATGTTGATAATAATCTGCTGTATTGATAATTGGTTGTGCTGCCTAGGAAATGTCTCCTACATATGCAGTTTCTGGTTTTAAGCTCGCCTCAATTTTATATTACGCCAAAAATCCTGATGACAATTCGCTTCTCTCCTGATACTCCTTCTGAACTCTTTATAATTCGTTCTGCAATAGTGCTAGGTCGTAATTGTCGTCCCTTGGTGCTCTTTCATATAGTCCGGAATAACATTGGAGCGGAGTCCGGGTTGCGGACAGCTTGACAGTAACTCCGTAAATAGTAATTCATGTACCATCAAGACCAGGCGACTCTCCATCCGTTTCACGACCTAATTTCCTACAAAAATTGCCCAGCATGGTCGGCTCTCTGTCTTTATTCTCCGTCAATGCCGTCCTTCTCATGTCGGCTGACGATGGCTCTCGCATCTTCGCCAAGTACTACTCGCCGCCTCATCCTCCAGCTGGTGCTGCCCCCCATGCGATGGATTACCCTGGAGCCAATCCCTACCCCACACTGAAAGACCAGAAGGCTTTTGAGCAGGGTCTTCTTGAGAAGACCAACAAGCAGACCAGCGATGTTATTCTCTACGACAACCGGGTTGTTGTTTTCAAGCTGGAGAGCGACGTGATGATCTACGTGGTGGGCGGCGCCGAGGAAAATGAGGTCTTGCTTTATAATGTTGTTTTGTCCTTGAGGGACGCTCTGGGAATCTTGTTCAAGTATGTTTCTTGGGTCTTTCATAAGGATTGTTGTGGCTAACATTTCCGTGTCTCAGGGGTGCCACCGATAAACGCACAATCGTCGAGAACTACGACCTGGTTGCGCTCGCCATCGACGAAATCATCGACGACGGAATCATCCTCGAGACGGACCCTGTTATGGTTGCTTCGCGTGTCAGCCGTGCCCCTGCCCCAGATGCGCCCAACCTAAAGAGTATCGATCTGTCGGAGCAAGGCCTGCTCAATGCGTGGGAGCTGGGCAAGAGGCGCTTGGCCGAGGGTTTACGGCAGATGTAGATGCATCTTTTTCTTCCTCGTGTTTGTTATCATATAATGGGCGTGCAGTTACTTTCTTCTTCCTTGACTCTGTCTGGCTGGTCCCTGGCGTGGTTTCTGTGCGCTGTTTTAATTTGCATTATGACTTCTTCCCCCCCTTCTTTCTATTACCACCTCTGGACCTGAGGATTTGATAGAGATACTCCATTTTGTTGCATGGCTGAAGAATCCGAATATGATGGATCCCTCGATTGGATGATTACCCTTGTGGTGTTGAAAAGGATATATATCTGTAATACATGTAGATATCTGTGGACTTTGGGTTAGGCTTTTGCATGTGCCATTGGCGAGCTCGAATGTTCCCTATGAATTATCAATTGCTGAAGGGAATGAGTGCAGACACTGGAAGTTCTGAAGCGATCTGTTTACTTAGAAGTGCCCCGCATACGTCACGTCCCTCTGCCACTCATATTTCCTCAAAAGTTTTGATTATTAAAGCTTCACCAATTCTCACAAGAGCACCCAAATTCAGCCAGGAGCCCCTGGTCAATATCCTAGGAAAATGAAGCAACGTTTCTCGTCTCTAGATGTCAAGGTATGTCTGTCGCAGCCCCCGAATTGTCAATGGTGTGCGGTTTTCGCAAGAGCTCACACGATGACAGGTAATCTGCCAGGAACTCGCCTCGGAGCTTGTCAGCCTGCGGGTTTCAAACATCTATGATCTCTCATCGGTAAGATAGAATGGAGATACAATACTCGGCTGGACTCTACTTATCGCCCCGCTAGAGAATCTTCTTGTTCAAACTGGCCAAACCAGACCACCGCAAGCAACTCGTCGTCGACTCCGGTTTCCGCTGCCATGTCACCCAATACTCGCGAGCAACGGCAACCGCCCCCTCCCCCTTCGTGACGCGGATGCGCAAGTTCCTGAAATCCCGCCGGGTCACCTCAGTCGAGCAGATTGGCACCGACCGCGTGATCGACTTCTCCTTCAGCGATGGCCTGTACCACATGTTCCTCGAGTTCTTCGCGGGCGGTAACATAATCATCACCGATCGCGAGTACAACATACTCGCGCTGTTCCGGCAAGTCCCTGCCGGCGCGGGCGAGGAGGAGATGCGTGTCGGGCTTAAGTACACCGTGACGAATAAGCAGAATTACCACGGTGTGCCGGAAATCACGCTGGACCGCATCAAGGAGACGCTGGAGAAGGCCAGGGAGAGCGCTGCGCAGGAAGGAGCGGCGCCGAAGAAATCGAAGAAGAAGAATGTGGATGTTTTGCGGAAAGCCTTGTCGCAGGGCTTTCCTGAGTATCCGCCCCTCTTGCTCGATCATGCGTTTGCAGTTGAGGAATTTGATCCTGCGATGCCGTTGGAGACGGTTTTGGGTGATGACACCTTATTGGAGAAGGTCGAGGGCGTATTGAAGGAAGCCCAGGATGTGTCCAGGAGGCTTTCGACAAAGGAAAATCATCCGGGTTACATCGTTGCGAAAGAAGACACACGCCCGTCTGCAGGACCAACCGCTGAGAATCAGGAGGGAAAGAAATCTGGTCTTCTTTATCAGGATTTCCATCCGTTCAAGCCTCGCCAATTCGAGGGGAAGCCCGAGATCAAAATCCTAGAGTTTGGCAGCTTCAACGCTACAGTGGACGAGTACTTCTCTTCGCTTGAAACCCAGAAACTCGAATCGCGTCTCACGGAACGAGAAGAGGCGGCGAAGAGAAAACTTGACGCCGTGAGACAGGAGCATGAGAAACGGCTAGGCGCCCTCAAACAAGCCCAGGAACTGCATATCCGTAAAGCCGGCGCGATCGAGGACAATGTCTACCGGGTGCAGGAGGCAATGGATGCGGTCAACGGCTTGATCGCCCAAGGCATGGATTGGGTAGAAATTGCGCGATTGATTGAGATGGAGCAGGATCGAGGCAACCCAGTTGCCAGAATCATCAAATTGCCCCTGAAACTGTATGAGAACACCATCACTCTGGTCCTCGGCGAAGCCAGCGAGGAGCAGGATGAAGCCGACGAGCTATTCTCGGATGACGAATCCGAAGAGGATTCAGAGAGTGAGGAGCAGGAAGCGATCAAGAAAGCCCCCGAAATGTTGACGATCGATATCGATCTCGGACTCTCACCATGGGCGAATGCCACCCAATACTACGAGCAAAAGAAGATGGCTGCGGTGAAAGAACAGAAGACAGCCCAGTCGTCTACTAAAGCGCTCAAGAGCCACGAGAAGAAGGTGACTGAAGACCTTAAGCGAAGTCTGAAGCAAGAGAAACAGGTCCTGCGTCCTGCTAGAAAGCCCTTCTGGTTCGAAAAGTTCATCTTCTTCATTTCTTCCGAGGGCTACTTGGTTCTAGGGTATTTAGTATATCTCTTCTGTATGTTTGTTCAAGACCTGACTTCTACAGTGGCCGCGACGCTATGCAGAGCGAATTACTTTACCGCCGGCATCTCAAAAAGGGCGACATATTCGTGCACGCCGATTTGGAAGGTGCTCGACCCATGATTGTGAAAAACAGGCCAGGGACACCCGATGCACCCATACCCCCGAGTACACTATCACAGGCAGGAAACCTCAGTGTCGCCACATCCAGCGCCTGGGATTCAAAGGCTGTCATGGCCGCATGGTGGGTCAACGCCAATCAAGTCACCAAGACAACCACCGGTGGTCTTCTGCCAACCGGAGAATTCGAGACCAAAGGCGAAAAGAGCTTTTTGGCTCCATCGCAACTAGTTCTTGGCTTTGCAGTGATGTTCCAAATCAGCAAGGAGAGTCTGAAGAACCATAAGATCCAGCTCTTTGAAGATACACCTCGCCCCGAACCAGATGTACAGAAAGACGAAACTACGGGGAAGGATGGAACAAGCGAGCTGCCTGTGACGCAAGATCACGGTCCAGCAGAGCCAGCTGAGACAGCTGCAACTGATACGAATGACCGAGCTGAGGATCAAAGTTCTGGGTCGGATGACGACGAGGAGAATCCAGACTCGGCTCCCCAAAGAAATCCGTTACAACGCGGGGTTTCTGAGCCTGTTCCGGCACAGGATACTGCAGCAGATGAGGAGGGTGAATTTCGCAGTGAAGAAGCAGAGATCCCTGAAGAAGAAACGCCCGAGGAGAACGAGACAAATCCGGATATGAAAGAAGGAGATTTGGAAGAAAGTGTGACACCATCAGGAAATCAGGAAGAAAAACAACTCTCTGCCAGGGAGCGACGTCAAGCGAGGAAAGGGAAGTCGACAGAGCCATCTATTGCTGGCTCCGAAGAAACTACCAGATCACGAACAGACGGAACGCCGGCGAAACCAGCGGGCTCCCAAAAGCCAGCTCCAGCACCGGCTAAGGGAAAGAAAGGCAAAGGAAAGAAGGGTGTAGACAAGTATGCTCACCAGGATGAGGAAGAGCGCGAACTTGCCCTTCGCCTAGTAGGCGCCAAAAGCGCCAAAGTCGAAAAAGCAGCCGCGGCTGCGGCCGCCAAAGCAGAGCGCGAGCGAGAGGCCGAGGCGCAGAAGAAACGACGAAAGGCGCAACATGAGCGTGCTGCGGAAGCAGAACGCCGGCGACAAGCCCTCTTTGACGAGGGTGCGGGCGATGACTACGATGAGGAGACTGCAGCAGCAGAGGCCGCAGATTTGGCTTGGATCCCAGCCCTGATCGGCACGCCTCGCCCCGAAGATGAAATCCTTGCTGCTATTCCTATCTGTGCTCCCTGGGCTGCACTAGGACGGTATAAATACCGTGTCAAACTACAGCCAGGCGCTGTGAAGAAAGGCAAAGCTGTCAAGGAGATCCTGGGACGGTGGGTGGCGGAAACCACTACCGGAAAGGTCAAGAAGGAACAAGCTGAGGAAGCAGGCATCAGCATAGCCGGTGCTGAGAAGCTCCGCGCTCGGGAAGGCGAGCTCTTCAAGACATGGAAGGACACGGAGATCATCAACACAGTCCCCGTTGGCAAGGTCCGGATTATGAGTGGAGGAGCTGGTGGAGGTGGTGATGCAAAGGGCAAGGGGAAAGGTGGCAGCAGTGGGAACAAGGGAGGAAAAGGCGGCAAGAAAAAATAGGCATTTCGACATATGAAATGGGGGCTTGCTTATTGCCCTATAGCTATCTACCGGGCATCGACAGGATCTTCCGGATGTATATGTTATTCTTAGCATATGACAACCTATCTAGACCATATGACTGGTTGGGCATTCCCATCAGCCCATCTTTGGGATCTGAGGTGGCTTCTCTTAATCACTCGATAGATAGATGATCTCATCTCTCGTAGAATAATCTCGCATAGCAGTGCTCTGCTGTCTTCTTCTCTCCTGGCATAGAAAAAAACAGCGCGAACAGACCGCTTAGTCACGCGGATCGACGTCATGCTCCCAAAATTATTTCGCATGAGTCGAAAAAGATCCTCCACCACGACGTCAATTCGGATCCAACAGGCCCTGTCAGATGCGATTTTAGGCTTCGATCCGCCTTAAGGATGAGATGACACGAGAACACGCCCCTTGACGATATACTTCATCGCATAAATAAACAGGATACTGATATCTATCTACGGTACGTGGGACACGTCGACCCCACTACGATACTCCAAATTTCCTTTCTTGCCTGACTCACCCCCGCGATTGTGTGTCCTATAGGTGGTCTGCCTGTCGTGGAGTCTCATTCTGGGTTCCTTCTTGGCACTTTTTGTATTATTGATCATCCCGGCGACGTGGAAACAGATATCCCTCGCGACTTACATCGTTCAAGCTGGTGTTCATCACGTCTCGCCTTGTTTCCGGCAACTGTCGGCGCAGCTTGGCCCAGCTCTTCAGCACTACAACCGCAACCATGTCACCACGGGAGACGCGCATCTCGTCTGTCCGACGATTGAACAGAGAAGGCCCGGGAGACCGATCGCTCGCACAGTGGTGGGCTGACGAATGCAGCCGCAAGACTCCCGAAGCGTCAGCGATCGAAGAGGCGGCGCAGCTCCTCCAGACGAGTGATATCCCTGTTGCGTTTCCGACCGAGACGGTGTACGGGCTGGGTGCAGATGCCACACGGAGCGCTGCGGTACAGGGTATCTACAAGGCCAAGCAACGGCCGTCAGACAACCCGTTGATCGTCCATGTGGATTCGCTGGAGATGCTGGAGCGCTTGCTCAACCCTGCGCCGATGAGTCCTACGCGCGCAATGAAAACTGCGAGGCACTCGATCCCCGCCATCTACCGACCGTTGATCGAGCGCTTCTGGCCTGGTCCGTTGACGATCCTTCTGCCGAATCCGTCCGGATCGCTGCTCGCCGACGAAGTTACTGCGAATCTGACGACGTTTGGAGTCCGGGTGCCTGCGTCGCCGTTGGCGCGCTTGTTGATCCATGTTGCGGATAGGCCACTGGCTGCTCCTTCGGCTAATGCGTCTACGAAGCCTTCCCCGACTGCAGCGGAGCACGTCTACCACGACCTTCAAGGCCGAATCGAGCTGATACTTGATGGCGGATTATGCGGGGTGGGGGTGGAGAGCACTGTCGTCGATGGGCTGAGTAACCCTCCTGCCGTGCTCAGACCCGGGGGAGTAGGAATTGAAGAGATACGGGCGGTTCCTGGATGGGAGAATGTGCAGGTTGCGTACCAAGACGGCACGCTCGATGTCAAGGAAATCCCTCGAGCGCCCGGGATGAAGTATCGTCATTATTCACCCAAGGCGCGAGTGGTGTTATTCGATGCGGGCTCTCACGAGGAATATGTTGCGAAATACATCCTTAAGGATCTGGAAGATACAGCTGTTGGAGTGCACATGATCGGTGTTGTACGAACGCGGCAATGGAAGCGAGGCCTGGGTTTGGTCTCGGAAGAGAACATCCAGAAGACCCTGAAACCTATCCCGTCCCTGGCAAATGACCTGGTGGGCTTTTCAGTACCTGTGAAGGACAGAGTGAAGAACCGTGAGATCACCAAAGAGGCATTTGACTGCTGCCTCGGTGACAGCATGGAATCCATTGCCCGTGGGCTTTTCTCGGCCTTGCGGGCTATGGATGAGATGGAAGTGGATGTTATTTACGTTGAGGGTGTCTCGGATTCACAGGGCGACCTGGCTGCCGCCGTCATGAACCGGCTCAGAAAAGCTGCTGGGACTGAACTCACAGTATAATACCGAATATACGGGTTTCTGGTTTATTCGCGGGGAGCACGACTTGGGTCTGAATGGTGATATACAACGGGTCATGAATTTGTATGATTCATCAAGCTTTGGAGTCGAGGTGTACATATTTGGTAGTCATTTACATCGAACGCTCTTGATATATTTATCTAGATATCGAGACCATTAATCGTCTTTAATCAGTGAAGCGGTTCTCTTTCGGTGTAAACAAGACGAGCAGAACCATGGGATGGCTTGCTCCGACAAGTGTTTGCCATCGGCAACCTCCGACTCTCTCGCAATCGTGGAGTCGATCAATTGATCAACATTTTGTCAATCAATAAGAAAGTGATTACGATTATTCAAGACCGATTAAATCTGATTGCACATTGCTTCTGTCAACTCTCATTTTGCAAAACATCATCTTATCAGACGGCTCATGTGCTTCTGGAATCTAGAGACTCTCAATGCAGTCGATCGAAGATATCGGTAAAAGCCTAGTGGGACTTGGTCGGTTGTCTCATCGATCTCGGCCTGAAGACAGCATGATAAGCATTTCATGCATAAGGACTACTAGAAGCCGATCATTTCCATGATCCCATCCATCTTGCTGGAAGTCTGCGTGGGGCATATCTCAACTCCAGGCTCTCTTGTCTTCGGACATTCCACGTTTCAGCACAATGTGCCGATCACCCCTACATGACTTCATACATGGCCTCCCCAAGTGCGAACACCATGTCCATCTTGAAGGCTGCCTCACTCCCGAACTGCTCTTCCAGTTAGCAGAGAAAAACAAAATCGCACTGCCCGATCCTGCAACCCACCCAGCATATGAATCCGTGGACACCCTCAATGCCCGCTATGCCGAGTTCACGTCCCTAGACGACTTTCTAGACTTCTATTTCAGGGCCATGTCCGTTCTCCTGCACGAATCCGACTTCGCCGATCTCGCCTGGGCGTATTTCCAGAAAGCCCACGCCGACGGCGTGCACCATGCCGAGGTCTTCTTCGACCCGCAGGTCCACCACGACCGGGGCGTTGCGTACGAGACTCTCGTCTCTGGCGTGCTGACCGGGTGCCAGCGAGCCGAGAAGGAGCTCGGCCTGTCGACCCGGCTGATTCCCTGCTTCGTGCGGCATCTGCCGCTTGAGTCTGCAACGCGCTTGTACGACCAGGTCCTGGCGAGCAACCATTTCGAGGACGGCGTGCTGCACGGCTTGGGCTGGTCGTCGACCGAGGTCGGGCCACCCAAGGATATGTTCCGGGAGATCTATGCGTCCGCGGCGACGAAGGGCATCCAGCTGACGGCGCATGCGGGCGAGGAGGGTGACTCGTCGTATATCAGCACTGCGCTGGAACTGGGGGCGCGGCGCATCGACCATGGCATTCGGCTGGTGGAGGATGCTGAGCTGATGGCGCGTGTGGCGCGGGAGGGGATCCTGCTCACAGTGTGCCCGTTGTCGAATGTGCGATTGCGGTGTGTTGAGTCGCTCGAACAGCTTCCTATCCGGAAGTTCCTGGACGCTGGCGTGAAATTCTCCATTAACAGTGACGACCCGGCGTATTTTGAGGGCTACATTCTGGATAACTACTGTGCTGTTCAAGAGGCGTTCCAGCTTTCTGTGGAGGAGTGGAGGACCATTTCTGAGAACAGCGTCGATGAGAGCTGGATCGACGATGCGAGGAAAGTCGAGCTACGTCGGCGGATTGATGAGCATGTACAAAAGCATGCTGCTATTGTATGAGTGATATGAGAATGTGATCTTGGTTGTTGATATTGGACTGTGCGAGTATATATATGTGGAACACATAGGGAGCTTCAAGATTGTTCAATCTATATCACATCAATTACGGACTTCAAAAAAATATATGAACAACATGCTCATTGGAACTCTAACTATAAATATAAAATGTGAATAAAAGCTGTCTTCATGAGACTGGGCCATAGCTGGTATAGTAGCAGGGACATGGAACCCTGTCACCTGATTGCTGGCTACTATGAACCTTGCCAAGCGAAGTGCTCGAGCATCATCACCGACAGCAGCAAGCCATACTGTATCCACACATTCTTCACAAGGCAAGCAGATGCGCTTAAGCATTGCCAGATTGGCCAGTCTAGCAGCCACCAGGACAGCCTCGCCGGCCTCCCGTGGTCTCCGATCTCTCACGCTCTCCCCGCACCTCACAACAGTTCAGCCTCGTCTAAACCTCCCATCAAACAAAACAGCCAAACCTGTACTATCCCACTGCTACAGAAGAATCATGTCTACGGCAGTCACAGACCGCTACAAGCTCATCTTCTTCGTGCCACACTCACACCTTGAGGCGTGCAAAGAGGCCATCTTCGCTACAGGCGCCGGCACGTTCCCCGGCGGCAAGTACAGCAAATGCGCGTTTCAGACTCCCGGAACAGGGCAGTTTTTGCCTGCTGGCGATGCGAATCCTGCTATCGGAGCGGTCGGACAACTGGAAACGGTCGAGGAGATGAAGGTGGAAGTTATGTGCCTGGGGCGATCGATCATGTTGGAGGCGGTCGAGGCATTGAAGAAGGCTCATCCGTACGAGGAGGTTGCGTATGAGGTCTATAAGATGGAGGATGTCTGAGTTCGCCTTGAGATCAATGGTCCTGGGTTAAAGCTGAAAGTCACGACTGATGATAATGTCCTATATTGTGTTAACGATTTTAAGCCAGACGCGGGCTTTCGTTAAGGTTGACTGCGTTTTGGGACCCATTTCAAATTAGGACCAGTAGGAAGTGTAAAGCATATAAAGCCATTTTTTTTTTGCAAGCTCAAGCGAGTATGTCGCCGTGTTCAATTGCCCGTTGACAATGTTGTCCAGCTTGTGGAGGTCTGTTCAGTTATATAAAGGCGGGAGTAATCTCTTGTCGCTGATTGGCTAATTGCAGCACCCGCAAAACGCCTCTTCGACTCCAATTCATCTGCAACTCCAGTCCGGCCATCATCGCAACAGCTTCAATCCGCTCCCTCTCCCTCTCCATCTCAACTGTACTCCTCTCCTCTGCCGGCAATGGCTTCCAAGTTCTTCCCCGCCATCCCGCGGGTTGGCCGCCAATTCTTCCAGCAGATCCCCAAGTCTCAATGCAGACCATTCTCGGCTGGTCCGCAACGTTATAGCGACACACTTGCGGTGGTACGTTTGAAGAATATCAGCCCTTGCGGCGTCCTCGGATATCGATCTTCTTGGAATTGCAGAATGCCGGTGACTGACTGTTTTGTTCGGGAATTCTAGCATCGCAACTCGCCTTCCAACAACCCCTCGATCCCTTTCAAGTTCTCCGAGCAGAACATGAAACTTGTTGATGAGATTCTCAAGCGTTACCCCCCCCAGTACAAGAAGGGTGCTGTCATGCCTCTTCTGGACTTGGGCCAGCGCCAGCACGGCTACACCAGCATCAGCGTCATGAACGAGGTTGCCCGTCTCCTCGAGATGCCCCCCATGCGCGTTTACGAAGTCGCAACCTTCTACACCATGTACAACCGTGATCCCGTTGGAAAGTACTTTGTCCAGCTCTGCACCACGGTATGGGCCTCTCCGATATTTATAAACATCTCAGGGCGGGATTACTCTATCGATTTCTTGCTAACATGGGACACTTGAACAGACACCATGCCAGCTCGGTGGTTGTGGCAGCACCAAGATCCTCGAAGCTATTGAGGAACACCTGGGTATTACCTCCGGACACACCACGGAGGACGGTCTTTTCACGCTTCTCGAGGTTGAATGCCTGGGTGCCTGCGTCAATGCCCCCATGGTCCAGATCAACGACGACTACTACGAGGATCTCACCCCCGAGTCGATGAAGTCCCTTCTCACCGCCCTGAAGGAGTCCGCCACAGCCGCGGAGAGCGGCAAGTCCGTTAAGGTGCCTGCTCCGGGACCTCTGAGTGGAAGACAGACCTGCGAGAACAGTGCTGGGCTCACGAACTTGCAAGACCCCGTGTGGGACCCCGAGACAATGATGCGGAAGGACGGTGCTCTGGACCAGCAGGCTTAATGTTGAGTATTATATCCCTCGATTAGAATTAAAAATCCTCGGCTGCAAGCTTTTTTTCCTCTGCTTTTTCAAGTTCCCGTTCCTGGTGGTATGTCCGATCACGACCAATGGAGAGAGAGAGTGGTAGGAGAACCTGGTTGGATATTACCACTTGGTGTTCATTATGTATAGTATGTTTGAGCCTTTATTTTTTTTTTTTTATCTCTTGCAGACAGACCAGCACTATCAGAGGTAGCAACCGTCATAGATGCTTTGTCCAAAAGGACCCAATGATAGCTTCAAGTTCCATCCTCGGTTGAGTCCTTAATTGTTGAAACCAGAAAGAGAACGGTAATTCATCTTTATATCTGGAATTCATGATCAAAAATTTCGGGGTTATGGGGAAAAGGAAAACAACCAGAATTGATTTGAGTCCTCAAAGACAAGGCGGAAAGGGCTGTTGGCAATTCCTTACATCGTAGTGTTGCCCGTTGTTTCAGCAATCGACATACTATTCCTCCACTTTACATTAACTTGGGATTCTGAATATCGTTGATCGTCAAGGACTAGTAACAAGCTTTGCCATGTCTAGCAAGGACCCGAATAATCAAGCACCCTGACAAAGATAGGACTAAACCGACCCTCACATCATCCCATTGAACGCTACCTAACTCGTACAGGTATGTGTACTCTTACACTCAAGCCACCCCTAAAATCAAATCCATATAGCCTGACACAAAATAGAACAGGAGCAATGATTTCACAACGCCTTTCGTTGCTCAGAAGGCATTGTCCACGAGCAATGAAGGTCCTTGACAGCTAATCGCTTCAAACCCGACCGCTTCATTGGGAGACACTAGAATGGGCTGCTCATCTCTCTCGATCAGGATCTTCCCGCGTCGGTCCTGGAATATATTCACATCGATCGTCCTCTTTACCAGCAGGTGGTAGACGTGGACGTGCTTGATCTGCCCGTATCGCCGCGCACGACCAATCGCCTGTGTCATCGAGGAGTCGTAATCGTACTGTGTCTGCGTGAGCATCGGCGAGAGGAAGAAGACATGATTTGCGCATTGCAGGTTTCTGATTAGATTGTTAGCCCGGATTAAATGGAAGGATGGGCAAGAATAGAAAAGCGACTTACAACCCGGCGGCCATCTCGCTGCCCAGATTTAGGATCAAGATCCGGTTATTGCCAAAGCTGGGCTTCTTAAACTCCTCGATCTTCTTGGAGTCGCCGGCGCTGATTACCGTGTGGGTGATCTTGGCGAGATCAAAGGCTTTTGAAGCTATTTCAATGAGCTCTTTGTATTGGATGAAAAGGATTGCTCGGTCCTCTTTAGGGATACTTCTCACGATCTCGATCAACTTGTCCAATTTACTGCCTCCAAAATGGGTACTGTGGTCGACCTTTTCGACGCCGAGCGAGTCGGCCTTGATTACGTTGAATCCTTTGCCTGAGCCACGGCATCCTGCGACAGTGCATTCTTCTGCTTGCACAGTATGTGAGACACAGTCATTGCAAAGTGCATGACCACAGGAGCCAAGAACACTCAGGTCGCTGCGCGACTTTGACGCACTTCCACAGGATCCGCATGCAGGCACCTTTGAACTTGCTTGAACCTGACGCACAGTCTTGAGGAATCTCAGAGCTCGCTCGCGCAGAACCCACTCCACGATGATGTTACGCAGAGTGGTCGTGACTTCTCTCAAGACAGGCTCGAATTCCTTGACCTCAGTTGGCTTTTTGGGAAGTTCCTGGCGTTGATCTTTGCCAGACTTCGTGCCTTTCTTCTTTGCCGTTCTCTCACCTTCCAAGAGCTTTACCTTCTTGGAGGGGCTTTGCATATCAACGTCACCTTCTGTGGCCCTCTCGTCGATATTTTCTGTTTCCATCGCACCCAATGATTCCGTGTCGGGTCCAGCTTCAAAGGGGTCGGGGTCCTGTTGGTCAGAATTCGTGAAGAACAATCTCCAATCGTCGACCTCTGATGTGCGTATAGCTGCCCTGAATAGTTGGTAGACCCTATTGGTCACCACCATGTCACCAAAATCATGTTTAAAGATACTTTCCACGAACTTATGAAACTTCTCATATTTCAAATCGCACGCAAAATAAATCCAAGCAGCCAATTTCATCTTAGCCAAGAAATCATTCGTGAGAGAAACGAGCTGTTTTTCTCGAATTGCAATGATTGAACTGCATGTGATGGCTTCGGGTTTGCCATTCTCCCAGCGGCCGTGGAGTGCCAGTGACGAGCACCGCTTGAGCAGTGCTTCCTCTGGTGAGGCACTGCTACCTATGATCTCGTCCAATCGCTCTAGCTGGTCGTTACCGAATCTACCACGCCCGCTTCGACGCAGCTGTCTATTGTGCGTCATCAGTTGCTTGTATAGCTCGAGGTAGACTGCGCACTCAGCTGGGGACTGATCAATCAAAACAATATGCTCTGTTAGAGGAATCTCGTCGATTTCTGCGATGTTTCTGCGGGCAAAACGGTTCAGAAATTTCTGGGCAACTTCATGACGACGTCGGTGCCATGCCTCACTCCGTGGAGCTCGCCATGACTGGAACACTTCCGCATCTGACCGCTGCTTGCGCAATATTCTGAGCCGGCTGTTCTGGGACAATGCGTCCTCTTCATCGACTCCTAGATAGACACCCAGAAAGGGAGCGATTGTCTTGACATCTGCGAAATCGTTCAACGGTGGTGTCCCGGAAAGCATCCACTTTGAGCGAGCTTCCAGAGCAAATAAGGGCGCAAGCCTCTCTGGATTGGCGTATGTGAACTCATCAATGATAATACGGTTGAAGAGAAATGCATGCAGTAGAGGCGTCCTGACTGTATCCCATTCCTGAGTTGTTTTTCCTCGTTCAATGTTGAATTCTTTTCGGTCATTCCACTTCTTTCCCTTCCTGTCGGAATTTTGTTGGCTGAATTTCCTCTTTGCTTTTGGGGCTTTGCAAAACTCTGAATTCGGCCCGGTAGTGTTCTCTTCTGAGGAATCTTCGTACGCACTCTCGTCTTCGGTGTCGACTTCGACAGACCCCTGCGAACTATTCGCGTCTACTGCGAGAGATCGAAGTCTCATGGAGTGATCGACATTGTTTCGAAGCCTCTCCAGATATTCGTCCTCACCAGAGTCCTCTGCACTTGACACATCGGCGTACTGGACGCTAGATTCATTGCTCTTGTTCGCTTCCGCATACTGCCTTCCTCTCAGCCTTTTCGACGGGACATATGTGCAATAACTATGCGTGAGTTTCACCAACTGACGCTTTTTACGCACAGTTTCCAAGAGAATACCGGGCCCCTGTTCTACCAAAATTTGGATGAGCTCACGAAGAAAGTCCTGCGTCTCAGCAAACCAGGCATCGAAATTACGACCTGCCTTGCCAGGGACTCGTGGCATGCCAGTGAACTTCTGCATTTTGTTGTAATAGGCTTGTGTGTTGAAGATAGACCAAGACACCAAAATAATATCAGCCTGAACAATGTCGCGAATCTTCTTGCTTGAGAGCGCTGCCCCAGAGGCGATAACCAGAACCTTGTATCTTGAACCGAGGAATTTTTGAATTTCTGACAGCCATTGCTGAAGCATGATTTGAGGGACGATGATGAGCGTCGCTTTCGTGGAGATGAAGCCTTCAGAAGTCTCTGGTGCAGAGTCACTATCATATTGCTTGTCGATGAGGCCCAATGTAATGGCAGTCTTCCCATATCCTACATCGTCTGCCAGGACACCTCCACGGACTGTCTTTTCAACAGTGACTTTACCCTCTGCTCGCCACATTAAGGATGGAAGGAGGGCTTCTTCCACTTCTTCTTCAACGAAAGGTGCGATTGAAATACCCTCCTGCCGTATCATCCATGATAGCGATCGCAACTGCTCCGGTCTTAACTCTATCAAAAAGTTTGCCGGCTGGACGGATGGTATATCATGTCTGTTGCTAAGCAAACTGAACTTGGGGAACGCTAAGTCTCTCACATCTTGCGCGTTTGGAACCAGACGCCAATGAAAAGAGACATTGTCTGACCTGGAGTTTGCCAACCTAGCATACGCTTGATGTAACAGGGTCTGGACGTTGAGAGTGACAGACAAGTAACCTACATCATCGTCGTCCACCCGGCGGAATATCAGATAGGGCGATGGCCTCGACTTTATCTGCCGCTCATATAAAGCTGCATCACGCGGGTCCTCATACGCTCTGATCAACCCTTTTCTGTTACAGCCCCAAAGTATCCGAGGCGATTGTGGAACGCAGACAGGGCAGGGGGATGTGATCCCGTCAGCGATGATAGTATTCCAATCCTGATATTCAGCAAAATCAGATGACTTTTGCAACAACCAAGAAAAGTCACGCAGCAGAGAAGCTGATTCCGTAGGCTCTGTTACTTCCCATGGCCCTTTACACCAAAGTGAGTCGATCGCGTTAGCTGGAGCCGAGAGGGACAGTAGAGTTACATTCGCCTCATGACAATTAGTACTCTGGATAGGAAGAGGCAATCCTGGCTGCAGATTCGAAAAAACTATGGACGAGTCAGGGGCATATGGTGCCAAAGTGACGGTTTGCGCCTTGTTCCATTGTCGATAGTAGGCATTGACGACCTCTGGTCGCTCGCTTGCTGTTGAAGAGCGCCATTTGTGAGACAATTCGGCAATAGTAAGTCGAGGTACATATCCAGGAATGCGTCGATGTTCCAGAGCAAAGACAAAAGAGTCATATTTCGGCTCCCCAAGCTTGGTCGGATCTAGGAACAAGTATACCGTAGGACTGCTGGCAGTGCCTGCCTTTTTGTGCAGGCATGCGTTTGCAGTGCCACAGTCAGGCAGAAGATCATAGGTTCCTCGGATATCTGTAGCAAAGTCCAAACATTCCTCGCGAGAGCTTCCAACATGAAGTTGGCTCCAGTTTGTCGAATCAGCGAACTCCTCTCTTGCCAGGCCGCATCTAGCCTCGTAAGAGGGCACCTGATTGCCAGTACCAGTAATCGTCAGGGTGCATTTTGAGCTCAGCGGAGCAAATATCTCCCAAGTACCTGTGAGAAGCGTGTCAAGCACCGGGGCCATGCGTGCAATGGGTTTAGATAGTATCTCTCGGTGGAGGGATAAGGCGGGCTCAGACTCAGATGCTTTTGCATAGAGTAACCACTCAATTGTTGTCGCACTGATGACCAGATTCAGAACAGTAAACTTTCCTTCATAGGAAACTGTCCAGACTTCACTTCTTCTGACTTCCGAGAAACGAAGCTCGTCACCAACAGTTCGAATTACAGCGTCCAAGAAGTGCTCCCAAACATAGGCAGAATTTGCATAGGGGAAAGTTGTATTGAAGGCATTATACAGGCCGCGAGATATCCCAGAAATGACCAATCTAGCAGGTAGTATGCTTTTCAGACGGCCAATAAACTCACCAGGCTGACTCCTTACTAAACCGGACCAGTGGCTATATGCGTGAGATGGATTTCCAGCGCATTCGGAGCAGGCGGTATGCTCACAGACAGTGCATCTGAGGATCTTCTGCTTGATACCAGTCTGTCTCTCACATAGACAGTACCTTGCGCTGCTGGTAGCTTGTCGTTGAAGGTCTGAGGTGTCGACTTTGACAACTTTACTGAGTTGCAGTGTCCTTGGCAGTAGTGGGATATCCTCACGAGGAGTGATTCTCTTATGGTGGGAAGAATGTTCTTTGGGAGCAGCCGACTGCTCTCCTGGTACTAGCACCCTATGCCCTACGATCAAGGCTGAGAGAACTGCAGCACCGACGACCGTTGAGCTCATGGCATTCCCGGCAAGATCTTGCAGCTCCCGCTGGGACTCCCTCGTGAGTAGGAGTCTGTCTAGGGGCAGACCTTGCAGCGCTAGAGACTCGAGACCACATAGAGGCCCACCTCTTGTCGTGATATAGGGAATTCCACACGGTGTGATGCAACCAACGATACCAAATGCACGGCTGTCGATCTCTCGGTCAAGGCCTTGAGAGAGTTCAATGCACCGTCTAGAACATGCATTAACCTGTGTCAATACCTTTCACGGAAACACCTACTTACTCTTTGTAGTTCATATCATAGCCATCATCTGCAAGTTTCCGCAGGAAGTTGACATCAATGGTATCCCAAATCCGTTCCGGTTGGGACTTCATCCATACCTGCCATGTAAAGTTGGGCATCTGGCATGTCCCATCGTCTTGGGACTTGCTTACGGGACGTTTGTAACCGAGCTCATGGTTCAGACGGTAGCTCTGATGACGGACCTGGTATTTCGCCCAGTTGACGGTGGCTCTTGCAGTCGTGGAAGTGATTCGTGTTGACATGTCTTTCTCAATATCTTCGAGTCTCTTGTTATCCGCATCTAAGAGGAACATACCCGCGGAGGAACTCGCAGGACGTTTGAAGGCAGTAAAGACACTGGACCACTCACGCATATCGTCTTCGGAGAGTCCATACTTGTCCAGCAATCCTCGGTCCACACAGAACATGTACCCCCGTTCGCGGGTCTGAGGCAGGTAATACGCCTTGGTGTCCACATCCATGTGGATAGCGAAGTAATTTATCTCATTCCAATGCCGTTCGATCTTATCCCAGGGGGCGTTTTTGACATTTTCTAGAATCACCATCCGGGGCCGGTAGGCAGTGGCGTAGCGGATGATCCCCCAGAAAGTGCCCCCAGATTCGCCCTCCTCATCCAGTGTCTTTCTTCTATTGTTCAGGCCGGAGAAGTCGACACAGGAGAAGCCCGCGATGAGCAAGTCAGCGTTCTTGGGGATCTTTTCTAGTGAACCATACGCTGTTTGACTACAGATGTTGATCAGCATGAGAAGTCCAAGCTTAGGGAAAGATGAACCACTTACGCCACTCGGTCCTTCAGCTGTGCTACATCCCGGAAAAGGAAACGAGGATGAAAGTTGCGCTCGATATATGCTTGTTTGAAGGGCACGATCTCGGCACTGAATAAATGGCGAAAGTCGAAGTTCTTTCTGAAATGCTTCCTGAGGTCTATCGGAGCGTGTGAGTTGTCTGACATCAAGGAAATCAAAGAGGGATTCTAGCCACCACTTACTATCCTGCACCATCTCCAAAGCAAGCAAAGGACTCTCGGTTCCAGAGCAAACAGTGACGACGCGTAAAGGCTTCGAGCCAAGATGAGACAGAAAATCATCGAACCTGAGCTCGAGTGCCCTCGATGTAAGAGACTTGTAGATGTCATCCAGCTTGTATAGAGGGGGCAGGTGAAGGGCCAGCTGGGTCCGAGCTGACTTTCGTCCTGAATATGGTCGCGATCTTACTATCTCAGGGATATCATCGGTGTCAGATTCCGTAACTGTCGAATGGGTTCCTTCAGGGAGAGTATTGGGTGTTATCATTTCTTCATGGGACTGGGTCCGAGAAGAGGGCTTTTGGCGCCTCGTCCTTGAACGCGTCGCAGGTTGAGGGGACGGAGCCCTCTTCCTGGGACGAGGCATATTTGCTGGACAAGGGGAGGGTGTGTTTATGGCAAAAGAAGATGACTTTACCTGACTATAGCATTTCAGTCGGAAGCAAAATAGTCAAAGTAAAGACCAGGGTACATGTCTGTCAGGTGGGTTGGGAAGGATGAGGAGAGATTTTGAGCAATAAGGGAGAGGAAGAAAGAAGGAAACTTGATCTTATTGTGCAGAGATTTTGGAGATGAGAGATGAGAGTTGAGAGAGGATGTAGTGAATGGTGCTTTGCTGTGAGTGCTAGTGTCTAGCCTTAAGCACCTGAAGCACTTGCAACGATCACCAGATAATCACTCATTCCAGCATGGGCCTGTCAGTACAGTGGGTCACAAACCTGGATGTTATGATCTAGGACCTACACGAAATGGAAATTTGCATGGCCGTGGAATCGAAACCAATCATAGCAAAGACTATGAGTGCAAGATAAACTGAAAAATATAGTAAAACTCCAGAATCAAACATCACGTCCTTCTCTTTACTGTCGAGCGCCGTTCATCCAGGAATGTAACAAAGGAAATCTAGTCCAAGCCGATCGAAGAACACCTTGTACTCACACCTTTTTTCGAAAAATCAGCATCTTCCAAGTCCCCCGAGTCACCCCCACAAAGCGATAGCATGAGAGGATCCAACAGCCGCCCATCGCGGATCGCCTCATAGATGACTGATATCCAAGACCCAATAGCTTTCTTCGGACGGCCGTTCAAAGTATCATCCTCGGCAGTCGGGTGCTCCACGAACCCCTGGTGAAATGGGACGCCCAACTGTCGCCGAATCGTCTGGTAGAGGATCTTCGACCCGGTACCGAGCATATCCTCCGTGTGTTGGTAAGTGAAGAATGCATCGGCGGTGTCGTTGTATATCTCGCCCAGGAGGGTGATTGCGCAGGATTTCCAGGTTTGAATGGTAGAGAAAGTGACGAGCTCGCTTTTGTGCGCACTGAATGTGTCCATGAGGATGGGGAGGGCGCTTGAGATGGTCTTCTCAATCCGGTCGGAGACTTTAAGACGGGTCGTTGTTGGCCAGGCCTTATCAATGTGTGCGCTCAACGCTTCGTTGAAAGTGCACAGATCTGTCTTTGATAGGTGATCGACGAATGTGTGCGAGGTGAGCGTGTGGAGCCGTGGCTTCAAGCGCTCGAGGTATGTCAGATGAAGGACACGGAGGTCCAGTGCCTGGCAACCGATGTAGAGACTGCAGGCGCACATGAGAGATACGATTTCCACGGCCTGCATAGTGTAGCGGCTGGACACGAAGGCCATAGAGTTGACTGCCTGGTTGTGCATCTCCGCCGTCTGGACGTGTGAGCTAACGGGGTTGGCGAGGTACGCGAGCTCAGCCATGTAGGAGGCCATGCTGATGTCAACGCCTTTCATTGTGAAGGACAGGCTGGGGTCATCGGCGACGAGGTTCGTCGGTAGACCATTATTGAGGTTGGGGTCGACCAGCTCCGTAGCTTGGGCAAAAATCAGCCGTCCGAACATCTGGAGGCAGGTTCGAGCCTTTTCCATGGCGGAGGTAATGGAGACGGCTTGGAAGTTGCCTCCGTAGAAGATGTCGTCGGTTTTGACATCCAGCAAGGGGTTGTCGCAGGAGGAATTGAGCTCGACAGTGACTTGCTGATGGGCAAGGAGAAGGTCTTCAAGCTGTGGGCCAATCCATTGGGGCACAGTGCGGACTGCATAACGGTCCTGTATCAGGCCTGCGCGGTTGCGGTTCTTCGAACCTCGTTCGAGATTTTGAGCAAGACGAGAGCCTTGTAGGAAGGTCATCACATTCCGAGCGCATTCTATCTGCCCGTCGTGTGGACGGACGGCAGAGATGAATGGGTGGAAGCTTTCTGCGTTGCCCATGAGAGCCTCAACAGATACGGCCGAAATTGCCTGGACCAAAACAGCTAGTTGATGGGCTTCGTACATCACCAGACTAGCCAATGCAGCCGAAGCTGAAGTACCGTTGACAAGGCCTAAGCCCTCTTTAGGACCCAGTTTGTGAATGTCCAGGCCCGCGGAAAGTAGTGCATCTCGGGAATTCATGATCCTTGAGTGATCCGAATCCTGGACTTGCACGAACACATCTGGGCTCCCCTCAATAGCTGCTGCAATGTACGAGAGAGGTATCAGATCGCCCGAGGCTGATATTGAGCCCCTAAGAGGGACCACGGGCGTTATACGGTGCTCAATAAGTCGCGACAGAGACTCAATCACTGGTAGCGAGACAGCCGAATGGCCTCGAGCATTTGAATTGCACCGAACCAACATCATAGCTTTAACCCACGGGGTAGGCATGGCGTGCGAGTCAAAGGATCTCTGGTTTTGGGAGTCTATGCCTTTATCCGAGTTGACCAACACTCCTGCTTGAAGCAGCTGGAGCAGCCCGGATTGCAGTGCGACAACCCGGTCAGTTCGAGAATCTGCGCTTCCGCCAAATCCTGTATTTACTCCTGGATGACTGCGTTAGCATTGCGATTTGACACTTGGGATCGTGGTCAGGAAGGCGTATTTACCATATACACAGTAGCCCTTATCCAGATGGTCCATCAAGACTCGAACACTGGCTTCAATGTCTTCACGGACGACAGGATCCATTGTTATACGGGGTATACAGCCATGGCTGCGATACATATGTCAATTCTGATGCTGCAAGTTAGATAAGGGACAATGGCAGGTTATACGTACTGTGCCACAGCTGTGACAGCCGCTATATCCAGGCTGGTACCGTTCACCTCGACATCCTGACGTTCCAGCAATTGCTGCAACCTTTGCCAGGCTTGACAGGCGGTTTGTAGATGGGAAAAGGAACCTAGAGTTCTCATCTTCTATGCTCTGGTTCAATTCTGCCTCTGAAGTTCTGTTAAAAAAAAAATCTCAAACCTTGCACCTTGAAAACCAGCCACAAAAGGTAGGTCGAATCCTCTATTTATGCACTGCTGCGGCCTGGAATGCTCTACCGTCCTTCACAGTCGGGGCTTCAACGGCTCAGCTGCTGGTGACCGACCCTATATCGATTATGGAGTCGATGATCGACCTGCAAAAGTTTATTACTGCGAGGCCGTTCCCTGGGTGTGGTTGGCGGCTCTCGCATGTTTGCTTTTTAAGCCTGCACCCGTTCCACATTCTACAAATGGCTGTTCCACGACATTGTTGGTCAAGCGATAAAAGGATATCGATATCCGATAGAGGTAGCGTCTGGATCTATTGATGATCAACAAGGTCCTTGCAATCTTACAGGCTCGAGAGTTTGTGATACCTGCTTCGACTGGTGTACTTTCTACTCTGTAGAGGAAGGCCTCCTCTCCTCTCATCCTAGCGTCTGCATCATTGCAAATAGCCACTGTTCAGGGTGTATCTGAGATCGTACTATGTACGACCCTGTGGCGTACACAGATTGGATCATGAAATCACAAGGATCAGAAACAGGCACGACGCAGCCACGATCTGGAAGATCCTCACAGGGATAAATAACAGAAAAAAAAAAGAAAAGAAAAAGAAAATGGGGTTGCGAATTGCGATGCAATCGGCTACACCGAGCATACTCCGGTAGGTTATTGATCTGATTATTGAGAAGGACGGAAACAGAGCGAATGAGGATGGACGAATCGGGGGCCCAGATGTGTGATATTGCTTTTAGCATCGATGCAATAACAATCTGCCAAGACCTGTGATTGTCCCAGCTGGATTGATCCTAACCATTCTCTACCGACTCATTTGGCTAGTCAGCCTGGTCGAAACTTGATCTATCAAGGAATTAACTACGTTTGATCATACTTTCACATGTGAGTGTGAGAGATAAATTCATGAAGTATCTGCTACAAGTAGTATCCTCTGTCAGGTAGGTATACATTCGCTCCGAAAATATGCGGGTGAATCACAATAGACCATAAACTTGAACCAGTTGCGCCATCCCTTCCCAGCAGTTAAGAAACAAGAAAATCCACATATTTGACCTGTATTGTCCGCAAGAAGAAGTTGTATCCATAGAAAGGCACTGCTACCTCATCGCGCCTTGCATCAACTGCTGCCGCAAAAGCATGATTTGATTCCGTTCCATCGGCGGAAGAGCGTCGATAGCTGACTGGGGCATGCTGAGAACCTGTTGTAACAGATCTTCCTGCGATGGCATCTGCTGCTGGGGTGCCGCTTGTGACGCAGGCTGAGGGGCAAAAGGCGTGTTGATCACAGGTGGTGTACCAATCTGGCCAGGTACAGCTGAGAAAGGCTGGAATGTTTGCGCAGCGGGAGGTGCGGGAGGGGCCGTAGCAATGGTCGGTTGTGTCGCTTGCTCCACCACTGCACCCAACGTGCTGTAGTCAACCAGGTTCATTAGCAGCAACGCCTGGAAGATGGCATATGCAAGCTGTGGAGCCTGTCGTAGTAGTTCCGTCGCGCGCGCAGGGTCGGTCATTACCAATGACTTCATTTGTGAAAGCACATCAAGCAGCTGGTTCGGAGGCAGGGAGGAGAGGGTCTGAGAGATAGCGTTCGGGCAATCCAAGTGAGGCGGCACGTCGACACCCGGGGGCAGAGGTGGGAGAGGCGCAGATGACTGCTGACCCCCTTGGCCATCCTGGACCGGCATCTGCGATGTCTGAGAGTAGTCCGGAGGTACCGAGTCCTTCTCGTTGTTGTGAGGCCAATCCACGCGAATCTTTCTGCCCATGATCTCGTAGTCATTCAGATTCCGGACCGCGGAAGCGGCGGCGTCAGCATCGGCAAAGTCCGCAAAGCCATAGCCTTTTGGCTTCCCTGTCTCCGGATTCATCATCAGACGGAATTTGGTGACTGTGCCAGCGGAGCTGAGAATGTCTTTAACCTGTTCCTCCGTGAGGTCTGAAGAGGATTGTTAGCGATAGATTGATCGATAAGTAGAGCAGTTGAACAAAATCGCACGTACTATAGGGAATATTCCCCAGGAACACACTCTTCCCGGTTCTATCTGGAGCCATTTTCTCTGGGATATTGATATCAAGAAGCTCTATTTTCTGGGGCTTCTATGGGTCGAAGCGTGACGTGGGCCCTCACGAGACAGTGCTGCGAAGAGGCGATTCCGACAAGTTTTGAAAGGGGAACCAAATTATGTATATCAATATGTTATCGAATTCTGCGACTGTCTGGAAATGAAAAACAAGAACACGAATATCAAGAGCTAGCAGTTTGATGAATGAAGCAGCGCAACAATGAAGAAAAGCGGACCAAACGCTTGCCTGCATTAGGCGGTGGCCGAACTTTTGAGTGAACCTCGACTGCCCGGGTTTATCCATCACCTCACTTCTCCGACGTCAGCTTCACATCTTTCCAACCACAAACATGGCCAGGAATCCAAAAGAACAGTGGGAGCGGCTGCAGGTCATCTTGCAGAACCGTGGAGGCCGGGGAGGATTCGGTTTTGGTGGTGGATTCCCTTCTGGAGGAGGTCGCGGCGGCTTCGGCGTATCTGGAGCTATTCTCTTGCTCGGCATCGGTGGATGGGCTCTGTCGAACTCGCTCTTCAACGGTAAGGAAGTCTTTAATTTGATGCTTGTGGAATTATGGAGGGCTGATCTAGCATTTCGCTCTAGTTGATGGTGGTCACCGTGCCATCAAGTACTCAAGAGTAGGCGGAGTCAAGAAGGAAATCTACAATGAAGGTATGAATCCTCTAAACCCTTTCACACGGCGTCCTCATCTCACAAACACCTTTTTCATTACTATAGGAACACATTTTAGAATTCCCTGGGTCGAAACACCGGTCATCTATGACGTGCGCGCGAAGCCGCGGAACATCGCTTCCCTTACGGGTACCAAGGACTTGCAGATGGTGAACATCACCTGCCGTGTCCTGTCTCGGCCTCGCGTGGATGCCCTTCCTCAGATCTACCGTACCCTCGGAACGGATTTCGATGAGCGAGTTCTCCCTTCCATCGTCAACGAGGTCCTGAAGAGTGTGGTTGCGCAGTTCAACGCCAGTCAGTTGATTACGCAGCGTGAGAACGTCGCAAGACTTGTCCGGGACAACCTTGCCCGCCGGGCTGCTCGCTTCAATATCGCTCTGGACGATGTGTCGCTTACTGTATGGATTTCTTTAATACCCTTTGTCCTTCTAGGTAGCGTTCTCTGTTGACTAACTCTTCTTCTCTTCCGTTTCTAGCACCTGACCTTCTCCCCCGAATTCACTGCTGCCGTCGAAGCCAAGCAGGTTGCCCAGCAGGAAGCCCAGCGTGCTGCTTTCCTCGTCGACAAGGCCCGCCAGGAAAAGCAAGCGTTCATCGTCCGTGCCCAGGGTGAGGCCCGCTCGGCTGAACTCATCGGTGACGCAATCAAGAAGAGCAAGAGCTACATCGAGCTCCGTAAGATCGAAAACGCCAGACAGATTGCTCAGATCCTGCAGGAGAACGGTGGACGGAACAAGCTGTACCTGGACACCCAGGGCTTGGGTCTCAACGTCAACGCGAGCGTGGATGAGGCTAAATAAATTCACTTGCTTACGGGTTCTCGGATCAAAGTTACTGGCGCTATTGTCGCTTCGGGGTGGGCGATCTAGGGTGTGGAATATGATACTTGTATAAATAGTTGATCTTCAGGGTTATCAGTGCAACCTGGCGAATTGTTTCTCTTCTCTTACTGTTGCTCTATATGACCAATAAGGGTAATGTCTCTATTCGTAGGGGTTAAGCTATACCATTTTCCCGATAGATAAGCCGCATCCCCGTCTGCTATAATAACATACTATCTACTCAATTGCCCTCGATGGAACAGCTTGCCATGTCTGTTTCGACGGACCACTGAGATGACGACTCCAGCGGATAAGCAATGCGGGGATCAGATAAAAGCGGCGGGCGGGACTATAATTTTTTTTTTATATCGGGCATCTTAAAACTGTATTCACCACCACGACAAACTGGAAACAAGTAGGTCGTGACACATTCTTTATTCGTAGGTGAGTTTTCTACAGTCCAGCTTTTCAAAAGACCCCCGCGATCCCTTCAACCGCGACTTCAATCCCCTTCCCAGCCTCATCCTCCGCACCTATAGCACATCTGCAAAGGAAATCCCCACCTAACATCAATCCCCAGCCATGGCCGACCCCATCACAGACGTCGACGTCGACGTCGACCTCGACATCCAAGAAATCCTCCTCGCCGCCTCCCAACACAACATCCCCACACTCCGCCGCCTGATCCGCGCCAACGACAAAACCGGCAACCCCGCCAACGTCAAGGATCCCGAGACGGGCTTTACGCCGCTGCACGCCGCGATTGCCGCCTGTGAGTTGGACGAGGGCGAGGGCGCACAGACCAACGGCGCCTCGGGCAGCGAGCAGAAGAGTCTTGTCCAGTTGGGCGTGGACACGGTCAGGTTCCTGCTGCAGGAGGGCGCGATCTGGAATGATTTGGATGTGAACGATGAGACGCCTGGGTGTCTTGCGCGGCGGCTGGGGCTGACGGAGCTGTATGAGATGCTGGTGGATGCGGGGGTAAGGGCGGAGTTGCTGCTGAACCGGTTGGATGGGTATGAGGAGCTCTCAGATGACGAGGACGAGGACGAGGACGAGGATCAGGAGATGAGACAGGGGGACGAGCAAGAGCAAGAGCAGCAGACAACAGCGGAAGAGAACCAGGCCGTCCCAGAGTTAGTCGAGGCATCAGCGACAACCACCGCGGCAGACCCAGACGTCACCAGCTCGCGCTACCTCGACTCGAACCTCACGTTCCAGAACGACCGCCTCCTCGACCAAGACCAGAACGGCGTGATGATGGCCTGGGAGACGGAGATCATGTCCAAGTCCGCGAAGAAGCTGCTGCCGACGACTGGGCTGCGCGTCCTCAACGTCGGCCACGGCATGGGCATCGTCGACGGCTTCATCCAGGAGCAGCAGCCCGCCGCGCACCACATCGTCGAAGCCCACCCGGAGGTGGTGGCGGAGATGAAGCGCCGCGGCTGGCACGAGAAGCCGGGCGTGCACATCCACGAGGGCCGGTGGCAGGATATCCTGCCGGCGTTGGTGGCGCAGGGCGAGACCTTCGATGCGATCTACTACGACACGTTTGCCGAGTCGTATGCGGATTTCCGGGAGTTCTTCAGCGAGCAGGTCATTGGGTTGCTGGAGCAGGAGGGCAAGTGGGGTTTCTTCAACGGTATGGGTGCCGACCGCCAGATCAGCTACGATGTCTATCAGAAGGTCGTCGAGATGGATCTCTTTGAGGCTGGGTTCGACGTGGAGTGGGAGGATATGAAAGTTCCCAAGCTGGAAGGGGAGTGGAATGGCGTGCGCAGACCGTATTGGGTGGTCGACAATTACCGCCTGCCTTTGTGTAAATTCATGGATTAAGAGTCACATATACCCTGGAATAGACAGCAAGTTGACGTTGGTGAAGTGTTATGATGCCGCAATGGTCTCCCATGCCAATTATTCCCCTCTTAGTAAACGATTTTGGTCTACCAACGGTGGGCAACAGCGGGTAAACTCATATAATGTAGAGGATAGTATTGTGTCATTGCAACTATTATACACTCTTAACACTTCGACATGACTGAGACTGGAAATTACATATAATTGCGGAACCAGACCACGGTATCCTTGCATGAGAGGCACAGCGTACCGAAGGGGTCTTGAAGCAATGCCGCCACACCATAAAGAAAAAGGAATAAGTTGGTCAGATCTTCATTATCATCATCCGGGTATGCCAATGAAAACGAACACGCTAAACGGGAGACAATCGCAAATGTGGAAAAGCAGAAATAAAGGACGTATTTACAATTGAATGAGATCCACCTCAGAGAAATCGGGCGGACTGCGGCTGAAGATCGTACGGCATTTGCCGTCGAGTGCTTGGTACTCGTTACTGATCCAGATATGCTTGCTGAATCGTTGAGTCCGATATACCTCGTCATCGCTGATACCCAGATCATCCCGAGGGATCCAGATAACGGGGCGTTTCGCTCGTAAGGCGTCATGCTGGAAGGCGCGCTGCACCAGCTGGTCACGTTCATCTGGCGTCAGATCCTCTAGCTCGTCATGAATGCCGGCGAACAATGCGTGGCCACGGTTACCGGTGGGAGGGCCTTGGGCTTCGGAATCATGTGTTATCTTCTCACGAACGCGTTGCAGGGTTGGCAGTGAATTGCTGGAACTAGTTCCGAAGTACTTCGATCGTGACTTCAAAGATCGATCGGCCCAGGAATGACGGCTTGACCTCAACGTTCCCGTTTGGGTAGACGAGCGCTGTCCGGAGCTGGCTTCAATCCTCTTAAGCTCGATCTCCTGTGCCCTCCTATCTGCTTCGTGCTCTTCACGCTCTCTCTCTGCAAGTTGCTGCTCAAGAGTTTCTGTTTCGTCCTCCTCGGGAAGACCGAGTCGTGCGCGTTGAGCGCGACTGAATTCTTCATCCCGTCGAACGGCATCGTCCTCCAAAGTGATTGGCAGGTAGCGGATGAGCGGACTGAAGGCCTCATTCAAAAGGAATTGGTATCCGATAGTGAGCACTAGAACCACGATCATGCAGATCGCCTGTCCTTCGCAGGCAACGTTGCCATTGACATCCCGGACCAAGAAGAACAGACCGATCAAACTGAGCTCCATGACATAGATGCCTGTAAAGAGCTGATTGATAGCGCGAGGAAAGAGTAGTCCGCCAGTATCGAAGCGGAACTTGGTCACATACAGTGTGTTATATCTGTAAACGAACCAGAAAAGGCCGAATGTAACGATATTGAACACTAGAATCAGGGGTGCGATCACACAATAGATCAAACCTGCATTCGAATCTTAGTTCCGGGCCTGGTTGGATTCTGAGTGGGCAGACTTACCGATGGATGCAAGAGTTGTATAGATAGGGAAGAATGTTCCCCATTGCATCTGGTTCAGGTTTGTCGTGCGCCCCCATTTCTTCCTCGCGGTCGTATCCAGCAACGGCGCCAGAATGAACCAGCTCACTAAGCCGAAAATCTGGACTAACGCACCAGCACTCACGGAAAGTGCTTGGAGAATCATATACGAGAAAAAGTAGTTGCTTGAGGAAGGGATGTTTTGTGCTAGAAGTTCTGGCCAGCTGGTGACATTGGTGACATTGTCGATAATGGTCGAGAAACTGGATGAGATTGCAACAACCAGGAACAGCTGAACGAACAAGAACGCGAAATAGTAGTTCTGAACGGTGAGCTCAATAGCCATACCGGTATGGGCACCCTGCGCTCGGCAGAGAAATCGAAGAATCAGAGGCAAAAGCGCCATTAAAATGGCCAGGAACAGTGGGGGCAGAATACCCTGGATCGCAGAGATGAGCCAGTCTGGGAGCTTGGAGATCCATTCTAGCCATGTGAAGGCATTTTCCAGGTATGACAGTTGGGATAGCAGACCGGTAAAGGCCACGGGAAATGCCCACCCAACCACCATGGCGCAGACGACCGTGAGAATCCCGAATGTTCTGAGATACCGCTCCCACCATTTGAGAGACATGTTGTCCCAAATCACATCGTCTGGCGAGATTTCCACGATACGGGGCGCCATCTGCTTGGGAAGGTGGTGACTGACGGCCTGGCAAGCCATATGTGCAGCCACCTGGTGGTTGAACTGGATGAAAGCCGAGTTCATGAGAGGAAATTTCTCGGGGTGTTGCTGGTCAACCTCAATCTCCAAATTCAAGCGAGCGACCTCCTTCCGGCAATGGTCTATTGTGTCGACTTTTTTACCGATAAGCCAAAGCGAAGGCATCCAACTCAGACCGAAAATTGGCAACCTCATCGTATCGCGATCTTTTGCCTTAATGTACTTCTTCCAAAGGGGCTCTCCATAATCTTCGTTCTCGAAATCCTCGTTGTACGCAATCGGATATTCTTCTCCTTCGATCTCTTCACCTTCCTTATGACCCTTCCGGCGTTTTTCGTCTTGCTTTTCATCAGTTGGGGACCTCTCCCTGGGGGCTTCTCCATCTACCGGCTCTTCAGGAGCGGTCAATGGAAATTCATCTGCGTCCGTCCTACTGCTCATTTTGGAATTGGCCGAGCCTCGACTTTTCCAAAAGGGTCTTTTTTTTGGTCTTGAGTCGGATTTGCTGCGGGGAGCATCTGGTCTTGTGGGTTGTTCATTCACATATGACGCTTCCGCGTTATTTGCTGATGGGAGTATACTGTCCTCGCTTGGTCGTGAAGGGTCATGCAGCCTGCTTCCACTGCCTTCTGGAGGGACCCCATTCCTTGCAGGCATGGCCAGTTCGCTCTCCGGTACATAACCCCCTGACCGAGCCAAGGTGCCATCCACCTCTCCCTCAACTCTTTTTAAGCTCCCAAGGACGGATTTGCCTAACTTGGTCACACCGTGGCCGACTAATCCTACTGCTTCCACAGCGGGATCGAAAGGGTTACGTCGTCTGTGCTCCTCGTCTTCCACATGGTGCTTGCCTTGAATATCGCGATGCAGGACCTGGTTGATAGTGTGAGCCTGATGCGGATCACCAGAGCTGATACCAGCACTTGCGGCTAGCTGCGCGGCATGCTGGTCGGTGGCTTTCTTCTGCTGGCCGTCGACTTCCTTCGCACTCAACCCAGCCTTTTTTGCTGCGGCCTTAGCCTGCTTCAGTTGGGCTTTTTTGCATTTGACGATCAGATCGGTCTCTGCAGCCTCCAGTTTCAAAGCCAGCGCATCGCGCATCTTGACCTTCTCATTGAGGTCATCAAAGTTGCGGTTGATCCATATGTTTCGAATGCCACCGGGGAAAACGTCATAGAGGGCATCCAAGCGCTCGACTGAGAGCCAGCTGTCAGGGATGGCCGTGACCAGTACCGTTGTCGCAGAAGCTCGAAGCCGATGTTGTGGAGAGGTCAAGTACGCCTGTCGCAGGCGAATATAACCTTTGAGCTCATCAAAGAATACTGCGCAAACATAGACAATGATGATGACGGCCATGATGAGATGCGCCCAGTAGCGATGAACGTGCTCCGGGGCGACATTGCCCCAGGCCAGTTGATCTAGACCAGTGACATTCCACCGATCACCTGTCCCAGTAGCATTCTTGTAGTGTTGGTCTTTTCCGTCTACTTTGTTGAGCGGTAATAAGACAGGCAGTACTATGCAACCCAGAGGGACAAAGATCTTGAGAAGCATGCGCAGGTATCGCAGGAAGAAATAAGCATCCAAGCCACATTTTTGGATGAACTCGGAACTGGACGTGCGAAAAACAGGGCCAATCCAGCGAAATAATCCAGGCGGGGAAGGTTGTGTTCGTTCTCTGTCCGGGACCAAGTATGTTCTGGGTTGACTATGAAGAAACATGATATTAGCGATTGATGTATACCGAACACAGCCAGAGACACTTACTAGATACGAGTGAGCTTTCCCTTCAGAAGTAAGAAGAGCAGGAATTCGACCGCGAAGACGATCAAGGCAGTTGCCAACGAAGCCAAGAATGTTTGGATTGAGACGCCTTCGCTTCTCTGACCGTTTCCACCTGCATGCTCGAGGGCCTGCCCCAGATCGGACGCCATCCTGCGCGGTATACCGGTCAAGCTTTGAAGTCTGGTCTCCTTTTCTTTTTTCTGTTCTTTCCGCAAGAAGTGTCGGAGAGGACTGTCGCAAAGCAATAAAGATGATGTCACCTGGTATAGACCTCTTCGACGTTGTATAGGTAGGTATTCAGGAGGTGGTGCGCATCACAAATCGACAGGCAGTCGCAATATTAACAACTCAACTCAGCACAGCGTCATATCGCAGTGAAGGAGTCCATGATGCTATAGAAGGGTTATGGTCAATAATTCATTCAATAACAGGCGGGGCAGATCTGAAACATAACAACACATACAAAGAGAATAATAAATCTGAAAGGGAGAGTGAAGAGGAGGGACATCAACAGAATTAACAGACTGAAGAAGGTGGGAAAAGGGCAGACACCAGACAAGTTAACAGAGCACAGATAGATCGAACAATGACAACAGTGGCTCCAAGCCGTCAACTGCTCCACGATTCGATCGGGTCCTTCACCAGGTAGCCGCCAAGTCATGAACTGCGAATGTGCCCATCATTCGTGGAGCTGTAGTTACTGGGGATGGGCGATCACTAGTAGTGACTTAGACCTTCGTGAGTGGCAGAGTGCCACTGGTTAAATGACATCAAGCGCCTACTAACCCCAACGGAGATTGCAACGGGCGCTTCCTCACTGTGGTAGTGTGGTGGGAGGGCGCCAAGTTGTCTAATTGTTTCGTGTTTATACTGGGAGACTTGGAGGATTGGATAGAAGCGGTTGATAAAAAAAGATACATCCCATCGATTCGTTGACCTTCTAGGAAAATAGGTCTATCTAGACGCCTACATAGAGAATGATCTCTATGTACAGAGTAGATGTTCTTGTCTCTTTGAGCTGGAACAATACGTAGGACTGAATAAGAGCATGACGGGTTCTTGGCGCCATCCTGGTCGCTCCTTCCTTCGTTGTTCGTGTGAGTCTGCAAGACTGCAACCTGCAGCTTCCAAGTAGGGTAAGGATCCCCCTTTTGGTGTACTCCGTAATTCCTTCTGGTTGGCTGTTAGTGCTGCTGGGAGTGACGTCGGTTCCAGGGACGGGAATGCACAGCCACTTTGCTTGATTTCCCAGGGGAGGCTTCCACGTGATGTGGCTGGTGCTATCGCGCTGTCCCAAAAAGGGAAACCTCTTTACGCGTGGTCGCGTAGCAACGCGTCAAGGGGAAATCACATATCACATTGGTCGTCGAGAGAAAATTGATTCCCTTGATGGAACTGTCCTGTCCCTCTGTGATACCAACCACCACCACAACATCGTCAACCGCATTGTTCTTTCACTTTGATTCTAGTTCGAAAATCAATCAGAGTGGGTTCACCTAGAGGGCAAATATATATTTTTTTTCTCTCAATTTAAAGTCCTATAATCAACCATGTCTTCTCCCGCTTCCACTCGGCGAAGGGGCCGCCCGGCGAAAGATTCAGCAACTTCTTCTCCTGCACGGTCAACTCGTTCTCGTCAGATTCAGACCAGCAGCCCGACAAGATCCGCAGATGAACAGTCACAAGCGACCCCTAGGGCTTCAAGGCGCCTGAGAGGCGAAGGACCAGTACCCGAGTCGTCGCCCATGTTTTTCCAGTCCTCGCCATTGAAAGGTGGCAGCAGCAGCGCCGAAACCCCAGATGTGAGAATGGATGAGCCCAGCTCTCCCGTGAGAGCGTCTTCTACAGCAGATGAAGGAGAAAGGACACCGCGGGGCAATGCCCCAACTATGAGAGGTAGCGTTCATATTTTTTTTTTTTTTTTGACACCAACGATTGTTCTTGGTTAACAAACTTGTGTCAGATTCGTCTCCCATTCGGTACATGTCGAGTTCCAGTCCGACCAGAGCTTATAACCGCCAGTCCCAGCGTTCCGATATTCCCAGCAGCAGCAGTGGGCTGTTTGTTTCATCCCGACCTGGCATCGAGGGCCATCGTGCTGCGTCCCGCCGCAGCGACTTGCACTCTGGTGGCTTTGGATCCACACCAAATCGTCGCCGGCGGTTATTTGTTGATGCCAACGGGATGCCCGCTGGGGATGGTGACCCACGCTCCGATGCGACGTTCTCGAACCTTCATCCGGATACTTCGGAGGCCGAGGTTTTGGGTGGCAGTTCCACTCGCGTCATCTGGGGTACCAACATTTCCATCCAAGATTCCATGTCCGCCTTTAAGAATTTCCTGCACAACTTCCAAACCAAATATCGTCTATGGGCGGAGGGAGCGACTGAGGATGAGACCCGTATAATGGGTGACACTGCCGAGGAACGCGAATATATCAACATGCTGAACACCATTCGCCAACTGGGCGTGACCAGCTTGAACTTGGATGCCAAGAACCTCAAGGCGTATCCCGCGACGCTGAAACTGTGGCATCAGTTGCATGCCTACCCGCAGGAAATCATCCCGCTGATGGATCAGGCTGTGAAGGATGTGATGGTGGAGCTCGCGATCAAGGAAATGGAACGCCTACGGACGCAGAATCAACGCAACCAAAACCATGCCAGGGACTTGAGCTCGGGCCCTGCGGGTCCTAGCTCTGATGCCCTCAGTGAAACCGGCCGCATGCCGCAGACCGAGATCCCGGATCTTGTTGGCGAAGTGGAAACGAAGACTTTCAAGGTTCTGCCATTCGGCCTTGACGCTACTGTCAACATGAGAGATCTTGACCCTGCAGGTACGTTTGGAAACTGCTCCCGTTGTTATTCCTCAACTAAGATTTTCTAGATATGGATAAATTGGTGAGTATCAAGGGCTTGGTCATTCGGACAACTCCCATCATTCCTGATATGAAAGAAGGTACGATATAGATTCATTGCTGCATGCCTGCATCGAGATTACTGACTCTTTTTTTCCTCAGCCTTCTTCCGTTGTCAAATCTGCAATCACGGTGTTCAGGTGGATATTGACCGGGGAAAGATCGCCGAACCCACTGAATGTCCACGTCCAGTGTGCAAGGAACGAAACTCGATGCAACTGATTCATAATCGCTGCGTATTCGCCGACAAGCAGGTAATCAAATTGCAGGAGACCCCCGACAGTATCCCTGATGGTCAAACTCCTCACTCAGTTTCGCTTTGTGTCTACGATGAATTGGTCGATGTCTGTAAAGCTGGTGACCGAGTCGAAGTAACGGGTATCTTTCGGTGCAACCCTGTCCGCATCAACCCTCGCCAACGTACTCAAAAGTCTCTGTTCAAGACGTACATCGACGTGCTTCATGTTCAGAAGATCGACAGGAAGAAGCTGGGTATTGACGTCTCGACCATTGAACAAGAGCTTTCCGAGCAGGCTGTTGGGGACGCTGAACAAACCCGCAGGATCTCAGCAGAAGAGGAGGAGAAGATCAAACGCACTGCCACCCGACCTGATCTGTACGAACTTCTGGCTCGGTCCTTGGCTCCCAGCATTTACGAGATGGACGACGTGAAGAAGGGTATCCTTCTGCAGTTGTTCGGTGGCACGAATAAGACGTTTCAAAAGGGCGGCAATCCGCGGTACCGTGGTGATATTAACGTTCTTCTCTGTGGTGACCCGTCCACTTCGAAGTCTCAACTTCTCCGATATGTTCACAAAATCGCTCCCCGCGGTGTGTATACCAGCGGTAAGGGTTCTTCCGCTGTCGGTCTTACAGCGTATGTCACCAGGGACCCCGAAACCCGCCAGCTTGTCCTCGAATCGGGTGCTCTGGTTCTCTCAGATGGTGGTATCTGCTGTATCGATGAGTTCGACAAGATGAACGAGTCCACTCGGTCTGTGCTGCACGAAGTCATGGAACAGCAGACTGTGTCCATTGCCAAGGCAGGCATCATCACCACCCTGAATGCTAGAACGAGTATTCTTGCTTCTGCCAATCCCATCGGGAGCAGATACAATCCTAACCTGCCCGTTCCTCAGAATATTGATCTGCCACCAACCTTGCTGTCTCGATTCGACCTGGTCTACCTTGTTCTGGACCGTGTAGATGAGCAGGAAGATCGCCGGCTTGCGAAGCATCTGGTCAACATGTACCTTGAGGACCGGCCGGACAATGCCGCCGAGGAAGAGATCCTGGTAAATGCCAATAGTGAAGTCATGACGCATTCCTGAGCATAAGCTAACTGCCTTAACTTTGCAGCCTATTGAGTTCCTTACGGCCTACATTACCTACGCTAAGACCAAGGTGCATCCCGTACTCACTCCTGCGGCCGGCAAAGCCTTGTCGGACGCCTATGTCAACATGCGCAAGCTCGGCGATGACATTCGCTCTCATGATCGCCGTATCACCGCCACGACTCGTCAACTCGAGTCCATGATCCGGCTGTCGGAAGCGCACGCCCGTATGCGGCTGTCGACTGAGGTCACCGCGGATGATGTGGAGGAAGCTGTGCGTCTGATTCGGTCCGCAATCAAGCAAGCAGCTACGGACTCGCGGACTGGCCTGATCGACATGGGACTGTTGACTGAGGGCACGAGTGCTAGCGAAAGACGCAACCGTGAAGCACTGAAGCGCGCCCTGCTGTCCGTGGTTGACGATTTGTGCAGCAGGGGAGGCGCTGCGCGGTGGGCGGAGGTCTTCAGAGTCTTGAACGAGAACAGCAGCACCGAGGTGGATGGTGCTCAATTCGCAGATGCCGTTCGCGCGCTGGAGACCGAAGGCGCTGCCAGTGTTATTGGCGAGGGTGCGCGACGGAGTATCCGGCGTATCGGAGGCACTCTCTTATAAGTGTGAGATCTCTTGAGAGGTGATCGGATGATGAGACATGATGCGATGGATTTCTAGATAATATTTCATGGTTTCTACCTGGGGGACCTACCTACCAGTTATCGGGATTCTGGTGGTGTTTTTCTGGCGTTCGGGTTTGTTGTTGTTACATAAATGTTACTTGATCCCCAGTCAACGAAACAATGGATGAGTCTATACCAAATAATGCATACTTGCATACTGAGATACTAGGTTAAAGCGATGGAGAGAAGTGCAAAATAATCGTGCGTTTGGGGATGTATTGGCAATACCAGGTGTAAGAAATCTAGCCCAGCGCCACTGGTGATGGTGTAGCGCTAGCAGCGCACATGCTGGAATGGCAGAGGTTGAGAGGCCAAACCAAATCTCAGCCCCCCTGTTAGTCACTGGATACTAGTGCAAGTCAAGCTCTTAGTGTACCACTGTGGTGTCAGAGTCAGCCTGTGAAGACCAGGTTGTGTTTGAGAAGCATCCAAGAGGCAATAGTGAGAGCAGAGAAGAAGACTGAGGAGTGGTGAGTTTTTTGTTAAGAGCAATTGATGCAAGATGGAGTTTTTGAAGTAAGGGAGAATACCACATGATGTAATTGCAATACACGTGCGGCGCGAGCTTGGCAAATGACGCCTTGATAAAGACTCAGAACTTAAGAGTCAAGACTGAGAGAGATACGGCAATCATCCAGGGATTTTGGGGCAGCCGAGAAGTCCAGAACAAAGATCAAGCTAAGGAGAACGGTGAACCCTAGCTAACTGATTTCCCAGCCCGAGTACATAACGATCCATTCGTCTCTTTTCCTTCCTGATCCTTGCTCGGTTTTTCTACTTCCAAGGCAGAATGCCCTCTTGACTCCTCCCGCCTGCCTCCCTCACTTCCTCTGTATTTCCAGCATTTATCAACCTCGCTCAAATCAGCTGGTTGCTTTTCAATTCCTTCAATCTCGCCCCGATAGTGCTCCGTAGGACACACCTACGCCAATCATGAAGTGAGTTTCTTGACTCTCGACCAATCTCTCGTGTATCGCTCTGTGTCACTGACCGCCTAGGTTCGGCGAGCATCTCCGATCATCCATGAACAAGGAGTACTTCTGGTACTACATCGACTACGGCACGCTCAAGAAAGCGCTCAAGACCGGCTACGTCAGCGACCCGACGCCCGAAAACCCCAAGCCCGACCCCAAGCCATGGACGGAGGAGAACGAGAAGCGCTTCGTGTCGCTGCTGGAGAGCGAGCTGGACAAGGTCTTCAACTTCCAGAAGATCAAGAGCGAGGAGATCGTGCGCCGCATCCAAGCAAGCGAGAAGGAGGTGAATGATGTCGTGGCGCGGCTGGATACTGCGACCGATGCGCGGCGGCACAGCGTGCGGCCGCCAGTTGCTCCGCCCTCGGATGAGGACTTCCTGCTGTTGGAGCAGGTGCTGAGCGATATCATTGCCGATGTGCATGATCTTGCCAAGTTTACACAGCTGAATTATACAGGGTTCCAGAAGATTATCAAGAAGCATGATGTACGTTCCCCTCCCCCCCTCTGTGGTTTTCAATTAGAAAAGTTGACTGGATCTAGAAACAAACGGGATGGCATCTGAAGCCTGTGTTCGCTGCCCGGCTCAAAGCCAAGCCCTTCTTCAAGGACAACTATGATGCTTTCGTGGTGAAGCTCTCGAAGCTCTACGATCTGGTGCGCACCAAGGGCAATCCCGTGAAGGGAGACTCCTCGGCTGGAGGCACACAGCAGAACTTCGTTCGCCAGACAACCAAATACTGGGTGCATCCCGACAATATCACCGAGTTGAAGCTGATTATTCTCAAGGTATGGTATTTTACATCGAGATTGTTTTTATCGTGCTGACCACCACTAGCATCTTCCCGTTCTTGTCTTCAACCCAAACAAAGAGTTTGAAGAAAAAGACACCGCCATCTCTTCCGTTTACTTCGATAATACCGACACATGGGAGCTGTACATGGGACGTTTGAAGAAAACGGAGGGAGCGGAAGCGATCCGGTTACGTTGGTATGGCGGAATGGAGAGTGACCAGATTTTTATTGAGCGAAAGACCCATCGCGAAGACTGGACTGGTGAGAAGTCGGTCAAAGCACGCTTTTCGTTGAAGGAGAAATATGTCAACGCCTACCTGTCGGGTCGCATGACCGTGGAGAGCATATTCGAGAAGATGCGCAAGGAGGGCAAGAAGAGCGAACAGGAGATCAATGACCTGGAGCAACTGGCGCGGGAGATCCAGTATCGGGTCATCAGCCGCCGGCTGGAACCTGTGACTCGAACATTCTACCACCGGACGGCTTTCCAGCTTCCCGGAGATGCGCGAGTTCGTATCTCTTTAGATACTGAGCTGTCCATGATACGGGACGACAACCTCGATGGCCGCCAGAGATCAGGGAACAACTGGCGTCGAATGGACATTGGTGTCGACTGGCCCTTTCCACAACTGCCGCCGGATGACATCGACCGATTCCCTTATGCGGTGCTTGAAGTCAAGCTGCAAACCCAAGCTGGCCAGGAGCCGCCCAAGTGGATTCGTGAGTTGACCGCAAGTCATTTGGTTGAAGCGGTGCCCAAATTCAGCAAATTCATCCACGGGACAGCGACCCTTTTCCCGGACCGCATCAACCTGCTTCCCTTCTGGATGCCCCAGATGGATGTAGATATCCGGAAGCCAGCGACTCGCCGATTCGGAATCCAGCGGCCCCTTGCCAGTACTTCTCTATCCGCCAACGAAACCCCAGAAGACGACGAATCGGATGAGGACGAGTCGGACGAAATTCAGGTTCGTGCTCGTGCCCGAGGCGCGGCACCTGATGGACGGCCCTCATTGGAAGAAGTCGAGCCCAATGCTTTGTTCGAGGAGGATGGGAACTCGCTAGATATTGAGGAGCGTATCGCCGCTCAACCACTTCCCGGAGACGAAGACTATCCCCTATATGATTCGGACGAGGAGTCGGTCGACTCTGACGAATTGGAAGAAGCTCGCAGAGTGGGCGGTCGATACTATTACGGAAAGCTCTTTCAGTTCTACACCCATCGCTTCGGCCATGCATTGATCAACGGTCTTAAGGCCATTGCTCCCGGCCCACGGCCCACTAGCCTTCCCGCCCCAGAACAACGCGGTATCAGCGTGATGGGTACCGAGCGGTCAGTCAAGCGATTCATGGCTCCCAAGGGCAAGCGTAAGTGTTTTTTTCTCCTCCCGGTCCCCTCTTCTCTTCACCGAACGAACCCAAACTCACATCTCCAGGTATCCACGTGCCCGTTCGCGTCGAACCCAAGGTCTACTTCGCCGCCGAGCGAACCTTCCTGTCCTGGCTGGAATTCTCGATCCTCCTCGGCACCATCGCAGCCACCCTGCTCAACTTCGGCAACGACTACATCACCTTCGCGTCCTCGTGGGCGTTCACCATCCTCGCGGCCGCGGCGCTCCTCTACAGTCTGGTCCTGTACATGTGGCGCGTCGACAAGATCCGCAAGCGCAGGGATGTCAAACGCGTGTATTATGAAAAATGGGGCCCCACCGTCGTCGGCCTTGGCCTGGTCACCGTCATGATGGTGAATTTTGGCCTCCGCGCGCGGCAGGCCGGGTTTACGTCGCGCGATGGCGGTTCTGGGCATTTTGGATCTGGTCGGGGCTCGATGGGAGGCGAGTTGTAAATGTCTTTTTTTTTTTTGTTTTACTTTTAGAACGAAAGCATGATGATGTTTATGTTATGTGAATTGTGAACTACGAGGGCGGAACTCTGACTCGGCTGATTGATGATTTTTTAACATCGGATGCCGTCCGTGACATTGTTTGTACAAAGCATTACTTGATATTCATATTTCATCTGACTCATAGCCTTATCTCAATACCGTAAAGTGAAGTAGGGTGAAGTTGTACACACTCTCTATCTGCCCTTCCAAACAACTGCTTAGTTGTAGTTGACAACCGGGACGATCGTATCATCCAGGCTGACAGCGCCGGGGTTGCTCTTCTCGATGCCAGAGTACTTGTTGATCCAGCCGAGCACCTGCTGGTGCCACACGAGGCTGTTCTCGGGGTTGACGACCCTACTCCATATTTAGCCTCAAGCCACACAGCACACCAGAACATCCTGGGAGGGGAGACATACCAATGGTTCTCATCCGGAAAGTTCAAGAAGCGACTCGGCACACCACGCTCCTGGAGCACATTGAACAGCGACAGGCCCTCCGCGACGGCCAGCCGGTAATCCTTATCGTTGTGGATGACGAGCTGCGGGGTGCCGAACTGGCGGATGTGCTCGGGCGCGGAGGGGTCGAAGCGGCGGTAGTTGTCGCGGGCGTCCCAGAAGGTGCCGTTGAACTCGCGCTGCATGAACCAGAGCTCGTCGGTGGAGATCTTGGCGTCGGCGACGAAGGTGCCGTCGTGCGAGACGAGCGCCTTGAACCGGCGGCCCAGATCGTTGCCCTGGATCCAGTTGACCATGAAGCCGCCGTAGGACGCGCCGGCCGCGATGCCGTGCTCCGTGTCGACGAAGGGGAGGTTCTTGTTAACGTACTCCCAGCACTTGACGAGGTCGTCGTAGGGGGCACCGCCTGGTTCGGGGAGTGTTAGCGGGGGAGGTGTTTTTTGTGTGGGGGAGGGGAGGGGGGAGGAAGGGCAAGGCAAGGCAAGGGAAAGACAAACCCCAGTTGTTCTGGATCTCGTCGGTGAGTTTCTGGCCAAAGCCGGTGCTGCCGGTGGGATTGGGTGCGACAACGACGTAGCCCTGGTCGGCGAAGGTCTTGGGGTTCCATCTTGAGCTCCACGAGTCGGCCCACGAGCCCTGGGGACCACCGTGGATCAGGAACGCCAAGGGATACTTCTTGGACTTGTCGAAGTTCTCGGGGTAGACGACCCAGGCGTGGATCTAGTTGATTCTTTAGTCCATAGCAACCAGAAGAGAGGGGGCAGAGGTGACAGTCAACTTACGTCGGTCCAGTTGCCCTTGAAGTAGATCTCGCTCACGTCAGAAGGACCCAGTCCCTTGAGCTCGGGGTCGATCTCGTTGGCCGAAGCAAGGGTCTTGATGACTCCCTTGGCCGGGCTGGCCGTGTAGACATTCCAGTTCGTCCAGATGGCGGTACCAGTGACCAGCAGGCTGCGATCGGGCAGGAAGTAGTAGGCCGAGACCGCGCCGCCGTCGGTGAAATTCTTGGGCTTGAAGTCATCGCGCGCGGTGGCAGGGATGGCGAACAGGCGCGAGCGGCCCTTATCCTCGCTTCCGACGATCAGGGTCTTTCCATCGGGGGTCCACTTGATGCTGTCGGGCGAGCGGTCCCAGTTTCCAGCCACGCTGGGGATGGTCTTCTTGGAGCCGATCGAGTAGACGTACAAGACGCGGCGGTCAGCTTCATACGTCTCATCCTTCATCTGGAGGTAGGCAAGCTTCTCGCTGTTTGGCGAGAACACGGGGCTGTTGGCATCACCCTTGATGCCCTTGGGCGTGCCAGGGCTGTCCGGGCCGTTGATGGCGAACGCCTTCTCCGAGCCATCATGGGGCACAAGGTAGATGTAGGCCGTGGTGAAGTTGGCCTTGGGTAGCTCGGGAGCCTTGCTCTTGAAAGCGACCCACTTGCCGTTGGGGGACAGGTCGTAGTCGGAAGCTCCGCCAAAGGGTGGGTAGGGGCTCTCGGCGTTCCTGACGGGGGAAACCAGGTTCTTGACAGCCCCATCCAGGGTGTAGCCCTTCTTGTTATTGCCCTTCTTCAAGGTACCGGAGAAGACGGCATTGAAGGTGGTGGTGAGGTAGGAGTCCCAGTGGCGCACGTAGATGCTATCATAGATCCGGGCCGAACTAAGGGGCTTCTCGACGAGCTCTTCATTGTACGCCGTACCGTTGGCATAGGACTGGGCGTAGGCGACGAAACGGATATCGCCGGATTTGGTCGTGACGGTCTTGAAACCAGAGAAGGCGGCTGGCAGGGAGGCTGCTTTGTATCTTCAGGGCTTGTCAGTGGGAAAAATTCATCGTACCAATAATGTCGAAGAGAACATACCCGTTGGTGAAGCTCGAAACCTGAGTCACCCACAGCTCAACACCTCCTGGGACATCTGCGTTGGTGCCGTTGACATACAGAAGGGTCGAGTCATCGGTGCCCAACCAGAGGATCTCAGACACGCTGCTGTCGTTGGTGAGGATCTTGCTTTGACCAGTCTTCAGATCCAACAGACTCCACCACGAGGACCGCTTGTGCTTCTCAAACGAGTATTGCGACGTCGAGAAGACACCGATTTCCTAAGAGATATCTTAGCCACACAAGCTCAACGGACATGCTATCCATGGCCTCGACTTACACCCGATGGGTTGGGGATAACTTCAGATCTTCTGGGAGCGCTGATCATCTTCCTGTATAGATCACCACATCATTAGAACCGCCTTTTTTTTTTTTTTTTCTTCTTCTTCTTCGCAATACTGCAATCTCATGAACATCACTTACTCGGGGGTCATGGCCAAGGCCGTCGACGCCGCCGCAGCGACAACAGATAGCCATGTTAAAGCTCCCATCTTGAAATCAGATCACAATCAACAGGAGAAATCCTTTCTCTGACTGAGTGAGAGAAAAAAAAAAAAAGAGAGAGACCCCCCCTGGCCAGCGGAGGGAGCAGCCATTGCGCAATTTATGGCCTGGCAGGAACCCCGGTCACCTCCGCACTGTTTCCCAAATCCATATAACAAAGAAGCGCGGAAATATGACGACCTGCCTGATAAGGACAAAAGCGAACGCACGTCGAGCCATTACTGACGCGATACTGCTCCCAGCAATTTGATAAACAGGTTACCTCCACGGAATGGATCTCGTCCCCACGCCGGACGGGCTTAGCGGGCGGGCATCGCAGCAAATACAGTCTAAACAGCTCGCTAGCAGCTCATATCATTCATCAAGTGTTGGTCTCCACGTCTTGGGTTACACTGCCAAGCATCAGCGAAGCAATTGTACTGCAAGATGGCACCATTCAGTGACACTGTAGGAAATGAGCAAGGTCTAGCTAGGAACTCGACTGGGCTGCTTCGTGCTGTCAGCAAGGACCGATTGTAACCAGGGTCAGAACCTCACATAACCGAGTCTCGTAGTCTCGTAGATACATCAAATCTGCCACTGGACTCTGGAGGGTCTTCTTGGCTCTTGGTATTGTCAAGCTTCGATATCCATCATTGGGCTAAAGCTTGCGATGGCGTTGATGGAGGAATCCTGCCGGGGGTGAGGTTGATAGAAGACCGTCGGAAATCCCACCCGCCAAGAGCCTGAAATGAAGATGAGCCAGACTTGGCCTCATTTGGGGAGAGTATTTGCTTCATTGCTTCCAATTCCCGTAATCTCACTGATTGGGTTTCTCTCGGCAAGTAAGACAGTGAGATTATAGCAGGAATGCGGAATTTATCGAGCCTCTAAGAGCACGTTGTCACCATGCTCATCGGATGGTGGGATTCCATAGATATCAACCTAGACAGTGGACCGCTAGGGATGCAGCCCAGTTCTGTTCTGTCCAGTCCTATTCGGGCCAAAAGCGAGGGGGGGGGGGGTGGTTCCAATTGAAGCTGATCATACCACAGTATGGATAGAGAGATACATATTTACACAACTCCGCGCCTATCATGCAAAAGGAAGAATCATTCAATATTCAAAGTCATCGTCCACACCGCCCTTCCCGCTGCTCTCTTTCAGAACAGCCTCCTGCTTTCGATACATCTCTGCCACAGCCCTCGTCGTCGTCGCCTGATCGGGCTTCTTGTCGTCGCGAGACTTGATGAACCGTGGGAACCGGAGGGAGACACCCTTTCCGCCACCAGCGGTCCCCATAAACTCATCCGCGGCAGCCTTGTACCGCGGGCTCAGGGTCAGGTCCGCTGTCTTGACTTCCCATACCAGCCGCGGTTCGAACCACACATCGGGTTGGTCTTTGGGGACGGTAGAATGCGAGTAGAAGGGCTTGGGACGGTCGATCGTCAGTGGTGAAAGTTCCTGGTAGAACTCCTCAAGAGCGGCTTCGGAAAATCCGGTTCCAATATTGCAGACTGTCTCATAGGTCTGCGTGCTGGAGTTATACGCAGCCAGGAGGAAAGCGCCGTAGACGGACGTCCGCTTGCCACGGCCATGGTAGGCACCCAACACGACGAGATCAAGAGAGTCTCCGACGCCGGCGAGATAATCTTTCTTGACCTAGAAATCCGTCAATTCCAACAGGTCCGAAACAAAAGGCCAGATTGAGCCATACCTTGAGCCAGTTACGACTTCGTTTGCTGGGCTCGTAGCCACTCTCTTCCGTGTCCAGCATCTTCACCATCAAGCCTTCGCATGATGCCTTGACGCTGTCGTCGAGGAGGGTCTGGATCTCTTCCAGATCATTGGTATCGCCATGCTGGGCAAATTGGAACTCGCCCTCCGATACGTTGAAGGAGCTGTGGAGAAGTTCTCGTCGGTCTCGTAACGACTTCTTGACAGTAGCCTGTGCGTGAAGTTAGTGGCAGTGTTCGGGCCATGTTCGGGCCATGTTCGCCCGAAGCAATCTGAACTCACCTCGCCATTCAGAAACAGAAGGTCAAACGCAAAAATGCAGACCTTGACCTTGACATCCTCTGCCTTGACGTCCTTGCGCTTGCGCGTCATCAGCTGTTGGAACGGGAGAACCTTCTTGTTCTCCATGTCCCAAGCCACGGTCTCGCAATCCAAGACAAAGCTCTTCACTCCGTCCTTGACCCAGTTGTCGAGTTTAGCCAGTACATCGGGGTACTTCTTCGACAAGTCTTCCGAGTTTCGAGAGAAGATGGCACTAAGCCCCTTTGAATCTCTCTGTAAGGTAGCGGTCGCGCCTGGATAATGCTTAATGGCATCAGGAGCAACATAGTGGATCTGAGCTCGCTCCCCGTCGTACTTGTATTCGCAGGTGAAATCCTTGCCCTCAAATCGGTTGAGCACTTCCGTAATGGATTTGGTAGGCTTCGCAAGCATGGGCTTGATGGGAACGCCTGGTTGCAACTTGCAGACCTTGGGCAGATCAAGCAGGCCATGCTCGAGCATCGCAGGAATAATGACTTCGTAGGCAGGCAGCTCGCTGTACACCGTCTTCAAGACCGCCTCACCCTGAGCCATCTTCTCGGGAGTCGGCAACTTTTCGCCCTTCACAGCGGCTTCGTGGGCCACCACTGCTTGAGCCAGTGCCACAAGAACTGTCTTCTCGGCCAGACCCAGTCTCAATTTCCCTTCCAGGAATCGGACTATGAATTTGGCTTCGCTAGGACCCCCCTTGTCCTTTGTAATATCGACACCCTTACCCACCGTTGCAGCATCAGCCGCAGACAGTAGTTTTTTGATGGCGGAGATCTTCTTCTCTTGGGATCCCTGACCCTGGATCTTGGCAATAGCAAGTAGGCCTTCATGCACTCCCCTGACAGTCAATGGCTTTGGCTTGAACATGGTTGGCTGGTTGGAACGACTCTTGGCCGCCACCAAACCCAGATCGCCGATCTCGTGTTGGTCTGCTTTGATCACCGCCAGGCTACGACCGGTACTCTCGCCGATGGCCTTCATGATGAATGACTCGCCGATACCCAGCTCAATCCCCGCGTAGTCGGCAGCCAGCTTGTTAATCATCAGCTGAACTGTAGGGAGAAGATCTTGTGGCGTCAAGCGGAGAACTTGACGCAGGAAAAGAGAACAATGCGCTAAGATGATCAATCGCTTTGTGGTCATCTCAATGAGGGAAAATGTCTTGCACAGAGCAGCATATGGGACGGGCTGTCTTGGTTTCCAGTCAGGATATGGCTCAGTCCCTGTCGCTTTCAATGTCGCCTGCACTTTTTCCATCGTCTTGGTCATCACTTCGGGCTTGTCTTCCTCCTCGTCGCTGACTAGTTCCAATTCCTCCTCGTCCGATAGTTCAGACTCCTTTTCGGGGGTTTCTTCACCAGATGATTTCCTGATAACGGCAGGAGGAGAGGCTTCTTTAGCCTTACCCCCGCGCTTTTTAGGACTCTTGGGGGACGGCGACTTCTTGCGCACAGTGGGGGCAGCTTCTGCTCCCCGCGAACTTTTCCGGCGTCGTTTCTGTGCTGGTTGGATATCGGAGTCACTGTCTTCATCGCTGCTCTTCTCTCTCTTCAAAGACTTGGCGCTTGGAGAACCGTTTGGTTGAGCCACCGCGGCCTCCTTGGGAATATCCTCCATCTTCACATCCACCCCATTTTTCAACTCGGCCACGGCTGTTGATACGGATGGGGACTGTTCCGAGCTCGGTTCTTCTGCGGCGGCATCGCTCTTCTTGTCTTTCTTGCTCGAAAAGGCGAGGGTGGTCTGCTTCTTGGGCGCTCCTTTTGGCGCATCCGCACTGGAGCCGAAGAACCTCCTGTTATTTTGAAAATCGGATCCATCAGTAAACTCGGTTCATGATGTCAAAAACTATCCACCTGTTTCAACCCGTATTCAGACGCACCCGAGGGTTAATTGAGAATCCCGAACATACCCCAATGTAGCTTGTTTTCTGCCCTTGGAGTCGGCCATTGGACAGAGACTAGTGTTCAGCGCGCAGGGGTAGGTCGCTGTCTGTGATAGACAGATAATCCGTGACGAAAGCGCAAGCTGAAAGCGGCTAGGATAAGCAGAGCAAAAAGTACGATGAGAGCTTCTTGTTATCGTGGTGGAGGCAACAGATCTGCGGCAAGACTGCAATATCGGCGCAATCGACGCGGTGATGCGGAGAAGGGGCATAGACGTGGCGGAGAAAACAATTGTTAGAGAAATAAGGTCGCAGGGTAATTGCGAGCCTAGAGCATTATATAGGCTTTACTTCAATGCTTTCCCTCTTCTTTTTTCTTATGATTCTAAAGGGGCCACCAAGGCAGCAACTCTCCCCTGCTAACAGACAGCCCAGGCAGCATTTTCGCGGTAACGCGACAAGGTGTGACGCGAGATTAATATAAATCACGTGCCTTTGCTCAGCTACAAGAACACACAGCGAACAATCACCGAGTATGGAGTAGAGCGATGACATTCTCCCAAGCATCTTTTCAAAGAGAGTGTCCATTGCCAATGTCAAGACTTCGAAGGACACATTACTGCCATGTTTGATATTGATTTCAGTGCTTCGACTGCGACTGAACGACATTCTACGGAGTATATGTTCAGGCCAAGAAAGGGAAAAGGCAAACAGTGCAAATAGCCAGCTATACACCGCCTTCAAACCACGGCAGAAAGGCGGGCAGAAGGCGGAGAGAGACATATGCTTCCATCATCACACCGAATTGCTTCGCTCGATTAATTTTGGTCGTCTGCTGCTCCAGTAATAACTTGCGGATAAATACCCTGTTGTCAGAAGCTAGGGCTTATGATCGGATGGACAAGTGCTTGATTTGGCACGATTGAACGGCTCGCCGAGCTGCGTCAGACTGATGGAGAATGTGCGGCAGGAGTCCTTCCGGAAGGTGAATCAGTCCTTGTGTGTAGTAGACCTGTCAGAAAATTGCTAACGAGAGTCATCCAGCTTCGTGCTCCATGTGTTGAGCTAAGCTCAGTAGGCCTTGCATTCCGCGGGCATCATAAAACTGCCAGCGATGTACTTCAAGCCCTCAACCCAGTTCACAGCATCCTGACCCAACTTGCCGATGAAGACGCTCTGGACGGGAAACTGGCCGAATATGCGTTCTTTCCTCTCTCCCATATATTCAACGAGACACAAAGACTTTCCGCAAGGTCTCTGGAGCTGGCAGTGGATTGCCTGCGGATCTTGATCGCGAAAGGATGGCGGCAGAATCTATCACCGCAATTGGGCAAGCAGCTCATAATATTGCTGACCCTCATTGCGGGCGGTACACCAAGCAAAACCAGCGGAAGCCAAACAGCGCAGTCACGGCCTGTGGAGTTAGGTATTGCCTGCTTCAAGTGCTTCGCAGCCATATTTAGCGTATTAGAAGGGCCTGTCGCTGAGCAAACGGTCTACCATGAGATCGGAACCGCCACCATTGTTGATCAAGCGGTTTATATCCTACTTGAAGGTGTTGAAGATGGTCGATCAGATGAACTTTGTGTGGCTGCCGCAGAGGCGCTCCGGGCCCTCTTTGGACGTATTACTGATCGAGTAGTGCTCGCCAGCATCATGCCACGAACGGTTTCGGCACTGACCAAGGTTCTGAAACCGACGACACAAACACGGCGCTCATATAAGCTTCTTACATTATGTTTACAAATTCTGACCAACATGCTCAAACTGGTGCTAAACGATCAAGTCGCGAGTGCAGTGTCGGATGAATCAAACAAGTCTCAGAAAGCAGATGATAGACTGGTACTTGATGACGCTTGGCTGAAAGCGACAACTACCCAAGTCAGACTTGCTCTCGCCAATGTCATCCAAATCAGGCGTCATAATCGGCCTGAAGTGCAGTCTGCACTCCTATGCTTATGCACGATGGTTATAGAAGACTGCGCTAACACGCTCAGCGAGTCAATTTCACTCATGGTGGAGACAGTCGTCGTCCTGGCAAACTCGGAGCAAGAGGAGATGTCGAACGCTGCGTCTACCACACTACACCATCTGGCTACCACATATCCCGCGGTACTAGATATCCTTAAGGACTCTCTCCAGACATGGATCACTACATTCCCAAGGACTATGCAGGGTAATGATGAAACAGCAAAGCAAAGGGGGATCAAGCAAATATCAACAGCGTTCCAGGTACTGTCACGGGTCCAGTTTAGATCCGACATTCTCACCACAGGGCTAGCATCAGGCTTATGTGATAGTGTTGCCGTTGCTGTCAACCTTACATCCAAGAATCCTCAGCCAGTAAAAGACGCGGTCAACAATCTAAGTCTAGAGGTGCTACACAAAGGACACCAGTCATTATCCTTTCCCTCTGTGCTGCTGGAGCATAGAAGCCAGCAACAGACTCTTCAGGATCTCCACTCAATGATCGTCAGACTTAACGAGTCGGAATCTGGCAACCAAATTACCCAGTCTATCGTCAACCGAATTCACCATGCCTCTGGGGACGCAATGATTGCACCATTCTGGCTCGCCCTGAATTTCTTAAAGAATAGATCAATGACAGCAACTACTTTCGATGACTTTATTTCTTCGGATCACATCGAAGTATCGACTGGAAATATCACTAGCAAAGGCATGATTGAGGAGTTGTATTATCTTTCCCTACCACTTCTCGATGAACCATTAGCAGAAACGCCCCGAGATTGGCGTGTTTCTGCTCTTGCATTGGAAACAGTCGCGCTCCAAGCACAGCAGCTTGGGGAGGCATTCCGTCCTGAGCTTATGGATGCACTCTACCCTGTCCTCCAGCTTCTCGCCTCAAACAATTCGAATCTTCAAAGACATGCAATCGTGTGTCTCGATATCCTCACCACGTCCTGCGGCTACGAAAATACTAGCACCATGATCATAGAAAACGTCGACTATCTTGTGAATTCGGTGGGTTTGAAATTGAACACGTTCGATGTGTCTCCTTATCCCCCACAAGTCCTCTTTATGATGGTAAAATTGTGCGGTGCCCAGTTAATACCATATTTGGATGATCTGGTTGACTCGATGTTCGGAATTCTGGATTTGTACCATGGCTACCCCAGGCTGGTTGAAACAATGTTCAAGACTTTGGCTGCCGTTGTCGAGGAAGGGACGAGAAATCCAGCGCTTCTAGCTATCACTGGTGGCAAAGAGGGCAAGGCTGTCGATCATCGCAAGCGCCATTATCAGAGACTGCTTGTCTCTACGCTTTCAGAGGATCTAGCTGACCGTAAGAGAAAGCGTGCCCAGTACATGGATGAAGATGCAGAAAGGGATGAAAAGATGGCACATCCCAAAAAGCCATGGAGAACGGAGGCTGAAAAGGCCGACCAAATGGATATCGACAACTTATCCGATCTCCTGAATGGCGAGGAATCGGACGAACCTCTTCCCCCCCCTCGTGAACCCGAAGATGAAGAGAAGCCCCTCAGCAAATCGCACACGATTCTTCTGCATATCGTGAAGTCGATACCAGCACATCTGACCTCTCCCTCGCCTTACCTGCGTCGGTCTTTACTCTCTATTCTCGTTCAGGTCTTCCCCTCGCTGGCCCAGAATGAGAACAGTTTCCTACCCCTCATCAATGATCTCTGGCCTGCCGTTGCTTCAAGAATCGCCTTCCCTTCGTCAGTTCTCGGTGGACCGCCCTCTAGCACCCTTACAGATGACTGGTCAGGGTCGTCAACGAATGCTCTCGAGAGGACCAATAAGCGCGAGCTCGGCAACTTCGATGCCCAAGAAGAACTCTTCGTAACCACGGCCGCCTGCGAAGCCGTGGAAATCATGTGCAAGACAGCCGGCGACTTCATGGCCTCGAGAGTCGAGACCGAATTCCCCCGCTGGGAACGGCTCTACCGCCGCGTATGGGACAAAGTCCGTCAAGACGCAGAAAAGGCAATCGAGCGACGAGCACAACATCAACCCACCAACACAGCAGCGGTCTCCCCGGCGCAACCAGATCCCAGCCTCACCATCCAATCCACCTCCTTATCCCTCACCATCTCCTCCGGCCCCTCCGGCTCCCGCGCTTTCACACCCTATCATACCCTCTGGCGCTCCCTCCTTACCCTCTTCATCACCCTCCTCACACACGTCCGCCTCCCCCTATCCACCGGCGACCAGATCTGCACCTTCCTCGGCGACTGGATAGCCCGCTACGTCGGACCAACCTACTACTCCCGCTTCCATCTGCAGAAACACGCGGGAACACCAGACGCGCGGGGCGCAGACCTCCAGCCCGTCGAACACGCCATCCAAGCCATGGAAACCTGGAACGCAGACCTGACCTGGTTCATCTTCGAGCGGCAGAAAACTCGGGCTCAGATGGCTGTGCCGCTGGCGTCGGCGTCGGCGGGGAGTAAGGCAGCTCGTCCGGTGGCGTTGATCAGTGAGGTTCCGGAGAATCCGTTGCAGTCGTGGTCTAAGTTGGCAGATCGGCTACGGTTTGCGGAAGTGGTTTTTTGAAATTGGATAGTGTCTGTTGCTGTTAGGTTAGGAGAGTTATACTATGTATGTGATGTACCCTTGGACAGGATGGTTTTGGATATCATTTATTTCACTTGTTCAACAATGCACATTACAAAACAATTTGAGTCCACTCGGCTTGTTTCTTCTTCCTTTACTGAATGTTTACTACGGTGGATGAATGAGCTAAGGTCAAGCAAGTGGTTGATTGACAACTATTGAAAGTTGTAGAATAGAACATTCCAATCAAAGCAACACTGTCACGTTGGAAGAGCGAAGATTGTCCAGAAGTGTAAAGAGCGGATTTCACCACTGCACATGTGGCAGATGAAGCATAGAGTACCCCGAAATCTTGATGAAACGAGCAATCATAGTTTCCCAATCTACTCGGAGTCATCACTGTCTTCCTCCTCTTCATCGCTCTCGGCGTTCTCGAGCCACTCGAGGAATGGCTGGGCAGCCTTGCGCACCTTCTTGCTGGTCGACAGGTCAACATATTTCTTGCTGGCCTTGGCGCCCCACGCCTTCAGAATTTCTTCGGAGACGAGATCGTTCTGGTAGTAACCCAGAAGGATAGCGGGGACCTGAGCAATCAGTTCCGGGCGGTCCTTGCCGACGAAACGCTCGGTTCCGCCAAGGAAGGACTTCTCGTGGCGCTCCGAAGTGATCATCTTCTTCAGCAAAGCAGCACGGGTGGGAATCTGCTTGACAATCTTGTCATCAAAGATGGTCTGAGCCAGAACAGCGACGGTCTTGTGCTTGGTCTCAATGCCAAATTCCTTGGCCTTCATGTAGATATCGACATCGCTGACCGCAGCAACGCCACCCTTCTCAGTAGCAGCTTCAAGAACCCAGCTGCCGAGCTGCTCGTAGGCGGATGGTCCATCAGGCTCTCCATCTTCGTCAGCATCCTCGAGGACGAGAGACCGCTTCAGATCATCGGGGAGTTCCTTGGCACGAGCCTTGACGGCCTCTTCAGACACGTCAACAGCCCACTCATCGTCATTGATGTCATCCTCGGCTTCGATGCCCTGGGCCTCGGCCTTGATGCGGCGAGTAAGCTCATCATCGCTGTTGGCTTCGATGGCGAGATCTTCGTCGGAGTTGCCGGAGTTGCTGTCTCCAGGGCTAGCATTGTCACCGTTCGTGGCCTCGTTCTTATCCTTGTTGCGACGAGCAGCGCGTCTGGCGGCCTTGTCCTTCTTCCCTCCCTTGGTGGAAACACGGTCGCGGATGATGAAGGTGCTCAGCTTCAGACGAGGGTCAACATCGGTGCGTTGACCGCAAGCCTTGCAGTCAAGGATGATCTTCTCGTCCTTGATGATGACATCCGTTTCAGGATTCTTGCATTTCTTGCAGAGCACGAACTTGGAGATGAAGCCATCGAGATAATCCTGAAGCTTGCCAGCGTCATGGGCGCCGTTGATGATCCAGCGATCATCGGTGGGCTTGGCATTGGCCTGAGCACCGAGTTCGAATCCGAAGTACTTGATCACATAGGATGGGGGACGGCTCAGAGACTGAGCGACCGAGTTCAGGTTGACAACGACAGTCTTGATACCGTTACCCTTGCCTTCGATCTTGGACTGGAGGCGCTCCATCTTGTAACGGTAGAAGGGGTCGGTGACATCGCGACGAATGTTAACGGTAGCCATGGTGAACGGTGGTTGAGGATGATTGTTTTCAGACTAGAGAAGCAAGCTGTTTGGAGAAGAAGCGGGAGGGACTCTGAACCAGGAATATCTTGAAGAAACAAGACATGCGTAGCGAGTTCCTTGACTTTGGAGAAGGTATGGTGGAACGGGGGTTAGAATCGTTTTCTTGAACCGATTTTGTACACAGCAAAAAAAACAGCAGCTTTCAGCCACAGGACTTTGAGTGTATGCTACAAGGTTTCAGCGCGGAGCGAAACGTTTGCAGCTTGAGCGGCAGGTGGTGGTCGAAATCTCTGACGCAGGACGAATACATAGACAAGTTCGCGACCGACTCTTTTTTCCTGGAGTGGCTTTCTCTGGCAATGGGACGAGAAACAAACCAACGGGGTGGTTGTTCTATAAGATGAGAGACAACTGAAGTCAGACTTGGGTGACAACGTGGTGGCGGACGGTTGATTAAAAAAGGCCCGTATCAAGCAAGACTAACCAGGGTAGCTTTTGATAGATCAAAACGGGAAGCTGAAAAACCGCGAGGCGTTTAACAGCAGGAGGTTGTGAAAGTTCGAGTGTCGAATGCAGAAGAAGAAGAAGAAGATGATGATGATGATGATGATGATGATGTAGACCGGTAGAGTTGATGGTGAAGAAGAAAGCGTGGATGAAGAGAAGAGAGGAGGAGAAAGAGAGAGAAAAGAAAGAAGGATTTAAAAGCCAAACAGCGCAGCGTCGGAGCCGAAATGCCAAGAAAAGAAACGCGCAGAAAAAAAAAATCTTGAGTGCGGCTGACTCAGCAGCAGGCGCCGACTTCCGGAACGCCGGACCAGTTCTTCCGGGCGCACGTGCTGAGATTCCCCGAGATCAACAGACGAACAGAGTCAAGTCGATAGTATTTCCCCTTGCTGAGAGCCTGAGAGTCCATCTCAGACGAATAGTACTAATTACAAAGTTGTATCCGCAGTGGAGCAGCTCCCTTGTGTCAGAGCAGATGTTTTTTTGCCTCGCCAGAATGTGCTTGGTGCTTGATCGGAGATCGAGATCTGCATTACTATACAGAGTACGCCCTGGATTAGGCTGCAACCGCAGGACTTCTTGAAGGACCAACCCAATACTGGGTCAACAGTGAACAGACACCTAGAGTATACTTGATACTGGACAATAATCGCAATTCTGCATTCGCCTTGGGCTCTCAAGCCTCTGGTCTTGCAGCAGTTGCCGATCACGTGACTTTGTGCATACAGGCAACAAGCCTGGGCATAGAGAGCGTCAAAAGGTTCAAATAGAATAGATAGTTCGTGCTGCGTGTATCAACCATCAATGGCTTTCCTTTGTGCTGTGCCATGAATGTTATCGGCCAGATCTCGAGGCGGTATCCTCTCTATGCTTGAAGCTGGTGGATAAATATAGTCTATATCTCGAGCGGGAAAGATCACCTACAAGGCTACAACAACTTTGAGCCAGCTACCACGAGAGAGGTTGGGGGTAAATAAGCCTTCAGATACAATAGTCTCTTCCAAGGTGAACGATATTGAAAAGAGCATATTTGCTGTCAGATCTGAGAGATAATCATTCCACCCGAGTTGAACTTCACCGGATGCCCCCACACAATCCCAGCGTCATTTGATGGTTCAACCGTATTTATCTCGATGAACGATCAATCTTAGTACTCCCTGTTCCTGTCCCATATACTCTCCCCGTATGCAGCAGGCCCTCTAGTAGGATTCAAGTGCGACGGTCGTCAGGCGTTGTTCAAGGTAGGCTATATGCTTCTATACAGTCTTAGTCCATCTCAAAATTCTTCTCTTCCGGCGGCGCCTCTGCCCCTCATCTCAATCGAGTTGACTGCTTTCAAAGACCAGCCACAAGCTAACCAAGTCAACCAGGACAAAAAAAAAATAAAAATAAAAATGCCTCTCGATCTATCTGTGTATTTAGTCACAGACTCGACCCCGGCTATTCTCAAGGGTCAAGATCTGTGTACCGTCGTGGAAGAAGCTCTCAAGGGAGGTGAGTCATCTACGCCTTTGTCCCCTGCGGTGTGGATCTTCCTCCTGATAACTGGCCTCTAGGTGTCACTCTTGTCCAGTATAGAGACAAGAAGAGCGACACAGGTGACCTGATTAAGACGGCCAAGGCGCTTCACAAAATCACCCAGGCCTATGGAGTCCCGCTGTTGATCAATGACCGCGTCGATGTCGCTCTCGCTGTAGGAGCAGAGGGTGTCCACCTGGGACAAGATGATATGTGTACGAGCATATCTTGTGAACATTGTCTCGATATTGACTAATTAGTCAAGTGTAGATATTGCAGAGGCAAAGCAGCTCCTGCCCAAAGACGCTATCATTGGGATCACCGCCTCGTCCATAGAAGAAGCGCAAAAAGCCATCGAGGCTGGGGCTGATTATCTGGGTATCGGTACCATGTTCGCAACATCGACGTAAGTTGCCCTTCAGCAGAAGCGACGCCCCCGAAAGTCTAACGGTTCCAGGAAAACAAACACGAAAAACATCCTTGGAACAGCAGGCACTCAAACTATTCTGGAGGCGATCTCTGATTCTGGGCGTAATGTGGGTACCGTCGCCATCGGCGGCATTAGCTTGTCAAATGTCCAGCGTGTGCTCTACCAGGCCAAAGCACCCAGGAAGGGGCTGGATGGTGTTGCCATCGTCAGTGCTATCGTGGGAGCGGATGATCCGCGAGCCGCGGCCGAGGAATTTGTGAAGCGTGTTAACACTCCGCCGACCTTTGCATGGGAACCCAAGGCGCCTCGTGCCAACGAGACCTCCGCGTTACTTGAGGAGGTACCCCAGATCGTTCAGAAGATGGTGAAGGCGCATCCCCTGGTCCACAACATGATCAACTACGTCGTGGCTAACTTTGTCGCCAACATTGCTCTTTCAATGTAAGTTTCAGTTGCTCTTTCTAGACTATGCCTACTGTTTCTGACAAATTCCAGGGGCGCATCTCCAATTATGTCGCCATACGGAGAAGAGGCCGCCGATCTGGCCAAATTCGACGGAGCTCTCGTCATCAACATGGGCACCTTGAACAGCGAAAGCGTGCCCAACTACCTGAAAGCAATCAAGTCATACAATGAGCGCGGCAATCCCGTCATCTACGATCCCGTCGGTGCTGCGGCCACCCACATTCGACGGGGGGCAGTCAATGAGCTCATGCGTGGAGGGTACTTTGATCTCATCAAGGGCAATGAGGGTGAGATCAAACAAGTGTCGGGGACCAGCAACACCGTTCAGCGCGGCGTCGACAGCGGTCCAAGCAGCCTTGACGGCCGCGAGAAGGCAACACTGGCCCGCGATCTGGCCCGCAGAGAACGTAAGGACTTCAACAAGCTATGTGGCAGGACATTCTAACCTTCACCCCAGGAAATGTCGTGCTTCTTACCGGCGCGGTTGATTATCTGAGCGACGGCGAGCGCGTGATTGCCGTCGAGAATGGACACGAATATCTCGGACAAGTCACCGGCGTACGTCTTTCTTTCCCCTACTTGATACCCGATGACCCTAAACTATCCATGCTAACGGCCGACATGATACAGACTGGGTGTGCCGTGGGCATGGTTTCTGGCTGCTTCCTGGCCACACACCGATCCGACAAACTCCTCGCAGTCCTTGCGGGCATCCTGATGTACGAAATCGCGGCGGAGAATGCCGCGTCCAAGGACTATGTCCGGGGCCCGGGAAGCTTCGTCCCCGCCTTCCTGGACGAGTTGTATGCCATCCGTCAGGCTGCTCTGAAGGGTGACGACAGCTGGTTTGTCGGGCGGGCGAAAATCCAGGAAATCAGGCTATAGAGATGTCTGGTTTAGTATATTTAGTATATATATTTGTGTATAGCCTGTGTTAGAGAAAAAAGTATTTCTTCTTCTTCAGTATCCCAGGTCTATATAGTGTTGCCTTTTGGGGCATGGTCCGAGTGGCGGCCTGATTTCTCGGGCGAAAACCTTCCCCGCACTGCGTCCGGATTTCCCCGCTCTTTTTCTTCTCCTCCGCAGCGATCAATAATCCAATTCCATATTCATCCGGAGTACATATTAAAAGCATCAACTTCCTCGTCTAGACATCGTCAGTCTATCAACCCAATCCACTTCTGCATCCCAGAAGAACAAAGCCACACCACAATCACAATGGCAGCCGTCTCCCGCGCCAGCCGGATCCGTACGATCACCACCCCAACCCCGCACTCCGTCTCAATTCCTGGATAGCAGATACCTATACTAACCCACAAAGCACAGGCAACCCGGCCGTATTGTACGTCCTCCCCCCCAAACCTCACCCACCTCCCGGACGCCATTCTCCAATTCTCTAACAAAAAAAACCCCCTCCCCACAGCATCTGCGACATCCAAGAAAAGTTCCGCGCCATCTACGAATACCCCAGACTGTCTGTACCTTTCCCCTCCCCAATCCACCCTCCTTCATCCAAACACCCCTTAATCCCAACTAACCCACCCCAGCATCCAAACCACCGCCAAAATCCTCAAAGCCGCCACAACCCTCCACCTCCCCGTGTTCATCAGCACGCAGAACCGGTCCCGGCTCGGCGACACGGTCTCGGAGCTGCAACCGCACCTCTCCGGCCCGGACATCAACATCCGCGCCAACATCGACAAGACGCTCTTCTCGATGGTCACGCCGGAGATCGATGCGCTGCTGCCCCGCCCCGCGGACGGCGAGCCGCCGCTCGACGCGATCATCGTCGGCATCGAGACGCATATCTGCGTGACGCAGACGGCGCTGGATCTGCTGGACCGCGGCCACAGGGTGTATGTGCTGGTGGACGGGGTGAGTAGCATGAACAAGGAGGAGAGGGGCATTGCGCTGGCGCGGCTGCGGGATGCCGGCGCGACGGTCACGAGTAGTGAGGGGGTGTTGTTTGAGATCTTGGGGGATGCGAAGAGGGCGGAGTTTAAGGCTGTGAGTGGGTTGGTGAGGGAGACGAAGGAGGAGACGAGGGGGGCGTTGGAGGTGTTTTCGAAGATTTGATCGGGGTGGTGATGGTGGTGGATGTTTTATCGGGGTGCGTGTGTGTTTTCTATAGATCGTTCTCGTTCTAGATGCGATGCTCGTTGGAGCTGGGGATATGTCAATATATGGATATCATTGCTTTGTGGTAATACTTTGTTTTCTGGAATACATAACGGTTCGACAAGATCACTAGGCATGAACAGCGCGCTTCTACTCCAAGTCCATCCAAGGATACATCTCCATCAACCGGTCGTTGAGACCATCCCCTGGTATGTTTCATCGAGGGGTTGTCACAACGCGTTTCGGCGGCTGCGAGGAATTGAGCCATCCAAACGCAGACGCCCCGCCAATGGGGTTCGGCGCCCACTGCTTCCCTATACGGCTCTCGTCCGGAGACGCTCGGGAGGACGGGGGCTGAGGGGATGCCGAGGTCGCCGGCGGTTCATTAGCGCCTGCCCCGCTGGACGATGTCAGGACGCGAGTCGAAGACTTGGTTGGCCGCAAAACCTTCATGGTCCGACCCCGAGAAGACTTGCTCGCGCCAGATGCCCCGGAGTCCAGCTTGCTGTCCCGTCTCCACGAGCTCCAGGCCCCGCCAGTCTCGGATTTACTGTCGCCGGGCTGGAAGTCAATCGTCGCGGTTGACTTGCTCAGTTCCTGTTGGGGCTCAGGAACAGCAGAGATTCCATGCGGCTCCGACAGTTGAGATTTGCGGTCCTCATCGGGCTCCTCAATTGAAGGCCTGACGGAGGTCGAAGCTGAGGTAGATCGTCGGGAACGGCTGCCCTCCTCCCCGATGACACCGACCGCATGACCATTCACATCGGACAGTCCGTTTTCACGAACCCTTGCCGAGGGTGCAAAGCGTGAGGCGTCGGCCGCAGTGCAAAGAGATTTGAACACCGAGTCATCTTCAGGGCGAACCAGTGGGATAGAAATTTTATTTCTTTCATCATCAACCATGATAATCTTATCCTGAGAGAAAAGGATGTCGGCATTGTGAGTGCGGAGTACGTCGCTGCCCAAGATGATCTGGATGGAATGATCGTTGGGTTCCACATCCCGAACAACAAACCGGATGGTCAGGGTGGGAAGCTGAGGTGCTGGGCTATTGGGGCGGGACGAGGCTTGCTGAAGGCTAGCTTCCGGAAGATACATCGGAAGCTTGATGCAACGGACACCATCCTCTTGTGTCACCAGGTCTTCCAGACCGAACTTCTCAATCATGGGATATCCTAACGACGACGTGAACGACCCGGAGCAAACAGCGGCATACAAAAGGGAGTCGTTCGAGAAATTCGTCGAGAGCCAACATCTAATGATACATGGTACGGGACCAAGGAGGAAAAGTCCAGGGGGCGGAATCCGAGGAGACCCACCAACGGACGAACTCATCATCCGGCTCGTTGTCTCCAGGCCTAGACTGTTCGTGCGAGCAGAGTGATGTGAGTGTCCCGACGAGCTCTGTCGACCGTCGGACCGATGGGACAGCGAGCGTTCAGTAAGCGGATGGCTTCCCATGCCGCTACCAGTCCTTAACGGTAGCTCACTGGTGGATCGGCTAGCTTGTCCATAATAGCCATGGATCGCACTTTCGTCAAATCGAACGCTATTCGCTCTCGATGTTCCTCTTCTCGGCTCGTATTCGGCCTCGAGGCCCATCGTGCTCACCATCCCGTGATGCTGACCCTGATCGAACCCTTTGAAGGCGTCGGCGGGGGAATGAAAGACGGGGTCTGTACAGGGAAAGAGGATTAATGACTGCTCTAGCGCGACATTATGCGACAGACCAAAAGAAACTCAAGTACAATAAGATATAATAGAATAAGAACAGCACGCACCTGTGGAGATCGCACTCCCGACGGAAGTAGGAAATGGCGACAAGGGACCCCAAACACTCTTCAACCTCGCATCCTCATCCCTCCGTCTCTCCAGTCTCGCGATCCTCTCCGCCTGCTCAAACTGCGTAGCGTGAAGTTCCTTCAGCTCTTCAAAGACGCGCCAGATGTCGTCGCGCGAAGCAAAAGGGTACTGAGCGTCCATATCCGATTGAACAAGGCTAAATAAGGACAGCGAAGCCTCCAGGAGCGGCTGGAGCTAGACACGGCAGAGTAACCAACCCAACGTAGAATGCGAAACAAATAAATCTGGTACTGTATGTATGGTATGGCCCTGGGGCTGCGTGCACCCGCGAAAACTTGGTATGCTGCCCGACACGATTCCCCCCAAGCCGGCTGAAGTTCGTTCGATCTTGTCTGTATGTGCCGGCGACCCGTTCAATCCTCGAAACTCCTCCTCCCTCGAGCGTGAGACGGCCCGATGGCCGTCCACCAAGTATGCTAGTATCGGATGTTCGTGGGCCTTGTCGACATGCAATGAAAATCGGCGTCAGTAGGCAAGGAAAGGGTAGCGGTGTTGTGTTCCGCGGGCCAAGTGCAATCCGACCGGAAAATAGGAAGAGGAAGGGATGCTGCGTTGAGGACGGCTCGGTTAAGAGGATTCCAAAGAGTTAGCAAGGGGAAGATTGGAAGGATTTGATTTAAGCGACTGTATTGGATGTTAACGACAGAAAGGGGGATTATCGAGTTGCTCGACGAGATGGAAAATCTACTGCTGATCGAAATCCTTTGGGAGGTAAAACCAGGGTACTGTTTGAGTGATTTGGGAGTCTCGCTGTGAGGACGGCAGTCTTTGGAGGGGAAGAGATATGGCAAAGCAGAGATCTTGACGCCAGTATTTGGATTCGAGATCTGCGAGATGCACGTTGTGTTTGTGTTTGATCCACGATGATGGCGAAGGGAGACTGATGATTGATTAATGGTGGTGGATGATGATGGTGATGATGGTGATGATTGATGATGATGATGAAGCAGAGGGAGCACAACTTCCGTCCACTTAACCCGGCAATCGATCTAGACCGCTTTCACCCTCCGTATTAAAACTACCTACTAAAGAACAATCTCCAATCCTGGACGTCATGTAGATGGCATTTGTATTTACATATCTACTTATTCATTTCTACCAGTGGATCTATATAGATTGATGCCGGTTCAACTTCATTTCGGGGCCTCCGTCCACGCAGGAAAGACCATGGGCAACACCTCAGGATCCTGATCAGGCCAATTAGCCTTGATGGCCTTCATTACCTCCTCATATACAAGACGATACCCGTCGCCAGTCAAATGCAGCCCTAACCAAGAGTCAGTATGGCTGCAGCATGAGGCCAGGATGGGAGAGAACAAACCATCCGTGAACAAGCTCTGGAGCTTCTCATTGTTCGGCGCATCCCTCGACCCGATCAGAGGCTCTCCCTCTTTCCAGCCCACAGCAGTCATGAACGCAGCCCAGAGATCCACCGTGACGATGTTCAACGAAGCGGCAACCTCGCGAGCTGCCTCCGAGTACAGCTCCGTCTGACGAACGGTTCTGCTTGGGTGGTGAGTCTCCTTTGCGACATCGAACCCCTCCAGTTGGTACTCGTTCACGGGCGGCGGGGTGAGAATCAAGATGCGCGGGTTCTGCGCGACTGTCGCGGGATGCTGGATGATCTGCCTCAGGTTCTCCTTGTATGTTTCAACGGGAATATGCTGGACATTTCCGGGGACAGTGGCGTCGTTGGCTCCGAAGAAGATGGTCTAGCTCGATTAGCATGCTGCTTTCAATACCCGATGGATGCCCTTGAGATTGCGAAGGACACGAGGACAATACCATGAATCTAACAGTCGCTGTCTCTGGCTTGGGGAAGAACTTAGGGAACACCTTGATGGCGTGCGCCGTGTTATAGCCACTATGTCGGACATAATCAGTACCTGCCTCGCCCAGTCGCAGTCAGAGCATCGCTTGTAAGGAACATACCCGAATCCGCGGTTGATCACATCCAACTGGCGACTATAAGCTAGAGCACTACTTAGTATACCAGCGCACAGACCCTTGCACAATCGACAGACAAGTGCGATCAAGGTGAAGACTTACCATCCTGCAACGCAGCTTGGAATCCAAACCCCAGACTCTGATTAGCAGACATCTGCGTAATCGAGTCGCCGAACAGAATGAACTGGTCGTATGGCTTAAAGAGCGCCTCTTCGGCGGACTGAGTGCTTCCGTCGGACATGATGGCTACGGACAATTAGACACACAATAACAGCTGGAACCCGCAATCTCGACAATCAAAATCCTTGGACAATCGGAAACGTCCCTTGGATATTCACTCTCAATCGAACAACTCACAAGAGCCTGGGATATGGCCACTTCTTATGGGCCGACGGCTGATGGCCGATGGTGGGGTTGGAGACTTGGAGTCTTTGGAATGGAGCTCCGCCGCTTATCGGCAAGCCCTGGCTAAATTGGCTTGAACCGGTAGCTGGCAGGAGTGATGCTCAATTGGACACGGAGGGCCGGTGCTATGGATAATATCGTGGAGTCTATAGTTTTGACGACGTAAACCCAAGTGGTTAGTAACTGCGAACCTGTTCGTCGCTTACTGTTGTTGACCAGTGATTATCCACCAACAGCAATAAATGTACAACGACACTCCTCCGGTCACTCCATGTCACTGGAAATACCTTTAATGCTAAACTCAAGGTATATATATCACCAACTTTAATGCATGGATTCTGTTCTCACTGACAGATTGTGAGAGGGGAAAAAAGATGTATATTTGTACTTGGAGTTTGCGCGTGTTGATCTTGCGCAATATTGACCAAGATCAGCAAAAAGATATACCACAGTTTAACCAGTCATCACAAAAGTCTGATCGGGCAAGACGAGGAACGAGGGAGTGAACAGCAGACGGCTGCTACATCATGCTAACACCCTGGTTCATTTCGAAAAAGAACCAATCTGGACCGGCAATCTCATTGAACGGAATTCCCGAGAACAATTCCTCCCATGTCGTATCAGCTCCCTGATTCAAGCCGTCCGCCACTGCAGGTGTCCCTGGGGCCGCAGCAAACAGTGCCGGGTCGTCTAGTGCTTGCGACATAAAATCCCAGGGTGGTAGATCAAGCAGCGGCGATCCCTCGACCACCGGACCTGCCAGCGAGCCGCTGGGCGACACTTGACAACCAGGTAGATTGAAGTTCTGTCTATTCAGCGTCTGACTTCGTCCTGGCAATCCTGGGGATGCTGCTGGACTCAAGCTGATGTTCGTGGGATGGCTGGTCGCTGTGCTGAGACCACCCGCCATCTCTGGGACAGTCAACGCAATCTTCTCCCTCGTTCGCTGCGTGAGTTGTCGCAGAGGTCCGCGGAGGGCACCGCCGTGTGAGCCGGCCAGCGTCACCTCATGCTGCCGGTACGATGACTCGACGAGCGGCCAGGCGCGCCGGATGAGCGCCGAGTCGTTGCTCACATAGCATTCGGAAACGGCAATGGCCAGTGCATGCCAGGGAATTGTGACGTACCATCGAAAGCCTTCTCCGCGGGCGTCAGTATGCATAAGCTGCACTTTCTCTAGGACAGGAAGGGTCAGACGCAAGATCTCTGAGTTGCTTTCCATCCGAGGTGGGGGGGCCCGGCCCGGCCACTGGAGGGGACGTAGTGCAGCCAGTCGTGCAGCCGCAATAAGACTCTGCGTGCCATGCCAGGTGAACCACGCGTGCACGGAGGCCTCAGGGTCGCAGAAATGGAGTAAGCGGAGCGCTTCCTGCTCAAAACCGCGGACCTTCTGCTGCTCCTGCTGCTGCTGGTCTGGGTCGCATTTAGGGCCGGACGTTGGTGAAGATGATGCCGAGGTGTAACGATTGTGCTGGACCTTGCGATCGTGCGCTGCGAAGTTGAGCAGGCGGCCAATGCGCTGTGCGTGATACGTGACCAGCGCAAACGTCGTGTCAGTTAGTCCCTCTCGATCAGGGACAGTGTCCGTCGTGGTTGGGTCAAAGTCCGAGTCGTTTATGTGCTGGGGGAGGGTGGTTGACGCAGACTCATCAACGCTAATGAGAGGCTCGGACGTCCGGAAAAAAGAGGCCTGTAGATCCATGAGACAGATAGTATACCAAAGGCGCTTTCGCATCTGCTGATCAAAGAATGTCTCTGTCTTTCGGTCAAGATAGAGACCGAGACCCTTGCCGATTCGCACTGCCACCGCGACCAAGGTCCAAACGGCCCAGGTGCGGTCTTCCACCCTTCGGGCCATCTTGCCGAACGTTAATCACACATCATGCGTCTAAGGTCCGGACGCTTACTAGATATAATACAAAGGCTTGCAGAACGGTGATGTCGCGGGTCGTTAGTAGGCCAGATCGCCCGATGGCTATCTCGCAGGAGGCTCGGGACTCTGCCACCAAACTCGCCTTGTTGGTTTGGAACATGACCCGGCACTGGTTTTCCGTCATGCTGCTGATGGCGGAATAACAGACGGCCGAACCTAGGGCCTCTATAGACCGGTGACCCTCCGGATAGGCCAGGTAGCGTTCCCCATTGATCATCCACCTGCTTAGAGACGGACGGTGAAGGATCTTGATTATGGGGTCTACTTGCTGCAGAAAGACCTGGCAAAGCTGGCGAACCATCGTTGAATCGTGCAGCAAGGCCTTGCTTGTTGTCAACGGCCGTGGGACTGCAGGCCAGTTGCTGCCGACCAGGCCAAGGACTTGCACACCGTCGTCAGGCGGCTCAAGGCGTGCATTATCGGTTGTCGGCGCCGCTTCCTCGTCTGCCTCCCCCAGTGATGATTCAATCACGTCGCGCAAACCCTGGATCTGCACATGTGTCAATACTTTAGCTATTGACACACCGCATCGAGCCTACCTCTTCCGCCAAATCTACCCAGAAATGATCCGGGTGTTGCAGGGTGAGACGCTTAGTAGCCATGGTATTACCCAAAACGGGAGACCTCGTCGAAGCCGAAGGTAACGGTGATCTGTCGGTCATATGGGTAGACTGGTGGGACTATGGTAAGCTTCTCCCGAGGATTAAAGGTGAAGTTTCTCGCTTGCCTGCTCTCGCGAACCAGCAGATGCTCTTTCCAGCTCTTTATCGCTTGGCTTCATGCGACGGATAAGCTCTTCCAGTCGGTGAATGCGATCCTGGAGATCCTTGTTGACGGAAACATCAGGCTGTGTCGTCCACTCAGGGGGGTGTATCAGCTCGGACTCTGTGGTGGAGGGAGGAGGTGATGACTGGAGCCGACGAGGAGGATTGGCATGTCGCCCTCGGGGAAGTCGCATTCGGTAAGTGGGAATACAGGCGACCCCAGCGGACGCACAGTTGGTGCATGGATTGCGCTTGTCGCACTTGACCTTGCGCCTGCGACACAGCTCGCAACTGAGCTGGGGCAGAGATGTCGAGGTTTTCCTGCGGCGTTCCATTACTGGAATCAGGAGGGATATGTGTTCTTTGTTTGTCTCTTTTTAGAAATATCGGAGATCTGCAGTGGGTGTGGTTGATTGTCTCCCTCTGCATAGACACTGGGTGATGAGAAGTGTCTTGGGAGAGGCATCTTTGGCATTGTTTTATAGGTATGTATGTATCTTACAGTTATTTCAGTTTTCCTGTTCAGAACTAGTCCCTTGCAAGGGTGTGAGTCTCTCACCATCTCTTAACTACTGCTTGATACCCTCGCTCAGAAAGTTAAGCTCCATCAGCTTTTAGCCATGTCAGCATATTAGTTAGAAGCATCAGTTGTGACCTTTGACCGTCTCTCCAAATATCCCTCATGACTGATTCAAGGTAGGTAGGTAGCTGTACCGCAATTCTTAACCAGGTTCTACCAGGATACTGCTCAACATCCTGGCACTCGCAGAGAAACAAGGAGCAGTTCAGCAGTTATTTGATGAGAAGCAATATGGCCTATCTTTTTTTTCATTTCTTATTCTTCGAGATTGGAAATGCCTCCAGCTAAACGTGGGTCTGTCAACTATCCAGTGTCTACCTTCCAGCATTAGCCCGCCACGTTCATCGGAACATCTGTTGATACAAAGGCTGTGTATTAGCCCAGCTGAGGGAAGCGGCAGTCCACCGGAGGTTTCAGTCTTGGATCAGCCATTGGGGAGATGAGGTATGTATGAAGACTCTCTGAGGCCTCATAAAATAGTCACTAAGAAACGATATATCTTACAACTAACTAACAAGCAAGGTGAACCAAGCACAAGGACAAAAGGACTCAAAACCGGCAAGAACAGATGGGAATGGCCTATCCCGAAGCGTACTGCGACGTCCCACGCAGCCTTTCCCCAAGGAACCAGAAGACAAATGGAGTCGGAATCCCCATGACAATGCTGAGCAGTCCCAACAAGCTGTTCCCCCAGCCATACTGGAGCGATCGGTACATGTACGGCGCGAAAAGAGGAAACCCAAAGCCTGCCAGACTGCGAAGCACCACCGCTGCCGCTAGCCCGCTCGCAGCGAACCGTGTGTAGCTGTCGATCACGTAGGTCTGCATGCACTGCAGGCAGATGATCGAGCCGATGGAGAAAAGCACGATCCCGATATTCGGCATCACCCAGTGGATGTGGGCCTGCACGCTCCAGCCATACCAGAACAGACCGATCGGAATGAACACAGAGCCAACGAACATGGCAGGGATGCGGAATTCGGGAATGCCCGTGTTGTTCCTCTCCAGCTTCAGCCGGCGGTAGATTCGATCACTCACCCGAGCGTTGACCTGCGCGCCGAGCACGAAGCCAATCCCGAGGGAGATGTAGTTCGGGCCTCCAATACCGATACTCTCCTGGTATACCCCTTCCCAGACCCCTGGGAAGGTCGAAAGAAGCAGGTAAAAGAGCCCGAACAGGTACGCCATGTACAAGGCTATGATTTGGATGATCGGCTGCGTGGTCAGCATCTTGAAGGGGCGAATCAGCGAGGTCTTCAGGCTTGATAAAAGGCTCTGGCTTGAGTCAAACTCAGTATGGTATGTATGGCCAGACTTCTCGCCAAGCGTCTTTGCTTTACGTTTCAACAACGTGGGCGCGTGAGTCTCAGGGAGGAACAGGAGACCGAAGAGTTGAATGACAACGCCAGCGATGCTGGTGGACCAGAAGACCCAGCGCCAAGTTGTTGATTCGGCGATGAAGCCCCCAGCGATAGGGCCGACCACAGGACCCAGCAGAGGCGCCAGACTATAGATGCCGACTGCTTTTCCTCGTTGATCAGCGTTCCAACAGTCACTATGGAAGACGATGAGCTATCTCTTTTCCTTCCACTCGGGAGAAAAAGACTGACCTCAAGACACCACCCCCAATGGCCAAGGGGGCACTGCCTGCAATCCCACTCATGAATCGAAAAGCGATCAGCTGGCCCTCCGTCTGCGCAAACCCGCAGCCCAAATTCCATCCCACATAACAAAGATTACTGAACTGCAGGACCCGAGTTCTCCCAAACATCTCCGAGACTGGGCCGAGACACAGCGGGCCCACGGCATAGGCTAGAACAAAGATCGAGAGGGTGAGTTGGGTCTCCACCTCCGATTGTATATCCAGCTCGTCAGCGATCTTCGTCAACGCCGGGGCGACCATGGACGACGAAACGGGCGAGATGAACGTGAAAAGGGAGACCGCTATAGTCGCCGCCCATTTTCTGGCCATGGTCCAATTCTTAGGGTTTTCAGGATCGTCGGGGGAAGACCAGGAAACCTGCTTGGTGTCGTTTGACTCTCAGTCTCCTAGCCTTCTGGCACCATGGGTTTGATTCTTACCAAGCGCGACTCTGGTCCTGGCATGCTTGCCTCGTTTCCGGTAGCTTGTGGCAGCGGCATTTCTGCTTGTAGGACCAGGATGATTAGCAATGTGCATAACATGTCCCCTTGGCCTATGTGGAAGAAGAGATATGCTTCTAACCCGCAGTACGTACCGTCGTTGAGCGTCATCTCGACCACTTATTATTTCAAGTGCAATATGGAGAATAACGACAATAAGAAGGAGAATAAAAATGAAAGGAAAAGCAAGGTATGATCTGGTTCAAAAATGTCCTGATGCCTTTATACTTGCGATTCTGTTCGGGTTTTGAGGGCATCTTAAAAGCCGAGAAGCCCTAAGAATCAGGCATCGAATCCATCTTGTCCACCTGTAAAACAACTTCATGCCATCCTGCCTCCTGGACATTCAGTCTATACTCTATCGTGCCTGTAGATTCGTTCTGGACAGTAGATCTCACTTGACAGGGATAGGAATAGCACGCCGGTGAGGGTTCTAATGCTTGAGCAGCCCCAATACTCAACCATATAGATATCTCTCGCGGCGTTGATCATAGTTCATTGGCAAATTCAGATAGAAGATCGAGACGATATATTTGGTTCAGGTAGCTCTTCGTTACTAATCATGCGCCATCATCTAACAAGGAAGATAGCTATAGAAAGTGCCACGGTTCAAGCAGCATGTCACCATTTCTTACCCTCTGCATGTACACAGCTAGAAGCCGCAGTTGAGCACAAGGCTCTTGATCTTATGGATTTATGACTTATGGATTAGATTACTTTTACCTGCCAGATGCCAGCATGCCCATGTATGGGGAATATATATTAATAATTAGGGATATGCAAAGGATTTCGCACTAGCAAGAAGTGCAGCTGCCACCGCCCATCCTCCATCCTGATGACTTGCATTGATGGCTCTAGCATCACCGGGGGGGTAGCATGGTATGTCATTGCGTATACTTCTTTCTGTAGTTTACTGTGTATACAGTGTGGGTTTCAAAAGTAGAAAGTGTGGAGTGTGGAATATCTCTGGAGACTGGAGGAGTAGATATGGGTTGGGTTGTATTATTATTAGTGGAATGTGTGAGAGTACCTTAGCTATCTCTCACTGTAAGCTATTTTCCCATCTGATCTTCTTCGAATTAATTTGTGGATCATGAGGCGATCGAGGACCACGTATCCCTATTCCCTTGTCCATGCAATCAATACTATTGGGGTTTGAGACATAGGGTCTCTTGAGCCTCTAACCCACAGGCTGTCCCAAGTCCCAAGTCCCAAGTCCCAAGTCCCAAGTCTCAACCGCTGATAAGTCCAAGCTCCAGAAAATCATGGTTCCAATCATCCCTGAGAATCGCAGCCTTGCAGTTGCCCCAGTAGGTCCGGTCTCACAGACACAGCCTGCACGAAGTTTGGCGTCAAAACGCGTTGACACTTCCGATGAAGTGGACTGAGAAACATCATAACCAACCCAAGCGGGGTACTAGACTACTATGTATGGCCGTTGTCGACTAGCTTGGCGGTTCGATAATTAATAGTTAATGGGCGGCAGGTACTACAGTATGTTGCTAATTCAGGCCTGTCGCTGATCCGGGGGGATGGATGCAGCATCAATCTGAACCTCAACCCCCCTACTCCGCCAGTGAAACTGAATGATAGATGTATTTTAAGAGCAATAATAATAGGGAAAAAGAATGATCTCCTCTCCTCTCTCTCTCTTTTCTGAAATAGGAGCATGACTCGCCAGGTTCCAGTGGCTGATCCCTTCAGATGGGATACGGAGGTCATCTGCCCATGGGCTATGGTTTATCGTCCGAGACCAGCTAAGAGAAATCAGTCAACTACCGTAGTAAGGACAAACGGCCATTCTTTTTTCTTTCTCTTCTTCTTCTGCTGCTGCTGCTGCTGCTGCTGCTGTCAATTAGATATCTCATCTCATTTTTTTTTATCATTTGTTCTTTTGTTTTATCTCCCTCTCTCTGTATTTTGACTGTTGGATCTCTTTATCGACTATCGCGATTGTTCTCGGAGACCCTCAACTGAACTTAACCTCTTGACCGCTCCTCCCTTCACGACAAGTGGGACCTTTCTCTACTACTTTCTAGCGATTCAAAAGGGTCTCGTTGTGTCCCCCGAGTCGTGGAAAGGTTGAGAATTACATTGTGTGGGATATGTTGGCCGGTACGTCCTTGATGCCATATAGGAGCTCTCTTTGTTTTGGGTTTACCTGTTCCGATAGATAACCGAGATAGCGGTTACTAACAGAATAATCGGCCCATCCCTGCTAGGTTGGAAGCTTTTCTAGCTTCATTTCATCCCAACATGCCGCGCTCTGTTCCCCCCAACTTAGTGTCTATGCCTCCAAATGATGACCCAAACCGTGGTGGAATCGATAATCTCTACACTACCTCGCGCACCGCTCCTCCTTCGCCGTCGGCCTTCAGGCGCAACAACAGCCTCCTGTCAGAACCCCATACCGGCTATCAGTCGTTAGAGTCTCATATGGAAGTCGGGGAAACCACCAGTCTATTGGGGAAGCCTCGAGATGGGCGTCGAGGGGTTCCGCGACGATCGTACACCAGCATCTCCGCCGTTCCGGGCCCGGATAGCTATCTGCGACACTCATTGACCTCGGGCAGTCTGCGTCGATCGCGCCACCACAGCCGTGCAAATTCACAGTCCTTGCGATTCAGCAGCCGAAGGGGTAGCATCGATGAAGATCGACATGAAAGCCTAGCGCCCTCAATGAAGGATGGAATGACCGCTTCCTTCCTCGATGAGCGGAACTGGTACGATCAGTTCACCTCCACCGATTGGGTGCACGATAGCATCGCCGATGGAGCCCGTCTGCGGGAGCTGCGCAAGCGCAAGGATATCCGAGGGCGACTCCTCGCTGGGTTTGACGGTTCCCAGGGTTGGATTCTGGTCGCCGTGATTGGCTGCATCACCGCTGCGATCGCCTATTTCGTGGACGTGACGGAGCATTTTGTTTATGATCTGAAGGAAGGCTTTTGCACCACTGGATGGTCCCGTAATCGGGAGAGCTGCTGTGCCGATCCTCTCGACTGCTCCGGATGGAAGTCGTGGTCACAGATTCTGGGTTCCTCAGGGGCCGGCACAGGGTGGCTCGATCACGCCATGTTTATACTTTGGATGGTGGTGCTGTCCGTGATCTCGTGCTACCTGACATTATTCACCAAGACGGTTGTTCCGTCCTCGGTCTCACTTGCAACCTTGGATGAGAATCTCGGTGCTGGAAGTAGTCGAGGCACGAAGCATGTCGGTTCACCCCACGATTCTCCCTCATCCTCTGAAAGTCCGCGGGAGCCCTATCAAACCATCCCCACGCGCCCGGCAATGGTCTATTATTCTGCGGCAGGCAGCGGAGTCGCCGAGGTCAAAGTCATCAACAGTGGTTTCGTGCTTCATGGCTACCTGGGATTCAAGACGCTGGTGATCAAAACAATAGCTTTGGTCTTTAGTATTTCGTCTGGTCTCAGTCTTGGGAAAGAGGGTCCGTACGTGCATATCGCGGCCTGTGTGGGAAACATTGCTTGCCGTTTGTTTTCTAAATATAATACCAACGACGGTAAGAGGCGTGAAGTCCTCAGCGCTAGCGCTGCCAGCGGTGTTGCAGTCGCCTTCGGAGCCCCGATCGGCGGAGTTCTGTTCAGCCTGGAAGAAGTCAGCTATTATTTCCCGCCCAAGACTCTCTTCCGAACCTTCTTCTGCTGTATCGCGGCTACTCTTTCTCTGAAGTTTCTGAATCCCTACGGTACCGGCAAGATTGTCCTGTTCGAGGTCCGCTATATCACTGACTGGGCGATCTTCGAGATCGTCGTCTTCATGCTGCTGGGCGTGCTGGGAGGCGCTGCCGGCGCACTCTTCATCAAAGCCTCCAGCATGTGGGCACGGTCATTCCGCCGGATCCCGGTCATCAAGCGCTGGCCTATGCTGGAAGTTGTCCTCGTTGCAGCGGTGACTGGCGTGGTCAGTTTCTGGAATCGGTACACCAAGCTGCCCGTCTCCGAACTCATGTTCGAGCTGGCCAGCCCCTGCGATCATGAGTCTCTGTCCTCAACTGGCCTGTGCCCGACCGAAGATGGAATCGGCGAGATCATCCGCTACCTGCTGGTCGCTTTCGTGATCAAAAGTCTTTTGACGGTGGTGACGTTCGGGCTCAAGGTACCTGCGGGTATCTATGTCCCTTCGATGGTGGTCGGTGGTCTCATGGGCCGTATTGTCGGCCATGTGGTGCAATACCTGGTGTTGAAGTTTCCGAATTTCTTCCTGTTCTCGACCTGTCCGGCATCCTCGGGCACGGAGTCTTGTGTCGTTCCAGGCGTCTATGCGATGGTCGCTGCGGGTGCGACTATGTGCGGTGTCACGCGCCTATCCGTCACCCTCGCTGTTATTCTGTTCGAGCTGACGGGCAGTTTAAACCATGTGCTTCCATTTTCACTGGCAGTGCTCTGCGCCAAATGGACGGCGGATGCCCTTGAACCGCGCAGTATCTATGTAAGTCAAAGCTGACACGGGCATCACTCTATACAGAAATAAGCTAACTTTTGGCAGGACCTGCTGACCGACATGAACTCCTATCCGTTCCTTGACAACAAGATCCAGCTTCTTTCCGACGCGGAGCTTGGGGATATTGTTCGGCCAATTCGTAGAAGTCGCATCATCGACATTTCGGAATCCTCTTTAGTTCCCGCGACTGAGCTGCGCTCCAAGTTGCAACATCTTCTCATGGCGGGTGAGCTCGACAGCGGCCTCCCTATTCTTCGTGACGACATTCTGTGCGGTATCATTCCAGCACCGGATCTCGAGTATGCTCTTGACACCATCGAAGATGAAGAGCATACCGTGTGCCTCATGTCGATGGACTCCAGCTCGGCGGTGCTTGATCAGGACTATGACCATGGCATCATATGGGTGGACTTCCGTCGGTTCATTGACCCGGTATGGAACAGGCTTTCTTCCTTTCCCTTTTCCACCCGGCTGACCTCTATCTTTAGGCCCCTATCTCTCTCGACATACACTCGCCCGTCGATCTTGTCTACCAATGTTTCGCCAAACTTGGAGTGCGCTATCTGTGTGTCCTTCGCGACGGACAATACGCCGGCCTGGTGCACAAGAAAGCGTTCGTCAAATATGTCAAACAGAACGAGTGAATGACCACATCTCCTTTTTGGATTTTCTGGATGGAGCGGTTTTTTTTTTCTCCCTCCTCGCATTCCTGGCGTTTATATTATCGTTTTGCTGCATCTTCTTTCTAGCATCCTTCCCCTGTGTTATATTGGATTTGCAAGTCTGTTACCTGTACATGGTCTCCTCGCACTCCAGTGCGTGGCCGGCTTCGGCATCTGCACAGTTCATGTAAATTAGCGTCTGGCTTTCTGACGATTTGCTTCAGCAATATGTATTACGACAGCATGTTATACAGCTTCCAAGAGACAGGCCGTCGAGTTATTCGGTGAGTATGATATGAAGAGATTTTAATTGAGATCATACAAGCCGCTATCTGAATCATCCATCCATCATGCTCTGAAGGTCTTTACCGAGCAGAATGCACTCGTAGGAAATCTATCAACTGTATACAACCCAACAGAATAATCAAGCCCTGCTCACATATCCCCTCTATACCCGCTCATATCCCACCATCTGAATGCGCACATCGCCTTCCTCCCGCCATTCCGAGGAAACCTCCTCGCCCACCCACCGCGTCACCTCCTCATCGCTCACCATCCGCCACTCCTGCCCAGCCAACTCCTCATCCACCGGAAACACCGTATCACACTCAAACGCACCCCCATCCAACCTCTCCACATTCGTCATCACAATCCGCACCGCCCGCGACCCGGCCATCCGCAGCGCAGCAGCATAGATCTCCGCCCCGCCAATCACAAACACATGCCCCAGCGTCCCCGGCGCCCCAAACCTCCCCTCCAGCGTCTCCAGCGCCTCCTCCAGCCCAGAACTCACCACCGCATCCGTCTGTCCTTCTGGCACTTGTCCCTGCTGCTGCTGCTGCTGCTGCTGTTGTTGTTGTACCTTCGCCCTCCTCCCCTCCAACTCCTTCAATATCCCCTCCGCCACACCCCCACTCCCATCCCTCGAGACCACGACATTGATGCGCTTCGCGAGCGGCCGCAGACTCCGCGGCAGCGAGTCATACGTCTTCCGGCCCATGATGATCGCGTTGGTGGTGCCCGGGCGCGGCGGGCGGGCTGTCGCGCGCGCGAAGAACGACATGTCGGCTTTGATGCGCGGCCAGGGGAGGGTGCCGTTGAGGCCGATGCCGAGGCGGGTTGGGAGGGTGCGGGTTTCGGGGCGGAGCGGGGTGGTGGCGACGATGAGGGTGAGGGGGGGGCAGGAGGAGGAGGGAGAGGGGGGCATTTTGGTGTTGTTTTGTGGTTTGAGATGGGTGGAGTGGTTGGAGTGGTTGGAGAAAGGTAGGTAGGTTGGGTTGTTGGGTTTGGATTTTGGAGGGTGAGGGTTGGGGGTTTTGATAGCTTAATTATTGCTTGGACAGAATTTTGATAAGAGGAGAGAGAGTTTTATTGATGCTCCCCGCCACGACCAGAGAGAACACCGAGATCGGCTATGCGTAGTGTAACTATCAGAATTGATTGTTATAGGTATGGGTATCTATGTATAATTATTTGTAGCACGGAATCCATCAATCTGAAAGTAAACCCCAGCCAGAAGTAAACCAAAACAACCCAGCCCTTAGATTATTATTGTACGCCGTTTCACCCAACACCAGACCATCCCAGATGCAACAGCCAGCCGGAAACATAGGAAAAATTCACTTCGCCGGCTTCAACAACCCCCCGTTCCCAATCGCCTTCCGAATAGCCACAGCATCGCATTCCAGCTCCTCTCTGCGCTTCGTATCCGACTCGTCCTCGCCGAGCGTGTCGAGTTTCCCAAACAGCCAGGTCTCTTTCATGCTGCGGGTTAACGCGAGGATATCCTCGGCGGCGCGGACCTATCATGTCTCCCCGCGTGTTAGTTAACACAAACTTGATCCCCTCCCCTGTCCTCATGGTTTTCGGAGGACCACAGCTCGCAGATAGTCAAAACTAACCAGTGCAGTCGACTCCACGTCCAGTTGGTATGTCTCGACAGCCGTGGCTGTGTGGCTGGTATTATCGACCTGGGACAGATCGGTTAATGTTGAATGACCCTATCCGTGAGTACCGAGTACCGAGGGGAAAAAAAGGCTGGACGAACAGTAGCAGTAGCCATGATGTTCTCGAATCGTTGCAGCAATTGCGAGATGTTGGTGTTGATGCGATCTGTGGGGATTATATGGATTAGTTTGTCTGCTGGGGGTTGGGGGTAACCGGGAGAGGCCGGTAGAAGGGCAGTAAGAAACATACTGTGCAACGCTTTCGATGAGAGTTGGGAGTCCATTTTTGAGCTTCAATGGCCGTTTTTTTTTTTTTTTGGAGTTCCAAGTATATTGTTTCATCTTGTACTTCGTCTGCCGTCGACATTGTTTGATATCATTGCTGCTGATATTACCGAGGCGGCATATTGGGCGGTGAGTAGCTTATCTGTTTGCTGTGTTTGATTCATATACTACAACGAGGAGTTAATATCCGATTCTAGTCTCAAGTATATAGAACACAGCTCTCTAAACTAAAGGAAACAGGCACAGTGGGATCTTGTAGACAATGGGTACAAAAAAAGCCCGACAGGCTGCAGGTGATAACCACATTCTAAAGTCTCGTGGGTAATAGGAAGAAGGATTTGCGAGCATTGTGTAAACGAATTATGCTCGGGATGTGCTGCCGGCCTGAGAATCAAGTGTGACAACGATATTGATGGCCATCGTCCGAGCACTCCACTCAGACATCATGCATTCGGCTTGACGGATTTCTTCGCCTTGTCAGTTGAAACCATCGTGCCTGTGCAGACAAGTGGGCCTCGGGACCGCAGCGTGCTCATCACGGAGCCAAAGAAAAATGAGCATGATCAGGCTCTCATCTGAATTTCAAATTCTCAGGCCAGGGTTGGCAATATCGAACAACCAAAGAGTACCCGAGGAATTGAGGTCTCGCGTTGGAGGAAACGTCCAAAGCGCGCTTTACCGGACGTACTTCGACTATAGGTATAAATTTAGAGGCAGCCATAAGAATGAAGAAGGCTCGTACTTACCATGAATTTCTTGTGGAAATCGGAGCGCAGCAGATCCTATGGCATGATTAGCCTTACTCCAAATAAGAGTCTGGGGCAATCGTACGTTCACAAACTCCTTGCCTCGTTTGTCCTCAGTGCCTCGAGCTTGATTCTTAAACACCACATCATCATCCCATCTCCGCTTCAGGTTGAAGTCTTGTGGGTTGAGCAACGGATTGCCTCTGGCGATGTCATACTCTCGTTGCTCCTCTTCCTCGGCAGCGCGTTCGCGTTCCTGGATAACAATGAGTTAGAGGAAGTTAAAAAGAATGCAACATGCCCTACCTCTTTCTCTTTTTGTTCTAGTCGTTCCTTTTTGATCTTCTCGAGCTCCCGCATCAGTTCAGCGGCTTCATCTTCGTCATCACTGCTTTAGTTAGTACAGCCTTGCGCTAGCCAGAGCATGGACGCTGACCTCTCTTCTTCGCTACTGTCGTCCTCTGATCCTTCCGAGTCCGCGTCTATGTCTCGTGTCTCCTCTAATATCCGTCGTCGTTTCGCCTCTGGGTCCTCCTCTGCTTCGCCTGCACTGCCTTCCGAAGCCCCTTCTATTTGACGTGGAGGCGCGGCACTCTCAATGATGGGTTCGTCGACTGGAGCGCCCCTCTTCTTAGCAAAGTGAGCCGCCTCGGCCTGGAGCAGCTCGGCCCGCAGATCGCGTTGTTGGGCCTCGCCTTCGCCTCCCTGGCCAAGTTGACTGTGAATGGTCAGTTCTGTAGTCTTCGGCATATGGCCGGCTACTGACCGAGTCTTCAGGTGTGTATATGCAGGCAAAAGCCGTTGGTGGTACGCTGGGCCGCGGAGGGCCTCTTTTCCTTGCGCCTGTAATCGTGAGCTCGGCCTCGTGAATGAATATGGTGTAGATGAAGACGTACGGGATCAAAGGTTGGTCTGTGAGCTGGAAATATGTCAGCGCATCGTTTCAGCAAGATGGTCAATGAGCCTCCCTACCTGTAGTCATGGTGAGCTGTTACAGTGGCTGGTCCTAAATGATTGTTCCCTGTTGCTCTTGAGTCTTCTTCCGGCCGCGATAAAGCGGAGTTGCGGCCTCAGGCATCCAACTGACTGAACCCTTTACCGCCCTCGATGTCCTGGTGTATGATTGGCTGCTGGATCATCGATGATCCGCTGCATTCAATGACGCTGCAGAAATCCAGAAATTTCCCAAAAAAGTCCGTCTTGATTGTCCCCGTCGGGGCTCAGTCCGCCTCCGCAATCATGAACAAAGAAGCACCGCTCTCCATCGCCGAGCGTGATTTCATCCTCAATGCTCTGCGCGAGGATGTCCGGCTCGATGGTCGCCAGGCTGACCAACTTCGCCCGTTGAAGGTTACGTTCGGGGAAGAGTATGGGCATGTGAAAGTGCAGCTCGGAAAGACCAGGTGGGTTTCCATCGCATAAGTCCTGCTGGTTATGCTGTCTATTAACTCCAACTACAGTCTTATTGTGCGCATCTCTTCAGAAGTCACGAAACCTCGCGACGACCGTCCCTTTGATGGACTCTTCGCAATTGCCTTAGAGCTCACGGCGATGGGCTCACCCGCTTGGGACAACGGACGGTAAGCTCATTCCCATGCCTCAAAAGTAGCGCGACGATCGCTTATAGATGTTTTTTCTTTTCTTTTCTATTTTCTAGACAAGGCGATCTTGAGGCATATGTTGCCCACGTTCTCGACCGCGTTGTGCGCCATTCGAACGCTTTAGACACAGAATCCCTGTGCATTCTCAAGGGCGTCAGTTGCTGGAGTATTCGCGCTGACATCCACATAACCGACTACGATGGTAACCTGATCGATGCCGCCTGTATCGGAGTCATGGCTGGATTGCAACACTTCCGCCGTCCGGATGCGGTTGTCAAGGATGGACAGGTGATAGTCTACGGACTCGATGAACGGGTGCCTGTTCCGCTGAATATTACACACAAACCTCTTTCTGTCACCTTCCACACCTTCGACGAAGGAAAACGGGTTATCCTTGATGCGACTCGGAAGGAAGAACAGGCATCGGAAGCGGATGTTGTCATCGGGGTCAACAATGCTGGGGATGTGTGTTTCGTCTCCAAGTTCTCGGGCTCTCCCGTGGATGCCTTGGTGTTTGTAACGAAGTCGTCTGTTGCTTTGGAGAAAGTCAAGGAGATCAATGGGATTATTGACAAAGCGCTACAGACCGATCTGGCCAAGAGAGCGAAAACCGGACTGGCAGAGGAGTCGAGAGCAGAGAATGATCGATGACTTTATTATTCTGAATGAGAGATGGCCTGCTTTAAATGACAAACACCGTAACGATATGATCTTCAACGGATTTGATGTATTATAGAACTCCAAGCGAGCGTCTGCCAATCTTCACGGAAGCTCTCTTGTCTCTGCTTGTACCGTTGGTCGTAATGGAAGGAACACGCCCCTAGTCGCACACCAGGACCTTCGACAGCTCGCCCCTGTCAATCCCGGCGGACCCAGCAGGATCGACTCTCAACGACGTTCGGTCGTTCTTTGGCCGTGAGTGGGCCGGAGGACGCGCATCCTCATTTGGCGCAAAGAAGAAAAAAAAAGGGAGCACTGGGTCTGGAGCAGCGTGTTGGGACTTGGAAGAAGTCAGGAAAAGAAGGTTGCGAATCACCAGTGACTAGCTATATCGGATATACTCTGTACTTAATTCGACTGAAAATCTGCTCTGGTTCACCTGAAACATCGTTGTGTGAGTACGGACTGTTTATAGAACGAACAACCAGCCAGGTCAGCCCCGGATGTCAGCACCGCCCAGTGGATTCTCCTGCCGCAGTCAAACCAGCCAAACGTCTTTTCGCCGCCCCCGTCTCGTCTCTTCTCTATCTACTCTGTAAAACTAAACACCTTCCAGGCACTCGAATTCATTGACCGGGGGAAAAAAAGCCATACCAAAACCATACGATCAACTGATCCCCTCCCCCGAATCGCATTCTTTGGCCTCCCTGCACGTCTGTTGTTCTTCTGTATATCTTCGGTCATTCTTTGCGCAGATCTCCCGGACGCTGTTGTCGTCCATTACCAGCCACTCCCCACTTTATCCTTCCCCCGAGTCTTCCTTCGGTCAATGCTCCCAGAGATACACCGTTTCAGTGACGGATTTTGCCCGCACCAAGCATCATGGCCAGCGGTAGGCCTCCAGGTCACCATCCAGCCGCTGGCCGCGATGAGGATCTGATGCAGATGGAGGAGTCGGACCCTTCGTACTACAGCACGGGGCAGCGCCCACCCGTCAACGATGACAACCTGTTGCGACAATACAATATTGACGATTCCGATCAACCGCAGCCGCGTCCCTCGGTTTCCTACGATAACTTTGTCGGCGGGCGGGCGCCCCCGGCGGCTGGAGCCCATGCGTCGTCTTCCGCGCATCCTCCGGCTCAACCGGGGGCTTCATACCTCAGCGGTCCCTACGCCGGTGCGGAGATGTCTCGAACCTTCTCGCAAACGTCGGGGCTGAGCAACTACCACCGGTACTCCCTTGATGATCTCGACGATGACCGATCGGTGCACGGGTACTACAACATGGATGACGATGATCATATGGCGTCGCCCCATCGCGTCCGGAAGGCGAAGGAGCGGAACAGCATTCTGGGCTTGGGAGGTGGCCTGATGGGGAGAGCGAAGCATATGCTGGGCATGGGGCCTGAGTACTCGGAGATGGATCTGCCGCTGACCGAGGCCGGGGGCAGAGGAGCACGGGCAGACAGTGTTGGGGCCGAAGGGACGAGCGCGCCTACGGGACAGAAGAAATCCAGGAAGCCGGGCTTCAAGTTTGGATTCGGGCGCAGGAAGGTCGACCCGTCGACTCTCGGTCCCCGTATTATCATGCTCAATAACCCGCCGGCCAATGCTACGCACAAGTTTGTCGATAACCATGTGTCCACGGCCAAGTACAATATCATCACGTTTGTCCCGAAATTCCTCTACGAGCAGTTCTCGAAATATGCAAATCTGTTTTTCTTGTTTACCGCCGCACTGCAGCAGATACCCAATGTCTCCCCGACGAATCGTTTCACTACCATTGTCCCCTTGTTGATTGTGTTGCTGGTTTCTGCGATTAAGGAACTTGTGGAGGACTACAAGCGGAGATCCTCGGACAAGTCGCTCAACTATTCCAAGACCCAGGTTCTGAAGGGCTCGGCGTTCCACGACACCAAGTGGATCGATGTGGCTGTTGGGGATATTGTGCGCGTCGAATCTGAACAGCCCTTTCCGGCTGATTTGGTCTTGCTTGCATCCTCCGAGCCCGAAGGTCTCTGTTATATCGAGACCGCCAATCTGGACGGCGAGACCAATCTGAAGATCAAGCAAGCGATTCCCGAAACCGCGCATCTGGTCAGTCCTGCTGATCTCAGCCGTCTGAGCGGGCGAATCCGGTCCGAACAGCCCAACAGCAGCCTCTACACGTACGAGGCGACCCTAACGATGCACGCCGGAGGAGGCGAGAAAGAACTTCCCCTTGCTCCGGATCAGCTGCTCTTACGCGGAGCCACCTTGCGTAACACTCCCTGGATCCATGGCATTGTGGTCTTCACTGGTCACGAAACAAAATTGATGCGCAACGCGACTGCGACGCCGATCAAGCGCACGGCAGTGGAGCGCATGGTCAACATCCAGATTCTGATGTTGGTCAGCATTCTCGTGGCCCTGAGTGTTGTGAGTTCTGTGGGCGACCTGATCATTCGACAGACCCAGCACAAGAAGCTTGTCTATCTCGACTACGGCAGTACAAACCCCGTCAAGCAATTCGTGCTCGATATCTTCACCTACTGGGTGCTGTATTCGAATCTGGTTCCCATCTCTCTGTTTGTCACCATCGAAATCGTCAAGTATGCGCAGGCATTCTTGATCAATTCCGATCTCGACATCTACTACGACAAGACCGACACGCCGGCCACCTGCAGGACCTCTTCGCTCGTCGAGGAGCTTGGACAGATCGAATACATTTTCTCCGACAAGACCGGAACGTTGACGTGCAACCAAATGGAATTCAAGCAGTGCACCATCTACGGCATCCAATATGGTGATGACGTGCCTGAAGACCGCCAGGCTACAGTGGAGGATGGCAACGAGATTGGCGTCCACGACTTTAAAAAGCTCAAGGAGAATCTGCATTCACATCCGTCGCGAGATGCGATCCATCACTTTCTTACCCTGCTTGCCACCTGCCATACTGTCATCCCTGAAAAGGCGGACGCAGATCCCGACAAGATCAAATACCAGGCCGCGTCTCCTGACGAAGGTGCTCTGGTGGAGGGCGCCGCATCGCTGGGCTACCGTTTCACCAACCGACGGCCGCGCTCTGTCATTTTTACCACCGGAGGCGAAGATTTCGAATACGAGTTGCTGGCGGTGTGCGAATTCAACTCGACGAGAAAGCGCATGTCGACGATCTTCCGATGTCCGGATGGCAAAATCCGGGTCTACACCAAGGGTGCGGACACTGTCATCCTCGAGCGGCTGGGTCCCGATAACCCGATTGTCGAAGCAACTCTGCAGCATCTGGAGGAATACGCGTCCGAGGGTCTCCGGACACTTTGTCTGGCCATGCGCGAAGTTCCGGAGGAAGAGTTTCAGCAGTGGATTCAGATCTATGACAAAGCTGCGACGACCGTTAGTGGAAACCGTGCAGACGAGCTCGACAAAGCTGCGGAGCTCATCGAGAAGGACCTCTACTTGCTTGGTGCCACGGCCATCGAGGATCGTCTGCAGGATGGCGTCCCTGACACCATCCATACTCTGCAGACCGCTGGTATCAAGATCTGGGTGTTGACTGGTGACCGACAAGAAACCGCTATCAACATTGGAATGTCATGCAAGCTGATCTCGGAAGACATGACGTTGTTAATCGTCAATGAGGACAACGCGCAAGCCACCCGCGATAATCTGACCAAGAAGCTCCAGGCTGTTCAGAGCCAGGGCACCTCCAGCGAGATTGAAGCGCTTGCGCTCGTTATTGACGGCCGGTCTTTGACGTTCGCCTTGGAGAAGGATATGGAGAAACTGTTCTTGGACCTGGCGGTCATGTGTAAAGCTGTCGTTTGCTGGTAAGTTGTCTGCTTGTATTTCATTGAGCTGTTGCAGTCCACTGACTATCGCGCAGTCGTGTCTCTCCACTTCAGAAGGCATTGGTTGTTAAGCTGGTGAAGCGACACCTGAAATCCTTGCTGTTGGCCATTGGCGATGGCGCCAACGATGTCTCCATGATCCAAGCAGCCCACGTTGGTGTGGGTATCAGTGGTGTTGAAGGTCTGCAGGCCGCCCGGTCTGCGGATGTTTCGATCGCCCAGTTCCGTTATCTTCGTAAACTGCTCCTTGTCCATGGCGCTTGGAGTTATCACCGCATCAGTCGAGTTATCCTCTATTCATTCTACAAGAACATTGCTCTGTACATGACGCAATTCTGGGTAAGTCAAATCTCGCACACAGACTTCTGAACCGTTTCGAAGCTAACATGCAAGACAGTACTCCTTCCAGAATGCCTTCTCTGGCGAGGTCATTTACGAATCATGGACCCTTTCCTTCTACAACGTCTTTTTCACTGTGCTGCCCCCGTTTGTCATGGGTATCTGCGACCAGTTTATCTCCGCCCGGCTGCTCGATCGGTATCCGCAACTGTACCAGCTTGGACAGAAGGGGCTGTTCTTCAAGCGACACAGCTTCTGGTCGTGGATCGCGAACGGATTCTACCACTCCCTGCTGCTCTACATCGTCTCGGAGCTGATCTTTTTCTGGGATCTCCCGCAAGCGGACGGCAAGGTGGCTGGACATTGGGTCTGGGGTTCGGCCCTGTACACCGCGGTCCTGGCCACGGTGCTGGGCAAAGCAGCCCTGATCACCAACATCTGGACAAAATACCACTTCATCGCCATCCCCGGGTCGATGATCATTTGGCTCATCTTCCTTCCGGCCTACGGCTACGCGGCCCCGGCCATCGGCTTCTCGACCGAATACTACGGCACCGTACCGCGGCTCTTCAGCTCTCCGGTCTTCTACCTGATGGCCATCGTGCTACCCTGCCTCTGCCTGCTCCGCGACTACGCGTGGAAATACGCCAAGCGCATGTACTATCCGCAACACTACCACCACGTGCAGGAGATCCAGAAGTACAACGTGCAGGACTACCGGCCGCGCATGGAGCAGTTCCAGAAGGCGATCCGCAAGGTGCGGCAGGTCCAGCGCATGCGCAAGCAGCGCGGCTACGCGTTCAGCCAGGCCGACGAGGGCGGGCAGATGCGCGTTGTCAATGCTTATGATACCACGAGAGCGAGAGGACGATACGGCGAGATGACCAGTTCAAGGACGCTGGTTTGATGACTTGTTACTTTTTGTGTGTGTGTGTGTGTCTGTTTGTTTTCCCTTCTGCTGATGATGTTTTGTATAAGTTTCTTGCCTTTTTTTTTTCCCCCTTCTGTGTTTTGTGTATTCTTGGATTCCTGCTGCTCCAAGTGGCAGCAGAATGTCCCATCCCCCATCTCCATCCTCCCATTCATTCCCATCCTATCTATGCTTTGTGTTCTTGTCTACGAGGTCAACGTGGGCAGAAAAACAAAATCATCCTTGACGATCTGTTTTGATCTTTGATCTGGTGGCTAGCGTTGTTGTCTATGCTTGGACATAACATAGCATAGTTTGTAGGTAGATTAATGATATATGTACTGACTATTCACCAACACCCCCATCCATATATACTTAGGTATACCTCTTTTATAGATGAATAGGGGGGGTTACCGGGTACATCTCTCCTCGGGCGGCCTCCATCCCACCCCCAACCCCTCCAGCACCAACCTCTCCCTCTCCTGCCACGTCTCGCCGCCACGCTCCAAGTCCACGACATGCCCGCCCGTCGTGCGCTGGCGCACCCCGCTCGAGTCGAACTTCCACCCGTGCGCCTTCTTCGCGTACCGCCGCAGGTCCCGCTGGAAGGTCGTGTCGCCCGACCAGCCGAGCACGGCGCAGCCGACCGTACGCCACGGCGAGATGATGATGTCGACGCGACGGTGCGGGTTGGGATTGCGGCGACGGCGGCGAGCCTCTGCACCTTCTTCTTGGTTCTCGTCTTGATCGTCGGCTTCGGCTTCAGCTGAGGTTAAGGTTGGGGCAGCGTCGTCGTCGTCGCCGTCGTCGTCGTCAAAGTCCGGGTCCTGCCAGACAACGAGGGCTTTGTCGAGGGTGTCGAAGTGGCGGCCAGGCACGTCGTCGTCGTCGTCTTCGTCGTCGCCGCGGTAGGGCAGCGGCTGCTGGTCGCGGTGGGAGGAGGTCATGTGCAGGGCGAGGGTGTGGGTGATGTAGCCGGCGGCCTCGAGGCTGCGGACGAGGTCGAGGACGAGGTTCTTGGTGACGGACTCGTCGCGGTGGGAGAGCACGAGGTCGACGTCGCCGCTGAGGGGCTTGCCGCGGCGGTAGCCGCCGACGAGGACGCAGTCGAGGCCGCGGGCGTCGTAGCGGGCGTGGGGGCGGACGCGGGCGGCGTGGGCGGCGACGGTGCGGGCGATGGCCTCGGATTCCGGGCGGGGGACGCCGGCGAGGAACTCGTCGTAGTATTTGAGGCCGATCTGCTGGACGCGGGAGAGGGCGGCCCAGCCGTGCTCGACGAGGTCGTCGAGGTCGCGCCAGTGGCGCTGGTAGAGGAAGTCGCGGGCGGTCTTGGCGCCGACGCCCCAGATGTTCCCGAAGAGGTGCAGGGTGCGCAGCGCCGGGTCGGAGTCGAGGGCGGCGGCGGCGGCGACCGTGCCGTCGGCGCTGGCCTGGAACTCGGCGAAGAGCGCGGCGATCTTGGCGTCGCAGCCGGGCAGCGTGAGGATCTCGGCGGGCCGCTGGATCGCGGACGGGTACGCGGCCAGCGCCGCGATCGACGTGCTGTACGCCCGCACCCCGATCTCGTCCAGCGTGAGCTCGCGCACCGTGCGGATCTTGACCAGCTGCGCGATGAACGCCTCGTTGGGCGGGTGCAGCGGCGCCGACCGCATGCACGCGTACATGACGCGGTCGCGCACCCAGTCCGGCGCAGGCGGTAGCGGCGCCGCCTCGTCGTGCTCGGACGTCGTCTGCTGGTAGAGCTTGGGCGGTTGGTGGCCGGGGCCGAGCGGCTCGCGCGAGCGCCGCGCCGTGAAGCGGCTGCTCGCTGCCGCGGGGGGCTTGAATATGGCGTCTTGCTCGGCCCGTTGCAATATCGCCTTTGAGTTCTCCGCGCCACCTGCAGACGCAGCCGCAGGCGTAGGAGCCGCAACCTTGCGGCCCTGGTAGACCACAAACGGCGCCATGGCCACCAGCCTCCGCGCCCGGAGCACTTCCTCAACCCAGTCCAGCCGAACCACCGTGACCACATCCCGCTCGCCACCCTGGGCATCCGTCCCAGAGGGGGCTGTCGCCGTTGACGCCACAGACTTCGACCTCGCCCTCGCCCTCGACTCCGGCACCCGCAGATGTCGCCGCACACCACCACCACCCTCCTCCTCGCTCTCCCTCTCAGTCGCAAGATCAACAACACCATCATCATTGAGCCGCACCCGCGCGTCCTCCGCAGACTCCACCCGCTGCCGTTTCGCCACAGGCTCAGGGCTGCCACTGCCAGTAACACTAACACTAGCACTTGCGCTGCGAGCACTCCCCGCTCGCGAACCCAACTCCAAATCCAACCCACCCACCCCATGCCCAGGATTAGAAACGCGCTCCACCTCCGTCGTCCACACCCCGCGTGTCCTCAACTCCAGCACCGCCCTCTTCTTCTGCCTCAGCTTGCCGAGGACGAGGCCCGCCTCGGCGGCATCGTAGGTGAGGCGCGCGGCGCGGTGCACGAGGGCGTCTTCGGTGGTGTGTAGGGTGTCGAGGGGGAGGTGGGTGGGGAGGACGTAGATGGGGGGGAGGGGGGAGAAGAGGTGTGCTTCGCTGGTTGTTAGGGTTGGAGGCGGGGTGGTTGGGGGGCACATTTTGGGGGGAGTGTTGCCATTGCTATGCCTTGGGTAGGTGTGTGTAGGATAAGGCGGTTGAAGTGGATGGATAGATACAGATTACATTGGAGGGATATCTTGAGTGTTTGGAACGAGAGAGTGATGATGCGTTGTGATGGATGGATGAGTTGGGGTTGGGCTCGATCAGCTGACGTCACCTGTTCGTGCCGTGCCTCGGGCATAAGACTCGGGGTTCGTTCCCATGTAATGTGTGTGTGCCTTGGGATCAAATGAGAAACTGGAAGGGAACTTTTGATATTCGGTATTCGTCTATGGTAATGACAATGACAATGATAAAAAAGTCAACTCAAACAGAAAAGACTAGAATAGATGGTTTAGCTAGATAGATTGTCAAATCCTCAGCTCACGGCCGAGCAGGTCCACCGACTGGCTCCACCACCACCGCCGGCGAGTCCTTCGTCACTGTGCCATAATTCACGTGAGTAGCAGCAGTACTAGCACCTCCCTCGGCGATTACCGCCTCCCCAGAGCCAGAGGCATCACCGGAGTAGCCCTCCTCGTCCTCGGCGGTGCTCTTGCCGTGGCGCTTGGCAATCCACCTGCGCCAGGGCTTATACAGCACGACACTAAGGCCGCCGAAGATGATGAAGCAGCCGCAGATCGCACCGCCAATGACATCGTAGTAATCGCCGGCTGTCTGCACGCCGTCCCAGAAGCGGCCGGTGGGCTCGGCGACGTTGAGGACGAGGGTGAGCAACTGAATGACGCCGATGACGATGGCGACGACGACGGTGAGCAGGGTCAGCACGATGGAGTAGTACAGGAAGGCGACGGGGTCGCGGTGGTTTTGCGAGGGCTGGACCTCGTGGTCCTCGCCGAGGATGAGCGGGGTTTCGGAGGAGGTGCTGTCGCGTTTGGGCGGGAGGAAGTTGGCGGCGGGTTGGATGTAGAGCGAGAGCATGAGGGCGCCGTCGGTAGTGTCGAGGAGGCACATTCCGGCTGTATGTACTTGTTAGTCTAAGCGTTCATGTTGGTATATTGAAGAGAATATATACCTGTAAAGAGAATCGGAAAGATGAGAATGACCCAAAAGTCGGTCCCGCGAGCGGCTTCGATGGACGAGATACCGAGCAGGGCGATCTCCGAGGACGTGTCGAACCCTAGCCCGAACAGCACACCAAGAGGATACATCTTCCACGGACTATATGCCCGCGCGTCAGTCCTTCCTACATGCTTCCTTTTTTTTTGTTTTTCGAGAGCAGAACAAGCCTACCGGTTAATCAATTTGAACATGCGCTTCAGCACATTGAACAGGACACCGCCGCCCTCGATCTTCCACGCCTCATCCTCCTGGCCTTCGGGGAGATGCAGCACCTTCTGCATTTGCGTGTAGAGCTTGTACAGGATGTAAAAGTTCATCAGGCCCAGCAGGATCAGGAACGCAGCGCTGACAGAGGTGCCGATGATGCCGCCGACGGTGCTGAAGCTGTCGAAGCGCGACGACACGGCCGCGGCCGTGGCAGCCACCACGATGGACGTGATGATGACAATCCTGTTTGCGTTAGGCATTGGCATTGGCATCTAATCAATCGGGGGAGCCAACTTACGTCGAATGACCGAGCGAGAAAAATGTCCCCACAGTCACGGGCTGCTGGCCGGTTGCCAGTAATCTCCGGGTCATCAGATCAATCGCCTTATCCATCAGATCAGCGCCAACAATTCCTCCCCATCGGCTTTGACAGTAAGAAGAAGACATACCGAAATATGATCCGCATCAAACGCATGCCTCAGCCCCAGCGTATACGCCAGCACCGCATTCGAGACCAACGATCTAACCCCCCATCAGCTTTCAAGGCCCCATCTGTACGGTCAAAGCTACTGTTCAAGCAACACTTACGGGTAATACCGCTAGCAGAATCATTAGCGCCGCACCAGAATCACACATCTCCAAAATGGGGAATATTACATACCAACACAATCGCCGCAGCAATCCACACGAGCACATTCACGAGCGCCACGAACACAATGATCGCCAGCGCGGGGAGCGGGATCTTGCGCAGGCCGGGGAGTCGACGGTGCGAGCGTTCTGCACGCTGGACGAATTTCGTGGTCCATTTGTCTTTGGGGGAGGGGGTGGGGGAGTCTTGCATGGTGGTGATTGGGGGGGGTTTGTAGAGGGCGAGAGAAGGGTTACTCTGCTCTCTACTATGCTGTACTAGATAGACCGTACTCCCTTATAGAGAGAGGGAGAGAGATTGCCTCTAGGAAGAAGGAGAAAAAGAACTGACAGATGACAGATGAATGATGAAAGATGAAAGATGAAAGATGAAAGATGAAGGAAGATTCGGAGAGTCAAATAATGGTAGATCGGAGGGGAATGATCGATAAGCAGCGATAAGGGAGAGAGAGAGAGAGTCGGAGGGGACTCGCAATTGCGGTGACTGGAATGGACAAGACTGGACTGGACTGGACTGAGCTGGACTGCGCATGCAGATTAAAGCAAGGACATGGAAAAGGACAAGATCAAGATGTGTGATGATTGATCGAATGAAGCAGCGAGCAAGTCGACGTCCTCCCACTCAAAGCGATCCAAATCCCAAGCACCAGCACCAGCACCAGCCTGATCTGATGAGATCCCTCTGCAAAGCGACGATCTATACAAGAATCAAGATTAAGCCCCCCCTTTTTTTTCAACTCCCGGTACTATTCTCTTGGCCTCTGCGTCCTCGTTCTACTCGACATCTTTAAATTCCTCGCACAATGGCCGACAACTCCACCGGTGAGGCCGATAACCCCACTAAGTGTATACTCGGCGGACTGAAGCGCAATCGGAGAGCGCCGAAGTAGGTTGAAGTGCATCTAGAGACTGGAAGGTTTAACCGGTGTGGATAATGGGTATCGGATATAGATCTAGATCTAGATCTAGCTTCATTCATTCATCATGGTCGTTCTATACATTATGGTACACCCTGTGGTGTATATACATTCCATTTCTAGTTTGATTTTGGGTTTGGGTTTGAACCAACTCCTTCACAGTTAAGCCGATAGGATGAGTTTAATCACCCAGCCTGGTGTGCATGTGTGTGTGTGTGGTGGTTCTGGGAAGTGTGGCTGAAATTTCTTTCAGTCCATAAGTGACTAGGTGATAGGTCACTAGATGGGTGACAGTGTGCACGTCCAGCCGATAAGGTTGGAACTTGAGCATGTTTGTCCGTCGTCGGCATGAGATAGACTCACTCGTGGCCGGTGGCCGAGATGGGAACTCTTGGCTGGGAGTGGATCTATTCCGCCGTTAGTGCCATTCAAGGTCAAGATTTTTTTCGAGACCAAAACATACCTCATGGCGCCTAGACCCTAAGCGGGGAGATTTATGCTCTGAGCTTAAGAATTTGCCGATTGCTCTGAACGGCAATTGCAGCAGCCCATATAGAGAAATTGGGTTTGAGATTGGTTGTCGGGAAGAAAAGGACGGTGCTTTTTTTTTTTTTTTTTTTTTTTTTTTTTTCCTTTTTCACGCCGCGGCCAGCACAATCGGAGACGGGGTCCACTTGGTCACTGTCGGGTTCACCTGGCGGATCCCAGAGCCGACAAACATGTTCCACTCGTTGCGCGTGATGGGGGTGACATCCGAGGCCGACAGGGGGGTCTTAGGCCCCCGCTTGGTCACGAGAGGTTTACCACCCGGCGAGGCGGCGGGTGCTCTGCGTTGACGAACGGGGCGGATGGGCGATTTGCGCGGGTACTCGGGCTTGGGTCGCGGGGGCAGCACGATGCCCTCCTGGCCGTACTCCTTCTTGTAGGTGGTGGCGACGCGGGTGAGCAGGTCGTCGCGGACGTCGAGCTGCTCGTAGACGCGGTGGAAGAAGGCCTTGCTGAAGGGGCGGCCCTGGTAGTCGCAGATGGTGCGGTGCAGGAGATGCACGCACGAGGCGAGGAAGGGCTCCTCAACGGCGGTCTCGCGGTTGGAGAGGATGCAGAGCCGGCGCTTGAAGGTGTGAATGCGGTCAACGTTCAGCAGAGTCAGGCCCTCGCGGCTGAAGACGACCTCGTTCTGCAGGATGGATTGCTGGATCAGGTACTCGTTGGCTTGCCGTTCGAACTGGCTGCGCGTCAGGGCGTCGGTCCAGCTCTGGCCGAGCGAGAACTTCTTGGCTCCCTTGGCGACGATGCGGCACAACGTACGCCACGACTGCAGGTCGAGATGGGCAATGGGGATGACCATGAGGTCGGAGGCGTGGCCGGTGGGGAATGGCTTCCCGCGGCCGACGAGCAGCGTGACGTGCATCATCTTCTGCTGCAGCTTGGCGGAGATATAGTCGAGTGCGGGGATGATGGAGGGGGTGACGGTTTCCGAGTCGAAGTTGAAGCCAGGAGAGAGAGGAGAGGAGATCATGTCGGAGGTGAGGCTGCGAGGCGAACTGGGGACATAGATGCCAGTGGGGCGAGGTAGACGTAGTACACCCATGATGATGATGATGATGTGATTATGTTCAAGTCTCAAATCTGAGAATGGAAGACTTGAGAGAGAGAAGAGAGAGGGAGGAAAAAAAAAAAAAAGAAGATCATCTCTGAAGTGATTGAGGACAGACGGTGATAATAAATGCCGGTGCAGAGAGAAGAGGGGGGGGGACAGTGACAAAATCACCACCACCACATCACCAATTAGTTCTGCATACCCACCCCAAGAACAAATCTATTTCGGTGCTTCTAATGATAGTAAATTGACCGAGTCTCCTCTTATTTCGCCCGTATCCCGACAGAATGGAAGCCAATAACGCGGCCGATATAAATAACGTTAAGCGCCGACGCTGTTTGTGCACCAATCGAACGCCCCCTGTGGCAGCCTTGATGCAGGTGATGGCAACAAGCACACAATGGTTGGTGATGCGATTCTGAAAAAAAGGACCTGGATGACGAGTCCATCGACGGGTCTAATTACCCTTAATTTCAGCGTTTGGGTGTTGGAAGTGTTGGAAGTGTTGGAATCAACACGAACGACACCGACTCCTACCATCATTGGTCCTGAAGGTCATTACCGACACCCAAGATGCAGACCTGCATCTGCGGGGTCGAGTGCCATGGATGCCAGCTGCAGGACACTATTGAAAGTGCGCGGTAGAGAGCCGGTTATGAGAGGAAAAGCAGGGCCGTTGGCGTCCGTCATTGTGCTGTGGCCTGTGGGCAGCAGCTGCTGACTTGGAGGAGGTGCATGGTGTCAACGTGGGGAGTTGGGATGGAGCTGTCGGGGTTCAGGAATTACCGCCCCTAAAGAAACTATTGGAATTGTGCATGTGGCTTGATCCTGGGTTGTCACGCTGGGAGGAGTTGGAGTTGGTGTGGGTGGTGATGAGGGAGGATGATAGTATTCATGATGCTGCCTGATTGGAGCCTGAGGCTGAGATCGGCGCGCTTTTGCTGAACAGTGAGGAGCGTGACGAAGATGAGCACTGGTTTATCGTGTATGGCACTTGATCTATATTGCTATATATTTTCCCACTACCGACTCACCATAGTCGGAGATATCACGGAGCCTTGACTTCATCGGTGGTGATGATCAAGTGGTATATCTCCCGTCTTTAGTGGTCCAGCCCTACTAAGCCTACGCACACCGAGCTATCTCCGACAAAAAGTGAAAAAAAAGGGAAGATAGTAGGTATCCGGACTCTGGAGACAGTATGGAGTACTCCAGACTCGAAAGGATGGATCATGGATTATGGAGTCGAACCAAATGTCGAGGAGAAATTTTCAAGGCCGAGAACCATGGATGATGCGAGAATCCCAGCCACCAGCGGGTTCAGGGTCTGGCTCGGGAATTAGAATTTAGAACTCAGTTGTGAGTTGTGAGTTGTACTCGAGTGGAACGACTCTTGAATAGAGAGATGGTAATAATAAGGAACAGTCGACATGGCGACGGTACATCCAGACGGCGAAAAAGCAGATACGAATCGGGATTCCCCGCTTGGAAGAGTCTGGGGGAATTTCCATTACCTAAGCCTCGGGAGTTTGAGTGTGTCGTGCTGGAAAAGAGATTACGTGACGGAAATACAGGGTACTCCACTGTAGAAGTTAGAATGGTTAGGTAGGTAGGTAGTGAATTGATACAGATTGATACAGATTGATACCGACTACAGGGGTACTGTGAGAGAAAGAATTTTTGGTGCTATGCCAAGAGGGTGGGACCTTGGATACGTTGGAGAACCGTAGGTAGTAGGTACTCGGTACCTAGTTCTAGAAGATAGATTGATGGAGTATGGAAGACAAGGCCTACACTGTAATACTAAAAAGGAAGAGGGATGGAAGAGACTAAGAGAGATAAGCAGTGAAGATGACCGGATGATTGGCTGGAAGTGAATACTATGATAAGCAGTGCTTGGCGTTCAGGCAGAGATACCTACTACAGTACCTGGGTACATACACAGTACTATGTAGTAGTCTGAGAGTCAGGGACTCAGGGTGGTATTGGCGAGTATCACAATTACCTACATCGTACTCTGTAGTACCTATTCTTGGCATTATCTCATTATCTCATTATCTCATCGTCTGTTCGGTTTCATAAATCCCGCAAAGCTTAAGGTGTTATGACCTCGAGACGACGAGGCTACAAGACTACAAGACTACGACGACGAGGCTGCAAAGGACAAACTACACAGTTGAAAGTCCACTGAAAATAAGGTACAGGACATAGTGTGCTCACGTGGACATTGCCAAGTCCGCCAAGAGTGGAGCCTCAGGCCGGTCCAAGCGGGGTTTCGCTTTGCGTCGGTTGTGCAACACTGATGACTAAGTCGTCTATTGTTCGAGTCCCTTTTTACGTTACTTTAACGACTTCACAGTCCCAAATAATGTGACCACCGAGACGGAGGTGTATTGTTTTCATTATTCAAGTTACAGAGCACAAGTAAGAGCAAAAGGAAGAGAAGTTATCTCATATCAGGATCAGATCAGATCACCAGCGACTCTCGAGGTCCTCTTTCGTCCTCTGCCTAACAGTGCCTAGACACAGCAATGTAACCTCATAACACCATCCACCGGACGGAGTAAGCTGTAAGCTGTCAGCACAGATCGAGAGAGATAACCACTCCATAGTCCAGACACTGCCAACTACGTTAATCTCTAGTGTCAACAGCCTCGTACGAGCTGGGCACCCCGCCAAGCCCAATCCGCTGTCCCAGTAAGTTCAGAGGCGTAGACAAGGCTCAGTCCAAGGGCAAAGATCGTCACATCTGCCGCTGAACGCTCGGCTGAAATCACTTTGCAAGTTGCAAGTTGCAACTCTGTGGCAAGCTCTATCGGTCTGTCTATCATCTGAGGAGATTCTCCACGCGAGATTGTCCTACTGTCTGGGGTTGCTCCATTCTTCCGTGGCTGGTGAATATTCACTGTTCCCTTCTTCTTCTCTTCTCTTCTCTTCTCTTCACTTCATCCTTTTCTTCTCTCCTTCTTCTCTTCTCTTCTCTTCTCTTCACTCCATCCTTTTCTTCTCTTCTCTTCTCCTCTCTTCTCTTCCTTCCTTCCTTCATCCTCATAAATCCACCACCCCAGCTTCATCTCAGCCCCAACTTCCACCCAACAGAGCACACAACAGCATGGGGTACGCAGAGGAGGGCCTCTCCTCGGAGCTGCCGGTCAAGCATGAAATGTCCAACGATGTCAAGGCTGCCGAAGAAGGTGTCATCACCGAAGAGCATCATGTCGAACTTCAGCGTGCCCTCAAATCTCGTCACATCACCATGATCGGTACGAGTGCACACCATATCTGATAGACAAAAAAAAACAACAGCACTGACTCTGATGACTATGATGACAGCCATCGGTGGTGCCATTGGTACTGGTCTCATTATCGGAACTGGAGGCGCTCTGGCAAAGTAAGTTTCTCTTGATTTCCACAATGCTACAAACATAGCTAACAAGTTTCTAGGGCTGGTGTACGTTGAAAAACCCCCCTCCTGAGAAAGGAAGAGATTGTACTGACTCTCTTCAGCCCGGTGCAATCCTCATCTCGTACTCGTTCGTCGGTTTCATCGTCTACCTCGTCATGTGTGGTCTGGGAGAAATGGCCACCTGGTTGCCCATGCCCTCTGGTTTCACCGGTTATGCCGTTCGTTTCTGTGACCCGGCTCTAGGATTCGCCATCGGTTGGACGTAAGTGGAAACCCCCCCTCGGCAGAAAGCTTCCTAAACACACAACCGTGCTGAGACCAACCGGCAGATACTGGTTCAAATACATTATCGTGACGCCCAATCAATTGACAGCCGGCGCCCTGGTCATATCGTTCTGGATCGACACCACCCGGGTCAATGCCGGGGTGTGGATCACCGTCTTCCTCGTGCTGATCGTCTGCATCAACTACTTTGGCGTGCGCTTCTTTGGCGAGTTCGAATTCTGGCTGTCCTCGTTCAAGGTCGTCGTCATCGTCGGGCTCATCCTGCTGTCCTTCATCTTGATGCTGGGCGGCGGGCCCGACCATGACCGCAAGGGGTTCCGCTACTGGAAGAGCCCCGGCGCCTTCAACTGGTACATCGAGGAATCCGCCGCGGGCCGCTTCTACGCCTTCTGGGCCACCATGGTGTCGGCCACCTTCGCCTACCTGGGCACCGAGCTGGTCGGCGTGACCGTCGGTGAAGCGCAGAACCCGCGCAAGACGATCCCGCGCGCCATCAAGCTGACCTTCTACCGCATCCTCTTCTTCTACGTGATCAGCGTGCTCCTCGTCGGCACCCTCGTCCCCTACAACTCGCCCAAGCTCATCTTCGCCACCAAGCAGTCCAGCTCGGCCGCCGCGTCGCCCTTCGTCGTCGCCATCGAGCTGGCCGGCATCCCCGTCCTCCCGCACATCCTCAACGCCTGCATCCTCCTCTTCGTCTTCTCCGCCGCCAACTCCGACCTCTACATCGCCACCCGGACCATCTACGGCCTCGCCCGCGAAGGCAAGGCCCCCGCCATCTTCGCCCGCACCGACCGCCGCGGCGTCCCCATCTACGCCCTCGCCATCTCCGCCACCATCGCCTGCCTCGCCTACATGAACGTCTCCAGCGACTCCAAGACCGTCTTCGCCTACTTCGTCGACCTCGTCACCATCTTCGGCCTCCTCACCTGGATCTCCCTCCTCGTCACCCACATCCACTTCGTCCGCGCCCGCAAGGCCCAGCACGTCCCCGACGCCGACCTCGCCTACCGCGCCCCCTTCGGCGCCGCCGGCTCCTACTTCGCCCTCGTCTTCTGCTGCATCATCGCCCTCACCAAGAGCTACGACGTCTTCACCCACAACCCCAAATGGGGCCGCTTCAACTACAAGACCTTCATCACCGCCTACCTCGGCATCCCCCTCTACCTCATGCTCATCTTCGGCTACAAGCTCGTCACCCGCTGCAAGGGCGTCGACCCCGCCGAGGCCGACCTGTGGTCGGGCAAGGAGGAGATCGATCGCGAGGAAGCCGAGTTTCTGGCCCGCAAGGCAATGGAGGAGCCGCATAACCCGCGCGGCAACTGGTTCTATAACACGTTTGTGGCGTGGTTGTTCTAGTTGTAGAGTCTCTTGCCGGGTTTGTTTTTTTTGTTTTGTTTTGTTTTTTTCTTTTCCCTTTTGTTTTGTTTTGTTTCCTTGCTTGCTTGCTTGCTGCTGGTGGGGGTTGTTTTTTTTTTTTTTTCTTATGATATGATTGATGGATGTGGTGTGGTTCCTTTGCCCCTGTTTCTCGCAAGGGATTTGGGGGGGGGGAGGGTTCTGTTCGATATGATATGAAAGCTCACGGATGCTCTCTAGAGTCGTCGATGTACATAGTCAATTACGATGAAAGATGATTCTGATTCTATACGTGCCAGATGCCCAATTTGTATTTTGTATTTTGTACTTGGTATTTGTACTCGTCTTCCAAAACGGAGAACACACATACACCCACCCACCCCATTTCATGATTCATTAATGCATACAAGGTCACAAATTCAAATCTACAAAGGCATTCACCGCCGGAACTCCCACCCATGCTCGTCCCACTCCTCGTCCTCGTCCTCGTTCTCGTTCTCGTCTTCCGTTTGATCGGCGGCCGCAGCTACCTCTCCCCCCTCCGGTTGATGAAGAGTCTGCTGCGCCTCTACCACCCCCTCCGGCTCCGTCGCCATCGCCGCCTCCCAGTCCAGGTGGTCCAGATGCGCCGCCGCATCGCCCAGCAGGAATTTCCCGAACGTCAGGACGACGTTGTAGATTTCGCGGCCGGTGGGCACGATGTACTCCGCGGGCAGCAGGAAACCGTAGCTGCCGCGGTCGCGCAGCTTGATCTGGTAGGCGTAGTTGGTGTGCAGCTGGTGATAGAACCAGTCGAGGGCGCTGCCACCGGAGCTGCCGGGGTTGGTTTGCACGTGTGGCGTGGACTTGGACACGGTGATGCCCTCGCAGGCGGAGGTGACGTCGTAGACCTCGTGGGTGGTCAGGCGGATGACCTTGGCGAGGCCCATGGCGAGCTCCTCGAGGCTCTCGAGCGTGGGCGGCACGGCAGAGCACGAGTACGAGTACGGGTAGAGGATCTGCTGTGAGTAGGCGTGGAGGTCGAGGAAGCCGACGATGGTGGCGTTGGCGGACTGGGTCTGGGCGAGCGCCCACTGCGCCAGCTGCTGGGCCTCGGTGCCGTCGAAGGGCGCATCACCCGCGTACGTCTCCGAGCATGGGTTGGTGCGCGTGCGCTCGCCGTCCCACTCGAAGGCCCAGGCGCGGTCCAGGTCGATGCCCGGACAGAAGCGCAGGCTCGTCGGCTGCCGGTTCTTGCGCCACAGCCGGTCCGACTCCCACGTGTAGGCGTAGCCGTCCGGGTTCAGCGTCGGCACCAGCACCCAGTCGTAGTCCTCCAGCAGGCGCGTGACCTCGGGCGACTTGCCGTACCGCGCGATCAGCTGGTACGCGACGTAGGTGACGGTCGACGTGCTGATCCATTCGCGCGCGTGGCTACCACCGACAATTAGGATGGTTTTGCGCGGGCGCGCCGGCTCGGGGTCCGCCTCGCGCACCCCGAGGCGGAGCGCGGGAATCTCGCGGCCTTCGTACGACACCCCGACACTGATTTTCTCCACGTGCGACGAGAACATCGATGCCATCAGCCGCATCCAGGGCACAATGACGGAGAGGGGCTGGTAGTCGCGGAAGAAGAGGTCGCCCAATTGAGCGGACTGCCGCACCGTCGGCATGAACCCGGATTGATCCCCCACTCCAGCGGAGCGTCGAGTCGGATACGACGCATGGATCATTTCGGCCAGGTCATCAATCAGCGGCGTATAGGCGGTGCGCAGCGAGTCGGGCAAGAGGCCCAGTAGCGAGGAGATCTTATCGAACCATCCACAATTAGTACATTACTGCGGATATTCACCGGGGGAGGCGGTAATATCAAGACTCACCACTTCCTCGGCTAAACGGATATCCACAAACTCGGGCGTCGAAGCCCACACGTCCAGGAAGAGAATCTCGCTCGCTTCTGCCAATGCCTCTGCGTCCTGAGCACTGCCTGGATAGAAGCGAAGGACGACATCGCTGCCGTACCGAGCCAGGGCTTGCGAGGGAGGACGGTCTCGCGAGGAGCTGTGAGAGGAGGAGTGTGGGTGAGAGCATGATTTAGAGATCCCCCAGATAGACTCAATGACCCAGTCCCGTAGCCGAGTCCATGGTCGTCGGGAGTCCTGTGACGGAGATGGCGCCGAGAGCAAGTGGATGGGTTCAATGGGCGGCGGAGGAGTGATACTAGAGCCTGCGGGGACGGCGGAAACCAGACCAACACCCACCGAGGCGACCAGGACGAGCAGAACAGAGAGTAGGAGACGCATGCTGGATCAAGATGGGAGACCACGACTAGTCTGTCATTGTTCCTGTTGGATTTGGAGATTCCTGGGGGGGGGGAGAAGAACAAGATAAGCTGATAACAAGGGGATGGGGGAAGGCCACAGCACAGCCTGCTACTGTTGGATGGAAGGCAAATTTCGGCCTGGCTGGTGCCTCAGGCAGAACAGAACATTCCAAGCACCGCCATGTTTCCTGATTCGGTATAGTGCTAGGTCTCGTCTCTCTCGGGGTACATTACACAGTATGATTGCATATTGGCATGTTCTTCTTCGTGAGCATCAAAAGGATGTCTTTTATTATATCCGTCTCTTGATCAATTCTGTCTTGAAGTTCGTATTCATGCCTTATTATTGCACTCCTACATGATGCTTAGCAAATTCGTCGTACCCTGAAGTTCTGAACTCGATGTAGTTACTCCACCAGGGCCATATATCTTGCATGAAGCCTTGCATATCTATTTGAACGCCTTGCATCCTCCTTAGTCTGATATCTACGGAGTACATAGCTTGCGAGTCTATTGAAATGATTTATGCGAGTTGCCTCTACTAGTATCACTAAATCACTATACTAGTCACTACTATATAGTATATATACCCCACAGGCCCAGCCTCGTAGGTCCCACTGCTGGGCTCAACAAGGTTTAGCCTCAACACCGGAGACGGAAATAGAAGCTGAGCCTGACAGCCTAGGAGCCTAGGAGCCTAGGAGCCTCGGAGCCTCAGGCCTGCGCCCGCCGGCATGGTCTGAACGAGGTACTCAACGAGGGACGCAACACCGTCCCAGTCCCTGTCTGCAGAGTGCATAGAGATCAGGTTGCCTGTTTGGACGCGGAGATAAATCAATGTGACTCTGACCTATCGGACTAAATGTCACAGCGCCATGCTTGCACCTTTGATAATCTGACATTTGACAGGACTTCTGGACTTTATTCCGTCGTTGTCTTTCCTTAGGCAGAACAATTCTAGCCATGTCACGTGATGCACTCCAACAACCATGTGTGTAGATGACGCAGCTGGATCCAGACTGAACGGTGGTGCAGGCGATATCTACAAAGTAGTGACAGGAATAGAGTCCCCTCCTCCCCTGGATGTCTTGGATATAGATAGCTCCGGAGTGAATTTATTTATTTATTTTTTTTTTTTTCCCTTTGATTGATGGTTGGGACCTGGCGCATCGAGGGGGATCATTTCCCAGGCATCCAGGCCGAATATAGTGACGACACGGGGTTTCATCTCAGACAGGGGGAAAAGGCCTCTTCCCCCCTCTAGATAGATCCATACATGTTCTAATTGATCGTCTTCCTTCTTCTCTTCTGCTGCTACATATTCTTCTTCTTCTTCTTCTTCTTCCACACGTGTTGTCGTGGACCCCGTCCGTCAGAAATCCATCATTCTGCCAGGATCCAGACCCAACAGCCCATTTCCCTTTCCACCATCCTCTTCATCCTCACTTCCTCCCACTCATCAACTATCTAGTCGTCCAACGCTCAGATCTCTTCACTACTACTCCGTACTACTACGACTACTACGACTACGACTATTACTACCATCATCATAGTCAATCCTCGTCATCTCCTTTTGCGTTCCTCGTCGCAGGGATCAGAAATTGCCCCTCTCTTCTTCTCCTTCCTCCCTCCCCTCCCCCAAGAACACAGCGAAAAAAAAAAAAAAAAGGTCCGCCCACGCATCTTCCCTTCGCTCTGCTTGGCATCTCCAGCTTGGTCTTGGTCCGTCCGCATATCAAGCTTATGAACAGCTCATCTCTTTTCCAAAATCTTTCCCCGGCAATGTAAGGGTTGCATCGACTCTACTCAGCTGCCGCTCTTTTGTTCCCTTCGACTATCAGGTCGCTCTGTGTTGATTGACTTGCCCTACCGTCTCTCCTACCCCTTCCACACCCCCCCCCCCTTTTTTTTTTTACAAGCTCCCGACGAACTCGCTCTTCGACTTTTGACACAAAGTCCCGTTCCGGTCATTTCTTGATTCTCAACGAGGATTTTACTTTTTTCCCGTGCTACTACAGATCGTCCGCTATGTTGATTGGTCGTCTTTGATGGTTATCACGCCTTCTCTCCCACCCCCAGGAACTGTCCCAATACGGATCACCTTTTGAAATACGTCGGGGACCCCTTGACAACTCGTCTTCCCGAATATCCCTGGTCGCAGCGGGTCGATTGTTTGAAATCGTGGGGGAAAACAAAAAATTGTCGAATGGGTCGCTTCAATCGATTGCGCAGCAGAATCACATAGACACCCCATCCAGCCATGCATTGGAAAGGGTTGCGACTGGGCGCTTTCGACAGCAATGATTCCAAGCGACGCAGCTTCGTCGAGCCTCAGGCGTTGTCCCGTCGGAGCGAACATTTGCCTCGTCCGACCCTCTCCACAACCAACCTGACATCCAGACACTCGGAATCGGCGCCCCGGTCCCCTCTTCTGACCGGTCCAGAGCACGAGGACGACCATGGACCGGAGGATCATGACGCCGGAAACAACGAGACACCACGGTCGTCGCAGACGCCGATAGGCAGCATACACTCCAAGAAGAACCATTTCGGTGCGGCGTTGGTGCCAGATGAGGGTTCACATTGGCGCAGAAATCGGTTCAGTTTTATGAGACTCCGTCATGCATCGGATCCACAGCTGTCCAAGTCCTACGCCAAGGGAGAGGATGTGCCTCCGGTACCTCCCTTGCCTCCGCGTGAGTCTTCTGTTTGATGGTTGTCTGTTTGTTGCTTGCTCTATCCTTGCTAAGTGCTGACAATTCGGCGCTTGCCTTCCCCATCTCCAGCTCCCACCATCATCACAACCGCACCCACAAGCCATGAACTCAATGAGCCCGTCAAGAAGAAGCCCAAGTTTAAGATCCTCGCCGGAGCCAAGAAGGGCCATCCGGAAGGAGCCCCCAGCAGCACGAGCTCCCAGCAAAATAGTCCCACGGTAAAGTCCCGCCATGAACCCCAGGGTTCGGCGGGATCCTATACCACCGATGCGACTCTGTCCACATCGAAGATGAGTGGGGAAGAACCGGGTCGTCTGTCGACTACGTCAATCCGCAGCGGGGGCCGTGACCCGGGCACGGAATCTCAGCGCTCCTCCGTTGCAGACGCCCGGTGCTCCGAATCCTCCCGCTCAGATCAGAGTTCCGGGGACCACGGAGGATACCATACCCATTCTCCGCACGAGGGCGCCGGATCCGAAACGAAGCGCTTTCGCATGCCACGCCTGAAACGCAATCGCGCTCCCCTATTTCCCTTGCCGCCTCGCCCAACCGGTGCCTCGACGATGAATGGGCACGGCCAGGATTCGCAAATGTCCAGAGCCATCCCAACCGATCCGGGGACAAGCTTCGATATTCCCGAAGAGAGAGATCAAGACCGCGTGTCGCCGCTTCCATCCCCGTCTCGCTCGTCTGCCGCCCTTGCTTCTCCAGGCTTTCCGCTCCTGAGGAATGACTCGGCCAACTCAGCCAATTCTGCCCGGTCGACCCCGTCAATTCGAAGTCGAACCCGACCAAAGACCCGGCCGCGCTCGTCGACGCTGGATTCCCTGGCTAATATCCGGGATGCCGGGCAACGATCACCTCCGCCCCTCGTCTCTTCCGGACGAACGTCCACTTCCACGAGCGGACGCAAGAGCTTCGGCGATATCTTCAGCATCTCGCAGCGACTCAGGCAGAATTCGGAGCCGCCCATCGTGCGGAACGGGTCTCCGGGTCTGCGAGGTTCAGACACTCCGGTTCGCAAGCTGTCCTATCCCGAACGTGACGAGAACGACACGCCGGCAACCTATTTGTCTCGCTTGGAAGAAACTATTCCGAAGAGCGCGATTGCTGGTGTGCTGTGCCAGTCGAATGAGGATTTCTACAAGACCGCGCTGCGAAGGTACATGCGGCGATTTATATTCTTCGGAGACCCTATCGATATGGCCATTCGAAAGCTCCTGATGGGAGCCGAGCTGCCGAAAGAAACCCAGCAGATTGATCGCTTTCTGCAAAGCTTTGCTAATCGCTATCATGAGTGCAATCCGGGGATCTTCGCTTCTCCTGGTATGTATCCATCTCACGATGCCGGTTGCTCGCTCTGTTATCTCATCGTTGACTGACACCTCGGATTAGACCAGGCCTATTTCATCGCCTTCTCGATCTTGATCTTACACACAGATGTATTCAACAAGAACAACAAGCGCAAGATGCAGAAGCCAGACTACGTTCGCAATACTCGTGGTGAAGGCATATCGGACGACATTCTGGAATGCATCTACGAAAACATCGCTTATACCCCTTTTATTCACATCGAAGACACACCCCCCAACGGTCGCCAGCTTGCAAAGCCTCGGCGACCCTTGTTCAAGACAGCTAGTTCGGAGCATCTAGCTCGCGTCGCCAGGGAACCGGTGGATCCGTACACTCTCATCATGGACGGAAAGCTCGAGTCCTTGCGGCCAAGTCTCAAAGACGTGATGAACCTGGAAGACCCTTATCAGTTCCAAGGGCCAATGGGTTTACCTGATATCGACAACCTGCATCGGGCATTCACTAAATCCGGCATCCTGCAGATTGTGTCCCCCCGGTCACGTCCCGATGCATTCATGCCATCCAGCATTGATAATCCGGCCGCCGATTCGAATCCCGGTCTGGTGGACATCAAGGTGGCCAAGGTCGGCCTTCTCTGGCGGAAAGATCCAAAGAAGAAGAGGGCCCGATCTCCGTGGCAGGAGTGGGGTGCCTTGCTTACGCTCTCTCAACTGTACTTCTTCAGAGATATCAATTGGATCAAAGCCCTGATGGCTCAGCATGACGCTCATCAGAAGGAGGGACGCCGTCGCGCGGTAATTTTCAAACCGCCCCTCACCGAGTTCAAGCCTGATTGCATGATGTCCACCGAAGATGCCGTGGCACTAGTGGACTCGAGTTATAAAAAGCACAAGAACGCCTTTCTCTTCGTCCGCCATAATGCCTTGGAAGAGGTGTTCTTGGCCAACTCCGAAGATGAGATGAACGACTGGCTGGCCAAAATCAATTACGCGGCCACCTTCCGGACGAACGGCGTTCGCGCTCAAGGCATGATAGTCACTAACTACGATGCTCAGCGCAATCGAATGAGCCGCAAAGCCTCTGTGACGTCCGGCAGCTCTCACCTTTCTACCGACCGGGAGCCTCCCTCCCCCAATCCGGACACCGCCGTGGCTGCGGAGTTGGTCATGGCTCGTAGAGAGCTCATGCGACAGAAGGTCCGCGAAGCGAACGAGAAGCTCGTTGTGAGCCAAAAGCAGCTGGACGACCTCCTGCGGAATGCGAGACACCTGCAGGTCTTGACACCGGTGACCTCGAGGGCTCGAGAACAGGTCATCATGGCTGCAGGGCGCATGGCTGCCAAACTCAAATGGGTCAGACAAGATCTCTGGCGGTACAAGTGCTACCGAGAGGTGCTCCTCCGTGATCTCGGTGAGCGGGACGAAGAAGCGAAATCTCTCGCGGAGCAGAGATCCCTTCACCTTTCGATACCCGCTCGCAACCCATCTATCTCCGAAACGGGAACTCCATCCCAGCCGCTGGTGGATGAGATGCCATCCCCCACTCACGTCACTTCTCCACAGCTTCCGGCTGACGAGCCCTCATCTGTTCATCGTGTCCCGTCATCGCAGGCTCTTTCTGCCGATATTCGGAGACCAAGCATGCCGATCTCAGTGACCTCCTCAGACCTCACAGGGCGCGTCGGACGGCGCTTTTCCGTGGACACTCTCAAGGACCGCGCACAGTCGCATTCCCCTCGTCCGGCAAACCGTCTCCAGCGCGAGCCCTCTGTACTCAGCGCGGCTAGCAAGATGGATGTCTCCAGTCTTGGCTCCCGGACCTCCAAGCTACCCTCGCCCATTAGCATCGACGATAATGAGGAGCGTCTTCTTCGCGACACCGGGCTGCTAGGGCTGAACACCTCCCCGCTTGCGCGCCGAACCTCGGTCGCAACTCATGACAAAGATGGTGAACAGGAGGAGGATGTCGTGGAATCCGGTCAAGGTGAACACATGAATCGAGTACGCCGCAGCTTCCACCGGACGCTCCGCGATTCTCACCAAGGACATCATCTTCCACGGGGCAAGAAACCGCGGGACTCAATTTCCAGCATGGCGGCAGCTGAGGACGATCAAGACAACAAGGAGGGCGAAGGTCTGTCTCGGAAGACACCGAGTTTCACCGTCCACGGAAAGAAGGCGTCGATTGTGACGTTCGGGTCCGAGTGGCAGAACATGACCCCGGAAGAACGCCTCAAGCTGCGCAAACCTACACCGTCCGAAGAGCCCCGGGCGTCTGAGCCGGCGATCTTCAGCAGTGGGGAGTCGATAGTCTCGGACCCGTCGAATGCGGCGAAACCACCATCGTTGCGGAGCGCAAGCATTACCACAGGCCTAAGCTCGCGTGGTCTTACAGACAGCGACGGCCCCCCGGATATGACTGGCCCAGTTGATGCCGAAGACCGGAAGTCCAAGAGTGAGAATGTTCTTGATCTCGGCTCTCATATTCCGCCAGTGGACATCGCCACATTAGCTGCGTCTTCCACCGAAGCGGTTGCAGGGTCGTCCACTGTCCCCTTAGATCAACGGTCATCTTATTCGGCACCGGTCAACGATGCCGCCGTGAAGGACAACTCACCGCAGAAAATCCAGTCTAGCTCACCCGAGCAGGCTGTGAACGCCTAAAGAGCAAGCCCTCTCGACTAAAAGATAGACTTGAGTGCGTTTTTTTTTACGACCTTTTATACCCCGATACATTTTTTTTTTGTCTCCTTTTTTTTTCTTCTACCAAAATTTACTTGTTTCTGGCGTCTCTGTCTTACAGCGTTCCCTGGAAGAGCTTCCACCATTGTCGTCTGCAAAAAGCCTCTTGCATTGATTTAGAAGATCGATTCCCAATCTCCTCGGCAACGAATGGCACGAAACGGAAGCCTCTTGTCTTTTTCGCTATCTGAAAAATCAACTATGCCACCTTTCCTCTACTCGTTCGAGTTGACTTGATAGACTTCATTTGGGCGGTCCTTGCACTGTTCATGTTCTTTTCATACATCTTCCAAGTTGCGGCTCAGTCGCGGGCAACAGCGTTACTTGGGTTTGCTTCTTTTCGAGTGCAGTTGTGGTACGCGAATGCCATCTGGTTGGCAAGGACACATTTTGGCAGGTCTAAGGAAAATCCACGGCATGATCTTGTCTTTTCTTTGAGGCAGAAGATTCGATTCAAGATGTACTATGTAACGTAAACCCATTTGGATCTATCTATGTAAATGGGCTGGGCTGTACTACTTGCTAGAGTCCAGTCTACGCAGCGAACGAAAGAAATCATATAAACAGAATACTCCCACTTCACCTAGAGTCATGAGAGATATCTACCTTGCACAGGTGGATACGAGTTTAAGTTCTTCTTCACCTTTTCTTTCATCTTTCACAGCTCAGGTGTTTTCGTCTCGGCGTTGTTCTTTCTCTCTTTTCCTCAACTTTCACTTCTTTGTTTTGTTTTGATTTTTTTTTTAATTCGTTTTTCTTGTTCTCTCACTCTCCTACTTCTTCTTAGTCTCTATCCTGCTACTTGGATTTTGGTCTTTTATGTATTTATTTCACTGTGAGCTGTGCTAGCACACTTCTTCTTCTTCTTCTTCTTTCTCTCTTCTTTCTTTCTTAGCGGTTCATGAAGAGGACAGACCCGGAGAGAAGTCAAGACAAGACAAGACAAGACAAAAGTGTAAGCCTCACTTTTCCCTGCCTATCTCCACTTGAGAGAAATCCTATCTTGTCTTTTGTCTTGTAAGCTGAAGCTGAGGAATTTCTGCAGGCTCTCTCTGTTAGCTTTAGCTTTTGTTTTATGAGGGTGATTCATTCAGCGAGAGGTGTTATACTGAGGAGGGTTTTTGGGGGGGGGGGTGACGGTGGATAGATAGGATCTCTGTGAGTGCCCTTTTGACTCTTTTTGTTTTTTTTTAACTTTTCTTCCTTTCCTCTTGACCTCTTGACCCTGTGATGGTGTGCTGATGATCACTCCACTGGGTTTTTCTCTTGCAGATGTGACGATGGGCTTAGGTTACGCACTGTCACGTGAGATGGCGTTAGTGAAGCCGGTCATCCTGCAGTGCCTGGAGCATGCAAGTGAGTTGCTACTGGTGTTAGTGGTGGTGATACTCAGTGAGAAGATATTGATTTGGGGTCTAGAACGCTGTGGTGATTCGGAGGTGGAGGCTGAGGCTGAGGCTGAGACTGAGGCTGCTGAGGGAATCGATCTGGTCGGCGGTCCGCTTGCTCTGCCTGCGCCGCTACCTGGAGAACCCGATGCGGCGCTCTCCGCGCATACGTACGAGCATGCGGTCAGGAAAAAAGCGATCAGTAAGGACCTCGGGTATGGCTTGGTCGCGACGGAGGACATCCCCGCCGGCAGCGTCATCTTCGCGGACCGGGTCGCCTGCATCGGGGCCGAGGAGCTGGCGCGCTGGAAGACGCCGGAGGCGGGGAACAAGCTCGTCGCCGCGAAGGTCAAGGCGATGGGCGAGGAGTGGCACCGTGCATTCCTGGCGCTGCCGAATCACCAGCCGCGGGTTGGGAACGAGTATGCCCAGATCTGGAGGCGCTATCAGATGGTCGCGGTGCGGAAGCGGGCCAGAGTCATGGTCGTGGGGCCAAAGATGGGGCTTGTCAACCACTCGTGCATGCCGAATGCGTTTCTCTACTACGCGCTGCGGTTCCCGAAGAATAAACGAGGCGAGGAGGATAAGAGCAAGCAGCCGACCATCGGACGCGCGGTGGTGCGTGCCTCGGTGGATATCAAGCCGGGGGACGAGATCACGATCTCTTACTTCTACCCTAAGGGCGAGCATAGCGTACGGCAGCTGATGTCCAGCATGTACTGCCAGTTCTGGTGCTACTGTCCGCAGTGTAGCCAGCCGGGTCCCGAGATCGAAAAGATGCTGGAGAGATACTACCAGCTCCAACTTATCTTCGAAGACGCAGATATTGTGTACAAACGACCGGCAGTGGCGTACAAGACAGCCTATAGCCTAATCAAGCTATTCAAGGATCTCAAGGTCAACGATCCTCGGGTGATTCAGCCCTGGATCTTCTGCGCGATGATCGCAGGCTTCAATTCGGACCTGGGTCGTGCTCTGCAATTCCTCATCAAGGCGCACACGTTGATCTTGCAATTACAATGCCCTAATGGCCATCTTTATGACAGGGTCAGCTGCTGGATGCAGACGATTGCTCTTATGCCTGGTTTCGGCGCAACCACGCGCGGTCTATCGAGTATGACGGATGGTTATCACATGGCCAGGGATCGAGAGCACTTCCACGATGTGCTGTTCATGCTCGACGCGGAGCCCGACGAATACATCCGGCTGCACCGCTACCGGCGTCTCCCTGATTGCCAGGTGAAAGAGGGTGAGAGCCGATTCGCCGTTCGCTTTGATGCAGAAGACATGAGCCGCAAGAGGTTTGAGGATGAGGAACCAGACCCTGTCAAGATCAAGCCATGGTGGGTGATCCCTGAAGGTGACCGAGCCACAGAGCAGAATGCGAAACCACAGAAGAAGAAAAAAGGCAGTCAGGAAGGAAAAGAACAACGCCAAAGGAAGAGAGCGGTCAACAAGATTCCGAAGCCACGGAACCCCGATTGCATTGAGCCTGAAAAGGACTTCTTGGATATCTGCCGCGAGCTACTGACAGAATTCCTGGCCGAGGAGAGGAAGAAGAAAGAGCAGACGAAGAACCAGGAAGAACAGGAGGATCCCGAGGGCCAGCAGGAGGATGCCAATCGGCCGGGAGTAAGGCGTCAAGGAGTACGCCTCCAGGGTCTGAGAGGAAGGCTGAAGCCGAACCTTCAGATAAGCCTGCCTTTTCACCAGCGAGTTCATCAACCCATGGTGCAACCTATGATACAGCCTATGGTACAGCCCACCATGCGGAAGGGGCCAGCAAAGAAAGCCGTCGTGGTCAATAAGGCTCCTGTTTCCTCCTTCAAGTTGGAGGAGTCTGCTACTTTGGAGATGTAGTTTAATTTTTCGTTTCTGAGATATTCAACCCTTGGAGTATGATGGCCCTATTGGATGAGTGAGCGTCGACGATGGAGATGAAGCTGAAGTGACGATAGAATGCGATGCGATGCGGAGAAACAGAAGAGATGGGGATGATTATGTCATGGCGTCTTCTTCTTCTGCTCGACTGTAGAGCTTCATTTCTATCGCGTTTTCCCCGTCTTCCCTCTCGACTTTTTTTCCCCTTCAATTTTCAGGCCTTCTTTTCTTTTCTGTATGTGTGTATACGGATCAATCATAGAAATACAAATACCGTCTCTTGAAACAAACTGATACACTCTCCATACTCATACCCACAACAGCAACAACAATCCACCCCCAACGATCAATGCCCCGATAGCATCAACCGCACCAGAACACGCAGTCACCCAAACCACCATGGCGCACTCAAAACGCAACACCTCCCTTCCCCACTTCACATCCTACGAACGGGGTCTCCTCCGCTCCAGCTGGGGCACCCAGCGCGGCGTCATCAGCCGCGACTCATTCCTCCCGTTCGGCTCCTGCCGACTCTGCCTCCAGCCCGCCCGCAGCCCCGTCGTCGCCTGCGCCACGAACGGCGACCTCTTCTGTCGCGAATGCGCCATCAGCGACCTCCTCGCCCAGCGGCAGGAGATCAAGCGACTCGAGCGCGAACGCGAGGAGGCGAAGAAACGCCTCGCGGAAGATGAGGAGCGCACGCTCGAGGAGGCGCGGCGGAGGGAGCTCCGCGAGTTCGAGCTCGTGAGCATGGGGTTGGAAGCGGCGAAGAACGACCACAAGGCCAAGGGGGGCGCGAATGGGGGCGAGAATCACCGGAAACGCAAGGCCGAGGAGGCCGAGGAGGCGTTGGCGGCGTTCAAGGCGCGCGAGATCGAGGTCGATGGGAAGCGGAAGAAGATCTTCGAGCTGGATGAGAAGGAGATGGCGCGGGTGGCGCGGGAGGAGCAGGAGCGTCTGAAGCGGGAGCTGAAGCGGGAAAAGGTTCTCTCTCTATGCCTGGGGGGCGATTTCACTTGAACTTTGCTTTGCTTTTTTTTTTCTACTGCGCGGACTGCCGAGCGTATCTCTCTAACCACGATTCTAGTCGGAGGCGAGCAAATCCGCGCTCCCCTCGTTCTGGGTCCCTTCGCTGACCCCGACGACCGATCCCAACGAAATCGCCGCGAACAAGGTCGTCAAGATGACGCCCATCTGTCCCGGCTCGACGGACGAGAACCGCCACGGCTACTCGCTCAAATCGCTGGTCGAGGTGCATTTCACAGAGGAGAAGGCGACGGACGGGACCGTCGCGCGGATCTGTCCCAGCTGCAAGAAGAATCTCAGTAACGGGCTCAAGGCAATGCGTACGTTTACATCTTCACCCTGGGCGCTGGCCTTTTCCAGCACAATGCTTCCGGCTAACCTAACCCCCTCCGGGTCCAGTAACAAAACCCTGCGGGCACGTTATCTGCCAACCGTGCGTCGCCAAGTTCATGACACCGCATGATGTGCCGGACCCGCATGCCAGTAAGGAGGAGCAGGAGCGGACGGCGGCGCTGCACGGCTTGATTCTCTGCTACGTGTGTGAAACGGACATTACGCCCCGGAATCCCAAGGCCGAGGCAGACGAGAACGGGGCTAGAAATGGGAATGGGAAGAAGTCCAAGAAGAAGGACAAGGACCCCGGCATTCGGCCGGGATTGGTGCCGGTCAGTTCGGAGGGAACGGGGTTTGCAGGGCGTGGGGGGAATGTCGCGACCAAAGCTGGTGTTGCCTTTCAATGTTGAGAGGGTCTACCGGCTCTTGGTTTCGGGATATGTACTTGTATAGTCGTATCAACGTCTTATTCACTAGACTAGATAATCTCCAAGACAGGTACGATCTGAGTCCCCTGGTGCACAACCCTAGAAAACGCCAGAGCGACCAGACAAAAAAAAAAAGGAAGAAGAAAAAGAGATAGTTACACCTAAAAATAGAATGATACACACGAAGACCCTTGAGAGAAAATGCGCCGACTAACCCAACTACGCCCGGTTCTTGGCGTTGTTGAACTCCCGCACCACGATATCACACTTGATCTCCTGGCACAGACGCTTCCGCCGACTAGGCTCCAGCTTCGAGGCAAATTCCAGCCCGCTGGCCCGCTCGACAACCTCGAGGGGCACCTCGAACTCAGCCAGCCGTTTGTCATTGGGGATACGAGCGTTGGGAAGCACGAACGCGCCAAGTGATACCTTGCTGCTCGGGCTACCGGTGCCGTCCTCGGCGTAGATCACCTTGTAGAAGTGCGTAGGCACGGCCACATTAGGGGGGTTGCCGATGACCTCGTAGGAGACACGCCATTTGCCGTCCGGATCGCGATGGGGCAGGTACAGCGGGCCCGTGACGATGCGGACGGAGGGGTACCGCTTCGTTAGATTGCGGCCGAAATCCTCAAAGTGCGCCCAGTAGTCGCGGTTGAAGCCCTCGCCAACCTGGGGACACATGTTGGAGAGGCCAAAGGTGCCGTCCATCGCGTCCTGGGACCATTTGGCATCCGCGGCAGGCACCTGGTGGCCGCGGTCGTAGCCAGAGCGGAAGTAGTCGGATAGTCTTGCGCGGAAGGCAGCGGGGATGTTGGTATCTTCGACGAAGGTGCTGTGTTTGCGGTCTGCGTTCTTGAGCGAGAGCGAGTAGGGGGTGATGTGCTCGGCGACCCAGGCGGGATTACGGGTGCGACGATCGTAGGCACCGGTTAGGGGAACGGCGGTGATGGTGTCTGCGACTGGGCCCGGGAAGCCATATTGGTAGATTCCGGAGGGGTCCACGGGGGAGCCCGCGTCGGGTTTGCCGATGGGAGTGTTGGCGAGAGAGGGCGGAGGGATAGCGGTGGGAGGTGTGGTCACAGCGGGTTGAGAGGGAGGAGGGAGTTGCTTCTGCTGTTGCTGTTGCTGTTGCTGTTGCTGCGGTCGAGAGGAAGACGGAGAGGAATAGAGGAGAGCGGTGATCCCGGCACCAGTAGCAGCACTGGCGGCAGCAATGGCAGCAATGGTAGCTTTCGACATGATGGCAGCTGATGTGAAGAAACGAAGAGAGAGAGGAATGGACTGATGAAGTATGGGGAGACGCAAGGAACCTCACTCCCAACTGGTGAAGACAAGAATGGGGAACGGGGGGGGGGAGGGGGAAGAGGTAAGGGATCAGCACAAGGCGTGTAGAGCGAGCACAGCGATGGAAAAAAACAAAAGATTCCCGAAGAAGGAAAAGATGAAGTGAAAGCTGCAGCCAATCAGAGAGTCGACGGAGTGTACTCTGTATTGAGAGAGAGAGAGAGAGAGAGAGAAAGTTGAAGAACAGGTCAGCGAAGAAGACGAGGTTGATCTTTGATACTACTCCTCCTCTTGAGGAAGACAGAATCAACGGTGTCAGCTGGTATCACACAGAATAACACAGAATACATCCAGATGATCGAGTATCCTGTCCTACGCGGAGACTCGAGACAGCGTCAACTGGCCATCAGCCGATATCCTATCCTCCGAGGACTTAGGACTACCGGTTTCACACTTGTCTCATGGACTCAGGAAACCCCCAATAAGATCAGCAGCAATGAGAGTCCATCAATACCACCGATCTCGAATAATCCATCATCCCACGCCTGTTGACTCGCTGAGATGGCGGTGACAGTGCGGACCTTGGGAGCAAATGGCGGCATTATATAGAGTCATGAGGACGAGAGAGAGAGAGAGAAAGCAAGACAGAAAAGGAGATCTGCAAGCAGGACGAACTAATTCCAAATGATGATAATGATAATGATGATGATGAACACCAATATCCTGGATTGTTGAAGCTATCCAGCAAGACCGGAGAAACGAAAGAAGACGGTGGTTTCTCTCTTTTGACTTTTGACATCACTTCCTCTTCCATTCTTTCTTTCTTTCTCGCCATCCACACCCGCCCATCGTTCTGTTCTTCCCCGACGACAGAACCATCACCCCCCCAATCATGGCGGATAGCAGCGATCTTCGTGGCTGGTTGATGAGCGGAGTGTCTGGAATAGGTCAGTGGCTCTGATTTCATGGATTGAAGCCCGAATTCTCCTAACGGACGGTCAATAATAGCCTGTGTGCTTGGTTCCTCGGTCATCTGCATCGATGTACTCTTGCGCCAGTGCTCTAGCCGCAAGAATTTCCAGATCGTCAACAACAATGGCTTCCTCTCGGCTTCATTATGCCTGAGTGCGGGTGTCCTGGTAAGTAAATTCACTCCGATCAATCGTCACTATCATTCATGACCTTCCCGGACCAAAACGCTGATCTTCGAAGCTCTTCACCTCCCTCTACAGCATGCTCCCCACCTCCAAGCAGTACCTCACTCGAGCAGGATTTTCGCCCCGCGCCGCGGCCTATACTCTGATCGGACTATTCCTGGCCGGTGTAATCGTCATTCGGTTGATCTCGACCCTCATTCATCGGCATATCCCCTCCCATGTGGTCGATTGTGCCCACACCCACGAGCCTGAGACCGACCCAGAGCGCGGGGAAGTCGGACAGGAACCGCAACCGGCACCTCCCCCCCAGACCAACGGCAATCATGAACGGACACCGCTCCTGCAGCAACAAACCGCTCGCTCTTGGAAATCGACCCCCGGTGCCGTCGAGCGACCGGCGCTAGAGCCGTTGCGCTCTCGTCTGACTCGACGCCTCAATCGCCTCGTGGGTGGCGTCAAGCCGCGCTGTGATGACTATGGCCCGTGCTATGGCTTTTCGCAAACCTGTGGGCGCGAATGCTCCAAGACGCTCACGCCGCACATTCCTACGTCTACTGACGAGTCTCAGCGGCCGGCGCTGCCCACGCATCACACCATTGGCGCGCAATTAGACTCGGAACGACCGGCGTTTGGGGAGAACAACAGCCATCAGGCTTTCGCTCCGTCGCATGACTCGATTGAGGACTACACCGGGCGTTTGGAAATTGGCGATGCACAAACCCATCAGAGCAGCGCATCTTCTTCACGCACCCGGCTCCAGGAATATGCATGCAAACCGACGGAGGATCAGAACGAGTCGACCAAGCCTGCTCCCGCAGCGCCCCCCCAACACCATCACCACGTCCCCCAAAACGCTTTCCTGTCAATTGGCCTGCAGACGTCCCTGGCGATCGCCCTCCACAAGCTCCCCGAGGGATTCATCACCTACGCCACCAACCACGCCAGCCCCTCCCTCGGTATGGCTGTCTTTGTCGCCCTCTTCATCCACAACATCAGCGAAGGTTTCGCCATGGCTCTGCCACTGTATCTGGCCCTCCACTCCCGCTGGAAGGCCATGTTCTGGTCCAGCTTGCTGGGCGGTGTCAGTCAGCCCGCCGGCGCCGGTCTGGCCGCGCTCTGGTTCTGGGGCGCGGAGAAGGCTGGTCACGGCGGCGCGGATACCGGTCCCTCCTGGGCCGTCTACGGAGGCATGTTCGCCGCGACTGCCGGCGTGATGACCTCCGTCGGCCTGCAGCTGTTCAGTGAAGGGCTAGGATTGACGCATCACCGCGGGCTCGGAATCTGGTTCGCGATCGCGGGCATGGGTCTGATGGGGTTGAGCTTTGCTTTGACGGCTTGATTTGATTTTGGGTGGCTCTTTGCGATGGATAGGCGTTGGCGTTTCATTCCTTCCCCCCCCTTCTCCCCTTTTTCTTGGACTTCTCATCCGTAAATGTGCATCATTGCATTGTGCCTGGGCCAGGCATCCGTAGAAAAGGCATTGTGATTATCTTTGACGACTGTATCTGCAGTTATGAGTTACGAGTTGTTCCATGTTTTTTTTACTCAGTCTGGACATAACCACAGGATAGAATGCATCCACCTGGTCCGACGCTTGGGTCCTTCCAGTGTGTGGTTTAATATATCTCTCTCTCTCTCAGGATTGCATTTTCATCTCCAGCTCAAACCCATGTATACTAACTACACGCCGCTAACTCGCTTGATATCGTATAACCTTGCACGGACATCTTCCATGTAACAACGACCAAAACGCCATGAAAATGCCAGATGGAAAAAAACTCCAATAAGTTCGCATACAACGACAAAGAAAGAAAGAAGGATCAGGGCCCGTTCTTGCCGGCCTGCTCCCTCTCCCGCTTTCTCGCCAGATACCGCTCCTTCGCACTCATCACATCGCCCTCCGTCTTGCGGCTGCGGCTGCGGTCCGCGATTTCCTTTTGCCGCGCCGCTTCGGCCTCGGCCTCCCGCCGCGCCTGCTCCTCCAGCTGCGCGGCGATCATCTCCGTCTGCCGGGCGCGCTGGCCCGCCCGCGCGGCCTGCTGCCCGGAGTCCAGCCGCGATCGGGACGCCGCCGCGCGAGCAGCAGCCGCAGCCGCAGCGGTCTCCGCGGCGGCGGACGGCTTCGGCTTGGGCGCGACGTTCAGACCGGCCGACAGCAGCTGGCGCTTGTCGACGATTTGGCCCTCCTCGTTGATGGCGATATGCGCGCCCTTGGCATTGAGCTCTGCGGCAATCTGCGCCTCGCTCTTCTCGCGCTTCTCCTCCGCCCCCGCCTCCGCCGCCTCCTCCTCCCGGGCTGCCTCGCCCGCCTCGCCCGCCTGCACCCGCCGCGCCGCCTCCTCCGCCGCCTTCACCACCTCCTCGTGCCGCTTCTCGTCCCGCGACAGCATGTCCCGATAGAAGCCGACCAACCCCGCCCCGCCGCTCTGCTTGCGGCGCTCCTCCTCGCGCCGCTCGCGCTCCGCCTCCTCGGCCTCTACCCGCCGCAGCTCCTCCTGCTGCGCCTTGTACGCAGACGTCACGAACTTCTCCTTATCGGCGAATTCGTCGCCCTCGGCTTCGCGCTCCCGCGCGAGCAGCCGGTCGCGCGCGCGCAGCTGGTCGCGTTTGCGGATCTCCGCGCTGCGCAGCAGCGAGGTCATGTACCGCGGCACAGCACTAGCGCCTGTCTCGGCGGTCGCCGCCTTCTTCTTCGTCTGTGCGTGCAGGCTGTCGTAGACAGCGTCGTAGGAGTAGATGGAGGGATCGAGCTGTTGGGCGTCCTCGGCGTGTTTCCTGCTGCTGCGGAGGGCGGAGAGGTTTGTGAAGTCGCTGCCCTTGTTCTTGGCGGGGTTGAGGCCGAGTGGCATTGGCGGTGCGTCCTGTTCGTCGCCGTCTTCGTCTTCGGCAGCGAAGATCGAGTTCTTGATTAGGGGCTTGATGTTGGGTTTGCCGGTGGGGGCGCCTGGGGGTGGTTTTCGCTTTGCGGGGGGTTGTGTGGGTGCGGGTTTGGCGGGGTGGGAGGATTCGTCTAGTCCGCCGAGGGTTGAGATCTCGATGGCGCTGGTGCTGGCAGCTTTGTGGTCATCGCCTTCCGAGTCGGAGTCGAAGATCGTCTTTTTGCGTTTCTGGGACCCTGGGGGTCCGAGTCTCTGGCTAAGCGGTTTCTTGGTTGGCAGGTTGAGCCCGTAGGAGAGCTTGGGGGGTGGCATTCTGGCGATGACGGCCAATGCGTTTCCAGGATCTGGTCTATATAGGTTGTCCAGAGGAGCCGATGTGATGCGATGTGCAGCGTAGCGATCAGATGTTGAAGTTGAAAGAGATGAATGAGTTCATCCAATCGGTTATCTTATCAGCCACGTGATTTTCCACGGCTCCAAGCTACAGGGCAGGGGATCCAAGACTGGCAAAACAACAATCTATCGGAGTGTTCACCACAGCCGATCTCGCACTCTTTTACGCTGTGGCCTGTTCAATTCGTTGATACAATCGATCAAATCAACAATGTCCTACTACTTCACAATCCTCTCCCCCACAGATGCCCCGCTCTTCAATCTCGCCTTCGGCACCTCCAAAGGCGGCGGAGATGGCATCGCCCGATTCCGCTTCCCAGACACAGCCCAGTACATGAACCAATTCATCATCCACTCGAGTCTCGACATCGTCGAGGAAGCCCAATGGATGAACGGCAACATGTATGCATCTCCCGCTTCCCGCTTCGAATCCAGAGCCCAAGACATCTAACTAACAAAGAGCTTAGGTATCTCAAGCACATCGATACCTACCCCCCAGCCTCAGCGTACATCTCCGCCTTCCTCACCCCGTCCGGCACCCGCTTCCTGCTCCTCCACCAGCCGCCCCAGCTTCCATCGGCAGGCAGCACGGGCTCCGGCTCCTCGCTGCTGGGCTCGTCCTTCTCCGTGGGCGGGGGCAGCTCCACGCGGGCCTCTAGCAGCTCGATTGCGGCGAATCCGACCGCGCCGCAGACCGAGGAGGCCGTGCGCCAGTTTATGAACGAGGTGTATGAGAATTACATCAAGACGGCGATGAATCCGTTCTATCGACAGGGAATGGAGATCCGGAGTCCTGTGTTTCGGGCGAGGGTTGCTGCGGCTGGGAAGAAGTGGTTGTGAGCGTGAGCTTATATGGTTTGATGTTTGTCTTTTTTTTTTGTTTTTTTTCTTCCCCCCAGAGACGCTTCCTCCTTTTGTGACCTTCCTTTTTGGTGTTATATCTTCAAAAGGAGTCCAGATCTGGTTGCGCTTGAAGGGTTGCTAAGCGTGGTGTTGGGGCGTGGTCTATTTCCTACTAGTGGAGTTTTGATTATACCATACGGCACTGAAATTGTGTATGGGTTCAATTCGTGTATGCATTTTGGCGCCCATTGAGTTTCTGCAACGTGTATCAATGCAGAGATAAGGTATGCTTGGTTTTTCTGGCTGTTGCTCGTTCCCTCGAAGGTTTGATTACTTCCACCAAGGGGGGTTCTGTGCAATGATCAATCGTTCTTCGTCAGAACGACGGGATGAGTCTCCAAAGTCAGGGGAGCGAGGCGGGATATGTCCAGACGAAGGAAGAAGGGGAATTAAAAGTAGAGAGACACAGGTTATAAAGGAAAAAGAAGAAAAGAGATGCCGCTTTCGCTGTTCCAAGACCATAAAGAAAAAAAAAAAAAAAAACGCCCCATCAAGATCCCGCCTGCGACCCTGATCTTGACCCGTTTCATACCGTCATCTGAGGCGCTAGCTTCTTGACGGTGATATTCTTGAAGTTCTCGACGGCGTGGATCACGTCGTCCACCTTGGCAACAGCACCGAAAATGCCGCCTTCCATCTTGATCGACTCGAGAGTGCTCACGTAGAGGGACGGCTCGCTGGCGGCAGTGCCATCCTCCAGGACCACACAGTCGAAACCCTTGTCGTTGGCTTCCCGCATGGTCGTCGACACACAAACATCCGTGGTGACACCGGCAATGACTAGGTTCTTGATCCCTTTGTTGCGAAGAAGAAGTTCAAAGTCCGTGTAAGCGAAAGCGCTTTTGCCCGGCTTATCAATAACTGGCTCCTCAGGAAGCGGGTACAGTTCGTCAATGATATCGTGTCCGACTTCGCCGCGGATCAACAGTCGACCCAGGGGTCCCTGGGAGCCAATTCCCATGCCAGAGGCATTGTTTCGTGATCGGAATACCTCTCTGCTGGAGAGCGTCGAGAGGTCCGGACGATGGCCTGCGGAAATCAGCTCGGTGCTCGACAGACACAGAATCCTGTAATTCGCTGGAGGTTACCTTCTCGTGTGTGGTACACGGGAAATCCAGACGCACGAAATGCATTCAGAACTTGCTGCAGTTTAGGAATAAGTGCTTGAGCGGCTGATATGTCGTACCCCTGGTATTCCATATATCCACCCGGTGAGCAGACTATGGGCTCGTCAGTCAGTCAGTCAGTCAGTCACGTTGGATGCTTCGTTGCTGTCGAGAGGAGGAAGATACACATACAGTCTTTTTGCATGTCAATGATCACTAGAGCCGTCGTATATGGGGTGAGAGTCGCATCATGCGGCCAGTCGTAGGGAATTGCGGGAAGCTGGCCCTTCCGAACTTTGTGTTGTGGTACTTGCCGCGGCTTCTCGACAATGGGTCCATGATTGTGAGTCGGGTTCAAGACGGTCAACGTCCAGATGCCAGGAGTACCAGCTGCGACCAGCATGAACGGACAGTCCATCAAGCGAGACGTTCGTCGGCGCTTCCTTGTCTCCTCTGTGAGACCATTTCGGGGACGATAGTGTCCACCCCGATCGCACCGCAACCACACTTTGGCGGTGCGTCCGGGCTTCTTCTCCGTTGGGGTACTGGATGACTTGACCACAACATTGTACCCATGGGCTTTACTATGGGCTTGCACTGCTGCAAGGAGAGTAGCTCTTTACATGACGGAAGGATATGAGCAGTGGATCCCAGCACGAGACAGTGTATGTGGGCGGTAAACGACCGAAATGATCGGCGGGTGGTTGGGGACAATCAAATAGCAAAAGACTTACTTGTCAGGATAGGTTCCTTCCGGAGGAGGCAGAAGCTGCATCGACATATCCGGGATATCTTGAAGGTCGCTAGGCGCGTCGAGATTCAGATCAGTGGGGTCTGCCATCTCGATATGCTGTGTGGATCTTCACAGACAAGAGAAGATCTGGAGGGCGCCATGATTAGCATCTTCGGGGGGGGGAGGGGCATTCTCGAGACGTCAAAGGAAAATGACAAGAGAACGAGGAGACCATGGAGTATTCTCTATAGATCACCAAAGAAAGAGTACTAAGCAGCCTGTCTGATTGATATACAAACAAAGTGCGTGGCAGCAACTCTGTCCAGTTCACTGTGAGTAGCGTGTCTTGTGCGTGGAAAAAGCGTCACCCATTCCCATCACCACAAAATAGCATAGCTGGTCCAGGGGGGGGGGAGGGAGGAAGAAGTAGCCGTAAGAGTCCGATAGGAGGAGGAGGAGAAAGAAAACAAACAGGGACGAGACGGAGTGGACAATTAGAAGACTTACCGAGTCAAAATGGGAATCAAGATCAAGCAACCAATTCAATTAATAGATGGCTTTTTTATTTTTCTTCCCAGTCCCCCAGACGTGCCAAAGAGCCCGTGAGGCATGCCCCCGAGAAGTTCACTACGGAGTACTGATGGATCATCGGAATACGCACATCGCGGGCGGTGGAAATCAGGCGGAGGGAGTTTTGTTATGGCGCTAGGCAGGGTTGGGTTTAGCGTGGTGTATTACGCGGTATCTTTTGTATTCTCTGTAACATACCTACTACTACTCCGTAGTACCTGCCATGATATGATGAATTGATGATACCACCTTTCGCATGTGACATGGGTACGTCAGGTACCAAGAATGGTACCTTTGGAACCAAGACCAGTACCAGGAAACGTTAGGTACCAACTACGTACAAAGTAGTACCTGCTAACTACTAACTAACTAACTACTAAGAGTGCCTAGTTGGTTGTTTATGTTCCCGTGGACACGGGATTATTGTTCTATCTCTTTGCGCCAACCCAGCTGGATAACATCACCACCGTCTCTTTCTTTCCCCCTCCACCTCCCCCCCCCCCCCCAAAGAAACCTATCGCTCATGATCCGGCCATCCCCCTCTGCGAGGGTCTTCTACAGGTAAGTCTGTTATTTTGGGGCCCTCTCGACGCAGCGAATTCAGCTTCAATCTTTCCCCCCCCATCTCCTCTTCTTTTCTTCGGGTTTTCTTTCCCTGCCTGTTCCTCGAGTCCCTTGAGTCAAATATCCCCCATACCTGCGACACCGCCTCCGCGAGGGGTCCCCTCCACTACCACCACCCCCGAGTTGACGCACGGCTGTTGATATTGTTCGCGGCGGTGCATGAGCTCGGATCTCGTCTCCTTGGTGACAGTTTCTCGTCGATTCGTCGGTTCCGATTCGAGTGTGTTGCGTCGGTGATCACTGTCTGCGGCCTGATCTTGTCCGCCCGAACGCCCATCACCTCGATCAGACCATCTCCTGGACCAGAATAAATAATGCCATCGGCCGATGACTCTTCCTCTACTCGCCCCAATGGTACCAGCTCGAGATCGGATCAGCTGGCATGGTACAAGACGCAATATGAGCAGTTAGAGGCCGAACTGACCGATTTCCAGGCCTCCAGCCGTGAGCTGGAGGCGGAGCTGGAAAAGGATATCGAGGCGTCGGAGAAGCGAGAGCGGTTGCTGAAGGAGAAGGTGGACAGCTTGAAATATGAGGTCGAGGAGTGGAAGGTTAGATCTCGACTGCACTCTCTCTCTCTCTCTCCATAATCGTTGTGAAGGTGGGCAGTGAGCTAACCTGTATACCGATGATAGACCAAGTACAAGCAGTCCAAATCGGAGGGGAACTTGGCTCAGAACACGTTACAGAAAGAGATTACGACGTTGAGGGATGCGAACAGGACGCTACAGCTGAAGTTGCGAGATATTGAAGTCGCCAATGATGATTATGAACAACAAGCCCGGCATACCACTTCATCCCTGGAGGATCTGGAGTCTAAGTACAACGTTGCCATTGAGCGGGGGGTCTTGTTGGAGGAGGAGATCAAGAATGGAGAGCAGGAACGGGAGCAGCTACGTATTGAGAATCAGCGTCTACGGGATGAACTGTCGGATTTGAAGATCGAGACGGAGATCATTCATGAGAAGCTGCGAAACACGGAATTGCAAAACAGCCGACGCAGGAAACCACTCTCGCTGTATCGCAGCCCATCCACCCCACAGACACCGGATATCTTTGATCGCTCCCCAAGTGCGTCAATCGTGTCCTCGCCCTTATTTTCGACTCCGACGCTCAAGACTTCGCTCATGTCCGCCACTGCAGCTCCCCCATCACCACCGATTTCTGAGTCGTCGAGCAGCCTGCGCAAGTCAATGAATGCGATGCCGGGTTTCCCACTTCAGAAGGCGTCAGGACCTGACTCGTCGTTTGGGTCACGATCTTTACATGGGTCTCGAACTCAGAGACACACCAATACTCACACGCGTGCGACATCCTATGCGTTCACCAGCAACCGGCCCACCCCGTCGGCTACCTCGCGGCCGGCTTTGCCCAAACCCAAGCCTAAGCCTAATGACAACAAACCGAACAACAAGTCTCAGTCGTCTGGTCTGCCGAAGTCAGGATCCCTGTATCAGATCCGAGGTCTTATTGGCAAGATGCAGAAACTTGAAGAGCGAGTGCAGTCCGCCAAGTCGAAACTTCCACCGCCATCTGACTCCCCATCCCGTACGTCGTCTCGCTCGGGATCGATCATCGGCGAGAGCCCCGTCGCTTCTACGATCACGGCGCGAAGGAACTCTCGCAAACGGTTAAGTGGCAGCAGCTTCAGCTCGTCGCTTCGTGACGGGGAAAGCGCGCCATCGTATACGGCACCCAGCCGGCCATCGTTTAGCACTCGTACGCAAGGAGACAGCCGTCCCAGCAGCCGCACCAGCTACTCCAGCCGCAGTTCCGTGAGTCAGAGTACACATCCCAGCATGACCCCGTCTACGCGCCCTGACAGCCGCCAGAGCCGGACCAAGACCCCATTGGGCCACTACTCGATGAATCCGACCACGGAAAGCCGACGACCCCGCTCATCGTTGAGTAACCCCTCTACGCAGAACGGTGGGGTCAATGGCATGGCGAATATTGATGAGGACGAGGATCTAGCCATGCATATGTCACTGCGAGCCAAGATCAGTGAGATCCGCGAGAGTCGGTTGCCGGCCATCTCGACACCGGTTCCGAACGGATTGAAGAAACGAACACCAAGCGGCATGTCTGGTATCCCGGCGCCTCGCAGTCTCCGCACGAGTAATGGCGTGGACCGTTGGGAGGGCGATATGGGCCCACCAGAGCCAAAGGTCAAGTACACCGATCTTGGCGAGACTTTCTAAACCTTATCTTGCCCGATATCTCCACAGAATGAGAGGAGGGAGGCCTCATCGAAGTGTCTGACGATGTATACGGCCGGTACGCAGGTGTTGTTGCACTTCCACTGAGTGGCCCCTCCTGAGATGAACGGGCTTTTTTTTTTTTTTTTTTTTTTTTCTCAACACCCTTTTCACCAATCCAATTACCCACATCGTTTCATTCCTTACTTATGAACATCTTCGGATTCGAAGGTTGGGTGCAAATTAGAGCATTGGCGTCCCCTTGGGAAGCTTTCCGTTGGACGGTCGTTCATAGATCAGGGTTTTCCGTCCATGTAATTCGGTTGCTTTTTTTTATTTTTTTTTACCCCATATCCCGCATCCTCTTCGTGTGAAGAAGTGGATGGTGAAGGGATCTGTACAGTTTGTCCCCGGTGGAGTTGACCTGTTGTCTGATTTGTATCTCTGGCCCTTGATGCACATTTGCTCGCAGGTGGCCTGATGTTGGCCCTGTGGCGTCCAAGCTGTTTCTCAGCATCACTTTCCTTTTTGAGGTCTCTGATTTTTTTTTTTCCTCTTCATGTCATTACTTGTGTTAGATAATACCCAGCGAAGGTTGATTTGAATTCCCGTAGTTGGGCGCGCTACTTCGTAGTTTGACAATATATATTGTGGTGTCCATTTGAGACGATGGGATGAGGGGGGGAGAGGGTTAACTACCTAGATTCTCTTGATATCCATGACATCGAGATAACATAACCAACGGAGCTGTACGGAGTGTACAGAATAGGTAGGTAGGTAGGTAGCATTCCATATCTATGTATCTATCTGCAACCTGTCTTGATATCTCCTTGATTTCTATGGTCCAATCTCCAGAGTCCAGTGTAACCTTCTCCCCATTGCGGGGAGTCTGGGAGTCAACTGGTAATACTACTCCATACTAATGCCCCGAAGTTGGAGACTTGGAGTACTACGGAGTACTAGGTAGTAGTATGTAGTAGTAAAGCGATTTGCAAAATTGCCCGAAATATCTAAATATCCGATGGTGCTGATGACTGTTGACCGATGACTGATGACCGATGACAGAGTTACTTGAACCCCCGAGCCGACGAAAGCCCAAAGAGTGACAAGTGACAATAGCACTCCGGTGTCCCATCTATCAATCTATCTATCTAGATATATGCTAACAGGTACTTAAAACTGAATTAAAATAAAAAAAAATACTCCGTAGTCTTGGTAACTACTAACTAGAGAACTCCAGCTAAGACTCTCCGGGTTCCGGACTCCGGTAGCGAATAAGTACAGAGTAACGCTCATGGAGGATTCTATTCATTCGGAGTCTGTGGTGAAAAGATACAAATTGGGAGGACGGAGTATGTAGGTTGATATGGAGTAGTAGGTATTTATTTACCTAGGTACTCCGGTAGATAAGAAGGGGATGAAAGAGCCTGAAGTCTCAGGCAAGACTAAGAGCTCCGCATACTACATAGAACCAAATAGGCCAAGATCGACTAAAGCCCCGGGTGTTAGGGGAAGCAATCAAGCAAGATCAAAGGTATAGCTGTTACTAACTTACTACTACTACTACTACTACTAGTGCTATGGTCTTTGGGACGCTAAAATAGGTTAGCGCAACAGATTTGCTGAGGGCGATCATTTCCCACGGTCCCAACGCAGTTGGCCAGTGAGTATGCTGTGATTGGATACCGCTAGTCGGAGTGGGGCGTCAACGTGTCCCGATGCGGCTAGATTGGACATGCTTGCTGGATTTGGTGTTCGGGGCCCCGATGAGAATGGCTGGATTTGTTCAACTGAGCCAAATCGGGAGAAATGGCTGGATCGGTTCGAAGGGAAAGGAATAATGATGCAGGGATTCTAGATGAAGGGTTTTCCTGTAGTAGTTAGTTGTTGTAGAATTGCAGATTGCGACGCGGAGTAGTCTACACGGTGTACACAGTATGTATGTATGTATGTAGTCGATATCCGGATTGACTACACATATTGATGGCTATGAGAGTGAGCCAGCACGGAGTAGCGGGAGGTGTTTTTGAAGCATTAATATTGCCGGTGAACTTGTCAACAAGGATCATACAGAGTACTCCGTAGTAGTAGAATAGCCTAGTGAGCTGGCCCTGTAGGATAGGTAGTTAGTCCTAAGTGTAGATAATGTGTTGCCCAAATCGGCAAGGCAAGTAAGGTCCTTGATGGAACCCTGAATCGTTGGAATAATCTTCAAGAACCCGATCGTGATCGGGTGAGTACCAGTAGATAGGAGACGCTATGCTCCGTTGAGATCCAGATCAATCTCCACGATCCAAAGTGAGATGACCGGGGATTTAAGTATCATTGGACTTTGGAAGTCATCACGAACGGTGTAGCAAGTAGCAAGTAGCAAGTCAGTGTCGGCAGTGACTGAAGAATAATGAATGGGGGGGGGGGGGAAACAGTCAACTCTGGGGCGGAAAGGGAAATCTGGTGGGAAGAAACGTCATGGGCCCAACAAGCGGCGGAAGTTGGGGATTTGGGAGTCGGTTTAGTCGGTCTGTCCTTGGGGAGTGGAGATGAGCATTTTTCTCTCTTTCTTCGTTCCAGTCGTTAGCTGTACATAGTGGTAAATACTACCTAGGTAGTGATAGGATGCTGGATATTATTATTGAGTCCCTCTAAGTTAAACCGAAAAAAACGGTACCTGAGGCACTCCAACCTCTCTCTCCTCTCTCGCGATTCATTAATCTCTACCTCCTTCTCTCCCTCTTCCTCTCTTTGGACTCTTCTTCTCCTTCTTAGCATCATCATCATCTCCATTCCGAGCGGGCTATTATTTCCCCCCCCCCCCTGGTGGTTGTGGTGAGTAGTTATACTCCGAGTGAAGTCTGAATCCTGCCCATATCTCCGTTTGCGACGGTCCTCCATTTGCCGGTTCCTGTCCCACTTCCCCCCCATCTCTCGCCGGCTCAGTTAAAAGTAATTGACTACTCCTACGACTGAACTACTTGCTGACGGTCATTTTTTTTTTTCTTCTACCACCTTTTAGCCCGAAGGACTTCCCTTTTCCTTCCTCTTAAATCTTACTTATTTACGACCTAATCCTTCAGGGCGCCTTCCTCCAGCCCTCCTTCGATAGAACTCCAATTTCGGGCCATTGTGGTTCTATTCCGTCTTATCCTTTCCATCCTCTTCTCTCTTGTACTACTCCTACTACTACTACCACTACGACCTATACGACGTTCTCCTCCTCATCGTCGAATCTTCTCCATTCTACCTCTCGGAAATCTCAGGATCCGTGAATGGGAAGCGTGAATAATCTATAATAGAAAAAAAAATTCTCTCAGCGTGCATCATGGGTGTCCCCAACGGAAGTTCGAGCAACGGCCACGTTAGCGCAGCCAAATACAACATCCCCTCACATTTCATCGGTGGAAACCACCTGGACGCGGCTCCTCCCAGCAGTGTAAAGGATTTCGTCGCCAATCATGAAGGTCACTCAGTCATCAGCTCGGTGAGTGGCAACCTGCGCGGCTCAGAAACGACAAAAGTCTTTCGTTCCCACCAGCACAGCACAATTTCGCTAACCAGCGGCCTTGCGCTCGGAATAGGTTCTCATCGCCAACAACGGTATTGCCGCCGTCAAGGAGATTCGATCGGTCCGGAAATGGGCCTACGAAACATTCGGCAACGAGCGTGCCATTCAGTTCACGGTCATGGCCACACCAGAAGATTTGCGGGCAAATGCGGACTACATCCGTATGGCTGATCAATATGTCGAGGTACATGTCCCCTGCAACTCGGGGAAATCATGGTTCAGTTGGGCTAACAGTGGGTCAATGAACATTTAGGTACCGGGAGGCACAAATAACAACAACTATGCGAACGTCGAGTTGATCGTCGACGTGGCTGAGCGAATGAACGTTCATGCTGTCTGGGCCGGTTGGGGTCACGCCTCCGAAAACCCCAGACTCCCCGAGTCTCTGGCTGCTTCGCCCAAGAAGATCATTTTCATCGGCCCCCCCGCCTCGGCTATGCGTTCTTTGGGTGACAAGATCTCCTCCACGATTGTTGCACAGCATGCCAACGTCCCTTGCATTCCGTGGTCAGGCACAGGCGTGGAGGACGTGACAATTGACGAGAACGGAATTGTCACCGTTCCCGATGAGGTCTACAACCGCGGCTGCACTTTCTCTCCTCAGGAAGGTCTGGCGAAAGCCAAGGAGATTGGTTTCCCAGTCATGATCAAGGCTTCGGAAGGTGGTGGTGGTAAAGGTATCCGCAAGGCCGAGCGGGAGGAAGATTTTATCAGCCTGTACAATGCCGCCGCCAACGAAATCCCCGGCTCTCCGATCTTCATCATGAAGCTGGCAGGCAACGCCAGACATCTGGAAGTCCAGCTGCTGGCAGATCAGTACGGCAACAACATTTCCCTATTCGGCCGTGATTGCTCCGTCCAGCGTCGTCACCAGAAGATTATTGAAGAGGCCCCCGTCACTATTGCCAAACCCGTCACCTTCCAAGCCATGGAGCGCGCGGCCGTCAGCCTGGGCAAGCTGGTCGGTTACGTCTCTGCCGGTACCGTCGAGTACCTGTACTCGCACGCCGATGACAAGTTCTACTTCCTCGAGTTGAATCCTCGTCTTCAGGTTGAGCACCCCACCACCGAGATGGTTTCCGGTGTCAATCTGCCTGCCGCCCAGCTCCAGATTGCCATGGGTATCCCTCTGCACCGTATTCGCGACATCCGTCTGCTCTACGGTGTGGATCCCAACACGTCTTCTGAAATCGATTTTGACTTCTCCAACGAGGAGAGCTTCAAGACCCAGCGCCGCCCTCAGCCCAAGGGACATACCACTGCCTGTCGTATCACCTCTGAGGACCCTGGTGAAGGATTCAAGCCCTCCAGCGGTACGATGCACGAACTGAACTTCCGCAGCTCTTCCAACGTCTGGGGTTACTTCTCCGTCGGTACCGCCGGTGGTATCCACAGTTTCTCCGACAGCCAGTTCGGTCACATCTTCGCCTATGGCGAGAACCGTTCCGCCTCTCGGAAACACATGGTTGTTGCGTTGAAGGAGTTGAGCATCCGTGGTGATTTCCGCACCACAGTCGAGTACCTGATCAAGTTGCTCGAGACTCCCGCCTTCGAAGACAACACCATCACCACCGGCTGGTTGGATCAGCTGATCTCCAACAAGCTAACTGCGGAGCGTCCCGATCCCATCGTGGCCGTGCTCTGCGGTGCGGTGACCAAGGCTCATTTGGCCAGCGAAGGCGGCGTTGAGGAGTACCGCAAGGGTCTCGAGAAGGGTCAGGTCCCCTCCAAGGATGTCCTCAAGACCGTCTTTCCAGTGGACTTCATCTACGAAGGCGCGCGGTACAAGTTCACCGCCACAAGGGCCAGCTTGGACAGCTATCACCTGTTCATCAACGGCTCTAAGTGCTCTGTTGGTGTGCGTGCGTTGGCTGACGGTGGTTTGCTCGTTCTGTTGGACGGCCGTAGTCACAACGTCTACTGGAAGGAGGAAGCTGCGGCGACCCGCCTCAGTGTCGATGGCAAGACGTGCCTGCTGGAGCAGGAGAATGACCCCACGCAACTCCGTTCGCCTTCACCTGGAAAGCTGGTCAAATTCACCGTCGAGAACGGTGAGCATGTCAAGGCCGGCCAGCCTTTCGCCGAGGTCGAGGTTATGAAGATGTACATGCCCTTGATCGCGCAGGAAGACGGTATCGTGCAGCTCATCAAGCAGCCCGGTGCCACTCTGGAGGCTGGTGACATTCTGGGTATCTTGGCTCTGGATGATCCCTCTCGCGTCAAGCACGCGCACCCTTTCACTGGTCAGCTGCCCGAGATTGGTCCTCCTCAGGTGGTCGGCAGCAAGCCTCCTCAGAGATTCTTCCTCCTACACAGCATCCTTGAGAACATCCTTCGCGGATACGACAACCAGGTCATCATGAATGCCACGCTCAAGGAACTGGTTGACGTTCTGCGCAACCCTGAGCTGCCCTACGGCGAATGGAACGCGCAATCCTCGGCTCTGCATTCCCGCATGCCCCAGAAACTGGATGCTCAGCTGCAGAGCATCGTTGAGCGGGCGCGCTCCCGCAAGGCCGAATTCCCAGCCAAGCAGCTGCAGAAGACCATTGCCCGATTCATCGAGGAGAATGTCAACCCTGCCGATGCCGAGATCCTCCGAACCACACTTTCGCCTTTGCTCCATGTCATTGATAAGTACATGGACGGCTTGAAGGCGCATGAGTTCAATGTCTTCATTGGTCTGCTGGAGCAGTACTATGAGGTCGAGAAGCTGTTCGCCGGACGTAACATCCGTGACGAAGATGCCATCCTGAAGCTCAGAGAGGAGAACAAGGAGGACATTGGCAGCGTTGTGCAGACCGTTCTGTCCCATAGCCGTGTTGGCGCGAAGAACAACCTGGTCTTGGCCATCTTGGCCATGTACCGCCCCAATCAGCCCGGTGTTGGCAACGTCGGAAAGTACTTCAAACCCATCCTGAAGAAGCTCACGGAACTCGAGTCGCGCTCTGCGGCCAAGGTCACCCTCAAGGCTCGTGAGGTTCTCATCCAGTGTGCCCTCCCATCTATGGAGGAGCGCCTGTCTCAGATGGAGCTTATCCTCCGCTCCTCCGTCGTCGAGTCTCGGTACGGAGAAACCGGCTGGGATCATCGGGAGCCAGAGTTCTCCGTCCTGAAGGAAGTGGTTGACTCTAAGTACACCGTCTTCGACGTCTTGCCCCGCTTCTTCGTCCACCAGGATCCCTGGGTCACTCTGGCTGCTCTCGAGGTCTACGTGCGCCGCGCCTACAGGGCCTATACCCTCAAGGGTATCCAATACAACACCTCTGCAGAGGTGCCCCTGCTGTCTTGGGACTTCACTTTCGGCAAGCTCGGTCAGCCAGAGTTCGGCTCCGTCAACTCTGCTCAGCTGTCGACTCCTAGCACACCGACCACCGAGTCCAGCCCCTTCCGCAGGCTCAACTCCATCAGTGATATGTCCTACCTGGTCAATGACAGCAGCAGCGACCCTGTCAGAAAGGGTATCATTGTCCCCGTCCAGTACCTGGAGGATGCTGAGGAGGTGCTGCCCAAGGCTCTCGAGGCGTTCCCGCGTGCCGGTTCGAAGAAGAAGGCCGGTGAAAAGGGCCTTCTCGCCGATCTGGAGGGCAAGCGCCGCCCCGCTCCTCGCATTGAGACCGACAATGAGTTGACCGGCGTGCTCAACATCGCTGTTCGTGACCTCGAGGAAATGGATGACAACCAGATTGTTGCCCAGGCCAGCGCTCTGCTGGCCAACTTCAAGGAGGAGCTGCTTGCTCGTCGTGTCCGCCGCGTCACCTTTATCTGTGGCAAGAACGGAAGCTACCCCAGCTACTTCACCTTCCGAGGACCTAACTACGAAGAAGATGAGAGCATCCGTCACAGCGAGCCCGCCCTGGCTTTCCAGCTGGAACTCGGCCGTCTGTCTAAATTTAAAATCAAGCCCGTTTTCACGGAGAACCGCAATATCCATGTCTACGAGGCCATCGGTAAGGGTCCCGAGAACGACAAGGCTGTCGACAAGCGTTACTTCGTCCGTGCCGTGGTGCGCCCCGGTCGTCTCCGTGATGACATCCCTACTGCCGAGTACCTGATCTCCGAGGCCGATCGCCTCATGAACGACATCCTGGACGCCCTCGAGATCATTGGCAACAACAACTCCGATCTCAACCACATCTTCATCAACTTCTCCCCCGTTTTCAACCTGCAGCCCCAGGACGTGGAGGAGGCCTTGGCTGGTTTCCTCGAGCGCTTCGGTCGCCGTCTGTGGCGTCTCCGTGTCACCGGTGCTGAAATCCGCATCCTCTGCACGGATCCTGCCACTGGCATGCCCTACCCTCTGCGTGTGATCATCACCAACACCTATGGCTTCATCATCCAGGTGGAGCTGTACATTGAGAAGAAGTCCGAGAAGGGCGAATGGATCCTCCACAGCATTGGCGGTACCAACAAGCTCGGCTCTATGCATCTGCGCCCCGTCTCCACCCCGTATCCGACCAAGGAGTGGCTCCAGCCCAAGCGTTACAAGGCTCATCTCATGGGCACACAGTACGTCTATGATTTCCCTGAGCTGTTCCGTCAAGCTTTCCAGAACAGCTGGGTCAAGGCTGCCTCCAAGATTCCCTCTTTGGCCGACAAGCGCCCCCCGGTCGGCGAGTGCATCGAGTACAGCGAGCTTGTTTTGGATGACACCGATAACCTGGTTGAGATCTCGAGAGGCCCCGGTACCAACACTCACGGTATGGTTGGTTGGATTGTGACTGCTCGCACTCCTGAGTACCCTCAAGGCAGACGATTCATCATCGTGGCCAACGACATCACCTTCCAGATTGGTTCCTTCGGTCCCCAGGAAGACAACTTCTTCCACAAGTGTACTGAATTGGCCAGAAAGCTTGGTATTCCCCGTATCTACCTTTCTGCCAACTCTGGAGCCCGTATCGGTATGGCCGATGAGCTGATCCCCTACTTCTCTGTGGCCTGGAACGATCCCCACAGACCCGAGGCAGGCTTCAAATATCTGTACCTGACGCCCGAGGTTAAGAAGAAGTTCGATGCTAGCAAGAAGGAGGTCATCACGGAGCTGATTCACGACGATGGTGAGGAGCGCCACAAGATCACCACCATCATTGGTGCCAAGGACGGCTTGGGTGTCGAGTGTCTTAAGGGCTCCGGTCTGATTGCTGGTGCCACCTCCCGCGCCTACGAGGACATCTTCACCATCACCCTGGTAACCTGCCGCTCCGTCGGTATTGGTGCCTACCTGGTCCGCCTCGGCCAGCGCGCCATCCAGGTCGAGGGCCAGCCTATTATCCTGACTGGTGCACCTGCCATTAACAAGCTGCTAGGTCGTGAGGTTTACACCTCCAACCTGCAGCTTGGTGGCACTCAGATCATGTACAAGAACGGTGTCTCCCACATGACTGCCACCGACGACTTCGAAGGTGTGCAGAAGATTGTTGAGTGGATGTCCTTCGTTCCTGACAAGAAGGGTGCCCCTATCCCCATCCGCCCCTGGTCTGATGACTGGGACCGCGATGTTTCCTACTACCCACCCCCCAAGCAGGCCTACGATGTACGCTGGCTCATCGCTGGTAAGGAAGATGAGGAAGGCTTCCTTCCCGGTCTGTTCGATGCCGGATCCTTCGAGGAGGCTCTCGGTGGCTGGGCCCGTACCGTTGTCGTTGGTCGCGCTCGCCTCGGTGGCATCCCCATGGGTGTCATTGCTGTCGAGACTCGCTCCGTCGAGAACGTCACGCCTGCCGACCCTGCGAACCCCGATTCCATGGAGCTGATCAGCACCGAGGCCGGTGGTGTGTGGTACCCCAACTCCGCCTTCAAGACTGCTCAGGCCCTCCGTGACTTCAACAACGGTGAGCAGCTGCCCGTTATGATACTGGCCAATTGGAGAGGTTTCTCTGGTGGACAACGTGACATGTACAACGAAGTTCTCAAGTACGGATCTTACATCGTCGATGCGCTGGTCAAGTATGAGCAGCCTATTTTCGTCTACATCCCTCCTTTCGGTGAACTCCGAGGTGGATCTTGGGTAAGTCTCCTCTCAGCTTCTGCTTTTTGTATCAATCTAGATGCTAACGTATGCAGGTCGTCATTGATCCCACCATCAACCCGGACCAGATGGAGATGTATGCCGATGAGGAGGCTCGCGGTGGTGTTCTCGAACCCGAAGGTATCGTCAACATCAAGTACCGCCGCGACAAGCAGCTGGACACCATGGCTCGCCTGGACGCCACCTACGGCGAGCTGCGCCGCTCGCTGGAGGACCCCTCGCTCAGCAAGGAGCAGCTGTCGGAGATCAAGGCCAAGATGGCCGCGCGTGAGGAGCAGCTCCTCCCTGTGTACCTGCAGATTGCCCTTCAGTTCGCCGACCTCCACGACCGCGCCGGCCGCATGATCGCCAAGGACACCATCCGCAAGGCCCTGACCTGGAAGAACGCCCGTCGCTTCTTCTACTGGCGTCTGCGCCGCCGTTTGAGCGAGGAGCTTATCGTCAAGCGCATGGTTACCGTCGCCCCGACCCCCGTCCCCGGCGACGCCTCTGGCGCCCTCCCCACCACCACCCCCGGAAACGACCAACCCACTTCCACCGCCTCCTCCACCGAGAGCCCCCGCGCTAACCACCTGCGCGCCCTGCACGCCTGGACCGGCCTGTTGGACGACGAGCTCGAGCACGATGACCGTAAGGTCGCCATGTGGTACGAGGAGAACCGCAAGGCCATCCAGACCAAGATCGAGGCCCTCAAGACCGACTCTGTCGCCAACCAGATCTCCCAGCTCCTCATTGGCAACAAGGAGGGCGGTCTCAAGGGCGTCCAGCAGGTGCTCAGCATGCTGCCCGTCGAGGAGAAGGAGGCCGTGCTCAAGTATCTTGCCTCGGCTTGATCGGATTCTATTCCTTTCTTTCTCGTCTTGGGCCGTACACCAATGGGTTTCCCTTTATCGTTTGATTTGATTATATAGCATTCCCATTCATTGAAGATATGGGGTTTTCTCCGAGCCGGGCGCGTTGCGGGGTTTCCGTTCTGTTGTTCTCCACAGGTACTGGTTTGCATGGGTCGTCGGAGGTTATTTGCATGATTTGAGTTTATATTATGCATGATGTTATTTTTTTTTTAATCAGTGTCTATCGCGTTGTATGTTCATGACTGTTTGGCATAGTTTTTCATAACATGGCCATTACTACCAATATAACTTTATGTTCCAATGCAAAAAAGCATCCTCGGTTTGACTTTCCAAGTATTATTACTTTGTAGGGTAGAAGAGACGTTCAATTATGAAGTGTGTGATTCATTGCAAAAGTCCATATCTTACCCCGGTCCTAGTAGTTTCACTGTTTCACAAAAATCCTGATAATCATCCCAAACGCGAGGGGTATTCCCGTCCACTCACTCATCCATAATCGTAGAAAAAACATGCAAGGCCAAGCAAGGTAGGGTATAACGCTGGAAAAATAGGTGTATATAAAGATGCTTCCTCATGGCAAGAAACACAAGACAAGTGTATAGAGTAAAGGGGTATAGTTGAATGTGAAAGGGATGTCGAGGGTAAAAGTAGATCATCACGCGAGCTGTCGCTCTAGGCTGCGGGGTGGGCTGAGGATAGGCGGCATCCCTCGATATGGGGCGGAAACCTCTCGTATACCGCGACTGTTGGGGACTGTGCTCATTCCAGATTCATCCAGACCTAGGCTCAAACGGCCAATGTCCACGGGTACCTGGCCGGGTAAAGGGAGTGGCGCCCGATATCGTGGGTTCTGAGGTTCGCGTGGTGGGTGAGAAATGGGAAAAGCAAGTGACTCGTTCCGACGGCCGGGTAGTGTGATGACGTTGGCATGCAGCGTGCGAGCAATGTCCTCCAGCATTACTTCCATGGGAGCGATGTATGCGGTGTGACTCTTCTCAGACCACGCCAAAACATGACCGCAGACACGACCAGTGGACTTCTCGAAAACCCAGGCTCCTGAATCACCGGGGACTAAAAACCAGTATTATGATCAGCTTGGGCTCTTCTTTCGAGTGCATGATACTTGGAGGAAAAAAAAAAAAAAAAAAAAAAAAAAACAGGGCATCTCACAACTCACCTCCAAAGTTTCCATCCACACAAAAACTCGTGGAGAAGGTATGTCGTCCGTGCAGCTTGACGAGGGTCATTGCTCTTGAAATCTGTCCGCTCTGTAGGCCACTGGTACGCCCACAACAGTGAACTTTCAGGCCACCAAGCTCCTCCATAGGTGCCACATCGTTGAGATAGATCGGTTCCGAGTGTTGGGCCGAATAAGGATCCCCAGGTCCCCGTCTCGAAAGACCTCGGGACGGTGATGCCGCCTTGTCAAACACTATGTTACGAGGGTCCATCCGATCATCATTGATTTTGATCAATGCCCAGTCGATCTCGTGCTTGATGCCTTTCCGAGTCCAACGACGGACGCCAGAGGACGCATGGACAAACCCGAAAGAATGGGAGGCCAAATGCTCATCGTCACGATCTTCGGGTGAAGGAAAGAAATCTTCATGAACGTCATCGATCGCAGGCTGAGTGACAAACAGCGGTGGCTCGTCCCCCGGCTCAACACCAGCCGTATCGCCTATGGAGGCAGCGTCTTCATCATCGTAGGCGTCATCGGCGTCGAACCCTTCCTCGTCCGAAGAATTACTATCCGAAAGCCAGTGGTCTTCGTAATTCCCCTCAAAACTCTGCGAGAGAGACAGATCGTCACCATCCTCGTCTTCTGAAATTTCAAACTCAAGGTCCACCTCCGAGGGGTCCTGATCACACCAGCTGTACATAAATTCGTTATTCGAGGATACCGGTTGCGGTGCCGGCTGTCTTGGCCAGTTTCCAGCTGAACGAAACGGCCCTCCGATATTTCGATCTTCCACTTCTTCCTCTGCCTCATCATCGCTCGGGGCCTCCAGCATGTGATGAACGGTCATTCCGTAAGGCATACCGTCAACGAAGATTGCACCTCCGTAAGATACAGGAGGTAGATGCTCCTCGTTTTGGAAGGCACCAATAGAAGCACCACAAAGAGGTTTTTGTTGATAGCAGGGGTTGAGGTCTGGTTGAGCGAATGCGGGCATATCTCCTGTCTGTGGTCTGGACTTGGCTGGCCTGCGGCGTTTCTTTCTTGGGACCTTGGAACGTTGAACATCGCCACGAAGCACGATGAGATCCCAATCGTCTCTATCGAGCACAAAATACTTCTTCATGGCTGCTCTGACTTTCTTTGCACTGGCACAGGTGACGCAGATGGTCGTCTTGGCAGTCTCAATCGTTTCTCCAGTCATCATCAGAGTGACACCACAGGATTCAGATGAATCTTTCAGGACCTTCTGGAGGAGCTTTCTCAATCGCGGGAGCATCTGGAAGTTCCATTCATTCAGATGTTCCTGAGGGATCTCGATGTTGGTAAGTTTCTTGAATGTCCTCTTCTTTACCTTTGCCTCCTCCAAACCCATCTTCCCCCGGACGATCTTCTTCTCTGATAGAGGAAGTGTGGGGTAGGAGTTGGCTGGGCGCACCGGTCTCTCAGGTGCAGGTTGATATGATTTCTGGTTTCCTCTTGCACCATCTGTTTCAGTGACGGGCACCAGCGCAAGCGGAAGGCAGTCGTCTAATTCTTCAGCAGCAGGGGCGGAGAAGATATCAATCCTGCAGCAGGACCAAGTAATCTTGCACATTGTGTAGAGGAAATTCATGGAAAACGAGAAGATACCATCGGGAGCGGAAAGATCCAGAACAGGATAGTGATATGTCTGGGGAATTCGTAAGTTGAAGTCCTCATTGGGCTGCGTCGAAAGGTGGAAATTAGGAGCATCCAGACAAAGTTGGACCACGTGAAGGAATGCGCTGCCGCACTTTGGTCCCAGCTTCTGCAAATAGACATTTTCAATTCTTTGTTTGAACATCGAGTTGTTGTACTTCAGCTTCCAAAGTCGACTGATGGGAGTCCACAGTCCAATCTCCATTAGCACAAGACCCAGAGAATAAAGGTCATAGGCCCAGGCAGCATCGTCTTCCAGAGACCGCTTGTCGTCTGGGTGACGATACATGCTCGAAGATAAGGGCTCAGGCGATGTCGCATTCCCAGAAAATTGGGCGAATGATGTCAGGTAGGGCCGTCGAAGATCCTCAGTGAGACCGACTTCGTCATTGCTGGAGCTAGTTGCACCGGGGAAGATGAGTACATTGCTGCTGTTAATATTCCCATGGACGAGATTCTGGCTTCGAAGATGTAGGGCGGCCATCAGAAGGTCATAGGCTAACCGAAGGCGAGTCTCTAGGTTAGGTACTTTTTGATCATCCCCCGACTGAAAAAGAGAAACGAGGGGCTTCGGTTTCAAGCCGCTCAAGAGGTCCGAGGGATTGTGGAGGAAAGGGAAGTAGTCGATCGGCATCTGATATATGAATGCATAGCGTGAATTGGGCATGTCGATGTAGTGACCGAGGAACCGCATCAAACCTAGATGGGAGATTCTCGCATTCTGAACAAGCTGATCAAGGCTCTGTTGCACATGTTCAACTCGCCTTTCTACTGGGAAAGTGACGTCCCGTTGACTTCCCAGCATCATCGGCGTGAATTCGACCAGGATCGAAACGGTGGAGTCCTTTGCGCCCGCCAGGAGAAGAGAAGCGGAGGATTTGATGCGGCCAATAGCTCGAGAATTGGTAGAAGCGGCTACCATCTCATATGGAGGTGGACTGTTATCGTGAGACGCACCAGAGAGCTGCAAGGCAGAGCGATCGATGAGGTAGCTCTGTGATGGCATCGAACCCTTGTGCGAGCGCTTTTCAACCTTCAAAGGACTGACAACCGGGGACGAATAATCATATGCTTCCTGCGCTTTGGGGCTGTGATACGATTCCTTCATATCAAGCGGAGAGCCCTGGTACGACTTGACATCTGGGTAGACTGAATAGACAGAGTCATCTCCCAATCTGGGGACATGTCGGTGACGACCCCGCGCGGCAGACTGTCCGCTCGAAGTCATGTTTCGTCGCGAACGCGACAAATCATACAGGGTGTCGATGCAAGCGGTCAAATCCGCAAGAAGACTCTTGGAGCGAGTGATGTCTTCGTTGGTCCAGTGTGTCTTCACCGGAAGGGAGCTCAAGCTATCTTTCGACGTCGAGTCGCCACGAAGGCCCTTTGGAGGCAAATCGGATGAACCTCCGTGCTGAATACGTTCCGCTTCATTGAGCAGCTCCTGGATAGAAGACATAACACTCTCAACAACATCACTGAAACCAGCTTGAGTGAGCGATTCGTCGATATCATTTGGCTGTGCGGCGCTAGCGTCGCTCCAGTCGAGACCCCAAGCAAGCAGCCGGTCCCGCTGGGTCCCAAAGCTTCGATGAAGAGCGACCAGCTCCGGGTCATCGACGGCCTTCGAAGCAGTGGTGACGCTCTCACATGAAGTCTTTGTATCTGTGTACATCTTGGTGAGGCGTCGCTGGAGGTATGAACCTCCATGACGGAGAACAGACATCTTGGCGTGCAGAGTCCGGGTGGGATCGAACAAGCAGTGGGCGCAACAGTCAGAAACAAAGTCAAGTCAAAGAATCACTCTGGCGTTGCGGAGGACGCGACCCGCTTTAGAGTTGATAATGCATAGCTTCCGAGAAATTGATGCAAGATAGTCTGACGGAAGATTTTGGCAGCAATTCTGGCCTCAGTTGAACAGAAGTCTCTATTTCTTGAAGGGAAGAGCGATGGGAGCAATAAGAATAGATCGCTGGTGGGCAGTAATCCTGTTGCCTAACCAATAGGGAGTGGCGAGTGAAAGCAAAGCCTCGTCCGCCAAGCCACACTTCTTGGCACGTCACGTGGCAGGCAGCCGCGAATCGCGATACTCTCTTGTCCTCTAGGTAGGTAGGCACGATGGTAGCTACCTAGTCTCTGCAGCTCTGCTGGAGTCACACAACGATGTCTGCGTGCTCCATGGAGTAAGACTGTCCGCATGATGATCTACGCATATGGCCTACTAGGCTCCTAGCTATTGACTGACGAATGCAAGGTGGGCCACATAAGCTTTTTTTACACCAGGAGCTGATCAAAAATATAGGATGTATCCAACACTGACCGACTTCTATACTTCCCAACCATTAGCCATACCATTGACACAAAACCACCTGATAAGTACGAAAAGCTCGTTATAAGAATCATACCGCTGTACAAGCACAACATGTCGTGAGCTGTCCACTGCCGGAAACGGCTTGAGAGAACGAGAATCAGGCAGCCATTTAGATTGATCTCGAACCAATGAATGGATATTCTATTCAGTCATGTAGTGGAGAAATCTGAATATACACAGAGAAAGTAGAGAGAGAGAGAGAGAGAGAGAGAGAGAGAGAGAGAAAAGAAAAAGAAGCAAAAATCATGACTATAATGCTACAATCCAGGGATCGAAGGCGGGATCACCCGGTGATCACTCGTCGAGACACGCCAACTTCTTTGGCGCGCTTTTCTCGAAAGTTGTGGAGACGCTCTCCAATCAAGTACACATCATCACGAATGTTCACTCGCCAAATGTCCACCTGTCGTCGGACTAGATAACCGAGCCATCCGACGAAGCTCATGAGTAAAGTCGCAGGGAACGCATAGCGATAGACCTTTGCTTGGATATCAGGGGTAACCCGGTAGACAGTCGAATTCAATGCAAATCCGAAGGAAAGTGGAAGGGCCACTGCCACTGTCACTAAGAGCGTGACGGGAAGCAGTATTGCTCGTGTGGCCAGACGAACATTGGGTTTCAACCATCCATCTCGGAACACACCGTTGAGGGCGGCTGCAGGACGAGAGGTGGAATGCCACAGAGCAAACTTGATGGCCATTTGAACATAGAGCACTCCCAACGTCCAATCTTGCACGAAGTGGATGACGTGCGCTTGTGCTGCACCCAAGTACGTATGCACTGGAATTAGCACGTAAAGCTCCATGACCAGAGCAAATAGGGACGGCAGCACAACAGAGAATGCGAGGAAGATGTAGACCAGCCGCATAACGTCAAGTGCCCCATTTGAAAACCCCAAGAGAGCTTGGCGAGGTGATCGGATATACGGGCCGAGACGGTCTTTCACGAAAGTGAAGCAAGCACGGCAATACAAAGTCAAATAGGCAACAGTGCCAACGGTGCAAATACCCATAGAAAATGCGTAGACGTCGTTCAATGGTCGGTTAGGGAAGCACGACGACATCACTTTACGGCCAATGACTAGGGGAATAATGGTGGTGCCTACACCCGTCGTGGCGGCGAAGACCCAGATCAAGATGATGAATGCCGCAATCCTGCTCCGGAACGAGGGTGGTACGTACACCTTGGTGAACATATCATTGGTACGACCGTGTAGCCCCTCGTCTGCATCGGGAGCGCCATCGACCCGCTCGTTATTCTCAGTGACCTCTAGAAATACTTGGTTGCCCTTGGGAATGCGCACTTGATCCGAAGCCGGAGCACGGACAAATCTGCCATCCTTAACGAAGTAGGCATCAAGCTGCTGGTTCTCAGCGGTGTGTCGCTCTTCTTCATCAACCACGGGCTTGTCCGTGTCGCCTTTCTTTCCCGTGAGGACACCAAACCAAGTATTTCTCACGTGGTAGCCTTCCTCATCGAGTTGCCTGTCGCCAAAGAAAAAGTTGGTCAACCGTAGGTAACGCGCGCATTTGTGGAACCACCAGTCGTAAAGATTATGTAGCCCATCCGAGGGTTTGAGAGACCGGATAGCGAGCGGCATGATAAAATTGTAGAACAACAAATCGGCAGGGAATTCGAGAACGGGAATCGACGCAGACCACTGAATGGGCAGCACGCCGTCAAAGGCATAGTATAGACCCCAAACCACTCCACCAAGGCAAACAATGACCAGTGCGCCATATACAAGGGCACTGAAAGCTATCTTTCGAAGCTGAGTGGTAATGTTACGTTCAAGAACATCACGAACTGGGTGGAAGGTTGGATCATCAGGATCGCGGATAAAGTCTGTTGTTCATAGTCAGTGTATGTCAATCTCTTGAATATGTTCTTTAATAACTTACAGAGAACACCACTCCGCATGATCTTTCTGCACATTGAAACAAAGAGCGCAAAATGGAACATATAGCAAGTGCCTATGAACCAGTGCACAAAGAGGGAGGTCAAGGGAGAGGTGGATGTGAACTGGAGCCGTGAGGTAATGGTAGCATCTTTGAACACTGGTAAAAGAGCAACATCAAGAAGAGTGCCACAGTATAGTGGAAACACTATCATCTCAATCCCGATGATGAGAATGACTTTCATGACCCCACCAGCTTGAAGCAGTACTTCTGCAATGATGCCCTCGACCCGCTGCCCACGATTGACCCCGGAGAAAAGGCCGGTAATACGAAGGTAGAGAAGACCCAAAGTGGAGGCGAGAATATAACCCATAACAATGGCAATAATGCGATCTTTCGTATCCCATACCGCCAAGTCTTGGTCAACTGTCAAATTGAATGCGGTTTCTCCTGTGGCTGTTGAATTCAGCCAGTTCGTGCTTGTTGCAGAGAAGAAAGAGCGACCAGCAAGGCTGTATAACTGGTGTCGGACCTGACTGAAAACGTCGCCCAGATTCATGCTGGCTTGTCCAAGGGACAGTGCACCCATTGACCCCTTTGCCATAAGCCGCAACGGGAAGTCATATGAGACAAATTTCAGGACAGTGAAGAGTGACTGGCATAGGCCGGTGATGCGAGCTTGGTGGATCTTCAATGCTTGATGAGACAGCACGGAAAACATTGGAACATCCGCTTCGTGAAAGACTAAAAACGCACTGGCTACGTTCTTCAGACGTTGGCTGCTGGCATCAATAAGCGACAATGAGGTGCTAGTTATAAACTTGGTTTGAGGGACCCAGTCGCCTAACGGGACCACAGCGCTCAGGGGTCCAAGCAGCACTTTGCAGATAAGGCTGACTGCATACATGAGGTAACCCAAGCTACCAATAAGAGTGTCAAGAGTGACGTCGGCGATGACTGATATCGCGGCCACAGGCACACCGAATATAAGTTGTATCGGGTTCGCAAGAAGGACGAGGGCAATTTTGCCCCACAGATACGGAAGCCAAACTCCAATGGCTACCGTGAACGAGATCAAAAGCGCACTGAACACGCCATTCTGTAGGAGGCCAAAGATAGGACCCTGCATACCAATCAGTTCAAGAATGCCTTCCAGATCGTCGCCTTCTTCGACTGCGTCTATATCATTGGCATCCATGCCCGGGTCTGCAGCAATTCCCTGATTCTGCTGTATACCGTCGGGAAGACGTCTATTGTTCTGAACCGGCACGAATGGTGCCTCCAATGCGGGATCTTCAACTGCTTGCTCATCATCTTGTTGCAGCTGGTCCTGACCGTGCTCACCAGGGGTGAGATCCGCCCAGAACCACTCGAACATATTGGCAGCGAGACTCCTAGGAGGTACGATAGCGGCCATGTCAGCCGGCGAATCTGGGGTTGTGGGTGTGGAATTTCCTCGGTCCTGAGCTGGAGATTCAATTGGCCCTGGAGCTTCAGGATTACTAGCTGAGCTATCACTGAAGCTGCTATGATTTGGTTCCTCCTCATCAGGGCCATGGGTGTTCGCATCTAATCCGCCATCTGACCCAGGAAAGTCAAACCTGAAATCATGTGGGGATGTGTCCGAGCCCGGATCAAGATTGACACCAGGAGCCATGTCTGCATTCCAAGCTCGCGGCTCTGAAGTCGAAGCATCAATATGGTTTGAAGAATATGCCTGGAAGGATTCTGTGAACGCGTTCCTGTTTGCTTCTAGTGAGCCATCCCTAGGCCGATGAAAACTGGATGGAGGTTCAGAAAACCGAGGGGTATCATTTTGTCGAAGTCTTGTCATTGCTGCAACAACCCAACTAAGCTCGTTTTCGCGGTCTTCTTCCCTTATAATCCTGAGAACCTGCTCCGGATCACCGTTTGCACGTGTCCAGAGATCCCTTAGAGTCTCAACGTCAACCCAGCTTCTGCTATTGGGATGAGTGGCTGATGATTCTCTGGCGAAATCATTGATAACATGTCCTAATTCATTCCCATTTTCGCTATCGTTCTCAAAGCCGGATGAGGCATGGTGATCCTCTAAAGGGCTGTGGAATGGTCTTTCAGTTCCCATCAGGGGGACCCTGCGGGATGCTGTGGTAGGCCGGGAGAAAGAATCTTCGTTCTCATCATCCATATGGTTAGGGATATCTTCTTCAACACGCTCATTAGGCACTGCCTCATCTAGTACATCCTCACGTTGTAAATGAACCCGAGGTTCAGGTGCGGGTGCATCGGCATCTCGGTTTGGACGGTTATTCGCTATTAATTGCACGGCTGCTTCACGTTCACCGTCAGCGATATTCGCCATCGGTTGCTGCTGAACCACCCATTCACGAATCAGGAAAACAAGAATGAACGATATAACGACGAGCAATGTGATGAGTTGCCCTTCCAGAGTGTCGATAACGATGTTGTTTATTGTGGGAGACGGTGTCAAGGAGTTCAAAAATTTGACATCGGACAGCCACGAGGGATGTCGCTGCTTGTATACTGTCGTGGTATTATTCGAAGGCCGCGAATCTAAGGGGGCACTCCCCGATGAGATAGCAGGAAAGAATAGCGTAGATAGAGCCTTTCTGATCAACGACAAAAGGAGTGGCTCATTGGAGGAGAAACCGAACATTGACGACACTGTTGACTGCAAAGACGACGAATCAGTCATGTTAGATACAGCAGCAGTTGAACCAGCGGGGTTTGGTGACGCCAGTGCGGTCCCATTTCCAGCAAGAGGTTGCGTTTGGTTGTGTTGATTAGTTTCAACGCCAGACCAGTGACCATCCGCAAGCCAAAATAGTGCTCTCCAAATTGCTCTCATAGACCACGGTAACCAACCAAGCCAGACAAACGCAACGAGGATAAACCGTAACCATGTGACCACAGTGTGGAAGCTATGAAGCATTACTTGCTTTATGAATAGTGGCGCAGGGATATTTCGAGGCATATTCGGGTCGTACAACTTTGTAAAACGAAAAGGTGTTTTACAAAGCTCGCAGTGTTTCTTCTGCGAATGGGACAGCCATTCCACCAAGCAAGCTTGGTGAACAAATTTGATACTCCCACTGCATTTGCAAGGATAGAATAATGGTTCCTCCGCCGTTCCCTCGCCGCGACATATCCGACATGTATCCGGTTCCTCAAAATCTCTCTCCTTTCCCTTATTGTTGGTCGTATAGGCAGGATCATTCATCACATCGGGAAAGGCTGTCCAACCCGCATATCGGCGGGGTTGCTCCTCCGCGAAATCCATACTTTAGGTAGGACTTCAAGTCGAGTATCGACCGCTCAGTTACCACTCACCACCTGTCATGGTAAGAGATCAAAAGTGTATGCACGTCGGAAATAAGATGCGCTCAGCTCCGAGATGGAAGTCTCTCCGATCCTGGGGTAGGGGATAAGGGTGTCGAAGCACGGTCAATCCCAGCGGTATTTGATCGAGAGATCGTGGGTGATCGTAAAATATTATGTCTCACAGGTCGTTGAGTGAGGGTCTATTAGACTCGGTGGCTTGGAGTCAAGCACTTGCAGCAAGTCGCAGCGCTATCGAAAAGCGTGGCAAGTCAGTTCTAGAAGGTCATGATCATAAATATGCTAGGAGGCTCAAGGCGGTCTCGTTGCTGACTTAAACCAAGTAGGGTCAAGAATCACGTGCTATTACAGTATCATACCAATCAGGATACAGATATCGAAGGGTAATAAGCTGTCAGATTGTCATGCATGGTAATGCGGTGTACACAGCTCACATGAGCAGTCTGGACTGCTCATATGAGCCATACCCCATACATGTGACTGCTAAGACCATTAATAAGTATTTATGGCTTATGCAACCTAAAATATTACCTTACTATCTTATCTAAAATCTAAATACTTACTCCATATATTATTTTATCTAAAAATTAAATATAGAGTACTTTAATAAACTTAAGGAATCTTAAAGTTAATTATTTTCTAAGTACTTAAAAACATAAGTACTTAGAAATTACTTATTATTTATTTTTTTATTTATATAGAAAAAGTATAATATAAAGTAACTTATTATATGTATAAAAGATAATAGATATTATTATTTTAAGTACTTAGAAATTACTTATCAACTATTTAATAAGTAGTTTCTAAGTACTTACTAAGTATTTAATGACACAGTTTATAATGATAAAGAATAGAAGATAGTTAGGCATAGGAGGTTATAGATTAATACAGAGACTAATCCTTGCCTCTCTATTAATCAGTAATTAAGACTATCTTATAGTCTTAAAGTTATTAAATCATTAATATACTATCTAATTATTATTTAATAGGGAGTATTCCTATAGCATCCTAAAGTTCCTAGATATTTTCTATTATAATTATGCGCCCTTCTGTGAGATCGCTAGATCTTGCATATAGAATATGACTAGTATGAAAGAGTAGATACTGTATAGCTTAGATTTTAAGAATTCAGATAATTAAGTAGATTAATACTAGGTTAGGATTCTTCCTCTATAAAGGAGAATTTACCTAACCCCCTGCTTAGTAAGGGCTGACTAAGATATCCTTATATAGGTAAGATGGATATCTTCCCAATACTATTAGGAGGCCTTACAGCAGGATAAGGTCACTAGTAAAGAATGAGTCTCAGGCAGTAATATATAATAGACCTAGATAAATCTTCACTAGATAGATAGATAACACTATCTGTGTAAGGGCTGCTAGACACCCTATTAGAAGAAGTAGTTATATGATGGTTTGCAAAGGGTCTGTTCTGACTATTATTTATAGGGATGGATTTACTATACTTAATATGCTGAGCTGCCATGTCATAAGGTAATGTCTTAGGCTAGGGGGAAAGGGGAGTATAGGTATAGGAGTATATAGAAATTAGAGGTTTTAGAGGTAATAGGTGGTTTATAAGGAATAGGGAATATAAGTTAGTGAATTTATAGAGTAAAGGAGAGGAAGTTAAGGGACTATTATGAGAAATCTAGTAATCTATCTTAGAAAATAAGCAAAAAGTAGGAAGCAGTCTAGCAATAAATATTTAAGGAAATAGATTACGCTGTCTGTGTAGCTGTATAATGATTTTCTTAAGCTGGACTAGGGTATTTATAGCTAATAGAATGGGGAGTAAGTAAGATTCTAAGACTGATAAATAGGGCTTCAATAGAGTACATGCCTCCTAAAGCCAGGCTAGATAGCCATAGACTAAGCCTATCCCTATACTTATGCTCACGCGCCTTATGCGCTATAAGTCTGGAAAAATAATTATTATATTATGATATTAGTGAACAAATATCATGAGTAGATTAATGATTATTAAGGTTGACTCTGGGTTACTAAGGTTAACCTAAGAAATCTCTGTAATATCTATAACTTATCTTTTAGATAGATAGCTAGTAGCTAGGTATAAATAGAAGATCTTACCCTAGGTAAGTAAAGAGATATTAGCCTAGCCTATCTTTTTTTATTCTCTTAGTAATACTATCTTACCCTTAGTAATATTATTTAGTAATATATCTAAAGTTATAAATAGTAAGAAATTAAATACTCTTACTTTATTAGACTTATATTTATCTTAGTAAATACCTACTACTCTTCCCTATAAGTAACTACTAAATTTAAGCTAAAAGATAGTAGGGTAATCATACTTAGTAAAGAGTTTTTATTATAGGAGAACTCTCTTCTAGAGTATTTACTAAAAGTAATATAATAAATAAGCACTATCTCTAGGATTATAAGAGATAAATTATTATTATAGATTATTATTTATTTTTAAGGTCTTAAACCTTACTCCTATCCTAGAGTATAAAGATATATATATAAAAGATACTACCTAAGAATAGTAAAAGAGAGTTAAGAAATATTTTAGAGATATCTTACTAATAATAAGAAGAGTTCTCTCTAATCTAGAATATCTTATTATTATTAAGTAAAAACTTATAGGATATACTTATAAGAGATAGAAAGTAGATAAAACCTAATTATAAATTAATCTTATATTAGTAATTACTAATATAGAAATCTTTTATATATAACTACTAAAGAGCTTTAAGAAATATAATATAAATAATAAAGATAAGAGGAATATAAAAGCCTTATCTAAGATCTATAACTTATATAGCTATATATTACTATCTTAAGTAAAGCTATAGTATATATCTCTTCCCTAGTATATAAATCTTTTCTTATTTAAAAATTTATTATTAGGAGTTAACTAGAGCTTAGGAAAAGATAGGTAAAGGACTAAATATAACTATAAATATATAATAAAATAGTTAAATACTTCTCTCTCTATAAGAATAACTTAATTACTACTTAATAACTTAGAGATAACCTATAGTTAAAACTATAATTTAATTAGTATAATAAAGATCTAATAAATCTAAGTATAATTATTAGCTCTCCCTAGCTAAAGAGAAACTTCCTATAATTAAATAAGGATTTACTAAAGTAGAAATTATAATATTACTAGAATAAAGTATATTTTATATATAATAAAACTAAATACCTCTAACTATACCCCTTAAGAATAATAAAAAATAGGAAAGATTAATAAATCTAGAGATACTTATTAATTAAATAAAGAAAGTCTTTAACTACTAGAATATATAGTATAATCTCTTTAAAGATAGGAAGAAAGAATTATCTAAGAGAAGAAATCTTTAACTACTATAAAGAATTACTAAGATATATCTAAATATAATAGGTATTAACTCTATATATTATATAATAAAAGCATAAAATAAGGAATAGATAATTTAGATTAAGGCCCTTATTAACTATAGAGCTAGTTATTTATTTATATTATAAATAATTATTAATTACCTTAGTATAATAGAGCCTTCTTATAATAAAAGAAAAATACCCTTAGTTATATAACTACTAAATAGAGCTATAATAAATACCTACTAATAAATAAGGATGCTAATATAAATTAGATAATAGATTAATCTTACTAAGTTATAGATCCTAGATACTAATAAGTATAAGGTAATCTTAGGTTATGACTAGCTAAAAGTTACTAATCTATAGATTAACTAGTAATTAAGCTAGATAACCCTTTAAAATAAGAGAAGAATATACTTTATCTATCTTATTAACCCCTAATATAAGATTAAATATTATAAAGATAACTTAGTACAGTAGGTAACTATAAAATAACTAAAGTAGATCTTATAAAAAGAGAAATTAATAATATAATTATATCTTCTCTAAACTAATAAAAAGAAATTAATAACTATAAATTATAATAAATAAATAAAAGACTTTAAGAATATATTCTAAGAAGAACTTAACTTAAGAATACTACTTATCTAAGGGGTAGACTATACTATTAATATTAGTAATACTAAACTAACTAATATAAATACTTACCCCTAATTACTAGAGAAGTTAAAGAAAACCTACTACTAAGTAGAAGAACTACTATAAAAGAGAGTAATCTAGGCCTTAGTAAGCTAGTAGGGTTTACTAATAATATTAGTCCTAAAGTTAGGAGGAAAATAATAAATATATATAGATTACTAAATACTTAATAAAGTTATTATTAAGAATGCTTACCTACTTCTAAGAATTTAGAAGTTAATTAATTAAGTTAGTTAGATAAAGATCCTATTAAAAATTAATCTTCTCTTAGAGTACTAATAATTATAGATAATAAATAATTTAATTACTAAGATAGTATTTAAT